CGCCGATTTGATGCTTTGCCGGGCAATCATCTAAGACGAGACTTCACTGGCTTTGTTGATGTGGAGCAGTGGCCGCAACGCAATGGGCATGAAAACGTTCAATGTGCGGAGCGTTGGAGATCGGCGGCCACACTGGAAGAACGGCGGGTTATCGAAAGACAACATGGCATCCGATACTCGGAGCTATACCGTCTACGTTACCTGGACCTTGTCCGATGCACCATTGTCGACCCCATGCACAATCTGTTCTCGGGCACTTCCAAGCGCAGTATCAACTTGTGGAAGACATTACGTGGCTCCAATGGCTTCTTTGTTCTGGGAGATAGAGAGTTTCGAGAAATGAGCACTCGGATGACCGAAACTCTGCTTCCAACTGGCTATGATTTACCTAGCGGAAAAATCAGGTCTGGTTGCAGTACGTTGACGTCAGACGAGTTGCGAACGTGGGTTTTCATTTCGCCAATTTTACTGAAGGAGAAGCTCGTTGGAGAGGATATGTCGATTTGGATGAAATTCGTGGCCGCCATTCGACTGCTTTGCAATCCTTCAATCACCGTATCGCAACTGAATTCTGCTCATGAAACACTTCGCCAATTTTGCGAGTTGTATGAAGGCCGTTACGAATGCGAAGAAGTGACAGCGAACATGCATTTGCATATGCATCTCCGCGAGACGGTTCTGGACTTTGGCCCGGTGTACGCCTTTTGGTTGTTTGGGTTCGAGCGCCTGAATGGCTTGCTCAAGAGCTTCGCGGTCAACAGCAAAGATGGTTTCGAAGTTACCCTAATGCGGAAATTTATTGAACACTCTCACAGTATGTATACCAGTCCGTCTACTCAATTGCTGCTTTTTTTTTTTGAAAGCTAACCATGCCCTTTAGTTGATTCACTGCACACCTTTTGCGAGCCTCTTGCAGCGTATCCTGCTGCCCTTACTGTGCTAAGAACACTGGTACCGTCTTTGGACAAGTTGACTACCAGCTTCCACCCAGCAGTCGATTTCGTGGACGCTTGCAATTTTATCAAGTATGCAGAAGCCATCTATGCAGATGATTATATAGTTGGCTACGAGTCTATCCCCTCTTCTGTTTGTCTTTCTGCCTTGAGCCACACTGTCACGATGGATCCCAGGCACTATATGTGCCTCTACCGCCATTATGAGAAGTTCTATGAGGGCATTCGGCCCCATGGCCACACTGACAATATGCAGTTGACGATGGTCGTGAACGCCATCAAGAAGTTTCGTAGTGTGACGATCTCTGGGCAAGTCTACAAGAGTAAAGAGTCTGGCAGAACCGAAAGGGGACGCCATATCCAGGCTTACTTCCGCTGCTCTGATGGTACCTTTGAATTGCATCCAGGTGAAGTGCAATATTACTTCCGTCACAGTATCAAACAACCTGTCGAGGGCGAAGACCAAATGGATGATTTCGAGCATCTATTTGCTTTTGTACGATGGTTTGAGCCGGCTGCTTTTCCCCCCAATTCATTCAACGAATTGGGATTTTCGGTGTGGAAGAAACAGTTCCAGCCGTTGGATCATAGGTCCATCCTGCCCATCCATCGGATTTACTCGCCGGTGGGGATCCACAACTGGTTGGATGATAAAATCATCATCATCCCGTTCCCACGCAAGATCAATATATAGAAAAGGTAAATCACTATCTTTTGTGCTTATGATGTTGTCCCTACTAACACATCAACATTGGTAGCTCTAGCATAGTATTTGCACTGAATATGATGATTTTTTTTTATTCACGCTTGGCCTCTGCTGGCAGCCGCGCCAAAACTGATCTCTTGATGTCCTTATTGACAAGGACAATTTCCTGGGGAACGGGCACCTGTCTGGCACGTTTGCTTCTTCTCGACCGTTCCCCAAGCACCGACAACTGCTCAAGAAACGCATTTGCCTATGGGAAGTGTGTGAGCTGGTGTATATTATTGTCACTGCTTGTTTTCATGAAATACTAACGCGATCACTTCGACAGTGAGGCCGCAAAATTATCTTGCCCACAAGATAGTCATCCTCCATGACGTCCTCCTCGTCGGACATCAAGCTGACATCTAGGAGATGCTCAGCACCAGCAAAGTAAGCCCACAGGATAGGCTGCTGATGAAATACAGCCTTCCTCTTCTGGCATTTCTATATAATGGACCATGTCACTTATCGAGTCTTTGTCATTTCCAGTTCCAAATACTAACGTCGGAACGGCGTTTGTAGTCCCTTTTTCGCTTCTTCACCTTCTCGCGCTCTTCCTCAGAGCGCTTGTACTCGGCTTTCAACGACTTGAATTGGGTTCTGCATTTGATGTAAACAAATTCATCAACCCAGTACGACTCTTTTTCCTCCTCTGGGAGTTGCCGGATGAAATCCTGAAGGGCCGCAATGACAGTAGGATTTCGGCCATCGTTCACAAACACGCCAAACTCCCAAGTTGTTTTCTCCTCCTTCGACAGATGGCCCTTGTAATATCTGCGAAGGAGTAACTACAGGTAAAGAGATGTATGAATATGTGAAATCGAACGAAGCAGAAATAATGTTTACCGTCAATTTGTCATCGCGTCTGTCAATAACAGAAGCTGACGCCTTTTGCAATTGACTGCGCAGTGCTGTTATCTCCTGCTGTTGCTGCTCGATGATGGCTTCTTGAGCGTCAGCCCGTTTCTGCTGCTGCAAAAAGCCTTGCTCCAGAGCAGCAAAGCGACGCTCAAACTGATCCACTGGAGCATGTACTGGAGTGCGCTCTTTCACCACTGGTTTGCGCTTCAAACTTTGCACCACAGTTGGGATTTCGTTGAGGTTAGCTTGCATTTTCGGTTTGTTAAGGGAACTAAAAGGGTAAGTCCCGGATCAATTGATTATCAGGTATAAACGGTTTTTCTACTCGATAAGGTAACTGTTATGATTATTTGTGATCGGTTGCACAGTGTCTTTTTTATTTTTTAAACAGGGGGGAGGCTTCGAAGCAAAACAATTCTTCCTTTTTCACTTTTTAAATTTTTTCTTTTGTAAAGAATAATGATTTTTAGGCACGTACTGTATCATATTCAAGTATCCACCATTTTTCTTCCACAAATATCAATAGGTACATGCCTTCTTTGCTGCTTTCTTCAAGTTGCAGGTGAGTAGCTCTCTAGTACTTCATTGAGTTGTCGACTAATCACAACTTCCTTTATTTCTAGTTTTATTGCCAAGAAGGTGATGCTTTCAAGTCGGTTTCTCGTTGGTTATGTCTGCACTCAATTGCTTTCAGAAGTACAGTATTTTGGTCTGTCGCCAGGTAGGCTATCTTTCAAGTAAGTTCTGAATGATTGTGTCCCGCTGTCAGTAGCCTTCAGAAGTATATGATATCATTGCTGAACCTGATACTCAACAGAAAATATCAAGTACAGTGCAGGTACCGATGTTTTCTGTTAAGCACTTCAGCAGTGATATCATGTTCTTTCTGCTTGCCTATACAGCGCTTCATTGTTGTATTGCAACGTCTTGTCAACAATAAGTGATTAAGCTAGTCATATTATTTCGTCACAATCATATTCTCCCATGACCTAGTAAGCTTCCAGTAGTATAGATAGACTAGATAGCTGTTGTTTGTAGTAAATAGCATTCATTCTGACAACCATACTGCAATAAATCCTATATTCAAAGCCACCGAATCAATAGCAGTAATCAGAGCCATAATCTGAAAGCAAAAAATACCACCATTTTGATTGAAATACCATGCTATTTAAGGAAAAGAATACTCGTCTGTGAATGGACCAAAAACCATGAACACATCATTTTAATTGGAAGACCATGTACACAAAGTAGAAAATACTCGTCTGTGAATGGACCAAAGATTTTTTAATGCATCATTTTAATTGGATGTCGGTAATAGAATTTAACGGTATCCACCCCCAGACTGGGGTGGAAACCGGCCGAATCTCCCGGTGGAAAAAGGGAGGATACCGCAAGTTTCCTCCGCCACTACGGTGGATACTGACAGTTTCCACCTCGTTTCCTCCGGTGGATACCGCTAATTATGTGTAGTGTTTTTTTGGCCAAAAATGCCCTTAGCACATCGTTGAACAGTTTGTGACAAGGCAGGAGGTTCAGCATGCTTAAAAGACTCTCTTTTGTGTTTGTGCGAGCGTCAAACGTCAAAGAGCGATCGTCAATGCAAAAGATGTATTGTCATTTCAAAAAGTAAAGTCGCTGAGTTTGAGTTTGACTTGTCCAGAAAAAGTTAGGTGCCTCAATGCTGTGGACTGATCCAAAAAATAAGACACATTCATATGTCACGAGTTTCGTTTATTTTTACTTGTCGCTTAATAATTATCCAATAATGAGAAGCGATTTTGAAGTGGTTTTTGCTTTCTTTTCTTATTTAACATTTTTACATACATTCAGAATGAATATGCAATTTCTTTACGAAGGTGGACAAGGACATATTGTTGATGAGAACGGAGTTGTGCTCGTGGATTTTTGTTGTTGACGAGGAGCTATTTGCTATCAAAACAATAAGTTCTCGTATTCAGTTCCTAAGGAACAAACCTCCAGAAAGACCATCTAAGCATGTAACTCTTCCAGATCCTGATGAAAGGAACAATGATGTCGATATGGAGCTATGCAATAAAAGATACTGTACAGTTTACGCTGATGAAGACAACACTAGATTTTTTCATTTATTTTTAGTAAATGCTTAACTGCGTCTGCTGCTGCGAGACAATTATGCGTTCATATTCGTGCGGCTTAGCGATGGGTCAAACGCTACTACGAAGATCCTGAAAGCATTTTCAAGAAGAAGAAAAAGTCAGGTCGTCATCGTATTCTTAGGGAAGAACATAAGCAATTCCTTTTGAATTACATCGACGAAAATCCTTCCACTGTTGTAGCTGATGTAGTAGAAAAGTTTGAAGCAAAACTTTGCGGACTTAATGTTTCTCGTAGTTAATGCTTATAACTTCACAACAACGCAGTGTAATCTAACAATTAAGCAGGCACAGTTCCAACCTATGGAAAGAAGTAGCGAAGAAAAAATGCAACAAAGGTACGATTGGGTACAAAAGTGGCAGCAAACTGACTTGGATTCCACAACAAACTGCGTTTTTCTTGATGGTGAATCAGCCTTTCACATCAATTTGAAATGAGGGATGGCTTGGTGGAAAGAAGGGAACTCCTGCAGCAGTTACGGTACCCGCAACAAAAGCGAATAAATCATCAATTTTAGATGCAATATCTGAACCATTCTAGTCATCCAGTCCAACCATCGATGATACTGGTGTGAAGGGCAACAGTGCGGGATGACGAAGATAATGAAAGAACCATAGAGAAAAGAAAAATAAAGGAAAAGGGTAGTGGAAAGGATAGAAAGCGCGTTCATTTTTGTATCCCTGATTTTTCTCTCCCTGTTTCGTTCCCATCTCTTATTATTTCGATGACTTGTGAAGGCAATAGTGATATTCAAACGTGTTTGTCCATTTTGTGACAATGATGATTTCGCAACAATGCAAAATACACGTCGTCATATTCACCAAGTCCATGAATATTCGCTTCCTTCCTTTTCAACGTCTGACCGACCCAAAAGAACCATGAAACTATACACCATCCAACATCAACAAAAAAAAGCTCACTTTCGCTCAAAATTATGATAAAAACTTTGACACTTGGAACATTCTGTCCACATACTGTATCATCAACCTATTGGATGAATTGGACGATGTATTATCCATGTGAATTAGCTCACTAAAACTAAAAAAAAAGGGTCGATCATTGTGGGCACTCCAGCTGATTTTTATTAGGGCTTCAAGATGAGGTTTTGTTTCCTTTTGGCAGAGGAAAGAGTGGATAAAATAAAGAGTCGATAAGAACAGAAGTGGATGGAGAAAAATGGGTTGAAAATGTTGGTTTATCATGCTTCTGGTCCAAATTTCAGATAGACATGACTGGATTTTTTTATTCGCAACACAGTCAAGAATTTCAGTGATTATCATTTGATACAATAGAGAATTTTTTAATGGTAGCAACTACTAAAAAATTCTGCCTTATGTTTTCAGGCGGTCGACGTAAAATTCTCGGTTTTCCATGCTTGTTGCGGTTGGCTCAAACCGTTAATTTTGGATTTGAAACATAAACAGTTGTCATTTTGCAACTCGTTATAAAGCGTCACATACCAGCGCAACACAACCGGAATAGGAAATAATATTATGCAACGTGAGTCCGAGAAAGTAGCACATGCGAATGCAATTTTTTGCCACCATCAGAGGTATTTTATTTGCTCCACCGCTTTCATGAGCACGCACCCCATACTCTTTCTCTGACTGGCTCTTGATTGTATTGATAAAGTTCTCTATAATTTCGTCGTAATTCCCTCAAGAGGTGCATCAGATGTGTCATTGATAGCTTGAGCGAGATCTATCCTTTTTTTCTTCCAAGCATGAGGGGATTCCCACTCGTTCATATTGCCATTGTTTCAGATGGGGACCACATGTGATGAAAACAAGCATCCTGTTGGTGGATTCGTCAACATTTAAACTCAGCCCATCGTTGCTCAAGATGAACCAGAATTCCCGGCTTCACTTCTTTCTTCAAAAAAGCAGTTGTCTATCGAACAGTGTCAAAAAAAAAATAGCGCCTCTTGATAGTATCTTATAGCGGTCTCTATGGTTACGAGTATTTTTCATTGTAACGATTCTGGCGCATTGTATCTCTAGAACGGATGAAAGGTTTCTTTTTCTTTTTGGATTTGGATCGCTGAAAGGAAATTGTCGATCCATACACAAGTTCAAGCAACCAGTATGATCTGCTTTTTAGCCTGTTTCATGTCTTATATGTACTGATGGTTTGGCGTAATTGATGCCTTTTACGCTAGCTGAAAACGGCTTCTCGGAGAAACAGTAATATGTCATTAATTGGATAAGCACTGCATGCATAGTATCTTATGCTTGAATTGGAAAGTCGTTTTTTTTTTTTTGACTATCTATGTACTCCAAGCTATGAAGTACTGTAGGAATGATTTAAACTTACATACTTATTTAAGAGAGATCGAGATAATGTTATGCAATATGTGATAGCATTTTTGGGAATACATAGCCCCTAAGAGGAATTAATAGGATTCTATTGATTCTTCTGACAAGCTAAAAAAGGGGATTCACTTGAAAAGAATTAAGATTGGAAGAAAAGCCATCAAGTGAAGGAGAGTTGGTAAAACTTGGAAGATGGAGTGAAAAATAAAAAGTACGAAAATGGAGTTGACAAGTCGTCAATAGCGTTTTCGCGGGATAAAATGTGCCACCAGTTTCATGAAACATCGGTCAACTTTAATGCAGTGTTTATGCTTTTCTCAAACGAAAAAAAAAGACACTAGATCAAAAAAAAAAAAGGCTATTGTAAAAGAACAACAGGCCACCTGGGCATGATGGGTGGATATTGACCAATCAAGTCAGTTACTTTTTTATATTACCAATATAATAAGGAATCAAAAGTTAACAAGAGACAAAAACGTGGTACGATGGCAAAGAAAAACATTGGCACTGTTTTACGTTGTACGCGATGATTTCCCAAAAAAAAAGAGGTAAGATTCAAACAGAGAGCGATCAGACGAAGGAGATCAAACCATCTGATTGGGATTGTCCACGCAGTGAAAACGGTGGTAACCGAGCTTCTAAAAACGGCAATGACCTGTACTGATAGAGGATTTTCGGAAAAGTAGAAGATCAAGTTTTCTTGACGTTCTTCAAGCGCATCGTCCACGACGTTGGCGGTTGCCCACCCACATTGTAGAGCGTGCACTGTTCGGGGCAGATGATTGGCCAGATCGGTGGTGGTTACCTAAAAGGGATAATTGATCCAATTATCTTTCTAGATGGTCAGACCAGATTTTTTTTTTTCAAGTTCTCTGTCATATATAATGGAGATCAGAATATCCCTTCTTCTTTTTTTGTTAGCATTTTTTCATCTGAAAGACATCTTTTAATCGTTCAAAAATGATGGAAATCGGCGACTATACGTGGATTTTTGCCGTGGCCATGGTGGTTGCTTTTTGCGACGCCTACGGTATCGGTGCCAATGATGTAGCCAACTCCTTTGCTACTTCTGTTTCTTCTGGTTCGCTCACTCTTGGGCAAGCCTGTATCATTGCCTGCTTTACCGAATTCTTGGGTGCGATTGCATTGGGTTCAAATACCGCCGACACGATCAAAGGAGGCATTCTCTCCGTCACTCGATTCGTCGAAATGCCCGAAGTTCTTATGACGGCCATGTTGTGTGCTTTGTGTGGTTCCGCCACCTGGGTCATTATCGCTACCAAGAACGGCTGGCCTGTTAGTACGACCCATTCGATTGTGGGTGCCGTGCTTGGTGTCGGTATCGCTGCTTTCGGTGGAGAATCGATCAACTGGGGCTGGAGCGGTATTTCCCAGATCATTGCTTCTTGGTTTATTTCACCTGTCATTGCTGGTCTGGTGTCCGCCGCCATTTACCTTATCACCAAATACGCTATTCTCCGTCAAGTGGAGAGTGTCAAATGGGGTCTCCGACTTATTCCCGTCTATTTCTTCTTCACGACCGCCATCGAAGCCTTTTACATCATCTACAAGGGTGCTCCCGGTACCGGTGCCAGTAAAATGTCCATTGGTGCCATCATTGGCATTTCTTTCGGTATTGCGTCCTTCTTTGCTGCCTTTGCTTGGTTCTTCTTCTGTCCCTGGCTCAAGCGTCGTGTCGTGGATCGCGAAGATGTTCGCTGGTACCATGTGTTTTACATTCATTTTGTTCCCAAACGTCCACGCATCGGCGAAGACAAAGAACAGCAAGCGGTTGCCCCTGTCGAAATCGAAGAACCCAATAGTGCCAACGACGATGATATGCAAACCGCCGACGGCAAGAAGCTCAGCGAGAAGAAGTTGGACGACGATGTCTCTGCCAGCACGAATCCCGAAACCGCTGAAGTTCCGCCGGTTGGAATCAAGGCTCGTGCGCGCCACTACGGAAAACGTGCTCTGGATTTCGCTCTTCAAGGTGTTCGCAAGGATGTCCGCAACCTCGATAGCAGCCATTTGAAGAATGTGCACGCCGCTGCTGAATTGTATGAAGATGACGTTGAATACATGTTCTCATTCCTTCAAGTGTTGACCGCTTGTATGGCTTCGTTTGCTCACGGTTCGAACGATGTGTCCAATGCTGTGGGTCCTTTGTCGGCTATTTTCGGTATCTGGGAAACGGCTGAAGTCGATGTATCCGGCAAAGTGCCTGTGCCCGTTTGGATTCTCGCTTACGGTGGTGTTGCTATTGATATCGGTCTGGCTACAATGGGTTACCGTATCATGCGATCCCTTGGCAACAATATCATCTATTTCACTCCTAGCCGTGGTTTCTCAGCTGAGCTGGGAGCGGCTCTCACTGTCTTGACGTGCTCCAAACTTGGTTTGCCCGTGTCTACGACCCATTGCATCACTGGTGCTACGGCGGCCATTGGTCTTTGCAATGGCAGCGTGAAAGCGGTCAACTGGCGAATGCTATCTTGGTGTTTCTTTTCCTGGATTTTGACGCTTCCTTTTGCGGGTTTAACAGCTGGTCTTTTGTTTGCGTTTGCTAATTATTCTCCTTCCACCCTCATGGTCGTCACCCCCTCTTAAGTTTCATTTACTATTTTTTTTTTTCATCTCTAAATATCATAATAACCACTTTATTTACTTTTTACATCCCGTCTTTTTTTCTCTCTCTTCATTATCTTGCATATATAGTTTTTTATCTACTTCCATCTTCTTGATGCAATAAATCTTGTACACTAGTGTATTACTACTAGAAGACTTACTGTAACGAAGCTGCATTTGTTTCAAAAGAGATGCTCCTGTTCCACGGTACTTCACGAGCAAAAAGAGACTTTTTTAATGATGAGAGAAAGTACGAGAGAAGCATACTATCCGTGTGGAACTCCTCCCTCAGTCGATGCATGCGCTTTTTGCTCTTGTCGGCGACGTTGTGCAAGCGTCATATACTTCTTTCCGCCCGTGACGAAAATATTGATCATTCCGGCGTTCACTTGTTGCTCTCTCACGTAACGCTTGAAGCGTAGTTTCGTGATTCGGGACCCATAGAAGCTAACAAGTCGATCCAATCGCTCGAGCACAGACTGGACAAACACGGCAGCCGATTCCATGTTCGTGACCTTGGGAACTTGCCATAGTACGCTCGAGGTCCGCCACATCATCGCGTTCTTTCCATTTCATGATGAGGGCGTTCGATTGCTTGTATACGCCTTGGTGTAATATTCGACCGTGCTCATTTGTCGAATTTCGTGCGGAGCATCCACTGACTGCTGTTGAGCACCTTCAATGGTTCCGACGTTACACCCATCGTTGGCCACAAAGACATCGCTGAGACCGGGATCAACACCCCACAGGCGCACGAATTCCAGTTCCCACTCTTGGAAATCAGTCTCATCAAGATCAGACGAGGATCCATGAGAGCACCGTCTGCGGAATAAATGGACATTACACCCATATCCATCAGTCTCAATCAAATCACCAAATCCTTCACTATTAAAAAATAACTTTTTAGTAAAAGAGGAAATAACACATCATTTCATTGATGAACTCACCTTCCAGATCGGACTTTTGTAAAGTCAAAGGCATATTCAAAGGAATTTCCTCCGGTAAAGCGGGAGGGCAAACGTGCCTGGCGAAGCAAAATCCTCAAGATAGGCTCCGTGATAGTGATGTACTTTCGTGTGCAGGATGGCACTGGCACCAATTTGAACAAATGCTGTTGGTTCACAACAAAGTGTACGTCTGGCTTGAAGCAGTCGCGCTCGTTCACTTGCTCACCCTCTTCAGGATTCAGGTATCTCAACGAGTTGCGGATCTGGGCTCTCGTTTCGCTTATTATCCGATCAACCGACTCCCGAGACTCCTGCTCCAGGATAATACCAGAGGGAATCACAATGGGTACATCGTTGTTAATCGCGGCCAAAATACTTTGGCTAAGCCTACTCCGACGCCTTCTGCCCAGTGTTGCATTCTCTAGGAGACTCCTTACCACGGCATGAGCGAACTGGATTGTTGCCGCTACCTGGACATCCCCGGCGATGGCTACTTGCTGACGATTGTACTTCTCCATGTAGGCATTGTTCTCGTGCAAGATCCGGAGGATACCTGGGGCTCCCTGGTGAACGTGGCCATGTTCAGTCAGTTTTCATAGGGGCCCAATCGGTCATTGGTTTCTGACAATAATCTCAGCACTGCATTGTTGGCAATGTCTCCATGCTCCGCAGGAATGTTGATATTGAAGGCGACATGATCAGCGGCTGGTAGCGCAAAAAGATGGTACGTAAACCAAGCCAACTTGGAGACATGGGATTTGGATAATTCCTGTTGAAAAAATAGACAAAAGGTGTCACTAATAGACTCGATACAAGGCTTCTTCAATCTTACCGGTGCGATCTCTCGAATACGAAGCTGTAAATACTCGTATTGCGACTCGAAATTCTCGACAAGGTTGCTCGTAAAGGTCTTCGCCATTTGGACAGCTGTAATTGCTAACACGGCGGAACACATGGACTGGTTTCCCAACCGGCTGCAGCCACCTGTCGGAAAACGCTCCAAGTACGATTGATAAACTCGCTGCAGTTCGTCTTTCCGGAGATTTCTGTTCCTGGATGTGATGTCTCCCCCGAGCAACAGTTGAAAGACGCTGTAAAAAATGGTCTGCTCGAACATGATCGCCGGGTAGTGCGTCGTTCGTGGCGAGCTTGTATTGGAGGTAATAGATGACGAAAAGCGTGGATTTGATCATGACGACACGGTTGAAATCCACAACGTTTTTGATAGCAGCTACCAACCACTGCTTCTGCTCATCATCAAATCTGAGCAGCGTCGAAAGCCGTACTCCCGAATAAACTCTTCGGGTTTGCCGCCGTAACGCTCGATATTGCGTTGCTTCTTGTCCGGGACACGGTTCAGGGCAAATTCTGGCTCTCGAGTTCCGGTGGGGGTTCTGTCGCAGGAATTCCGGTCTCAGAAACATAGCTTACACCTTCGACCCCCAGGGTCTTTTATTGCTTCTAGCCGCTGCTTCTTGGCATTGTCTTGGCGGGCTTTCATCTCGGCGGACTGCTTGCCTTTTCTTTTTTGACCTACAAGATGGGAAATAAGAGGAATTAAAAAAATTGTCAGTCTTAGTTGGTTGGGTGTTTCCTTACCAACCGAGGGTTGCTTTTTGAAGGGACACAAAGGAGATCGGCTGTCCTTGAGGCCACGCTAATGACACTTTCTACAAACCACTGTGGAGAGAAGATATAAGCATTTTTCTTGGCCCTTGGAAAAAAAATTTGTCATACTGGCTCGCTTACCATTTTCGAGGCTTTGCCGCTCTTTGGCCTTCTTCCATCGCTTCTTGTACAGGATGACCTCTTTTTTTTTCGCCAGCTTCGTATAATCCACGGAGGCGTTCTACCGTGAAGAGTTCATTCTCTTCTTTCCCCTCGGCAAGCTGTTCGTCGGAATCAGTGTGTCGTCCGTTGCATATGGGGAAGGTTGCGACTGTGATGGTGATGGTGACGGCGGGCTAGGTGGGCTCGGCGGCCGCCTCGACGAAGACGCTGCAGTTGTTGGATGATATCGAGTACTTCTGCTGCTTTCGATTTTGGCTTTTTAGAGTCTTGGGTCGGCGCAGAGGGTCTTGGGTACGAAATTTGTACCCAAGATTTGAATATAAGAAAAAATGAAAAGCCTCGTAACGTAAGCTTCTTGTGTAGATATGTATATGTTTGTATGTGTGTGTGTGCGTACGTGTGTATAGGGTGTGTTTGTTGAGAAGAAAGGAACAATGAAAGTGTCAATAGCTCCTGTGATGGCCCTCCTCAATTTCCCAAGGTTCCGATGTGATCATTGGTCATAGTGAAATTGTATATGACACAAAGAGTCGGTAAATGCATATTGACTGTCATATGGTAGAACGTCATGCCAAAGTAAGCTTGTGCCAATTCTGTCACGGTCTGCTACTTTTTTTCCCATTCCGTATACAGCAATTGACAGCGATATGCGGCGAAGCAACGATATTATTGCACGATCATTACTATTATCACCTGAAAATGTTAGGACGAGCATGAACATTATTATTATTAGAAAGGCAAATAGATAATTTCAAGAGAGTGAAACTTTTTGGTTGGATGGAAGGGAAAATGGAACGCATAAATGCTATCATCGCATAAGAAACAGGAGCTGCTTTTATTTGATTTCATGCCCTTTAGTTCGGCACCAGGTCGTATTGAACAGTGACATGTAAACACATGCAAAAAGGACCTCTACTTTACTTTGATGGATTAAAGATTGGCATTTTCGTACCATTATTTTATGAATTCTGCAGTAGTCGTTGCAATATATACACAAAGTTGTCAGGACTGAAAGTAGTATTGAAGCGATATTCTAGACTGATTAGGAGGATGAAACTTTATAGTTTTTCGATTTACGAAGAAAGGTCCAAGCAAAGTCAACGGATGAATCCCATTCAGGCTTTTGAGGCCCTAGACTCATCCAACGTGGTCATCGATGCTAACAAAAAAAAGACTCGACGGTTTCCAAACCATATGTCAATTGATAAACTTGGAATCAACTCCAGAGCATGCAAGACAAATTCGATATGTTACATTCAAAGAAGTTGGCAAAAGGGGCCCCATAATGTAACTCGTTTTTCCATACAGGCCATTAACAAGTGAAAAACAACGGAGGAATGAATTTGGCTAAGCAAACCCGATTTGCCGAAATGAAAACCAAGGTGAAAATACATATTGGATCGATTACCCAAACTGATGCTAAAGCTTATGCAGCTTGTATGTTTGACATTGGCAAAACTGTATATGTAACCGGCAGCAAGACTCCCATGGATCGTGAAGCTACGGACAGTGACAATACGGAATAGGATGCATTAGTATCATCTTGAAGATTACGGACCTTCGGAATTTCCCTGATGAGTGAGGATCTCGTAAATAAACCTCCCTTATAGATTGCGACGTACAAGCTTTCGATTCAATCCTTGCAAGATGTCTCATTTCTTAACAGATTATCACGGTAAATGTACACGAAACGGCGTACCGCTTAAGAGAGTTTGTCTTCACCGAGAATCCAACAAAAAGAGCGGGTTCCACATTGACAAGAAACTATTTCATATGCAAAAGAAATCCAACACATAATATGGACGAAGACATGGAAAAGCGCGATCCACCACCAAATTCGCACTACAGAGGAAATGGACAAGATGTAGTTCGACGACCAGAATTGATCTGCGGAAATCGATCATATACACTATCATACAAATTCTTCTCAGTCGTTTATTTTCAACGGAAGTAATAGGGTAGATTCATTTACACTTTTTCTTCTCTTTTCTGCATCCTTAGATCTCGCGTCAGTCAAAGATAGGTCTGTTTTTATCTAGGAACATCTCGGTTTCTTTACACCCATCATGTGGAAACGTGATTACTGATCAAGGACGAGGAGCACCTGGAGTCGAGGCGAAACAAGAGCAAGAGGAAAAGGTCGTGCAACAAGACGCACAACGCGTCAATAGCACCTAGTTGCTGCTGTGGCGTGCAACTTCTAGATGTAGCCAATAACCCATCTAAAAAATATGAATATAAGAGGAAGCGAAAAAATATGAGTTTGCTGGTTCTTGTGATTCTGTGCGAAAACTTTGTTAGTTCTTGTTAACTTGTTACCTTGTAATTCCCGATGCTATCACAAGATATGGCACGCACACAGTCGAACAACACATTGACAAGGAAAAGAATAGTCCAATAATACGGAGGAAGATATGGAACAAGCTCACCCACCATATTCGCACTGTAGGTGATCCATATGTCACTGTATTCTCATGATGTTAGCGACCGCAATTAGGTGATAATCTATGAAGATTATCTACATGAACATTGGCCTTTGGAACGACGTGTACAATAGTACCGATTTAAAAAATGGACTTGCGAGCAGCAATCCCGAGATAATTCATAACAATCGATGAACCGTTCATTTATTCAGTCTTGTGTTTATAGACACTAGCAGTTAAATGAGATTTTGTGACTATTAAACTAATCATTTTATGACATGCCGTATGCATGGCAGGCTTGAACAGCAATGAATGCGCGGATCCCTCCCTTCACGATGGCCTTTCCTATGACCCCAAATGCGATTTTCGTTTATAGATAGTGTATCCGACAGATGTTTCTATTTTTATTTCAACCAATGATAAGCTTAGGGTATCTTCAATTACCAAATTTGGGCTCCAAAATCTTCAATCAAGTAAAAGGGAAAAGTGCATGACGGAGTTTAAAAAAGTTACGTCACAAAGAAAAAAGTTGGGCCCATTTTGCTTTTTCCAACCAAGTGACAGACTACGCGCGTTTGTTCTTGTGTGGGTGAATAGAAAATCGTAAGCATGAGCGATCAGGAAGCCAAAGCTCTCGAATCCACGGATCAGCCAGCCGTTCAGGATGAATTCAATGCCGGAGAAGCCGAAGTAGCAGGCGACGTTGATAAAGTGAGTTCGAGTGGACAAGTCAACAAGTTTTTCGATCGATGTTCACGAATGGAATGAAAAAATCCAGGAATTAGAAGAAATGAAAGCACGTGTTAAGCAGATGGAAGACGAAGCAGCTAAACTCCGTACCATGCAAGCTGAAGTAGAGAAATCCATGACTCCCGAAGAAGGTGAGCCATTTTTTCGAGCCTCGAATTTACGACGATTGGGTTGATGGCTAAAGCGGGGGAATTTTGACAGATAAAGAAGCGGTGGACGGCCGTTCAGTATATGTTGGCAATGTAATTACATTTCTACGAGTACAACATTAGTACAACCGGCTCATTCGAGAAAAAAATAGGTGGATTACGGAGCCACGCCAGAAGAACTTCAAGCACATTTCCAGGCGTGTGGCACAATTAACCGAGTGACAATTTTGTGTGATAAGTTTACCGGTCATCCTAAAGGGTAAATAACATATGCGGACAAACGGGTCAGCATATACGAAATTGCAAGGCAATTTTCTAAATGTAGTGTATATTTTACAGTTATGCTTACATCGAGTTTGCGGAACCAGCATTTGTGGAAGCAGCAACCACTCTAAATGAGAGCCTTTTCCGTGGACGACTGATAAAGGTAAAGCACAAGGGAAAAAAAGGAAAAGGAGCTTCAAACGGTGCTAATAAAAGTGTATATCATTGAAAATCAAAAAAAGGTTGGTCCCAAGCGCACAAACATCCCTGGCTTTGCACAACGTGGTCGTGGTAGAGGACGTGGTGGTTTTAGAGGCGGCATGTTCCCGCCATATTACGGACATTCTCCCATGTACGGCTACCGTGGACGTGGAAGGTAAAGCGATGAATGAAGAGAGCTACGAAGAAAAAAAAGTGGTTTAATTTGATATATTTTCTTTCGATGACAATAGAGGACGCGGAAGAGGAATGTATTACTCTCCTTATTAACCGATTTGAACGCCATGGCAATAAAATAAGGAAAGATAATGTAGATACAGTTTTTCTTGTACGAACAACCCTCGCTGGAAAATATACAGAAATTATGATTTTGAAGCAAGCCAATTATGGATGTTTGGTTGTGAGCTTCCACGAACCTCCATCATCTCACATTTGCGTCGTCAACATATGTGTTGGGATGAAAACTTGATAAGGGCACGGTCACTGACCAAAAAACCGTGCGGGAATCCGATTTTTTTATTTTATTTTTTCGGGCTTCCTCTGTCGCCTTTTTTTTTTTTTTTCATATTCATACTCGTCAATTTTCAGTGAGCGAGCTGCTTTTGCACAACCTCCATTCAATCATAACGGTCCAATTTTAGTCTAGCAGTGTCGTCTCAGAGTCTCTTATTTCCATTATGGAGAAGCCAAAGCCACCACAAACGCATAGTAAACGCGGATTTCAACCCTACGTTCCGGTCCATCGTCGACGTGCAGCAAATACTGAGACTTCCGAAAAAGTTCAGGCTCCAACCAGTCCGTGCACCCCCGAGAGAAAAGTCGAGATTGCCGATGCCCAGAACGGTGGAGTGAAAAGGCGTGGACGAGGACAATTTCGAGCTCCTATCCATGTACGATCGCCGTCTCCACAGAATAAGTTGCCAAAGCAACCTTTGACAGGGGATAACGATGAGTCCACTCCAACTTCCACCCCAGCAATGGCAGCTGTTTCACCCATATCAACATCCCGATCCCCATCAACAGCAACACCACCAGCATTAGAAACGCCAGCATCTGCTTCGATTCCGGTCCAAAACCAAAAAGTTTCTAGTGAGGCAAAGGTCGAACCTCCTCAAAAGCTGGAAACAAAGCCATCTGTAAGCGAAATAAACCAATCGTCCAGTTGCTTGGAGCTGATCTGTTGCCCTATCTATGAATGCTATGGAACTTAGAATTCTTCAGATAAGGATTTGAAAGAGCTAACCTCTTCCTTGGACAAGCTGACGACGGCTGAAAAAGATCGTTCCAACTCTGAAGGCGACGAAGATAGCGAAAAAGAGGAATGGGAGGAACTACTAAGCGACGATGTCGAGGAAAATCTGACAGAAGAAACGCCTGCAGCGTCAACGTCGCCAAGTAGGGAACCTGATATTGGTAAACATCACAGGGGAAAAGCAGTTTTGACGTGCGGCTATTCATCGAGCATAAGCAGAAATTTCAGGTGACAGAACAACCGTACTGGACTGCCGCGATTTCCCCGCTTCATTTCGAACCCATCATTTGCATGACATTTTTCGCCCATACGAAGATATGCGAGGCGGTTATCGTATCAAATGGATGGATGATACCCGAGCATTAGTTATTTTTGCTCACCCGGCTACAGGTAAAATACATCATTTCGCCGACCAAGTATTGAAAAAAGATCGATTCATAACATTATTTCATAGCCAAACGTGCATATATCGATAATTTTTCAAATCCACTGGCAAAAATTCGACCTTATGAAGGCCCCACGGACGGATTAAGAGGTACAGTTTTGCAAGAAGAAGAGTCATTGGGATGCTACAGTGGTTTAATTCTCTGAGGGAAACAGTGGATCGAGGTCCTGTGCCGCCACGACCAGCCACCACTGATATGGTTGCGAGACGTCTCGTTCATGGCGCGCTGGGCGTGCGATCGCCTTCAAAGTCGGCCGATCAGCGAGCAGCAGAAAGGGAACTATTGAAAGCAGCACGCGGTAAGAAGCATAAATAGGCAAGTAAGTTCCAAGGATGGATAACTTAAAAAAAGTTCTGTGGTTTTATTTTCGAAAGACGCGAGGGTGGCTGAAAAACAAGAAGCGGCACGACGGGCACAAGCGATCGCTGATGCGTTCAATGAGTGATCATTTAGGGGGGCAAAAAGATGTCCAACCGTAACTTGGTTTCACTGGGACCTTCCCTCTCTTTACTGCCGAAACCTGAAAAAAAACGCCACTTGAGTCTCTGGCTTTTTCCTCCTGTTTTTTATTCACCGTCTTATCAAGAGCGGCCCTCGAGCCATCTCTTCCAAAACAATGAAACACTCACCAGGAACTTTGCTCGTTTACTTTTTTTTTTGTTCCTCGTCCTCATCATAATCACATCTTCTTTTTACTTGTATTATTGTGTCCCAAATGATAGTGGATACACAAACAATTACAGGTAGAACGTTCAATTCAAATGTCTCCTGTTATTTTCAGGCTTTTACTTTGAATTTTAGGATAATGCATGGTTGAAAAGAGTTGTATGCATAGACAGTTTGCTGCAAACACAAAATACACATAAATTCGCTTATGCACGCGATATTGAAACCAGACCTTCTGCTACATCTTTTACACAGTGAATCATAGGCCATCCTACATTTATAATGCTTACTTGATCATAAAAACCGAATTCATTTCTTTTCAGTGCAGAGATTCCATCTTTTGTTCCCAGCCTAAAAAGTTGCATGATAATAGTGTGACTTTCATGGGTGAGCTGTGTTGAAGTCGAGTGCGCGTCTCAGAATTTTCCTCCTTCTCTCTTTTTTCCTGTCAAAACCAAAAACCAAGTATGCCTTATCGTCTCGAGGTAATTTCCTATTTCCTTGTTCATCGTTCTCAATAAGATCATATATGAAGGCTAACGTACGCCCACTATTATATAGTATGCCAAGGTGATTATCATGGCGCAGTCGGTATTATAGTTTCACAAAACGCTTATGCATGTTCAATAGAGTGGCCGCGCGAAATGCAAGGGCCCAAAGAAACAATGTCCTGCCGCTGATCGAACCATCAAGGTACAGTCAAACATGCAGCGATCCAACGTAACCATTCATTCTCAACTGCACTTTTAGCAAGGTGAACTTCGTCTCGGTGTCGATATCGAAGCTGCAGGCCATACAGCTGTCACTTGGAGACATTGGTAAGTCTAGTCTAATATATCATTTGGGAAGCGCAAAATAAGCAGCTCAGAAACCTGATTGTTTTCCTTCTTTTACATTCAAAGGTCATGTGTGACTCCCAAGGTCGTTGAAAACATGAAAGAATCCATGAGTGGACCTGAAGAAATAGAAGGTTGGGATAGCCTTCGTGATGAAGATGTTAAACGCGTGAAGAAGGCCTGGGACTTGGGAGAACTTCCGCAAGAAGATCAACCAGAACCCGCTGAAGAACAGTAAGGGCTAATCATAATAATGGGGAAACAGTAGTAAACTCATTCTTAACTGCTTTTTTTTTTGTTATCCCACAGGAATGAAGCGCCATCCACTGCTACGAAGAGCAAGAAAAAGCAGACGGAGTCTGCTGAAGAGGAGTCCAAGGAGGAACCCAAAGAAGAGCCCAAGAAGAAAGGAGGAAGAGCAAAGAAAGAATCAACCACCAAGGAAGCAAAGCAGGCTGAGGAGCCAACAAAACCCAAGGCTTCCCGTAGCACCAAACAGAAGAAGGAGGAGGCGGGTGATGAGGAGAAACCGCTTCGACGATCCAAGAGAAAGGCAGTGGTAGCCTCTACTGCCGCTGCAGAAGAGGAAAAACCCAAAAAGATGGTTCGAAAGGCGGCTCCCAAGAAGACGACCAAGAAAGCTGCTGCCAATGAAGCAGACTAGCTCCATTGATACTCTGCATTTATTCGGCGAAATGTTCATCTTAAGCCTCTTCCCCCTTCTCTCTCTCAAAACAAAGAACCACAATCAACAAAGCGAATCTTAGGATGACTTAAAAAAGGCAAAAAATACAGCAATACTCTATGCTTCCCTGAACACTAGTCGTTGTATGTTTGAAACTTGTATGAAAATGAGAAAAATACAAAAGATCAATTTTCTGGATTTCTCTTTGTGAATTGTATTTGCTGGTATGATGTGACATTTTTTGTTTACAACTTTGGATGAAGCCAGAGTGAAATGATTTAAACCAAATGAACCAAAAAGAAAAAGAAACTGATGTTTAGATAAAATGATGGAGAAAACAACCGCCTGGTCGAGGGGGAGGACACACGGGTGCGAGTATGCATTTTATGATGTGATCAACGGAGCAATAGGAGTGATCTGATAGCCGCCTTGACCATCCATTTCGACGAGCTGTCGATGGAACTGTATCATATCACGGTGATGGCTCACACTGATGACAGTGACACCCATATCGATTATAAGGCGATACAAATATGCTTCGGTTGCATTATCCATGCCACTCATTGCCTCGTCCAGAGCTAAGATAGAAAAGATTTTTTTTTTTAGAAAAAAACAGACGTCTGGATAGAAATAGTAATCATGACCGCTTACCAGCAAATGTAGGCTTCCAGTAAAGAATGCGTGCAAACACCAGACGTTGCTGCTCTCCTGGCGATAACATCTTGCTCCACTGGGGTCCATAGCATGTATCAAAAGAATCGACGAGATACTCGAGGTGGGGCAAGTGCACTTGTTCCAAAAGTGAACGTACTTCGTCATCGGAAACTAGGGCAACAATAGTATTTAATTTTGTAATGTCATGGCCTTTCTTTAGTACAGAGATAAAACTTACTAGTGGTTGCCGAAGCTAGACTGGGATATGTAATCTGATCTCTCAGTGAACCTTCGATCAAATAGGGTATCTGGGGCAAAAATACAATGTCTTTGCCATGCTTCATTTTCGGCATATGTAGACGCCCTGAAAAGGCGAGCTGTGAGTTTTTCAGCAGTCCTTATTCGAAACTATTCCAGAAAAAGATTACCGCTTGTACATGGCCATAGACCGGCTAAAGCCCGCAACACGGATGTCTTGCCACTTCCTATGCAGTTCGTTTTCATCATGAGTTGGGTAATTATTCTAAAGCGTTGTACATAGAGATCGTATATACCATTAGGACCCATAATGATAACATGCTCTCCTTTGGCAATATGAAGATTCAAATTTATGATCACATTTTTCCCCTGTGGAGTCCATATGCTGACATTTTCAAACTCGATAGCATTATTACTATAAAATAGTTGAATTTAGCTCTTCATATCTTGATAGACTTGTACAAGCATTACCTTTGATCATCTTCCCTGTAAGGATAATCGATCTCGATATTCTCAATTTCGTTGTCCACATCTTCTATGGCTTCCAACAGCTCTGCAATACGCGCGGTGTAACCGGCGAGATCGGATAGTTTGCTCGACTGTTCAATGATGCTTGTGAATAGATAAATGAGATACATAGAGACAAAGGAGTTCTGTAAGCATGACCAGTTAGCAAGTCATACAAGAGAAAAAAAAATCGTTAGAAAACACAGCCAGGCAGTATGCATTACCTTGCTGATAATGGCGCTGAGGTCGCCCGGATCTTTATCGTCGAAAGCGCCCGCAAATACCGGAATGGCAATGACAAAATAGCTGAGGATCGACCCAAAGTAGGCAAAACTCTTGTTCGCCACTAAAGTACATGAGTATCAGTACGTAGGAAACCAAACTTCCTTTTCACAGAGTTCAACGATACTTACAGTTGAGCGGTAGCTCTTTGTTCACAATGGAGCGCTGCAAGACCAGCAAACTATCCAGTGAATCCTTGGCACGAATATTCTCTTCCTTCTCGCCATGGGAAAAGGCAATGGATTCCGCATATTGCCGCAGCCGGACGTGAAGAAATCTGAAGCAGGCAAACTGTGTTACTGTGAATTCAAGTCAAATGTATGCATGCGGGCCGATTTACCTGAAATAGCCTTCTTGCGCTTCTTTGTAAAACACGGCGTTGACGATGGGTTTAATGAATCTGCGACTGATCACAGAACCGAGGATGAAATAGGCATAAATAAATAGGGGACCCATGAAACCGCTGACTTTCCAGCACTGCCATGTATATGAGATGAGCAGTAATGGCATGATGATCAGCTGCTCCACAATTTTTCGTAGCGTATCAGAAAAGCGTTCAATGTCTTGAGCAATACGTTGGTCGCTGTATCACGGGATTAATTTCAATGCACAGTTTAATGATAAGACAATTAGTAAGCACCCATTCGGAAGAAGCCAACGTGCAACTTACGGATTATCAATCGATGTATGGTTGAGAACAAGCGTATACATCGTTTTTGGCCGGATGTATCGAGCTTGCACATGTTCGGTCAGTAGTCTTCGAGCTTTTAAAGCAAACAGACCCCCCATAAAAGTAACCAGACTCTTGCCCTGAGCAATATTTGTGAGTGGAACCGTGAAACAATTGGCATCTCTGAAAAATAACAGCTTACGGCGGATGCACCAAATACCAAAAGTAAGCACGGTACGGTAAACTGAGTGAATCCGCTTAAATCCTTATTGGTCAATATCGTGTAGAAGCGACTAGGAATCAGACCGACAAAATATACTAGGACTTCGTTGCCGCAACTCAGAGCAACAAATATTACGTAGAGCCAGAATAGGCTATTTTGTCTCGCTTCTTTTTTTGGTGACCAGAATGCGTGAGGTGCCAAGGATGTCGGCTTGAAAAGCAATCGCAAGAGCCGCCAGAATCGTTTGAGGAAGAGGTAATCAAAGCTGTAGGATGTATTGTGGGATGTCCTGGCATGGGCATCAAGATCAATCGAAGGATCAGTGTCCCCTGGTAATGCTAAGGGTTGTTGTCGCATTCCGACCGGTGATGTCTTTTTTTCGACGTCCAGAAATTGAAAAGAAGTAATGGTCAGTGAGACACCGCTTCACTACGAAAAATGAAAATAAAAATAAATAAAAAGAATTTCTTAATATGCAAGTGGGGAAAAAACGGCAATTACAGGAATTGTCATGATAACTAAAAAATGATACATATTGAATGCTATGTCTAGCAGGTTTATATTGGGATTTCATACAACATTGTTTTTAATTGAAATTGCATTGCTTATTTGAGACCTTTTATCATGTCAGCGACTTGTTTTCTACAAATTCATCGTCAGTGATCGATCGCGCGATCATTCGGTTCATACCAATAAAACCTACCTCTTCAGTGCCGTCAATTCGATATGAACATCTACATCTTTTTGATTTCTCTTGGCACCCAGTTCGTCCAAGAACGCCTTTGTCTCTTTGCTCACATCGATGACAGAATCACCGTCTAATTACATTAATATGAAATGTCAGTATCACTAACGGACGGTTTTTTTTTTTGCCTGTACTTACCACTTGAAGCTGTGACGTCCAAGCCAATCAAATAGTAAGTTATATGCATGCTCCCCGGTTCCAGCGGGATACTGAAATCAGTGGAATTTTGACTGGTGAAAGCGAAGCCTTTTTGGAAATTGATTTTTTCCTGTCTTGTATGATAATAACGCACGCCGCTGTAATTGTCGGTTATTGGGTGGACCTGTTGCAGGCACGGAACGGTTTCCAAATGGGATACCAATTTTGGGATATTCGCTGCCATTTTTCGAATCCTGCAACACATGATAAAATGCACATTATAATCTCGTATTCATGTCCCCCGCCAACGGCAACGTACCAAGTTTCATGGCTTTTGATTGTATCGCAACAAGTGATGATCACAATAAAATGCTTATATCGTCTCACGTAATAAAGAGGCTTGAAAAGCTTTTTCATCATCAAACTTGGTTTCTCGAATCGCGCTTTCAGAATTGATTCCGCTAACATGAGTTTAGCAACCTGGCCATATAACTACATCGATCCGTGACTCGACTAAGAAAGTTCACCTCTTTCGAATTCATTGGTTAACACTCTCAGGGTGGACTTGGTCACCTTTGGAGCAGCACTGCTAACAGGTGCACAAGGCGTCACGATAGGCATGACTGCTTCCTCAAATTCAGGCTGAATACAATGAAGTATGAGCCAGTAGAACCAATACGGATCAGGAGCCATTGTCTTACCAGGATATTGTATATGAGACTTCCTCCATATAATCGGGGTATCGAATCGGTTACTACCACCGGTGTAGGCCAAGGCCAAGTGGCCCACATGCCGAAGAACGAACGTAGCAATCCATAAATAGTCAGGTCTTCTGAATTAGTCGAGCTCACCAGGTATGTTTTCAGGAGCAGGATTGTCCATGAACTGCCGTTCAAGTATCCCATAGGTTTTCCGTAAATCAATCGATTCTGCGCCCAAAACTTGATGCATTGAAGAGCATGGCGAAAGACAGCCGAATGCCGCAGATCAATGCGCTGCTGAATGAAACGGTGGCAGCGAGGTCCTAGTATCAATCGGACATAATGAGCCCAAACGTCCGAGTAAACCAATCCCATTGGCCGAATCCCATTTGGAAAAAAGAAAGGTCGCCATTCATTTTTCCACCCTTCATCGCTATACATTTGGGCTAGTGATAACATACCATCCATACTGGCCAGGCAGATCTCATCCAGGTCCCTCATCAAGTTATCATCCAATAGATCAATAGAAGGCGGTACGGTGTTGAGTTTCAGTCGCACAAAGGAAATGTCAATCTGCAAGACGCATGAGCATATTGAAACAAGATATTGAGGTTTGATTGTCTCATATTAGCAGTTCGACGCTTACATCGATGGAATCCACGGTGCATTTGATAATGGGCACAGTAGTTCGTTGGATAACCTGATCATGGCAAAGCAAGGTCAATGTTCCGCACCAGACGATGGACTTTTCTCTGTCCAAAAAAAAAGAAAAGCTTACCTACATCGATATCATGTATTGTTGGTTGTTTGCGTAAGAGGGTAGGGAAGATGTTGAAGAAGTCACGGCGTCGAACCGGCGATGGAGCGAGGAATACGAGATCCATATCGGCATTGGCAAGATGAGCGCCCAACCCCACCGAACCGAATGGCATGAGCTGACACTGGAATTCGTGTTTTAGGTCACGATCCTTGGCCACCCATCGCATGAGTGGCGCGATAAGTGAGCGTAGCAAATTGAGAACCGCGGCCCTGTTGTCAACATTAAACAGGGTTAGAGGAACGATCTATTGCGGTAAACTTGAACGGGACTTGCCTCCTTCGAGATTCCATAGGCCCATCGATAATATGTTCAGATACTAGATAGTCCAGCCACGCATTATCAGAGCCTTCAGAATGCATGTTGGAGCATTGGTCGAAACAAACGCACAGTTTATTGAAAAAGCTTGGATAAAATAGACAAAGTCAAATTTTAAAAAGTAGGTCACACAAGAATTTCAAATTATCCAAAATGGCAGCGAAATCCAAAGGAAAAAAAAGACATAAAAGGTGGGCTCATTAGACAAACGAGCTACCCCTCCTTTGTTTTCACTGTATTTTTACCACATTGTGGAAGACCCCACCACACATCAACATGGCATGGGCCTGGCTTGTGATATTTACTATCGATAGCACATCTCGGATAAATGGTTCGGCATAACGTTTGAAAGCAAAGTAGTTGAGCACAATTTATTCAGAAAAAGAAAAAGTTTGGAGCGTCTATAAAAAAAGGTCCTGTGCGCAAGTTATGTGGAGGTTTTAGGTAGTTGATACTTGTGACCATCCTGAATATACGTTCAGGTGCTTGAAGCAAATGTGATAAAAAAAAAAGCAATAGTACTCAACGAGTGTGGGAAGCAGTTGGTTACAATAGGTAGTTCGATGGGGAAAAATGGATAAGGAGCACGGTATTTTATGGACACGCAAAGAGGCGATATTGCCTGAAAACTGTTCCTGATAGCAACATAAAGACTTCTTCTTCTCTATCGTCTAATGAATTATGTGATATATGAGAGAATTTAAACAAAAGAGACAATGAGATCCTTTGAGACTGTTGGATGGTTTTATTTGTATTAATGTGATCTGCCTATTTATACTTTAGTCTCGAGTCGGAATTAATAATTGTCAGTGAGCAGTCCTCGGTTATATGGTGTATTAAGAAGGATCCACATGCTGTGATGTGACAGCTTTACCCATATGGATTGATCTCGGCGATAGATCCAAGTTATGGATGAAGAGGCTCAATCGGTGTTCTAATGAAGAAGCTCACTCAGAATGGAAACACGTCTAGATCCCGATCTTTCCTGTTTGGGAACACCAGTCTAGGATGGATAATACGACAAGTAGTGGATATACCACAAATAAAGCGAGACAAAAAACATCATGTCTCTTCCGTTCTTACGTTATGCTGGATTATCCATAGATAAGAGAATGTGGCATTTTTGCGTGAAAAATAGGGTGTTAGGTACGTTAAGATCGATCGGGATATGTCTATGCATATGTTGTTTCCTGTCCCAGGCTACAACTGTCCGATTTATTGAGACATTAGGTGTAGGAAGGTAATATATAGTACTCACATAAAGAGCGGGACACCAAGTTGATCTGATGTTAGAAAAAGGTGGGTTCTTTACCCAGAAGTTAAACTTTGACGGCTGCATAAAACTGATCACAGATCTGTTGATGATATGAATATTTTTAATAGAGAGCTATCTGATAACTGTATCCACCTTTGCTTGAACGAGTGTTCGGTACTATTGAAACCAAACAGCAAGTACCTCATTATCATAATTGTTCATTTTCTTTGTTTTTTGTAAGAGGAAGTGTTGTGTTGTGTTGTGATTTTTTTCTTTCAAGGAGACTTTGCAAGACAAGCAATGGAGTGGGAAAATCAGAAAAGGGGAAAAATAGCCACCACACCTTTTCTGATTCTGTTTGTCGGCTGTCTCAGGCCGTCCATCAAGCCTATCCTAAAAATAAACAGGGGGATTGATCATTAACCGAATTTTTTCTCGTGACAAAAATAAAGATCTCGACAAGATAAAGGAAAAAAAAAGACGGAAATTCAGGGCTGAAAGATAGGGACGATTTTTTTTTTCTTTGGTGTTCGATGGTTGCATTTGAGAGTTTGCTCTGCACCAATGAAATACCATCGTTTAAGCGGGAACGCACGGATGCATGCATTGTTGTCGCCTCCTTTGCCCTTGATTCTAAGAATCTTACCCCCGAGAAGTCGAATTCATCCTTGCATCTGATAAAACAACGGACTATTTTTTCCTGGATTTTGTAGCATTGAAAGCTAAACCCTCGTTTTCTTCCTCGGGATGACGTGAAGGAAAATAAAAAAGATTGCATTTATTATCAAATATTACCAGAATGAATTGAACGTTATAAAACGTCTTTTATGTAAACAGGAGCTCATTATATTGTAGCAGAGACTAGAAAAGAAAAATTATGGAATACAAATTATCCAATGACCTTTAAAGCATGGCAGCAGCAGCAACACCGGCAACCATGAGGGCGCCCACGGCATTCGCGGTGGTCTTCAAGCCGGCATTGTTCTGGGGAGCAGGGCTGCTGGAAGAAGAGGGCACAGCGGGAGAGTTGGAGATGGAAGCGGCTTGGTTCTGGTTGGGGGTCTGGTTCTGGTTCTGGTTTTGGTTCTGGTTCTGGTTATCAGGCTGCTGGCTGGGAACTTGAGCAGAGGAGGAAGAAGCGGCAGAAGGAGCAGCAGAAGAAGAAGCAGAGGCAGAGTTGTCACTGGAACCAGAGCTGGAAGCTATTGAATAACAAACATGTCAGTCAAAATCACAAAAACGAATGGAGGATTACCATAGAAACGGCATTTCCCATTTCCTGTTTCTCCTTTTTGTTTCTGTGAGATTTCAACTTACCAGGAGCAGAACCATCGGCAGCTTGGATAGTGAAGTGACCAGTGAAGCTCAAGTTGGGGGAGGTACCCAATTCGAAAGCGTCTAGATGATGACAAAATGTGTGTCAGTCAAGCACGTCAATGCAATTCAAAATAGATCATCAAGTCAAAACTTACAGTCAGAGCCGGGTTGAACATCACTGGGAATGTTCCAGGTGTAGGAGCGGGAGTGAGCATCCACGTTCTGGGCAACAGTGGCAACAAACTGAAGAGTAGTGGGAGGACCCTTGGCCAAGACAATTTGAGAAATGGTATCAACCTTTTCATCGATCCTGTAAAGAAGTATCATGTCCGATAAGTGCACTGTTGTTTTGACAAATGCCTTTTTCTCTCTTCAATTGCAGAGAAAAAGGCAAACAACAACAAAAAAACATACCAGGTAATGGTGGCGGTCTTGCCAGCGGTGTAGACGGTGCCTGTCAAAGGAGAGGTGATGCTCACGATGTTCACTTGAGCAGAGACGATGGAAACGGCAAGAGCCAACACAGCAAAGATGGACTTCATTTTTTAGTGTGTATGAAGGGGGAAAAATGAAAAAGACGAAGAAGAGGAAGGTAGGAAGAGAAAAAAAAATTTGTCACGCCTTTAAAGTTTGGATTCCTGAACCGAGACGGCGGTTCGAAACCAAAAATCTTTTTATAGCTTGAACACGCTGGATAAAAATTCAATAATAAAAAAAAAAACTGAAACCGTCTATCAGAAACCTAGCAGTTTTCAACAGCAACGGAAATCCTTTTTCTTTTGAGCGACGTGGATTTGGAATAATAAAGAAATAGGAGAGCATCCTTTTTCAATGATGTTACAACCAGGAGCAACAAAATAATCTCTTCATCTCTCATCTCGCTATTAAGTTTTTTCGGTTCACTTTAAAAAGTTACGGCTATAAAGGGATACAAGAAATCACTACATGTCTCTCATGAGCGCCGTATCCTCAATATGCGTCTCATCATCTGACTCTTTTGGTCGCGTTGATTTCTGCGCGGCGCCAAGCAACCCATGGTTGCACAGGGGCCTCCTTCTCCGAATCTATCACGTCCCTCTTCATGCGTACAACCTACTTTGAAAAGAATAATGACGAAAGAAGTGGAAAGAACTTTTTGGCTTTTTTTAATTCAACTGATAAACTATTATTCGATTTACTTAGACCCCTGAAATTGCAAGCAAATAATGGCAACAGTTGGCCTCTACCACGTCATGCAACATGACGGATATACTTTTTCTTTTTTACGGGCTTTGATCAAAATATTTGTTTCAGGAAAAGAGATAAAGAAGGCACAAGCCATAGAAAAAAATAACCCAGCCATTTGAAAATCCGCGTCTGAAACCATATGGGCATCGCCGTTCCAAAGAGCAAATTTTCATGTGGCGTTCGTCGCGATGTTCATTTTGAACCTGCCCGAACGCTTTGCGGGTCTATTCCAAGGTAAACATTGCGTCTATCTATCAACAAGTGCACCAGTAATCATCTTTTTACACGTGTGTGATCAATTGGATTTGTAACCGTTACTGCACGTCAAGACGTTGTCTGAAAAGGGAATAACTGTCATCAATGTGACCGAAACGCCATTTGTGCTACCTTGCGCTTTAGGATAGAAGTTTTCCAGGCAGCGAATTCTTACACTTGGTTTCCGTCATCTTGGTCAAATCCGTTTCCCATTTCTGGATGATTCTTTTCCTCGATGGAAAAATTAGATAAGCGCCCAATGAGAAATTTAATATACGCCAACCATTCTATGCCCCGTTGCAGATTGTTATTCATTGGCAGAATCTCAACTCGCGATATTTTTAACTGCATTGATTATTCTCACATTTCTGCACAGAATGAACAGCCCGTTGTGATTCTCAAAAGACAGTTTCGGTTTTTGTTTCCGAACCATGTCGATGCAAATTGGAACCGTTACGGTTGCCAAGCACGGTGGCAGCCTTCTTTCCATATCCCAATACGTTGACGGTCCCCTATCTAGCGAATGATGATGACATGTCCTGCAAATGATCATTCGATATCAAAAATAGATTAGCGCAGCGGAAGATTCGCCATATCCTCGATATCGCCATCACAATGATCGTTTCCATGTTAATTTATCACACATTACATGAAGTCACGGTAAAATGACCCTTCTATTTTCCACAACATTAGATGCCGATTTCACATGGAGCATGTGGAGAAAAAATAGAGAAGCACGGACGTACGAGATCAATGAAAGTTAATATTGACCAGAAGCCTGCAAAGAAAGAATGCCCGGAAAAGGTATATTGCATGCTGGGAAAATTTTCAGCTAGCGTTCATACATTGAGTGTAATAGTAAAACCGTGAGCTTAAAAAAAATACGGGAAATGTTTTATTGCTTCCACAAGCAATCGTCAATGGTAATAAAAATAACCATGAAGTAGCGCAATGACGAACTAAACCATATTTCGATTATTCATTTAGATGCTTGCGACAACAGAATGAAGCGGGATAAAACTTGCTGCTGAAAAAAATCGGACTTTCTATTTTCCTATATATCATTGTAGGTGCCAGCGGTCAATCGCGATAGGAGAAACCCTTGTTTAACCACATTGATGAATCGGTAACCCATCCTCGCGTAAGAATCAGCAAGCTCACTTCCAAATGCATATGCTTACCTGTCCAAATGCTGCCTTTCAATTGCATTGAGGTGTGTGCGATAAGATGGTTACACACTGTCATTTGACCATTGTCACGGGCGACATGATATAATCCTTACTGTATGTTTTCCGTTAGCCGCCGCCATAGAAGAAGACGGGGGTGTTGTTCCGTCAGACAAGAAAAAATACCGGGTTACACGAGATTTCTCCGCATATTGTCAAGAATGGCATGGAACAAAAATTCCACTCTTCCAAAACGAGAACTTTTCTTCATACTTCCATTTGTGTAACACCAACTCAGGTGCATCTCGATTGTTAAACTTGCTTGATAGATAATGCTGTCAATGTGATCAGAGTTTGATAGACGGTCATCTGAAGTTGACCTGGAAAGTCTTTGAAAGAGTTCCCATTTGCCTCACTGTAGATGCCCGTATCTTGCATCTGAATGCGAGCTCATATTGACAAAAACGGAAAGCAAGCAAACCATTCGGATGGAAATGAAATCAGCGTTCCCAAATAAGATATTCTTGAGGCTTGGCCGGTGGTTTGACCGGGGTAGCGTATGGGACCTGTTCTGAAAAACTACTTTTCCGAGCTTTCTGCGTTTTCTGAACCAGTTTGACAGAGGAGTGTCGTAAGAACAACTCTCAGGCTGGAAGTTGGCTTCCATTGCTTCATCCGATCATGGGGTTTGTCACCCAAACCGTCCTGATGGGCAACTGCTCTATCAAAGCACATTTTAAAACCAATTTCGTCCTGTTACTAGAAGACCATCCAAAGAAAGTCTATTTCATACTTGATAAATGAAAATCTCATCAGAAGATTCTAGGATTCTTTTTACAGCAGGGTTCCAGATGATTCCATTGTATTACTTGGCCATGAGTCCACTCTCGTTGAATAGGCCTGCAATTTAAATCGATCCAAATGAAAACAATTGTATCACTTGGCGATAAACATACTCTATTGAAAAGCATTGAATTCGGTACACATTTTTAATGGAAATCCTGGTGCTTGCTGTTCTTTTGACGCCACTGATGCGAATTCGCCCGGGTTTGTAAAAGGCGAGCACCTGTTGGATGAGCCGTCGGTCAATATATTCTCTGGCTTTTTCCATCTCCATTATTCACATTTACTTTTCACGCTGGCTCTTTGGTTGAGTTTATTACTGCCAGTTTCTCGATGGCTGAAGCCCCTAGTGAACTTGGTCTGATCAGCTAAAAAAGTTAGCGCGGATTTGATGATGAATAGTCATCGCTCATTGGTGGGATGTGACTGCAATCTGTCCAGTGCTTTATGGGGATAGTCAATTGCTTGAAGAGCCAGAACTGCGCAGTCTGCACCTTATCGTGAACACAATGGTGACAACACGATCGGCAACAGAAACTAGCCGCAACTCCCATTATCGAGCCTTCGCATCTTCGTCAAGAGCCGAAATTGGCTCCCATGCCCCGAACACGCCGCCTTCTAATGTACCAAGGCCGGGAGCGATAAGCAATCCTTTTGCCCCAAGCCCAGGAAGGCTAAGCGATCCTTTGGCCCCGAAGCTGCCTCGCTGGTCACACGTTAGAACACGATATAGGACTAGTAAAATTACATTCATACAAGTAGTGTAATCAAGTTTGTTAACTCTTTTTCTTTTAGGTACTCGACGAATTTTCCAGCTTGACGAGAGCCAAGGTAAATATGACAGACTTGATCGTTGATGTTACTGAAAACTCATATTTGCTTTCAGCAGAGGCCAATACCTCAGCGAAAGTACGAAAAGGAAAAGGTATTTCTGAGACTGTGTGAGTATATAAGAGCTTGAGCTCACATTTTTTCCCCATCATTGCAATAGGCAAACAAAAGGCCGTTTCGAAAGGCATCACCAAGAAGCAGACGAAAGCAGAAAAAGCCAAAGGTAATTGCTCATCATTCGTAATGACGTTCGCAATTGAAGATTGACACATATTGTAGCTTCTCAAATTCCGCAACTGCAAAAGCAAGAGAGGGCCAAAAAGCTCCAAGCAATTAAGGCCAAGCGCAAGGCCAAACAACAAAAAAATGATACCAAAGCCAAGGGCACCAGTAAGGCCAAACAACAGAAAACCGATACCAAAACCAAGGGCACCGGTAAGGCCAAAAAGAAGCAAAAGAAAACCAATACCCCTCAACAACGAAAGGTAATCAGTTAGCTTGTCGATCACAAAAACGTTCGTCGTGCATGTCTAACGCATATATATCGTAGAACCGCAAGGCTAATGCTCGTCAAGCAGCTTCCGATGACTCTGACAGTGGTAAGTATTTTCTCAGATTCGGGACAGCTATAGGAAAACAAGCTCACACCGTCCCCACATAGATGAGTATTTCTCTGCCGACGACAATCCAGCTTTCCTTCTTGGACCCAAGCGACACAAAACTGTTGCTCATTTGGGCATGCCAAGCGACAGGATGGCGGCTTCCTCGACCTTTCAAGCTCCAATGCTTGCTGGTCTCGGCGAATCTGATCTCGGCGAATCCGATCTCAGTGATATGAGCGTGGATATGGGTCGCATGCATGTTACTGTCGATGGACAGCCTCTTAGTACTGCAGCCACGGAGACCACCGTTGGTTCAGATACTTTGCCCTTCGTCTTGGATGCCGAACCAAGTGAAGTTGACTACGTCGAGACTAGGAGGGACATCTTGCCTCGACGACGTGGTGGTCGAAGAGGCCGAAATAAGAGGGTCATTCGCGGTGATGATCTGATTATTGATGATAGTCAAGATGATGTGAATGACGAGCAAAGGGCCCTGGAAGAAGATTACATGATGCATGCTGAAGGTGATATCGATGGGTATCAGACCTTGTCACTGGATAGAGATCCGATAGAGTATGACATTCCCATGTCTGCTTTATTGGATCCGTCTATTCCACAGTATGACCGATTCCATGAACTTCTGCCCGCTCATGTCTACACAGATGAAGACCCGTCAGCTCGATCTGCGGGTTTTCTTCCATTGACTCATCTCAATAACGCGTCCTCTAGTACTTTTTCGACAAATGGTTCCGGCCGGGGTATAAAAGACACGTGTTTCAATTGGACATACCAAGACTGAACCAATCTTTTATTTTCTTCTTAGATTTGCGACGAAAGATGATATTGCCACCATCAATGAAAAAATCCTACTATGTGCCTTACAACTTTGGTTCTAGTGACCTAGAATACAACATTGAAAAGTAAGTGTACGAGCTAAGTCTACGGCATATTCAGGTGTTGTATTCACTGGGAGTCTTTAGGAACATTCGTCATTTCATTACCGAAGGCATCACTACACGGTTTGTTTGCAGTGAAACCTTTGCCGCGTGTTCCGAGATTTACTGGCTTTTTTTTATTTTTTTTATTTAGCCTGCTACTTCCCGAAATGCCCAAGAAGCACATGGAGATCGCAAGGAAGTTTATCAAAAAGTATAAATTGCTTTTGCAAGATGGAGCCAAAGGGTGAGTTTATGGTTTGTTTGCTGAAACAAAGATCGATTGACGAACTTTAGCATTTGAATATATAGAATGAAATTTGTACGCATCACCGCCGCCACTTTGGCATTGAATCTAACCAAGTCGAGCGTTACAAAGAAGCGCGTCAAGCCCGCACGTAAACCCCGTGTACGAAAATGGCAATACGCTCAAGAATCCGGCTCTATCATGACCCATCCAGAATCGAAACCCGTCCCTGGAACCATCGTAGGCTCCGATGCTCTACCTATTGGACAAACTAATTTGGGCCATCGTATGCTATCAGCTATGGGGTAAGTAAATACATTTCAAAATATGGCCAACGTACGAACGTACTGAATGTGTTCCTGAATATCTTTAGATGGCGAGAAGGAGATACCCTGGGAACGACCAATACCGGCATTACCGCGCCTGTGGAAGCCATTGTCCGAAGCAAGAACCTTGGTTTAGGCGCTTAAATCCCAACATATGAAATCGGAAAAAAGCAAATTAGGCTAGCCGCCTAAAAAATTGGTATATGAATTTATTGTAGAATAACACTCAGATGACGATGGTGGAACCGGGAGCAAAAAGCATCATGTTACCCTTTGTCCGTTCCTGAAGCAAAATATGAAAAGGCCTCGCAGTAGCCTTGACACATGATAAAAAGATCTGTAATAAAAATATGAAAAATTTGTAGCTATCAATTGTACCATGGCTGAAATAGTGAAATAAAGAACTGTAGCATTGCAGCCATATCGAATTCTTCCTTTGAGAAAATAAACGTTTCATGATCTTAAAAAAATCAGCATGTTTACTGCTGTGAATTTTTCCCACAATAAGTTTGGGTCTATGGCAACAACAATTACTATCCCGAAACTGAAAAATAAGCTACCATTAGAGCGATCCTTTAGGTATTTAGCAGCCATATGAGAAGATTTTGAGTTCAGAAACTAATGCCTCACACTCAAATTGAAAACAGAAAATTTAAAGAGAGCGGGATGAAGTCCGTATACAAAAGATTTCCAAAACGAAGACCTGTGCCATTCTATTAACATTATGGAAATCTTTTTTTCTTCAATCTAGCGTAACTGAAAAAGAAATGGGTAACAATAGTAAACATACAAAACCTAATAGAATTGCTTTGACAACTATGCAAGCTTGCAATAAAGCAAAGAAACGAGATGAATCCAGTGGTGAGATGAGGGGTGCCAAAATGGAAAATTCTGAGGTTGAATCCTCAGTACGATTTTTTCGTCTGTGACGTCGTTCATAATCACCGGCTGTCGTTGGTTTCTCAGCTGTAGGAAACTCGGTTTCTTTTTTTTTCTTTCGTCTCTTTATTTTTCCTTTTTTTGGTCTTCTTCGTGTACACCATGTCTACAAAAGAGACGCCTGTCGACCCCAAGCCTGAGCAGGAAAAGGTAGGAGTATATTTCTCAGAAAACACATATACTGTAGAGTTATTGTCTTAGCGTTTTACTGCTTCTTTTTTTCTTTTTCCCTCTGCTCCCACGCTATTTAGGATAATAAGCCGACGAAGCCTGCAGAAAAAGAGAATGCGGAATCGAAGGTGGTGAATCCTGATGATCTCATCGACGTGCATACATTTGATCAGCTTTTGGACATGGATGACGAGGACGATCACGAATTTTCATACAGCATTGTCGTGAATTACTTTGAACAAGCCGAGGCAACATTTGACGATATGGATTCCGCACTGTAAGTATTCCCTTAGCGTGGCGCCTTTTTACACCGAGAACTCAAGAGAGGAACCTCCGATTGTGGAAAAAGAAAGGGAGTGCATAGGAGCTGCAAAATAGAAAAGAATAAGGGTCATGGGTGGAAGAAAAAGGAAAAGAACAGAACAGATCTTTAATGATTATTAACCACATCTTTTTTTTTTTTCGTCTCTTAGAGAGAAGAAAGATCTTCCTGAACTTTCTCGACTGGGGCATTTTCTCAAGGGAAGTTCTGCGGCCATCGGTTTGAAAAAGGTCAAGGCGACCTGTGAAAAGATTCAGAACATCGGCAATTGTCAAGATGACACAGGCAACGGTCAGTTGGACAAAGAGGATGCTTTGGAGAAGATCACGCCTTTGCTTCCCCAAGTAAAGGAAGAATATGCTGAGGCGAAGGAATATTTGGAGAACTTCTATGACGTCCAGGAAGCCCGATAATGTAGTGACGATACAGAAACAAAGAAAGAAAGAAAGAAAACATTACATATATACACACAACCCAACTGAAAAAAAAGGTTCAAAAAATACAATCATCGTCTTCGCTTCGAACTAACAGATGTGGGTGGATAACAGCAAAACATGAAAGATCATCCCTAGGAACTCGACAACGGCTCATTCTATGCGCTTAGTTTATTTTTCTCCCCTTTTTATCCGTTATTCTGCATGATAAGAGCCTGATTTGCTTTTACAAATAAGAAAGTCTTCCATTTTGTGTTCTTTTTTTTTTCTTTTTTTTTTTTTTTTCGTTCAAATCACCCATAAAATCTCCAACAACAGGTTCCCAACCCAAAATCCATTTGGATTGCTTTGTGTGACATGACATCATTGATAAAAATACACTAATCCAAATAAGGATAATTACCATTCTTCTTTTCCCTTCTCGTATGCACCAAAAAGACAGAAAATCTTATTCTTTTTTGTTCTTCAGCTTGCTTTGGGTAGAAATTTGATGGTGAAAAACACCAGGAAGAACATCACACATACAAATAATACAACCCCAAACGTCATGAAACTTGTTCCCCAGGATTTCGAGTAATGTTCATCCAACCGTTGGCGTTCTTTACGCATTCGCTCCAAATTGGTTTCCACTGCATCTTGCGCGTCGCGTAGTACTCGATCATCTTTAGCTAAAATATCACCAAATGATTGGGTATTGAATTTCAGCTGTTTAGCCATGGTAGTCAGTTCAGTAGTTAACTCGTCGTGCATCTGCCGATGATGTTGTAACACGTGTTCAATATTCGCTGTTTCTTCGCGATCACCTTCCTCGGTGTCAGCCGTTCCTGATGGTTGTCTATCTCGTGTTTGAAACCTTCGCCGTAATCGTTGTGCTTCCTCTTCATTATCCATTTTCGTATTCTCCTTTTTAGCTTCATTCAATGCTTTTTCCTCGAGAGCCTTCTCCTCTGCTTCACTTTCTTCTTCGTCTGCTTGGGTAGAAGTAGGTTGACCTTGATCTTGGCTACTTTGCACCCAGTCGGGTTCGGGTTTGTGTTGCTGCTTCAACCAGTCCATATGCCTTGCCTTTGTCAGCTGAGCTTCAGGAATTCCTTTAGCGACATCTAAGTTCTATTATAATCAAATGGTTATTTTTTAAGCTTTTTTCAAAACGTTTAGCGCCACTCGTGGGCTCGACTATACCATAGTGTAAGGCGCCGTGGACCGCGTCAGTGCTGCGATGCGCTCATCGTAGTTGATCCTACAGAAAAAATTATAGCAGCAATAATAAGTATGTAATCTCCATGGTTAGCATTGAATTCGTACTTGGATCGATCACGAGTTCTTTCTTGAAGTATTCGTAAATAGTGAACATACTAAAAGGCGTCAAGTTAGCAGCTTGCCAGAATCGGGGGCCGGGGAATTGAATGCTTACTGTGGCAAATTTTTGTTTTTCCGAACCAGTCCATGTTTCCAGTTTTTCATTTTTTAGCTTTTCTTCGCAGCTAAACAGTAATCGTTGCAGGTTAATCTCGTCTGTGGTATAGGCCATTTTGCTTGATGTAGTAAAAAAAAAAAAAACCGTAGGCATGCGGCATCCAGAAATGATCCACCCACAACCAACCAATCATTTTCAGCGAGGAGGAGATTGAAAAATTCATCACTTGTATGCTCACGATGAAGCTATCCTTGGAGATCTTTATCAGACGGACAATATTTATGATACACCCATTTCCGAATAATCCTTTAATCGCAAGAGAAATTAGATGCCAAAACTAGACTTTTCTGCATACAGTAATGTCTCTTAGTTTTGTATATAAATGATGGTTTGCATCCTCCTTGAGCTCGTCTACATCAGCGATTTTTTACGGGTCCCCCTACCACATGAAACGCGTCTTTATGTTTCTAGTAAGTTGTATGCTGTCATCCAAGTATTCTATAGAAATAAATATCGCACATATGCATCAAGCAATGGTTGTAAAGGTTGTATATGTTTAGGCATGATCTTCAACTTGATGATTTTCTAGGCAGATGATACAGTTTGAGCAAATTGTTCTACGGCGCCGGCCAAACGAGCCAACCCCTTTTCAGCTTCTTCTTCGGTGAGAACCAGAGGAGGAATGACACGCAAAGTGTTGCAGCTGGCAGTCACCACGAGCAAGCCACGTTCGCGAGCCATCTTCACAAGTGGGGCAGGATCTTGAGTGAACTCCATGCCGAGCAATAAACCTTTGCCACGAATCTCTTTGATCAGATCGGGATGTTTGGCCTGAATTGCTTTGAGACCGGACTTTAACGCGTCGCCCTTTTCTCGGACCATTTTCAAAAATGCATCATCACTGATACGGTCAAATACGTGACAGGCCACAGCCGTGGCAAGAGGGTTACCGCCAAAAGTGGTTCCGTGATCACCTACAGATTAAGATATCTTTTTAAATTTTTCCCTTCTCTTTCAATACGTGTATTTTCAAATGATGCTTACCCAATTTGATCATATCTCCAACCTTCTCGTTAGTCAGCGCAGCGCCAATAGGAACACCGTTAGCCAAAGGCTTGGCCAATGTCAAGATATCGGGCTGGCAGTTAAAGTGTTGATGACCCCATAATTTGCCCGTACGTCCCAAACCACACTACAGCCATCCATATTTAGTTATCAAATATCACCAAAAAAATAGTGCACAAAGATACTGTACCTGAATTTCATCGAAAATCAATACAGCATTGGTTTCGTCACAACGTTTGCGCAACGCCTCCAAGAACTCTTGAGATGCATCATGAACACCGCCTTCACCTTGGATCGGTTCAACAATGACACCGCACGTCTTATCGGTGATGGCAGCCACCGCCTTCTCGACGTCATTGAAAGGTACTGTAACAAATCCGGGAAGCAACGGTGCAAATGGTTTCTGGTACTTTGGATTGTAAGTGGCTGACAAGGCTCCCATGGAACGACCGTGGAATGCGTTGGTAAAGCAAACAATTTCATATTTATCATCGCCAGCAACGTGCTTGCCCCATTTACGAGCAAATTTGAGAGCAGCTTCATTGGCCTCGGTACCTGAGTTTGCCAAGAACACCTTGTTGGCCCACGCACCTCCGTGGTCATGGGTTTTGTTGATCAGTTTGTCTGCCAATTCACCGGCATTTTCGTTGTGATATAGGTTACTGATGTGGACTAATTTGCTGGCTTGTTCTGTCAACACCTTGGTGACGCCAGGATCAGCGTGACCCAACGCTACTACGGCAATACCGGCCGTAAAATCGATGTATTCACGTCCGTTGGTATCGTACAAGCTACTGCCTTTGCCCTTGCTAATGACAATGTTAGGACGACCGTAAGTTGTGATGGTATGCTGATTGTATCGGTTAACAGCGTCGAGAGTTTTTTGTGGGACATCATCGTCGGGATGAGTGATCTACGTTTAACAATCTTAGGCATCATGCTTTGTCTGCTCCAATCATGGTCAACATAAAAATGGAACGCCTATTTACTTCAGTGACAGCTCGAGGAAGAGTGCTGAATGGACGAGCCTACAATAACCGGGGAAACCGTTCGTTTGTTAGTGGCTCGGTTTGCTTGCTGTCAACCACAATGTTTATGCGATATAACACATACCGCAAGCGGCACGAGTTTCGAAACTGAATAGGACGACGCTCGCTGACCAAGCTTAGATGTAGTACGACCGAGGAATTGCATGCCGAGAAAGTAGTATAAAGGTGCACGCTTCCGAGTTCGATGATCGAGTATTTTTAACTGCAGTTTCGGGATATGAAAAATAGATGATGCGAGTTGAGTCAAAGCTGGGGAAAAAAAAAAAGATCCAGTCGAAAAAAAAAATTTCTCGCCTTTTTTTTCCCCCTTTCTACGACACCATCTAAATCAAAGGGAAGGCTCTTTTAATCGACACGATTTCTTAGAAAATGACATCCAAATGGATAGTCATATACTTGGATGCATTGAAATAACCTGTTTTATTTTTCATCTGAGAGGCGTGTTATTTTACACAGACAAGGTTACTGTATATTTGATAGCCCAACATGCGATGAGCGAAATCGTTTTGATCATTTTTCTATTATGAAGCGGTCACTATTGGGATTACAATGCTCAGGCCGGATTCGTCATTCTTCTGTCAGCTATCAGAGAGAATAGCTTCAACATAAGGCTCGGCTGTTTTTGTCTTTATAATATTACCACTCCATTTTTGTGTCTAACATATCATGGTGGACCACCACAGCGACATAATGTGAAATATTGATATGTAATACATTGAGATACAGGTGATAGCAAGTATCTAGGTTTGTTTTATTCAGGAAAATGTAGAAAGTAGCAATGTGATGGAATCAAAATTAGGGTGGGTGATCAGAAGTATGTAAACGTAAAGTATAAACTTATTAAGTATGGTGTGACTGATTAAGTTTGATCTCTGTGGTTGTTCATGTTGAGCTTACGTATCTTTTGAGCCTGAAATGGGTCTGTGAGCTTACCTAATTGTTGTGAGTACGCATTGAGTGCTTTTGCAGTTGTTTCCATATCGATGGTTTGTTGATTGATATCATCGACTTGACGCATAAATGTTGCAAAATCCGCATCTATTCCAGGGGTCAGCCGACTCATATTATCCTCTGTGAGGCAAAGTACAACAGTACACTTACATGTATTTTGAAGTTTGGACATTTCTTTCATGAGGCGTTGACTCATTTGGGACATTTGACTGTATTTTTCTCTTGTGCTTGTGTTCATTGTTTCGAGTAATTGGCAATCCTCCATTGTCACTATAAACTGTGCATTAGTTTCATATAATTCTATAGCCTTTGTCAATGTCAAGGATTTTCTCACATAGAAGCTCTGCACGTGTATACTCTGCTAGTTTACGAAAAGCTTCTTCTGATAAACGTGTGATATATTCTTCATTGAGCATTTTGGCTGCTTCATCTGGATTAAGGCCTGGAATCGTGGTGTTCCGTGACCTTAACAAGCCTGAAGTTACTGAAGGCATTGTATCGTTGATGACGGATGTTGTCGATGGGGTTGCTTGTGGTTGAGGTGCGTCGGTCATGTGGGGGCAGAAAACTCTGGAGGGGTCGTTTGCAGAATTTTTTGTTCTTTTGCTTCATTTCGTTTGACTCTCCGCAACGATGGTTCTGTCGGGAAATCAAAAAACGTCTCATGACAAAGCTTCCATGGCGTAACTGTTGGCGTCATGGCCAAAGATCGATCGATACGATCACAGAGTCGTTCGAACGCAATTTCAATGGTGAGAGCGTATTATATATTGGGATTTTGCGCCACAAAACTTGCATTGACGTATCATGACAGTTGTTACATTGCTACAGATCCTGCACACAGGGGGTGATTTGAGCGTCAGACCAGCCACTATCGAATGCCTGTGCAGCAATGCGTACTTTTCAGTCCGTATATCAGGAAAGCTGCATAATAATCGCTCTAAAATAAGAAGGAACCATTGTGGACCATTTTTCTGCTGCTTTTAATCGGCTACCTTGGTTCCATATGAAGGAGATAGGACATCTAGAAGTGAAAGATGAACCTGTCAACTTAAACCGGTGGTGTCCGCTTAATCTCACTGGATAATGAAAAAAGTGCTTTGGTTCTTATCAGAAAATGGGTAAATGCGCTAAAAATGAGTCGTTAGTGCAATTCAAATTTTTATTTCTGCTTACTTTGTTTAGCATTATTGAGACGCTAGTCAGTCTAAAGGGAAAGTCGTTCACCATTTCATGATAGCTTCGCTGAACAGTGAGTCCTGCATCAGCAGTCATTGGCGTTTTTCAAGGGGACGGTGTTTCAAAACAAGACTAATCTTGCGGTTTCGCGGGTGTTGGGTTCATTGGAACTATTTCGACTTCCGACATCACTGCGAAAAAAAAAGGGAACAGAAAATTTTCAACTGTTCTCCATCTTTCCTGCAAAACCACCGATGGCTCCAAAAACAAGCAAATATATTGACGACAACAGCGACGAAGAAGACTATAAAGTATATATTGCAGCGCCCTTACACTTGTTTTATTTCTATCGGACGTCTTATGGTTTTGCTTGTAGCCTGGCAAAGACGTAAAAGAAGAGGAAGAAGAGTTTGAAGAAGAAACGGTAATAGTTCGACCCATACAACGTGCGCTGTGCTTACGCGATATATTGATTGGCGATCTTTTTTTCTTCGTATTTTCAGAAGCCAGAGGCCAAACGTCAGAAGCGTAAGAGAGAAGAACCTAACACAACCACTGCTAGCACTGGTAGCACATCGTCAGAAACACCGCGCGACACCCAAGGAAATCAATATTTAGAAGTAACTGTCGGGGTGAAACGAATGTGCCATGTTTGCGATCCTTACTTTAGAACTTTTTGGGTTGTAGTTATCTGCTAAGCGAAGAGTTACCATTCGTGCGTTCAGCTCTGGCGAGCCATCCGTTGATATCAGAGAAGTCTACAGAGATAAAAACACAGGAGAACTGCGTCCAGGCAAAGGTAAGAGCAATTCATCATTTATCTCAAGGATCGAAAGAGAGGAGGATGATGGAGAGAGGCTTATTGAAATTTGATGATATCGTAATACGTTTTTCTTCTCAGGTATATGTCTGCCGATGGCACAATGGAAAAAATTAAAGGAATTGATCCCAGCCATTGATACCGCCATTGAGCGACTCTGAGTCACACTATCTCAAAAAATCGCCATAAAATAAAGCCGCCCTCAAGCTAAAACATTTTTTTTTTGAAGATCTTCTCCCTTGCTTTTAATCTTTCTTTTTAATTTGCCACTACTATGCCTTTCGATTTGACCAAAGTTATCCGCCCCAATATTCTCGCATTGGCTCCTTATCGCTGCGCTCGCGATGATTACAGCAGCGGTATTCTTTTAGATGCCAACGAGAACGCTTATGGACCGTCTTTGCCTGTCGAGCAGGAAGGCAGCCTGAACCGATACCCTGACCCTTACCACGTCAAAGTCAAGGAACGTTTGCTTCAATTGCGTAAAGTTCCTTCCGTAGCCAACTTTTTCTTGGGTGTCGGTTCCGACGAGGTCATCGATCTGGTCATTCGTGTTAGCTGCGTTCCCGGAAAGGACAAGATCCTCATCACTCCACCCACCTACGGCATGTACTCGGTGTGCGCTCAGATCAACGATGCCGGCGTAGTCAAATGCAACCTCGATGTTGAAGAAGGACGATTCCAACTTAAAGTAGACGAGGTAACTAAGTGTAACAACAAAAGGACTGTACAAAGTTCTTGGAATCACTGACTTGGAGAGATCTCTGTGTAGGTATTGGCATCGCTCAAGGCGAATCCCGACGTGAAAGTGGTCTTCCTTTGCTCTCCTGGTAATCCCACCGGTACATGCTTAACACACGACAGTATCCGTGCCGTATTAGAGTCTGGCTTTGAAGGATTGGTTGTCGTCGATGAAGCCTATGTCGATTTCGTTGATCACGCTGAAGGTTCGGTAGCCAGCTGGGTCGAAAAGTATCCCAACTTGCTTGTCATGCAAACATTGAGTAAGAGTTTCGGATTGGCCGGTATTCGGTGAGTAAACATTTGTTATTTTGCACCTACGTACTTTGTCGTTGGCGTGTACTTAGTCATTCCATAGATTAGGCATTGCTATTGGTCAGCCGGATCTCATCCAGATTTTGAACAACACAAAAGCGCCCTATAACATCGGTACTCCCAGCGCTCAGATTGCCCAAGAGGCGTTATCCGAAGCTGGTCTTCAGAAGATGTACGAATATCGATCAGCTTTGATTGATCAACGAAACAAGTTGATTGATAGTCTCGCTTCTTTCCCCGTACCTGGTATCGGTCGTATTTTGGGAGGCAACGATGCCAACTTTGTGCTTGTACAAATCCTCAACGCCGAAAACCAGCCCTGCAATGAGAGATCCGAAAAAGTTTACAAGCTGTTGGCCGAAAGCAAAGACGTTGTGGTTCGTTTCCGTGGCAAGGAACCCGGTTGCACAGGTTGTCTGAGAATCACCGTCGGCACACCAGAGGAAAACGCCACGCTTCTTGCCAGATTACAAGAAGTCTTGACCATTGTTTAAACCATGCTTTCCCATTTCCGCTCCCTTATTCTTTGACACTCTTATAGAATATGAGACCTCTCACGAAGAAATTATAAACCTCCATTACGCACTGTTTGTGCACCATGTCAACTATGATATAGTGTATTGTTGGGTCCCACTTTTTGTCCGTACAATGTGGCGGTGCTTTTGGATTCAGGTCAGCAAGATATGTTGTTTGAAAGGATCAGATAATTGTATTGCATTTGGATACATAGAATAACATGAGTAATTATGATGCGGAAAGAATGAGATGGATGACAAGAGAAAAATCGTTATGAAAAATGAATATTAGCATGATTGAACGCCAGCAGCATCCTAAGCCAAAAGGTGAGTAGATCGTATTACAGATGATGCATGAATTTCAGGATGCTTACTTTAAGAAATCGTCCAAATCACATTTTGCTGCACGCTTGTCTGCCATGCTCACCGAATCCAAAATTCCCAACACTTTGGTTTTGATATCGAAATCAGGTTCCACCATCTACAAAATTGGAAACCCAATGTCAGTGTCCATTACCAAGACTTCTTTGTCCTGACTTTTTCTTAAAACGTACCATTTCATGGGCAGAGCAATACGTCTTGTAGTTCTGTTCCAGCATGTTCATCACTGTTGTTTGCTTGAAATTTGCTGCAATAGTCTACAGACAAGAGCGTAACGAGTCAGTAAGACCTGCCATGCAGACTTGTGAAGCTGCTCCTATTACCTTGTGTTTTCTCGTAAACAAAATACGCAAAAGACCATCAAACTCTTTTGCATCGACGGGTGGCGGTGGATTCTTGGGTTCAAGACGGACAACGGACGACTCCACCTGTGGAGGAGGTCGAAAGTTATTCTTTCCCACCTTCATGACGTGATCAACTTTGGCATAGAGTTGCACATTCACAGACAAACGGCAGTAGAGTTCATCACCAGGCTTCGCCACGAGACGTAACGCAAATTCACGCTGAAACATGAGAATAGCACATCTAAAGAAAAATACCACCTATTGTCAGCCGCAGGATAACGTTTACAATGTGTAACAGGATCGACTTACCGAAACAGAGGACGATGTTCGAGCAACTTGAACACCAAGGGTGATGAAATTTGATAGGGGGTATTACTGATACAAACGTCAAAGTACGGAAGTTCGGTCTTCATGAAATCGCCAAGCATAATATGCAATTTACGTTGTTCAGGACTAGCCACATAATGTTAATACCCAATAGTCAGGCTCTACTAGATAAAGAATTCCTTACGTTCCATGCACACGTTTCTGTAATTCGGCAGCCAGTCTGGGATCCATTTCAACAGCAACGACTTTTTTGGCCTGTGCAAGGATCTTCACAGTCAAATTACCCGTACCGGGACCCACTTCAAGAACAGTATCCGAGCTCACGACATTGGCCTACGAAACATCGAATATTATGATCAGTTACTAATTTAGTGAGCATCGATCTCAATGTTGGCATGCTCACCTTGTCAACGATACCCTGAGCTACCAAAGGGTTTTTCAAAATATGCTGACCGAGATCTTTGTTGAATAAAGGACCGAAAGCTCGTGCTTCGGCACCACTGTCTTTCTTTGTTTGTTTGGCTGTTAGCTTGGGCATAATACCGATCGAGACGATACTTCTTGTGTTGCTGAACCTGTGGCTGCTTTGGAAAATGAAAAAAAAAAAAAGAAATTTGTGCTTGATCTGTGACTGCTCCGTTACATATGGTTGGCAGGAGCAAAAATTCCAACCAACCGAATTTCGAAGCATCTTTTCCAATTGTCATTCACCCTTTTTTAACGTTGCCTGGGCTTGTTTCCATTCGTAATTTTTTCTCTTTTCATCCAATTGACTTTTACACTAATAGACACATGACAATGTATAAGCGAATTTTATGCAATTTTTGGATCATTATACAGCAAAAGATAAACTAGCAGCTATTTCTTTTTTTTTTTTCTTTTGACTCTTATGCATGCTTTCATTACTAAAAATATTCAAACTGGAGTACAGGAAGTGCTGACTTTGATGATGTCGCGAGGAGGTGTTTGCTTGCGAAGCTTGGCTGTTGTAGTGTTGAAGGCCGAGTCGCTCACATTAACCGTCTTGGAAAGCAAAGCTCGCATATCCATACTGTTTACTTCGTTGTTCGTGTTATTATAGTAGAGGGAGTAGTTGCTGGCATCCATATACAATAAATCATATCTGGTATTATTGGCCGATGAGAAAAGTGTCATATCCATCTTTCCATGAGTAGGGTACATATTAGGAAGAATGATCCAGCTGCGATTTGTATTGCTAGCCTTCAGCCAATCGCGGAACGGGTTGGGAACTGCCTGGACTGCATCGAGGACGTTGGATGCGACTTCAAGCATCGGCGGTGAAACTACCATATCGAACGAGAACACGGGTGAATCATTAGAAACGTTCTTGGAAAGAGGTTGCAGAACAGCGACACTGGTCATGTTGACCGATTGGAACTGGGGATACTGAGTCCAACGCATAGCACATGTTGTCTTGAACGTAAAGTCTGTGTTTCTGATCTGGCTTATCACCATTGTAGGGCATCCGCAAGTGTAATTGTACATCTGCGAAGCCTTGTAGGCACTTTGAAATATTTCTCGGTCCAATCCGACCATATACCCTATGCAACGCAAAAGTCAGAACGGTTGAGAATATCAATTCACCCACATCATGTTCTACGATCATACGTACACGTTCCGATGATTGAACGAACATCTAATGCTGTCGTACCGTTTCCCTGACGGCCACTAAGTAACCCAACGCTTCCACTGACGAGACTGAAAAGCGCACCAAAGAAAGTAACAGACTTCATTGAATACAATAAGCGTCAAAAACAATGAAAAAGCTTAGCACATTCCATTGTTATCATCTCGCCTTTATAAATCTTTCTTTTGCACCGTTCACTGTTTCAATATAAATGGTATTGCATGGGTTCTTTTTTTTGTAAAACGTATCATCCAAAGCTCTTCAAAATCACCTAATACATCGCTTTTCTCATACATCATCAGTTTTTTTCACAGATCGTCCTGTCTCATTCGCATGTAATATCTGTTCAGTTGAAACAGTTTACGTAGTCTAAGCGAGACATGAGTCAATTTGATTGAACAAAAAAAAAACCAAGTCCTTTTTGTTCTTCCTTCTGGCGCACACGTACTCATATTAAATTCCATCGCGGTGGATTTTTTTCTAGTGACACTATGCTGAGCGGCGTCGCTGCGAAAGCTTAAACCTTTCCATGATCAAACCGATGTATTTAGCAGGAAAGTGACATAGCATACCGCGCATTCTATGGCTGTATTTTTCTGCCACTTTTTGTAGCTTAAACAGGTACCATTTTTCGTTTCATTTTTCTGTATAAGTGATGGTCAGCACATGCTATCAACGGGAAATGAATGATACGAAAAGTGTTTTCGGAACGGGAGATCAATCTATATCGGATTTGCATCTATCATATTAAATGACTTGATCTAATGAGATAACAGGGCAGTATGGTCCACGAGAAAGTCTGTTAAAAAAAGCTTGCAACGGGTAGGTCGGCAATGACATGCATAAAAATTTCCTAACGCGGGCGTTGATGTCATGTTGCTGTGAATCAATGTTGACATGGTTCCATGTACGGTCGTCCAACTCCCAACAAAGTCGCTGGTACTGTCAGCGGCCATTGTTGCAAAGACGGCTATCGGATCCCAATGTCTTTAGAAAAGAAATGTACTCCTTTAGCACAATGTAATGCATGACAATGCATAAGTCGGAAAACTACCTGCATCCAGGCTCTTTCCTGAAATGGGAATTTTTCTTGGCTTTTGGATGATGAACATCTTGCTATTTGTGTTTGGACGAACATCAAGTCGTTGTGCATTGTCATAGTCTGTACGCTGTCTATCCAACATGTTACTTTTTTTCCAGTGATGGAGAAGTATTTTTACTTTTAATTCATGGCCGTCGTTCTCCCCCAATTCACAGTATTTGTAGCATAACTTGCTAAGCTGCAATTCGAATAACGATATAAATTGATGATCCAATCTCGCATTCATTACTTAGTTTTTCATATGATCATATAATGGTATTTAGCAGCCCATCCGTATCCAATTACTTTTTATTTACGTCCATTAAAATCATTGACACGCTACTTTTTTCTCCACTTTAGCCACCCAAGTAAAACGGCCTCCGTATTCGCGGCGATTTTTTTTCATCATTTTGTTTATAACGATTTTGTAATCTCCTATCATCTATAAATCAGAAACGCGCAATCAAGTTCTTTTATCTCTTACACCATTGGATTATCAGTTTAATGTCTTTTGCTAAATCGTCACCCGATTTACCATTGCAACAGTTACGCAGCCGTTCATTCGAGTTGCCATCCAACGGTCCCAACAGTAGCCATGAGGAGCGTCAAACCTATCGAGCTCATTTTTTGGAAGATTCGATGCCGCGAGCGCGGCGATTAGAATTTGATGCCCCTGTTCCACCACGTCCTGCATTGTCGTTGCGTGGATATTCCTTTAGTAAACCATCAGCCGCTACCCGTCGATCCATCGCTCGTTCTGTCTCTTCGTTTTCTTTATACAGCAACTTTGCCGGTGAACGCTTTGATATTCATCATCACGTTGCCTCACGGTCAAACGAGGCTTCTGATAATGAAAAACGTAAAGAATCCGCCTTGTCATCCAAATCCAAATTCTCCTTGGGCGATATGGAAGAGTCAAAAGAGGACCTATCAGATGACCATCAACCGACAGCATCCGTGGGCAAGGCGATGTTTATGTTTCTCAAGGCATTTATTGGATCCGGCGTTCTTTTTCTACCAAAGGCGTAAGCGTGTTATTTCCCTCCCATGCTCTACAGAGGGTCGGTCGCTGATCGCTGTAATGATGTATTGAACGTAGTTTTCACAATGGCGGTCTCGCTCTTTCGATATTTCTGATGATCCTCATTGCCACCGTTTGCTTATTCGCCTTTCTACGGCTGGTCAAAACACAGCTCCAAGTGGGAGGCTCCTATGGTGATATGGGCGGTGTCTTGTTCGGAAAAACAGTACGTTTGATCGTGCTTTTCTTCATCGTGATATCGCAAATCGGCTTCGTCTGCTCCTATTTTGTTTTTATTTCGGGTAATCTATTGAATCTTGCGGATGTTTTATCGAGCTGCCGCGCGCGTCTTCAGCAGCAGACGTATATTTGGTTCCCCCTGGTGGCTGTTATACCATTAACACTCGTTCGGCATATTGCACGATTATCATTTGCGGCCATTCTCGCCGACATCTTTATCCTTTTTGGTCTTATATCGGTGTTGTATTTTACGGCTCAAGAATTGCATGATCACGGTGTGGGACCAAATATCGTAGCCGTCAATCCGTCCAATTTTGCTCTAATGATCGGGACAGCGACATTTTCATTTGAAGGCATCGGCTTGGGTAATTATTCATTGACATGAAAAACCGATGCATGTGCTTAAGATACTAACTGGCGCAACATCTTATATATCGCAGTGATACCCATAGTGGAATCTATGAAAAATCCTGAAAGATTCCCATTGGTGGTGATCACAGGCACCATCATCGTTTGCGCAATATATATCCTGATCGGCAGTGTCTCCTATTTAGCCTATGGCGATCGTATTCAAGCCGCAGTTGTATACAACTTTCCACCATCTCACGGTCTCACCATCGCTGCACAATTGCTCTATTCCATTGCTATTATTCTAACGTAAGTCGATTCAGGGTGCATCCAAAAGAGAAAAGGGTTGACGATGTATTGAAACAGGGCTCCGCTGATGTTGTTTCCGGCTCTAAAGATATTGGAGAATGGCATTTTCAAAGATTGCGTGTCCGGCCATAAAGATCTGCGAACCAAATGGCTCAAAAATCTCTTTCGCATCTGTTTGGCGATTTTTTGTGCAGTAGTCGCTTTTGCAATTGGTGGAGACAATCTAGACAAATTCGTGGCACTAGGTAAAAGAAGCATAAACACAAGTTACGTTATTCGAACTGCGGCAGCTAACATGCTTTTTTGACGCACTGACTGCAGTTGGATCCATGGCTTGCGTACCGTTGTGCTATATCTTTCCAGGTATGACATTGACAATGGGTATTCTGGGCAAGAAGATCATTACTGACTTGATACCATTTCCTAAAATAGGGCTATTTCACTTCAAAATTGCAAAGAATATTCCATCCAAGTGCTTCGATATATTTTTGGTCATTCTGGGCACCATCATCATGTTGTATACCTTATATATTACCATTGACTCATTTGTTCATCCATTAACCAATAACGTCCCTGTATCTCCGTATTGTGCTGTTTAAAGCTCATTATATGCATGTTAGTTTAGAAGGAACGAAGATTTTCATAAAATTGGACGTTGTTCAGCGTCAACTGTTGACACCGATACCGGACGTGGGTGTCGCCACAAATGGAAAAAATCGCATGATAGGAGAGTTTAAAAAAGCTCCACTTTTTTCTTATTATTTTTTCCCACAGAAAAACTTTGAACGCATATCAATTCTTGTTTTTTACTGTTTCTTTTCCCTTTATCTTTTTTCGATTCTCAAGACTAAAATGACACGCAGTGCGACCAATGCTTATGTGAACCGCGAACGACGCCTGTCCCGGTACTGATAAATTCCCATACGTCTACTTTTGTATGAAATCCTAACCTCGCGTTTTTTCAGCAACGGCTTATCGGATTTGAGATGCCCAGCTAAAAAAGCAGGCGCTGGATTCGCTAATTGGGGTGCTGTTGGCGATGAACTCATCGATATCCAAGAGTAGGCATCCCCAACTATCCATATTCAATCGATGCAAATGGTATCATTATCAGCTTACTGATACTATCTAACCACAGAGCTGTTCTCCAAAATAATAATGTTGACACCGTAAAACCTCCGGAAGCCAAGTTGCAGGTGAGCCGAAACACAAAATGACAATTTTCCTTGCGACAAGTTAGAAAAAATATGTTTCTCGCTCACCGCGTTTGTTTACAACAGCTTGTCGATCAACAAACTTTCGACACGAGAAGAAGTCAGTCCCAATAAACGGTAAAAGATGACTCACCCATTCCTTTTCCCTCACAAAACGCGAAAACTAGGACCAAAAAAAAACCTGACTGAAAGCATTTCCCACCATGTTAAGTTAGCTAGCACCACAAAACTTCTTGTGATGTATCTCAATAATAAAATACAACGACTTGTTCATTTGAAGCTTGGCAATGTAAGATGACCTTGTCCCGTTCTCTATGCTGCCATCACCCCACATCAACGTGTTGTTAGTGGGATCGAAAAGAGTACTAATACAGTCACTGGAAGTGGAAAATTATACTCTTTGTTAAATTCAGCCATGCCTTAGTTCTGCTTATGTCTAAACGTTTATATGAAAAATTCATAGATCATTCTCGAAATTAAAACGATCTGTCCTACAATTAGCTTGCGTTTTATATGCCATTCCAGGATCCCATCACCGATGGTTGCCGAACGTGTCGCTTATGCTTGTTCTAAAAGCTTCTCCTTTTCCCGTTTCAAAAGAGAATATTGTTTCTCCAGTTGGTCTAATTCATGAATTCGATTCACTTGATGTACTAATTGATCAATCACTGGCAAAAATCTACGAGTTAGTTTCCATTTTGAAACGTACTAATGAAACTGTACCTGTCTTGAAATGCTTCTGAGACGTTCGTAAAGATGGAGAGACTAGAAATCCGAACCAATTTAACGGATCCCGAGATCGCTTCTTTCGGTTTTCCTTGGCCACGGCGGCAGCTTCTTTTTCTTGTACATCTGTGTGTTCTGATTCGTTCTCTGGTGTCTCTTCCTGCAACTTTCTCCTCCGACGAGCACCAGAAGGCTTTTCTGATGACTGATCGTTGGCTTGTTCACCATCGGCAGTCACTTCAGATTCATCATTCTCGCATAAGCAACTTTCTTTGAGGGTCAATACAGGAAATGGATGTTCCTGCTCTGATTCAATCGCTCTATTCAATTTCGCTGCCATATTAGAGAAAATGGTTTCAATAATTGGCGCTTTCCGAGATACGCACACCTGTACTTGTGCCTTCATACGCTTGTCGTATGAAAAGCGCGAGATTTTGTCCGCCCCCATTGTGTATTTCGCGTGAGCTAAATCTATAAATCCCTACGATGTGTCATTATCACAGCAAGGAATACGCATGCGCTATGAATGACAGATATACCTGTTGCAAATCCGTATTACACAGCTCCCACTGTTGGCTGTATTCCTCCATAGCAGTTAGATACTGCAAGCTAAGCTCGTCCAGTCGTTTTTTGATGCTTGTTAAATTTTCTTGCAAAAGTTCACGGCATGCTGCAGGCGATGATTCTGTCATGATAGTGAAAAGTCCTCGGCGTGTTCACCGACGAAGGGATATCTCAAGCAAAAAATTCATTCCACACGGCGGGCCTTGAACATGCATTTCATGCCCACCTCGATCAAGTTTCATTATACCGATTGTCATTTTCACCAGTTTTGTCAAAACGCCTTACATATGAGATCGACCATTTAATCAGTAGTTTGAATAGAAGACTCAAATACACTACTGAATCGGTCCTCTGAATTGTAGATAAGCAAAATAATGCAACTTGCTAACGGTCAATCAAAGTAATATATCATCAAGGAACCTGCTCCACAAAACAGCATTGTGAGAGGTGCCCAGTTCTTCTTGACAATCAAATTAAACTATTCGCGGTTTATCGCTTCAATTGCTCTGTATCATTTCAGCTCGATATACCCAAGTCTGGCGATCTTATTTTCAGCTTTAGTAAGCTTGCAACCTGATCCCAACCATCACACAATGCAAATCCATCTCCCGCGTATTCACCCTTCAGCTGGTGAATCTGTCTAATACAGAAGGCAACCAGCACGTGTCTCAAGCGCCAAGGTGATCCAACATCTTCATCTTTGGCCCAATTCTACAGGTAAGACAAGTTCCGAAAATGGCAACTTCCTTTTTCTCACCATGTGATTCTCGTTCTTTGGGGCAAGAGCATTGAACATTAAATGGGACACAAATATCAAAACATTTTTTCCCCGCACAAAAACGAACTGGATGAGAAAATGGCAATAATATTCATATAAAATTCGCACCTGCGATAATCATTAAAATGCCCATTAAACAACTGTATGTTTTTGATCGAAAGCTGCATCTACAAGCTTTTCCTGTTGCTGCGATTTACTGCGACTTTTTGGAGTTGGTGGCAGCCTTATTGTTCGATTTGGAGGTGGGAGCTGGCGAAGCCTCACGTTCGTTTTTCGAAGATTTCTTCATAACAAAGTAATGTGCCACTTGCAACCCAATAATACCTATCATGGATCTGGTCAGCGCGCTGCCTTATTGTTTACCCTCCCTCTATCAATATGAGCTTACCGGTGATCGCCAATACAATGATAAAGTGAGCAGCTGCGATATTTTTCAATTGCTTTGTTACTTCCTTTACGTCGGTCGAAGAGGATACAATGGCAAGAGCTTGTTCCATATAGTACGATTAGTTCAATTTCACAAAAATGTCAAACAGTGTAATTAAAAGCCTACCAGGTTTCACTGATGTAGCATAGGTGGACAAGCCAAAGAGCATCAAAACTAAAATTGTAATATGATATCGAGTGAAACATCAGCATATGCTACCTTTAGACACCTTTTTCACAGGCATTTCTGATAACTTTACCCAGCGATGCTCCATCAAAGAGAATGTTTGAATCGGTCATATTAGCCAAACCCGCCGAGAAACCAATAGCTGCAATCATCAAGTTGGCGAACGGGATATACTTTAAAATATTGGGCACCTCCGACTGAGTCGCATAGTAAAGCTAAGCACATCACATTTGCGCTTCGAGATTAGAAGAACGTCGCTTTAATCTTGTTGATATTTTCAGCTTACAGTGGCTCTGGAGACAGCATTGGGATGCTCTGCGGGGTTCGCCCATAACAAGTAGTAATCGAAAGCCCAGTCTGACCAGTATGACTAAAAGGGTTCATCAAACATGTAAGATCCTATCAATTGAATACAGCCGAGAGACATAGTCTGTAACACTTACTCCATAGGCAAAGAAGCACGAACAGAGAATGAGCGTAACCTTTACAGCTTGCATATGTTCTGCCATTGTGTTAAGTGAACGTTGTAAACGCGACTCGAGGAAAGGGAAAAAAAAAAAAAAGAGCGGGCTTTTTTCCTTTTCTGCGAAAATTGAACCCTCCCGAAATGGTAATGATGTCACTGTTGTCTCTTTCGTGCTTTTTGCCTCACGCTTTTTTGACGTCCAATCCTTTACATGGACATTCAACCACCAAGTAAACGATTTCCTCGGAATGCCACGCCTACATATTCCCACAGCAGTGAAAATACCCGTGCACACTTTTCCACGTCGCCGCAATCGTTTGATAACAGTATGCTCCGATTCCAATCGGATCTCGATCAACTGACACGGTCGCCTTCCGCCTACAGTGAGATCGAAGTCATTCTAGACGATGGTAGCGTTCAGAAACGGACAGTTTCGCTGTCCACTATACCCGACTCGCCCGTCGCCGAAGAGAACGAAAGACCGACCTTGAGAGATATGGATGACAGGTATTATGCATTGATAACGGAAAACGTTTATGCGGATAATAACGGTGATGCTTCTTAGTACGGCAACCACTGGCCTCCTTTCAAATACAAGCAACGGCACCTATGGTAGTATAGACACCCGAAGTGATTCCTCTACCGAACCGAGTAATGCTTCCGAAGGATCAGATGATTGCGCGACCAACGAAAATTGCCGCCATTCACGGATCAAATTGCCAAAACCGTCTCGATCCACTTTTCGAAAACAATGGCATCGTCTGTGCAACAAAATCCGCAGCCGTACTCATTTGTCTTATGCATCGCGTATGGTTTTGAAATGCAGCTTTGCTTATTTTCTGGCATCATTGTTTACATTCATCCCTTGGCTCAACGCGTCGATCGGTCATAACCGTACATCCAGCCATCTCGTCGCAACAGCCACGGTGTTTTTCAATCCTGCAAAAACACTAGGCGGCATGGTTGAAGCGGCAACCTATGGCCTAAGCTATCTCATGTTTGCCGTCTGCATTTGTCTCGGCTCCATGATCACCACCGACTTTTTTATCGATCGCGACTATTACAATACGGCTCATGTAATCTCGCTCTTCTTTTGGTTAGCCGGTGCCACTTACATTGTCTCGTTTCTCAAAGCACATTGGAACAAGCCTCCGGTGGCTACAGGTACCTTGGAATCTGTCATCCTGATGCTCTATGATTTTAATTTTTTCTTGCCATTAGCCTCCAGTCTGTGCTTCATTATTATTTTTATTATTGTTGTACGTGAAGGTTCGGCCAATCGCGGGGATTTCGATGCAACGCGTATCCAGCAGATTACCTCTGCCGTAGCCACCGGAACACTTATCACTCTTGCTTGTTGCGTCGTATTTTGGCCAGTCTCAGCCTGCAAAAAACTCGGGTAAGGGTGAACGTTGTTGTGCCTCGCGCACGCATAGATGAGGAACGCTTCTTCTTACATTGATTTGATGGAAATAGGAAAGATCTGGAAACCTCGCTTCAGTCTTACAGAGTTCTGCTCAAGCTACTTGTCAAGACGTTCATATTAGACGATGATTTACCAGAATTTCAAGCCAACAAGACACTGCAAGCAGCGATCGAGTCGCATCAAGCCAGTTTTACCGCTCTACAGAAATCGTTGCAAGAAGCGAAACTGGAGAGTTGGAACGAGAGTGTACGGTATCACGCCAAAGACTATGATCGGATTGTGGAAAGTATGCAACGGCTTGCTCAATATATTGGTGGTCTGCGAAGCAGCTGTGGTTTGCAGTTTGAACATATGACGAGCCGCCACACACAGGGACAAACCAGCCCAAAGTTGAATCGATCCTTTACAAGTGCCGACACGTGGAATGTCAGAGCAGGATTCCGTCGAAGAAAACTCCAAGATAATCTTCGCCGACAAAGAACAGCAGTCGGTCCTGTTATACCCCGATCCGTCACTGCTGAAGACGCCCTGTCAAGTACTGCCCCATCGCCTCGCAAACAAACACTGGATGACGATTCGCTGCCAACCTTTATCGCGACAATTCGAAAACCTCTAAAGTCGCTAGCCTATACTTGCAAACAGACCATCATCCGCATGCAAACCATTTTTTCATCGACTGCTTCCGCGGAGAGTATGAGCAGTGACGCTTTCGAGCTTTCCAAAACGAATTTAAAAAAAGCGATTGACTTATTCGAGAAAGCCGAAAAGGCGGCCGTGATCAAACTGAGAAAACGACAAGTACGACAAGAGACGGGGGATGACAATAACCTACAATTGACCCTTGGCGAAGATATTTTTCTTGTCTATTTCTTTATTTTCAACGTGATTGAGTTTGCAAAGGAACTCATCACTTTGGTGGAAGCTGTGGAACGGTTGTGTGCCCCCGCTGAAAACCAGCACTCATGGTTGTCTTGGCTTTGTTGGCAGGGGCCCAAGGATCAGTTATCCGGTGAGTAAGCATGTGCATTAGTAACGAAACCTTTTTCTTGGCTGAACTCTTTTAATGTTACAGATATGCGACGCGAAAGGCAAACGACCTTTGATCATTTCAAACCAAACGAGCGCCACGCAACAGATACACTGCATACCCCTACGCCTAAAACGAAACTGCGGGCGGCCCTCATCCGTGCTTGGAAAACATTCTCCCTTTTCAAGACCCAAAAGGTACGATATGCAACCAAAGCATGTATTGCGGCAATCATTCTCGCAACGCCCGCCTTTTTGGAATCGACGGGTCCGGCCTTTCGCGAATGGCGTATGGAATGGGCTCTTATTACCGTAAGTCAAACTCTGTCCTTTTTTAAGTAAGTCAAGGTTAACCAAGATTTGAAAACAGCTGATGGTGGTCATGACGCCTACGGTGGGAGGAACGAATGTGGTGGCTATTTATCGTGTTTTTTCCACCATTTTGGGCTGTTGCATGGCAGCCATATTCTACGCTTTATTTCCTGCCAACATATTTGTCTTGCCGGTGCTCACTTGGCTATTCTCCATTCCAAATTTCTGGGTGATTTTGAACCATAAGCACGGAAAATTCGGCCAATTCACTCTGCTGGCGTACAATCTGGTCATGTTGAACAAGTACAATGATCGCGACATCAACACGATTAGCGTATGGCTCTTGGCATGGCAACGTTGTATGGCGATCCTGGTGGGAGTCTTTGTTGGACTGGTAGCTACTGCTTATGTCTGGCCGTATGAAGCACGCGTTGAGTTGCGAAAAGGCCTGTCAGATTTCTTGCTGCGGCTCGCGTGGCTGTATCAGAAACTGGTCTCCATCCATTTGGGCCGTCGGTCCAATCCAAACACGATTTTTACCGAATTCTTTGAAGACAATGCGCGAGTGCAACATTTGACATTGGACCGTCAACGCGAGCTTGTCACGGAAACTTTTATGGATCTTGAGTTGAGTTTGCAACGCTCTCTGTCGGAACTACGAGCTTTGTTGGCTCAGACACCCAACGAACCACGGCTGAAAGGACCGTTTCCGGTGGGCGCGTACCGTGCAATGTTGGATTCGTGTCAAAATATTATTGACAAGTTCCTGTCGATGCGTATCACAGTGCTAAAAGATATTTGGGCAACGGAAATTCGTGGCAATCTTGTGATGCCTGTGAATCAACAACGACGTGAAATGGTAGGAAACGTGTTGCTGTATTTCTACCTGTTGGCTTCCGCGCTGCGACTCAAGACGCCCCTACCCCCTTACTTTCCTCCGGCTCGTAAAGCCTGGCAATCCCTCTTGGTGCGAATGCGCGAATTACCGGCGTTGCAATCAGAACAATCACTGGAAAAAGATAACGTCTACATTGTTTACTACGCCTATGTGACCATGATGGAGGATATTATCCGTGAACTGGACAAGGTAAAATCATTATTCGTACGTTAACAAATGGCCTGATGCTCAATTTTTTGAACCTTCATGTAGATGGGGGACCAAATGTCACAGCTGTTTGGCTCCTTGGTGCCTGCAGATCAATGGGAGGATCTCTTTGAAGCATGGGACACCGAGAGCGCCTTGTATCATCATTAACATCGCCTGCCATGGGTTAAAATTTCATAATAATAAAGCATTCTGTACATACATGAAATTATATTAAGAACAAGTCACTGTCTGATTTATGGTTCACGACCTTGCCAAAAGCTGATCTTGTTGCCTGTCAACTCGATGAAGCCCCAACAAGGCCAAAAGTGATTACGGTCTTTGTGCAACATACTCCTATTGAATCGATGCAATTCTATTGGTGAACGGTATCGTGGGGAAAAAGCTGGATCAGGGATCTCCGACTACAAACAGCGATGGATCTGAGCCTAAATCTATTGAAAGTGACTGCACCTTTGAGCCAATCAGTTCAGTTGGAGAATTTGGCATGACACAGCATTTTTTTCGCCTTCACCGTCTCTTGCTCTCCTTTCTATTGTCGCTCATGGCACAAGTTCTCTCCACACTCTTCAAGCAAAAGGCTCCCACTACGGGAGCCATCATTATTGCACTTATATATGCTATCTATAAAACCAAGAAGAGGTTCCAAAAGAATCTCGCTACTTCCTCCAACAAAGATACCCGCAACAAACGCTCCAAGCAAAAACAACAAAAGGTCGGCGTGAATGCCAACTTTGTCGATCAAATGCGAAAGCTATTGCCCATTTGTGTACCAGGTAGGATGAAGGCAACTTTTTTATGACGGCCACGAGTCCCACTCACTCGTTTATTTAGGCACTTTTTCAAAGGAGGCTGGTTTACTGGCGATATTGGCTACAGTATTGATTGCACGTACCTGGCTCGATATTTGGTAAATACGAAATGCTGTTGCTATTTGCTGTATGGAGCATAACACTCATATCATGACGGAACGTTTTTCTTTTGTTCAGGTTTTCGGGTTTTAATGGGTATGTGTGGCGCAGAGAGATCCGTTGCTTGCGGTGCTAATATAATGATATGGCAGTTCTGTTGTAAAAGCCATTGTATCACGCAATCGCAAGGCATTTATCGCCAAAGCTATTATTGAATTTGGCATGATGATGGTAAGTTATTAGATCAACATAAAAAGGGTCTTGAATGGATGGAACGGGTTGGAAAAAGTAAAACTTAACGTTATTGTATATTTCCTGTAGTGGCCTATGAGTATAGTGAACAATTCGCTCAAGCTGACAATCAGCGCGCTTGCGTTGAGTTTCCGTGAACGTTTGACAAAGGTATAAATAATAATCATGTGAAAATGAGTGGACAACGTGACTGATTTTCTCTTGGATTTTTAGCATGCACATAATCAATACCTTAATGGCATCACTTTTTACAAAGTGTCAAATCTCGACAACCGACTTCAGAATGCCGATCAGTTATTAACCCAAGATATCGATAAATTTGCTGATAATTTATCCCATCTGTATTCGGACATTGCCAAACCCGTCGTCGATATTTTCTTGTTTGCCTATAAACTCGGTGAAGCCATGTAAGTTCTTTTTGTTTTCTCCAGCGACCGTCCGTAAAAACATTACTAATCATGTGCTCAGTGGTAACGAAGCTCCATTCTTCATGATTGCCTATTTCGTCATGTCGGGTGTCTTGCTTCGCGCTTTTTCACCTCCTTTCGGACGATGTAAGTGGATCATCTCAGATAACACGAAATTGGCCGACACCAACTGAACCCTTCTTGATCAGATACTGCTATTCAGCAAAAGCTGGAAGGTGATTTCCGCTTTACTCATGTAAGCATTTAGACCCAGCTTATATTTTGTAAAATGACGACTCAAACGATTTTTTCATAGTCTCGTATCATCACTCACTCGGAAGAGATTGCCTTTTATGGCGGCGCTGAAAGAGAAAAAGATGTGGTGAACAACACTTTCCAAAAGGTAGAATCGGTGGAATTGCTTTTTTTTCTGCGTGTCCATCATTCGACTGACTCGGTTGCTCGCTACCGCTTAGATTGTCAATCATGAGCGTAAAGTATACACTTTGCGGTTCCTCAACGGCATCTTTGACTCTGTTCTTGTCAAATACTGTGCAACCATGACCGCTTATTAGTAAGATGAGATTTATTGTGGTATGAAAGAGCAACTTTTGTAACCTTTATTTTTATTTATTTTTCGGTGCGTTCCAGCTTACTGGCTCGACCTGTTTTCGATCCCCGTTATGGTAAGCTTCACTGCTGTCATGGGAACAGTCTAGTTTGGTTAGTTGAATGCAATTTAACACATATCAATAGCAACAAAACACATGGGAGCATTACAAGATGATCCTACAAAGTTGATGGAGGATTATTCAAGAAACTGTAAGTCGGCAGGAAGAGCTCGCCACACTCGTTGGCTGTCAGTAACTAAATGACGTTTCGACCCATTAGCCAGCTACCTCATCAATCTGTCTCAGGCGGTAGGCCGTCTCATTTTGACCGGCCGTGATCTGACTCGATTTGCCGGATATACCGTGAGTTGCAATTCCGCTAAAACATTGTCGCCCTGGGTTTAAAGAGTAGTGATTAACTGTGCCTTATTAGTCTCGCGTAGCCGAACTCTTTGACGTTTTGGGCGATGTCAGTAAAGGAAAGTACAGCCGCACGATGCTGTCCGATGTTGAAGGTGGAGTGAGCCAGAGTAAGAGTAAGTATTCTCTTGTATTAATAACGGCAAACATGTCCTGACATCTCTTTTGAAGCTGTCGATACATCGGAAATGAAGGGTAAAGTGCTGGTACAAGACGGTGTCATCATTTTCGACAAGGTGCCCATCGTGACGCCCAACAGTGATGTGCTTGTAAGTCTTGTTGTTTATGCAAAATGTCATGGTGATTCTTTTTGAAACTCATGGATGTCTTGGAATCAACTAGCTGAAGGACTTGTCATTCAAAGTCAGCACTGGCATGAACTGTCTCATTTCAGGTCCCAATGGATGTGGCAAGAGTTCCTTGTTCCGTATCCTGGGTGATTTATGGCCATTGTTTGGTGGAACCGTAACAAAGCCCTCTGCGGATAAACTCTTTTACGTTCCGCAAAAGCCCTACTTGGCATTGGGCAGTTTCCGCGATCAAATAATTTACCCCCACACTCCTTCCGAGGCCCGCGCTCGTGGATATACAGATGTTGAATTGATAAATTTACTGGAAACCGTGCACCTGGGCTATTTGGTGGAACGCGAAGGCGGCTGGGATGCAGTACAGGATTGGGCGGATGTGTAAGTAAACCAAAATGCGTCATGAAAAAAAAAACGGCTGCCTCATGTTAGATTCATTAGCCTTTCCGGTGGCGAGAAACAAAGAGTAGCCATGGCACGTTTATTCTACCATCGCCCACAATTCGTAAGTTCGAAAAAAAAAAAAAGGCGACTTCTGGTTAAGAGCAGCTTGGTTTTTCTTACACACCACCACTTTTAGGCCATTTTGGACGAATGTACCAGTGCCGTTAGTGTGGATATCGAGGCCATCATGTATGAGCATGCCCGCAAACTTGGCATTACTCTGTTCACCGTATCCCACAGGTACCATCATCTAGATGAATCATGATATGTCAGAGACTGATTATTGTTTTGTAGAACATCTTTGGTCCGTCATCACGAATATTTGTTACGTTTCGATGGCGAAGGTCATTACGAATTCAAGGAGTAAGTGAACATTGATTTGACGAAGCGAGTTGGCTTGTGATTGGAATGTGAATTTAATATCGTTTTGACTGTAGAATGGATCCTGAGGACACGACGACGCCATTCGGTTTTGGCCATGGCAAGACCCAACCTATTTCCAAAGCAGAGACCAATCTCTAAATCTCGTTCATTTTCCGCACACACGCTGAAATCGGTATTCCTCCTCCCACTCATCCTGTCCATCTTTGTCGCTTGCATATCACGACTCTATTTATTCTTTTTTTTTCTCAGAATATACTGAATAGAATGTTTATTTTTGAAGTAATGAATTTGTGAGTCAAAAGTTGGTCTTTGGGCACCTGCAATGGGAGCAGATTCAGATCAGGCTTTTGCCTGGGTATGGGAATGAGAATCGCAGGCTGCAGAGGGGAAAAAAAGCATCTTTGGCAGATAAGATTGATTGGGTTTCCAAATGACGCAGCTGGTTCAAGGAGCGATGTATGGTCGACTCATCTATTTGCGCCAGAGACATCACATCGCTATTTTTATGAAAAAAAAAAAAAGGGATGAATCCCACGTTTGTTTTTTCTGTCAAGTGATCGATGGAGTTGATGCAAAACACGCTTTTGTGTCGCCAACAAAACCCTGAATGCCTGCCACAGACGGAATTCCAATTTCGGGTTCTGACCTTTCTTCTGACCTTTCTTCCCCAAACTCCCACCTTTGCTTGAATTACATGATCGACTTGCTCATTGGAAAACCATCAACTGACTTGCTACCTGCTGCACTATTTGCAAAGGCCGCGCAAAAGGCTCTGGAACGATCGGATGCGCCGTCGCTCATATTACAGGTTTTCACAATTCCTTTCGTTTTACTTTTAACATACGGCTGACAAGAACTAGTATGGTCCTGAACTTGGCAATGCCAACTTTCTAGATCGCCTTGCAAGGTTCTTGTCGCTAGAATATCATTCTACAGTGGAAAGGTAATATATGATAGGACCATAGTTCAGTATATGGCTCCTTTTGACCTACTTTTTGACGACATTGCTAGTCAGCATCTGTGCGTCTCCACCGGTGCATCGTTCGCGCTTCAACACATGTTAACGTTGCTGACAAGACCCGAGTCCACCACACGATTTGCCTTTTTTCAGAATCCCACCTATCATCTCGTTTACAATATATTTTTGGATTGCGGTTTCAAGAAGGATCAATTTATACCTGTTTCGGAGAACGATACAGGATTGGATGTTGATGCGTTGGCCGAATTTCTTGAAAAGCATTTTCCTCAAGGCAAGGACGAGAGCAACAACGATGATGGGTTTTATTCGGCTGTCATGTATTGTGTTCCGACGCATGCCAATCCTACATCTTCGATTCTTTCCGCCGCCAAACGTGCTCGTCTCGTTCAACTAGCTCGCCGCTACAACATGCTGATAATCTGCGACGATGTCTATGATATACTGACCTTTGATGGTAACGTTCCCAAACGACTCGTGGCATATGATTTGGAAACAGAGGGACCGCCTGTGGTTGTGAGTAACGGATCATTCTCCAAAATTTTGGCACCGGGTGCACGTGTTGGATGGATGGAAGCCCAAACCGCGTTGATCCAGCGATTAGGTACTTGGTAAGTTTCCCAGATCGTATGGAGTTCTCTCCTTGATTGACGTTGCTTTTTGCGTTTCTCTGATTGTTCTCCTCTGATATGATAGTGGGTCGTTTATTTCTGGCGGATCGCCAGCTTATTTTGGTACAGTGTAGACCCTTTTTATCCATTTGCATTTAATGATCACTAACCCAGCTACAGCAAGTCAGATCATCTCGGAAATGTTGACAGCATCCGATTTCCATGTCAATTTGCATAATCATGTACAATTCCTACGAGTCACCTTGCGGGTCAGGTTACACCAGGGTCTTTGGGGTCCATACTTGAGATATCTGATGCCCTTGGGCTGCAAAGCCCATTTGCCCGCTGGCGGGTACTTTCTCTGGGTGAAGCTACCACCGAGAATCACACATATCCAAGTCAAGGAACAAATCAGGCAACACGAACTGGGTGTAAATGTTGGCGCCGGAGATTTGTTCTTCGTGCCAGGCGTGAATCACGGGGATACCCATTTGACATTTGTCCGACTTTGCTTTGCTCATTATTCAGTCGACAAATTACGTGAAGCTGTTGTGTTGCTAGCGAAAGCCATAGAGTATGTGATTGCTGCGCATGATCAAGATGATGCTTCCTGGTCAGTGATTTCACACAAGGATCTTTTATGAAAACCAAAATAAATAAAACTGAGGTCAATCGATGGTTAGAATTCTGTATGGCTTGGGAGTTCACCGCTTGGGTGATACAAGTGACATACGCACAATAAGTAGCAAGGGTCGTTTGATTATAAAAAGTTGATCTGTTTCAAATGATCTTTCTCCACAAGCAATGGTTTCCAGATACGGAACACAGATAACTTGGGAACGCTCCTGTAACATACCCTAGCAATGCTGCCATGAAAAGATGCTAGCATCCAATAACCTCGATGCGCCCAACATGAAGAAAATGAAACACAACAAAGGAGACAGGGACAGCGCAGCAGTGGCAAAAAATTGAATCACAGGCAAGCATGGGAGAGATGAAGCAAGGCATTAAAGAAAATCGAAATCATTGTCACCATCTTATGGTATTAAAGTGTTATGCGAAGACGGTATTGCTTTTTATTACAAGAGAATTTGAATGCGAAAAATTTAAACTAGCAAAGATAATTAAGCTTGGAAAAAAAAACTATTGTATCGTTGGCATTCAGCTATGATTTGAGACGGGTGACCCCCAACCAATAACTTGGCTGGGCAAGTTGTTGTAACTTGTTCCCCTATCCCATCCCCTGTCCAACTTATAGCTATGCCATGGGCTCGGGAGCCGGCTCGTCTGGTCGGAAGCCTACAAAATGTCAGTACCATCAAAAAACTTCCCTACAAAACGGTTAGTGCTATCAAACTGCCCTACAAAATGTTAGTATAACCAAAACTTGCTGAAATGCCAATCAGCGGGCACCAAGTCGTCACCGGAAGAGAGACGAAGCGGGCAGAACAGAACAGGGCAGAACAGACACGTCTTGAAGCCTACGGAATGTTAGTATCTTCCCAGCTGCCCTACAGATGTTAGTACTATCGAGAGGTCGGTCGGCAGTGTGTGATGGTCAAAGGGGACGTCTGAGGATTGAGAAGAAGGAAACGGGAAGAGGAAGGAACAAAAAATTCTTTGCCGCAGCACACTTTTTGTTGTCAATGCAATAGACGGTTGAAAGGCAGCCATCGAATGAAAAAGTCGAAAAAGGCTAGCCTTGCGAGAATTAGGTGTAGAGAGACGTTCCGCATTTGTATCGACGCGTAAAATTAATTCATTGGTATCCCCGCAATCATGGGGAAGCAACAAGAAGGTTTCGCACTATGAACAGTCACACCTCTTGAAGAAAAAGACAAAAAAGACGGTGCAGAAGAAGCCCAAGCGGACATTTTTCATGATTTTCAAAGTCCGAAAGGCATCGAACCTGATATTCGATCGGTGGGTCCCGTTCAAGATTATCCTGTCCCATGACATTGGCGTTCTTTACTTTTTGTTTACATCGTTATGAATCTGAAACCGGCTTGGCATGGCAAATTCATAGAAAGTCGAAGTATCCGGTTGGAGACGCACCGAGCCGAGTTACGGTTTTTCCCTTTTTTTGGGGGGAGGGGGGTGGTGTTGCCAACCATTAGGCCAAGAAGATCATGCTTTCATACTTTCCAAGGACACCGATCAAAAAAACATGGGATAAATCAAAGCAAACCAAATCGGGGTCCTCAGAGTTACAAGCCTCTGGATCATACTGTTACTGATGCCAGGACTGGGTTACTTGATTTTTTTTCTGACTGACATCTCATTCTTTCTATGTGAACCTTCATCAAAAGCATTGTTCCTATTATTTGCAATGAAATATGGACTTTGAATTTTTTCAAAGGCTTTTGGGCGTTCTAATCTAATGGAAACAAGCCAGGTTTGGTTATTTTGGGGACAAGGTTCTTCACAAAAAGAAATAGTCATTAACAAAAAAAAAAAAAAAAAAAAAAAATTGAATTATCAGGTTTGCACGATGGTCATGCCATTGCGCCAATGGTTGACAAGGTGGTACGTAGAATCCTCGCCAACGCTCAGGGCATCTGATGCATGCAAAGACAGCTGTCCAATGGCCCAACTTGAAAAAAAAAAAAAAAAAAGAATGATTGTAGCCTTCGAGGGAGGAGAATGATTTTTACAGAGTGTAAAAATTCTACAAATTTTGCTTGGGAAATGGGGATAGGTATACCAGCAGGTGTTCTTTTTTTTCGCTGCCGGTGGCAGGTGGAGGAGCGTATGGATGATTTGCTCTCCATCATGACAATTGTAGTCAAAAGAGGGAGACATTGAAAAAGATGGTTGCTTATTTTATTTTTCATTTTCGATTTGTCACGTATCGTTGAACATGAATGGACTGCATACATCACGCTCTGAAATAGTCACCATCTGCTCACTTTCGAGGTCTATGCTTGACCTGTACCTTCACCCAAAAAATAGTAAACTGGAAATGATGATCTTTATGGATAAACCGAAATTTTATGTTGATATCAGTAAAAAGAGCCATACGTTGGATGACCAACCGACTTTGAAAGCCTTGATCATTGGGTACCCCGTTACCATGGCCATATAGCCCCGATGCGTTTTGGATATTACGATTGTACCTTGTTATTTATTGGGTTAAAACGTTTGGTAGTTTCCAGGAAGGCACTATCAAGTACGTAACATGGCCAACAACTTTTTTTTTTTTTTTTTTTTTTTTTTTTCCTTTTCATCACCGCCACCACCGCAAATAAATAAAGCACCACTTGCCCAAGTCTTCCCCACGGTTAAAATACAAGTGCAACACCTTGCCTTAAGTTTTTTTGATCTTTACCACTGCCACAGCCATGATGGATATTTTTCTCTCTGATAGTTTTCGATTATTTATTTTAGTCCACTTTTTTCTTGTCATTCTCAGAATAAAGCAACAGTTGTCAGGCCCTTCTTTACGTACTGTTAACTACAAGCACAACACCTTGCACAATTTTTACCATCGTTATTACCACAGCCGCGACGATATATGTATTCCTTTTTTTTTTTTTTTTTTGTTAATTTTACGTTAGTCCTAGTCCTAGTCGTTCACTCGCTCCTCCCTTTTGGTTAATTATCAAAATAAAGAACCCATTTAGCGTTCGTTACCCAGGCGGTATGGGACACCAACGGTGTCCTTTTGTTGTGAAAAGAAAAAACGTGCCCACCCATGATACACTGTAGCCCTTGTTCTTGATTTATCTTGCCACGATCTACGTTTCCATCCACTTTCCAATCCACTTCACTGGGTGAGGTCTTGTTCTCGATTCTCTTTTTTTTATTTTTATTTTTTATTATAAAATATTACATGGCTGCAGCTTACGTATGCACTCAACACTGATTCATTGTTTCTTTATCCTCATCCTTGTTCAAAGGAAAAACATTAGAAAAAAAAAAAAAAAAGTAGGAGCCCACCTGGTAACGACACATTCTCTTCCTTTTCTTTCATTTTGTCCCACCGTTGCCATTCGCAACTCGATTTTTTGCCGTTTTCATATCCACCAAAAAAAAATATATCCTTGCACTATCCCTCTTTCACAATCGCATCCTACTCACTTATCCTACCGTCACCCACGCATGCATCCTACACCGCTGCATAGAGCATTCAGTGCAACGCTCGGCAAAAAAAACCTGTCGGTCACCCAAAAAAATATTATTTTTCCCGATGCCCCAACAAAATATTTTCCCCTCACCAAAAATGAGGAAAAAAGATTAGCGGCTGGAGGTTTCGATCCTCCGACCTTTGGGTTATGAGCCCAACGCACTTCCTCTGTGCTAAGCCGCTCCCGTTGTTATTTTCTTGCATTCTACAATTATAAGAGGTTAAAGAAGTATTTTGCACGAGATTTTATTGGTCAAAGTTAATGCCAACGATATTGTTTGGGGCAACGGAGGTGCAGGAAATTGACAGTCACATAGGCCCGCTGGACGGGTAGGCAGTGTATCCCAGAGCCCTTGCTGTTCCTGGATTGAGAAGCTACTTGGGCCAGAGTCTTGGCAGAGTGATAGATTGCACTTGTCAAAAAATATTGGTGCTCCTATAAATGAGTTGGAGGTTTTGTGTATGGACTACTATCTAAAGCTTCCGACGCTATAAAAGGGCGAACCAGTGTTTTTCACGCGGACCAGTGTTTTTCATGTCTTTTTTATTTTATTTTATTTTATCATGTCAATATTCCTTTATATCATCGATTGGACATTGGGTATGAAGTTCGCGGCTTTTGACCATTACGCTTTGTTCAGCTCTCGGCACATTTCTATCGCCTTATGGGTAAATAGTACAGGCTATCAAACAAACGCAAGTCCTGGTTGTTTCCATCATGCAAGCACTCCGGTAGCTTTTGCCAGATGTCTTATCTATGGTTACATGGAAATAGTAGATGCGGCTCAATGCGCTGAATAAGTCAGTGGAGAACAGCTAAGGCTCTTTTTTGCAATAATATTAAGCTCATCATGAACTGACAGCATGTTTCAATTTTTACCAAATCATGTTCCTTGGCAAGAGTTACTACACTTTGTCGATGCTCGTTTAGAATTTCGGAAAAGCTCTCTCCAGCTGTCTACTGCGATTGGTTTCAAGCATAAATTATGAGTATTTTGCATATTGTTTACCAAGGGCATCAAAATATGATGCCCTTGGTCGGATGATAATGTTAAATTTAGGGATCAAAATGGTACAATCAGGAGACAAAGTACAGTAAGTCTTTTGGAAACCCGAGATATCGTTTATTATTTGACCCTTGATCTGTATTTATACGATCATTCAATAAATTATTGTTTTTATGATTGTTGTTGACTTGATGCTGAAGTAATAGGATGATGTGTGGACACTACTTGACAGGACGGGCACTGAAGACTTAGCCCGTATTTAAAGCAGAGCAAATGGAAAGTTTTGATCTGTGTCTGTGTATCTGTCTTTGAATGGGTGGAGAAAGAAGTGGCAACAGACAGGTTACTTGGCTTAAGGTCGGTCGGTCATACCACTTGAGCCTAAAGGATTTCACCATTAGGATATACATATTATATACACAGTCTGTTTTCATACGATTGCAGTACCTTCGGCATAATCCAGTACTTCATTGTCAACTTCAGCTTGAAATCGATTCCTCCGCAAGGCTGCTATCTTTTGAAACTTGGCTGCATCGTTCATTGCTTTTAATACGTTGACAGTGAGCAAAGATGTTAGCAGCCATACGCATACCTCTAAGTCATTTGTTATTATGGCTCGGCCCAAGAAACAACAGATCTCTGATTCGTTTTGTCGAGATTTCTACAACTGCTTGAAATCCTTTTCGGCTATCCTGCGGTTGGCGATTCAGATCACTTCGAAATAGGAAGCTATAGAGAAGTTGCTGTAGTTTTTCTTTATGTATGATAACATTTTTATGACTAAGCGTCATCGATGTATACTATATGGCTGCAAGCAGTCGTTCAAATAACTCTGAATTTTATCATCGCTGGCTGTAAAATATTTTCATTCATAAACTGCGTGCATCGTCAATATATGATAGCTCTTCAATTAAATAGGAAAGGGTAGTGAGCAGAAGTTCTCAATCAACGGTATGCCACCTTCCCTTCTGCCATCACCCGACCTCCTATTTTTCCTGTTCTTCGACTTATCCGAAAAAATAGCATTACGGTTCTTGATTGCTTCCTGTTCTTGGGTGGAATACTGCTCTCTTTTGTTTTTTGTTTACTGTGCATTGTAGCTGATGTTTTGAGGCTTCCTTACTCGGATGGTGCAAGTGGCCCACTTGGTTGGTTCTTCCGGGCAACAATGGCCTGTTGAGGTTTACAGATATGTTAACTACATACTATACACAACATGTTTCACTGCCATACTGACTTGGTATTCTCCCATTTTTCTTCAATACTGTATTACAGTACAGTACGGTGTTGTGAACACACGAATCTTCGTAACATATGGTATCGCCTGCTCCACCACAAGCTCCCGCATTTGACCACTCTACATCACATCTTTCCGAATAATTTCCCCTCTCCTCTATGTCGCCTATGTCTCACACAGCCTGAAACTATGTCTCATTTCCTCTATGATTGCCCCCTCAAATGGCAAGTCTGGTCTACACTATGGTCTGATTTCCTGCTTCTTTCACCCACTTCTTCCGCCGTCCAACAAGCCCTATACTCGTTCTCCTTTCCGCCCTCACCGCCAATCCTTCCAAGCTCCACCATAGTCGCCACCATTCTCTTAGGTATATGGAAAGCCCACTGGCACTTCATCTTCGACAACACTCCTTTCTCTACCGACACCATCCGACAATTTGTTCTTAAGCACCTCCACCGCCACATCAACGTCAATAATATGCAAAACTGTGACTAGTTAAATAATCTCCCCATAATCCATGCCCCTACCATCGGTTTTCCCCTTGCATCCTCATCCTTTTACTTCTCATGTACCCTATGCATTAATTTCACGCCTTGTTCGTACCGCTCACTGTGACGTACGGGCAAATAAAACACCGGGCCAATAGCCCCTTTCAAAAAAAAAAGTGTTGTGAACACACAGTCAGATAAGTTTTTTTTTCCGATAAAAGGCAAGAACCCTCTTTTTAGGCGTTCTAAACGGAGTTTGAAGAAAACCTTATGGAACCGCTCTGTCTGGTCCGTCGGTTAAATACCATGCAAAGCGTGAAATAAATTACGCAGAGACTGAATACTTTCACTACGAAATAGAAAGATCGACATAATCACACGGCATTGATTTCCATCAACGGTTTGGGTCGGCATTCATACAAAGCCTTTCATTTCCATAACACATCATTGATATCGTACTCAAATAGCAATCTGACAAAAACTGGTCTATTGAATATATAGCAGCGAGCAGATGTAGTGAAATATTGTCTAGTCGATAGTGAAGATATTGGGGTATCTCTTTCTCTTGCCCTTCGCATCTTTTGCGCAACGCTGTGCTACATGCGCGCCATCTTGGGCAACCTCTTCCGCGAGCAAGTAAGAACGTGTACTCGTTTGATGGAACGATCTGCTTATTTAACCCTCTTGAAATAGGATTGTTGCCGAATACAAGATGGGCAAGCTATAACGAGCTACAGTCTCGAAATCTTTGCTTTAAATACGCTCGGACCGAGTACGGTTATCGAGCGTAACTGTAGGCCGCAAGGCTAATGCGGACAAAGTAAAGTTGCTCTTTCAATCGCCACTGCGTGTAGAACGCCTTTGTAACCCGTTTGACTTGGAATTTCCTAATTTTCATTTATTCTCATGCTTTTCAATTACCCACTTTGCATCCGGTATTTTTCCAGCTTTGGTACTTTCGGAACTGACTGGAAATACCACTTTGCAGCTCACTTAGAACTCTTTGATCGTTGCCGTTATCCAGAAATTAGCATTCAGTTTGGATATTGCTCTTCATTTGTTTCAAATCCAGTTTTCTTTCAGTTACTACAATTGCATGTTGATTGTCAACCGAGATGGTTCATCGGTTTCGGAGAGTGGATGGTCGTTCAAATTGCATCCGCAAAATTTCTTCCTGGGATGTGATATTTTTAAAGGGGACTTCTCTTTTGGTATGTTTGTGCAACACATGGGCAGGTCATTGCCAGTGTGGGTATGACAACATAACCCCTTGAATTCCCCTTGTGTGAAGCCTTTGCTTTGATGTCACCTTTGGCAACCGTTGATAATTCTTCTTGTCTTTATCTCTTCTTATTTTTCTTTTATTTTTTCAGTATTACAATGGATATTAACGCTATTCGCCAACAAATCATTCAACGTCATAATGCCAAAGAGCAGAGACCTCTTGGTGCCCAACACCGAATTTGGAGCATTTTTAGAACCTCCCACTACCAACTTTTGCAATCACTTATTGATTCGCCTCTTACTTTTGATCCCGTCGAGCATACTTCAGCTATTCAAGCCACCAACACTCGCCTGGTCGTTGGATCTCAGCATGCTGATCCTAACTTGACCGAGGACATGGAACTGAGCAGTTCCCCAGAGTACTATTTCCGCTGTGCCCGCCTACTGTCAGACGAGTTTTTGGAGTACATCCATCTATACGAGCATCGATTTCCAGCGGATGCTGCGTGGTCTCAAAACTTCGAGCAAGAAGTGAATAAGCTCGAACTAGACAAACCTTGCCTCCGTAAGTGTGACATAAACGCGGTTTGTTGAACAATGGAATTGACTTGATCTGTCTATGGATTATCTCAGTCTCCATTATGTATGTGGGCTTTACGGTCGCCTCAACCGGATCTCAGCGTCTCCGCCATGATTTGTCTGTCGACGGCGGTTCTAGATTCACGAATTTTTGCACAATTGCTACCGAGATTAACTGGATGGTATACCAAGTAGTGCGCCTAAGGGGTTATTTCCGAAGGCTTCTCGGCCATTGACTCGGGTTACGTAGAAGACGTGCTGTTGAAGGCTATTGGCGCCGTAGCCTTGAACTCGGCCAATAGAGGCATATTATTTGATTGGCATCCTAGCCCGGCAATCAAACAGGCATGGGCTACGATTGCCTCTGAATTTGATCAAGCTAGTCTGTTTGTCCGCAAGCGTCTGACAACTTCGAGAAGAGAAGCCATTACTCATCATTTGAAGATCAAGCTGAATACATTAAGCGTCATGGCACGATAGGGTCCTTGACCGTGGAGCCTCCGTCAGATGAACTTCTCGAAACCGTGATTCGACAAGGTAAGTCTAGCTTCTACATATCAACTATGGTAATATTGAATGGTGAATGACCTGGTACTTCTCAGCTACGCCATTACAAACAATCCGGAATCGAACGGTTTCTGTCCTCGTTGGTCACGCAATTCCGGGGAGAGGATTTCGTGCGGGCAGCCATGGTTTTTGGGAGAGTTCTGCCGAGGCTCCATACTTTCTTCGGAAAATGTATAGCATCCCCTGGGAAGGCCAACGCCGATGCGTTTTCCCGCCATTCGTAGACCTTTATGGCTTAAGCACCACGCAGCTACCGCTTCTCGGTGTCCCCTAACTCTGCCGCTACTTCCAAGTCGTCCGACCGCTGATCATCATGTCGATGTCTCACAGCGTTTTCACGATACTTGAACTGGACATCTTCAGGACGGCTTGGACGGACACGACGGCGGCCGCTCCATTCCTGGAGGAGCTCTGCTCACCGGAGCACTTTACGGGGTTTTCGTCCTTCGTGGACACCTCCTTCCCGACTACGCACATTGGGACCACTTTTCGGGATGACCTTGGGGAGGTGTCCATCGCGGAATATGACCCTCAGTATACAGATTTTTGGCCCTCCTCATCGGTCTGAGAGACCCGGGATCTCTCTGCTATGACCCAATTGTCCAGGCCAAAAAGGCGAAAGAGATCTTCCTGACGCTGTGTTGTGCTTCAGTCTTGGAAATGGTCGTTAGACGTACTCTGAATGCCGGCCGGGGCCCTCCAAACACCAGAGCCGCTTTAATGGATTGTCTGAAGGACATACAAGGCGAATATGAACGAACTATTTGCAACAGTGGATTGAAGCAGTTGCTCCAAGAAGCAAAAACGGAGCTGGCTGATGCTGAAAGAAGGATCCTGCCTAAACGTTTGACTGGCATTAGACGTCGTCAGAGAGAAACCCAGCCGGATGAAACGGAGCAGTTGGAGGTTTTGCAAGCACGAGCCCAGAGAAACGAAGGTGGATGGTCAGAAAAAACGCTTTCTGGGCGGACCACATTCAGAATAGCGTAAGAACAGCTGTCGCGACTCCGAGCGCGGCATGAAGATCGCAGCATTGTCCGTGGACGGGTTCGGCAACTCATTCCTTGTCCGCCAACCATGGAATTATTCAGTGCTGCGTACGAAAGGTGGTTCTTGGGTGCAAGGGCTGGCACGGTAATTCATCAAGTCGCGAAGGCAACTGGCAGAAACCCAATGGCGAATCTGGACGAAGAGGAGGCAGAGGAATATCTCCGGATTCGAGGCTTTGGAAGGTATGGTGCGGCATCGGTGCCGGGGTACACTGAAGCTCGCCGCAACGAAGAAGCCATTAGAACCCTAATGACTGAAAGGAGCTGGGAAAAAGACTCTGGCATTGACGGTCTGCGACTCGCGTCATGCATGTTTGCGGTCATGCATTTGTCAACACACACAACAGCTCCCATTTTTGCAGCGTAGTCGACAAGCTGCTGACGTCCCAAGCAGATGGGCTACAGTACACTGGCGCATACTACGTGCATGACATAGTTGAGGCGCTGGAGGACGTAGACGAAGAAGTATTGCGGATTCAGCGGCACGATGCAGCAGATGTATTGAATGAGGCGAGACACGAACGGCGAAAGCGACCGTTTACTTGGATCGTTAGGGCTCATATACGCCAGGTCTGGCTCCAGCCGTAACTTTTTGCTTACCATGGCAGTCGACAGGGAGATCTCAGTTGCGGGGGAAGACGACGCAGAACTTATCGAGGATGCTTCAGCAATCATTGACCATAGAACACGGGACGCGCTATTGGACCACTTTGAGGATGCATACACGCGCAGCATCCCTCTGTGTGAAATCACATGTGGGTATTGAGGACGACCCTTGCGCATACTGTGCCATTGGTATTCCCTGCCGATCTGACAAGATCAGAGGAACTGATCGAGGAAAATTTATGGAGCAGCAACCTGTCCCGTTCAACCGGCAGCACAAGCATTACCGAAAGCAAGCAAGGTGCCATTTTAGTCCGAAAATGTATCGATTTCGAGAACTCCCGGTTGCTGTGCGGCGGTTACTATGGTTTAGTCACCGGAAAGGTGATCTGGAATACAACCCAATGAGGTGGAGGGCCAATTCGAGGAAATAACAAGCGTACCTTTCCCCGACAGCACATGTATTCTTTTTTATTTCCATATTTCCATATTTTTGTCCTTAAATAAATAGACGAATAAGGTTGTCATGTTTTGGAGAAAAAAAACCAATGCAGAAGGATCTCTTCCCAGTTCTATTTTCGCTACTCTCTTGCAGTAATATTGCAGCTTCATAAAACCTCACTTGTATATTATCGGTATTTCTAGAAACTTTATCATGACTTGAGATTCCGAGAAAGGTCTCTAAACGGTAACCAACTTTATTGAAGAACGATGTACTGTTTTTAATACAAGAACATATAAAATATATACATGTAATTGACTTGTCGATCCGCTTTTAAGCATTACAATTGTCGCGATCTGAATATGTCGAGCAAACCGTCAGAATGCAAAGTTCCACATCCGCTGGTCTATGTGATGAACGTAAGAAATAATAAGGTGGAGCTATTTCTTTTTTGATTCCAGAAGAATAGAAAGGTAACCGTTTTATTTGACTAGTATGATGAGAAATATGTGGAAGTATAAGTCTTTTCTCTGCACGACCCTTCATATTCGTTGATAGGTGCGAACGAGATTATTGCATCACTTAAAAGCCAGTCAACTGCAGCTCCCCTGCATGAGCGATATTTCGATGCAGAGTTAGCCGACTGTCCTTTCCTGCGTTTTCCATATACTGTACGCGACTGAATGTACTACATTCAACTCTGGAAAGCCGTACTGCTGTATAAGGAGCTCCTGTAGTAAAGCCACTCCGAACGTAGTAACGTTTTGACACTTGCTTCAGAAAGAAGGGCTTTTTTCATGACAATAATTGAAATTTTAAGAAAGCCCTTTTCTCATTTGAAAGATATAGTTCAAAGATATTTTATTATGCTATATTGAGCTCGTGCTTTTTTTAATGTAAGCGGCTGATTAAGCCCGATGTTTTATTTGCCAGCTCAAGGTATGATATTAAATAAATTCATAAAGAATGAGGAAAGATGTATAGTGCCAACTAGGAACAGACTGGGAACAGGCGTGACTACAAGGTTATAGCGATCTGGGGGAGGGTAATCTCGCGGTGGAGCTGTTTCAAAAACGAATTGGCGGATGGTGGAGGTGGGTAAGGGAGCGTTATTACAGACCAAGTTCCAAGGGGTTCTTCAGATGCCCAAAAGGATCGGAGTAATAACTCTGGAGCTGGGAATAATATGGGCCAAGACGGGGAAGGTCAACATAGATAGCGCTTACGTCGACCTCGGCTGTCGAAGAGCGGATTGATTCTGGCGACGTTGACGTCTCTAGCCCGATGTCAAGTCTATTTTGCGGACGCAAAGGAGGCCACATTATCACGAGAATGTTCATAGTATTACTGCCGAGTTTGATCTTTTGCTTCATGCCACTTCCATCTGACTCTTCAGAGACGCCTATGCAGAATGATTCGTACACGCAATTGGACGGACAAGCACCGATTCCTTGTCCGCAATCACTGCTCCGATATGCGGCTTAGCAACTGCATGAAGAAGTGATGGATATACACAAAATCCTATGTTCATATAATCGCCATTTTTTTTGCATCACAGCGCGAATAAATGAATTACCCAGTGTTCTTTGAAGGTGCGAGTTACCATTGTAGACCTTTGATGATGAACGACGTGTCGATCGATTCGTATGTCTCCATTACGAGCTTGCATGTTGTACAGTGCCCGGAAACAAAAAATTTTGGCAGTATTTTCGATTTCCGCTTGCATATATCTGGCACTTACCCATACAAAACTTGTTTGTTTTTCTGATTCCCAATATTAAACCAATCCCTATTTTTTGTTAAAGATGACTTTGAAACCCACTGATAAGGCACAGATTTACGCCATGAAAAAAATGGGTGCGGATCCCGAGATGATTGCGAAGCAATTCAAGATCTCTAGTCGACGCATCTTTCAGATCCTAAAAGAGGTTGACGAACGTGGCACGTTTGAGCGCAAGCAAGGCTCTGGACGACCCAGGAAGCTGACCGAACGTGACATACGACGTATTAAACATTATGCGAAGAAGAACAGACGTGCTCCTCTTGCTGAGATTCAGCAAAATGTTGCCCCTCATGTCCATTAGAAGACAGTCCGACATGCGCTGCATGACATGGGGATGTATTCGCGGGTGGCTGCCAAGAAGCCACATCTAAACGGACGGCACAGGGCCAAGAGACTGGAATTTGCCAGACGGCATAAGGACTGGACGGTAGAAGATTGGAAGAAAGTTTTGTGGACCGATGAATCGACCTTCGAGCTAGGTGAGAAGAACGGTCAGGTCCGTGTTTGGAGACAAGCGCATGAAATCGATGATCCCACCTGCCTAGCCCCAACCTTCAAGAGTGGACGATCCACTCAGATGGTTTGGGGTGGTATCATGTACGGAAGCAAGACGGACCTGGCGCTTTTCGAGAAGTACGGCGCTAACGAAAGACGTACTCGAAGCAAGTCGGCCGACTTCATAGACCTGGTCTACAGAGGTCCCCTTTTGCGGTTTTTGGCCGACCGAGAAGAGGAGATAATCCTCATGCAAAATGGTGCGCCGATCCACACGAGCATCATGTCAAAAACATGGATTGCCGAGCACAACTTGAAGAAGTTAGATTGGCCAGCTCCAGACTTAAACCCGATCGAGAATCTCTGGCGGGTAATGAAGGCCCGTGTCAGTGCCCAGTTCCGGGTGGGGATGAACTTGGAGGAGTTTCGGCCGACTATCATTGAAGCATGGAACTCCCTGCAAGTGGCGGACTGGAATCGACTTGTTGAATCCATGCCAGAGACGATTCAAGCTGTCATTGCAGCGAAGGGTAGTAACACCCGATGGTAGTCTTTTGTTACCCCTTTTTTTCGTTTTTTTTGTTGGTTTTTTTTTTTTTGTTTCTTTTTTTGTTTATAAAATACATATACCTAATGATTATACGTGTTGAATTTGATGTATGTGGCATTGTTGGTTGACTGGAGACATCCAAGAATATAGACAAGTAATGCATAAAGTGTGGTAAAAAAATTGGCGGAAATCGAAACTACTGAAATTTTTTATTTCCGGGCTTGTACGTACTGTACTTCTACCAGTATACCACAAGATCCTCGAGCATGTGCTTAAGCTCAAAAGCGAGCTTTAGGAAGGTCCGTGTAGGCGGAGCAACATTTATGGCTGGGCTTCTTGATTTCCCCGCTGACACGTTCATATCCCTTCAATGAAACCATCAGATCAGGTTTCAGAGCTTTTAACGATGTGTCGATCGGTCGTATGCCTCTCTGGCGACCTTGGACGACATTGTACGAGTACTGTGCTAGTACTCTAGATTCGAAACCTGCAGCACGGTGTGGAACAGAGACGTAATGGCGGCCATGAACTTTCAGTCCGTTTTTATGTTTATGGCGCACAATAACAATCAACGACCGCCGCCTTTCAAGCGCCCCGATACAGCCATGAATGCTTCTTTACAAAAGAATAAAGCAGCCAGTAGCTAGGTGACACTAGTTATCTGATGAAAGCGCATCTTTGTAGACAATCTATATGCGTGCTGATTAACTAACTAAACTTTATCACTGATGTCACCGTTGATCTATGTGGTATCCCCGAGTGGTGGTATTATCCATCCTTGAAGCGGCGTCCCGTACCAAAACGATACGCTTCCTTTTTTAAAATGAACTTGTCTATTATAATACCGATCGAACATCCACTTCCATAACATGGATTTATTATCGAGATCTAATCCATACCAGTAAGTTTGCCATTGTATTATGAAGGATCCATTCTGAATACACATTTTTTAGCCGAGAATACTGTTCATTGATTATTTCTGTTTTCGCATAAAAAATTGCAAATATAAAATAGACAAACAGTTCTACTAGAAGAAAGAGTCCAACAGTCTCAAGGGATTCTTTACAGTTTTTCCTTTTCCGATCTTTTCACATACAACAATGCCGTTTTATTTTGGTTGGATTCGCGTCGGCGACCCCATCGTTTTTTTATTCATGTCTGCCGCATCTTGATTAAAAAGTCACATAACGCAACGGCCAAAATACAATCTACAAACAATCAGTGTGGCAAGCTTGCTGTGCACAAACTTACCAGATTTCCCCCCGACTTGCATGATATGATATGTGCTGAAGAGACCAAAAAAAAAAAAAATTCGCGCTGCCATAAATAAGCCATTGTTCGGTTTTGCAAAGACCATTTCCACCCAAATTTAGGCAAATCGGTCCCATGATTCATCCTTGTATTCGAGAATGAAACAGCAGCGACCATTGTGGCTGACATGGTTGCCGTATGGTTATTGAACGCGATTTACTGTTTCTTTTTTGGAAAAAAAGCATCGATATAAAGGATTGTGTTCTCGCCTCTTGGTCTTCGTTTTCGTCAATTCGCTTCCTCTTCCTCTCTCTTTTACGCCAACTTTTACTCTCAAATCATATTCGCATTTATAAGAAACGCTCTCCGTCAACTGTAAAAAAGTAACTCTTGCTTATCAAAGGTACCGTTTCGTGCGCTTGAATGAGGAAACTTTTGGTTGTCACAGCTAACCTGTAGTTGTCGGTTTGTCAGTATTTCTTATCTGTACCCCGTTATCTTCATCGATCCAATGGCGAGTCCCACTGACATTGACAAGGTCAAAACAGTGATTACAACACGTCGATCCCTTCGGAGTCAAAAACCACTGGAACTAGATGATCCCATATGGGATGTATTTAATGCCGCTCATTACGACCTGTTGGCCGAATTGATCGAATCGCCCCTGTCACTTGTTGTCGATAAACATGAAGGTGTCTTGACGAGGAAACACTTCAGTGAAAACTACCCTGCCCAGTTTTATATTCGCGTACAAGAATGGAACAAAAACGAACTTCTGGATGCATTATTGCTATATTCGAAGACATTTCCAGCAGACGAAAATTGGGCTACTGAAGTTAGCTGGCAACTCGAGAACAAAGCGGATTCTACCCCTGTATCGCTACTTTACGCTGGCGTCACAATTTCCAAAACTTCCCGGAAACGTGCAGAATCGGACAGTTCACGAAGCATGAGTGGTGGCAGTCGCTTGCGCAATTGGCTCTCAGCGATCAAGTCCACACGACCCAATGTTTATACCATCCAGCAGCTCGGAGAACCGTCTACAACTGATCGTGAACACTTTCTCGCTCAAATCGGATATATCGAAGACATATTCATAAAGGCAATCGGATTTTGTTCTCTCAATTCAGCAAATGGTGGCTTCTATCCAGATTGGGTACCAGAGAGGAGTCTTCAAGATCTCTGGATGAAGGTAATGATATTTTGCGTATTATCTTTTTTGTATTCCTATCGCCCATGATGTAACCATACTGTCATTGATACCGATTGGACCTATATTGACTGTTTTATTGTTCATCATATTTACAGGTTATCGAAAAATATCACTATGTCAACCCAGTACCTGACGCGGATACATCTTCGATGGCCGACGATATCCAAGCACATTTCAAGGATTTCGGGAACTTTATCGCCAACATTTCGAGTACACTCGATATCACATCACCCACTGAAGCTTTTCTCAACTCAGTCATACGGCAAGCAACCCCACCAATTTACAAGGGCCATGTGGTGTCAGTCTTCATGGGCAAGGATGTGACAGTAGACAATTACAGAAATGCGACTTCATTTTGGGACAGAGCCAGCGGTCGATCAGCGGTCTTTCTCCGAAATCTTTTTGAACTCATGCATCGTCTTCGCCACAACCAAATTCGCTCGTTACAACTGCCTACCTTTATTAATATGTTCGGCGTATCTCCCAAGAATATTACGACCATTGCCTTACCGTACCTATCACGGTATCTTCGTATCGTTCGTCCTGTCGTTATTTGCGGCATGTCAAACCTTGTGTTTACGATGTTTCATACCGACACGTTGGCGTCTTCATGGCATCCTACTTCGTCAACATATATCAACTTTTTCGACAAGATGGAATCACCGCAACAGGAACCCGAATCAGAAGATACACTTATCAGTCTATTGAGCCTAATTTACGACGGAAAAATATCAACGACACGACTCGGGACATCGTATACGCGACACATTGGCGAACTTGCAATAATCCAGTATGGACCCGACCCCGCAAACATTTCGTTATATCTGCCTACCCGACATGCTGGCTCAATCAGTTATGATCCTGGAAAGGCCGCACTGGTGTCGCGAGAAATTTATCTGTCTCTTTGCTGTTACGAGGTGCTGAATGCCATTGTGTGCGAACGATTGTCTCGAGGTGACTTTCGACCTTCGACATCTGAAGAAATGATCACGTGGTATAACGGTATACGAAGGGAATATCGCGACAAATTAATGAAAGACGGCTTGTATGAACATTTGGATTCAACAAAACGAGACTTGACGTTATACAACAAATCCGTGCTGTCGACCAGATTAACGGCAGGAAAAAAGGCTCTCCAACGGGCGAACCTCACTAGCGACGACGAGGGGGATGTCAGTAGCGATGAGGAGGAGGAAACCTTACGGATTGACGGTCGATCATCCCGACCTCGGAACGAATTCCTTGGTGAACCAAACACGAAGCAACGTCAACAACAACTTGAGGATCTAAAGTCACAGCATCAGCATTGTATTGACCGGGGTTTGGTATTCTCCTGTGTAGCTTGTCCACGGTCCATGACACCCTTCACGGACGAATTTGATGCATGGTTTCTCAGGGTCAGCGCAGGAAAAGACATGCAGCGTGTGGCAGTGGCAACCGGCAACGATCCGACCAAAGGTCTGTCACCTGAGGAACTGGATGAGTATTGCCGGGTCCGTCAACTTGGGAGGTACGGAGCGCGGGCCAACAAGGACAAGAACGCTTTGGATCGACTGCATAACGTCCTTCGGTTACTATCCGACGAGCAACAATGCATGGGGCGGGTCAACGAGCGACATCGAGCGCCAGGTCACTTTAAGAAAGCCGCGTGTCAGAAGTGCGATGTGGAATTTATTAAGCACCATAACACGAAGCATGAGTGTGTAGTGGACGGTAGAACGCTCATGACACAAAAAGACGGTTTAGTTCACACTCATGTCTTTTACCCTCACGACATCATTGACGGCAGCGGTATAAACATTTCCCAGACGGACTTGGCGATATTGGGCATACAAGAATATGATGCATCTACGATTCTCAATGATATCCATTGGCGCCACAAAAACGACCGGACTCCAGGTTCCCTTGGTTTGGTCTATGCGACTGGTTCCCCGTCCCAAAGATTCTTGGTGACAATGGCGGTCGACAAAGATATCTGCTCCAATAATTTCGATTCTTCTCTCTCCGATTCGTGGCTTCACGAGACGAAATGTGCCGACCATCTTGTCCAGCATTTCACGGACGCAAACACGCGTGATTATCCCCTGGCAAAATTGACGTGTGGCGTGAAACAAATACCCGACTCGCCTTGCTCATTCTTGTCATACCGGATACCATGCCGACCTTCGGAACTCCAAAAGAAACGAGCACGAAACGATGACGGGACGAGGAAGGTCATAACCCCGGGATTTTTTACAACAAGTCCACAGCACCAGCATAATTGTCACGATGGAAAGCGAAGAAACAAAGCGACAGAGGTCCACCAGCCGTTTATCCAGACCTTCCATGAGTTACCTGTGCTGATTCGTCGCTTTCTCTGGTGGAAATCTCGGGGTGAAACAGAAGAAAGCGATTGGTCCGATATTCTCTTGTCATGGGGACAAGGCTGACACGATTAGGTGTCCCTTTTTCGATGGCTTTGTCTCTTGGAATTATTTTCTCTATTGATTTTTCTTTTCGTTTGGCTGCTCGCCCCTATTTGCATACGGGACTGTGCTGATAAATGGTCGTCTGATTAATATTGATAAAAATATAAAAAAAGGAAAAAAAAAAAACGACACGGGTTGATACAAGAACCATGTACAGGACCTTTTTTTTTGAAAGGGCTATTGGCCCGGTGTTTTATTTGCCCGTACGTCACAGTGAGCGGTACGAACAAGGCGTGAAATTAATGCATATTGTACATGAGAAGTAAAAGGATGAGGATGCATGGGGAAAACCGATGGTAGGGGCATGGGTTATGGGGAGATTATTTAACTAGTCAGAGTTTTGCATATTATTGACGTTGATGTGGCGATGGAGGTGCTTGAGAACAAATTGTCGGATGGTGTCGGTAGAGAAAGGAGTGTTGTCGAAGATGAAGTGCCAGTGGGCTTTCCATATACCTAAGAGAATGGTGGCGACTATGGTGGAGCTTGGAAGGATTGGCGGTGAGGGCGGAAAGGAGAACGAGTATAGGGCTTGTTGGACGGCGGAAGAAGTGGGTGAAAGAAGCAGGAAATCAGACCATAGTGTAGACCAGACTTGCCATTTGAGGGGGCAATCATAGAGGAAATGAGACATAGTTTCAGGCTGTGTGAGACATAGGCGACATAGAGGAGAGGGGAAATTATTCGGAAAGATGTGATGTAGAGTGGTCAAATGCGGGAGCTTGTGGTGGAGCAGGCGATACCATATGTTACGAAGATTCGTGTGTTCACAACACCGTACTGTACTGTAATACAGTATTGAAGAAAAATGGGAGAATACCAAGTCAGTATGGCAGTGAAACATGTTGTGTATAGTATGTAGTTAACATATCTGTAAACCTCAACAGGCCATTGTTGCCCGGAAGAACCAACCAAGTGGGCCACTTGCACCATCCGAGTAAGGAAGCCTCAAAACATCAGCTACAATGCACAGTAAACAAAAAACAAAAGAGAGCAGTATTCCACCCAAGAACAGGAAGCAATCAAGAACCGTAATGCTATTTTTTCGGATAAGTCGAAGAACAGGAAAAATAGGAGGTCGGGTGATGGCAGAAGGGAAGGTGGCATACCGTTGATTGAGAACTTCTGCTCACTACCCTTTCCTATTTAATTGAAGAGCTATCATATATTGACGATGCACGCAGTTTATGAATGAAAATATTTTACAGCCAGCGATGATAAAATTCAGAGTTATTTGAACGACTGCTTGCAGCCATATAGTATACATCGATGACGCTTAGTCATAAAAATGTTATCATACATAAAGAAAAACTACAGCAACTTCTCTATAGCTTCCTATTTCGAAGTGATCTGAATCGCCAACCGCAGGATAGCCGAAAAGGATTTCAAGCAGTTGTAGAAATCTCGACAAAACGAATCAGAGATCTGTTGTTTCTTGGGCCGAGCCATAATAACAAATGACTTAGAGGTATGCGTATGGCTGCTAACATCTTTGCTCACTGTCAACGTATTAAAAGCAATGAACGATGCAGCCAAGTTTCAAAAGATAGCAGCCTTGCGGAGGAATCGATTTCAAGCTGAAGTTGACAATGAAGTACTGGATTATGCCGAAGGTACTGCAATCGTATGAAAACAGACTGTGTATATAATATGTATATCCTAATGGTGAAATCCTTTAGGCTCAAGTGGTATGACCGACCGACCTTAAGCCAAGTAACCTGTCTGTTGCCACTTCTTTCTCCACCCATTCAAAGACAGATACACAGACACAGATCAAAACTTTCCATTTGCTCTGCTTTAAATACGGGCTAAGTCTTCAGTGCCCGTCCTGTCAAGTAGTGTCCACACATCATCCTATTACTTCAGCATCAAGTCAACAACAATCATAAAAACAATAATTTATTGAATGATCGTATAAATACAGATCAAGGGTCAAATAATAAACGATATCTCGGGTTTCCAAAAGACTTACTGTACTTTGTCTCCTGATTGTACCATTTTGATCCCTAAATTTAACATTATCATCCGACCAAGGGCATCATATTTTGATGCCCTTGGTAAACAATATGCAAAATACTCATAATTTATGCTTGAAACCAATCGCAGTAGACAGCTGGAGAGAGCTTTTCCGAAATTCTAAACGAGCATCGACAAAGTGTAGTAACTCTTGCCAAGGAACATGATTTGGTAAAAATTGAAACATGCTGTCAGTTCATGATGAGCTTAATATTATTGCAAAAAAGAGCCTTAGCTGTTCTCCACTGACTTATTCAGCGCATTGAGCCGCATCTACTATTTCCATGTAACCATAGATAAGACATCTGGCAAAAGCTACCGGAGTGCTTGCATGATGGAAACAACCAGGACTTGCGTTTGTTTGATAGCCTGTACTATTTACCCATAAGGCGATAGAAATGTGCCGAGAGCTGAACAAAGCGTAATGGTCAAAAGCCGCGAACTTCATACCCAATGTCCAATCGATGATATAAAGGAATATTGACATGATAAAATAAAATAAAATAAAAAAGACATGAAAAACACTGGTCCGCGTGAAAAACACTGGTTCGCCCTTTTATAGCGTCGGAAGCTTTAGATAGTAGTCCATACACAAAACCTCCAACTCATTTATAGGAGCACCAATATTTTTTGACAAGTGCAATCTATCACTCTGCCAAGACTCTGGCCCAAGTAGCTTCTCAATCCAGGAACAGCAAGGGCTCTGGGATACACTGCCTACCCGTCCAGCGGGCCTATGTGACTGTCAATTTCCTGCACCTCCGTTGCCCCAAACAATATCGTTGGCATTAACTTTGACCAATAAAATCTCGTGCAAAATACTTCTTTAACCTCTTATAATTGTAGAATGCAAGAAAATAACAACGGGAGCGGCTTAGCACAGAGGAAGTGCGTTGGGCTCATAACCCAAAGGTCGGAGGATCGAAACCTCCAGCCGCTAATCTTTTTTCCTCATTTTTGGTGAGGGGAAAATATTTTGTTGGGGCATCGGGAAAAATAATATTTTTTTGGGTGACCGACAGGTTTTTTTTGCCGAGCGTTGCACTGAATGCTCTATGCAGCGGTGTAGGATGCATGCGTGGGTGACGGTAGGATAAGTGAGTAGGATGCGATTGTGAAAGAGGGATAGTGCAAGGATATATTTTTTTTTGGTGGATATGAAAACGGCAAAAAATCGAGTTGCGAATGGCAACGGTGGGACAAAATGAAAGAAAAGGAAGAGAATGTGTCGTTACCAGGTGGGCTCCTACTTTTTTTTTTTTTTTTCTAATGTTTTTCCTTTGAACAAGGATGAGGATAAAGAAACAATGAATCAGTGTTGAGTGCATACGTAAGCTGCAGCCATGTAATATTTTATAATAAAAAATAAAAATAAAAAAAAGAGAATCGAGAACAAGACCTCACCCAGTGAAGTGGATTGGAAAGTGGATGGAAACGTAGATCGTGGCAAGATAAATCAAGAACAAGGGCTACAGTGTATCATGGGTGGGCACGTTTTTTCTTTTCACAACAAAAGGACACCGTTGGTGTCCCATACCGCCTGGGTAACGAACGCTAAATGGGTTCTTTATTTTGATAATTAACCAAAAGGGAGGAGCGAGTGAACGACTAGGACTAGGACTAACGTAAAATTAACAAAAAAAAAAAAAAAAAAAGGAATACATATATCGTCGCGGCTGTGGTAATAACGATGGTAAAAATTGTGCAAGGTGTTGTGCTTGTAGTTAACAGTACGTAAAGAAGGGCCTGACAACTGTTGCTTTATTCTGAGAATGACAAGAAAAAAGTGGACTAAAATAAATAATCGAAAACTATCAGAGAGAAAAATATCCATCATGGCTGTGGCAGTGGTAAAGATCAAAAAAACTTAAGGCAAGGTGTTGCACTTGTATTTTAACCGTGGGGAAGACTTGGGCAAGTGGTGCTTTATTTATTTGCGGTGGTGGCGGTGATGAAAAGGAAAAAAAAAAAAAAGTTGTTGGCCATGTTACGTACTTGATAGTGCCTTCCTGGAAACTACCAAACGTTTTAACCCAATGAATAACAAGGTACAATCGTAATATCCAAAACGCATCGGGGCTATATGGCCATGGTAACGGGGCACCCAATGATCAAGGCTTTCAAAGTCGGTTGGTCATCCAACGTATGGCTCTTTTTACTGATATCAACATAAAATTTCGGTTTATCCATAAAGATCATCATTTCCAGTTTACTATTTTTTGGGTGAAGGTACAGGTCAAGCATAGACCTCGAAAGTGAGCAGATGGTGACTATTTCAGAGCGTGATGTATGCAGTCCATTCATGTTCAACGATACGTGACAAATCGAAAATGAAAAATAAAATAAGCAACATCCTTTTTCAATGTCTCCCTCTTTTGACTACAATTGTCATGATGGAGAGCAAATCATCCATACGCTCCTCCACCTGCCACCGGCAGCGAAAAAAAAGAACACCTGCTGGTATACCTATCCCCATTTCCCAAGCAAAATTTGTAGAATTTTTACACTCTGTAAAAATCATTCTCCTCCCTCGAAGGCTACAATCATTCTTTTTTTTTTTTTTTTTTTCAAGTTGGGCCATTGGACAGCTGTCTTTGCATGCATCAGATGCCCTGAGCGTTGGCGAGGATTCTACGTACCACCTTGTCAACCATTGGTGCAATGGCATGACCATCGTGCAAACCTGGTAATCCTTTTTTTTTTTTTTTTTTTTTGTTAATGACTATTACTTTTTGTGCAGAACCTTGTCCCCTAAATAACCAAACCTGGCTTGTTTCCATTAGATTAGAACGCCCAAAAGCCTTTGAAAAAATTCAAAGTCCATATTTCATTGCAAATAATAGGAACAATGCTTTTGATGAAGGTTCACATAGAAAGAATGAGATGTCAGTCAAAAAAAAAATCAAGTAACCCAGTCCTGGCATCAGTAACAGTATGATCCAGAGGCTTGTAACTCTGAGGACCCCGATTTGGTTTGCTTTGATTTATCCCATGTTTTTTTGATCCGTGTCCTTGGAAAGTATGAAAGCATGATCTTCTTGGCCTAATGGTTGGCAACACCACCCCCTCCCCCCAAAAAAAGGGAAAAACCGTTAACTAGCAAAGGAAATTAAGCTTAGAAAAAAAAAAACTATTGTATCGTTGGCCTTCAGCTATGAGTTGAGACGGGTGACCCCCAACCAACAACTTGGCTGGGCAAGTTGTTGTAACTTGTTCCCCTATCCCACCCCCATCCAACTTATAGCTATTCCATGGGCTCGGGAGCCGGCTCGTCTGGTCGGAAGCCTACAAAATGTCAGTACCATCAAAACTTCCCTACAAAACGGTTAGTATTGTCAAAACTGCCCTACAAAATGGTTAGTACAAGCAAAACTGCCCTACAAAATGTTAGTATAACCAAAACTTGCTGAAACGCCAATCAGCGGGCATCGAGTCGTCACCGGAAGAGAAGCGAAGCGGGCAGAACAGAACAGAACAGTGCAGCACAGAGCAGAGCAGACACGTCTTGAAGCCTACGAAATGTTAGTATCTTCCCAGCTGCCCTACAGATGTTAGTACTATAGAGAGGTCGGTCGGCAGTGTGTGATGGTCAAAGGGGACGTCTGAGGAGAGAAGAAGGAAAAAAAAAAAATGAACCGGGAAGAGGAAGGAACAAAATTTTTTGCCGCAGCACCCTTTTTTTTCCCTTTTTTTTTTTTTTTTTTGTCAATGCAATAGACGGTTGAAAGGCAGCCATCGAATGAAAAAGTCGAAAAAGGCTAGCCTTGCGAGAATTAGGTGTAGAGAGACGTTCCGCATTTGTATCGACGCGTAAAATTAATTCATTGGTATCCCCGCAACCATGGGGAAGCAACAAGAAGGTTTCGCACTATGAACAGTCACACCTCTTGAAGAAAAAGACAAAAAAGACGGTGCAGAAGAAGCCCAAGCGGACATTTTTAGATTTTCAAGTTCGAAAGGCATCGAACCTGATATTCGATCGCTGGCTCCCGTTCAAGATTATCCTGTCCCATGACATTGGCGTTCTTTTACTTTTTGTTTACATCGTTATAAATCTGAAACCTGCTTGGCATGGCGAACCCATAGAAACTCGAAGCATCCGGTTAGAGACGCCCCGAGCCGAGTTACGATATGAAGATGAGCTTGAGAATTGTTTGTATCTGTATTTTTTTTTTTTTCATTCGCTTTTGGCTGCCTATTGTATCTCACACATCTCTTTTTAGAAGGAGAATCTGATCCGACAGATACTGTTCGATCAATAATGGATGATATGTCTACAGTCTACAAAGAACAATTAGCCCGTTCTAATGACCGATGGTAAACATCGACTCTTATTTCCCAGCGGCATTTGTGTGAGAGCGGAGACAATCTGAAAGTGTTGGATTATGGGTGGCAGCCTTTTATGTCAAGGAGACAAGGACAACGCAGCAGTGGCAAAAAAATGAATCACAGGCAACCATGGGAGAGATGAAGCAAGGAAAGAAAATCGAAATCATTGTCACCATTTACGGTATTAAAGTGTTATGCAAATATGGTATCGTTTTTTATTACAAGAGAATTTGAATGCGAAAAATTTATCACATAAAATGAATTGCAGCAATTGGACCAGACTTAGCAGCACGAGTGTCGTCGAGATATGTGCCTAAATCCTGTATACGAAAGCGAGTTGAGCCGCGGTTCAGTCGCATACGCAGGGATCGGAACAAAAACTGCTGATCCATCCGGGATTCGGCATCGAGGATAATGCAATCTTTATTTGCTCCGTCTGCCTGCGAAAAAAAGAATTAGCTTCACAACGGTGACACTATCACTACCATGGTTGAGTATTTCCTTTCAATTACTTCTTGACACTTTTTGGCCAGTATTCTTCATGCCTTGTAAATACCGGTCATCTATTATGGAGTATCATGTACTTTCAAGTGTGGTATATCTATTGAACAGCGTGCTAAAGTAGCCATAGTGTACCCAGCACGAATAAAAAGTGTACGGGTACCTGTGACGGACAGAGTTGATCATTTTAAACTATTCGCTACGTAGGAAACGAACCTTTTCCTATCCGAGTATCTCGTCTGAAAAATAGTAAAAAAGCGCATTGGATGAGGGCACACCATATTGCAAGGCACTCAGTCTAGGTAGGGGAAACAAAAAGGAAGAAAAAACATAGTTGACATTCATCAACAGTGCATGGATGGGTTGACTGATACAGTGCCAGTGGACAGCGATCGTCTCTAGACAAGCGAATTTTTTTGGGGGATTGATGCACACAAAATTATTTGCTGGCCAAAGGGCCACCTTGAAATACTCGCTATTGATGCCTTGATTTTTGGAAACGGTGCGTGCAGAATGGGGTTTGCCAAGAACCTAATAGCCAATTCGATTCTCTTCTCCACAGCAATGTATTTTTAGATCTCAATGTCGGGCTCTCAATTCTCCACTTTCTTTTTTCAACATACGATGCGTGACCTTGACAATCCCGTTGAACAAAGGCTTTTGTTTTTTTTTTAATTTCATTTTCCAATACTATTATGAACCATAGAAAGACCTCATCTCAGTCGTCTATCGGCATATCGCCACAAGCCATGTTCAATAATAGCTCAGTTTCTTCAGGGTCTCCTCTGAGCTCGCCTTTGGCGTCTCCCATCAGCTCACCTTACATGACGCCAGGCGACTCTTCGTCCTGGGACCAGCTTCAGAATCAGTTTTCGCAACAAATGTCACTACAGCCTCCATCTACCCAACCCGTAACGAAATCCAATGCCAACAATACCTTTGTACATAAGCTTTACAAGTAATGGAACTCTCCGCTTTTACTGGCCATGGGCCTGGCCTTTTGTTTCTGCTTTACTGATGCCTTTCATCATCATGTAGTATGGTGGTTGATAAACAATACCAGCATCTGATTGCTTGGACATATACCGGCACATCGTTCATTGTTTGCAACATTACCGACTTTTCACGAGATGTTTTACCAAAGCATTTCAAGCATAATAACTTTAGTAGTTTCGTACGGCAATTGAACATGTAAGTTGCCATGAATTTGAACAAAAAAGAGACCCGCTTTGCTTACCGTGACCCAATGTGTAAGGTATGGTTTCCATAAAGTGAACAAGTCACCGCGTGGTCATCGTACTCTGGCAGAGAACCAGATTTGGGAGTTTTCTCATCCCAAATTTTTAAGGGGAAGAGCCGACTTGTTGGACGAAATCAAACGCAAGGCCTTGGATAACGATGTTGTTCGACGAGATACCGGCGATATGAATTCTCACATGACCATGATGCAAGTGGCGCATTCCGAAATGATGCAACAATTGGGGCAATTGCAAGAAAACTTTTCACAAGTAATGAAGGAACTTTCAGAAACAAGACGAAGGCAAGCTCAGCAGCAGTATATGCTAAAGAGTATGATGGACTTTTTAGCACAACAATATGGGGCACCACGTGAGTCGATGCCCATCTGGGATTCATTCATGATTGAGATTACTGACCATTCATCTTCGTGAACCATTGCGACGTCTGCAAAAATAGTACAATTGCCTTCCGATTACACCTTTGAAGCCTATGATTCCAAAGTGGACTCTGAAAGGCCGCCTTCCATTTATGTGACTTCGCCCGATGTTCATACGCAACAACAACAATTACAAACACTTTACATGTCAATGGAAGGACAGCCAACAAGACCGTCACCGTCTCCAACCTCTCATTCATCCGGATCCACCGCTACGCACCCAAACAGACCACCGCCTTTGACAGTTCAAACACAAAACATTCATCCATCATCACCCTTGAACATGAACATACCTTTCCACTCGATGGACACCAATCATCAACCTGTATCACCATCTTCATTGAGCGCCTATCAATCTGCTGTTAATACACCTCTACCGCCAAGTCCGAATCCGAATGCCTTCTTATCCGATGATGAAGCCGCAAGCATGTATAGCCCACATAGTCCTCATACACCTAATAATTACATCCAGTCGTCTGAGCCAAACGTACAACAAGCGCATCAGCGATTCGCAATACCAACAGCCGTCAGCCATCATACAAATGATTCAATGTCCTATGCTATGGGTGTAACCGAACCTGCAGATTGCATTTGAAAGTAGATACGCGTAATCATGAATGATTCCATTTTCTTTTTTTGTTTTTGTTTCATAATCTCTATCCCCCCTCTTTTGTTCTACCAAATCAGTTTTTACTCGGTCGATTATGGTGTAGGTTAGCATTTTTTATTCGTTGAACAACAGTTGCCCATCCACGTTTTGACGAAAGCGTATCGACCCTAGCAACGCCTTGAGCATGGCATTGTGTTATGCTCAGGTTTAAAAAAAAATTCTTGTAGCAACGAGTCATCACCACGCAACCACGCGAATGCTCCGATATCCATCGATAAGTTTATGCAACTTGGATGCGTCCTGCATCAGCATTGCTGTGGATTGAAGGACGCGGTGCATGTTAATTACCCCGAGATCAGCATCAGCCCACACCACATGAATAAATATCTGTTTGCGATGAGACCCAAATCCCAAAGTTTGTAATCCCATGTTGGCAACCCCACAAAGAGATACACTGGTCTCTGAGCGGCCCTTCTTCCTCCCTCCTCCCAAATCTTCCTATTTTCCATGAATCTCATACAAACGAGCTATGGCATCCACAGACCCATCAATACAAGCAAAGAGGTAGTTGGCATCAATCCGAGCGACGCACCCAATCCCAGCCTATGCTGCTTGTCTTCGTCCAAAATTGTCGTCCTTTTCTCGTATACAATAACAACACATCCACTCGAGATAACATTGCCAACACCGCCTCACGTTTTTCCATTTGAATGAAAGGAAATTGGCTTTTATGACACGTATCAACATGGTACAGAAAATGTAATTTAAACCTTGAAGCCACGGCTGGCACGCTTACCACGAGCACGCTCAAATTTGCGGCCCTTGGAACGAACATAGGGCTTCTTGTTCTTGTGAGGACCCATACCGAAATGCTTAACGGCTTCACGGCTGTTCTTGGCACCACGAACCAAGATGGTGTTGGAACCGGTGGGGGCACGGAGAGCCAACTGATCCAAGGTCAAAACTTCACCACCAGCCTTCAAGATGCGGGCCTTGGCGGTCTTGGTGAAACGAAGAGCAGCAACGGAAAGCTTGGGCACTTCGAGCAGACGAGAATCATCAGTGACGGTGCCAACAACGACAATGGTCTTTCCGTCCTTGGCATTCTGAGCCAAGCGAGAGATGGTGACGGGAGGACGGTTGATACGAGACATAAAGAGACGCTTCAAAACGACTTTGTTGAACTGGGCGTCGGTACGGCGGGCAAGGAAGCGGTAAAGCTATCATTTTATGATCACAAAAATCATCAATTCACGTTCCTTGCACTTTCTTCGGTTGACGGAGACGTATCGCTTTGAATTACCTTGACCAACAATGCCAAGTAGACGTTGTCCGACTTGGGAGCAGTGCGGTTAGTGTTCTTTACGTGATGATGCTTAAGGTCGATACCCTATTCAAAGAACAAAAGGTAGTTTTAATAATTCGTTGCTCATCCGATAAAAATGCGGTATCATCGTTCATCCATCCGTTTATATTCATGTTTGTTATCTATGATCGACCATCCCCGCTCTGTTGATGCTCATCATCCACATCACATACCATTGTTAAGCCGATTAGGAAAGAAGGATTGCCTCTGTTCAGCGAACCATTGTCCTCAAGTGGGTCCGTCGATTTGTCCGAGGGGTGCTGTTCTGTGAAAATGCACAGTTCGAGCCGTTCTGCCGGAGCGTGACTGCTTTTGGCACTAGATCGCAGGCTCAGCGACGGTCAGTGAAGAGGTTCACCTTTGCGTTTTCAATCACGCGATGAAGATGCCTGAATATAATTAGTATTAAGTAACCAGTCCACGGAAGCTCGCAGGTGCTCATCATTTGGAGATGGGTAACATTGATCCTTTTCTTTCACAGTCGTTTGGGGAATAAAATAAAGAACCATGCAGTCTTTCGCTTAAAAACTGTGATATTGACCGAAAGGAAAAAATGGTCGAGCTGCTTATTACCGCAATGTCCCTGTATTTCTCGGCATTGTCTTAAGTTTACGCTTTCAACCATCGAAAATGAATACAGGATACTTTTCAGTAGCATTTGTAGTCTCTGGAAGAGTGAGACCACTATCCATCTACTATTTGGTTGATTGGTCCCTTTTTTCATAGCCTTATCCCCAAGTTCTCTTCAACCATTCAAGTCAATAAAAACAAGGTTGAATTATGGAGAAAATGTTCTACACCGCGAGCTTCGCGGCAGGGCGAGGATTTTATCACCAAGCATAACAGTAAATAACAGAGCTTTATCGCCAAATCCAATTTTGATTATCGTAGTCAAGGAAACCACGCAATTCGCGGACCAATACACACATCAGTGTTGATATTCTCGGTAGGAATTCTTGAAACAACCCCTTTAATGATATTTAGTATGAAATAAGTCCTGTAGAAAATAGGAAACATCGAGCCTATCAAAGTTTTTTTTTTCTTCTTTTCCTTTGCTGAATTCTCTTTCGTTAATGTGTCTTTCTGATTGGAACACAAATGTGCTCAGTCATCACTGAGAGTAAAGAAGACTAGGTATATTCGTTATTCCATATTTGATGTGGAGAAAAGCCATACTACCGACCAACAATGGTTCCGGCGCGTGCTCAGCATATTGACCATCGCTAAATAATACAATACTGCGTACTCGCATGATTCCTCCGGGCAACAAAGGCCCGTCTGCGACCAACAGATACAATTACTAATCAAAAGTACTGCCATCCTGACTTGACATTTTTTTCCGTTCCTCCTCCGCTTGACCACATCATATAGACTGTCTTGTTATTCGCATTGTTTGTTATCTGTCTGCTCTCGGATAACCCATCCCCTAACCTTTTCTTTTTTTCCTCTGTCATTTTGAGCACTGGGCTTCTGGACTGGTACTGCAATTGATGGCCGAACTCATTAGACTATATGCGAAGTGTAAATCCGAATCTTATGCTACTTAAACCGTTTTCCCACAATAATGAAGCATTGATTTCTTTCTTTCTGCCACACATGTCCCAAGCAGCACAATCAACGTTGATCCCTCTACAGTTTATTCAACTTTGAAGTCACAAAAAAATGGGTGTTCAAATGACCAATAAAAAAAATGGAGAAACAACCAAAGAGAAATCAGATTGAACGAAACAAATTGGGAAAAAGAGCATAAGTCAAAAAATGTGGTCAGACAGACGAAAATAGAAAAAGAGCAAGTCAGTATGACTATATAACAAAAAATGTTGAATGCAGCTGGATTACCTGCAACATCTACAGGCCTTCGTTTCCCGGAAAAACCAACCAAGTGGGCCAGGACGGACTACGCAGTACTGTTCAGCGCTTGTCGAACGTGGAGAGCACGCGCCGGAACCGTCGATGGTCGGCCAGTTGAATAAATCAATTATAGGAAAATCATATTTAGAATTACAAATTTCTATTCTTAAAGGATCAACAGCCTTGAGCTTACTTTCAGTTCAATGCAAAAAAAAAAGACAACCTCGGAGAAAAAGATGAGCTTGAAAGGTAGAATGGAGGTTCGGGGAAAAGGAAAGAACTTTGGCAGACGCGGTGGGATGTCCATTTATAGACTTTTTTGATGGACTGCTGTTGAGCCAGTCACTGTTGGGAAATCTCGTGAAAAGTATCATCGCATTAGCTGCGATGTACCAAAAAATAAGGGTGGGGAGTGGTAATAGAGCAGAACTCAAAGAAGCAAACAAAAAACTTTTCATGTCTTCAAACCAAATGTAAACCTAGACGCGGTACTACAAGAAGCTTTTGTGGTCTCTTGCATCCGAATAAGGAGGCCTCAAAACATCAGCTGCAATGCACAGTAGACAAAAAAAGAGAGAAAGAGAACAGTGTTCCACGGAATGACAGGAAGCAATCAAGAATCGTGATACCATTCTTTAGGATAAGTCGAAGTACAGGAAAAATAGGGACCGGATGATATCAGAATTGAAAGGTGGCATCATCCATGATCGAGAACTTCTGTTCACTTGCCTTTACTATTTGAGTGAAGAGTTGTATTGTTCATTTACGGTACATGCGGTTATGAATGAAAAATATTTTACAGGCGGTGACGACGACGAAATTCGTAGTATGTGAACACTTGCCACTACATCTGCTCACCGCTATGTATCAGCTCAATTCTAAAAACATCGATGTAAATACGGACGAGTCCACAAAAGTTGCCACATGTGCGTAACACTATAATAAGACATTCTCCGGTCGTATGCAACGCCGACATCAAAATGGTCAGCCTTTATCGGCTTAGGTGTCATTTTATCCTAAAATAGAAGAAAAATAAACGGATCCCTCTACCGGAATCATCCGCCAGACGCAAAATCAACCTCCAAAATTTCGTGTCTTTATTACCTCAGGAAATACTGAGAGTTATCTTTTCGTACTTATCCTTCAGTGAAATGCCCGTTCAATGCTCTGCAGTATCCAAGACATGGCACTATTTTGTTATGAGCTGGGGTTGGGAAGACCTCGGCTTTGGTTTTGATCCTCAACGTTCTTTGACTCTTCCCGCTTCCTGTATAATGCAAATTTACGATGCCTTTCTGATTTCCACGCGTCTGATTACCAAGGTGAGGAGATGGAAAAAATCCTGCAAATACTCGTGCAAAAATACCCGAAAAATTGGCAAGTAAAAAGTACTTGATTTAATCAACAAATGACAGAAAGAAATTTACCAAGTTGACTGCATATTTCACAGATCTATTCGATTGTCAAGTGCCACATTCTGTCTTTCTTCTTCGAAGGCTCTGTTATATCGCCAGCCACATTACGCAGTTGATGCTGGAGGACTGCTATATAGAGATGCACACAATGATTCTTTTAATCCTCTACACGCAGCATACCTTGATAGACTTATCGATTATCGATTGCGAAGACCACAAATCAATGAGTCAAGCTTGGATATTCTCTTCGCCATTCCCCTCACTACTCAAAATTCGCTCAATATCTCTGAGCATGTACTCCTTACACCACCTCATTACTACACAGTTTTCGGATTATTGGTGGCCGCGTGTCCTGACCTTCGACAGTTTTATTTATGCCATAAGGACAGCAGCAACGCCTCATGCCTCTTTCGATTACTCAAAGCATGTTGTCCGCATATGGAAAGCATCAATATTGATGCCCCCCCCCCCCCTTCATGTACCGAAGTAGCCCACTTTATGACAAGATTTATTCGCGAAACACAAGAGCGGGACCGGGACTCCGTGAGTTTATGATAACACAATTGGAGGAAACGCCAGATAAAGTTATTGAAGCCGCACTCAAGAATCAGCAAGAAAGTCTAGAAATTCTCAGATTGGAAGAATTACCGGAAAGATGTAGACTTCCACACTATGTGAGCCATTTTATGTGGCTCGATTATGTGAACTATCGCTGAAAGAGTCTACGGTGTTTGAAAAAAGCCATGTATGCGCTTTGATCGAAAAAGCCCCCTTGCTACAAGTCATTAATCTGTCAGATTTTGAGCATACGACCGATCGAGTCATGGAAACAATGGCCAAACTGGAGCATCTGGCGAAGGTGGATGTTTCATATTCGGTTGTCACAGCTATTGGCGTGCGCATACTGCTGGCCAATGCCAGACGTTGAAAGTGCTGACGGTGATTGATTGTGGTTCGCTGGAGCCTGATATCATTCAATACGCCGAAGACATTCTCGGAGAATCGCACGTCAGATACAAGGACCCTGAAACGGATTCAGAATAACCACGATCGATACTGCACAAGCTCCGACAGGGTTATACTATGCTCATTGTACTTAAATATCTTCGCAATAAAATAAAAATTCTTTAAAATCTGCATTATCGTGGTGATGTGTTTGGAACTGGGATCCAGTCAAATTGCTTTACCTGTGATGGGATTGGCGTGGGGTAGCATCATTTCTTGCGGAACTTCACGAAAGGTCGATACTGTTTCCATTGCGTGTTCTTGAAAACGTTGTGATTCAATCTGCCTGTTACTAACCAGAACGATCAAATTGGTACTAGAAAAACTATATTGCTTCAGAATTCGAAGGAAATATTTAAAGTTGAATCAAGGTTAATAGGGGTCTTGAAGAATACGCTGTGCGATCAAACTCCAAAAAGTGATTATGATTTCAAAAATCAAAACTTGCACTGCATGCAAATGCGAGTTAGGAATCTGTAAGCTTGAATATCAATGTGATGCGTTTAATTTGTAATGCATTAGAGAGCGGTAAGAAAGAGAAGCATCCATTGTATGATCATAACTTTCAGTCCTGCGAATTAAGATTTGGAGTTTCCTATTGACACAGTCTTCTTGAAAAAGGTTTGTAATATCTAAGGTGCCACAAGCTTTTCTGGTGACCTAGTTAGTCCATTTGGCTGTTTAAAGTTTGTCACGTTTCGTCCGTCATTCGGGTCGCCGTTCGTTTCCTTATGTTATATCATGTCCAAGCGATCACAATCATAATTATACCCTGCTCCAGGTATAGCGGACAAAAGGAAGATAAGTACTTGAGAATTTGTAGCTTCTATCCCTCTGAGAGATATTGATCCTCATCTTTTCGTACCTGTGGTCTAATGAGCGGTTCCGTTGCTTAGCTCCAGCCGAATTCTGGCGCCACTTTATTCAACTAGGGCCTCATGTGGAAAAATCGATTTCTCTGGGAAAGGACTCTCGAACATGCTCCACCTCTTCTGTGAAGTGAATCGACGATATGTCTCTACTATTTGGGCACAAGACGGCGACAAAAAAAATCGATATTGTGCTCCAAATACTGATCGACAGGGACGGTGACAATGTTCGGAAGCTGAGTAAGGAAATGTGTAAAGTTTAGCCAATCAATTGTACAAAATTGATCCATGAAAGTTTGACGCATGTTACAAATTTGCACTGTAGCCAATGTTCATCTTTTCTCTTTCTGAAAACATTTGTCTTATCGGACTCCCTCAGCCTTCTTTCTCAAAGTGAACCTTTGATATCTGCCTTCCCTTCCAATCGAAGCTGCGCTCATTACGTCTCCCTGGAAAGCAACAGCAACTCTGAAACGAATTTGCGGTCGCTGGTTACGCCATGTTTCGATCTTGAACATATTTTGATCTGTCTACCGAAAACACTCAAAGCACACGCTCCACAATTGCCATACTTGGCGGTCGATTGCAGTAAATATGCGTCTTCTCGTTTACATTTACGAAGAGAGAGAATGGCAAAACACATCATGGCGACCAGGTTTACGAGAGATCTTATTACGTGGTTTGGAGAACACACCTGATGACTGTATCATAGCAACATTTGACAACCAGCATTGGACTTTGGAGATCCTTTCACTGCAAAATTGGATGGCTTGAGTAATTCCTGTCTATGTGAGTCGGTTTCCACGGCCAGGATTACGCAAATTATACCTGCACGACTCTGTAGTATTTGAAAATGACGATCTATTGCTTTCTCGAAAACGCACCCTTGATAGAATGGCTCTCGCATTGGCAACTTTTTCTGTGCTTTTTCCATCAACGTAAAAAAGACTACGTTGCTCAAAAAACTTCGGCTGGTCGGATACGCATATGACACCCAAAAATGTGGCATCGTTGAGGGTTGGAGAATTGAACATTCAGGAGCGGGGCAGGGTAAGAAATGACAATGAAGGACAACCTAGTCTCACACAAAGTAGGAAGCAGCCAGATGGTAGGGCATCCAATTCTCAACTGGGAAAAATTCGTCCTTTATTGTTGCAAGATCGAAACGGGGTGATAAAAGTACATGAAACAATGAAGTATATGCAAGAACAGGACAAGAAAAGGATGGGGCAGTTCCATCTTCAATCCGATGGATGGTCGCGTTCCAATCTGTAGAGCCAATCACTTTATCCAGGGACAACAATCAGAGTTGGAAAACTTTCAATTCAGAACAACCTTGTTTTTCGTGACATGATTTCGTTTATGTTAATGTCATAAAAATATACAGTAGTCTATTTGAAGACCCACGAAGCTTAAAGCGGATCATCCTTATTTTTCCTGAAATAAAAACAGAAAAAAGGAAAAATAAGGATGAGAAACGACAGCTTGAAAAAAGCGGGGTCCGTCATGTGCTTCGTTGTTGAATGAAAATGGGCTCCCCATCCAAACTTCGACCAGGAGCCATATGGAATCGGACAATCCAAAGAGCGTATCCTTTTTTTTCCGCAGTTTCATTTTACCCTCGTTGTCTGGGAATATGTATACAAGAGATAGATCGTTGCCAAGGGGAACAAAATAGCGTTAAGTGAAGAGATCTTCAATGATGCCTTGGTGAACCACGGTAAAAGATCGTTTCCACCAGTTATGCAAATTTTTGTGGATATGATAAAACCGGGAACTCCAATTTCACCAGACGGCTTCTTCCATTTCCACCGTCTTCAATGTACATGGTTTTGAGGCTTTCTCATGCTAATGCAAAAAGCTCAACAGTTTTGTCGACTGCTTCCTGCATAATCGCCCCTGTTTTTACGGCGCTTCCTCATCTCGTTGTAACTTGTCAAACGTCTTTGTTCGGTTCGTTGGAGCTCTGTTGTATCGTGATATATCATTGGCCCTTAATTTCTTTTTTTACTGCGAATTGAGCTGATGTTTTGCTGCATTTCACGAAACCCTTTGAATTGACTGGGTAACGGCAGTCTCCAGGAGTCTAAATCGCGTCTGTCAAGGCTCTTGCCTTTTTCCCGAACCTCCATCCTACCTTTCAAGAATTTTTCCCTTAGAGGTTGTCTTTTTCTTCTTTTTTCATTTCTCATTTTTCATTTTTCATTTTTGGGAAGTCGAACCAAAAGTAAGCTGAAAGACCGTTTATGCTGAGAATAAAAAATTCGTACACTGATTTCTTATAACAGTTTATCAATGATTGTTCCGCGCGTGTTTGGCACGATGACCCACGCTGCATGGCACTACATAGTCTGTCGTGCCCACGGTGCTGCCGGGCAACGAAGGGTTATTGAGGCTTAAGGGTAAGTTAACTAGGTCCACGTTTCGCTATCCTGACCTGCTATATTTCCCCAATTTTTTCTTACATAATTTGACTTGTTGATTTTTCATTTGCTGCTTCTCCAATTTTCATCATCTGACATTTTTTTAATTTTTGTGACTTCAAAGGCGAATAAAGTATGTGCGCTTATTCACCCAAAACATCGAAACAAACGACAAAAAATCCGAATAAAGGGGTATAGTAATGATCCAAACTTATGGATTACGATGGTAACATATTATGGTACACATAGCGAAATGATCATGCTTGGACCAAAAAAATCATGCCATCACATCGTGTGGTTTATTTAACAATCACCTCTTTTGGGGGGATTGATCCTCAAGGATGATGTGTGTCCCATCCCCACAGCCGCGTCCATGAAATACCCGCCCCAAATCCAATGTTCCCGACTCATTGTCCAAGTCCCATGTTTGAAAGAGTATGCTGAGCAATATGTTTATATAATTTTGTACACTTGCAAGACCGAGTTTAGCTGAGGTTTAGAGAGTATAGGTGGTTACTTTGAGTTCTTGCCAACGGTTTGCTGCAGTTCTTCCAAGTCCTTCTTGAGTGATTCAGCGGTCTTCTCATGCTTAGCTAAAGCCTCACGTAGAGCCTTGATCTTTTCGGAATCCTAGATTGAAGAACCAATCCAGTAAACAAATGAATGTATACCCAAGAGAAGGAGCGAATTAAACTTACATGCATACGAGCCCACTGGTTCTCAACAGCCTTTTCCTTGTCGCCAAAACCTCCACGGGACGAAGCAGTGGCACCTTCACTGCCGCTTTGATAAGAGTTGAAGCGGCGAGAGACACGGGAGGTTGCGGATGAAATACGAGTAATTGATTTTCTGAACATTTTGTGTAAAATAGAGGGTAAAGAGTGGTACTGTTGAACCTGACGCAGGCCCCTGGTTCAAGAGAATTTCTATAGGTGAGCGTGCGATGAGCTTTACGTCATCTGTCCGTAACTGAAACATTAGCTTTTTTGGACTTCCTGAGAAAAACGTTCTATGTGTGACTCCCTTTTCTGTGCATCCGCCACTTTTTGAAATGCCGAATTTATGCCCGACAATACCTCCACTCTCCATCAGGCCATTTCCTCAAATAAAAAACAATTTTCCATGGAAGAAGATCAAATTTGTTTGGAAATGAGTGTCAATCGATTCCCTATTTTTCTTAGTAGTATATGCACATTGCATTGACAGTATGACGGAAATTACTCTTTTGAATTTTTGTCTTTTTTCTCCTCAAATTGCCGAACGGTGATCGAATTCACTTCGCCGAACATTCTAAATTTACACCCGTTACACAGCCTTTGAAAAGAATCGTCATCAGCTTATGCGATAGTGCACTGAAAAAAACGAACAGAAATTTTGTTACCGCAACGGCCCGAAGCAGACGATAGTGTGAGTCATTTTTTTCTACATTCAAAGTTACGGCTGTAGACAAAGCTCAATAATAACATCTTGTATGCGGAGTTAAGAAATTCTTGTGGGGTTCGACTGTTTGACTCTAGTGATATTATGTCCCTTGGCAACAACTTATGGCAGCGGTTGATTGTCATGGCCCAAAATGAACCAGAGTTAGAATACTGTGTGTCGGCCCATTTCACAGGAAATGGTATGCAAATGCCATTTTAGACTTTTAAGTTCGTCCACTTTCAACATACTATGACGTTGCCACGGTCTGTTCTATGACTATCGTTATCCTCAATTGCTTTTTTCCGAGAGGCTTTTGAGCGCCCTCGGTTCAACGATGTCCTTGAATTACTTGGCAACGAGAACGAGAGCGAGGACTCAGTAGCACGATCCACTAGAAATTCATTTATTGCCAACATCTTGACCTAAAATCTGAAGCTTTCTTTTTTGCCATCTTGCGACAGGCAACTTTAGTGGCTTTATAAATTTCGCTGCATTAAGTAAGAGCATCCCGTTCTGCTGTAAGTATGATGCTCATAGCAAAAAAATTATTTGAACACATTACAAAGCTAGTTCTGTCGTCCATTCGTGGATACAGGAACTGGCAGTGATAACAAATGAACGTGGGATGAGCGTCCTTGCGGCGTTATTGGTAGTCATCGAGTAGAAAGTCGGACCGGGAAGTTGCAGCATTGAGATACGATTGGACATTGCATGTTAGTGGGCCTAAACGGGTCTAAAACTTATCTAGAATTACGAAACACAAGGCGGAACTCGGCATTTTCAGTTTTTGAAAAGCTTAAATCGATACTCGGACGAAGTTTCATCAACGAGGCAACATTTCTGTAATACAGCCATATCACGCAGGTTGAAAATAGTAAAATCACGGACAGTCGCTAGTAGTATTCATGAGTCTGGAGCAACTGCGGATAGGTTCATACATCAGTATTTTTCAAGCGCTCAAAAACAATCTTTATGTATTGTTCTTTCGAAATAGAAATAACTGGTTTCATGCAGCTCCTAAAAGAGACTGAATTTCTTCAACCCATCAGAAAGCGGTTCAGCATCATCTTTATCGGCCTCCTTTATGATCTAGTTCTTTCGCGTCAGGTCTGTGATTCTTAATCCGAGCAAACCTAAAATGGATTACTTGGGCTTATGAAGCTCGATCGTAAGTGCATGCATAAAGACCCGGGGACGTACAGCAACGGTATCTGTGAACAAATTGATCGGGATCAGAACTCTACAGTTTTCCCCCTTAATAATCGATTGGTCGCATGGTGAATCACGACAAAGTCGTCAACTGTTCTGTGTGACTGACCTTCCATCAAACATGATCGAACCCGCAGATTCTTTTTTTTTTTTTTTTTTTTTTTTTTTTTTTTTTTTATATCTGCATCTCTTTCTTTCTTTCATACTTTCATATTGCAACTAGTACATTCTCCGATCAGAATTTTACCCTTACGATGAACGCTGCGGAAGGCTTCTCTTCAGGATACCGTTTCATGCCGCTATCGATCAGAGACTACAATTACTCACAAAGTCGAATAAAAATGACAACAATCCTACGACCAGAATATACCTCCTACCGGGTAAGGATCCAGATTTCCCACAGTAAGAATGCCGTATTGATGGGCCCAAAAATAGCAACTTCTTCGAAGATTAGCCGAAGAATATACCTTATTAAAGAGGGATGCAAACAATCTAACGCTGTTGCGTTGGATAGATTCCAACAGTTCATTTTCATCTCCGCCCATCAACAATGAACTGACTTGGAACAAGTGCTTCGCGTTTGTTACGCCTTATTTTGCAGAAGCGAAACAGGTAATGTATCGATCAGCGAATACGATATTCTTAGTTTGCTTACTGTAACTTTATCGATTTTCTGTATAGATGATACTCCTTCCGGTCGCATCGCATCAAATTGGTACTATACGATCTTGTCGAATACTTTTCGGTAGTGTGTTAAACATACACTTCTGCAGCATATGTGCGAATAATGAGCCTGGGGGTTTTCTATTTCCTGAACGAGGCATGGGCGTCAGGCCATAATACCTGCAGGCTTGAAGATTGGTAAAGAACATACAGGAAAATTTCGTGACTTGGCTAAGCAAGATATGATCATAGCATATGAAGCGTGGCGGTCTGCCACGCTTCATCGCCAGAAGCTCTTTCGAAAATCCTACCGTAATCAGCCATTCAAAGAAGATAAATGGGAAACGATTTTCGGCTTAGATAAGTTTGTCCAAAGCGGTTGCGATACTCTCAAGCGGAAACAAGTAATGACAATGACTGATATACCTTGAAAACCAACTATCCTGGTCCTTTTCTGCGATAAAAAACAAAACAGCTGGTTTCATTGTCATAGCCCTTTTTCTGTTAGCCAATCAGGTAACGTTTATCCTTTTCGGCATTGCATCGTAATCATTGTCTAACACTGTTGCTCAGGAGATAATACTCAAAAATTATACACCATGATCGTAACTTTCCTTTTAGACGAGTTTAATTACCATAACATTAATCAATATAAATATCCACAGAGCTGAAAAGAATAAACGGCATATTCTTCTTTCTTGATCTTATTGTACTTTTAATCCGCTCTTGCTATCTGACCATTGGTAATCCAGCTCATATCGACAACAATATCATGAAGCACACTCAATTCGCCAACAGCATTGAAACGGATGGAGTGATGACCAGCATTAAGTTCGACCGGGGCAAGTTCTTCTTTAGTTGGAGCTGTGTATCTCATTCAGATGATCTCAGCGACGTCGTCATGTAGCCCCTTATCCCTCGTCCAAAAAGGAGTTTGATTTGCTTCTGCGACGGCCGGACATGATCAGCTGGACCCGAGGCCTCTATCATTTAAGAAAAGAGCCGACCGGTCTTGATTCTACAGCCCGCGTCATCGGCATTGATCCCGCTAATTCTATTGATAATTGCGAAACCATTTCACATACAACTTAATTGATGAGATGATAGGCCTGCGATCCATTATCACAAGCTGTGATACGGAGAGAGTCCTGCACCCCAAGGAACGAAGAAATCATGTCCTCAATATTACTAATGCTGAATATCAATAAGTAAAACTGTTCGATACTTATGAGACCGACTCGTATGTAATTCATTATTCGCTGTGCTTAGACAGCGGAGCTGTTTGACTGGGCCACGCAAATCGAACTGCAAAACAGAGTGTGCCAACATCCAACCGTCATACGAGGAACTGAAAGCAGCACCATCTACAGTGCCAACCATGGAAAGGTTCAGGCGCTATATAGAGGCTCTTAGACGCATTCATAAGACGTAAGTATAAAGAGAATGCGAGAAAGATATGGTGTAAACTTAGTATGATCCGTTTGTAGTTTGACCGAGACCAGTGTTCCATCATCGATCACCATTACTATCCTGTTAAACGGTCTTATACAGTGACCCTCGGTAGCATATAAATACCCTCAAGCAATAAAATCTCAACCTTATTAAAATGTTTGCCTCTGAGTTGCCATATTTGGATATATTCCACCGTCACATTTGTTTGCCGACAAAAAACCGCTGATGATTGGGTAGTTTCAAACTCAATGAACGTTGATTGGATAAAACTGTTGTAATCACATGATTTACGATAAGATCTGAGCGGATGTTGGATTATGGCTCCTGATTTGTGCTTCCTTTTGTGAATAGATAGACCGTGATACATACACGGATGCAAGAGATCGTGTTGCTTTGCATTATCCAGGCCTGTTCCTTTCTTCTTTCTTATTCTTCCTCTGTAAAACTAATTCAATGTCATCTTCAAACGTTTATTGTGCTTCTTGCAGTTTGCCAGGACATGCTCGCTCCACCAACCGCAACTGCCCCAACAACCCTCGACGTGCCCAACAAAGTAGAATTACTACAACCGAGGACCAAGCGAAGTCCGTTGCAGAGCTTGCCAACAACTGGGTCACCAGCGTTCCAACCATTTCGCTTGCCCGTTGAATCCAGCAAGATTGGCTATGAGGCTGGCTGGAGAAGTGACACTACGGAACGTATTCGTACTTTATCTGCGCCCGTTGCCCAAGCAGATTTCGACCATCATGCTAATACGCTGTCAAGTGAACAATCAGGAACGCTCAACAGTGGCCGAAATAACGAGTGAGAACTTCCAGAGAGACATATCTTGGGACGCATGGATGCCGTGTGCAATTTCTGCCAGGCACACATGTGGCTCAAAGAGCGTATGTCTGGATCCATCGCTAATCCACAGTTCCAGGTCTGCTGTGCTCAAAGGTTCCGTTGTGCTTCCGCCTTTGGAGCCTACACCTCCTACAATTGCGCGTCTTCTTCGTGGCAACACCGACAATGGAGGAGATTTCCGTGAGCAGATCCGCGGCTACAACACGAATCTCAGTTTCACTTCCCTAGGTGCTCAAATTGACGAGTCAGTGGCCAACAATCGCAGTGGAGCTTACTGCTATCCCATCCAAGGAGGCATCTATCATCGGATCGGTGGCCTGCTTCCGCCAACGGACAACCATACTCCTGCATTTGCTCAACTGTATATTTACGACTCTGACACCCAGTTGGCACACCGAAACGCTGTGACGCCCTATTTACAAAATGCAACACTGCTATTGGAAAATTAGGGCAATTTGTAAATCACATGATCTACACTAAGTTATAAGGACCTGTTAAACCTTTTTTTCATCTTTCAACCATGCCTCGCTGCCCACTTTCACGATAATAGGCGAAACAATCAGCAGCAAGATACCGTTTGTACCAGTTGTGGTTAAACAGAGCATTGTCGTCTTTCGAATAAAAATGTGAGTAGAGCTCTTTTTGAAGAAAAGTGGTTGATGATACGACTGGCGTTCTTCTGTAGCATCATTCAATTTGTTGGTTTTTTTGTCAGTTATACTATATATGACCTTTCATTCTCTTTCAATTTTCAATGAATCGAATAATACATAAGCAGACGTGCTTCGATCTATGAATTCATGCATCAGTGGGGTGACTATTGTTTCATCCATGGAGAATCATATATTTTTGTCTTCTTATCTTTTTTCTTTTGCTTTTCTCTCTCTCTTTCTGTTTGCTTGATAAACCCTCACTATCATTGTATCAAGATCCCATCCGCATCCATTATCCAGACCATTCTTATCCCGTGTATATAACTTGGTTGAATCGACTACAATCCTCAAAAAGGTAAGGCGTCGAGTGGTCCACCATCGATTTTGCTCCGGCAAAACAGACTCACCCCTCCTTTGCTTCCATCCTTCTTCCAGCTTCCGGTTTCCGTTTCTTTTCGCCTGATAAGTTCTGGATGCTACAAGTTGACTTTCTCTCGCCATCCATCCATCCATCTGGCGAAACTGGATGACGTCAAAGGTCATCGTTGGTGGTGTGGCTCTCTTTTTCATCGGAAAAATGCTTACGTGTCCTCTTCATGTTCCTCTCCTTTGGATTGCTTCTCATGATATGGTATTCGAGATGTCTTCCCGATTATTGTATTTTGTAGTTCATAGTTTGTATTTTGTATTTTATATTTCATGTACATATTCTTTTCGCAGTCTTTTCCTCTTTTTTTCCCACAGGGTTTTTTAGGAGGTTTTTACTGACGCGACCATTGTTTTTTTTATCATCATGTACTTTATTTGTTTTTCTTCTTTTTATTCGGGGGACTCTCGATATCTGGAATCCAGCTCGAAATTACCGTCACTTCTGGCCACGTCAATATTTTTTTGCCTGCTCAAGCTGACACCACCGATCCATCGCTTAACTGTCCCTGGAAGCAAGTTTATTTTCCGCATCGAAGAAGAAGCTTACCTGGCGGTCCGTATTCATCTTTTTTTTTCCGGTACACCATTTGGTTCAAAGGCAAGTCCAATTTCTTTTCCTTTGCTATGATGTAATGAACGTATACTAATTCAAACTTTTTTTCAATGTCATATAATCCAAGTCATGTCAAGCGATCAATGGCTATCGAAAACTCAAATAACAAAGGTAAAATATCTTGACGAAAATTTGAATCAATCAAAGAGCTTACTAACTCATTTTTTTTAAATACCCAACATACCCACACATCTTTGTAGATCTATCATAGCCTGGGCGGGATGGAACTGAGGGGGGAACCAGTGCTGCTTTGCGCGTGTTCAGAAACAAATCACGACGCATGGTATTGCCATAAGGTTGTCATTAATATACCGAAGTTCCGTCAAGAGTTCTCGCCCAGGTTATGCCGTGTATGCGTTAGGCTTTTTGTCTGACGAAAGTCGCTCAATGTAAGAGGGCGACCTCCGGTGGCAGGCGGCATCCATTGCACAGCGGGTGTACGGCTTGTTATCTTGTTACAATCCACTTTCTGCCTGGTCTTTTCTCGAGCCTAATCGTGGTCTCCCCATGAAAGCATCTACACTTTCTTGTTTCGCCCTCTCTCACCTTGTTTATTTCTAGACTTAGCCTTGTCCCCATTGTCCCGCATCATAGTTTAACATATTCATGATCTATATTCCGCAAATAGTAGTAAATGTTCCGATACCAATAGGTCCCCTCCCCCAGTGGGAGCATAAAGATTCACACACATGCCGCAGTCGAGAAAGAAAAAAGCTCGCAATATGAGTTCATGCCGAGTTCGATAGTAGCATTTTAGGAACGCAAAAAAGTTTTAAACCAATCATAACGATACGCGTCCCTCCCGATCAGTGTACGGCATGGTGATCAAGAAATATTCTAGAGCGTATTGTTCGTCAAAAGAGTCACCCAGGGGTTGCGAAAGTTCTTCCTCGAAAAGCTTGGTAGTTTGTGTTGACAAATACCCAGCCAGCAAGGTCTGCAGTCGCTCATTTGAAAGTATTGGTGCTGATATAATAAGCAGCCCGATTTTGCCATGGTCTTATTTACCATGTCGATTACGTTCAGAGTGCAAGTCGGCCGGTATATTGGTAAGTAGAACCAAGGAATTCTGAAAGGGAATTGATAATGACTATCAGTGATCGTTTTATTGAACTAGAATTGGGACGGCCATGTAAACGCTGCCAGTAATATGACACAAATTCTCACAGATCAGGTCTTGTCAAAGTGCCACTTGGTTGAGTCCTTTTTTTGCATGCCTGGTTAGCTGTAGTTGAAAAAAAGATCAAAGTAAGGTAATTTGATGACGTGCGCGAAGGCTATAAAAAAAGCTCCGCCCCGTGAAAAAGATTCTGGCAACGCGATAGGAACAAAGGTTCCCGAGAAAAGCCATGTCAAATAAGAAGCCTTCAGAAGCTGAGCTTACGCAGCAGGTAGGAAGATCCCTCAAATTGACAGGAATGCCGTTTCATTTTGATTGACATGTTGTATAGTATAACCAATACAAAAATGAGCTGCAATCAGTGGCTCAAAAAATTGGCGAATTGGAATCAGAAGTAGAAGAGCACAAGTAAGGACGGAACGACATCATCAACCTTAGGATGAACTGTAAAATTAGGGCGTATAACCTATATTTCGATGTTTGCAGATTGGTCATTGACAGCATTTCGCCTTTGGAACCGGAGCGCAAGTGCTTCCGCATGGTAGGCGGCGTGCTCGTGGAAAGAACAGTTAAGGAGGTTTTGCCCGCGTTGGAAACAAACTATAATGGGGTGAGTACAGCAGTAAAACAATCATGTAGCATGTGCGGTTCTGACACAATGAATTTTTACACGCCAGATTCAACAAGTGATCCAATCATTACTGCAATCTTATAAGCGCAAGGAGCAAGAATTTGTGGAATTTCAAAAGAAGCATAATATTCAAGTTGTGGCAAGACAGTAAATTGTAAATACACATTAATCCGACCCAGTGCATTATGTATTGTTGCATTTTATCATGTGTTACTTGCGAATAGCCACACCTTTGCCATACCATCAGCAATCAGTTAATCCTAAACCTACCCTTTTCTGTTTCAACGAATCATGATGCTTGCTAATATCGCGCAACTAGGCAACCATTGCGAATATATTTTAGTGCACATAATGGAAGAGCGTAGCAACTTCATAATTTGACTAGAACTCCTCCGCAAACCCAGTGCATAAATCAAGTTCACTCCAGTGCTGCGTCGTTGCATGCAATGGCCATCTTTGTGAGCGTAGGTTGTGCGCGTTCAAATTTTGAAAGATGGGATCAAGATGATAGCCTGGTTCAATCGAATCTAGGAGGATTTCTCATATTCAGACCAGCGTGAGTGTCTCGTCCCACCTATTTTTCAAAAGTTGAAGGCATTTTGCGATATGATAGTTTATCTTTTTTTTGTTAGGAACATCATAGACCAAGCTTGAAGCTGCAATGCTTAACTGTTATAGAGTCTTTATTATTAATCTTCCTCGCATATCTTATTTGATTTGGCTGTTATGGTAGTCAGTTTTATAAAGTACATCGTCGTAAAATTAGAAAGCTTCAATTCACTCTGATACTCGCATGCTACTGTCTTTCCTTATCTGTAACCGTTTACGTGGTCCCTGTCATATTGGTGGATCCTTTAAGCAGAGGATTCGCGATATTAGAAAGATATGCTTACGCAGAAAGAGATATTCTCTGGTTAGGATTTCTGCCTGTGACTTCAGGGTCACTAGACAGTAAAGCGAAGTGTGATGGCATTGATGAGGACATCTCGTACGTGATGCGTCTTTTCCCGCACACACACACTGATGACGTCGATGATGGTTGAATTTTTTCCTTTTTCAGATATGATAACCATCAGCCCAGCTTTGAAGCGCAGTTTTTTCTTTTCCAGTCATCCCATGTGCATGTCATGAACCTCAGTCACATGTCAAATAAAGAGCTCGTCTTTCTCAATTTCAACCAGGACTTCAACTGTATAGCGGTCGGTACCAAGAACGGATACAGATTATACAACTGCGACCCGTTTGGCAAATGTTATTCTAAATGTAAGGCTGCATTTCTTAACTGAAAAAGCAAAGACATTGACATCTTGAGCATAGCCGGCGAAGGAACTAGCATTGTCGAGATGCTTTTTTGTACTTCCTTGGTCGCGCTAGTAGGCACTGCTGAACAAAAGTCGTTTTCACAACGGCACCTGAAAATTATCAATACCAAGGTAAGTAGACTCGCTTGACTCTATTTCACCATTTATTCACACTTGTTTAACTATTCTACAGAGACAATCCACTATTTGCGAGTTAACGTTCCCTACTCCCATCCTGGCCGTTAAAATGAACCGAAGACGACTGATTGTTGTGCTGGAAGAAAAAATATTTATTTACGATATCAGCAACATGAAGCTGCTTTATACATTGGATACTGCTCCTAATCCTTTAGGTAAGGTATCGCGTGATGCATCAGCCGTTGATTGACTTGGAGCTGACGTACTGCGATCAAAAGCCATCTGTTCCCTTTCTCCCTCCAGCGAAAACTGTTATATCGCCTACCCTTCAAGAAATGTAACTGATTCATCTTATACCTACCGCCAGCAAACATCTGCTTCCTCTCACATCACAGGCGATGTTGAAATATTCGACGCATTGGATCTTCGCATTGTTGGTATCGTGCAAGCGCATAAATCCCATGTGAGCTGTATAACGATCAATGCAGATGGTACCCTGCTGGCGACTTCAAGCGAAAAGGTAAACGGCGGAGGAACACAGATTTGACCATGCTGGTTGGTGGAGATTTTTAATGAGCGGCATGATTTTTTAGGGCACGGTCATTCGAGTCTTCTCGATTCCAGATGGCGCAAAAATATACCAGTTTCGACGAGGATCGTATCCAGCGAAAATATACTCTATCGCCTTCAATCTTGTCAGCACGCTGTTATGTGTGTCAAGTGATACGGAAACGGTTCACATTTTCAAATTATCCGCAGGGGGTTCGCCCAATGTCAATGGCACAGATGGATACAGTGAAAATTCACAAGATTATGAAGAGCCGCAGCCTCACAGTGATTCTCGCAGCAGAAGTTCAAGCGTTGGGTAGGGGGCTCTACAGATTAACAACATATATATGTGTGGTGGCCGATGATGATGACCTCATTCCTCCATCTTTCGTCTTGCTTTCTAGTCAAATGTTGCGAAGGTCATCCATGAATATTGGACGTAATATAGCGGGGAGCGTAGGTTCATATCTACCAGAGTCTTTAACGGAGATGTGGGAACCTGCTCGAGATTTTGCATCTTTAAAGTTGCCTAGTACAGGCGTTCGAAGCTTAGTAGCTCTTAGCAGGTGAGCTCAACAAACTGGGTTGTTTTTGAACCAACGACTAACGATCCTGTAGCACAACGCCACAGGTAATGGTTGTGACATCGGAAGGGTTTTTCTACCAATACAGCATCGATCTGGAGAACGGTGGTGATTGCGTACTCCAAAATCAGCTCAGGTATGTATTGGAAAGTTCATGATATTTGTGATGGTCACTTAATTTATCATTTCGTTGATATTCCCATCGCAGCCTTTTGGAACCTACAGACGAGTTGGAAGAGTTTAATGGAGAATAATGACGAGAAACCATCCTTGAGAATAGTCGTCAAAAAGGCGGCTGATTTTTATATATACCAAGTTTTCTCCTTTGATTGTTTTCCTTTAGCATAAATATAATTCCATGTAAACGATCCAATTGACTTGGACGAATGTTTCTCAACAAAGAAAGGTAGTCATTCGCACAATCATCTCTTAGAAATATGCCTTGCAACGACTTCCAGCGATTGCACGATAGAGTCTACCAATTGAACTTTCAGAGCTAAAAAAGAAGCTGGAGTTATCACAGCATCGGTTCTTCTACGTTATCTCGCATAAGAACTTTTGTAAAGTGAATCTTTTGGCTAGTGATTTATCTTGTTTTCAAGATGAGCATTGAATCAGAAGCGGAGTTCAAGTCCAAGAACTTTGCAGACATGAAACTTCGCTGTTCGTCCAAGCATTTATTGCGCATACATTATGGAACATTTCCTGGATCACCAATTAAACTTAGTTCGAGAGGAGAAGCGCATCGATGTCGAAGAGACAGCCGAACTTTTATCTTCGTATACCCCAGTTCAACTGCAGAAGCGAGGCATCGCCCTGATCGGTTTGAGAATCGCAGGTAGACGCAGCAAGAACGTATCCGTATACATGCAAGAGCTAAGGGATTTATATATTAGGCATGCGTACCGGCTTGGGCGGTAAAAGGTGAAAAGCAGGATATTAGTTAATAATAGACTTTTTCATGACGTTCTGATTGTGCTTTAGTTTGATAGATCTGGAGCTTGCCAATCCCAGCAAACAATCTTCCACGTTGCCCACGCACAAGTTCACTACCGGAGACATTGTGGGCTTGGATGAGTATAGGAAGGACAAACCGCCAAAAAAGACAATCAACTGGTCAGGGGTTGTCTTGAGGGTCACCGATACGAAAATCACTGTGGCTTTATCTCAGGAAAACGACGACGCTATTCCAACCGAGGTGCAGGAACGATGCCAGATGTAAGCGAAGCGCACAATATCCTTTATCTATATCTCATCAATTTACACGTGTTTCTCAGCGTTAAACTTGCGAATAATGTCACCTACGAAAGGTAAGCCTTGAAAACCCAGTCGAAGAAAATAAGAGTAGCAACAGCTCATGGGCATCGAAATAGAATGATGAAAGCACTCGAGCGCTTAAAAGAGCAGGGTGAATCCGGTTGTTCCGACTTGGCACAAGTATTGTTTGGCTTGCGTGCCCCATCTGCAGTGCAGGATCAAGAAATTACCTTTTTTGATGAGACACTCAATGCTTCTCAAAAAGAAGCAGTCAAGTTTGCTTTGGGATCTCCAGAAGTTGCCTTGGTTCACGGTCCACCAGGTAAAGCATAATATGTCATTTCATAAATCATGATGTTCAGTAATTGACTGATGCGTAGGGGTACGGTATTACAGTTTATTGCAACTGAATTTTCGTAACATGATATGGGTTTATTCAACGTGAATTCTTATAGACGGGTAAAACCTATACACTGGTGGAAATCATCCGTCAACTGGCTGTTGTGCAGGGCAAAAGGGTTCTTGTTTGTGGTCCCTCCAATATCTCTGTTGGTAATGTTATTCTGGTCTACAATTGATTGTAATTTTTTTCGTTTACTGACACTTCTGATCGTTGAGCAGACAATCTCGTAGAAAGACTAGCTCGTCATCGAATGAACCTTGTACGTATTGGCCATCCTGCACGTATCCTTCCAACTGTTCTCGAGCACTCGCTGGATATTATCACTCGCACATGTGATTCCGGACAAATTATTGCCGATTTACGTCGCGAAATGGACGACACACTCGCGAAAGTCGGAAAAACAAGAAATCGATCCGATCGACGCGTCTTATATAACCATTTGAAAGATTTACGCAAAGATTATCGTGCAAGAGAACGCAAAGTCGTGGATGAAGTCGTGCAAGGAGCACAGGTCGTCATTTCGACCTTGAATGGGTATATTTCTCAACCTCGATCAAAACATCTCGTATGTAGCTAACTGTATTCTTGAACGTCATAGATGCGCGAGTAGAAATATGCTGAAACGTGAGTTTGATGTTGTCATTATTGATGAAGCTACACAGGCACTGGAAGGTGAGGATTGCATGTTATAGGATAGGCCGGAAGAACCTTGGACTAAAAAGGATTCTCATCATCAGCTGAATGTTGGATTGCTTTGCTCAAGGGCAAAAAAGCCATCCTTGTAAGTATAAAGTTATACGGTGAACTTTTCTCTATTATTCTGACACAGCCTAATTTGATGACAGGCGGGTGATCATCTACAATTGCCTCCGACCGTCAAATCGCCGACAGATCTCAACAAGAAATCAAGCAAATCACCCAAACAAGGAACACAGTCGTCTGATTTAACGGTGACAATGTTCGATCGACTGTTGAAGATGTACGGAAAGAAGATCAAAAAAATGCTCGTTGTGCAATATCGAATGCATCGCAAAATTATGGAATTCAGCTCTCGGGAACTATATGAGAACAAGCTCGTGGCTGATGATAGTGTGGCAGAACATCTCCTGAGCGATCTTCCAGAGGTTCAATCATCCGAAGATACGGATATGCCCATCGTTATGATAGATACTAGCGATACAGGACTGGGACATGAAATCACAGACGATGCTCAGGAAGAACAGAGTAAAGCCAACGAACTGGAGGTGGAGCTCGTTGTCAAACATGTACATCGATTAATAGAGGATGGGTTACAAGAAGATCAAATTGGCGTCATCACACCCTATGCGGCACAAGTGACACGCCTAATACACGAAGTACGCGAAAAATGGCCGGGAATTGAAATTGGTACAGTTGACGGTTTCCAAGGTCGAGAAAAGGAAGCCATTCTTCTTTCTCTCGTGCGATCCAACGATGAAGGTCAAGTAGGTTTTCTAGCGGAAAAACGCCGTCTTAACGGTAAGTGTCAACTTGAGTTCTCGACTATTTTGTACGCTGCACTGTATTCATCGATTATTAGTGGCTATGACTCGAGCAAAACGACATTTATGTGTTGTATGCGATTCGGATACTCTTTCCGGTTCTCGCGGAAGCGGTGATCCGGCATCTTCGAGATTCGACGGCGGCTTTTTGAAACGATGGATGAACTGGCTGAGCGAGGAAGCTGATCTTCGGTTTAGCGAATCTGTGTAGCCATGTCCAACCTCCCCGCATATAACCTATTACCTTCCTCAAAATCATATTTGACACTAAAAAAAAGCAACATTTTACATGATGCATACACGTGTACAAACAACTTGATATACGAGGGCTCGCTTATCTTTATACACGACGGAGATGTATTGTTACCGTAGTATTCAATGCGTTGGTGGTGCGAACAATGTTTTATAGAGATGAAGTACACGGCGAATGATACAAAATGTGACATATGCATATCGCATAATAAAGAATTTCAGAGTTTTAGGTTAATGCCCCCGAAGAATGTGACAAAATCTATGCTGCATTTTCCATGGTTGAATGATGGTGATGTGCATGATGGTTTACATCGTAGTGGTTACGCATGTGTTTCGTGGCCCAAAAATCAGGAACAGTAAAAAAGTAACGGTCCATAGCCTCTCTGAAACGCAGGCGATACTGTCTTGGAGAGATGATGGTAGGTTCTTTACCACCACCACCCAATATACCAGACTCCTTGACCCAGCTCTCCAGTTTTTTATCCCACGTAAATGTGCGGATAAAATCTAGAACAACATGCATTCAATGAGCTTGGTGCATTGAGCACGCACCTGTATATCCTCACTTACCAACAATGCCAACTACGAGTTCTTGCCTTTCTTCATCAACACCAACAAGCAAAGAATAGTCCATGACATCGAGTCGAGAAAGAAATAGGGTATCGTTATGTAGCGAGCCACGTAGCATTTCCTTAGAATGAGATCGCAAAAATAAAGGAGATTGAAACATCACTAGAAATCGATTCATTAGCAACCTGGCAAATGCAAGAAAAATGAAAAGATACTATACGCTCCACCATATTCTCGTCCAGGAGGACTTCATTTTCTTTCCCTGTTACTTGGACGTGCCGATTCCGCATGGATCCTTTCAAATCAAAAATCTAAATAAAATGGGACACCATGTTATAAGGATGAAATAGTACGTTTGTTTTTGCACGAAGAGGAGCTGTTACCTTTTTGACCACCCGCTGATAAAACAGATTCTCCATAACAAGAATATCCATTCGCATAGATCTTCCTGTCGTGGTGTTTTTGAAGCCAATACGGTATAAGCCAAAAATTTTACTAAGCACCGTGGGTAACTATGGCATTGAACCATTAGATTGCCGATTTACGAGTTAAATCGAGCATTTTTGTGGCCGCCATGTTTACCTCATGGAAAAATGCTTCCGACATGTACTGGAAATAAGATGGTGCAAAGCGTAGAAAAGCATCCATTTCGTACTTTGATATCTGTTTAATCAAAAACCGATCATCTACCGAATTTAAGTGAGTAATACATTCAAGCACAATGTTGATCGCATTCAAGTGTACGTACCTTTTGTCTTTAGAAAGACTGATCCTGACTTGCCACCCGAAGAGTCCCACTTGCAGCAACTAGCCAAAGACGATACAAAACTTTCATCGCAACCGCAATTTCGACGCAATGCATCAAATTGTTCGGCAAAAAATATCTTGCAGAAAAACTTTGTGGTGCCATCCGTAAAATCTGTCATACATGATCAGCCTTACTACCCTCATACTCAAAAAAAAAGACAGATAGACTTACAGTATTTCACATGGATACCGGACTTGCTACGCAGTGTGCGTTCAATAAACACGCCAGAGGCCATGCCAGACGTTGTCGAGGATGCTTCGCCAGCATCTGTCATTGATGCTGCGCCTGTAGCAGACTTTTCACCATCTTCGGACAAACTCACTTCCTCGGCATATCCTTCTCGGATTTCCTGCAACTTTTCTAGGTAATCATCGCAGCTGAGCGTGTAGGCAACAATTGTGCTCGGCTCATCTTCCCCCACGACGATAAGTGAACCGGGAAACACGTGTTCCAGTGGCGATCTATCCGAGAAAAAAAATAGGAACCTGAATTAATCTTCTGATGCAATTTAACTGTGAAGAGTAATTCGCATAATTACAATGGATACTCCAGCGGTAATAGGTTACCGAGTCCCTTCTCTGCAAGCATACTTGTGATGGCGCGAATAAATGAATTGCGCTCAGGACCACTAGACGTTAGTTCCAGACCTGCATTATCTACCAACACATTTAGGATTAACTGAGACAATTGAAACACGGATCGTTATCATACGCATTTTGAACCGACCTAGAGTTGTTTGCTTTGGCACATCCAACAACGAAGCGCTGGGACTGACCATATTTGAATTATCGGTATCGACCATCTTGGTGCGCGCTGCTTGACTATCCTCAGGATCAAAACTCAAATGTGGCAACGTAGTGCCAAGGATGCCCAAAGGATCGCGAGAGTAAGGTGGCGGCATATCTTCGCGACCGAGTGATTCGTCGTATTCATCCGTACGTGTCAGAGAAAATGTTCGATTCAAAGATTGGTGTTGATTTGCTCCGTCTTCGTCGTCTAACTCAACATCGGTAGCATCATCAAGCTCGAGAACCGGAAACTCGTCATCTGATTCGTCACGTACTAGTTCATTTATAGTAGTATATACTTCAATGGATGATTTGCTAGGCAACCGCTGTCGTATACCACGCGCTTTGGCATGGTTGAGAAAAGCCTTTGAAAATCGTATTTTCGAGCTACCGGAAGAAGCTGCTGGGCCTGTTTTGGTCGATTTGGCTGCTTCTGGTTCACCTATTGCTTCCGCTTTGGTCTGCAGTTTGTTTCCCGTATTGGTAGGTCGAGGACGTGACCTTGGATGAGAGAGATTGCCTCGCTCACTTGATCCGCGAAAACCATAACGATATCCGCTCAACGGAAGTTCCTTTCGAGGAGTCCATTCTGGCAGAGCCATGCCTCTCAGAGGATTCAGACTATTGGCGGTCTTCTTGACCGGTACCGGTGCAGGTTTTACCTCATTCATGGCTGTCGGACGCTTGCGATTGGAAGTACGGGAAGGCTCGGGGATGCGAGACGCTAATAAGCTACCTGAAGGTGACGGAGAACTTTTGGATTTGGATATTTGAGTGTCGTTTAATAACTCTGTCAGACGTTTGCAAGCGTTAGACGACAACAGCGGTAGAACAGCAGCGCGATGATCCAATAGCGGCATACGTGGGCCGGTAGATCCAAAGTCTTTCTTATTTCCAGGCCTCGTCAAATCGGTGCTTGTTCCTTCCGTATCTGTTGCTGATTTCCATGAACCGGAGTTTTGTTTGAGATTGTCTTTCATGAGCTCCAAGGATAATCGTCTAGCTACGCTGGGGTCAAGTAGCTGGGATGCTGCATCTTCTTCAATTTTCTCGATCGTCTCTTGAATGGGGCCCATGCCACGTTTTTTAGCCGCGTTCAGTTGCTGATCATGCATCTCTTGCAGAAGACTGTTCAGGCGTTCCTCTTCTTCGAGCCAAGGAGAAGCAGTAGTAGGCGATTCTCCCAGTAATGGTAGTTGTTTCAGCGGCGATAATGGAGCGCCAACAGAAGCGTCAGTCACAGTACCAGAAACACCGTACAGATCGGTAGGGCCATCATCCAGTCCCACATCGAGCAATGGTAAATCCACCGCCTCTGTTGCTCGTTTGGTTCGCAAATCGAGGCTCGAAACCGGTGTACTGAGCATAATGGAATCGGCAGGCAGCATCTTCTTCAAATGGCTTGCTGTGAGGCGACGCAATTCCCGTTCCGGACGAACATACTGTTTCACAAATTCGGCATACTCTATATCCCATTGCATCACATTCATCTGCAGCTTGATACGAACTTGGTTCAAGCTAAGGGTGTCTGTACTGGACGTCGTAGCGTATACTGACTGTAAAAACTGGAGCATCTGTTTCTTTTCACCAGTAACACGTCGCGACATTTCTTGCAACTGCTCTTTGCATGATTCCACCATGCTGGGCTGAACAATGTCAAGAGAAAAGAGTTTGTTCCGTTCAACGAGAGACTCGTAGTATTTGGTAATTTTGGTCCGCGTGGATTCAAGCAAACTATCTTTGGCCGCTCGTTGGCTGTCAGAGTTGACATAAAGATGCATAGGAGGCACATGCACCTCATAAGGTTCGATGGCTTCATATTGGAACCGCGCAGTATAGCCATTGACACCAAAATAATGCACATAGTCCTTAAACATGTTATGGGAGCAGCCTTCCGTCTTCCATGTCGTGTCGGAAACGTGGTAAAACATGAGCTCGAGAAACTTGCCAAAAGAATATTTCCAACTATTTTCTGACATGGGAACCAGGGATGTATGCATTGAGCAGTATTTGCAATAACTCCACGTAAGAATACTGTTTGTGAGGATAGGTTGTGCGCATTCGAACTGTTCAATTTCAACATTGATGCGTGCGTTGCCATGAGCATAAGATCGATAGTGCTGAAGCATGGTTCGCTCACACATACTGGACGGACACAGAAGCTGAGCATCGGCGGCGATATCCTCAATATACTGTCCAAGCGTCAAGTCAGAGTCCGGGCGATAATACTCGAACATGCGCATTTCGGGGCCTTGGCAAGGGACAGTGGTTACTTTACACACGCTAGTATATAAGACGACGAATTGCTGATGATACGAGGGGGACAGGTTATCGGGAGCATCTCCAATGTAAGCTTCAAGTGCTCGCCAGCGTTGATGATGCTCTTCCAATAACTGATCAAATTCAGGATCGGCGCAGATAACTTGTTCAAAGGCGCGGAAAAAGTTGGGAGTGCTCGACAAAGTGACGGGGGCATCCGCTGGCAGTTCACTCAGTTTCTTGCAGCGGATAATCTTGATCAGCTTTCTCTGCGTTTCTTTCAGTCGAAGCAACAGGTAGGGCTCAGGAAATTGCACAATAGGTGAAGCAGACAGCGTAGCCGTGACGTGTTGTTGAATGGAGTTATTGATCGGTGTAAGCCATGGGTCGTCATCGTCAATTTTATCATCGGGGCGAGGCGAATCGTGCGTCGTATTACCCGCCTTTTTCTCCTGTTGCTGTACTCGACTATGCGCTTGTTCCTTGTCGGTCGTCTCCGCTTTCACCTCCTTATTTGCAGTATTGGCTTGAATCGCTCCATCTCGCTCCTCCGGCTTGATGTCTCCTGGCTCTGCGACGAGATTGGGCTTGATAAAAGCATTGCGCATCTTGGAGAAATCACGTAGTAAAAAGGACTCGAGTTTCAGATTGTGAACGACAAAGACCATGAAATCGAGGATCCGTTTGACGGCACAGAGAGTTTCTACTCTTCCACCACGTAGGATGATGGTGGCACCCAAGTCAGGAGGGCACTGGTCAAACTTGAGAAACGTTTTTCGTCTGTTTTCGATCCATTCGTGGACGATGGTCTGTGTCTCGAACAATTCACAGTGACCCAGATTCAAACCCTCTTTGCTAAGCTGCAGGAAGGAAGAAACAATACTTGCGCCTGTGCAACGAGCTACTGCATCCAACACACTAAGCTTAACGTTGTAGACAACGACAATGTTGGCTTTGAGAAGAAAATCAAGGGCCAATCTGGACACATTGGAACTGGAAAGGACGATATTTGGTTTGAGAGCCACAATGCGGTTGATAAGCTTCTCCAGATATTCCTTTTCTTGAGCTAAAACTGGCTTGATGGATTGGAATTGATGTTCTCCGCGTGATGATCCGCGCGACCATTCAAGTGGGAAAAGCAAGATCAAGATCTGAGGGTTGTTGATTGTCTTGACCATCTTTTTATGTGCCACATTCTTTGAACATACGACGCCTTTGACATAGAAACTGTCACTTGGTAGACCACCAGCAATCTTTTTGATCTTGATATAGTGTCTGATGTCGATTTCATCGCCGTCGCGAATATCTGGATGCACATTGTCAGAGACTTTAAGCAGCAAGTTCATCAACACTTGTTCCCATTCATCGCAATGTTCTCGAATATCGTCATTTGTCTCGCTGAGCATATGTCGTAACATTTTGCGCATGTGTTCCAGTGCGCTCGCGTTCAGTTCGATGGTCAATGGAACGGAAGAAGCGCGGCGGTGGCGAGATTTTAGAGAGGACAGAGGTCTGGTACGGTTGGGAAACTCGAGAGAATCTCGCAAAGGATGTGATCCATCTGCAACAGGACTGACGAGCATACTAGTACCATTATCCGTCAATGAGGAGAGTCCGAGATCCTTGGTGCTATCTAGCCACGACGTCGTGATGGGCGCGTTTCGCATCAAGCTTTGCGTTCGCAAGCGAATGGGCCGATTTGGACCGTTGACAACACTGAAGCGCCGTCGCAATGAATTTGATCGTTCGCGAGCTCGGAGTTCATCGGTTCGCGTTAACCGAATTTTTGGCGACGGATGGCCATCTTCATCGCTCGTTCCGCTCTCAGCTTTTAATGAGATGCCATTGGCAAGAAGATCATCTGTTAAAAACCCACTGAAAATGCCTGAATTGGGCCGTTCCGAATGTCCACCCAAGAAATTTAATAAGTTTTGAGCATTATTATCCCATCCCGCATGATCATCATCTTCATCATCGGAAAGCGAAAGTGTGTATTCATTCGAAGGCAAAATCGTCCCTCCAGCGCTATCTAAGCATGGCGAATGCATGGTAATTGAATTGCGACGAAAGGGAAGGGGAGATCCCAACTGTTTGGTATCCGGCTGCAGAAAACTGGTATCGATGCCGAGATTATTTGCTGTGCTGGTCCTTGATCGAGGTTTCTTGAGTAACGTATTCGTCGCCAGCAATAGTTTTTTTAGTCCGGTATCAGATTCCTGAGTCGGTAAAATGGGAGATCCAGGCATATGTGTAGCAGGCATGCTGGTAGACAACGCCGAGGAAGAAGAGGGTTTCGTATAGGGTAATAAAGTGCCTGTGGGTATCTCGAGTGAAAATGTCGTGGAATGTTCACCGCCGTACAGCTCGTTCTGACGACCTTTCACAGTAGTGGTGGGAATCTGCATCTGAGGTACAACTGATAGAGGCTTTTGATCTAATAACACGGGTGGCAATTGAAGCATTGCCTCGGTATCTGCGGGTTTGCTTGCTGAATAGATGTAAGCTTCCTGAAGCGAGGATTCCTGCTCTTGCGCTTCTAATTTGGAAAAGCAATAATTGCATACACGAAGCTGGATCCCGGTTTGACTGATTCGTTCGCCACGAATGATCTGGGAAGCGCATTTGGAGCAGAAGATTTGGCCTGAAGAAAAAAATAACATGCATACATGCATCATTGAATATCATCTGATTGGCTGACTATAATGCATGAATTCGAGATGTCGCAAAAACTTACCACAGATCCGACAATGATGTCTCCGTCGAAAAAAATTAAAGTGGGCACCGCACTCAAAGCATTCTTTACAGTGCTCGTCGGGCATCCAGTATTCTCTATTGGATTTGTCGCCACGTAAACGATTTAGAATGCGACTGAGAGAATTTGAGTTGGAAACAGAGAAAGTTGTCATGACAGATTGTGTGTCACTGTCACAGGACGATGTCTTTGTCATTGGTTCACCGAGGAGCCCAGAGTCAGTGGATAAACGTGGAGGAAGCATAGGTGATAAGATATGGTTGGATGTGGTGGCGAGATCGGAGAGCCGCGGCATAATCGCCGTTGGCGGAGATCGACCGTGATGATGATGAAGACTAACAGCATCGGGAGGTGTAGGCGGTATAACATGCAATTCCTGACGTTCGATTTCTTCACTTGTCGTACTCAGTGGCTTCAAGTGAGCGGTTTGAGTTGCAGTAGGTATGTTAAGCGCTGAATTTTCGTTTTCTTTGAGATACGTGTCTGTTTCCTTAGTACCGCTGTCGTCGTCTGGTCGGGGAACCGATTGCAACGACGATCGAGCGGAAGCGTGCGCTGGGGTATATGGAGATGGGCTCGAAACGGCGGTCCTAAACTTGGACAGAAACTTGGACAAAACTCCTTCCTGATCCGTCTCAGTTTCTGTATCGTCGCAGAGGTCAAAGGTCGTCAGAGTCGAAACATCATCGTATGCAAAGCGAGAAATGGCCTCCATATTGCTTATTGATGCCATTCGACAATGAATGTGCGGCAGCCAAAGTCTGCGTGAATGTCTAAAACGTTTACTATTGCCAAGTTACACCGAGCTACAGTTTTTTTTAAGGAATGCCAGATTTTGAAAGCTCAATGATTTTCTGCGTGTCCACTGAAATTTTGTGTGAAATCTTGCTTGCTGCCTGGTTGTCGGATTCAATCTCAGCCTTATTCGCACCCACCAACCTGCTGCCACAAAACCGTCAGGTCCGAAATTTTTCCTTTTGTTTCCTTCCCAGTTACATTTTTTCCACAGCTTTAGCCATGTCCACGTAAGAGCTTCCCAAGCGCGGTTATTTTCTAAAGACATTTCAACCAATGCAGTTTACGAACTTGCTATACATTTAGTGCACCTCCCAAAGATACTCCCATCACCGTGTCCGAACTCAAAAAGCACGATGGTTCCGACGAATCTCTGCCCATTTATGTCGCCATTAAGGGCGATATCTTTGACGTGTCTGCCAACAAGGCCTCGTACGGCAAGGGTGCAGGATACAACTGCTTTGCCGGAAAGGATGCCTCTCGAGTAAGTATTACAAGACAATGAAGGAAAAAATATTGGTGGGAGGGATGATTAATGATGTCCTATTTAGGCACTTGGCATGTCGTCTCTCAAACCCGAAGACTGTGTAGCTGACTATAGCACTTTAACCGAGAAGGAATTGGAGACTCTTGATCAATGGCACGCTTTCTTCTCCAAGAGATATAACATCATTGGCAAGGTTGTGCCAGATAATTAAAAAAAAGTGTATTGAATGAGTCAAACATAAAAACTTTATTTTCTGGTTTTTTGCCAATTGCTGACTTTGTGTGATTTTTGGGGGGGAGAAGGGAAGGACCAACGTGAAAATTACGACAAAATTTCTCGGTTCACACTTGTCTTTTTTTCCTTTTCCTTATTTCGCCATGGCTACTACTGCCCAATCGTCCAGTTCGCAACACTGGTCGTACTATCTACAAGGACTGGATCAGGCCTTCAACTGGCCCAAGACTTTTATCCTCTTCTACTCGCAAGTACCAATGGTTTTTCGCCTTTGCTACGCATGTGGCAAACGATGCATTTGGCTAACACCGTGATTTCATTTTCGAGCAGGTCCTCGACCATTCAAAAGGCCATGTTTAAACTGTTTGTGATTAACGGTATTATATTTCTGGGCGGTCTTACTTTGCTCGAAACCTTTTACAACACGGCGTCGCACCGTTTGTTCGGGTGTTCTTATGCAGTAAGTTGACCACTTTGTTACATTTGTAATATGAGCCAATGGACATTGACCGTTTTTTGCTTTCGTTTTCAGGCATTGACGGGCTATCCCATGTATATTGCATTGCTCGGATTGAATAGTACGTTCTACGGTCAAATCGCCGAGAAAGCTTACCAAACGCAGACTAGTCGGTCGAACAACAGACAAGGTAGTTCGGGAATCGCCAATACCGTGCAAAGCATGGCTTCAACAGTCTATACCATCATCTTCTACATTAACTGTGGTGTCTTTGCAAGCTTGTTACGATCCATCCCTACCGTTGGCACTCTGTTATCGTTTTTAGCCAACTGTTTCATCATGTCGTATTATTGCTTCGAGTAAGTCGATCTCCGCCTGACATCAGGGTTTCTCGAAATTATTCATTCAGCGATCGTTTTGCTTTGCAAAAGGTACAAGTGGGTGTATTATGGATGGACCATGGAGCAGCGTCTCCTCTTTGTAGAACAAAATTGGGCCTACTTCTTGGGATTTGGTAAGAACATTGTAAAAAGTGAATCTTGCATGAGCGTTTTTTGGTGTTGATTAAGGATTGTAGGATTACCGGGCACTGTGTTAACATATTTCCTATCACCCCTTCGATCCGGTGCCGTGTTTTCTTTGATTTATCCAAGTGTAAGTTCTCCCCTTTACAGAAAAGTTAAAGAAAAGAATAACCGATATGCCCAATGGAATCGATACATGTGAAACTTATTGTTGCATTTTATAGTACGTTATTATGGCCATGATCGCTGTCCCAAAGTCCTCTTCGCCTTACAATCATTCTGTCGCGTCTGGTGCTGCCGCTCGTTTCGAATGGATGCTTCCTAATAAGCTGCCTCTATTTTATGTTGTACGAAAAATGAACGATCTTGTCATTCTTATTGTGCGATTGATAGGAGGTGTGCACGCTGACCCCATTGTATCCGAGAAAAAGAAAGCAAGCATGCGAAAACAAGAGTAAAATAATCGTGATCTATATTTTGTATGTAGAAAAACGAGGAAAAAAAAACGAGATGAAGATAAAAAAAAATGAATGCAGATTATTGATATTATTCTTGTTTTTTGGTTTTCTTTTGAGTTTTGACTTTCTTGATGTCTTCCACAGCCTTGCTCGTTTCATGACCAGGTAATAAGGATGTAGCTACAAAGAGTTGTAAATGCACACGTTATTATCCACATAGAGACATGTGAAAATCCTTTTTCTTGTGGTCCCACACTTACATTGGCTGTTTAATAATCTATCGACAATGTCAGAGATAACGCCGCCAGTGAGATAGCTCTTGGATACACCTCTTGGCAACATGGGTTGGGTTAACAGTTGCTTCAACTGTCCTCGCATTGCTTTAGCCTTGCTTCGGTTACGTTCCGATTCTTGCTGAGTCTGCTTGTGTTTGCCTTGCATCAGATCTTCATCAAAATCGATATCCATCTCGGCAGCCATGTTGCGCATCCAATTTTCCTCATGCGTTGACTAAATAGGGTGTAAGTTACATGCACGCACCTAACCGCAAGGATATCTTTTTCCACTTGCCTTGTTTTCCTGATGTTCCAAACGATCAATATCGGTGGCGAGATTCACTCGTTTGCGAATTTCGTTCAAGATATTGAGATCCACGGGAAAGTCAGGATAGGGATCACCCTTTCTGAGCGTATGGCACAGTCGGGTGTAAATCTTCATCTCGTCAGGTCCCACGAGAAGCAAGGAAATACCATCGCGGTTGGCTCTTGCTGTACGACCGCTGCGATGCACATAAATCTCACCAGAGCGAGGAAGCTGATAATGGATAACGTGTTCCACCGCGGGTATATCCAAACCACGGGCAGCGACATCTGAAGCTACCAACACTGCTTTGGGATTGTTCTTGAATCTGTATATCACAAGCAAACGTCAGCGAGGATTCAGGGGAAAAAAGTTCACCTTTTCCAATCTTACCGATCCAAATTCTTCAGACGCTGTTTCTGCTGCATTTGCGCATGCAATCCCAGCACTTCAACGTTCAGCAATCTGAATACAGGCACCAAACGACGAATGGCATCGATACTGTTCACAAAGATAATGGTGCGTCCCGGATATCGAGTGACGAAATAGTAGACATACAGATCCTTATCATTTTTCAAACAGTCAATTTTCGCTTCAGCAAGACGAGAAGCAACCACTTGCTCGGTGGTCATATCCACTACGCTCGGTTCCTTGTCTGCAAATTCCAGACGATCCAACAAATCCTCTACATTTGAAATAAATCCACATGAGCATACGCAAAAACAGAATGATAACGTATAGAAGCTTACCAAGGGTGCCCTTTGCCTTCTTTGCCGGCTTTTTGCGTTTAACGTTGAAACGAAGATTTTCACTCAATGTGGCCGTGAAGACGAAGGTTTGAAACGCTGAAGAATCTATTTTCAACGACATCTATGAGTTGTATTGTTCCACCCCACAAAAAAAAAGAAGCAGATGAGACACGAACCTCTTTTGATATGTTTGATTTTGCCCTCCTCAGATTCTTCAGGCCATTCTGTGGTATCCCTATAACACATTAGTTTAGTCGACCATGCCGTTGTTAGGTTTTCTAATAACACATACTGTCGCTTCTTTGAAAGAATTTCCAAAAGGTTCGTCAACTCCTCGAAATGACCCTTTTCCAGCATTCTGTCTGCTTCATCCAGAACGAGGAACTTGATATGATGGAGCATTTGCATATATTTCTCATTCTGTGATCCAGTTAACACCATATGTCACGATGATAATCCCACATTTATCAGCAAACACTTACTCCCGAGAATAACTCCCAAAGACGACCAGGTGTAGCCACAATAATGTTGGGATGGTGATTCAGCAGACGTTGTTGTTTCTGACTGGACATACCACCGACAATTGCAGCAATCTTTTGAGAGTAACGTGCGATATTAATAAAATTGTTATATGTATCAAAAGGACGATCGAATTTACCTTGATGGACGTGAAAACCGCCATATTCTCGATATGATCTTTAACCTGCATTGCCAGTTCTCTTGTCGGCGTCAAAATCAAACCAGCAAGTTCATTTGTTGCACTTTCACCATGCTCGACAAGGTATTGAACAATAGGGATGCCAAAAGCCAAAGTTTTACCGGAACCCTGGATTCACACGGAAAGTCAGTAATCATTATGGCGACATTTGCTCCTGCTATATGTCCTTACAGTTTCCGCCGCGCCGATAATATCACGTCCAGTTAAAGCCAAAGGCAAGGCCTTTTCCTGAATAGGAGTAGGTTTGGCAAATTGATGCAGTTTAAGCGCTTGCATGATAGGTTCAGCCATTTTCAAAGATTCCCAAGCAGATACATCAAAGCCTGAAAGTGAATCGTCAAGGAAACGTTGAGTGATATGCTCTATTCCGCTTCTTTTCCTCTATTTTTTATTATTTCGAGCTTTTTTTGCCTTACTTTGATCGACATCATCAAGCGTTGGACGCTTTTTCTGTTTCTTGTTTGCAGGTGTGTTATCTTTGGGTGTCTCGGTGGGTTCTTCTTCATTATCGCTGCCTGCATCCTCTCCCAATTGGGCTTCCAACTTTTTCACTTGTTCTCTGAGTTTTTCGAGTCTTTGCTTCTTTTTCAGCAGTTGCTTATCCTCCTTTTTCGGCTGATCTGATTTGGCAGCAGCTTTTTCGCTTTCCTTTGAGGATCCGGTCGTCTTTCCCTCCTTTATTTCCTTATCCTCTTCCACAGTAGCTTCGTTTTCTTCCATTTCCGTATCGTTTGCTCCTGTTTCTTCGTTTTCTGCTTCGGCTCCGGCTTCCGCTTCGGTCGCTGCTTGCTTAGCGGCTAATTCCTCGTTGAACGTATCCAGATCATAATACTGGGCCATTTCCTCTTCACTTAAAGGTTTATCGACGACAGCTTTCTTGCCAGCTTTTCTGTTTGGGTTCTTTACTCGCTATGATTGCCAGCCTCTGTTACTGATTCGTGACACTGAAAGACGACCGATCATAACAAGACTTACCTTGAACTTGGCCACTTTGCCAGTGGTATCATCACCCTCGTATTCGATCTCAACATCGTCAATCTCTTCCAGACACAGGAATCCTCCCTCTTCGCCAAAAATGTTATTGGAAGAGACAGCGACTTCGGACCAGTCCCAGGAATCAATGTCACCGAGATTTTCATATTCTACGTCTGTCTTGCGTTTTTTGTTGGCTTGTTTCGGTCCAGCAGCCGCTTTTCCCTTTGTTTTGGTATCCTGATCTGCCAATCGACGTTTGCCGTTGACGTTTTTGCCGTTTTTGCGATTTGATTTCGCCATAGCCAATTTTGATCCTTTGACCATAGTGGAAAACTGCAACAGAGAAAAAAAAAAAATGCAAGATCCTTTTTTGGAAGAAAAAAGCAGTCCGTGACTTTGGCGCGTTTTTGATGAACCGCAGAATCGGGAAACAAAAAAAGATTCTTCAAGCGCTATGCGAGCAAAAAGGTCTTTTGAAAATTCTGTAGCATTAATTGCGTAATACTGGCAAAGAGCAACTATGTATTACATGAACACTCAATCGACTGAAATTACCAATTCGGTATAACCACAGAGCATTTAACTTATAGAAACTATTGTAAAGTTGAGCTTACGGATTCCGTTGTCATCATATTTCAGCAATATTATCAGGTGGATCGGCGGAAAAGAAACAATATGCTGTCTGGTACAATATTTAGTCAACAAATTTCTTAAGAAAATAAAATAATAAACTATATTAAGAGTGACAGAAAAATATTACTATATCAGAGACCATCGTTCGTAGCAAACGCAAACAAAGCAGTATCTCCGAAGCTAGTAATCTTCTCATGCATAGTGCGTTTTCCTTATACAGAGCGGCATGTGCTAGAAGAGGTAGAACCGTTCTTTCGGCCGAATTTACTTTCTGGCTCAAAGTAAGAAGGAGTCGAAAACCTCACTTGCACTGACACAGATTGACGAGCCAATAGTTGTAAAGACCATGCAATCGCGTCGAAGTTGAACCGCGCGCTGTTATTTTTCGATTCGAATGTGTTCGATTGTGTCCCGACAAAAATACGATCACTACGTACGCTGTAGCAAACAGTTGGAAGTCTGGCAATCTATTCTAAGATCTTCCCGGCTTAGCTTTCGATTAAATCAGCATCTCCCGCCTTCCAAGTTACGAAGCGCTCTTTTTAAACATTGTAATTCATCTTTAGCTTTTTAATCATTACGACGAGTCTGGATATTAAAGCATAATAGTTGATACCAGGCATTTACCGAAAGTAGAACCGAACCGAGGTCGGCCCTCAGGACATGCATAAAACGCATATTCCTGTTATGTAAGCTCAGACAATATTTTGATATGTTTGGTTTCAACGTCAAACGGTAATGTCCAAGCGTCATATACCATACTTCTTATCATACCGATTAAAACGGTAATGTGTCGGGCTCCACTATACCTACGAAGTGATTTGTCGCTCTACAAAGACATGAAGATTTCATTTAAAGTTTATTTGCAAAGAAGCCGGTATGGCAGTTATGTTTGTGCAATCGGTATTCACTCCTTGTTTGTGTACCTTTATCTTTCTCTGAATGAATGCGTTGTATCCTATTTAAGAATCCAAAAAAAAAAAAACTTTTGGCGAAATATTTGAAACACCACTTGTCCAAATCAATATGATTTCCGTATGCACTATGCGTCAAGTTTATTCACCGGTAAACAAAACACGGCAGTTGATTCTCAGAAGATCGGTTCGATCAGATCTGTATAAATATTCAGAAGATCTCCAGTGTAAAAAATATTGTCAGCCCCCACGATGTTGAACCGTATTCCCGCACTTGCCATCTTTTTGCTCCTTGCCGTCTTAAACTTGACTTTGGCTACTCAATGGTATGGATTCGGTCCCCACTGCCAGTTCGACAAGGATTCTTTATGCCTCGATGACTTGACGAAGCCTTACTGTTATGCCCAGAACGAGGATGATGCGGTAAAATGTCAGCATGCCTGCGGTCAATTCGAAGACCCCTGCGTAGATGGCTATCAAATCTGCTGCGATTAAGCGAGGGAAGTTCCGTCGGATTATCCATGAGAAATTGGTAGAGCGTGTTTTTTACATCATGGTTGATGCTCCAAGTTCTCAATAAAAAGTAATTGTTTGGTGTCAATATAACCCCCCAGTGGAGCTTCAATCCTTTGGTCCACAAGTTGGTCAATAATTTGAAATATTCTGCGTGGTTATAAATATTTGAAGCGTTGCCACTGCCGCAGTAGGCCGAGACAAACGCAAAGACATAAAGCCTAGAGTGATTAAAATATCTTTGATGGCGGATTCGGAGGTAATGGGCGATTCTAATCCTCATTATTTGGATATGCCAAGACTAGAGAAAACAAGCGATGATCCAGATGAATGAGCCGAGTGCAGGTTTTTGTTTCAAGATTTGATACCACAAAAACCAAAATTTCTGGATCCACAACCTCACCATTTTCAACAGCTAGCCGCTTTGCATAAAGGATATAGCTGTAACAAGCATCTCGTCTTGAAGAAAGCTGACAAACCATATAAACTTTTCATACATTGTGCCTCCTCTTCATTAATATCTGACGTCAGTGTGACTTTTTTCAATAGTGCAGCATATGAATAGCCCTTCCAGTCTCAGATTGACCACAATTCAAGATCTGGCAATCGTAATTCCCTAGTAAAATTCTCTATAATCTTTTTAAGTGTAATGAGTAGACTGGTAAAATTTTCTGGAACACGGAATACCGCATCATCTGCACATTGTATAGACCATGGTTTCGAAGTGCTATAAAAAAAAGCAGTGCAGCCGTTCTGTAAGCTCTCAAATAGGTTCATCGCATCGCATTTCAGCTGTTGTTCCAACATAAGTTTATAGATCTACCGATTCTGTAGGTCTGGCGCGCACTTCAATTGTTCTTTCAGTATTCAGATTATCATATGCAACGTTAGAATTGAAACAGGTTATTTTCATTGTTAGTTCTTGTCGTCTTGTGAAGAGGTAATAACTTATCGCTTTATCGCACAAGTAGGAGTGAAAGAGGTGTCTTGGGATTATACCTTGCGAGTATCTTCGAAAGTATCATTGAATCAGGGAGATAAAGTGTTTCGGAAAGGAATGGCGTAAGCTGGGTGACCACATGGTTATCGGCAGCCATCGTTGGTTCCGAACCGGACAAAATTGAACAGTGCGTAAAAAAAAGTACCACCACTGACCAATGCGTTCCTATTCCATCTACCAGATTCTTTTTTTCTTTTTTCTTCCCAAAGAATTATCATCGCGTGTTGCTGATCGGATGACTTGTGGGGTTCATGCTATGCATGAAAATGCCCATAAACAATATATATGTGTACAGTAAAGAAAAAAAAATAACAGACTCAATGAAACCTATTCAATGCATAAGACATGTTAACTCATGAAATCAAGGTGGATAATAGTTAATTCCAAAAAGATTGTTGATCGTCATGTTCAAATCAACAACGATTCAGAATCCAAAAGAAGGTCGCTTATCCGAAGCATCAGTGCTTGTTTTTTTTTCTCTTGCAGAACGATCAGCTGATGGAATCTGCGATCCTGGGAAAAGATACGGTAGCCTGTCCTAATCCGGACAATCCTCCAACACGATCATATATAATACGGCAAAGAAAATCCGCCGCCAAATATTCAACCTAATCATTCTATCCCCTCTATTTTATTTTTTCGAGGCTTTTCTTTCTTCTGAATGAGTACAACGCCCAAACGCCCCACTCCTATTCGCCGGCTTTCTATGCCCAAGTTGACACGTCGTCTCACGGACGTCGTCATCCATGATAACGATGAAGTGGAGCCTGTAACACCTACCAGCGTTCCGTCTCGTCCACCCAGTCCACAACAAATGGACGACGAGTATCTCGATCGATGGAAAGCCTGTGTGGAGAAGGAAGATTACGATCAAGACAGTATTCAAAAAGACATGGTTCGCCATACCATCAACACTCTCTGCCGTGGGGTTCACAACGTGGATAAACTGACAGCATATCAAGCAACCGCGTACTCCATTCGAGACCGTCTCATTGAGAAATGGAATGTCACACAAGACGCTCTGCAAAAGGCAACTCCCAAACGATGCTACTACATGTCGATGGAATTTCTTATTGGTCGCTCACTGGACAATGCTCTGATTTCGTTACACGCCGAGAAAGCTTATCGCGGAAGTGTGGCCGGTCTGGGGTTCCGTTTGGAGGATCTCCTCGAGCAAGAACATGATGCCGCCTTGGGCAACGGCGGTCTAGGTCGACTTGCCGCTTGCTACATTGACTCGAGCGCTACACTGGCTTACCCTACATGGGGTTACGGCTTGCGATATGAGTACGGTATTTTTAAGCAGACGATCAAGGACGGTTTCCAGACTGAAGAACCCGACCAGTGGTTGAAATTCGAGAACCCTTGGGAATTCCCGCGCACTGATATCTTTTACGAAGTGCAATTTTACGGTTACGTTGCCACCAAAGTGAACGATAAGGGCGTGTCTCGCTTATCGTGGGAGGGCGGCGAGCGTGTTCAAGCCATGGCCTATGACGTCCCCATTCCCGGATTCGGTACTCAAGGTTGCGGAAACATCCGATTATGGAAGAGCAAGCCCTTGCACCCGTTTGATTTCGCCGCCTTCAACGATGGCGATTATGACCGGTCGGTTCGCGAAAGAACCAATGCAGAAAATTTAACCGCCGTCCTGTATCCCAATGACAACCATCCTGTCGGCAAGGAATTACGTCTCAAGCAAGAATATCTGTTCGTGAGTGCCAGTTTGCAAGACATCATTCATCGCTTTAAACGGGCCAATTCGCCATGGAAGGAGTTCCCCAATCAAGTGGCTATCCAGTTGAACGATACTCATCCTACGCTGGGTATTCCGGAACTTCAACGACTCCTGGTCGATGTGGAAGGCCTGGATTGGGACGATGCCTGGGAGATTGTTGAAAAGACTTTTGCCTTCACTAACCATACGATCTTGCCGGAAGCCTTGGAGCGTTGGTCCGTCCCCATGTTGGAGAAGGTGCTGCCACGTCACATGCAAATCATCTACGATATAAATCTCTTCTTCTTGCAAAAGGTGGAGCAAAAGTATTACGGCGATCGCGAACTCCTCAAACGTATCTCGATCATCGAAGAAAGTTCTCCGCAGCAAGTCCGTATGGCCTTTTTAGCCGTGGTGGCTTCCCACACCGTCAATGGTGTTGCTGCTCTCCATTCGGATCTCATCAAGAAGGACTTGTTCCATGATTTCATCAAATACTTTGGTCCTGAGAAATTCATCAATATCACCAATGGTATCACGCCTCGTCGATGGCTGTATCAAGCCAACCCGCCGTTGCGTCAGCTGATCACCGAGACGCTCGGTAATGAAGAATGGGTCACCCACCTAGACCGTTTGCAAGAACTGAAGAAGCATGCCGACGATCCCGATTTCCAGCAAAAATGGATGGAGGTCAAGCGTAAGAACAAGGAACGTCTGGCTCGCTGGATCCGCAAGAATCTCAACATCCACGTATCCCCCGATGCGCTGTTCGACATCCAAGTCAAGCGTATCCACGAGTACAAGCGGCAATTCATGAATATTTTGGGCGTCATTTACCGTTACAGAGAACTGAGAGAAATGTCCAACAAGGACAAGGACCATCAAATTCCGCGCGTGGTGATTTTTGGTGGCAAGGCCGCTCCCGGTTATTATATTGCCAAATTGGTGATCAAACTTATCACCAGTGCCGCGGCGGTGATCAACAACGATCCCAGCATCAACGACTTGCTCAAAGTGGTGTTCATCCCCGATTACAACGTCTCTCTAGCTGAAATCATCGTGCCAGCTTCCGACATTTCGCAACACATCTCGACGGCAGGTACTGAAGCTTCCGGTACTTCGAATATGAAGTTTGTGCTCAACGGTGGTCTTATCCTCGGCACGGTCGACGGCGCCAACATCGAAATTCGGGATGAAATTGGCGAAGAGAACATTTTCTTGTTCGGTACTCTGGCGGACGAAGTGGCCGATATCCGACACAATCAAAAATACCACGGTTTATTCATGGATCCCAGTTTGCAAACCGTCATTGACGCCATCCAAGCCGGTGATTTTGGTGACCCTTCGATTTTCAACCCATTGATCAATACCTTGACCTACGGTGGTGACTATTATCTTATCTCTCAAGACTTTGAAGCCTACTTGACCCGACAAATCGACGTCGATGACGCTTTCAGTGACACAAGAACTTGGGCCCGCAAATCCATCATGTGCACTGCAGGCATGGGATTTTTCTCGTCGGATCGCGCCGTACGTGATTATGCCGAAAAGATTTGGAAAATTCAACCCTTTTCTCCCCAAGGAAACACCCAGTGATAAAAAAAAAAACTAATTCGTTGACTTGTGTGTGAGCACCACTTTTGTTACAGAATGGCCATTGCGAGCCAACCTTTTCTTTTTTCTACGTTTTATTTCATTTTTTTTTCTTTGTTCTCTAATAGTTTTGTTTATAAAAACCTTCCAAGTCCAATGCAGGGGAAACAAATTAAAAAAAGAAAAAAAAAGAAAACTGTTTGCTTGTTTATATCATGTGGAATGACCAATGATACTGTCTTTTATGTACGAGAGAAAAAGAGAGAGAAAAAAAAGATATTTTTTTCATAAAGGAATTTAAGAGGTCATGTAGGAGTTGATGTCAACTTCCTCGGGCAAAGAGCTAATGTTGATTTCGAAACGACTCTGGACATCGTTCAATACGGTGGTGTCTTTTTCGTCCGACACAAAAGTGATACCAAGACCCTTGGTACCGAAACGACCAGCACGACCGACTCTGTGCAAGTAGGTATCGGCGCTGTCGGGCATGTCGTAGTTGATGACAATGTTCACACGTTCAATATCGATACCGCGACCAAAGATGTCCGTGGCCACCATGATACGCTTTTCGAAATCCTTGAATGATTTGTAACGCTTGATACGCTCTTCCTGGCTGATTTGAGAGTGGATACAGATACTGGGGAAGTTACAGTCGGACAAGATACGGTTCAATTCGTTGGCACGAGGCACTGATCGCACGAAAATACACACTTGGTTGAATTCCAATGTATCCAATAACTCGTTGAGTTTGCGGTTCTTTTCACGTTCATCCAACTTGATATAGAACTGGGAAAGACCGTGAAGTGTTAACTTGGCTTCGTCATCAACATAGATCTCCAAAGGATTCTGCATGAACTTTTTGCACACCGGTCGCATTTCCTTGGCCAAGGTGGCAGAGAACATCATGACTTGCTTGCGCTGAGGAGTGGAACGGAAAATGTCTTGTACATCTCTGCGCATATCTATCATAGCAATGAAGCGAAAAAAAAAGATCAGTCAATATGTTATCACCATTTTTCAAAAAAAAAAAAAACTTACCAAGCTGTTCAAGCATTTTATCACATTCATCAAGAACAAAGTGCTTGACGTTGTTGAGCTTCAGATACTTTTCACGCACAAGAGCGAGGACTCGACCAGGGGTACCGACAAGGATGTGAGGGCACTTGTTCTTATCCTTGAGGATTTCAATATCTTTGGTCATGGGCACACCACCGTAGAACACTTCAGTGCGAATATCAGGCAAGTACTTGCTGAAACGGGCATATTCGTTCTTGATCTGGAAAGCCAATTCACGGGTATGGCAGAGAACCACCACAGAGACTTCACCGTTGACGGGTTCGATTTGCTGCAAAGTAGCCAATACAAACACAGCCGTTTTACCCATACCGGATTTGGCCTGGCAGATGACGTCCATTCCCAAAATGGATTGAGGGATACATTCTTGCTGGACTGAGTAACACAAGAAAAGGCACGGAGTAAGTTCAGCTGCGTCGTCATCTGGCAAGACGCGTCAATCCCAGGGACTCACCTTCAGAAGGATGTTCGAAACCGCAATCCACGATACTTCTCAGGAGTTCAGGCTTCAACAAGAAATCACGGAAACCAGTGGAATGGATACCAACGTAGGAACCCTTCTTGTCCTTTTTATCTTCATCTTCGGGAAGAGCACCGTTGGCGTCATCTTTTCTGATGGAAACGGGGGCTTGGATGGTTTGTTCGTCTTCCTCCTCGTAGTCAATGAGATCATCGGCGTGGTCAGCGGCAGACATGTTTGATTACTGCGAATAAAGGACGGACGTCAACGAGGAAAAATTTAGTAAACTTTTGTCATGTGGGTAACGGAATCATCTCTCTTTTTTTTTTCTCTTCGCATGAAAATGGTGGAAAATACAAGTAGTATTTCCTTTCATTCTCCTTTTTCATCGTGCTCGTTTTTTCTCTCTCTCAAGCCTGGCGTCCTTTGCATAAAAAAATGTCGACTGAAAATACTGGCAAAATTGGCGTTAGGAGGTCGATGACGGATACGTCGGCAAGCGTTCATCGTCGTATTAGCTTCAATACCAGCTGTGACGGAATACCTTGCCATCACAACTGGCTGGGGCCGGATAATAAAAGAAAAAAAGCAAAAGCAAAGATGATGAAAAGGGAGGGTAGGCCAAGAAAGAGACAGATAATCAAAACAGAAAGTGGAGAGAATTCAAGGGCCAAGAAAAAGAAAGAAGGCCACGGAAAAAACAAAAGGGAAGACGTTCGTGACAAGAACATTCCTTTCGCGCCATACACTGCGGGATAGAAGAGCCGGTTTCCACACTTTTTGTGAATCATTGGACAAAATGGTTCAGGAAATGTGACGATAATGCAGTACGATCAATGGCAATTGAGCAGATGTATATAATTATCAAGTAAGATGGGACAGATGAAGCGCAAAAGGCCGCCACGAATGGTTCAGGATTTGCGTAATGCTGATGTGCCACGGCGAATGGGCGAATGCGGACATGATGGGCAAGGAGAAAAAGGAGCGAGCACGAAGGAGTACGAAGACGCCAAGAGTTTTCCAGGGTCCGCAAGCGACGACATACCTTTGGCGATATACAGATAAAAAGTGGTCGTGTTATGTACAGAGAAAAGAAAAAATGGATGGATGGACGGATTTCAAGCGGATGAAGGAGTGAAGATTAGGGATTGTTTTGATTTTCTCAACAGAAACTGTCGGAGAAAAAAAGTTTTTCATCGATGACATCATGTGTAGGAGATTGAAAATCTTGGCTCCTTGTGCATAGGAATCAATCGCGCCACCATGCGCCATCATGCCTTTCAACCAAGCAGCATGCATGACACTTTCTTTTTTTTTTTTGTACAGTCTGCAGTTGAATAAATAAAATAAAAAAAATATCAACCATTTTCCAAAAGGAAATGTCATTCTTATTGCACCACCTGTGGTGACAAGAAGCCAGGGGAGGATGATTCTGCTACGATGTGGGTCACAGCGGCTTCGGGTAAGCGATCTTTGAGCATAGCGTTGACTGCCAAGGTAGAAGCATTGCGACGCAAGAGCGCTTCTTTCTGATCGCTTGGTGAACGCTGTCGGTTTTCACGCTCCAATGCTTTGCGGAATAGGAGGTCGGGATCGGTTAATGCAGCAAGTGCGCGACGCATCTGCGTGTTGAGGTAGCTTAAACCTATTTGGTAAGACGCATTCATCCATCCAAATCCTTCGCGTGGCACGCACTTGAAATCCGTGCCAACGTTTCCGTACTCCACTTTCACTTTGTGTGAAAGGCTCACAACGTCAAATTTTTCTGGCACTACCCCGTTAAAATCCACAAAACTCTTTGTAATTCTAAGACACAAAATACCAATCAGAAAAGTTATCCTACATGAGCAAACGTTTCTGCCAATTCCGCACTTACGTGTACAGCCATCGGTAGGCCAAGCGGCGAGAAAGGTGTGGCAACTCGTATTGTTCTAATCCAACCCAAGCGAGGATTTGATGGGGAGCCCAACCAAACGGAAAGTCCCATTGCCGACTGGGTCGCTCCACCGATGTCGCGCCGCGGGATTTTTCCGTGCCAGACACCAGACCTCCCTTCACTTCGAGTTTGAATAGGGACCGTTCAATCATCTTTTGAGCTTGTTCAGGATTGGCACAGCCTGCCCAAAGAGCCCAAAATGCAGTAGCGCTTTCATACGTTTGCTGTTGCTCTCGAACCGTGTCATAATCAAAGTACAAGCTCTCTTCTTCATTCCATAAATACTTGTTGATGAAATCGCGTCGATGCTTCGCCCTGTCGAGCCATACGTCGGTGGATTGCTTATTTCCAGCAAAATCCGTCAGATCGTCGTCGAGATGATCCCGTATGGTGTCGCCAATATCCATCTCATATTTGTATAGCAGCGCATTCAAATCAATGGTAGCTAGATTGGCGCAAACGTTGTCGAATCGATAAGTGGTGTCATGACCGGATTCGCGCACGGCGCGATCATGCATGAAATATTCGTCCAGCTCCGGTTCGCAAACTTGCTGAGCATTGTAACAGCGAATAAATTCTGGAATGGAAATGCGATACTTTCTGGCAAATCGACTCACGACGTGATCGAAATGAGTGGGTTCGGTTTCCGGAGGAATGCCTTGACCGGCGGGTCTGTACCGAGATAGCCCCGTCTTTTTATCCAAACGCGGTTCAGCCATCCACACCGTCTCATATTCCTGGATGGCAGCTTGGAAAATGGAACGCAGCCATTCCTTGTTGGCCTCCTTTTCATTGGGATCCAAACGCTCGTAGACGCGAAGTGCCATGTCGGTCAAAAACGGAGGTTCCGAACGCAGCAGGTAGTATGACCGATTCGCGTTCAATATTTTGCCATAATGGGTGATTTCATAGGCAAAATGGTTCACCATACTCTTGGCGATGTCCACATGGTTATCGATCAATAACCCGAGAGCTTCAAAGTAGGAATCCCATCCATACATTTCATTAAAGCGGCCACCGGGCACGATAAAAGGCTCACCTTGAAAGGTGGTGGTACCATCTGGTTTTTCGATTTTGCGCATTTTCAATGATAAAATTCCTGGTTTGGTATTGATATCCTTGACATATTCTGGTGTGAGGTCCTTTGGCAGACGTTCAACATCGATATTCAGATCTGGCCTGTTCTGCAGCGCCTTTTGGTAATAGCTGAAAATCTCGTCTTCGCTGTATGGAACATATACCCGTGGACGGCCATTGATGGCTTCGCTCTTTGGATCCGCGCACAGAACGCTTATGCTGTCGGCATCAATTCGACGTGTGAGACTATTCCAGTATAGATCCCTGATGATCCTTGACAGACGTTCGACGGGATTTTCGTCGAGACGCGCTTCGTCCAGGACAATATATTTTCGGCCAAATTCTTGCGCAAGCGTCAATTCTTGAAGTAGGTTGGACAGCATGTACGTTCCCCGCACTTCAAATTTCTTGTATCCGCCTGAATCGGCGGTGCCCAGAGTAAATACTTTTGGTCCCTCGTCATTGACCGTGATCTGAAAGTCGTTATCTGTATCCTCTTGCGCCAAGATCTCTCGCTGCGCCTCCTCGACATTCAACAAGAACTGGCGCGGTTTTCCTTTCTCCTCTAGTGACATCATAAGTACATACGATCGCAATCGCAACAAAATATCCAAGCATCTTACCGTAGGAATACCTTCGATGAGTCGCTGCTACCTGAGCTTGTGATGGAACTGTAGGTTTACTTCTCTAATCAAACCATATCGTATTTGAGATCGTCAAGTATCAATCCGCTGTCTATTCCAATTATTCTCACTGCTTACAGCTTGCTCTCTTGTGCGTGCATGGGGAACATCAGTGCCTAAATAGTAATTGGACGGTACAGCGTGCACGTCGTAGCTTGCATCTTCGGAAAATCTCAACATGGTTGGTGCAGGCGAGTGGACGGCAAAAATTTATTCAAAAACGTTCTTAAAAGTAAAATAAAAATAGATTTCCTAGATTGGTTTGCATAATATCGGTGCTTATTACAGTAAATATTTGGACAATGGCAGAAGGTGCTGTTTCAGACAGTGGTCAATGGCAGTGATCGACCATGTTTCAAGTTGTCACAAACCCTTCCACTTATTGGTCCCACATGATTGGTCACTCAAATAAAGGTGCACTATGTGGTTGTTATAGTTTGATACAAAGGTAGCAAATATTAGCTTTTTTGCATAGAAGCCCGATTATTCAGCCTGCTCACTGCCATGAGGCTGTGAGATCAGTCTCTATTTCATTTTAGAAGCGGAATCATGGAAGTTTTCACTGGCAAGACTTCGGCAAGTTCACATGAGAATGGTTGGGGATTCAATGCATAGAAGCATAAGTTTAACCTCAGCCAGCTTCACATGTTCTTGTCGCTTTTACGTTGCACAGTTATTTTAATGTTCTCCAATCATGAAATGCAATGTACATGCTGTTAACCTTGTATGACAAAAAAGATAATGCCGATCAAACAAAAATCTCAACCATCGCAAGTTCGGATTTCGGTAGGCGCTGAAGGGATTGACCAAAAGCATTCCACCAAACGGTAACGAGTGTATTGATTGTTATGCTTTTGCTAAGCTTCAATGAGTATGTCCGAGGCTCTGAAAGCAAATATTGTATCTCTTGATCAAGAGTAATTTGATTTTGTGTCACAAAGTATTTTCAGATCGCAGCACCATCTTGGCAGAGATTGCGACTGTGCATGTTTTCAATGAGAAAGCTGGTAATGTTATGTAGCCGTTCGATTGTACGTAAACCCTAATAAACATCATTGAGAGACGGCCTGATGGAAAATCTCGTCGTTTTGATATTGAAAGAGTCAGGTTTATGCATCCCTGGTTACAGTCATACATTTTTTAATGTCGGTTGACCGGGAAAATATGATTGATTTGGAAAAGGAAAGCTAAACTTACAGAGTAGGCAATCTTCTCAGGTATCCATCCTCACGTGTTGCGACTATTTGATCCCAAACATTTCCATTCAACAGAAGCGCATAATGTATTTAGTGGGGTAGACTAGACTAGACTTGTTATATCGTGCCTTCATGTGTTGTTTTCACACTATGATGGCGTTGGAGTATCGTCACAACTCGAGACATCGATTGCTTCATTATTGGAAGATCAGTAGGCATGAGGGATACATGGACGTTAATAAAGATCCAAAGGGTACAGCCTTTTGTAAATTTTGTGTGGGGTGAAACACAGAACCATTTCATATGGATTTGTGGCTTATCATCGAGATTTCGGCAAGCATGGCTTATTGGCTCCCACACTGCACAATCAACTGATAATTCATCCCATGTGGGAATTTCGCGAGAAATAGACAACGTGTGTCCGATAATCTAAAATGAGAGCTAACTTTTTTTTTTTTTTGACAGATGGGGCAAGGCCAATGCATGGATAATTATTTTTCTCCTGTTAATTTTTTGTATTTTTTGGCCAGCATGTGTAAAAATCTGCTGACGGATGAAACAAAAAAAAATTAGGACGCACGGTGACAGGAGAAAGGGTCTTGTTGCCAATGGCAACACGACGACCGTGCGAGACCTGGGGAAAGGTGCAAGCGGAGGAGTGGATAAGCGGCCCACCTTACCATTTTGGACGTAGAATTGGATCACCTCAGCTTGAACATCCCAATTCATCATGTCTGTCCAACTTTCAAATGGTTATTTTTATGTCGCCGCTATTTTTTCCAAGTCCCTTCTTTTTTATAAACCGCTTTTTCATCTCAAAAAGTAATTTGTTTCAGAAAGTTTTGTTTTCCGGTTTTTTTCTCTTATCTTTGCCCCTCTTCTCTTTTTCGTTCTTTTTCTTTGTATTGATTGATTTGTAACAATGGCTCCGGCTTCTGTCATCGATAACGCCAAAGGCGCCCCCGCTACTTCTGAAAAGCAACCTGGCCATGTCGGCCACTTGACCGCCAAAGAAACCGATATGTTAAAGGCATTGTGGAAACGTCTGTTTGAACTGTTCAAACAGGTGGGGACCGAGTATAAACCTGCTGAGAAGAATGAACCAGCCAAAGAAGCGCCCAAGGAAACCAAGAAAGGAGGCTTCTTCGGTTTCGGTGGAAAGAAAGAAGCCAAAGAAGACGCCAAGACGAATGATGTGTTTATTGGTACCACGGCCGATCCGTCGTGGTTGACTTTGCCTCTTGAAAAGGCCATTCCCCTTATTCCCGGCACCGATTTGCAAACTACATTCTGGAACATGGTGTGCACCGATAATCCGGACGCGGTGGTTCTTCGATTCTTGCGAGCACGTAAATGGGATCTGGATGCGGCCTACAACATGCTCATCAACACTTTACGCTGGCGTATTGTGATGCGTGTCGATGATATCGTGGCTCTGGGCGAAACGGGAATGCACGATGAGCTCGAGCGACTCAAGCCCGGCATGGGTAAGTCGTTTGTCGAACAACTTCACTCGGGCAAAGCTTTCTTGGGTGGTCCTGACAAGGCCGGACGTGGTATCTGGTACGTTGTGTAACTTTTGTCGTTGTTGTGTTTGATCCAACCCGGTTTACTTAATTGTTTCGACCACAGTTTCATCAACGTAAGCCTTCACCATAAAGAGGATCAAGCCCCCGAGGTGATCAAACTGCTGACCATGTTCGTCATGGAAACTTCCCGTATTGTCGTACATCAACCCATCGAAGCTGCTTGTATTGTCTTTAACATGGACGGTTTTACTTTGAGTAACATGGTATGTAATCGTAAGAGATTATGGGCGGATGTGTGTTTGTATGGTTGATAAGGAGGTTGGGGGGCGCGCGTTGTAGGAAAATTGGGTGAGGCTAGTGTGTGGATAGTAAGATTCAGTATCCCGAGGCAAAAAGTGGGAAATAATGCAAAAAGGAAAAGGTGATGTGCTAAAAGTTGTCTTTTTTTTTTGTGCAGGATTTTGATTTCGTCAAGTTCTTGGTCACCTGTTTCGAAGCTTATTATCCCGAGACGTTGGGATGCTGTCTCATCCACAAGGCTCCGTGGGTATTCTCGACGGTGTGGAATTTGATCACTCCTTTACTGGACCCTGTAGTGGCGAGCAAGATCCACTTTACCAAGAACGTCGACGAACTGACCAAGTATGTGGACATGGCCAGCTTACCAGGTAATATTTCCGGCGAAAAGGGTAAAAAGACTTTGGATGAGCAAAAGGTGGACCCTCCCAAGGCTGGTACCTTGGTCAAGCCCAACACCCCGGCCATTCAAGATTACCATGACATGATCAAGGAATTCCAATACGAGACGGCCGAATGGGCCAACAGCAAGACGCCCGAAGATGCAAAGGACGACGGCAGCCGTCTGGAACTTGCCAAGCAATACCGCATGATGCGCATCAAATCCGAACGCGATTTGCGTGGTCCCAGCAGCTACGAAACCAAAGGTCTTGCCACCATCACCGATGAACATCGTCTCATCATCGATTTTGGCAACTCGAACTGGACTCCTCTGGATATCACCGAAAGCGTCTAACAAAGATAGACTGGGTTCAACTATTTTTCTTTTTTACATTTGCTAGTATTACAAGTCGTTCAAAACTTACCTTTTTGGTTACGTTGATTAGTTTTTATATTTTCTTTCTCTCTTTCTTTCTTTCTTTCTTTCTTTTGGTTACCATCTTCAATATTCCCAACTAGTAACAATAGGATCATATGGGTTTTTGCTAGTCATCTTAATTCTTCCATAAACAATGCACCGTTTTGTTTATCTTGATCAATGGATTTTCTTCTCCGTCCGTCACACCTTGTAAACAAATGATATCAGGAATCCATGTCATTTCGAAATAATGTTTCTTGGCAGTGTTCAGCAAGGTAACAGTGATACATTCCAAGATATACGATTTTAAGTTTATTGTATGCGATATGGTACAAAATACCAACAAAGTGGTAATCATGATCAGTGTCTTGAATAAAATGGTGGGTCGGTGCATGAATCCGTCTACTCGGATCGTCTTTTGAAAGGGATGCGACGATGATCCTTTGCCGCATTCTTCTTGCGTCGTTTTTCGAGAATACGCTCGATATTCTTCTCGCCGTATTGCTTATATTTATCGATCAATTCCATCTTGCGTTTCTCGGCTATAAAATGGGATTAGCATCCCTGTTGTCACGGATAAAAAAAAACCACTTACATCGTTTCAAGAAGTACGGTTTCTTGCCCTGTTCCACTAGTTCGGCTTCCTTCTTCTTTCTTTCTCTCACCAAATTCTGCTTGCGTTTCGCTTCCTTCTCAGCATATTCGCGAGATTGCTAAGAGTTTGGGGGTAAGTCATCTTATCCTGATGGATTCCTAGCTAAACGGACTTACCATCTTTGTAAGTACGAGTTGCATTTTCTCACGCTCCTCTGGATCCTTTTCTTTTCGAATGCTCTCCTTGAGCATGGCAATCTCCGATTGTCTGTAGTCGTTCAAGAATTCATAGGATTTTTCAAACAGCTCTTGGTTCAAATGACCAGATAACTTATCAAACCGTGGATCTCTTCGTTTCTATATTTGGGTCAAGTAAATTCCACACGCTCTTTCTTGGTGAAAATCGTTTGTACGCCAAATCACAAACTTACCGCTGCTGGTGCTTCGACAACTTGACGGAAACGACCCACCGCTCTTTTTGAAGACATCTCCATCGGACTAGGGAAAATCCATTGCTCAGCGATCTGGTATACAATGGCATAATAAAACCATGAACTCAAAAGACTCACCTATGCTTGCTACTTCGTTTCATGTCTTCTTTTGTGCGTTTGACTTTGCTGCCGTCACTGGCTTTCTTCTTTGCTGCATGTAGATCCTTGGCGATCTGCTCTCGGGATATAGATGCAATGGGTTTTTTTTCAACTTCTGTTCCTCGTCTGGCTTTGCTGAATTCCTTCATGCCCATTTTACTCTTGATTTCAGCCAATTGTTCAAACGAAACGTGAGCGAGAGCTAATCTCATGGTCAGTATACCGAGCCCACAAGGGTCAATAATCCTCCAGCTTACTTCGTTTCAACTTGGCCATTTTAGTTTTTTGGTCCTCTTCGTCTTCCTCTTCTTCATCCTCTACGTCGTCTTCGTCTTCGTCTTCGTCAAATTCGTCCTCATCCATACCTTGTTCTTCATCCTCACTGGTATATGTCTACGCAATTTGAAAAATACGGGATAAGAACAATCGGGATCACCGTAGCCACCGATGCAAAAGATCACTCACTTCTTCCTCTTCATTGTCTACGTAGCCTTCATATTCATCTCCATAGACGTCGTCTTCGTCCTGAATTGCGGCGGTTTTCCACGATGCCGCTTTCGATCGTCCCATAGGTATTTTAGTTATGCGAGAATCGTTACAAAACAAGACCCACCGAAACCCGATCAAGCGCACTGTAAGTCAAAGCCACTGCACTCCATTTTGAGTCTCCGGTTCACTTTCAGGGCAGACCAATACATTTCGAAAGAAAATTCGGCCCGAATTTGCCCATGGCACAAAAAGGCAAGTAGTGAATTTAGTGTTTTTCCTTTTTCTTCTTCTTCGTCTGTTCTTTATTGTTCAGTGAATGAACTATCAGGTCTTCTCGCCTTTGCGATCTCGCGGTGCTACCTGCCGAGGTCGGCTATCGGCCCGGTTTTTTCAGCCTTGGATCCAACGATCGTACACCCAAGCGACTGCAATCAAACCCACTCCTCGGCGAGCACTTCGCAACTTCATCGGTACCAGTGCCGTCCTGGGAGCTGCAGGCACAGGGCTCTATTACACGAATGACGACTTTCGCCACCTGACCATCGCTTTGCAACGCTGTGGAACAGCGGGAGCGGTCACTGTGCAGGTCGCCTATCACTATCAACGCATGCTTTCTCGAGAATATGCCACCGAGGAAGAACGAAAACAAGCGAAGCGAGAATGCGATTTACAATGTGCGAATATTGTGCTGGCAGGTTTGCAAAAGCTGGGCGGTATCTATGTCAAACTCGGCCAACACATCTCGGCGATGATGTACATTTTACCTGTGGAGTGGACATCGACCATGGCCGCTTTGCAAGATCGATGTGAAGCAAGTTCAGCCCAAGATATTCGAGAACTGTTTTCGAGTGATTATGGTGAAAGCTTGGATGATATTTTTGAGGAATTCGATTGGCGCCCTCTGGGAGTGGCGTCACTGGCACAGGTGCATCGAGCTCGGTTACGTCCTTTGCGCGACGGTACACGATTGGGGAACGATGGTTGGGTAGCGGTCAAACTGCAACATCCCAGATTGGATGAATTTGCCAAGATCGATTTGGCCACTGTGACTTTTATCGTTACCACCATCAAGCGTGTGTTTCCCGATTTTGGATTTGAATGGATCATGCATGAAATGCGTGAATCGTTACCCCAAGAAATGGATTTCAGGCATGAGGCGAAAAATGCCCACCAGGTAGCTCGAAACTTTGCTGCTGAATGTAAAAAGGGAACCACACCTTTGGTTATTCCGGAAATCATTTGGGCAAGGCGACGTATTATGTGCATGGAATGTAAGTAGGAAAATACTCATATGTTTGTGCTTTGGTAAAGACTAACTCTATTGGGATGCAGTTATTGAAGGAGCCCGCATTGACGATTTGGAGTACATGAAGCGCCACAACATTGATGCGGCCTCGGTATCGAAAGAACTGTCGGCCATCTTTTCGAAAATGATGTTCCTCGATGGGTGAGTATACTCTCCGATTGTTCGGTACAACTGGGTTCCTGATTGTTTTCTCTTTCTTTTTGCCATGGTAGATTCGTGCATTGTGATCCTCGTAAGTATTTTCCTTTGGTCTTCGCCATCATTTATTGAGGTTGATTCTAATTGTTACCTTTAAATTGCCTGTAAAGATCCCGGTAATGTACTTATTCGTCCTGCCAAAAATCCAAAGCACTCGTCTTTCAATTTCGATCTTGTCTTGCTGGACCATGGACTTTACCGAACACTGACCGACGATTTGCGTACAAACTATGCTCATCTGTGGACGTCGTTGATCAAGGGGGATGAAGAAGGCATTCGTACCTATGCTTTGCTTGTGGGATGCAAAGCGAATACCCATCGTTTGTTTGCTTCTTTGTTGACGGGGCGTGAGTGGCAGACCATTCAGTCGGCGGATCTTTCGTCATTACGTTCCGATACAGAAATGGAGCGTGTGTCGGGTCGTGCCTCGGGTTTCCTACTAAAAGTGGCCGATATCTTGGCGACGTTGCCGCGTGTTGTGCTATTGCTGTTGAAAACAAGCGATCTTTTGCGTAGCTTGGATGAGACATTACGAGTCTCTGTCGGCGATCATATGACATACATCATCATGGGCCGTTACTGCGCCAAGGCGGTGTGGCTGGAAAGCAAGAAGCGCGTGCTCGATATGATGTCCACGACTGGCGTGACATGGCACCTGTTCAAGCAACTTTCCAATGCGTGGTGGGAATACCATTCGCTGGAACTGGGATTATGGCTCTATCAGTTACAAACCGAGTGCTGGCGTCGTTGGTGGGCGTTGAAAACATCCCTTAGAGTTTTATAGACAACTACACTTTACTTTATTTTTTTCAGCTGTTACATTAGATATCCTTCTTCTATAATCACTCCTCCCATTTCATTACAAACAAAACATCATAGACTGCTTTACGTGATACATCTTATAAAACTAGAAACCATTCCCTTTCTTTGTTGATCCATGTTATGCTGAAAGACAAAAAGCAAAAACAAACATAATGTCCGAGGTCCAGTCACCGCTCGATTCCATTTTGGAATGACTTTTTGCAATCCCCTAAAATAGTATGCAATTTGTAATTGTAAAGAAATTATACAGATTATAACCGAAATTTAGATAAATGATCGTATCGTAAAGTTTTCTTTGGTAACAGTGTGGAGGAGAACATCCTCTGAAGGGTAAAATTTATTGAGTGGTTGATTTAAGACTGCAAGAGCCACCATGTTTCGTAACCATTGAAAAAGCCATTCTTCTTGGTGTGTTGGTAAGGCTGTAATTACCATACTATGTGGTATTCAAAAAATAGAAGCTTGGTCTTGAGTGACACGCATTGTCAATAGTTTTTATCATACGATCAAAATACAGCGAAAATGAGTTCGAGTTTCATAGAGCAGCGTCAAGCCCATCATGGTCCACTTGCACGTGACGTTGCTTTTTAATACACCGCTTCTTACCTCGAGTCATTATCGGCAAATTTTCGGGGTTGCCCGTAACAGATTCATATCGGGAACAAGGGCCTTTGTCCTCTCAATTTCGGCATTGAAATAACATTGCAAGTAACGAACCATGTGGGGTAAACTCTTCCATTTTGCGGCAGATGCTATGCTTATTACCACTGTGCTTGCCGGTATTAAGCGCAACACCGGATTGCAGTAAGTTAGTGGTGGCGAGTGCTGCGGAAACGAGGATGATGTACGTCAAATTGACCACTCCCACTATAGAATCGCCACTTCGAAAATCGAAGACAACAATATCCGGTCATATCTTGACAAGTACCTCGACTTTGGTGATACATTATTAGACCAGGCCGTCTATCAAATGCAGAAATCCGGCTACTTTGAACGCAAATAGACTCGTGCAGTTACAAAAAACAAAGATCCCAAGGCTTACGTGATAATTAGGATCATACCATGGTTTGGTAGAAATTCATATATTGTATCATATCAAAATGTTATGCGTCACAGATCATTTTTATATTTCTAAACATATTGTATTCGACATGACGGTATCACCGTAATTGCACTGCAGCTATTTTCATTTTCTTTTCGAATTGACTTGTCACATGATTATCACCAGGAACATTCCGATTCCGTCGTTTATGCGTTTTGTGTGTTGCGAAGGAATTTGGGCGTGATGGAAACCAATGTTACCAAAACGACGAAAAAAAAAAAAAGAAAGGTGGAGTGATGTCGTCAAGACGATCCATGTGAGACTGTCGCTTGATTGGATGGATTGGGTTTGAATTTGTCTATTTTTATCTTACGATGTGGGGAAAAAGGTTGCAGTAGCGTTCCAAAAGAAGAAAAGAGCATGACACAAAGCGGCGTGGTCGAGACAAAAACATCGTGGGACTTTTTGAATGGATTCAGAGATTTTTATGTGGGCCTGTATTTATATTATCAAAAAGGTCATCTCTTTTTGGAGGGACATCCGATCTTTGCCGGCTGTCCTGCATAAGATGGGAAAACAGAAAGGGGGGGGATGAACTAGGGAATGAAAAAAAAAGAGTAACATTGAAGGGAATAACATGAATGCAGGTTGTTTGGGAACAAAAAATTATGAAAAAATATATTTCAGCTTATATACAAATACGTTTGAAAAATTTTGTCGAGCGGTTGAGTGTATGTAGAAAGGGTCTGTTTTTTAAAGGCATGAAGATGGTGAGGTGATATCGGAATGGAAGGAACACAAGGAGGAAGCGGTGTGTTGTGAGGCGGAAGTAATGGTTTGACTGACATCGTCCCACAAAAGTCCGGGTTCGTTGTCTTCTTCATAGGACCATGGAGAATAATCTTCGTTGTCTGGTTCTTGAGGAACAAATTCTTTGCAAACGGTAGGAATGGTGATCAGGGTAGGCTTGTTTTTGCGTTTTAATGATTGAGTTCGTCGGGTAGGCTGTAGCGGATCATTGGAGGGCAAAGGCTTGTGTTCATGTTGTTGAGGATAAATGACGAGTGGCTCCACGGTCGGTTCGAGTGTCGATCCGGAGAAGCGAGGCAAGACAATAGGAACAAAAGACATGATGGGGATTTATAAACGGACGGTGTAGCTGGAGGATTTTTCCACTTGGCAGTGTGTTGTTAAAAAGAAATGAGAGATGTAAGAACAAGGTCGACAGAGAGAGTTTCCAAGGGCAAATCAAACACCAATGAGTGATGAGGATAAAAAGTAAAGAGTAAAAGAAATGGGAATAATTGTATTTATAGGAAGAAAAAGGATGGTCTCATATGAAAATGAGTGTCTCCATTGATTGCCGACGTTTACCCCGCTTTCCTGTTTGTGAATCCGATATGCAGAGATCAAGCAAAAAGGAAAAAAAGAAAAAAGAAAAAAAAATCACACTATGCGGAAAAACCTCAGAGTCAATCCACACCCACAAAAATTTTGACCCTGTCAAAATGGACGGGAGTCTGCCTGAACCCACGGAGGGAAATCGACTGGATTTTTTCTCTTTTTCTTTTTTTTTTTTTTTTTTTTTTTTTTTTGTAGGTGTATGCATGGGCATAAAGCCGTTTTATTTTTTCTTTCTCTTTACTTTGGACTCTTTGGCTGGTTTTATTTAATGGGAAAAAGCTTATTTACAAATCGACAATTCTTTCGACATGGCCGCACTCTGGTAAATGATCACCTCGATACTTGATCAGGTACTCTCCGGTGGGTTTGGCGGTCACGGTTTTATTTACTGGGCAACCCTAAATAACCAAAAAGACAAAAAGGGAATCATGTTTGAGAAACGGTGTGGAATTCATATGCGAATCCAACGGTGGTCACCCGGTGATCACCCGATTTTATCCGAACCCGCCCAATTCCGCGGGGTACATACCTTGGTGCTATTGGTGCATTTGTAATAGACGCTCTTGCATCCAGTTTTTTTCTGGATAGTGTTGCCATTATTTTTCCAGAAATGATTGTCATTATATGGGAATTCGCGGGTTTCAACAATCTTGGTAATCGCTTGCATTTCGCGACGTCGACGGCCTCGGCCTGCAGGGCGATCGTCCTTGTCATGTATATCGTAGTAATCAGGAGAGGGGGAGGGATAAGCACTGAATAATAAAACCGGATGATAAATAAGCATTATTGAACAAAGAAAAAACAGTGGTGCTGTTTCAAAAACAAAAAAATTCTCACCTCTGGTGTTGCAGATAGGAAGAGGAAGAAGTGGAGGAAGTAGAGGAAGGTGAAGTGAGGGTGGTGGGAGTTTGCGAGGACGCTTGAGGAACAGACCCCATGGCAAGCATGGCGGCAGCAGCCGAATTGCGACGCTGCTGATGATGTAGTGAAGAGATGTCTAGAGAGTTTCGGATAGAGTCACGTCGCATAGGCAATGGATAAGGTGCTATTGTTGCTGCGCGGTGGGCGGCGGCACCGTCGCTATTGTTACTGCCATGACTACTGCCAGAAGATCGTCTCAGGATATCTTTGGAAACCAGTTCCCGGTCTCTTTTCTCCCTAAGTCCCGTATTTTCCAGAGACAGGGACGATACGCGGTGATGTCTCTGAATATGCAAGTCAAGTTCTTTAGCCCGTAATTTGGCTTCTTCGGCCCGTCGTTTATCTTCTTCGACTTTGCTTGCCAAAATGAGTTTTAACAGCTCCGGTTGAGATCGATATTGTGCAACGACATCTTGAAGGTTATAGAACAATGGATTGATGGAAGATGAGGCGGACGGTGCGGCCGGTTTAGACATGGGTAAATTTACACTCGGTAATACTGTCGGCTTGTGTGAATATCGTAAAAACCTCGCATCTTCTTGTGGGCATGCATGGGCATAGCTGTGATTGAGTGTACAAGAGGAAGATGGATTGCAAGTGATGGTTTCCATTATAAATATATCAGTTTCTTTCAACTGGTGTGGAAAGCAAATATTAAAAAAGCGATAAGAGATAATAAAAAAAAAAGAAAGAGACAAAGAAAAAAAAAAAAAAAGAACCACGTTTTGACTCGTTCACAAGCGTGGGGAAGTACATAATATAAGAGTGCGGGGAACCAATCTATAATTTTTTTTCCTTTTTGTTTTTCATTCTTTTTTTTTTTCCTAGCCACTTGATCCTCTCATCCCCACCATTGTCAAACATTTCCCAGCTAGGAAATATGCAGACAAATGGCTGGCTCGTCCAACCTGATGCTATAAAATATATCAGAAGGTCATGACCTCTCAGTTCCTTTTTACAGTAGCCAATAACATGCAGATTCATGTGAACTTCTTTGAAACCGAGGTTTCTTTATTTCTGTAGACTTGCTTGCTTTGCCATTGCTTTTAATGGTTATATACGCTGACTCATGGATCCCGGTTTCCCACAAGAACGACCCCGTTCAACTAGTGGGTTGATTTTTTATTGGGTGAGTAAAAAAACTCGGTTTTCATTCTTTCCAAGCAGGAAGCCGGCGCTTCCGACTGGGGATGAACTTTAACACAGCGGATTTCCCAACTTTTGCCGCTCCTTCCAGTTACCCCACATCCAAGCGGTCACTTACCCCGTACGAAACGTCCATTTTTGTCATTTCCAACCGTGCACAAAATGCTTTCAAGACAGCCCGTTTCCCAAATTCTTCATTTTCCTTTTTGCGCATTTCTTAAGTTATACCATTTGGGATTGGGATGGCGAAACCTTGTACGCGTAATCCTTATTACCTTTCCGATCAAAAAAGAATTTTTTCCCTGCACATGGCTGAGATACAAATACTCCGGAGGGTATATTGGCGAAACCTTCAGGACTCCCATATGTCGCCTCACAATTGTATAAAAAAAATTCCCAATTCCCAGCCACACCACCAATGAATGATCATTGGGAGAAAAAAGTTCCCACAGTTCCGACTTCAGCCATTTTGTCTGGGACGATCGTGATCCAACCTTTTGACTGACAGTTGAACTTGGATGTTTTATAAACTCCTAAATCTGGTCGATTACATGCCGTGCTTCCCCATTCATCGAAACCTTGTACCTTTTCCCCCGGCCAGTCATTTGGAATTTCGGGATAATGTATTTTTTTTTATTCGTTCTGTTGCCTAATTCATTTGTCATCCATTTTCTGTGGATTCGCCAGTACAGCATGATTATCACATTCAACTTTATCTTTTGTTTTGCTATGAGATTGGCAGAATAGCTTGAATTATTCCATGAAACCAGAATGTACCCGTGGACCTGCTGCGAAAAGCGGGAAAAAAACCAAGTCATTCTTTGGTTTGAGGCGAATTTTTCGGGGGTTAGTGTCACCATCCGGTTCTGGTGAATTTGTGCGAATCTGTCTTGCAGCCATTCACCGTCAAATTTGAGCAAAGTTGAACAAATGGGAGCTGAAGAAAAAGTGTCATTGAAGCTAAGGAATTACCAAATCTGGCGCTTCCTTACCTTCACTGTATAACCATTGTTTTTTTTTCTCGTACAATGCTTAATGACTGTTGGATGCACATGACAGCATCTTTGGTAATGAAAATATGTTATTTCTGTTTCTTTTTTCTCTTCCAATATCTTTATTTTAAATGCGCTGCGGACCTCCTTAACAGTGGGCTGTCCGTGGCCATGGATATCATATGAAATGTCGTAAGTACGTCATGATTCAAAATTTGCCGTCGCGGAGTTGGACGGGAAACGCTCGATCCAGAGATCGGGAATAGCAATAAGCGCGAATACATGACGTTTCTTCTGGGCAAATTCCCGTCCTTTTTAATTGATAGTAGCGTACTATCAACCTATTTGTAATAGAAAAAAGTGGTTGCCCGGGTTCAAACATGGGCGGTGAATAAGCAATGTAATACAGTCCTTTCCGTTAGGGTAACCACTGAACCATATGGGATGATCTGCGTCAGACCTAGGGTTCCGCGGAACGCGGCTGGCCATGGAACCAAGTCCCTGTTTCCATTCTCTGAAGTCGATTGGTGTCCGACCGTCTTTTTAACCCGGAACGGGATGGCTCAGTTATAGCAAGAGGCCGCTCGGGTCTTCTATTTGTCGAAGCTTTTGGCCGATCCTTGCCGTATGTGGGGCGACGATCGTACTCATGCAAAAAATCATGCTTAGAAAATTCCAGGATGGAAAAGCAGCTATTTTCAGTTAATGCCAACTCAAAAGACCCTTTCAGTCGAAAAGGATTCGTTATGCTTTGGTTTTGTCCGCCACGTCGCCAATGACCACGTTTTTTTGCTCTTGAAAAAAAAAATAGAAAAAATAAAATTCACATGCATGGTGAGACATTGACATATTGCATGTGGCAACTGCCAAAGCTGCAAAATTAACTTTATCCTCCTGTGATTCTGAATATGGCCTATTGACGCCTATTTAGCAAGTAGGTGTACAAGAAATATCTGTCAATAGAATTATAGCTGACTAAAATGATAGTAGAACTATTAGCTGCAAAAATAGCATCGATCAATGGCCGTGGAGACCTTATTTTACAGTAAAAAAGGTAACTTATCACTGGCATTTTTTTTTTTCAAAAAAGGACAAAATCAATGCTTGTTTTTACAAGATAGGTTACAGAGACTGCAAAAGAAAAACAATGAATTACCTTACCCTACCTTACGTTGGTATCTTTTTGTTAGTTAATTTTATCACTTTCAGTGCATGGTTGACAGTATTGAGAGGATTGTATAAAGATATTTTCTTTTGTCAAGTCTACATAGCAAACACTATATCCCTTTTACTTTGAAATAAATAGTATTAGCTTCATGGTCCGAGATATTTAGGGACGCTCTCACTATGGAAAGCTCTGTGAAGTGAAAGCTCTGAACCAAAGCGGTCTGAACCGAAGCGGAGCTCAACCAAAGTCACGTGCTCACGTAGACAAGCTCTTTCGACTTGCCTAATTTGCGGGAATCATTGGCAGGCCAAACCCACTGACCGAATTCGCCCCTCATGTCGGTCGATAACTTCAAAACCAATATCTATGATTACCTCCAAACGTTACCCACATTTACTTTTATGCGGCTGTTCGAAAAGCCGGCCACTTGTTTGGCCATTTTCCGGTAGGAGATCCGCTGCGCCTCTGAAGTGCGATCATCCACTGAATCGGAAGGGACGATCAGACTGTTGCCAAGCATAGGCAGACAAATGGTCATGTCCTTACTCTATATAGATTCACCTATCCTTATCAAGGACATTAACAGCTGGGTCAATAAGGATGGACAACGGTAAACGACTAATTCACTTTCGGTTTCACATAAAAAAACCACGGCCTCAAACAGCCTTGATTGCTCATAGAAAGCTCGCCGAGGCTCTGCACAAACTGACAAGGCTGCGCATTCTCAAGGAAAATGAGCACGATATTGTCATGAATGACATGTTTCGACAAGAATTTCGAAATGCACTAACGGGAGGGTAAAGACAATCAATAGAGACTTCTTTTTTGGTTTCAGGCACCCTTACTCACGGTTTACTTGATAGTGGGACACAACAGTCGTTTGGTCTTCCTTGCACTACCCCCGATAAGCATCCCGTTGATATCGCTTTTCTTGATCAATATGCCAATCAGCAGTGGGAAGCTATTCTGCATTACATGGTCGGCACATCACTCACGAAAAAGCCAAGTCGGGGTGTCCTCAATCTACTGGAACGAAGTCAACTGATGCAAAACAGGTAACAATGGATCATTCAGCAAGTGAACGATATCCATTTTCTCGGCTGACATGGATATTACGTGAACAAGTCCCGACAACGAGGGTCAATTGCAGATTACCAACAAAGGCTTTCAGTTTCTGTTACAAGATGTTAATACACAAGTATGGGCGTTTCTTCTTCAGTACCTAGATATGGCCGAGGTAAACTTTTTGATAAATCAGCATACATCATTGAATCTTAACTTAATCATCATTTTATCAGATGCTTCAAATGGATCTCGTCGAAGTCTTGAATTTCCTATTTCAGCTGGGATCATTGGAATTGGGAGAGGTAAGCCATCGTGCAACCAATTAGTAGATAGGGAATCGGTGACTGAGGGCTGAGGTTACCATAGAATTATTCGGTAGAAACTTTGACGCAAACACAACAACAAATGTTGGAGGATTTACGAGATTATGGCATTGTATACCAGCGAAAGGTAATCAAAAAATGACATGTTGCTCTGTCGCCAACCTCCTGAGAATTTACTTGGCCAAAATTTCTTTAGAGAGGATCTCGACGATATTACCCTACAAGACTCGCTACCACTTTAACTTCGGGCAATGCGGCTCTGGCGACTAAGTTGCCGAAAACGAGCTCTGCGGTCGAAGGCGGCAAAGCGCCAGCTACAGATGAAGAGGAAGGAGATCAGGGCTTTGTTATTCTTGAAACAAATTATAGAGTTTATGCATATACAGGTGAGCATCGCAGTAATGGGGTTTTGACCGGCGTGAAAGATTTTTTACTAATCTGCTAATTTGGATTAGAATCACCACTACAGATTGCTGTATTAAACTTATTCGTTCATTTGCAATCACGCTTTCAAAACATGGTCGCGGGGTTAATTACACGTGACAGTGTCCGTAACGCATTATTGAAAGGCATCACGGCAGATCAAGTAGGGTTGAAATGCATACAGAGCGTAGAAACGCCAGTCTTACCGTGTATTGTCTGATATTAGATCATTTCATATATGCAAACACATGCGCATCCGCAGATGAGGAAAAAGGTAATATATCTCTGAAGGACTAACATTTGGGAGCTATTCATTCATACCATGGTCTGTTGTGTAGACACCTATTTTGCCATTAACGGTGGTAGATCAAATACGACTGTGGGAAATGGAGAGAAACCGCTTAAAAGCGACTCCAGGTATGCTTGAATATTAGAACACCTACTTTATCACCAGTACTAACATTGATATAGCCTATTTATATCACGAGTTCAACGTGCAAGCCGATTTTGATGCTGCCGAGAAGCATGCTCGCGATCTTGGAGTGCTTCTTTGGTCTAATCAGAAGAAACGAACGATGGTTATTACTCAAGGGTACGTTGATCTTTGGATTTTGGCTTGGACAAAAAATCGTAAATTGATGTATCCGCGAATAGGGGACATGAGAGTGTAAAGGGCTTTGTTAAACGACGCCTGAAAGGCGGTGGTGGTGATGATGCTCATCGGTAATTATGCGATATGAATCAAGCTTGAACCCGATGAACCACATTTTGTATATAAAACATCCATTTCATGTTATACATTATGCAAGACCCCCATTTGAGTTACAAATAAGGATCCATGCCTCTTGGTGATCTCTTTTGCATAAAGTATCGCAAAAGCAGGGATCATCCACAAATGCGCGTTCGATGAAATGTCCTGCAGCAGAGGATTACAGATGCATATATTTACCATGTAGTTGAAGTAGAAAACGGACGTTTTGACACTTGATCTTTTTTTTTCCTGTTTGGTTTATTACAAGGCAAACACAGCATAAGAACACAAGCTGTTGCGTATTATTGGCCTCCGCAACTTGTGCATGATATTTTCTTTGAGGCGCTGTAATTCCGATAACTGGTCCACCAATGATTAATCCAATGAACACAACCATCCTTGTTTTAGGGAGAAAGATAGGAAGCAAATGGAAAGAACGCGGTGAATAACGGGCCGAATTTCTGCGCAAAGCTGTTGAGTTCTCTTTTTTGTTTTGGATAAGTCCTCCAAACAGACGCGGCTCAATGGCCCCTGTCCGCGTCAATGGGATTGCCTATCGGAAAGTCGGTTCGAACAATGGGAAAACCACACCATTTTCAACCGTTGGATGAGAAAAAAGATGCGTTTGAACAGTCGCGCTTCATGGCTTCTAGGAAGTAACAAGAAAAAGATTCGCAGGCTGCCCTATTTAGGATGCTAGAACCCTTGAAATGGTATTTATGATGACAAATACAGAATGTCGAAATTGCCTTTTCAGATTTTTCGATAGGGTTAGTATTACCGTTGACAGGTTGAACAAAGCATGGTTACCAATGAATTTGCTATTGCTCCAAGCAACCGCTTTAGTTTCCCCACAATCCAACTCCCACCACACTATCCCCGGGTAACGCTGCTTTTATCAAATGTGGCGGAGTCTCTGGCTGAAAGGCTTTCCTAAGTCAACCCAAGCTTGACGAATCATTTGAATGTACCAAAACATTTGATGCAGTTTAATTGTGTCAAGTCATTATGACCTACCATACCCCATTCGACGGGTGATCAATGGATCAAATCAGATCAATTTGTTTTCTCAGATCCTGTGTTTTGTATCAAGCGATGTTTCCGCAGTGACAATTTCTTTTCTCTTATGGGAAAAAAAAACGGTGATTTGCCTGATATAGAGAAGATCTTAACGTGGGGTATTGTAACCAGTAGTGCTATTGTCCGAACGTATGGAACAAGTGGAAGGTAAATGATAAAAGAAACGTGATCTTGTGAAATTATGCAATGATCGAAGAGGAAGACAGTTCATGGTATATAAGGAAACAGATCCACTGTATACCACTCTATCTTATCCTTCATCTAAACAATCGGACACCACGTTTCATCATGTCTGCCGCAGAAAAAATTACCGTCTCGCACAATGAGTCTTTGGCGCTCAATATGACCGAAACCTTTGATGACAGCAAAGGCAAAACTCAGCCTCCGCCAAATCACTCGAGTTCTATGCCACCGAGAAAATTCATTGAACCAGCCGCCATCGGCTTTTCCGCGTTTGCCTTGTGCTCTTTTGTGCTAGGGCTTTATAACTCTGGCTTGGTGACCCATCTACCGCAGGTGGCTATTGGCGTGAGCTTTGGCGCCGGAGCCGTGGGGCAATTTATCGCGGCCATTTGCGAAATTTATCTTGGCAATACCTATAGTGCTACTACATTTTTGACGTACTCTGGCTTTTTCTTCACTTATGGTATCATGTTTATGCCCAGTTCCGGATTCATGTCAGCTGCTATGGAAGCAGGTGGATTGGCGGAACTTGAACGATGCATGGGTCTTGTTATGGCTGGGTATGCCATTGTGTCCTTTCTTTTCTTCCTTGGAACGTTCCGACAGCCTTGGTTGGTTCGACTCGTATTGCTTCAGGTCTTTCTTACCTTTTTCTTTGGTGCATTGGGTGCCTTTACTGGTGTCGCGGGACTCACCAAAGCCGGAGGCTGGCTGTCTTTCACCTTGGCAGTTACTGCATGGTACATAATGTGTGCTATTCTCTATCAAGACAACACCACATTTATCAAGCTTCCTTTCTTTTAAATAATAATTTTTTCTTTTATATAAAACCATTGATAACCATGTTTCCCTTAAAGCTGTAACTTGCTCCCCTTTTGCCTCTATAACATATTTGCTTTCTTTTCCATCCGTAATATTTCCAGTGAAAATTATATTTATACATACATACAATTACTTTTGGAGATCTAAAATGCAAGGTGGCTAAAAATAAGAGTCATGTCTTTGAGTGTACTCCATTAGGTTGCACAATTTTGACATCAAGACTGCGGTCATGTTAAAAGTACGAGTATTAGCATGCTTGATTATAGCAGTACGGCTTACAACAAGCTGCTTTTTTTGAGGCACCACTGCTGTGATATCATTCATTCTAACGAAGACCTAGTATTTTCTATGAATAGCTGTAGTCTTGCGTGGTAAAACCAGGGTGTTTGATGATTGCTAACCCATGAAGAATATTCTCACTCACAAGGATTACGTGAAAAGCTACCACCATATGGGTACATGATCCATGAAGCATTCTGCGTTCAAAGACCCCAGCATTTGAGATAATCGATGATAGCAGCTATAGGATAGTCAGTGACAAAGATGAACAAAAAGGAAACAATAGAAACAATTTATACTTTAAGACGTCACGAGGTCGGTTCGACCCGCGAATATCCGTAGAAAGTATCTCAGACAGATACATATGGTTTTGTATGACGAGGGTTGAAGTCTTGCTAGCGTTTTTGGATCAAACCATAGTTTTGCAACAAATTATTGCCATGACTAACAAATTGAACAATGATAATTTCAAGTTTATACGATCATATATTAACATGTGAGGATGGTTGTAAATACCTGTTCCTGAAAGATCAGCGATTCTAAGGATGGAAGGATAAAGGCCCATGAAGATCGCAAGTTTTGAGCCAATGATATGCAAGCATCTTGACTCGGTAAGTGAGGCACACAAACTTACTCATAAGCAAGTCACAAAGGTTAACTCATCTTGGTTTTTTTTTTTCTGGTCGCCGTGTTCGACAAGTTTTAGGTGAATTTTTGGGTTGCACTCGTTATCGTCCTCTTATCACTTGGTAAACCTTCCTTCCACGCTTTTTTGATCACCAAGTTCCCACCCACCACATCATGTCTGCGTTGAATGCCCCACGAAAATTTCGCATCACCGCACCCTGTTCGACGGCGAACATTGGACCAGGGTTCGATGTGCTGGGCATTTCACTGTCCATGTACTTGAGCTTAGACGTTGAAATCGGTGCACAACAGGATGCTCCATTTGTTATGACCTATTCGGGCGAAGGCGCTAAGGATGTTCCACTTACTCCAGAGCATAACTTGATTACGAAGACCGCTCTTTATGTCCTCTCGGCGAATGGGATCAAGCAGTTACCGCAACCTTTGAAAATTCATGTGCAGAACCCTATCCCGCTTGGTCGAGGACTCGGATCGTCTGGTGCAGCTGTCGTTGCTGGTGTCTTGTTGGGCAATGCATTGGGACAGCTCAAGTTGGGCAAAGATCGGTTATTGGATTATTGTTTGATGATTGAACGTCATCCCGATAACGTTGCAGCGGCATTGATGGGCGGTTTCGTCGCTTCTTATTTGCGTGAATTGGATCCCGAAGATGTCAAGGGCGTTCCTGCGTCGGAATCTTTACTCGACATTACCCCTTCGCAAGATGTGCCTCAACCTCCTTCAGGCATCGGTCATTTTGTGAGACTCAATTGGGCCAATGAAATCAAAGCAATTGCCATTGTGCCTCAATTTGAAGTGGCCACCGTCAAAGCCAGGTCAGTGTTGCCGCAGACTTACGATCGTGCAGATATGGTAAGTTGAACGAATTGAATTCGGATCAAAAGTGGTAGCCTCACCCAAACCCATCTTTGAAAAAAAAAAAAAAAAAAAAAAAAAAAAAACCACTAGATTTTCAACTTCCAGCGTCTTGCAGTATTGACAACCGCATTGGGCCGTTCACCTCCGGATGCCGATCTTATCTACAATGCAATGCAAGATAAGGTTCATCAACCTTATCGCAAAACTTTGGTACGTGCTTCTACACACATATTGACACTATGAAAAAGGATATGGATGGGATGGGAGACAAAGATCACTGACGAAGCTCGCCTTAGATTCCTGGTCTTCCTGAAATTTTGTCAACCATCACACCTGCAAAGTACGATGGCTTGCTCGGTATTTGCTTGTCTGGTGCCGGTCCTACCATCTTGGCCCTTGCAACCCACAATTTTGAAGCCATTGCCGAAGCTGCCCGTGCGGTCTTTGCGGAACATGGTATCAAGGATAGCTTCTACCGAGTTTTGGATGTAGATACTGAAGGAGCCAACGAGAAAGAACTGTAAACTTGACTGGTCCCGCATCAACGGCATACCCTCGTTTCTCATCTTGCGTATACTAGATTTCTGTAAGAACTAATATAGAATGTGTGTACAATTTAATTTCACAGTACATCCAATGGTATTTTACAAAATCAACTTTGTTGAAATTTCAAGTTACTCGGAAAGTGCCCAAGTAGAGGAAGGAACCCAGTGGAAAAAGTACATGAGAAAGAAGATGGCCTCATTGGATAAAAGAGACCCACTGTCCTCTGCTTTTTCAGTAATCCTGTTTTCACCGTACTCGGGGGGCCGCCGACACGGGCTTGTACATTTTATAAACTATAGATCATATATCTTTCCTAACTGAGAGATGGGGCAAAAGTTTCATATACTACGAGAACAAAACGTTTTCGACGTGCATGTTATATATGGAGCTGTCTAAATTGTTGACACTTGTAGTGTCCTTGATTATACGTACGATAATGTATAATAATCAACCGACGAATAACTGCCTTGTTTAACGAAGCCGTGACAAAGAACTACTGAGAATACCTAGTGCAAGACGAGGCTACAGGTATGACATCATTCGCAGTCACACGAATTTTTGATTGATTAAATGGCACACTCTTGAGAAAAAAAATAGCAGGACTGAAAAAAGCGGTTGTCTATATCCTATTCCAATTTACCATGAACGCAGAGGAAGCCGAATCGTATCAGTTCCAGTTAGACCAGATAGAGTTTGCTCTTTCAAAAGATCCCGAAAATGAAGAGTTGAAGAAACTAAGAACTGATTTGAAGGAATTGATTGCGCTGACGCAACAGTTTGACATTGCGCAATCCAGCAGCAAGAAGGACAAGAAGTCGCCCGCAACGCCTTCGACTCCCACCTCCGCCTCGACATCAACGCCTACAACACAGACCCAATCGCCGGTGACTTCGAAATCAGCATTAGCGTCACATCAGTTTGCGGTTGGCCAAGAAGTGTTGGCGAAATGGTCAGGTGATGGACAGTTCTATCGTGCTACAATTACCGCTATTGGTGGTGCAGATCAAGTGTTCTCAGTTGTGTTTCGTGGTTATAAGGAAAGCGAAGTTGTGAAAGCGGAAGATGTACAATTACTGGAGAAGGATAAAAAACGACCAGGTATCTTTGAAGATGTGGTGGCGCCACCAAAGAAGAAGAAGGCGAAAAAGGACAAGCCCTCTGGCCCTAAAAAGGTATCGGAAGCGGAAGTCAAAAAGAATGCTTGGTTGAATTTTGCATCAAAATCAGACAAGAGTAAAACCAAGAAGAAAATGGCGGCGACTCCCATTAACAAGAAGAGCATTTTTAAAACTCCCGATAATCCCGAAGGCAAAGGTAAGTTGAAGCTGAGGTATAAAAATAATGGATAAACCCAGGCTTACTCGTTATCTGGTATTTTTTTATACAGTCGGTGTCATTGGTAGTGGTCGCGGAATGACGGGATTTCAACGACGTGGCAAACACGTTTATACCGGAGGAGAAAACGATGAAGATTAGGATTAAAAAGATCAAGGCTGCTTTTCTCACTTAATCTTTGTTATCCTCTTTTCTAATGGCAGGATGTAAGCTTAGAAAACCACGAAAAAAAAGAGAGAGAAAAAAAAGAAAGGAAAAGATCGAGATTTCGAGTGCCTGATCAGGTCGGTGCCGTTTTAACAATAGATTCAAAGCAACAACAACCTCATATTATTTGTCATTTTTTTTCCACCCCTTTTTTTTCGATCATCCACTGTACCATGTCTTTTATCTTTACCTTTTTGTTTTTCTTTGCATAATATGAATTTCTCATTCTTACCTGTAAGTGTCTCTTTTTATCGTTTTGATCATTGAATTTACAACGTCCACCCAAAGGGAGGAGAAACAGGAGTGGCCCAAAAAAAGTAAGTAAAAGTTTGATGCCAAATCCAGTTCCCGATAAAGATTTGCCATAGTTTTAAACCGCGACGAGTGTTTTTATTTCAACGACATTTCTTTGTCCAAACATGAAGCATATCAAAGTCTTCCTCTTATTTATGTGGTGCATCATTCTTGTTACTTTTCAGGACTGGTGAGTAAATCACGAGTACAGTAGCTATTGTAACTGACCATGAATAATTGTCATGGAACAGAAGAAACGGTTGTGATGTGTTTTTGATATGTGTGATGAAGATGGGTCAAGCTCGGAGAAGGCCCCGCAATTACCTGAAATGGCTTGGACAATCCCATCTGGTCTCTTTTTTTTTTTTTTTTTTCCCTTCAAACATGCCACCCCCCGTCCCCCAATTTTTTTTTTTGGACTCTCTTTTTTTTTTTCCTTTCCTTTTTCTGGCAAATAAGGCATCAGAACGATCAATCCTTCATTCGCTCTTTTTTCTCTTCTTTTCTCTTTCTTTCTCTCCGCGCTAAACATCATCGGATTAAAGCCTTGGCTATTATCTTGTTTGATTGTGTAACTTTTGCGCGCGTTCCATCCTTTTTGCAAACAAATCTACTACCTCATCGTGGATTGACTTTGGGTTGTGGGTGTTTCTTACCTTTTCGTTGAAAAAATCTACGTGCTTGGTCCGTTCACTTTACTTTGTCACACAACAAGCACCCCCACAAACACATCTTATAAATATAAAGAACATCATAACAAAATCTCCACACCCACATTTCTACTTTCTCTTTTCCTGCCTTTTTTTCTTTTTTCCTTTTCTCTTACTTTTCTTCTTTCACTATGTTACCACAGTTTAATTATATTGTTGCGCAAGCTGGAGCGGATTCACGACCTCCTCCTGTTTTGGGATCAGCATTACCACCATTAAGTTCCAAACCCTCACCTTTCAATTATCCGCCTCCTCCACCACCACCCGCATCTCATCACCATCATTCACTACCTCCCGCATCGCATGTAGAAGGCATCTCCGCTTCACAGCAGGAATATAGCTATGGACAACCTTATTATGCGCGACAATCGTCACCAGCATCGACATCGGCTCATACCATACTACCTCCTCCTCCACCGCCTCCACCGCCGCCATACTTATACCAGCATTCAGCAACGGCTCCTCTTCCACCGCCACCTCCGCAACCACCACAAACACCGGTAGCTCCGCCTATAGATTATTATCCTTCTGAACAACAGCAACAACAACAAATGCAACAACCACCACCACCACCGTTGGTCTCGTTCCGTCCACCTCCTCCTCACCGTTGGCAAGAATCCGTTGACACGCCACAGACATCGTGGTATACTCCGCAACCTTATTTTGAGCCTCCTCATCACACGGCATCCTCTGCCGCTTCGCCTTCCATGAATGGGTATCGCGATGCTTATACAAATCGGTGGCAAGGTAATAACATTTTTTCGTCATCCATGGAAAACATGATTCATGTTTGACGCACCCGTTCGTTTGTCTCTAAACTTCCCCTTGCGCCGATTTTTTTCCCTTTTTTGTCATACAGAAGATGAAGAGGCAGCTGTTGCCATGGCATTCAATGAGGACAAGATCAGACGGCGATTACGAGACTTCAACGATCTCATCACCTGGGTTGATAACGAGTTTTGGGAGCAAAGCGAAGAGTAAGTAGATTCAAGAAAAGCACACGCCCCCACTACCACGTGAGAGAAATCAACAACCTAATCCCTTTGTGTCGCTTAGCATTTATCGAGACAAATTACAGTCATTGCAGGAAGAACTGTCAAGTATACAAGATGGTATGTTTTGCAAGGCTCGATCCTTTGATCTGGCAAGGAGAAGGAGAGCAAGTCCCTATCCTTTCATGTTTCAACAAACATTAGGCTGATTGGTTCTGGTCTTTTTTTTTCATTTTTTATTTATCCGGTATAATAGGCACACATTCAGCATTCAAGGAAATTCTGGCGGATCTTGAATTGAAGCGGGATAAGGTGATCGCCGACGCGGAGTGTTTTATGGCGTATCAATTGTCATTCATGGAAAATCAGTATGAACAAGATATGACTGCATTAGAAGAAGAGTACGAGGTAAACAGATGATTTTTGTCAGAGATGGTTATTCCACTCGAACATCTCACCCTGTGGTTCAATTTTCTTGATTTGGCAAAAAGGGTCAACGTCACAACTTGCATGATATGTTGATGGCTGCCATTGAAGAGCGACGAAAACAGATCAAAGATGACAAAGACGAAGGATTTACAGATATACAGGGTAAGGTTTCAATCGACACGCTATCACAATTGGGGCACCCATCTCAAAATACCCTGGATTTTTTTTTTTTTTTGGCGCTCCTTTTTTTTATTTTTTTTTTATTTTTTAGATCTATTTAGTGAAGCCTATTCCAGAGCCACTAAACGCAATCTACGTCGACGTCATGTGGTCGATAAATTCAGTTCATCGCCATCACGACAAGATTCTCCACGGAGACGTCCAGGTAATATCGAATTCAAAGATGAAAAAAAAAATTTTTTTTTTCTGGACTTCTTTATTCTCAATGGTCCATCGGAAGTAAGAAAAAAAAGCGCTAATTTCATGTGTTTTTGGTTTATCAGCGAGAACGACTACTCCACATAATATTAATGCACAAATATCTTCACGAGAAGATGAAGAATTAGAAGCCGACTTTATGACAATGAAGGTAAGGGATTCACTACCCATCTCTTCATTTTGTTCCTCCGTGTTTGGGGCTTTGATACTTGCTGGTTCAATTTCAGTGAAAAGCAGTGGTTGGGTACGTCGCCAATGAATGATTCACTCACACTCAATTTCTTTGTGTTGTCGTTGTCGTTGTTGTTCCATTATTTTTTCGTCTTAGGGTGCACTTTCAGCAAGGAGAAATGGAAACACGACCACGTCAAGAAGGTGATCACAGATTTCCTAATTCGTTAATTGTTGAAAACGGGGTTCGATTGCTTTGTGTCACGGCAACTTTAATTTCGCGTTTGTATCAGAGATAATACACGTTTTCTATACACGAGTCTCAACCCTTGGTGGATACAGTATATTTATAAGACCTTTATCAAGCTTTCCCCCTCCCCATTGACATGAAATTTTCCTTCCATCCTCTTTGTGTCATCAGCATTCCAAAAACATTGTATCTGTGACGAGAAAGTGTAATGCAAGCCAAAAAGAAAAAAAAACCAGACAATTTGAAAGAAAAAGACAAAGGCACATTGGAATTGTGTAGAAAATAAAAAAACAAACGCAAGACCGAACCGTATCAATGTCGGAACCATAGAAATCAATGACCAAATACGAAAAAAAAGGGCTAATTGAAATGGTCATCGTCCATGGTATGATAACCCAAAGGTACCAAAAAAAAAAAAAAAAAAAAAAAAAAAACGAATTGAGGGTCCGGGTAAAACGGCAAATCGGTATATTGTCAATTCGATGCTTTTTGAACAAACACCAAGCAATGATACAGAAAACAGCATCGAAAGAACGAAAAAGAAAAGGTCAAGGATGGCGTGGGGTTTATGCATTCAGTAACGGTGTGCGTTCGCTGGAAATGCTGGGTCTTTTGCGACAGATATCAAACTTGCAAATGGGACACTGAAAAAAAAGGAAAGCGAGTTAGGATATAAAATGGTTGGTTTCCCTCTTTTATCGGTTGGGCTTTTTTTACTCACGAATTTTTTGTGTGACGTGAGCCATGCGTCGACGCACTCGGCATGGAACTCATGTTTACACGGCAAGGTGCGCAAGGTATCGTCGTCTACATAATCTTCTAAACAGATTGCACATTCTGCATGATCCGTGTCTCCCAATTTTTCGCGGCGGAATGATCGTAAAGGAAGTTTGGTCACAAAATCCGACGGTGCCAGCTCTTGCTTACGACGCTGTCGTTGACGCAGACGCCAAGTCAAATAAATACAAAGCATCATCACCGCTGGAGACAGTACCACCACCAGTAACATATCCAACAAGGGCCTAGCAATTGAGTTCAGAGAAGAAGAAGAAAAAAAAAAAAAGACGAATCCATTATAAGGACCATGGTCATTGAACAGAAATAAGCCAACTGGTTGGTTCTTTTTTTTTCGGTCGATCCCCTGGCGGTTTTTAATCGCCGACAATCAGCACCTGCAAACGGAGTGCTTACCAGGAAAGGATATCGTCCTTGACCATTCGAACCGCCATGGGTTCTTTGAACAGTTCAGATAGATGAAGTAGGGCTTGAAATTGATGCTGTGCGACGAATACACTGGGAATATGCACGTCAGAAGTGTCACCTGAGATTCGAATGTTAGTGGACTGAGAATATCATGCCATTCATGCCGGACCCAGTGTCCACTTGTAAAAAGAAAAAAAAAATTTTCTTCATATTCGTTTATACCTGGTGCGTACATCGTGACCCATCCATTATAGTGTCTATCGCCTACCACCACTGCCAAGGCTCCACTGGCTTGCATGGCGCGCACTTTATCCACAAACGAACACTCTCCTCGCTCAATCAAAGCAATCCAATTTCCGCAAGGCGGAGTCACGACCTCGCAACCATACCGGTCAGCTTCTGAGGATGGTGCCACCAAATAACCAGTCAAACCTCCTTCCTCTTCACTCAATAACCGAGGCCCAAACGCCGCTAGTCGGTCAATGTAGGTTTCATTTGTAGCCTGAATATTCAGATTGGGAGGGTGAGTGGGATCGGTTAACAATATAACGGCCCTTGCTCGAAGCATGGCTTGCACTGAACTCACCAGGACGGTAATGGCGGCATTCGCCTTTTGCCATTGAACTGACATGAAGCCCGACAACAATAACACTGTATAAACATTCCAGCGTACCATGTCAACTATTTGTATGTACAAAGCGTAATAAACGAAATAAAAAAGAATATAAAAAAAATGAAGATACAAGTGCGAGGAAGGAAAGAGAGAAAAAAAAAAGTCGATTGAATACCCAAAAAAAGTTGGTTCAAGAAAAGGATAAATGATGAAGGTGGAAAAAAAAATCAGGGAATTAAGCTTTTTTTTTTTCGTCAAGTTTTCCAAATATTCACATTCAAAAAATAATGCGATCTAACTAGGGATGGGTTTTTTTAGTGATGTTTTTACAGGCGCAAGTTGGATGAACAGTGCAATACATTGAACGGCATGAAAAAGTTACTACTGTATGCATAGTGCAATGAATGAAACCCGAAATACAAAGGGCAAACGAAAAACAAAAATATCAGATCTCTTTTCAGCATGACAGAGTCAGTGAGTCGGACGGAGCCTGTTTTTGGAATGCAAATCACACAGCTGTCACGCTGTTCGATCATCCAAACTGATATCCCTCATCGTTTGTGTCAGTACACTTATACATCGCCATCCATAGTTCTCTTCTCTTTCTACCAGCCTTGGCACATCCTGTTCACTCTATAAAAAAATGGAGATTGTATTATAAACAGTGCCGCCGCTCTTATCGTTGCAAGACTACCCATCACAAGCTTACCATACAAAATCCAGGATACGCTTTCAAATATAAAGCACCATTGGCGTACTCCCAGTGTCTCCGCTCTTTGGCTTCAGACACCGTCTTTTTGGTGTTATCTGAAAACCGTTTTTGTTGGAATATACATTCATTCTTACGACCAGCGTTCTTGACCGACATGACTAGAAAATTAGGTAAACATTTTTTTTATATGAATCACGGTCCAACGTACGATGACGATATCGAAGATGGTCAGACGATATTTTCCCGCCTTTCTTGTCTGACCCCTTTTTTCCCCTTTGACTCCTTTTTTATTGCAAGCGAGCTTACCGTATGCCGAATATTTGTTCACCAAAAATCCATCATCGTAAGTCCACAACTGACGCGGATCCTTGGCCAGAAATGGCCGTAACTCGATCCTCGCCTCTTTCTAAAGGGGCATCAAGGGTCAATGACGCTGTCAAGAGTTGCCTGAATCAGTGTTCCTGATCGAGTACCTCCACAGACAAAGTAACGGCGGTTAGACATTGGTGGTGATGTGTGGAAGATTGAATATAGAACCACCCCGATGGAAACTGTTCATTCATTTGCTTTGGTGGGGACGATGGTGCTTTTTCTCTTTTCCCAAACCATGCTGAGGTGCTCCATTTAAACACAGTCACATTTGCAGCCGTCGACTTCAGGGTCAATCGATGATCCAATGTGCATGAATCATGTGAGCAAGTCAATTGTTCCTATTTCAATTTGCACAAAGCACATACAAAATGAAAAGCTGAGGCAACAAATGGCCGAAATATTTGCATTTATTAAGCAATTTTATTTCGTTTTGCAGCATGGACTCAAAAAGTACTTTATTCAAGGAGGGATATTGCGAAAGCAATCTTGGTTAGTGGCGCCAAAAAAAAAAAAAAGCGCTATAATGGTTGCTGCTTTAACCGCTCCCCTAATATTATTGTTTTCTATGACGCTGATTTGTGTTCAATTTTCATGCCATCGCCTAATCCAGTTTGTTTGAAGAGTGTACACGAGATCCGATAACGGATTGGATGGTCACATGCATACATTTTTAAATTTGTTGTCCTTACTGAGAAAAAGAAAAAGGATGTAACCGAAGAAGATAACGGCATGCCTTTGATAATTGAATCATACGGAAAAGAACGGCAAGATATGCAAAAATTCAGTTCCCATGAAAAGGTTCAAGGTAGCATAGAAATGAAGGGAGCAATATCATTATACTGCAAGGAATTATTGAGCATCTGCAACGTTTAACAGTGGTTACACACACGCATTCACTGTTCAAGCGTACAGTAGTTGACTATAAAGGAAGGTGCACAATCATGGAAAAGGAACTTGGATTGAACGTCGTGACAGACAAAAGCTTTACCCTTGATTCTGGCGATCATGAGCAAATATGGGGACATGTCTGACACATAATCTTCCGCTGACGTCCAAATTTCTTCTTCCAGTCTCTGGGTCCCCAATTGCTTCTTGCGCACTCACCCAAAAAAATTGAAGTTAAGGTTGACTCCTGGGAAAGTTACTCTTCCGAGAGGAGAGGGTTTATTTACACTGGCATTGTAGCGCAATGAAAGAACAAAATCAGATTTCCTGTTTCCCAACAAGAAGAATCCTTCTCGGCGAAGCGGCAGTGATAATCCCTTCTAACCAATATTGCTAGGCTTAACACACAGAGGAACATCGCCAGTTGAAGTATTCATCTTTTATCAAGGAAGCAAGACCCATGAATCCATTTGCGTGACGAAAAAATGGGGTTTATATTTGGTGAAAGATAAGTATGAGTTGGAGATGCAATGCGTTAAAAATGTCTGTTGTCCTAGGCGTCCGCAATACGTTGAATCATGGCTTCGGATTTTTCCATGTTCTCCACGACGTTGAAATAATTGCCTTGAATCATCACATCAGCATGCATTGTCTTCCTTTTGTGGATGTGTCCAATTATGTTGACCCTCTTACCACTCTTCTCGGCTCTGGTTTGTTCTTCAAGGTACAATGCGCGGTCTCTTTCAATGGCTGCCTTTTGTATGCGAATGATGGTTCCTACATATGGACTTTAGTTTCACTTATTCAAAAGCTCACTCTGGCACTGTTTCCACTTACCAGCGACGTGAAGGATCCGGAAACTGCAGGGTATGGAATCTATTTGCTTCATGAAGAACATGGAGCTTATTAATAAATCGGTCAGTTCGCGAGGCACTCGTATGATGCCGGTACGCGTGGCAGGATTATACCACTTGACTATTCTCGGTTTGTTCAGTAGATCATTTCATAAAAGTTCCTGTTCAGCAATTGTTCACCTGTGGCACCCCATGCTGCTGCACTGCCAAATTCACCATAGTTGATTGCTATGGCTTGACGGATCGCGGTGTTGATGATATTTTCGGATATTTCAAACGATGTTTTCGGAAAGACGACTTTGCCATTGTCCACGACAGGATCCTCTACCACTTCAAATAGTACCCATCGCACCTTGAATCGTACCATGATTTGTTGCAATGGGATGGCCTGAACAATCGGTCAATCGTGACTATCAGTGCGAAAATTCAACGATTCTCGCCACAGAGGCAAATTTTTTTTCCTTTTATAGACACAACAATGGGGGAACTCTTTTGATGCCAAAAACCGTGGGACCCGGCACTCTTAATGATGGTCGCCACTAACCCGATTATTTGAAAGAGTGTAATTATTATCCAACCTCAGAGTCAAGTTCCAACAACATACCAAATCGGTTACAGAAAACACAGAAAGGGAGCCTTGCACGAAAAAAATAAGCAAACCGGTCTGAACTTTTTTGTTTAATAACAGCAAGCATGATTGAGGAGATATTTTTATTTGTGATGAATATTATTTTTGTGAATAAGATGTGAGGGATATGAGTTTAGGGACAATGAAAGTAAATAAATAAATAATGTTATGAAAGAAAAAAAAAGAAACCATATTACAGAAGCCATGGCGACAAGAACGCACGGCATCGTTCCACCGTAGCCACAGAAGAGGAGGTATGAGGGTTATACGAAGGCAACAATGGGTGAGTCATTTTTGACAAGGCAGAAATGTCCACGTATTGTCTCAAAGGACAGACACGAGCGGTGGAAGTGGTCGGTTCATTTTCGATTTCCGTCAGCAGTTGTTGTGGTAACAGACTTTCAGGATTGGGTAACATCAACATATCGTCTTCATCTTCTTCCGTGTCACTGTTCGACATGGAGTTTTCCGACACTGGCGATGGCGTGGTCATTTGGCGATTGACAGAGTTTGTTTTGTGACAAAGGACAGGCGACTTGGCAATACTGGTTTCTTCCTGATGTTTGAACATGCAACGACCGCCGTAAGGACAAGATCCAGTTTGCTGGAATGTTCGACACAGCTGCGTTTTGTATTTCGGATGACGTTCGACTTTACGAAGATCGCCCGGTCCATGAGCGTATTGGCATCGAGGTCCATACTTGCACTGACCTTTTTCCCGCCAATTACGACAAAGTTCGGTTTTGTACAGATTTCTGGATTTCTTTTCTTCATCCATCGAAGTGGATGACGAACTCGCGCTGCTGCTTTTCGAGTTTTTTCTACCGTTGGTTTCGGCAGGATCGTAAGTGTCGTCGCTTGCAGAGTCCACGATCTGGGACTGAGACGAAGCTATCGGTTGTACCATGGTTCGAGTGGCTTGGTGGTCGGTAAGAACTGTAATCGGAAAAGTAAAAAAGTAAAAGAATGAGCAAGTGTGTCACTAGGAATTTTTTGTTGCCAAAAGTTTACTTACTTTTATATCCAGCTTCTTCATCGGATTCCCATTTCCGAGACTGCGCCAATATTGTCGCATGATCATGAATGGATTGAAAGGCAGATGTTTCCAATTTCTGACTTTGAAACTCTGGTTTGTGATTGTTGAGTGATCGACGATAGGCGGTTTCTGACATGACTTTGTCGCTTGAAAGCCATGCTGCGCCATGCCCCGTTGAATAGTCGAGAGTATCGCGATTACTAATGCGCGTGTTTCCCTTTACAGATTCTGACTGTTTCATAGGAGAACTTGGACGATGAACGAACAATCCATGGGTTGTGACCTGAGGATTCAATGAATCAAAAAGAGCATCATGACGAAAAAGATATGACATTTGGGTAAAGTAAAAAGCAAAGAAACTATACAACAATAAGGGCAAGTTATAAACTAGGTTCAAAAATAAAGCGAGATAAAAAAAAAAAAATCTAGGTCGGGTTTGCGAGTCACGACTGATGGTGCGCCTTTTTTATTTTTATTTTGTTTTCCATTTTGCAGGTTGACCCCAACCAAAGGGGGACCCGGTGGCCCAACCCGAACAAAATTTTGACAGTCCCATCTGCATGTTGGTTGCCGCCTATTTGCTTTAATTCAATCCCAGCCATACAATGGTCGATCGTTGTCCCCATCCAAAAAATGAGGCATCCCAAAAAAAATTAGAGAAAAAAGAAAAACAAAAAGTTAATCAGGGCATACTACAGTGACACCCGACGGAAAAAGTCGAGCCGTGCATAATCGAAAAAATCACCATCAAGTTGGAAAGACTTGCATTGCGCCCCAATCCTATTGTGACCGAATGATGTTGCGTAGTCTTCTATGCTTACAAGAAAGCCTTGGTGACAGGTTGACAAGCCCTTTAATATTTCCCAGCCTTTTCTCATTCTATCCGTTTTTTCCTTTCATTTTTATGCTCTACCATGACGAAAACAATTTCAGATCTGATCGGTGCAAGCATATACTGTGTGATTATGCGTTGGTTGAACAAAAGTGTCGACCACATTTGAGTTCAAGCTCCTTTTGGTTCGGGCTTTGCATCCAGTCCGTTTTGCCTACGTGTTCGCTACAAATGCACATTGTCCTTGTTACACGTGTCATTGCAGCATTCGTTTTGGTGGATCCGTCTATATGAGTGAACCTTCTGGCAAATTCTCAAGGTTACTAACGCCCACGAGGGAATTGCGTCACAAGGATATTTCCAATATATCAGCTTAGCAAAGACCACATAATATTGATCTGGAAATAAAGCTGGACGCAAAATTCATTAAACCCACCTCATGTTGACGCCAAAGTTGTAAAAAAAAAAAAAAGCCAAACATAGAAACTTATTGTCTAAATCCGGTACATCATTACCTTGCTCTTTTATTTTGGTTCTATGATCCTCAACTCTCACATGTTTGCCCTGCAATTATTCATTAGCGAGGATCTTAACAAGTGAATCATTACTGACCGATATAACAGATATTTCAGTGTCATCATGCATGCTTCCAGCACGTTTCTTTACTTTCCAACCGCAAAATATTATGGCCGCATGTTTAACGCTCAGTTTGAAAGTGCTTCTTGGCAGGTAGGCTGAGGCATGCTTTCACGATTTCAACATCCTGCCATGAAGCTCAGCTCCTTTGTACAATAATGTTCCCAGCGTCCTATGAACTTTTTCTTATTGATACAATACAAAACAGCTAGTCACGATATGATATGATATGATATGATATACGGTAATACGTATGAAAAGAAAACAAGCTTGCTAATCAAATTTCTCAGCTTTATATTTTAAAAGTCCTTGCTGATAGCCTTGATTACTGCCAAGTTAACATCTTGAAAGATATGGCAAACTGGAATTGCATTCTCTTGCTTTGTGTGAGGATGCCGAGATTTACTGTGAAAAACGGCAGGACACATTGAAAGTTGTTTCACGAAAAGGAAGGCTGATAATAATTAAAAACGTCGTTCACCAAAAAGAGTATGCTCAGGAACATGCCAGGCTATTACAGTTCGACAATCAAAAACCAAGATATAACAGAAAAAGTTATGCTGGCCAAGAGACAGACCGGTCGTTGGAAGGAACGCCGGACTTGTCGTCAAGGAAGAAAGTAATGTTCAACAAATATATTGTACATATAGCGGTAAACTGTAATCAAAAAGAGAATGAAACTATCGTCAGCCTACATTTCAAATACTGTATAGGAAAGGAAAAGGTCAATCCACGAAAACAAAAAGATAGAGTAAAGTTTTAATGTAAAAAAAACCTAAAATTCGCCCTGCGAAACAAACTGTGGACCCAAAGGCGGACCGCTGTGACTACGTTTTTCATTTTTCGAAGTGAGAGACCATTTTCAATAAAACAAGCCAAACCCGATTCAACCCAAGGAACCCTTCATTAACCAATGCTGTTCGATAAAAATAAGCACCTTCGTATATCCGAATTCCAGGCCGTCGTCCTTGCTGGTTATGGTAGCAGTAATAGGTACCTTGAATCGTGCTTATGCCGATCTCCCGCTACTCGAGTTCAGACGTGTTTTTATTGACTTGTTGAACCAGACTGTATCCTGTGGCAGAAGACGATAATGTCCCCAAGGCATTGCTTCCTGTAGGCAACAAGCCAATCATCTCTTACACTTTGGACTGGCTTGAGAAAGCTGGAGTTCATGGTAAATTATTGACTGTTGGTCCACCTTGAGAGATCTTTATACGCTAATCGAAACGATGCATTGACTTAGATGCCATTGTGCTTATACAAGCATCCGGTAACGCACCACAAAAGTTATCAGCCTATCTCGCTCGCGGCTACACCGGCAATCTTCATTGCACGGTGGTGAGTGTCCCCGAAGACAGTGGAACCGCCGATGCCCTGCGATCGGTCAGCGATAAAATTGACGTACAGTATCAAACTCAAGTGTGGTTGTTTCGCCCCAGGTGACCCGACGCTCAATCCTTGTATAGAAAGATTTCATTGTCGTTCCTTGCGATCTCTTGACGGAATTAAATCCTCGCGAATTATTGGATCTTCACCGTGTACGAAACCCAACCGTCACCGCATTATTCTACGCACCCAGTACATCCGAAGCAAACGCAGATGGTACGAAAAAAAAAAAGCCACAGCATCAATCGCGTTTGAACAGCTCAGTCTGACTTGATCCCTCTTCCTTCCTCCATTAGACTTACTGCCCTATGTGGGAATCGATCCCACACGCCAGGCCTTGGTCTACAAAGCGGCGCGTGCTGATGACGAAGATTTTTCGATACGCATGTCCCTGTTGCACAAGTAAGTCCTTTTTGCTTACAGTGATAGAGTGGCCCATTGGATGACTCACGTTTCTCCTTTTTCTTACAAAGGTTTGCTCGTGTGCAAGTTCATACAGACCTACAAGATGCTCACCTGTACATTTTCAAGAAATGGGTTCTTGATATGGTGGTAGATAAGGAAAACATTTCCAGTATTTCTGAAGATTTGATACCGATGCTGGTCAAATGCCAATACCAAAAGAAGTTGGTGGACCGCGAATCTGTGGATACATGTAAGTACTGTAAAAGTGATGTGAATTCATGCCACTTGCTTACAGAGTGTCCCACGTAGATGCCGCTAAAGCCCCCAATCTGCTCGCCACTGCATTATCGCTATCAACCACCCTGTCGGATGTAACAGACGATGATTTATCTGCTTTTGATCCCATGCAGCCTCACTTCAAGAGTCCCGTGACCACTCACGTTTACGTCTACCGTGGTGGCTTCTGCGGACGTGGTAATACAATTGCAAGCTACAGTGAGCTTAATCGTCATGTAAGTCCAAAATTAACAGGGAGCTTGCGGAGGTTTTGTTGGTTCAGTTTGGCTTATCAATTTTTCAAAACCGGGACAGGCCACCAAGCAAGGTGCATCAGTGATGCGTGTTCCCCAAAGTGCCGAAGTGGCTCCCAAGACACAAGTGGGCAACGATTCGATTATTGGCGAATACACAAAGATTGATGAGCGTTCCTCAGTGAAGAAATCGTGTGTTGGCGCTCATTGCGTCATTGGTAAAAACGTCAAGGTTGCCAACTCGGTTATCATGGATCATGTGGTGATTGGCGACAAGTAAGTGTTGTCGATGAGGACTGAGTGGAATAATGATATTGATGCTGTGGACCTGTTTTAGTGCCAAGGTCGATGGTTGTGTGATCTGTAACAATGCCAAGGTCCTCGAGAAATCCTCGCTCAAAGACTGTGAAGTCGCTGGCGAATACATCGTTGAAAAAGAAAGTAAGTGTGATGCTTTTAGCGTCATAAAAAAATCAATGAGCAATACCGTGTGTTCTTTTTTTGTCACTGGCAAATGTCTGACAATGATATTTTCCTTTGTAGGTCAAATCAAGGGCGAAAAATTAGTGGCATTTAGAGAGGCCATTGAGTAAAACCCGTTCGTATACATTTATCATCCCCACCGCATTCATTTTTTTTTTAAATAATACTGCAATCTGAAATCGGCTGAAATCATCTAGCAATCAAGCCCCAAAGGGGAAAAAAAATTGATTTCATGTCTGTAGTTCTTTGTGGCAACTCAGAAGATGGACCTTCAACTGCATAGATGACGTGGTTATCAAGGCCATAAGCGGTTTCTACGATGTTATCCTCAAGTAGTATGTTATGTTTTGATCGTCGAATGATCATAAATAACAAGGTGCAAAAACAGCAGATAAAATGTCAAAAAAGTTGTAGTGGTTTATTTTTGGGCCAGTCAACCCTCCTTTCAGATTTTTCTTCGCTACTGGGTTCACTGGCAGCAATGAAAGGTGACCAAAAAGATCGTTTAACTAGGGGACGAGTTTTCTGTTCTTTCGTAGAAAATCCTACGTCTTGAATAATAACCGAGACGTAAGTGGACGACGACCGGGCGGCGCTTCTGGGCGAGCGAGCTTTTCCATCGTTTTGCCCCAGTGACGCGGCTCCGTAGCTAGCTTCACGTTCTCAGCAAGATGTTGACCCGTAGCGTTTTGTCGCCCCTTATCGTCGCACATTCCAGCTTCAGCATCGAGCCAATGAAGCCATGGATTTTGGCTGGAAGATGGGTCGACAACTTCAAAAGTAAGCAACCTTTATCAAAGGAATGGTTTGAATATTATTGCTTACCTGCCGCATGAGCAGCTTTCAATCCAAAGTACTTATGACCATTCAGCGAGATGCTGAAGAAAACTTGGCCAACCCGCCCACGAAACGCTGAGATAGGCTTTGCGGGATAAAAAAAGGTCCGAATTTTTAGCGTGGTCAGCGTCCAGAAGAGTGAATGTGTTCAGGAGACAAAAAATTGTCACAGTTCCAGCCAGTCATTGTGGCACAAGTGTTTTGTTGACAACAAACAATCCAAAGCTTCGCAAAACACTAAATTTTTCATCTACGAAACGCCATCATATTCGTGCTATACTTTTTGATCCTTGGCATCATCGTACCATGAGATACCGTGTGTCTGATGGATGCGTAGGATTGTTTGTTTCAATTCATCCATGCTATACCAGGACAGCAAGGACTTTTTTTCTCAATTTCTTTGCAATAGCTAGAGGATCTCTATCCTAGCGCAGTGTACGCGTATACCAGCAATCCCAACGATGCACTACCCTCGCATCCTCGACAGCAAGCAAGGTGCACAAATACGTAGAAGGTTATCTTGCGTCAGGAAATAAATTTCAAGAATACCATCTTTGAGAATTGTTGGCACGGTTCGGATATTCCCCCCCCCACTGCGTTACGCAAACAAAGCTCCTGATCCTCTGAGGAAAGGATCGATATCCTGATCAGAAGCACGCCTTTAGCAAGCTCAAACTTCAGAAACCGGATTCAAAATCAAGATGGGGCCACTGATTTGAGTATGAGACGTACGGTTCAAGCTTACATCCAATCAAGTTATCGTCGCCATTTTCATACTGTATTGCTCTTGAAAGTTTACGAAAGGCCCTGTACCCGAGATTCAAATCTCACTGACGCACTTCTTCGCTAAACCACCTGTTTTTTACTTTCTGCGTTTGCTGTCAGCAAGGTAAAGTTTCAAAGTTAATCATTTTCTTGTGAATAGAAACCTATGAAAATGCGTAAGACTGATGAAACACGAAATCCTACAACGCAGTCGGCCCACATCACTTTATTACAAAGCTCCCGTGACTTTATATCATACTCTCTCGATCCTCTATCTCGTTACGTTGAAAGTATTAGTCGCCACTCTATGTAAGAATCACCTCGGAAACTACGAAAATTGATTCCTGAATCGAACTTAATCTTAAATCCATTTGATAACTTATATGCATCAGATAATGTATAACAAGCCGTACACCCGCTGTGCAATGGATGCCACCTGCTACTGGATGCCGCACTCTTACATTGAGCGACATTCGTCAGACAAAAGCCTAACGCAATACGGCATAACCTGGGCGAGACTCTTGATGGAACTTTGGTATATTAATGTCAATACTCTGGCATACCATGAAACACTTTTAATGAACAAAGCAGCACTTATTGACCCCCTCCGTTCTGTCCCGCCCAAGGTTATGATAGATCTACAAAGATGTGTGGGAATGTTGGGTATTTAAAAAAAATGAGTTAGTAAGCTCTTTGGTTGATTCAAATTTCGTTGAGATATTTTACCTTTGATGTTTGATGCAGCAGATACCGAGGGCTTCCCGACCGAAATAAAGAAAGGATACAAATATAAAAAAAAAGTAAATACAATAGGTGCGTCTGTAAAAACCCCCTAAAAACCCTGTGGGAAAAAAAAGGAGGAAAAGACTGCAAGAAGACTATTCACTAAAATACAAAATACATACTACAACCACAAAATAAAATGGTCGGGAAGAAATATCGAAGGCGATACCACGGGCAGCAATCCATATGAGAGGAACCTGGGGAGGACGCGTCAGCGTTTCCCGATGAGAAAGAGAGCCACACGACCGAAGATGTCCTTTGACGACAAAAACCGGATTGGCCACAATCTGGTGCCCGAACAAAGTAGAAAGGTTTTGGAGGGATGGATGGCTTGAATGGCTTGCCAGGCAAAAGAAAACCGGAGAGAAAACCAAAAGCTAAAGACAGAATAGAGAAAAAGGACAGGTAAATTTTTTCTTGTCGAAAAACGGATAGTCGTATCACACAAAAGGTACCTTTTTTCATAATAATCGAATCGACCGGATCAGATACACGCCATAGTCTGGATGATGGATGATGGATGCAATGATAGTGAGGGATTTCCAGGCAAACAGAAGAGATGCAAAACTAAAGAAGAAGAAAAAATTCGGACAAAAATATGTGATTTTCCATGGATGAAACATTAGTCACCTCACTGATGCATGAATGATGAGCTACACAGATCGAAGCATATCTGCTCCATGTATCATTCGATTACTGAAGAGAATGAAAGGGCATATACAGTATAAATGACAGATAACCCAAATTAAATGATGCTACAAAACACCAGATCGTCGTATCGTCAATCACCTTTCTTCAAAAAAGAGCTCCATTCACATTTTATGTGAACGGCGACGATGCTCTGTTTAACCACAATTGGCGCAAACGGCATCTTGCTGCTGATTGTTTCGCCTATTATCGTGAAAGTGGGCAGCGAGGCATGGTTGAAAGATAAAAATACGGTCCGCTCATGCATAAAAGGAAGTGCAGATCATGAGCAACTCCAAGTGACCGGTTTTTACAAAACGTAAATCATGTGATCTATTTTGTTTTAGCCAATCAGCAGCCTTAAAAGCATTTATTATCCAATCAACAACGCCAAATTAGCGGACAATAAAAGTGACTGCGAACTAAAATTCAAACATTTTAATAAGGGTAGAGATTCACTGATCATTGAAGAATACGGTGTAGGTGACGAAATTCTGTGCAGCAAAATTTATTTTCATTCGGTCACATATTTTTCGTCAGGACCAATGTCATTTGTATGTACTATAGAGGGTCCATGCGTTTCAAAGAATGCTTGTTAATTCATCTTATAGGGCTATTCAGCTGCGCCAATCTTTCTGCTGTCGTCTAAGCGCATGAGTTGCATCAGCAATTCCGTGTACCTTCGATGATTTGATTGGTTGATGAAATGAGGTACTTTTAAGGAGGTTACAGTATAAATATTGAATTACAGGGATCACGGTGATAATTACAGCGACGCTCACAAGGTGCCTCATCTGTAATTTATGTAATACATATCGGCTGTGACTGAAACTAGCGATTACCGTTGGGGATTTCTAATTTTTATACGATGGGGAATCTTGGCTAACACGTTATGATAAAAGCGGCATCACTGATCATCAAAGTTGGCCAAGAAGAGTTACAGAGTAGCGTTTCAAACTGACCAAGCAATGCAGTGATGAGCTGATCTGGGGTATGAGCGCTGAATGGAGTCTTTGTTTTCTTGATTTGTTTTTTTTCTTTTTGATCTTGAACGTGACATCTAAAAATAAAGGGAGATCGGCTGGGGATATACCGTGAACATGTGCGCCTAGAATGTTGGTGATCGTCAACAAAAAAAGATTTGTACGGTTAGAAAAAAAAGCGGGCTATTGGACTCCATGTTTTCGATACAATGATAGAAAAAAAAAACCGTGGAGATGCGCATCAAAATGCATTAATAGCCTTGATTAACTGCTTGCACCGTTTTCATCCAATTCTATTCTTTATGAAGCATGATTGCGGCGAAGGATTTATTAATCGGTTGGCAAGCTCGGTTGTTTCAGCAAATTCAATGGCGATGGGTTGTGCGACGTACGTGAAATTAAAAATAAGGGTGTAGCCTTATCCAGTAAAAGACGACGATGGTCGTACAGCTTCATCCCCCGCCCAAAGCTTATATGCTTGTATGGAGAGGGCTACACAAGCCACGGTATCGTGTTGCTGATAGACACGATATTCATTTCTTTACCTTTGAATCGGTGACACAAAGGTATTTATCTATACTATTATTGCTTTGTAACAACATGGCCCTCATCAGTTTATCCTTGATAATTTGCCACTGTCTTTTTTAGCCTCCCTCCATCCTCTCTTTTTCCGTATCATTCTTGTAAAAAAAAACACTTCTGATTATTTTTTTTCTTTCTTCTTTCCAATTGTCCATCATTCATTCCTTTTTTTCCCTGTGCGTATTTTTTTTTGTGGGTGTCTCTTTCTCGTTTTCTTTATTTCTTTTATATTTTGGATCTAACGCGGATACATACCTGTTATATCAAACCGTCTATTAATCGGCTCGGCATTTTCCCCTTTGTTCAGGAGCTCGTTCGTTTCGAACATACTCGCTTTATTAATATATATAGATCCGCGGCCTATCTATACATATTGAAAAAATCCTCATCTTGTCCATTGCATACTCATTTCCAACTATTACACTCATCCGCACTCTCATTGCCGCATCATAACAACAATTTTTCATCTCTTTTTTATTTCCAATTCACCATGCCTGGAACCGAAACGCTTGATTCTCCTACATCAGAAAAGCGCCATTTCTTTCGACACTATCGTCACGCTAGGAGTATGCCACGCTTTCACCATCGAGAAGATTCGGAATCCTGTGCTGCCAGCTCGAAAGTATGGTTGGAAACGGCTCTCGAAAAAGCCAATACCGCGGTTCTTTTGGATTCGGCTGGCCGGATCGACAACGCAGTGACCGCTTACAACGAAGCCATCGATTTGTTGGAACGAGTGATGGACATGAACGATCCGAAACAAGATCAACGACGGTTAAAAAAGATTGTAAAGTATCCATTTATTTTCTTCAAACCTTGTTTCGTTTTTCTTTTTTCTTTTTCTTTACCCCAACTCCTGATTTCTGGGAAAGAGTGGGGCGACGAGCGATGATTGGATGACTTTTGTGAAGGGACCCACGGATGGGGGGAGGGGAAAAAGATTCCAGGGGAAAGAGAAAAAAAAATCAAAAGTTAGGTTTCATCCGTCATTCGAATCAGAAACCGACAGAAAACAGGGAGGAAGCCAAGTGACATGGACAAAAAAAAAAACCATCAAAAAAAGGAAAACAAAAAGGCTGGTCAAAAGGTTGAGGGAGATGATATGGACAAGGAGCCAAGAAAGAAAGAAAGAAAAAAAAGAGGAGGAGAAAAAGAAGAAAGATAAAAAGAAAGGGAATGGCCAATCTTAGAAGAAGAAGATAAAGAAGAAGAAGAAACGGCCAAAAAGCAGCGTACCAGCAGAAGTATTACTGTGTTCAATCATGGTGGAACGGAAAACTACAAGTGGATAGTACCATTCTTTTTTACGTTTGTCCTTTTTTCCCTCTTTCTCTTCTTCTTCTTCTTTCTTTCAAGTTACCTTTCTGTTGGGCTCCTCTCGTTGCTTTGCTTTGGGACTTTTTTTACTTTTTACTTTCACCCCTCTTTTTCTCAACTTTTTTTTTTTTTGAATGCATTGCATTGATTCTTTGCACTGACACTCCATTTTTTTCTTTTCTCTATTTTTTTTTTTTTTTTTTTTTTTTTTTGTTCTCTCTCGCCTTTTTTGTTCTTTATTTTTAGCACGAGTCCTATACCGATCGCATTCGTCTGCTGACCAACCAACTACTGCCTCATCTTTGTTCTTCCCTCACCCTTGACGATACTCAAACTAATCATCATCGCGACGACGCTCACCACGACGACGAACAAGACGCTTCCTCCATGTTACAAAGTATTGCGGAAGAAATGCATTTCAGTTGGCGTGGAAAAAATAATAAATCCATGCACGACCGACCACCTTCCCTGATCAACGACTCCAAAACATCCTATGAGATCTCGCTTCCCACCACACCCGTCTCCTGCTCCGCCTCGGCTGACGGTGTCCTATTCCCACCCGATACACCAAAACAATCTTCCATTTTCGCCGCCATGTTCCATAAACGTCCCTCGCATAAAACCGCCAAACATCCATCGTCGCTTGATCCAAAATCGTTTTCTCCCAAATCGTCTCGCAGTACACCCATCATGTCCATTCATCCTCCTACTTTATCATGGCGTCAGGGCAGTAAGTGGTCGACGTTTCTCTCCCCCCCCTCCCCCCAAAGAAAAGATCATGAATGGTCCATTCTGGATTCTTTTTTTTTTCTTCTTATTATTATTCATTTTTTGATGGGACTTTCTAACCGAACCAAAAATTGGTAGATAAAAAGAAGAACCGACATTCGACCGATCTTGCAGAAGAGCCCTCCCTTTTACTCCCACCTGAATTGCCCTTACCCGATATAGCACCATTGAAAGACGATTACTTTGATTTTCGATCGGTCGGAGCCGCCAATCTTTTGTTGGATCCGGATGATCCCATCCTCACTTCCTCCAAAGACGCTTCACCCAGTCCTACCAAGGCCAACAGCCACCGAGAAGATATAACGACTCCTTCTTTGTTGCATAAATCATCCAATTCCCAACTCCAGCGGTCACTAGGCAATGCCATCTTCTCTGTTACCAACGGATGCAAGCCAGACGATGATATCCTCCCTTTGTCATCCACTGCATCCAGTCATCCGCTGGATCGCGCAGCCGATGACGCCATGGAAAACCTTGCCAAAGTGCTGGCAGAATCTACTGCCATTGATCACAAAAATGAACGCCCGCGTCAAGGACTCGAAGCCGGTTCAGAACCGGCTACGTTCCCTCGCCCGCTGCCCATGCCAGGTTCGCTGTCGACTACCATTCGTCCGCCTCCTCGTACGCACAGCATCTCAGCGTTGGATCGTTTGGGAATGGCCAAACCAAGTGACACGTCGGTCCCTTCTAAACTGACGTCGGTCCCCGAATCCCAATCCCCCCCTTCTCCTGCACGCACCAGCAACAGTAACAAGTCGTTAGGCGGATTCTGGAAATCGCAGACTTCTCGACGAGCAGCGGCGGCGTCCGCAGCCAGTAACAGCTCGACCGGTTTACCAACACTGCAGATCAGTACAAGCACGTTACGTCTGCGTCGTGGTAGTCAAACACTGTCGCCAGAATCCCCTCCTCGACATCACAGTCGGACGGCGTCCATCTCTTCCGATGCCTCAACTGCTCCTCGTCGCGGATCCATTTTCTCCGCCTCGGTGCCTTCGCTTGTCCAAGGCGCTCTGATTGCTCGAGATAAATCCACGCAAGGATATTTTGGAAACAGCTCCGATGGCAACAAACCGATCGAACCGTCAAGCTTCCTAGCCCCCATTCCCACCAAAATCACCGAAGGGATCAGTCTGATGAAACGGATCGAACTCAGTATGCTTGAAGGAGGTTACGTCACCGACCGACTGCACGCCCCCAAAGAGCTCTGGTAAGATAAAATCGTTATATGGACCTGGTACGGACGGATTATTAATAAATCATGGCAATCTCTGACAGGTATCAAACCAATATCCGACTGCCGGCAATGGATACCAAAATTACGGCTTGCGAACTGTTACTGAGCGCTCTGAATCGTATGCAAGCACGCAAGAATTTTCAAAACGCCTCGGAAGCGAACAAGGAACTCAAAGCTTTGGAACAAACCCTCGAACAGATCAAATTTACCTTTGCGAAAAAATTCGGATTATGCGATGATCCCGCTGATAAAACAACCACCTTGTCCAGTCAATCCAGTAACAAAACATCTCAGGTACGTCTCCTTCATTGCACTTCTTCCCAGTGATGTGGAAATTGAAGCTCAACTCTTATGCAGACCATTGCTTCTTGGAGCAATCGTTTCTCAAAATCCGTTGAACGCATGAAGCTGGACACTTCAAAGTCATCGTAAGTATTTATTTCGTCTCAAGCGCGGCAATTTTCTCACAACCATCTGCTTCCAGAGAAGATCAATACAACGTTTATATCCAAACCCTACTACGCTTGTTTGCTGCAGCTCAAGTACTAGGTAAACCTTTGAAAAACCAAAGTTGCTGATGAATACGTCAATTCTGACTGGTTGACGATGGATTCAATAGATGATTGGCGGCTTCATTACATTGATATGCTCAAACGGATCCCACCGGACAAAGCCATGTCGTATGATCGGATTTTGGTCAAGACGTTGACGTGCAAAGACACAATGCATAAGATTGTCTGCGGTTTCGTCATGCGTGATTTTGCACGACTACTCAACAAGTGGATAAAGCGAAGCCGAGAATGGATCGACGATTAATACTTTTATCCCGTGTGCCATATATACCTTGCAATCTTCTTTTTTTTTATTGCTTATTTGTACAATACGATACTATATATCACCGCATATATGAAGAACATATATGTTTCGTTATAATGACTAAAGAAGTTCCCTCATGAACCATGTTTTCTCTCTTAACCGTAATGCACACCAAGGACGCGCATGTTTTTGTCAACTTTTACATTGAGTCGGTCAGGTCGATAATCCATGGTCATCATGGTGTTGGGAGGTAGGACGCGATGAAGGGTTGGCAAATTTTCTTCAAGGAAGATCTAGGAAAGTGCAAAAATAGTGTAAGCGATCGAGTATAACTGCTGTTCCCTTCAAAAGGGTGGATCCTACATTCTCACTATTGGCGTGAACGTCGTCTTTGTTCTTTACAATGGTCTTTCCCAAGAGCTTTTGTTTCCATCCATCGCAGTCATCGTCGGGTCTTTCGGGGCCAGAAGGGAACATGATGTATTTTCGCGTAGTTTGTGCTTGAAAGATGGAGACTGCTGCGACTTTGGTTCGAGCCAACATTTTTTATTCCCATTATTTTTTTTGAACACAGAATGAAAGGTCGTGTGATTTCAGTGGATGATGATGATTGCACAACGCAACTCACCGAGCTACATTATTTTTTCCAAATATCGTCAGAAGCCCGTCATACTGAATACACTCCATGCATTTTTTTTTGGGCTTACTTTATTGCTCTATCCTTTTTGAAAAGGACTTATCCATGCCGTACGGCTGAAAGCTAGTCAAGACTGCTATGATAAATCATGAAAGAACACAAATTTGAATCCAATTTTCGATACAATTGCATCATACGTCATATATGCGCTTAGCCATATGCGAACGACACAGGTCATCCGATCGAAAAAGCAGAGCTCTGACATTTCGAGAATTTAGGCTCAATAGTTAGAGATTGTCACTATGCATTTTTGTATGTCCTAATTTCTGCAAAAGCGGTTGTTTCTCGAAAATCACCATGGTTCCAACTTTTGTCTTTGCTGGGCAGGAATTTCAAGTGGCGACAAACCTTCCGCCGGGCATCCACTCAGTCTTGCATGACATCATTGTGGTCAATTGAAAAAGATATTCGTCAAGAAAAAAAATTGAACGCGCACGTAAAAGTCTTCTTCTTTCCCTTTTTTTTCGGTTTTCATATGTCGTTGTCGTTCCGTGTAACCCGATCTTCTGCTACTATTTTCCGATCGTTTGCGCCTAATGCATTGTATCGATCGTCGGTCCCGTCCAAACTACCTTCACGATGTAAGACATATCATTGATCTTCCAGAGAAAGCAAGCCCACTCACAAAAGTCAACTTGGCAGATCTATGCAGCAAGGCCAATGCGCTGATTCAGCACGGCGAGCGAACCGCTTCATCTGCATGCACCCGAGTGCATACTTCCAAAATATGTGCCATGGCTACAGCGACATGCATAACCGGCTTTTCTCTTTTCAAGGAGCCCGTCGCTTGCGAAGGTAAGGAGTTTGATTTTTTTTTTTGTCCTCATCAATGGATGAACCAAAAGCGGAGGAATCCATGGCATCCGTTGTGCCGATATGCGACTTTTGACATGTCTTGTTAAAATCCCTGGGACCGATTAGGTTTGGCGCCTCCTGCTGCTGCAACTCAACGTCCATTCTACGACCAGCCAAAGGGAGACAGTGATGCTGAGCTGCAGAAATCCCTTTTACCTACGGGTGAATTGTCCTTGGGAGCTATCCTTGGATTCAGTTCCGGTTACCTGGTGAAGAAATTAGGCAAACTGTTCGCGTTGGTGCTGGGTGTTGGTTTTGTTTTCTTACAGGTACGTCTGTTCCCCCAAAGGATGTTCCACGGGTTCATCATTCAGTTTGTTCAACTCTGCATTCACACTACTATACACAGTATTGCTCAAGCCAAGGATATGTGAATGTGCATTGGCGTAAGCTGGAACAAGATTATCGCAGTCGTTTCGACAGAGACCGGGATGGCGCCGTAACACGGAAGGATCTTTCTTCCATCTGGCAGACCTATGTCAACTTCTTGACCGAGCGATTGCCTTTCAAAGCTTCTTTCCTAGTTGGATTGTACGCAGGCATCCGATATGGCTAAACCATTTTTACTTGTAGGCTACAGAAAAATTAGAAATCACATATGAACCCAACATATTGATTATTATAAATGAAAAGTCTGCGCTCATTCTACGCTCGTTCTATGGAAATCCTTATGATACACCCTACTAAATTATCATTGAACTTTCAATTCATTGTGACACATGGTTGTTATAAGATCAGTTATTCACCAGCTGAAATAGAGAGTATTCCGGTGCAAGTTGGCATATCTGTTGCCAAGTTACCAAAGTGTACATGTACATCTCTTTCATTCCTCATTGTTTTTTTTTTTTTTTGCTACATCTATTTAAACAACTCGAGATACTGATGAGCTAGAAATAATTTTGCCTGACTGATGACTGCACCAAACCGCCTAATTAACCTGATCGCAAACCCTTCCTTGTACAGAATGAGAGAGTTCATGAAGATAAAGTTATCCACAAGACAAGGTATAAATTCTTTTTAGATAATTGACCAACTTGTATTTCGTATTTTTATTACAAGATGAATGGAAGAGCAGGCTTTTCTGCAGAAGAGCTTGTCCTTATGGCAGTGTCGCCGTTCGAAAAGAACCAGGTGAAGTCATCAATTTTTTGCGTTTTTTCTGTTTTTAAATCTCCGGCTTGTTTTTTTTCCAATAAACATCAGTGTGCCCTTTTCTGTTGCTGCTGCCGTTTTGGTTACATTCTTCTCCACAGCAAAAAAAAAGGACAGCGCCATTGTACTGTGACGCTTTCTTTTACATCATTCTCGCTGGATTATTCTTGTACGGTAGTAGAATGTCTTTCAGACACATCGGCCACTCTCACTCGCTTATCGTGGATGTACTTCGTGCGATTATTTCTCGACCCGTTACCTGTCATCAGCAAGGTCCATTGCGCAATAAAACATTCGGTTCCTTCGTTATAACATCGCAGAATGCATCGTCTTTGCCTTATCGCTCACGATTGTTCCAAGGTCCTTCGTTCCTGATGCCACGCTATTATACCACCCAAGTCCAACCCAAACCAGTGTGCGACATTGACCGACCGACCTGCGACAGTTTGGTCGAAGAACATGTTGCCCCGACAACTCGACCCAAGTTCCATAAAAAGATATCGCATAAAAAGGCCCGCGCTGCATCTAAACGTTGGAATGGTCTGAAACCAAAGAAAGCACCGAGTACCGTTGCAAACTATAATTGGCGCATTTGGTTTGCTATTCGCGATGGGCGAGTGAACAAGGCGCTCGAGTATTTACGAGAGATGGAGAATCGGGACATGGAACCGGACAACGCCACGTATAATTTGATCATCAATGGGTTTTGTAAACAAGGGGATATGGAACGGGCCATCAAATGGTACAAGCGGATGGCGAAGCGTAACGTCAAGGCGACCGTACACACCTACACCAGTCTCATTGATGGATACATGCGCACTTCCAATGTGGATCAAGCCGAGGAAACATTTCGATTAATGATGAAGAAGAAGATCAAGCCGACATTAGTGACGTACAATATCTTGATGCACCACTCTGTAAGGCAATTGGACATCGATACTGCGGTGAAGTTTTGGGGGAATTTGTTGCAAGCCGGTCTTCAACCTAGCGTTTATACCTTTGCCATTATGATACATGGGTTCGGAGATGCCGGGCAAGTGGATGAAGCCTGGCGGTTGTACGAGCTCATGCAGAAACACAACATTGACGTGAACACGGTGGTGGCCACGACCTTGATGGACATGCACACCATTCATCACGACAATCAAAACACGATTCGTCTGTTCCACGATTTTTTCCGCAAAAACGAAAAGAATTTGCAACCGTCGGCTCATACACGCAACGTGTTGCTCAATGCAGTCATTGCCACCGCCACCAAGGAGGAAATCAAGACCTACTACGACCAATTCCTCACCACGCTCAACGAGAAACAGACCACGGCCGTTTTCTCAGGTCCGTCTGTCTATACCTACACTAGCTTTATGCGTGCTTTTCTACGTCGGGACGATTTAGCCATGGTGAGCCAAGTGTATCAAGACATGGTTCAGCGGTCGGTCAAACCGACGCTTGTGACTTATTCCGTGCTTATGCTTGCTCACGCTTTTGTTCCTGATCCGGAGGCTTGTGCTCGTATTTTGGATGAGCTGAAACGCAATGGCATCGAGGTGAATGTCGTTTTGTATACCATTGTCATGCGAGCGTGGGCCAAATCCGGTCGGTGGGATCAGGTCCGTCAGGTGTATGAAGAAATGAAACAAGCCAACATTGAGCCAAGTAAACGTACCATGGAAGTGTTACGCTGGGGTCAACGTAGTGGACACACGTACCTATAACCAGTGTGCTTATATTCCATCATCCCTCTTTTCTTCTATTTCCTTTCAATGCATTTTAATGTTGGATAACATTAAATCATCTATTTCCCCGCTCCTTCTCCCCACCTCTTTTTGCTGCCTTTCACAGCCTTTTTTTTTCATCTAGTTCCCGTGTACATAGCAACCAACTTTTTTTTCTTTGTATACCAGTGTTATAATACAATTTTAGGCTTCCCTCTTGCAATGTCATATAAGAACGTAGTGTACCTGTAAACTGTCAACGGAGGATGAGGGACGATGAGCCAATGGTGGCAGAAGGGGACTGTCGGAGATGGAAACAACGATGACCCCCCGGACGTCATTAAATGAAAAATGGTCAGCGCAAATCTCTGTAATTCCCGCTATTTAAATAATGGGGATATTCAAATCAACAATCAAATAGTAAGACTGCGTTATTATAATCCTTCAATAAGACGTGAATTAAAATGGCAGGTATTAAAAGATAAAATGAGCAACAGTACAAGTAATACAGTAAATCTTTGGTCGACCGCAACCTTTATGAAGCCACAAGAATACGTTTTTCTTCCTGCCACTTGATGAAGCTTGGGCACTCTTTTGCAAGTATGTTATCCGACCTGCAGCGAAATTCTCGGCTAAGAATGATGCTATTCTCACACTTTCTGATAAAGTCGGTTTTGTCAAATATATGGCCGTGAAATTAACTAAGCTTGAAACTAGTTTAATGCTTTCGTACTATTGGCTTTTCTTACCTATAGCAGTTTATATGGTCCCTATCACGTTGGTGGGTTCTTTTTAATCACAGTGTTGCGATAACGGGTTGCGTACGCATGAAGAGAGATATCTTCGGCTTAACATTCCAGCCGGTTGAGGTGAGGAGGATCATCTGGAACAAAAATGATTGGAGTGGGATAACAAGTTGGCACCCCGAAGTCGTGACGCAGACCACGGCGAGCACCCCGGTTGCGGGCTTTTTGACACGGCCAAATTTTTTTTTGTGGGTGGCAAACACAAACCGCTCCACCAAAAAAAAAGGCTTCTCGTTTTTTTTCTTTCCCTTTGTTGGAATTCCTTTTTACCATGCATTTTACCCGGTTCCTTGGAACGGCTTCTAAGAACGCCCTTCGTGTCCAGAAGGCCAACGCTGCTTTCCTTGCCAACGCTGCCGCGAAGCCTGTCGCTGTCAAGGGTAAGCCGTCATGACAACACTCCCCCCTCCCAATAAAACAGTAATCAAAAACACCCATCATGTTCCTGACAAAATCAATCTTTTCCCCCCATGACCATCCTTAGCTCGCAACTACGCCACTGAAGCCACTTCCGCCGGTCAGATTCGGTATGTACTACTATTAAAAACAAATGTTATGGAATGACCACGACTTAATGGTTACTTTTTTTATCATTTAGTTCGGTTATTGGTGCTGTTGTCGATGTTCAGTTCGAACAGGAAAACTTGCCCGCTATTTTGAACGCTCTTGAAGTCAAGGACCATGCTGGTGGTCGTCTTGTTCTCGAAGTCGCTCAGCATTTGGGTGAAAACACTGTCCGTACCATTGCTATGGACGGTACTGAAGGTCTTGTCCGTGGCCAAAAGGTCGTCGATACCGGTGCTCCCATCACCATTCCCGTCGGTAAGGAAGTTCTCGGTCGTATCATCAACGTCATTGGTGAACCCATCGACGAACGTGGTCCCATCAACGCCAAGGCTCACCGCCCCATCCACGCTGATGCTCCCGAATTCATTGAACAATCTCCCACCCCCGAAATTCTCGAGACTGGTATCAAGGTCGTCGATTTGTTGGCTCCCTACGCTCGTGGTGGTAAGATTGGTCTTTTCGGTGGTGCTGGTGTCGGTAAGACTGTGTTGATTCAGGAATTGATCAACAACATCGCCAAGGCCCACGGTGGTTACTCCATTTTCTGTGGTGTCGGTGAACGTACTCGTGAGGGTAACGATTTGTACCACGAAATGATGGAAACTGGTGTCATCAAGCTCGACGGTGATTCCAAGTGTGCTTTGGTCTTTGGTCAGATGAACGAACCCCCAGGAGCCCGTGCCCGTGTCGCTTTGACCGGTTTGACCATTGCCGAATACTTCCGTGATGAAGAAGGCCAGGATGTGTTGCTCTTCATTGATAACATTTTCAGATTCACCCAAGCCGGTTCTGAAGTGTCCGCCTTGTTGGGTCGTATTCCCTCCGCTGTCGGTTACCAGCCCACTTTGTCTACCGATATGGGTGGTATGCAAGAACGTATTACCACTACCAAGAACGGTTCCATTACCTCTGTCCAGGCTGTCTATGTCCCCGCTGACGATTTGACCGATCCTGCTCCCGCCACCACTTTCGCCCATTTGGACGCCACCACTGTGTTGTCGCGTTCCATTGCTGAATTGGGTATCTACCCCGCTGTCGATCCCTTGGATTCCAAGTCCCGTATTTTGGATCCCCGTATCGTCGGTCAAGAGCACTACAAGGTCGCCACCGATGTCCAACAGATCTTGCAGAACTACAAGTCGCTCCAGGATATCATTGCCATTTTGGGTATGGATGAATTGTCCGAAGAAGATAAGCTCGTTGTCGAACGTGCCCGTAAGATCCAGCGTTTCTTGTCCCAGCCTTTCGCTGTCGCCCAGGTCTTCACTGGTTACGAAGGTCGTCTCGTCAAGCTCCAGGATACCATCCGCTCCTTCAAGGAAATCTTGGACGGCAAGCACGATGCTCTTCCCGAATCCGCTTTCTACATGCAGGGTGATATCAGCGATGTCCAGAAGCGTGCTGAAGAACTCGCCAAGGAAATGGGTGGTCAGTAAACAAAAAGTTGTCCGCTCCAACATCGTATAAAGAAAAAAAAAAGACATTTTTCAACAACTAAAAAACAAGAGAGAGTATGTTCTTTTTCCTGTATCTTTTTTAATGTTCATTCTATACTATAAAAACCGTAGCAATACAAAACTCTTTTTTAAACTCTCAATCTTCTTTTTGTTTTATTGGCACCGGTCGGGTCAAAGAGTAATATGTTTTAATCAAGTAAAATCAGTAAGATGTGGCCGATCCATGTGGCAAAAAGAAAGATGCCATTTGATCATAGCACAACGAATGAGCAATGCATGACGTTCATGGTTGCACAGTGAAAAAAAAAGAAGGGAACAAAAAAAAAAAAAAGCGAGAGAAAAGAGGAAAAAGGAACGTACGTTTGCTCGCTGATCCCCCCTTTTTTTGCTTCATCATTTTTTACTTATTTTTCCCCATTTAATCACTGCATCTAATCATCTGATATCATGGTTAAATTACGAATGAACCGAAAGAAGCAACAACGACTCCCTCATGACTACATAAAGATTCCAATACCCATGTTGACTGGCATCCATCATGCCAATTTGACAGATATTCAAGCCCTCGAGCTGCTCAGTGGAAGAACACGAGAACAACTTCTATCCAGGGATGCCACCACCTTGGCTGGCTGTCCAAAGGCACTCTCACCCACGAGAAGGCTTAGCTCGCCCGCAATATTAGGTATTCCGAACTCTTTCGCACGCGACGTTACCAAAGATCACGAGAACAGCACTGTGTCTCGGGATAACCATTGCTACCTTGTAGCACACTCACCAATGAAAAACGCGAAAGCTGAATCATTATGGGATGGCGATCCTGTAACAAAGTCCAGGCAGCCAGTCGGCAATGTACCATGGCGTCACCCAGGTAACCGCAAAACAGTGGCAAAATTGTGTCAAGGAAACTATCATGTCTCAATATTATGTTATGCTTTTTTTCTTTCCAATTCCAATCATGAAACAAAAACAAACATGATACGACAAACATATTACAATAATGGGATACGACAAACAACAGAGACTGCGGTATCCAATCATTGTCAATCCACGCGTCCCCCACTCATCACACAACCATTTTCCCCCTCAATGCGCCATTCCATGCCATCGCACACTTCTCTTCCCGTTTCCTCTACCATGGTATCTATGGTCACTGACATGGACTCACTGACACCAGCGCAGAATAAAACGCCAACGCAACAGTTCACACATACCACTTCAGGCGGCGTGACGTTAACCGATCCTCCCTTGGAGAACCTTCCTCCTTTGCAAAACGGTTTGTCGTCCACAGTCAACCCTGCAGCGGCAAACCTTTCGGATATTGCCCGCAGACAGCCTACGCCAGGTTACCCCAGGGCGGCGGCAACAGACATGGTTACACCACTACACTCCTACGAATCACGCGACGAGTCCGACCAGAAATCATGTTCATTGCGTGAGCCGTCTTTGCAAGCATCACATTCAGGTTTCTGTGGGGATTTTGGCATTGAACTGGAAGCGCTGAAACGTCAGATTGATGAAATGCAGCAGGAACATCAGAGGGAGCGTGAAACGTGGCAACGCCGGGAACACGAGCAGCAACTGAGGGAGCAAGCCATGCAGGAACAAATCAGTCGAACTCAAGACCAGCTCGAACGAGCCATTGCTCATCTTCAGGTGAACAAAAGCCATGGAGCCCCCCCGCCTCCGGGGATGCGCCCTTCCGACCCCGTGGATCCTCATCATCGAATGTATCGGGAAACAAGAGGTTCACGTACCGATCGATCTCACGACCGCGGACACGGTCGATCTCGTTCTTTCGATGCCCCTTCTTCTCGTCGACGTCGTTCCAAAGCCTACGTAAATGAAGCAGCAACAGACGTGGGCACGCAGCCAGATGCAACAGATCATCATCAGACTTCATCTTTTCCTCGCTCAATGCGGTCGTCCTTCCACGGGCACATGCCGCCAGCAACCGAAAGCTATTACCCAATGCCACCTCCAGCTCCTTACTTGTCGTCGTCGTACGTTCCTGGCCGGTCCAAATCATCAGAAGAGACCCGCAAGGCACGTCAGCACAAAGGCAGGTCTCCTCAGAGTTTTCCTCGTCGTCGGACACGTGGACAGATGTACAACCGTTCCGTCAATGATTACCATTCGGCTGTCGAAGATGCCTCGGAAGACGATTTCTCAGAGCACAACGACGAAGCCGACGAAGCTCGGTTACTCTATAATCAATACTATCGCCATCCTGCACGTTCGACCCATCCTCCATCAGCCTTTTATCAGCAACGATCGTCTTCCCCTCCAACTTATTCACAGGAAAGACCGCACAGAATGTATCACGAGCCGTCTTTGCCTCCGGAACGGTTATTCCGCGATAATGGGTCGTGGCGGAGCATGCCTCCGGAGCTGGCGGCTTCTCTTGACTGGCCTATGCATTTCCCTCCGTCTCATCTGTATGGCCTACCCTTTGCTGTGGCCATCAACGGAGCCGCAGTCAATGGTGATATCCCTGATGGTCCCATCGAAAATCCTGCGGATCCTCGTTATTGGAACTTGCCTCCACAAAGACAAACATCCTCCCAAGCTCACGTTTCCATTTATTGAACAAAAGCAGTTGAATTCCTATCACCAACCCATATCTTGGACATACCAATCCTACCACTTTTCTGCACCATTGTATTGTTTTCAATATATCAAGTTATTTATCGTCACTGTTAGATCCTTTTTCTCTGAAAATTTTTTTTTATTGTTCAATAACTAAAAAAAGAATCATTACGTATTTTTTGGCCTTGATTTTTATACACATTCATAGTACAGAGTCATGGGGGGATTAATAATAAGGCTGATAACCGCGACCTCCTCGACGTTGTTGATAGCCGCCTCCGCGGCCATTGTTGCCTTGCTGATAGCCACCGCCACCGCCACCGCCACCGCCACGGTAACCGCCTCGTCTTGGACCATTGGAGCCACCTCGGTAGCCGCCGTCATATCCGCCATACGGTTGTTGCTGGTTGTATCCCCATTGCTGGGATCCTCCATAGCGAGGTCCGCCTCCTTGGTAGCCACCTCCTCTGGGTCCTCCACCACGTCTTGGCGGTGCATTGTGATTATAGTAACCTTGTTGCGGGTAGCGGGAACCGTCGTCATAGCCGCCGTAACCACCGTGACCACCACGGTAGCCACCGCGATAACCGCCGCCGTTATAACCTTCGTTGTAACCTCCACCCTGGTAACCGCCTCGATCGTTGTAACCGCCATCGTAATTTCCTCGGTTATGGTTGTAACGACCACGATAGATTCGGTTGTTGCTATGTCCAGAAAAAAAAACATCATCAGTCACCATATCATGATGAAGAGTTGCATCAAACTATGACGTACTATTCTCTGTATTCTTCCAAGTGTTGAAGCTGCGGAACCCAGCCACGATTCTCTTGATGGCGATTATGTTCAATCTTTTCAAAAGTCGCGTACTGAAGATCTTTGTAATTCAGCGCAGGCTCGTCAAGCTTGACACCGCGCAGTAAGGCCGTGGAGTAAACGTAACCTTCCGGGTTCTGAGGAAGAAAGTATTCCACACTGTATCAAACATATATGAGTAACTGTCCTATCAAATGTCAACCATTTTTCCTGTTTACCTTATTGATTTATCGTTGGCAATGTCTGACAGATCATGGTTCGGCAATGGGCTACGTAGTGTGCTGCGTGGGATGCATTCAGGATCGCGATCGACGGATCCTGTCATACCATCGCTGAGACGGGGATCAAGTGGCATCTGCTCTTCCGTGGATCGTTTTGTGTACACGGTGCTGACGTAATTATATAATTTATGGTTTTCACTGACGTACAGAATGGAAGGTCCAGCCGAATTGCGATGTTGTTCTTCGTCTGACAATTGATCGTAAACCGTTGCCATTGCCTCCAACAAACGTCCTGTGTCAATGAACGGTAGCTTCACCACACCTGCAATAGCAAAAGTTTGTGAGCGAACAAATAAAATAGTTGGTATGGCCTAAGTCCACGCTTACCTTGCCATTCCCACTTTTTGCCATCCATATCCACTTCGAATTCTGTGGGATAAAAATCAAGAATGGGAGAGTTATCATCGATCATGAGATGATGAAATGCGGTAGGAATATGATCACGACTAAAAAATAGGACATCAATGATGAATACAAACATGTAAAAATCATGTCGCTGTCTTTCGATGCTTTACCTGGCTGGCGGCAATACACCCATCAGCTGTTCAAAAGGCCGCAGGGGAGCACTGAGGTCGAATTTGATGTCAAAGGCATCGATATTGACAAAATCGGAAGCCATCGGTGCATAGTAATAGGGGTAATACCATGACCAGGACGCACAACCCTATTCAACCGACATCATCTCGTAAGTATCGGATACATTTACGAAACAAGCCATGCCCAAAAAATCTTACCGTGTAATAGTACTTGAACACCCAACATAACCCTTCGCAGTAGGATTTTACAATACTAGACAAAAAATAAAAATAAACCGTTAATGGAATACTTGATAAGACTTCATAGAATGGTTGCTTACTCTTGAATGGCATCACGGTCTTCCAGTGGAATATGGAATTTCATTTTATAATATCTTTCCTTCCATCCTGATTCCCATAATCTAGCCATCATCACGCGTTAATATTCGACAGCAACAAAAACAAAATTGCATACAGATATGTGACATACCGTACAGCATCGTCTGGTTCACGTTCTCGTGCGGCATCGTCGTGCGCTTTTTTATCAGCAGCTACACGATCTAGGATCGCTTTACCGGCCGCTTCCAAATCTGTTCCTTCGGCTGTATCCGGTGCATCATCGTCATCCTCATTGACTTGATCTGTATCTTCATCATCAATCTCTGCTTCATCGGCTTTTCGTTTATGTCCACTTGTCACTGTGGCGTCCGACATGGATGTATCAACCTGTTCTGGCGCTTCGGATGATGTTGGTTCAGACGATGTAGCACCCAGCAATTGCGCTTTCAACGCACTCGCTGCTTGTTCATTGGCCATGCGCAAACTGGCGCGATTCGCGACAATCTCGCTGTTGGTCATGCCTGCACTGGGATCGTTGACAGGGGCGGCGGTCATTTCGGCAAACGAAGGAGCACCGGCAGGAACGCCTTGCTCGAATTGGGCCTTTCGACGCTCCGTTTCCAGTTTACGTCGCTTTTGATTTCTTGATCGACGTTCTTCCTCTGCGACAAGAAAAGAAAACTGTATAAGTCAACGTGGTTTTGGAGCAAGAGAGCATGAAATAGAGGACTTACTGTCGCGTCTGTCTTGGAAGATCTGATTTTCCATTTTGCCCAATTCGGTGACGAGGATTTGCACGCGTTGCAAATCGACCTAATAAGAAAGATGGGTTATGCGTAAGTACGATAACAAGGTATTTTAGTCCCACCAGAGAATATTTACCTCGCCATTGTGTGTCATGTAGCCACCCATCATGGGCATGCATTGTTTCCACAGAATGCTCAGGGTGCTGATAGCGCCTTCTCTGATTTCCAGAGAAGGTAAATGCGGCAAGAAATCATTACCGACAAAGAAACAAAGGAACACCCAATCGTCAATGGCCCGTTCCAGATCCCAGGGAATACCGGGGACATTAAACTTTAAGGCATGCTCCAAGTATTCTCTTAGAATGTTGACATGCAGAAAGACGTAAGGTTTCAATTCGGATTTCTTTTCTTCCTCTGACATGGGCGGGGGCGCTTCACCAGCAGCCGCAGCACTGGAACGAGCATTTGCTGCGAAACAAAGGTATCAACAACAATTATTAATACAAGCTTTGATAATTGCATCCAAAGATTTCCTGGTCTCTTACCTGTGCATTGTGCGGCCGAATGACCGGGTTTATTGCATACAAAGCAGTTCTTCTTGCTTCCCTGATTGAAAAATACATCTTCACGCAGAATCTTGAAATGGGGTTCATGCGTTCCCAACGCCAACATGATCAAATCCGCATCCTACCGAACCCAAGAACAAAGCCATCACAGTTTAAGTTTTCTGCATCCTAAAAATGAAATCATGTAATACCAACTTACAAGACCATAAATAACATGAGAAGTGTTGGGTTGATGTTCGGGACGCGATCGTTGGACTCGAATGTATTCCATCACTTTATGTTCACCCTCACCGGGAACGGTAGCATCAGAAAGGACCACTTTCAGCTACAGAGCGAATAGATAAATACCAAATAAAAACAGCCAAAGAAGGCCCATTTTACGACAGAGTCGGCCACTTACATCTTTCCACAGAGGATCACTGTTTTGTTTTGCTGCAATGTGATAACGTAAACAGGTAGCTAAATGATCCATGAAACCGGTACCGGGAGTGATACAGTTGGAGTCAAAGTGGGCCTTTTTCTCTGGTAATTGATGCTCTTGACCAATAGCTATTCACAGAAAAAACACACAACCACACATACATAAACATATTGACCCATTACATCCAATCGCTGTATTTGCTCTCTTTACCTGCGAGTTCCTGATGAACCTTGTCTACTGCCTCACGCTCCGCTTGAGCCAATTGCGCAGCACGGAATCGACGGGATCGTTGCTGATTCATTTTAGCTCGAGGGGCCACACCATCTACAAATGATAACATTGTCACAGTTAGCTATACCGTTTATTTTCTTGGCAGTGATATGTCTGTGAATTGAAGGGTGTCCCTTTTTTTTGCCGGACCGGCCACTTTACCGATAGCCATGTAAAGCACCTTGCGAGGTCGGACAATGTCGACAATGCGATCCAAATATTCAAAAATTTCAATCATCATATCATCTTCGGTCTCCGGAGCAGGCTAAAGTTTATTCGTTCCATGGTGAGATACCCGATCTTGAACGTTATCAGCTAATGAAGCCTCGAGATTTTTGTCGATTACCTTATTTTCAGGATGACAGCAAGGATGAATGATACCGTTCATGTCCAAGTACAAATTATCGAATTCTTCGCCATTCGGATTGGGCTTTGTCGTATCGACCGGTATAACGACGCCATTCACGACGGTAGCTTGTTCTTCGATGACTTGACTAGCACATTTTGGAAACTTGTCTGACAGCCATCTATAAATAGAATCCGCCACCGTGCCATTCAGTATCGCGGACAACCTGTGGACATAAATAGTCGAACAAAAGACCACCTACCTAAAGAATGCTGGTACTCCCATTGAAAAAAAAAGTATAAACTAGCTTGTTATTAGGCAAACAGCGGGTGGAAAAGCGTATCAGCAAAAGATTGCTTAAAAACTCATATTGTGACCATTTTTGTCCAGCGATGGCAAAGCACCAAATATTTCATAGTCCGCCCAGATCAAACTTGTCACCAGCTGTGAAAAAAAATGCACCTGCAAAAATGCATCATAACACAAGCTACGGTTTTTTTATGCCTCCTGGTGAGTCGTTGACATTTGTCACTCGATATTTTGGCACAATTAAAACAGTATCACAATTATTCTATCCCATCATAATTCAAAATGAAACATGACTTGGTAGTTGCCAGTGCTATTACGACGATCTTCGATCCATCTGTTGCTGGTCTCGGTTTGGTGGCCCAGCATAAAAAGATCATGCTCCTGCTTAAATTTTTATTCTACATTGTGAGAAATGTGTTTTTGCTCTACTTTTCTATTCCCGCTTAATTTGCAAATGTATCAACCGATCAGGTGTCAATATTGAGTACAAGATCGCCAGCAGACCAGTCTTTGTCATCTCACCTTTTGTGCATGATGAAATGAACCAGCCGTCTGGAATTTTTTTCGCTTTCGCAGTCCGACATCGACTTGTGTCCACAGTCACTGGGCTGGCACAAAGGGATGCCTGAAGCTGGCCGTGTCTTTTGTACAACGAAACGAATCATGTTGCGAGTGCGAACAGTGTTACCGGCAGTGCGTCGCTCTTTTTTTAGCAAAAGTAAGCGACTGTGCATTGGCAAATACTAGTCCACGTCATCTTTTTAATGACATTTTACCAAATCATTAGGAGGAGCCGCTTTCAATGTCAAAGTAGACAGCGACGGTTTGGTAGGTGAATTTGCCAAAAGTAGGTCGTAGTCTTAAGTAACTTAACCTTCTGAATAGCCAAAACAACCGACATGGTCCGTTCATTCCCTTGTTTCCTCCATCTCCGAGGACGCCGGTACCATTAGTAACGAGCACTTTGACCATTTATTTCGACTTGCGCAACTGCGAGCTCCCGTTGACCCGGAGACAAGAAGCAAATTAAAAAAAGACGTTGACCAGTTATCGCAATTCACACAGCATATTCAAACGGCCGATTTTGGTCACGTCGAACCGTTAACTCACATCTGGCCGGAAACGGAGGGGTTGACTCTACGCGAGGATGTGTGCGAGGCGTCGGATCAAATCCGGGGACGGGCTTTGATGGAAAAAGCCAAGCATACGAGCGGCAACTTTTATGCTGTACGAGGCAGTTTACCTTCCTCGGACTAGTTTAGCATTTTTTACTTGTCCATGGACTCTGTACGTACGTTATCATATTTCGATGCAGCGCGCTCAGACCAACGGATTCATCACACCTCCTGCATATCTTGACATCTTTTTTTGATAACCTTTCTATAACCGCATCATTTCTTTTCCGTGCCGCAATAACATTGCTTATTCTATTTTGCCCTTGCATACTGCTTCCTTTTGGATCGTCAATCTTCATGTTGGCCACCATCCCGTTGTATACGATTTCAATTTTCACAGCAGTGGTAGAACAAGACGTTGTATTCAAGTTTGATCATGCTTTGAATATATTAGGACCATACTTGCTTCTGTTCTTTTACTTATTTTGTTGTCATAATAATGATCCACTATTATTTATCAGAAAAGGGCTTTTCGCTGGCACGGCAGGCCGTTTCAAATGCCGCTGGGCAGGGTTTTTTTTTTGGCCGCAATTGCCCCCACCCCACCCACGAAAGTGACTGTTTAAATGGTTTTTGTGACCCGCAATCCTGTCCAAACAAAATAATCGAGGTCACTGTCTGCCCTTGCCCTGTTGAACCATATCGTATATCACCGCCTTTCGACATGCAAGCGTTACAAAGTTTGATGGCTGCTTGGCGGCCGTTTGCTCAGCAAAATGCCACTCGCGTTGCTGCATCGACCCTCGCTCGACCTTCTACCAGCGCTCTTGTAAGCCAACTTCGACCCAACCCCTTCACATTCGCACAACAAAAATCCGGCATGGCCACGTTGAATCAAGTTATTCGTAAATGCCGCAAAACAAAGACAAAATTGAGCAAATCACCTGCTTTGGAAAGCTGCTACCAGCGCAAGGGAGTATGCAATAAAGTGTATACGACAAAACCCAAGAAGCCCAATTCCGCTGTGCGAAAGGTGGCTCGTGTGAAGCTCACCAATGGCAAAGTGATTACCGCTTATATTCCCGGTGAAGGACACAATTTGCAAGAGCATTCTGTGGTGCTTGTTCGTGGTGGTCGTGTGCCTGATCTTCCTGGTGTCCGTTATCACTTGGTCCGAGGTGCACTGGATCTGCAGGGTGTTGCCACTCGCACCACCAGCCGATCCAAATATGGCAGTAAGTATTTTTGACGAACTCATTCATTGGCAACCGGATCACTTAATTTGTTTTTTTTTATTACCATAGCGAAAAAGCCTACCAAGAACTAGAAGCGTGATTAAAAAACAAGACATTGTTAGAATTTTTGGTGTGAGCGCTCATCATCCTCGGTCATCTACCCATTCCCATATTTTTATCTATGGTTTTTTTTTTTCATCGCAACTTTCATTCAAATAATGTGAATAAAAAAAAAGGAATAATGCTGTATTATACTAGACGAAAAAAGATAATGTCAAATGGTGATATGTTGGTGTCCAATCTGCTTCGTCAACGTGCTCATGTTGATCGGTTGCAAATTGTGCCGTGCAACGAACAAAGACGTGTTGTGTTCCTGTATATCCGGTTTTTATTTTGTTCTTATGTCTTGTTTTCAGTGTTGCAAGGATGTTATCTACACATTATTGGGATCCCTTTATTTGTCATGACCTCTGCAGGTGCTACACTGCACACGACAGATCACCCAGTGAAGTATGAAATTGATACCCAGTTTCTATCCGAGCGGTTTGACATGTCGATTAAAGGAAAAATGGCTCAAGATTGAGAAAGTCATCCTCGTAACGCATGGCGTGATCGATCGTTGATCATGAATTACTGTATTACCAATGTCAAAGAGAGTGGTAAGACATCTGGCTTGTCGCCCAGATCATTGGCATAATCGATAAAGATATGGCGCAACAGATGACAAAACCGATTCCCGAAAAGGGCAAATGAACCATCTTCACTTCAGTTTCGTGGTTAATTTGATTTCCCAAATGCGGTCTATCGTCCTCCTCAAGCAGCTCATGGTGGGACACGATTGGGCCATGCATCGTCACACAGATAGCGCAACATCATCGACAATAATATCGCCATCCGCAAAGATGGTGCGCACCAAGCCATACAAACCCACCGTTTCCAGTCTGCGTATGTCACCATCGTTTCTGCAGATTACGCACCGCCGCGCAGATTCAGTATCAGCAAACCGTAGCGTAAATTATCAAAGTATAAATACTCGGGGCAGCAACAGCCCAACCGTTCGAATCAAGCCACCTTTTTACACGCCTTTTCTCTTGTTGCCCGCGATGAAGGTCCTGTCAATTGCTACCGCTGCACTCTGCTTATTTCAAATGCTGGCCGTGGCCACGGCTGCCAAGGATAAGGAGGCGAAAAAGCCCAATATTATCTTTATCTTTACCGATGATCAAGACGCCAAATTGGGATCTTTGGATTACATGCCGAACCTTCAAAAACATCTTGTCAAAGAAGGCACTCTTTATCGCAATCACTATGCAACCATTGCTGTCTGTTGTCCCAGTCGTGTCGGTTTGCTGCGTGGTCAATATGCCCATAACACAAAGTACGTTGTCTCGAACCGATGATGCCACTATGTCGTATTTTTTTTAACATAATGGACCGTTTCTTTTCCAGCATCACTTCAGTCAATGCGCCCTATGGTGGATACGATCGATTCAATGAACTCAAACTCGGCGAAGATTATTTCCCCATTTGGATGCAAAAGGTGGGTTACCTTGGTTTTTGTTTGTCTTTACATGTTTTGCAGGAATTGAAACTGAACCCTTTTTTTCCATTGCAACAGGCTGGTTACACCACGCACTATATCGGCAAGCTCATGAATCAGTATGCAGTGAACAACTACGACAAGCCTACACCTAAAGGGTAAGGTGTCACTCTCTCTTTTGAAAGAAAGCACATGGGGACCGAGTTGCTCAAAATTTTGTATTTAGTTTCGATTATCAGGATCAACTGGTGGACCCGTATACCTATGTGTATAATACGGCTGTTTTCTCTACCAACGGTCAAAAGCCGGTATTCTACAACAACACTTACCAGACGGATGTGATCCACGCCAAGGCTCGTGCCGCTCTCAAAGCCCAACGCAACGCTGACAAACCATTCTTCTTGTGGGGTAAGTGACTAACAGCGCAGTAGAAGACTGGTATCTTCCAGAAGACACACACATTTGCCCGAATGAACTGAGCTAATGTTTATTTCTTTTTATGCATCTTTTTAGTGGCTCCCATGGCTCCTCACGGTGAATTTGCTTTTGGACCTAACGGAATGACCACTCGTCCTGCAGTGCCCGCAGCGCGCCATGCCCATTTGTTCAAAGATGCTAAAAGTAGGTCGTGATTCATAGGTGATGTTCTTTACTGGTTGCTGATGAAACACGTGTACATTTGCTCTAGTTCCTCGTACTCCCAATTTCAATCCTGACCATCAAGGCAAAACCGCCTCCTACTGGAAACACTTGCAGAAGCTCAATGCCACTGTGATCGAAGAATTTGACGAAGCTTACCGCAACCGATTGCGTGCATTGCAAGCCGTGGATGAAATGATTGGTACCCTGTTTGATGAACTCAAGAAGCAGGGAACCTTGGACAACACCTATGTCATTTACAGCGCGGACAATGGGTAAGGATCCGAGATGGGTACTTTACATCCACAGTGATAGGCTCACTCTCCAATTGAAAATAGATATCATATTGGTCAGCATCGAGCTTACCCAGGAAAATGTGGCAATATTGAAGAAGACATCAAGTAAGTTTGAACCTATGGTTTTTCTTTTATTTTATCGCTTATGCGTTTTGCTGACAACAAATTTTCTAGCGTCCCATTCATTGTTCGAGGTCCTGGTGTTCGCAAGGGCCACGTGAGCGACCTGGTTAGCTCTCACCACGATATTGCACCGACGTTCCTTGCTTTGGCTCAGGGTGATGAACATGTTCCCTCTTGGGTAGATGGTGGTGTGATTCCGTTGACCGGTGACCTTCGCAACCATCCCAAACCTGTTTCCAAAGAAACTTTTGCCGTGGAATTCTGGGGTGCCAACAACATGGCAGAGTAAGTTTCGACTTGCGTCCTCTTCTTTTTGTGGTAAGATGCTCATTCTTATTTTCCCTTTTTGTAGGGGTTATTCCAATGTACTCAATGCTGGTCCCAACACGTACAAGACATTACGTGTTATTTCTGAAAAGCACAACTGTAAGTCGGTGGTTTTTCGTTGTAATGATTCGGCTTTTACTCATCGAGTGTCTCCTACTTTAGATATGTATGCTGTATGGTGTACCGGTGAACACGAACTGTATGACTTGAAGAAGGATCCTTATGAACAACACAATATTTATGATTCTGCCAAGCCGCAACTGTTGAACCGTCTTGATGCATTGCTTACTGTTCTCAAGACCTGCAAAGCCGAAAACTGCCGTGATCCTTGGCGCGTCTTGCATCCTCACGATGCCTCTGTGAAAACACTCTCCGATGCCTTGCATAAGAAGGTATGACTGCCATCCACAATTTTTTATTTAGTGTTCCATCACAGTCCATGCTAACTCACTTGTATTTTAGTATGATACCTACTACACGCAGTTCCAAAAGATCAGCTTCCAAGAGTGCTTGGTATATCAACTTAGTGCCAATGAGTTGCCGCTGTTGGGACAACATTTCCTGGCGAACAAGACTCAAGGTGTTGTGCAAAAGCGTGACGATGAATCCAGTTTATTGCAGGGTCTGATCAGCCACAAGTCATCCGTAATTCCCTCTCCCGAACATGTTGATCTCTTTAACCTCGTGCCTCAGGCCAATGAGCACGTCGGTCACGCCGTCCCCGACGAAGATTTTGAATCGCAAGCCATTCCTGTCCCTCAATCACTCGTAGATAATGCTGTAGACTGGTCTCAATATGGCTTTTACCAATTTGGTAACTAAATAACTAGACCTTTACAATTGCATCCATTAGAATTATTCACACATTCATGTAATTTAATCATCCAAATAATATATTTGAAGTTTTTGAAGTGTTACTTTATACTCGAGAGCAGCAAATCTGAAGCATCCAAGTATTGCCCGTTACATTGCGATCTTTTTTCTTTTTATTCACCCATCAATAATTGACACCACTTGCAATTAAATACTTGCCAGAGACAAAGCTATTGCTTCCTCTCGGGTTAAAGATCCTTATTTGTTGAAATGAATCAAATTTTCTTTGTACGTATACGGTACATGGCCCAGGCTAAAAAATCTTTTAACATGATAAATAGGACCAAATGGTCGGTATAGACTATATTTTGTTCATGTGTCTCACGGTTTAAGAACGTGCTTTTTAGGCGACTGGTCGGACATGGTGCGGTCGATATAGCCTGAAGAACTTTCTTCTAGCATGCACGCACATGGATTGCCTAATGGGGCAAAAAACCCCACCCCCACCACGACAGTCCGGGATTAAAAGTCCGTTTCATGTCAACAAGGGTTTTTTTCCAAAATGAACTTTTTCATTTATCGGCGGACTGTTCCCGTCAACCTCTTTCCTACTTTAAAATTCATCCGTAACGCGAATGGCTCCCAAAGCCAATAACGAGTTGCGTTCTCGGTCCAATAAAAAGACCAGCAAAGGGAAAAAGGCCGCCGCAGCCGCCACTGCTCCCTCATCGTCATCCTCGACCGCCAAGAATAATTATGCTGCAAAGTAAGTTGCGGTGGTTTTACCCCTTGGTTGTCCTTGACATTGGAAAAAGAAAAACGACAGCCCAATGCTCATCCATGGATGGTTTCCTTTAGAGCTGCACAGGATCTGTTGAGCGAGTCCGGCACGTTTTCGTTCTCGCTAAAGACGGCATTTCGCGTGCTTTTGATCATGCGTTGTGCTTCGGCATTATACAGCGTCATCCAGGACTGCGATGAAGTGTTCAATTACTGGGAACCGACTCATTATCTCTTGCAGGGTTACGGTTTACAGACATGGGAATACGCGCCTCAGTTTGGTCTTCGAAGCTGGGCCTATATCCTTATTCACGCATTGATCGGTTTCTTCACCAAAATCTTTACATCTACAAAGGTAAAAAGGAGAAGAAGGAAAAAAAAAGAAAGAATCAAGACAGTGGCCACCATAATGTATGACTCACACTCGCATCTATTAGTTGCAAACATTTTACCTTATCCGCATGGCACTTGCTGCTTTCTCGTCTTTTGCAGAAGCGAAATTCTACCGCACCGTGGTGGAAGAAATTAATCCTCACGTAGGTCGCTACATTTTGGTGACCCTGTTCTTCAGTGCCGGCATGTTCAGTGCGGCTACAGGTACGATGGAATCAGCGCGAAAACAAAAACGGGCAAATGGTGTTTAACGCATTCTTATATTAGCCCTTCTTCCTTCGTCGTTTGCCATGAGCACTGTCTTTATGGCTTTCTCTTACATTTTGCGCCCTCCGTCTCACGTGGATCGTAGTCGTACTTACTATGCAGTTTTCTGGATCGGTTTGGGCGCGTTGCTCGGATGGCCTTTCAGTGCTATACTGGGTCTCCCATTTGCCATTGAGGAAGTGGTGGTGTATGGTCGTGACACCACGATTGACAAGGAGGGTAAAGTGATTCAGGTGATCCGATCCACTCACTGGCGGTTCAAACGAGCCTTCCGTTTATTGGAAGCAATCTTGGTGTGTGGCACTGGGATTTCGGTAAGTGTATAAAAAATTCATATGTGGCAGAGATCAGCGACTAACCATCAACAAAACAACATCAAAAAAGCTTCCCATCCTATTTATCGACCACTGGTTCTACAGAAACTGGAGTTTCACACCGCTGAACATGGTGATGTACAACCTGTTTGGTGGTGAAGCTCGAGGTCCTTCGCTTTACGGTACCGAGCCTTGGTACTTTTACATTGTGAATGGGTTCTTGAACTTCAATATCATGTTCTTGTTGGCTTTGGGATCGGTGTTTTGTGTGGTAAGTCTCGCCCTACCGTGGCAAAAGTGAGAACGGGTTGGGATTCCACGGGAAAAATCAGTGGCGGAGAAGCAAAAATTTAACAGGAAAAAAAGGGGGGGCACAGGGGTGGGGGTGGGGGAAGATAGACGAGAAGCTTATTTCATTTATGGTAACTCATTGTTCTGTCCTACGTCTAGTTGATTACGGCCTACATTGATCGACAGCGAGTACCTGGTGCGAGCCGCATGGATGCTGTGTGGCCATATATCTTGCTTGGATTAAAATTGGTACCTTTCTACATTTGGTTTACCATTTTCACTTGCCAACCTCACAAGGAGGAACGGTTCTTGTACGTTGCGTACCCGTTGATCACGCTCAATGCTGCCATTTCTTTGTACTTGATCCGCAGTTGGGCCAGTCGCGTTGCTCGTGCTTTCGGTGCCAATGTAAGTGGATGGAGGGAGGGAGGGTGTAAAACTTTTTTGAATGTTGTGTTTGACGCGAACATTAGGTGAACGTGCGTGCGTATGTTTTGCAATACACTTCGTTGGCTTTCCTTGCTGTCTTTGCTCTGATCTCTGTGTCGCGCATCCTTGCCGTGGTGTTGCGGTACCGTGCACCTGTGAGTGTTTACGGTGCTCTTTGGCAAGACCGTGCACCGGATCAGATTGTCAACCTGAATTATCTTCAGGAGGACTTTCCTTACAATGTATCGCTCAAGGAAAAGAATCTCTGTGTTGGCAAAGAGTGGTATCGATTCCCTAGCAGCTTCTTCCTTCCCAGTGATGTTCGTCTTCAGTTTATCCAAAGCGATTTCAATGGTCAGCTTCCCAAACCTTTCCAAGAAGATTTGATTGAGGTGACGTACGACCGTGCTGGGGGTAAAAAGGAGACTTGGCGCAAACGTCCTTTACGATTCAAAGGTACCAGTGCCAAAGCGACCGGTTTCAATGACCTGAATGTTGCCGATCCCTCGGTTTACGTGAGTACCTTTGCTCTTGGAATGGTATTACGGATGTCATATCATACTAACGAGGATGATGGTTGGATGTATAGGTGAGTGTCGATCAGTGTGACTATTTGGTGGACACAGATTTCCCTCTGAGAGCCACTACCCCCAATGAACCTCGATACGTGGACGACACCAAGACGTGGGAAATTCTGGATTGTCAGCCTTTCCTCGATGCCGAAAACTCGAAGCGATTGTCGCGCGCATTCTGGGTGCCCGGTGCCAAGGGTCTCGCATGGGGTGAATACTGTCTTTTAAAGCGTCGACCGTAATTGAAACCACCCCATTTCATCTTGTAAATTTGCGTAATAAAAAAAAAACATCACAAGCCGTATAGACTAAAAAACAAGCAGTAATGACACTTTGTCCAAATTGATGAAATTTATATCAGCCTCAAAAATATGTTCTCTTCTTACAATCTAAAATATGAACATCAACCGTATAATAAAAACTGTACTTTAGCGACCTATTCGCACGTTGAGGTGGCTGATGGATTCATTAATACAAGAGATACTTTGCTGTGAGCACGATCCATGCATTGCATTTTTTTTTTTTTGTTTCACAGTAAAGATTTTGTGGAGCTAGGCGGAGGAATTCCAATTCGAGGCACTGCAAAGCCGTCACTGGCCACCAAATTTTCATGGAAAATAAAATAAAAAAAAAGTCCGTCAGAAAGCCACCGATCAAGAAAAATTGCAGCAATTCATTCAACGGGGTCTTCCAGTGTTTGCTTGCGTTTACATAAAAAAGAAGCCATGTCAACCAAATTGAAAGCAAAGTTGGCAGCGATTGCGGCTGAAAAGGCGGCGGCCGAAGCCATGCCCGAAGGACAAAAGATTGTCGCTCAATTCAAATCGGCCGATGGCGATGCCACAGGTCCACCTTTGAATCTGCCCGCTGATGTCACTCCCGAACAGCTCGAATTATTATTGAATCAGCTTCTTGAACAGGTAATGAATCGCCGCATCATTTTTTTTTTTTTTGCAAAGCCATATTCTCATCGTTTTCAAATACAGGGTGAAGATCCTTTGCCGTATTCGTTCTATGTCGGGGAAGACGAGATCCGAAAAAATTTGTGGGTCGATCGCAAAGATAAATCAACCGAAGATGCCATTACCATTGTCTACCAACCTCAGGCGGTATTCCGTGTCCGTGCCGTATCACGATGTACCTCGACATTGACAGGTACGTGAAAAGATTTCTTTCGAGAACAACAAACGATCCACCTTGGAGTTCAATCGCAGAACACAAAAAACAATTGTTGACATTGGTTCATTGTAATAGGTCACACGGAGGCTGTATTGTCCTGTTCATTCAGTCCCAACGGCAATCAATTAGCTACGGGATCCGGCGATGCTACTGTTCGTGTTTGGGATTTAAACACGGAAACGCCTCAGTACACATTAAAAGGTCACACCGGTTGGGTATTAGCGATTGCATGGTCGCCCGACGGTAAAACCTTGGTCTCGGGCAGTATGGATAACACAGTGCGAGTTTGGGATCCAAAAACAGGCAAGCCTGTGGGTGATGCGCTGAAAGGCCACACCAAATGGATTACCGCTCTGGCTTGGGAACCTTATCACTTGTAAGTGACTTGCAAAATTGTTTCCGTGTCATTTCAAAAAGACTTATCATCATTTTTTCATCGCATCTCCTCCCTCAGGAACTCCAAAGCCAATCGCGTCGCCAGTTCATCCAAAGATGGGAGCGTCCGAATCTGGAATACCACGTTACGACGAGTGGAATTCACCATCTCTCAACATACCGCCGCCGTTACCTGTGTTAAATGGGGTGGCGAAGGCTTGATCTATACGGCATCACAAGATAAAAGCATCAAAGTGTGGAATTCTCAGGTAGGATTGGAGGTGAAACAGCGAGCAACGAGATGGATGAGTAATAACGTATCATGGTGTTGACAGGGTATGCTGGTAAAGACTTTGGTCGGTCATGGTCACTGGGTCAACACGCTGGCTTTAAGCACGGATTTCGTCTTGCGTACCGGTCCCTTTGATCACACCGGTAAACGTTACGCTACCGAGGAAGAAGGTAAGCCTTGCAGCTTTTTTTTTTCGTGGTCCGTGTTTTTTCAAGGAACAGAACGCTAATTTTTATATAATGGGATCAATAGCACAACAAGCGGCTTTGGCACGATACAAGGCATTCAAGGGATCTCGACCGGAACGTTTAGTATCTGGTTCGGATGATTTTACCATGTTCTTTTGGGAACCGGAGCAGAGTAAGAAACCCATCACACGTATGACAGGTCATCAAAAGCTTGTCAATCACGTCAGTTTCTCTCCTGACGGTCGATGGATCGCCAGTGCCTCCTTTGATAATTCCGTGAAATTGTGGGATGGTCTGACTGGCAAGTTCATTGGCAATTTGCGTGGTCATGTTGGCGCAGTGTATCAAGTGTGTTGGTCAAGCGATTCCCGGATGTTAATCAGCAGTAGCAAGGATACAACTCTGAAGATCTGGGATATTAAGAAACTCAAAATTAAGCTGGATTTGCCCGGTCATTTGGACGAGGTAAGAAACTGAGTCTACAGAAAAAAAAAGGGTGAAAATGTCATGTTTGTAGGAGCAATCAACAGAAACTATTGTTCCTCCCTGCATGAACACATTTTCCTTTTTCTTTTGACTCCATATTAACTGCATGACGTGCATTAGGTATTTGCGGTGGATTGGAGTCCAGGAGGTGACAAGGTGGCCAGTGGTGGCAAAGACAAGCAACTGAAAATCTGGCGACATTAATGATTTTTTGGCTCCCAAGAAAAAAATCATCCTATTCATTCCTTCCCCCGATCTTTATTTTGTTTTCTTACCATTTGTTCTGGTTCTCTTGGCTTCTTTGCACTTTTTTTCTTTTATTTTTATCTTTGCATTCCCCATTTTTTCCATATTTTGCTTCATGGAGAAAAACCGCTTTTAGATCATATCACCTCATGTTGTAGAAAAATGTTTACACTTCACCCATTGTATTGAAAGCACACTCGCTTGATTGACAATATTTTAATCAAACCAAGTCGCTATCTACTATATCATCATTGTAGACTCCTTATTTGTAGCGATAAACAAAACCAACTTCTGATGCGGATGATGGCCGAAATCGCAATACTTGAAAGGCACAACAGCAAATTACAGCCCCTCGAAAAAAAAATGCAGTATGATATTATTTCGGCAGCGCTGTTATTTTTGGTGATCATTTGAACGGTTGCATGACATTGACGCAACGGCGTGGGCTGAATCAAGTAAAGAGCGATCTTTCAGGCACCGATTTTCGGCATGCTTGACGGAAATATTATATTCACCGTTTGGTTCTCCTCATTTCTATGTAGGATTCCCTTTTTTTTTCTTTTGGCGTGGCATCATTTGTCTGTTAAATCTGAGTGGAAAAAGATGGCCCCTCCAATAAGAGAGAAATAGCATGACGAAGGCATACTGGCGGATTGTGGTACAAAAGCGAATTTGGAAATCATGCACACAGCCATGTACGGAAGTCTTTATTTTCAACGAGAAAAGAATCAGTACACCTACCTATCCATCATTGGGTAACCCAGGTGGATGTGGTCTGTTCAGAGTAGTGTCCACAACAGAAGCAAATACACACAATGAAATGCTAGCCCATTTGAATCTGAATGATGATTGGATAAATTTCATACGATGACGTGTATGTTAAGACGAAAAACCGGTAAATAATGCTCAGAGTAATTTTTTTTTTTTTTTTTGCCCAGTTTTTTGTCTTTCGGTCCGAAGATTGATCAATCAATTAAGTATGTCCATGGCGTTGTTTGTCGGTAGACTTCCTCGTGATTTTAGAAACAGTGAACTAGAGGATGTATTTTATAAATACGGCAAAATTACAAGATGCGAAGTGAAGGTAGGCTTCCAATTCGGCAACATTTAACAAATATTTGCAAGAAGTAAACTGAAATGTTTGATGCATTTCAATAGCGAGGGGCTAGCTATGGTACGTTATTTTATCAAGAGTTAATTATGTTGAAAGAGAAGCGTTCAAGATTTTGCTCACGCATACACATTTGCAGCTTATGGCTTTGTGGAATTCGACGATAAAAGAGACGCTTATGATGCCTTGGACGATACGGACGGCATGGTGAGTTTGTGATCGGTATTTTAAAAGACGCAGTGGGCTTACATGATTTTTGAGAAATTAGTATATTGACGGCGTTCGTATCGTTGTCGAGCGTGCAAAGAGCCGAGCCCGTAGGGAAGGTGATGATACATGTTTCCGTTGCGGTGAACCAGGTAAATAAGGCACAAAAAGATAAATTATCTTTTTGATTCAGCCATTAATCGATATTTTCTCTATTTCCCAGGTCATTGGGCTAGAGATTGCCGAAATTATGGCAGGTAAGCATTTCAATACCCACTGTGGATGGGGAATAACGGGGGAAAATGGGTTTGGTTCGTTTTTGTGTCTATTTCTATATCTGGTGTGGCAATGGGTTGGAAGCAGTTTCCTTGATGTCTGGCCTTTTTTCTCTTTTTTTTTATTTAACTTTGACGGCAAAAAGGTCAGGATTCACCGCATCTGCTCCAAGAGTCAAGTATAACCCTAGAGGAAACACCGCCTGGCGATGATATCATACACAAAGAGAGATAGAAAAAAAGGACACATTAGCCCCGCTCATCGTAAGCTATCATGACAATGCGTACCTAACCATGAAACCCTGTTTTTTTTTGTAGGCGCCGTAGTCGAAGCTATTCACGCTCGCCTCGTCGACATCGAGATCGTAGTCCGTCGTATTCACGTTCACGTTCTCGATCGTACTCTCGTTCACGCTCGCCTCGTCGTTCTCGTGGACGCAGTGTTTCGCGCTCTGTATCTCCTCGTGACAGAAGTTACTCACGTTCGCCTTACCGTTCGCGTTCTCGTTCTCTTTCCCGCGGTCCTAGTCGCTCTCGTTCTCGTTCCCGTTCAGCGCCCGTTGAACCTGAAAGACGAGACGATGACACCGTGAAAAGTCCTCCTCGAGACCCTGCTCCAGCCGACTTGGCGATTAGAGAGGATCAACCTACTCCACAAGAAACTGCTCACCAAGAAACTGCTCAACAAGAAGCTACTCAACAAGAAGCTACTCAACAGGAAGCTAATCAGCAAGAAGCTTCTGATCAGGATGCTCAGGCTCAGGTTCAGGCTCAGGTTCAAGCTCAGGCTTAGGATTGATGAACAAAAAAATATGATTGACTCAATTGCTTTAGCGACACAAAACAACCGAAACGAGCAATAGAGAAAAACAAAAAAGAACCTGTGAATGGTAATACAAGGAACTTGGAAAATTTTAGAAGTGATTTCAAAACTATCCATTTCGTTATCACGCACTATTAGCTAGTAGCATAGAGATTATGTGACCAAATGAAGATCAATAAAAAAAATGAATCATGGCAACAACCATACGATGTTGCGTTTTCCAAGCTAAGTAATTTTATTACACTGAGGACAAGACGAGTCAATGCAATCAGTTGTACAAAGAGTCAAGTTCAGCGTTGCTAAACAACAAAGGGGTAAAGCATGGTTTCCTAAAAAGCAGAAACTCAATGTCTGCACGGATGTTTGTTCCTCATCGAGTTGCGGTGAAAGCGGACGTTGCACAGGTATGTCAATAAGAAAAGCAAAAGGGAAAAAAAAAAAGTAATGACAAGGAGAGGGTACAGCGATAAGCATCTGCGGAGAAGCTGAAGCTACGAGTTGGTTGTTGGGGGAAAAGGGGGAGGTGTGTGTGGGGGAGGGAGGTGGCATTTTTGGGTATTTCCAAAAGTCCAAGGGAAAGAGAGACACAGAGAGTCAAAGAGAAAGAGACCCGTCCTGGGAACGATGGTGAGTATGCTCCGGTTTGAAAGCTGTCAAAATTGCCATAAATGGATGTGTGGATGAAATAACACGGCAACGAATGCAAAGCTTAATGAAACTCTAATTCTTCCGGATTGGATGACAAGGTTGATGAAAGCAGACAGCTTTCATCAAAGTTGGTGCCAATTTGATCGACAAAGTTGCGATTTTGGGGGCAAGTTGCAGGCAGAAACCCAACTTTTTTTTTTTTTGCTTTATCGGAATCTCGATCGTTCTATTTTGATATTTGGAACTTCAGCACACCATCAAGCCTGCACCTCAGCATGCGTTTCTCCTCTTGAATTCTCGGTGAAAGATGGATACAACTAAAAAAGGGGGCGTTCACCAAAACACAGACATCCTCCATTCTTTTTTATATAAATGGCTACTTGAAGAAATCAACAAATACTTTTTCGCCCTTTTTTTTTTACTTTTTATTATTTATTTATTATGGTGTCAACACAATCCATCATGGACCGGGACTCGATCCCCGTCTTTTTGAAAAACTTTTTGAATAAGCGGACGATTGACGACAGTTTCATGTCCAATTTTGCAACCATGGAATCCTTACAAACGAAAAAATCGACTACGTTACCCATGCGAACCTCCGTCTCTTCCTATTCTTTAAGAGAGGCCCGTTGCATCGATAAGAAACGGACAAAAATGTATAATATGAAAGGCCCGCTGCCTCACATGATCAACACACCATCCTTGTCTTCGTCCATTACCACCACCACAGCCTCGACCGGACCTTTGAGTCCAGAAGATATCCTGATTCCTGTGAATCCACCTTCGGCCATCTCGTTCGCCTCGGACACATCCAGCCATTTCTTAACTCCGACGTCGTCGGCTAACCCCATTGTCACTCATCCGCTCCGACAAAGATCCCACAGTGACGAGACCGGGATTCACCATCGTGGAGCGCATCAACGATCCCTTATGGCCAATCGATCGCGGTCGTCGTCTACCTCCTCTTACACGCTGTGTTCATCCTCAGCCAGTGCACGATCCATGGTGGGGTCAAGGCTTTGTCATTCAGATGCAGCCGCCACATCCGTAGGTGCTCGTGCGGCCCGTGCGCTTGCAGCCGTGTCAGATGCCCACGATACCTTGTCCATTCACCATACCAAAGCAACGAATTTTCCTTCCATCTCAAAAATTCGCAAAGGTACCGTCGTCGATCGACCGTACATTTTGTCCCAAGATAACCAGGAACAGGACCGTCTCACGGCGCAGCATTACGTTTTACGTACCGCTTTTGATGGCGACTTTTCCGCCCCACTTCAGTCGATGCTCCAAAAAGGCTGCGTTGTATTGGATGTGGGTTGTGGGCCGGGCACTTGGACCATGGAAATGAGCACCAGTTTTCCGAAATCGACCTTTATCGGCCTTGATCAATCGACCTTGTTTCCTCGCGACATTAAACCAAAAAATTGCCATTTTCGTACATGCGATATCACTCAGTTGCCGCTGCCTTTTCCGGACAATAGCATTGATTATATTTTCCAACGTGACCTCAACTGGGCGTTGCCGGCCCATCTATGGAATACACTGATCAAAGAGTACTTTCGCATCCTGCGACCAGGCGGATGGCTCGAATTGATGGAACAAGACCTCGAAAGCCAGAGTGGCGATCAGAAAGAATGTTACATCAATAACAAACGTAAGTCATTGCTGCATCATTTAAAACTAAACGAATCAATCCTCAACTAATGTTGCTTTATTTTTCATAGTGTTACATGGATTTACATTGCGGGAGCAGGATCCTTATATTGCACGTCGTTTACCTTCGGTACTTGCTGTGAATGGGTTCCGAAGGGTGGAAAGTCAGTTTCAATCGTTGCCACTTGGATGGGGAACGAGTCATGCTTCACCTTCGCCTTGCCAACACGCCAAAGCATTGTCGACCAATGCTTGTTCCGAATTTGCCCGAGCCGTTGCCAGTCAACAGCTCTTCACGCTTCGATCATTGCAGCCTTGGCTGTCGTTGATGACCACCATGAATCCCGATAAATTCGAATCCTTTATCAGCGAATTGGCCATCGAATGGAAGAAATCTCACACTTATATCAACTGGCACTGCGCAACCGCCCAGAAACCATACCAATGAAAAGAGAATAATTCCTACTCTTTTTTTTTTAATTTTTGCGGAAAAACGCAAAGGCAGAGTCCTGTTGCTCGCTTGTATCATTGTTTATTTTATCTTTGTTCCCTTGTACAAAAAAAAAACTTTTTTTCACGCATGCCCATTTAAGATACTGTACACTTTTTTTCTCCTATTATTATGGGACCATCTTGCCCAATAAAAAACTAACCAGAAACAAGGACCGGTTGCGAAAAAAAGGGGTTTGATACTCTCTTTGCACAGGTCCTTTTTTTTTTACTGTTGCTATTGACATGTTCTTCATTTTTGTCTAGCAGTTTCCACAAATATTTTCACTACACTCTCCTTGATGCAGTCTGAATCGATCGTGACATCGAAAAATGAAATTGCAGCATTCTCATTTGCCGAGCGAAAACGCAAAAACAAGCGACCGGTATTCGCGACCGATATGGGAATGCCAGGCTTGGTTTTTTTTTTTTTTTTTTTTCAGGAGGTTCTTTTCTCCTGGAGGCGGAGTTTTTCGATGCCACTACTTTAAGCCCTGTGATCTTTTGTGAGAATGAATGACTCCTTTTACGATACATGGATGGAATTGATCAACTGGGGTTAAATGGTCCGAGCATGAACTCGTGATGTGTAATCTACATTTGCATATCAGGATTCGTAGAACCTGCCTCAACAAGTCCATCTCCTTTCGTTGAACACAAGTGTCTGGTTTCTTTCAAAAGCTGTTGGAACTTGGCTACCCTCGCTTCAGTGTTCCCTCATTTAAATCTAGTCTGAGTGATAGCAAAGCTTAATTTGGACAAGTACGAGATCATACTCACATGTAGCCCAAAATCGCGCCACTGAACCATGCAATTTAATCAAATCACGTCAAACATACTAAAATACTAAGAAGACGTAGCTGGAATGACTATCCATTTCAACAATTTTCAAGTGATGAAACCTAGGATATGTCTCCATATGTTTTCATCTGTTGTTATTGGTTACTGTATAACCAAGGAGATCTGATGTTAATTCAATTAGTGCACCATTTTTTTTAAGTTCAAACCTGATATGATACGAACAATGTGATCTTTTTTTTCTGCGTGGAACCATTTTTCATGCTGCCAATAAAATTGATCAATGACGGGGTAGTACTATATGGTGATTTTTATCAGTGATGCAGAGCAGTTCATCAAATGTAACCCCGTATATCCTGCGCTTTGAAATTCATCCCATAAAAGATTTTGTTAAGCCAAGTGCATAGGGTGGTAAAAGCCGATCCAAACATATCGCCGAAAGAGGATGCGACAGTGGATTGGTGCTATCAATAGAGAGAATGTGGACGAGTTGGATTTCCGTGCGCACAGACGCCGCTCTTTACCCAGTCAATGCAATGGTAAAAGATTTTACCGACTATAATGGAGTTATTGCATTGACCCAAGCTTTGCGTTGAACCACGATGATGGTTCGCCACCCGATGACCAGGAAGGAGGTTTGCCACCGATTTACTAGAACAATGACGCCATGATCGTTTGATCATTTTACCAGCTTTCTGCTATCAAAAAGCGTCGTACGTGCATTCACGGGTCTGAATACAGCACGGACGGTGCCTGAATCCCCATTCCAAAAACAGTGAAAACCTCGAAGTTACGGGTCACAGGGGATAAAACAAGAAACACAAGGCGCCGAGCAATTCATTTTTTTTTCGCATCATGTGAGTCTTACCATACATGCTCAAGAGGAAAAAAAATTCATGAAAGAGTAAAAAATTTTCTCATTGATACACACCATGACGATGGACGATTTGGGTTTAATGTGTCTGCTGCAGTAGGCAGTTTTTTAACTAATCTCTATCTGGTTTAGATTGGGAAACTCCCAAGCGATCGAAAGCTATCGCACTACTTGGGGCGGTAATATTACGCTTGGCGGAAGTGCCAACGATGTCACAGGGCGTTTTTGCATTCCACTTTCTCTTTTTGACTTTTGGGGAACATGAAAACAGATCGGTGGTCGGTACCTGTCCGAACAATTTTCACTCATACTCTGTAGCTTTTTCTTTGTATATATACTCTATTTAATAAACGAGTCAAACTTGATTTAAACCGGCTTCCATCTTTTATGGCGCCATTTTCATGTAGACTCTCTGGGCGACTGGCCATTTCTCACTGCATGTATCCCATTAACCGGTTACTGGCTATTTCGAATTTTTAGAATCTGCCGTAGTTTATGAAATTTTGCATAAAAAAAGGGAGACTTTTGTGTATCGTAGAGATTTTTTTTGTCACAGGGTAAAAATGACCTCAATCAGGATTCCACTGCCCAGCCGAAAAAAGGACAGCCAACTAAATAAAAAAAGTTACATGACACGAAACAACTAAAAAAAAGTGGGTCGATCATCGTGCTTTTCGTTCAAATCTCCGATCACGACCTACAGTGGATTGCTACCGCCACGACCACCGACTGAATATTCCTCAGCAAAGTAAGAAGAAAGGGTCAACATTTTGAAAAAGTAAAAAGAAGAACCGTATATAATAATACAATGAAAAAGGGTCAGCGACACGCGGACCCACAGACGCTCCAAAAAGAGAACCAAGGTCGTACCGAAAGGTTTCTCTTCTTGTTTGGGAAACGGCCCCGTGTGTGCCCAGTCCAAAATTTCCCATCAATTTTTTTATCTTGTACCTTTTTTTTTTCTTCGCATGACTACAGAAGCCATCCGCTGTATAAAAAAGAAGTCTAAAATGCGACGGCTCTTGCACTTTAAAACTTCTTTTTTTTTTCTCTCTTTCATCTTCATTCTCTGCATTTTTTTTTATTCATTCTATATCAAACCAAAAAAAGCTTCATTCATCATTATCAGACTTATTAATACCCAACATGCCACCTACCATGATCATGAAACGTTCTTCAGCATTCATCAAAGACGCCAAACCTAGCACAACCATTGCCAAATATTCATATCGTACATGTCCCATCTGCTCCGAACGATTGCTCGTTCGAATCCAAGGCGCGTTTGTCCACAAATGGATCAACCTCCACTTTGCCACCCGACACCATGAATGGATGCATGTGGTTGTCAATTTGCACTAAAAAACCGTCGGATGTTGGATCCAATGTCTTACTCCACCAAAAATTAAAGGGAAAAAAAAGGGTTCAATAAGAACCATCTCGTCATCCTTCTCCCTGCGCCTGTTACTATCATTCTCATTTCGTCAACTCTCCATGGATACGTTGCCGTTCCTAGGACAAATTATTCTTGTACTTTTTTTTTTGTAATGTTCATTATGGAAATCCCAATTAGGCTTAGCTCAAAATGGTTTTGCTTCTATTCTTCCGACCCCAAACGTAGTATTGTATATAGTAGTTCATTTGTTTTTTGTTTGTCTTTTTTATTATCTGTATTTTTGCAAACTTATTCTTTTATGTTTCAATATAACATGTGCTAAAAAGCAGAAAGAGAGAGAGAAAAAAAAAAGAAAGTTTATCCTTAGTGGAATGATGTGTTGCGTCGGTATATGGCCGGAATATCTCTGAACATTATTTCTTATCCGATGGGTAACCTTCAGCGGGACCATCATAAGCGGGAGGTCCTTGCGCTCCTTGTTGATGAGATTCGATTGGACTATGGCGTGGTTCATCGGAGGTGAAACGGCGCTCTTGGGCAGCGTAGTGTTCTTCTAGACGTCGCTTTTCCTCTTCAGCGGTATTGCCGGTGCTGGACGGAGGAATACGGAACCCGCCTGCATCGGTATGGACAGACGGTCGCGAAGCGGTAAATGCGCGTCGATCCTGCTCGGCATATTGTTCACCCAACCGTCTCTTTTCTTCCTCTGCAGTTTCATGGGTCGAGCTTCGGTCAGGGATACGGAATCCACCCGCATCGGTACGTTGACGGTAATAACCACCATCCGAATGGTAGTTGAACTGTTGCTGGAATTCAGCATACGGACGCTGGGGAGGAGCATGTTTCTGACGGTGCGAGACTTGACGGTAAAGCTGGTAATAGTTGGCCTGATGGTATTGAGGGCCACCGGGGGTCGTGGGGGTATAGAGCAAGGATCCTTGCGATCCTGGCGCGGTGTGATGGCCTGCATTGGATCCAGGACCGATGGAAGAATGGTGATAGGTTTGATAGTTGTGCATAGGCTGAGGCGACTGCGTAATCACTTGGGGTGACAAATGAGGCGCCCCGGGTGGCGTCATATGGGCTTGGTAAGGTGACTCAAACGTGCCTGAACCGGTCGGTGTCGGTGGCGACGGTCGTTGCGGTAATGGTGGCGGTGGCGGGCCTTGACCTGTGGTCGGTTCCTCTTCCACTTGTTGTTTCTCTTCATGCATCGATGCACCGTTGGGCGGTGCCGAAACATTGGTAGGATTGTATGGGGGATGATGGCGAATCACAGGAGGTTCATCCGAGTTTCTTGGTGACGACAAGTCCGCATTGGCCGCGTTATCATTGTTGGGTGAGTAAGCCGGTGGTGGCACGTCATAGAGATCGAGTTTTTCCAGGTCGATTTCCGTCTCTTCCGCCGACTTGACATCGCCAATGGAAGGTCTCGGAGGAGGAGGCGGAGGCGTGGTCATGAGTGGCGAAGGTTGTGTCTCGACAACGTTTTCGGAAGCTGAGGCACCCACCAAACCGCCTGCCACAACGCTGTCGGCTCGTCCTTTTCCTTTGGATTGAATTTTTTCATCGCCGAGTTCACTGGCATCGTCTGCAAAGCTGAGAGTGCTTTCAAGACCGCCCACAGCTAAAGTGGGACGTTCATCGCCTCCGTCCGGTTGCCACTGATCCACCGCGAGAAGCGCGTCGGCCAAAATCATGGCGGCCTCCGGTCCCTTTTCATAGGGTCGTCGTTGCTGTCCTGGAGGCGTGGGTTCGATATCCAAGAGATCCACAATGTATTTACCAAAACCCGCAATGATGCGCAGCTTCTCGGCGTACTCATTCAAAGCATTGAACCGCAAATAAAACGCTTCCTTGAGTGCAAATCGTTTAAAATCGCCCATTTCCAATTCGATATCATGAGTATCGCGTTCCAACGACTGCAACTCTTTTTCGAATTCCCGTTGTTTAGGTGAACGCGCATTGGATTTGCTCAGGTTGGCAATGCGGGCTTGCAACGATCGCTTTTTCTCTCGAATGTCCGACAATTTATCTTCTCGCTCCCGAATGGACTTGATGGCGTGTCGATACCGCTGATATTTGCCTATCGTCAAAAACGTGATGTAAGTGACAGGCGAAAAACAATAATGCACAGAGAACGAGGGAATACTTGCCTGCGAAATTCTGCTCGATTTCCACCTGCTTGTCCAATAACTTGACAAGCTTATCACCAATGTCCTATCAAGGCTTTCGTCATCAGCACTCCAGAATGACGAGACACACGGGTTTCCATAGTGAAGCGGCAAGACAATCTCACCTCTAAATCTTGACCATTGTTTCCTTTTTCATTCTGGCATTCTTCTTTGGTCCATTGCTTGAACACTTTATTCGTTTCAGACCGCTGATAGGCCGACGTGCGCATAGTAGCAAGGTCATTGCGTTCGCCAAAGATCCATAACGATAGTGTCTTGGTGTCTTGCTTTTGTAGAGGGTTATTACGCGCTATTTGTGAGCGAACATCCGTGGTGAGTTTGCCCAACGAATACTGCAGATCCTTGAAATTCATTTCCGGTGATGGGACAGCCGAAAGGGAAAAAGAGTCAAGTGTGGGGTTTACTGTCTCAGCCCATACAGATCACGTCGACCTTGCCAAGACGGCAATTTGTGCAACCAGTATTACTATTTTTATATGATCCATGGCTGAGACAGTGAATCTAAAAAGACGTCGCATTTGGTCTAGCTAAAAGCGAAAAAAAAAGGGCGCCATACGGTAAAATAATCGTATTCACAAATACTGTATATTGAGAGATAAGGATATCTTTTTTTATTCTACAGCAGCGACAATGGTATGGGAAACGAGATAAGGAAAAAAAGATCCTTGACATAAATGGATGTGCTATAAAAACAAGAAAATAAAAACTACGTAAAAAGATCTTATGCTTCGTGATCGGTGACCGTCAAGATATTCAACTCCTTTGCAGGTTGAGCCGGTGTAGGTGTTGGAGGCTGGATACGAGCGGGACCGCCAGTGACGTATTTCTTAAAAGGATCTTGCAAGATGACAAAAGGTACCGACTCATACACACAATGGACAGCAGTACCAACATAGTTGACCATGATACGGTAGTGATAGAGTCCACTGACATCCTCCACGTCCAAGGGGAAACTGGTAGTTCCCGTGTTACCGTTGGTGTAAAGTGCTGATAATATGACACGTTAGCAATGCAAACAAGGGATTGCAAAAAGCATTCAGGTTCCCACTTACACATGTTTTCACCAATGACATATTGATTGTGTTGGGTGCTGTTGAGAATACGGATACGAGTAATGATGTCTGGGGCGTTGGGAATATTTTGGTCGACTTCCCATGCAAGTTGTTGAACGGAATGGGCCTGGAAAGCCAATCCTGGGTATGTGGGATAGGTGATACGGAACCCAATGCAATAGTCTGGATTCACTCGAGGAGGATTGTAACCATACAACATCAACGCTTCACCGGTTTCAGCGCGCTTCGTTATTGGGCTTGTGAAAACCGTCGTCGCACAAGCGACTAAAACACATACAATGGAAGCCAATTTCATAGTGTGCCAACAAGGAGTAAAAGTGGGAGACACGATAAGCAACGGTTGACAAAGAAATAAAGTAGAAAACGAATTCAACGAAAACCTTTTTTTTTATCTGTCTAATGGTCTGTTCTTTTATAAGCTTCTCCAGCGCTAATTCTGCTGGGGACCGTGCATACCTGCCCCTTACCTGTTAAGAAATCAATAACTCGCCTGTTGATTCAGGTACATCCTTCTTCTTGTGCAGCTAAAAAAAATAAAAATAAAATTCCATACCAAAGGGAAAACCGTTGGGATGGACCCTTGCTTTTCCTCGCATACTGTATCATGCTTATATGTCATCTATTCGCTTCAGATAATTGTATACGAATTGCCGTGCTTTTACACTTCTTCCAGATAACACTTTGGTGAAAAATATGCTTTCAATTTTCACTTTGCATGTTATTTTTTGTTCTTTTCAATCGGTGAATATTATGCATTAACCAACTGCGCCTGTAGTCTCTATTTGTTTGTGTGCAAAAAGAAGGCTTGTGCTGCATTCACCGCGAGCTACAGCCGACCCTGACCATACTTTGGTTGGACAACAGCACGATATAAGCATGTGTCTATTCTTCCTTGAGGTGGCATGGTTGATCATCCTATGCTGTAAGTACAAACCATGTCGGCTACTGTATTCCATATATAACCAAATGACCATGTTGGCATATCAGTAAATGTTGCATTGGAGATTCAGCCAACCGTTCAATATCCGGCTTGCGCAGTATCTGATGTCAAAATTAGGATAGACCCACTGCATAAATAAAAATAAGCAATCAGGCTGATGTCATGCCGTCTTGGTGAAAATAGTGCTAGATTCATGCTGATGATAATATTAACAAACAATGCAGTTCAGCCTTCTCCATATCATACATGAAACACGGCGATATCCAATGAGTAGCCTATACGAAGAACATTCACACCATCACACATCCCCCTTTGCAGTTAGTCATTCCTTGCGTAGTTAGTCGTCGAAATTGCCACATGGCGCGTGAATACGCGATCGACCACTTCTTGCCTGCGCAAAATGGTTTCCATTTCGTGCTTGGAGATTTGGGATGCGAGTCACAAGCGGCGATCCAAAGAGGTTCTTGCCACTTCCCAAAAAGAATGACTGGAGTCAGCTTTTTATTTTTACAACCACCTGTCTGGTCTGACTGGGCCTAAACTAACCTATCCCGTACAAAAAAGCATGGTACGAGCCACGCGGGGGATCTCTCTGGAAGAGTGGGAGGAAAAGACGCAGTTGGATGACAAGCAACAACAAAGCGTGTACCAACTTCAAGAAGCATGCTTGGAATTACCACTGCCGTCGCACTGGGTACGTCCAACTTCATTTTCGGATATAGTCCCCGACTTTTTCTCAATAAACGCACTGCTGTAGCTCTTCAATGATCGATTGCATACCTCGCCTTCTCTGGGTAAACTCTATTCGCCTGGAAGTCGCACACCCGACTCCATCTCCTCCAATTCACCTTATCCCCTGAACGCAGGCGTTCTTTCCAAACAGCTCAGTGGACTATCGAGTCAACCACGATCCGTCACCAACTTGGCCGCCATGAACGAAGCCAATCACGAACAGATGGCCGCCCTCGGTGCCGAAAAACCAGTTGAAACCTTGCAACAGTTCTTTGACTGGTTTGCCGTGATGGAGTCAGAAATGGAAAAGGATCAGGAAGACGTGTGCCGGTAGGCTTTTTTGAGTTGAGACTTCTTGGTTCCGTTGTTTTTAACCCGTTCATTTTTAACAACAGCAATTATTTCGAAATCATCATGCTCTATCGTAATGCCTGTGACGAGTTTTTACGTGATCTGGATGGCACGACACGGTTATTCGACGAGCTGAAGGGGACCTATGCCTTTGTAGAAGAACGCACCAAATCACTACAGTCGACTTGCGAGACTTTGTTACACGAACAGGCAAGTGAGATGCATGGCACATCTGTTATGATGCTTTGTTATCATTGTTTATGATGTGAACTAACCCTCGCCATTTAACTAAAGGGCTCGCTAACGAAATTGGCCGATGGTTTAGCTGAAAAATTAGCGTATTACAATCATTTGGATCCTATCGCTAAACTGTTTAATGCCCCTGGTGATGATATTTGTCTGAATCCGCAATTTGTACCGATGTTGAAGACACTGGATGAGTGTATCAACTACATGCAACAGCATGTAAGTGCAAGACGCCGAGTGGATCATCATGTATACCGGCCGCAGCCAATCAAAACCACCTCAGCTCACATTTGCCATCATGCCTTTAGTTAGAGTATCGAGACTCGGAACTGTATCTGATGCGGTTCCGACAATGCATGACCCGTGGCATGACATTAATCAAAATGCATGCAGTGACTAGCATCAAATCCCTAGGTTACGATATCTATAAACAGATCAAAGCCAAGGTAAGACTCGCATCCGAAAAAAAAAGAAAACATACCAGTTGAGCAATTGATATATTTTCGTTCTGTCTAGACCGATGCTTCCGTGACTGGCCAGTCAAAACAGACAACACTGTTGTATGTCAAATTTAAAGCGCTGGGTCCGTCCTTGCGACCGTTGATATCCCAATTGGAATCACGATGTCAGGGCCATAAAGAGTAAGTCAAATGGTGGCCTCGCCAACATGTATCTGCCGAATTCCGTCTCTAATAAGCAGTCTTGTTTAGATATGAAGCTCTTTACCGTGACATTCTCAATGCTTATTTCCAAACAAGACAACAACTTTTGAATCCCATCATTTCACGGAAAATCGCCCAATTGGCACCCAGCACAACAAATATGCTGACTTTTGTAAGCTAAACTTGAGCATGCAAACACATCACATCATTTGTTATTCTAATCCACTCTATTTTCCATCATGTAGGCACAAAATGGGTGTGCTTACATGATGAACCTTTGTATGGATGAATATAATTTGGCACGCCACTTTTTCCGTTCCGCCGATGATGAGCTCTAGTATGTTGTGTGGATCTGCAGATCCTCATTGGGGAAGTTATTTACCACGAATATGCCGATGATTTTCTGTAGTGCTTATCTGGATGAATTAACGAGCTATCTCTACGACTATCTTCGTCCTCGGATCATTCATGAAAACGATATCTCTACCCTATCGGATCTATGCAGTATCTTTCAACTCTATGTGATGCAAGATGAACGCCGCATTGGTAAGATAAGTTTCTCACATCCAATGGGTGAAGGGTACTGATTTATCGCAAGCAGGCACCGACAACAATTCTCAACAGGGGTTAATGTTTGGCCATCTGATTCAGCATGTGCTTGAAGATGCCCAAGGCAAATTGGTCTTCCGAGCCCAGCGGTTTATTCACCATGATATACAAAACTATCAGGCCAAACCGGAAGACTTTGACTTGCGACCGTCGTCGGCGCACGAAGGTAGGAATGATGCACTCCCTTTTTGAGATTACTCGCTGAAGTGATCATCGCTGTGACTCACTTTGACCTTACTGATCATCCTGCAAAACAAGTAGATTCTACTAGTAAGACTTCGGTTGTACTGGAACAATCACGCGCCAAGGGAACCGATTCATTAACGCATCCTGCTACGCTGACCGTCGAGGAAGACACTCCCGAAACGCCCACCACATCCACCCACGCCGCACCATCTGTATCATCGCCCTCCTCCTCGTTATCACCATCGCCATTTTCTCCCCTTGCTCAAGGCACGGATGAAGACCGAGGATGGTTCCCAACCCTGCAAAAGACACTTTGGATCTTGTCAAAATTATACCGCTGCGTTCAGGTACCGTTCCTTGAACATAATTCCTTTTACGCCCCATGGCATGCTTCTTAACTGTTGATTCCCTTTTAGACTCGCGTTTTTGAGGATTTAGCGCAGGAAGCTGTTTCCTTATGTAGCGAATCACTCAAAAAAGCCAGTGAAACTATTGCTACCACAAAGGTATAAAACAGGCACGATGAATTGACCTATCAAAGAAACCCATGGTAATCGGATGCAATAGTCACGGTTAGATTCGCAGTTATTCTTGATCAAGCATTTCCTAGTGCTCAAGGAACAGCTGGCGCCTTTTGAAGCCAATCTCATTCACGCAAGCAAAGAGCTCGACTTCTCTCATGTCACAGGTACTGGATAAGAAAAAAGTGGGGAATAAGAAGAAGAAGGGGAAAAAAAGGGCAGCAATCGGTTTCAGATACTGATTCTTTGATTGACAGATTCCTTGAGCTCATGGCAGCAAACGGGTTCCTTAATTTTCAACCCCAACAATCTCATTAGTTTAGCGCAGCACGGTATGCCTCGCGTGGTAGAGATCAGCCTGGATTCACGTCGAGAAATCGATCGTGAAATCAAAACCGTATGTGAGGACTTTATTGTCGACTGTGTACGAGGCGCTACGGAGCCTTTAGCGACATGTATGGCCAAAGTGAGTATTCGATGTCCAACCTGCATCCAAGTTGTTCCTGATAAAAAAGTCTTATTCCTGGATTAGTTATCTTCACGATCTTTACTATCGTCGGACAATGCTTCAACCCCCCGGATATCCTCTGAAGGTAATGCTTACTTTTTTGTTGTAAGTTTTGCAGAGACTGAACTGACATGATTGTCTTGAAGAAATCCTTTCAACGATCGAGCAATTCAAAGAAGCTACTCAAGAACGCTTAAAATTCGTGACACGGAAACTCCGTGAATATGTCCATGATCAGAAGATGGAGGAAATCCTGCTGAAGCCGGTGGAGGTATGTTGTGTTGCTTATGGATACGTTGCTTTCGTCACCGTCCACGATATTGACTCGGGCATGTTCCTTTCCTAGTCGAATGTTATTGAACAATACAGCGACTTTGTTCGACAGACTATGCTAGAAGTTTCTGCAGAACCAAGCAAAGCGCCCATGTCGGTCGAAGCCATGGCGGTTTGGATCTCAGATCTCAAGACCTTACCAAACACGGAAGAATAAAATGAATGCCCCTCCCATCTTAAGGTGGCATACTTTGATATTGTTCTGTTTTCCCCATTATTTTATTTCTCTCGCGCTATCCTATTGGTGGAAGCAATGGGGCTACGCAGATTACAGGGCAAGTCCACAAGGTCATTTCAACAATTGCTGACACGGCATATAACCTCCAGTGACTGTTGCGCTTTTACACCAAGACTTTTTGTTTTCACGGAACGCACACTTATTCTTGTAGCGGATGATGGCGACTGAATGAGAACTCCATACACAGTGTTGAACCGATGAAATGGTACTGCATGCGCTGCTTAGGCTTACAGGGTTATCATCTTGATATGCAATGGTTGATGAATGCTTAGCACAGAGACACACACGCGTAATGGTGTTTCCTCTTCCTCAGCACGACTTGAGTTCCCCTATTAAGGAAAAGGCAATTGGATGAATGAAGAATATATGGTGGTAAAAAAGGTATAAACAGGATACCAACTTTTTTCAATCTATGATAGGTCATCCAGAAATCCAGAACAACAGTCGAAACATATATAAATAGGTATTGAGAGAGCTGCGAAAGGGCTTGTTAGTCGTGAAATCGTGCGCTCAATTATGAAGTGGCGGCGTAAGGTTAGTGCATGAAAGTTGGAGAAGATCTCATGCAATGCGTTATCAGGTTACAGGTGAATTAAGTAAAGATAGTGAATATTGATGGGTAGTTCGTCAATGATTACACGGTCTCACTTGTTGAAAAATTTATGATGCGGTGATTCGACTTACGCTAAGGCAATTTGGGTTTAGATTTGTTTCTTTTTCTGAAATTTTTTTGTCTCATCACCGTGGTTACACTGGACGACGGACGACTGATTTCGCGTTGAATCGAGTGGACGATGAGCCCCAAACAGTATATACAAGTTTTAAGGAGATGTATTAGCTATGGATTTGCAGGCTACATCAGGGTAATAGATATTAAATGATGATCATCAGAGTTCACTTGAGGATGATGAAAGCAGGACAATGCGTTGGGTGACACAGGGTGACACGAGAGTGAGTCTGGCGGTGCTTCAACTTTCTTTTTTCCCCTTCATTTTTTTTTTTTTTTTTTTTTTTTTTTTTTTGCTGTCTTTTTTGGTGGGTTTGACGATCCCGTTGAAATCAGCATTCAAGTTGGGTGAGTTGAGGTGGTCTTTTTTCTCTTTTTTTTTTCACCTCGTACAATCCGCAATTCACTTTGCTTAATCTGGATTTCACGTGTTTCGCTTCTCTTACTCTTTTTCTCTCATTCTTTTCTCTGTTTCCCTCTTGTGCCCGCCCTTTCTTTTTCCTTGTCGTACAGTTCGTTTGGTTATTTTTCCTCTCTTCTTTCTTTTTGTTCCTTTCTCTTTGGAAAACCTCTGCAGCGAATTTATTTTCTCCCCAATTCGCTTCCAGCTAGTCAAAGGCGACTTCTTTTTTTTTATTCCATTTATTGACCCTCCCTTTCATCGTTTTTTCACGTCATCTGTCATCTCCATTCAGTTTTAAACCATGCAATCCATTAAATGTGTCGTGGTGGGCGATGGGTAAGTTGGAAACTCAAATCACAGATGATGAAGATGCGGATGAGTCCTGATCACGATAAACGTGACGATACTTGCCTGGAAGGAGTCTATTAATACAGACAAGAAAAAAAAAAGACTCATTCTTTTGCATTTTATTATCTAGTGCCGTTGGTAAAACCTGTCTACTGATATCATACACTACCAACGCATTTCCGGGCGAATACATCCCAACAGTGTAATGCCTAAAAGAAAGAACGAAAAAAAAGTCGCCATGGTGATACACACATGAAAATTAAGCTCATGATTTGCCTTTTTTGTGTTAATTCAATAGTTTCGACAATTATTCGGCTAATGTCATGGTGGACGGCAAACCTATCAATTTGGGATTATGGGATACGGCCGGTCAAGAGGATTACGATCGTCTTCGTCCACTGTCTTATCCCCAAACTGACGTTTTCTTGAGCTGTTTCTCCCTTGTCAGTCCTCCCTCCTTTGAGAACGTCAAAACCAAGGTAATATGTCGTCATCGACCGTAGGAACCGCCCATGTAGAAAAAGAAAAAACCGTGAGAGATTCAGACCAATGTTGCTCACCATAAAAAAAACACCGATATAGTGGTATCCTGAAATCAGTCATCACGCACCCAATATTCCTATCATTTTAGTCGGTACCAAGCTGGATCTTCGTGAGGAACGCGAGACGGTGGAACGGCTTCGCGAGAAACGTATGGCCCCCATCACGTATTCTCAGGGAGTTCAAATGGCCAAAGATATTGGCGCCGTCAAATACCTCGAATGCTCCGCCTTGACCCAGCAAGGACTGAAAAATGTGTTTGATGAAGCCATTCGTGCCGTATTATCCCCTCCTGCGGCTCCAAGAAGAAAAAAGGGCTGCTTGATCCTGTAATATAGCGTTACTTTTTCTATATCCACCGTATTTTCTTTTCCTCAACCTGTCCTCTCCGTATAGTCTTTCTTTTCTTTCGTTTTTTTTCTTTTTCCTTTTTTTTTCTCAATTGTTCGTAGTACTCACAAATTTTAATGTTTTATCTTATGCAATCGATACAAAATAATTCAATAGCTGTAGTCTATTCACCATGGTCTCTGGGATGCTGAGATGATACTAAAGGGCTGATTCGATAAAAAAAAAAGGGCTGGCGGTGATAAGCAATTTTGAGTGGTTGGCCATAATGTAAGTCAATGCATATGAATTTCCTGACAACTTTAAATGACCTCGTCGTCTTTGGTTTTGCCAAGTCTTGTGGACTCTTGCCAACCAACCTGTAGAGCATTCGGCAGTTTCACTTTTCAAGAAATGTCCCTTTTTTTATAGTGCCATGGCGCTGCCATGGTTCCAGGTTTCTTGGGCTGCTGCTGAATGCAACGAATAACAACGGCAACAGAAGCAGTTTCCATGGACGCCCAAGTTCTGATCTGTTGGTCAAAATATTGGCATGCTCATGAGACCCAAAGCCACTTTCAGCAATTGAAATTGTTCCATGGCTTTGCTCTGGGCTGTCAGTACAACACGTATAAAGTACAGAGAAAAGTAATAGACCCTCGATTTGTTCATCAGTGTTATTTTTCGAATGTAAAAGATAGTGCTCCGGATAAATGATAGCTTTGTTAGTGCTCATGTTTCCCAAGCACCGAAAATATTGGCATGATCTATGATCGTATTCGGCATTGACTACTGCGATTCATATCTTGCACGAGGTAACCTTTCAATGTCAGGAAGGTTGTAATTAGTTGGAATGAGGCTTCAACTGGTGATGTTGGTTTATTCTGATCCGGCAAGCCTACAACCATGCATATATTGGGAGCCATGAAAACAATTACATGGAGTGATCGGAGGTTGATCCTTACAAAATGTATTGTGAAGATTACTCCTTATTCTAAGCATAACTGTATGCGGGTATTGCTATGAGTACCATCCTTTAACCCTCTGGAAGGATCTTGTTGAAGGATGACATGGCATTCCGTGCGATTATGTCATCCATTCATAAAGCGCAACAGCACTTGTAAACTGGTTCGCCCTGCTGTTATGAGATCATCAGTGCATGGGATACTGTCAGCGCAGCCGTCCTTGGTAGATGCGAATGAAATTTCAACGTCTCTTTTCTGGAACGAAGCAATCACGAGCGCTTGGCATAAAGGCCAAAAATAGGAGGATCCAAGTGTTCAGTGTGACATCCTCTGGCACGAGCGAGGCGAATCGGGGGATAGCAAACGCTAGACGGTGCGAATTCATGACAAACAACGTTCGCCGCCGCTTTAAGATGCTAAACTGCCCCAAGCTGTCTCATCGAGGTGTTCCAGATCGTTTGAATATAATCGCTGAGAATCCGGTGTGCTGCTGGAGGGGCTTAATTCCAAATATTTTTGACCGGAAGCGCCCTTTTTCGATGTAACGGATAGAGGGATCTTGGAGCGCTGAACGGACGACTTCCTTTTTGACGATATAGGGGAGCCATGGTCATCGGTCTGAGGCCGCGGCAGAGGAAGGCTGTGTGATCGATTGATGGAGACGGCATTCGATTCATTGTGCGATTTACCAGTCTGTAATCCACTCTGATCAGTTTATGGCATTGATGGGCATAGATACAAAATGGTTCCACTTACATTTTGACGAATCTTGCGAAGCATTTTCTTTGAACTCCATGTCAGATCGTAGACTTTACTAAACTCTTCGTACAGCAATTGTGGTTTTCCCGACGTTTCTTCAAGGAGACAACTCTTTTTAAGGGTTTGCATGCGAGATAAAACGTTGATCTAATCAGGCGGGGATGAGAATCCTGGGCGACAGCTTAATTGAGGGTGGAGGGGGAGAGGGGACGCAACGCCACTTACCATGGTGGTATGTAAAATAGCCAAACTTCTATCCACGTTGGTATTATTTATTTTGGGAATCTAATGTTGCTTTTTAATCGCGGGCCTTGTTGCTCAGAACCAATGATTTGTCTTACCATCCATTCATCCGCTTGTTGGCACAGGTATTCTTGTATCAGGCGAATATTATCAAAGTAATGGATATATTTGTTGGCACGAGGCGCGACCGTCATGTATTTTGCACGAATGGCGAATCGTTCCGCATGTTTTTGCTGTGAATAATAAGAGATCAGCATTGAAAACGAAGTAAAATACACATGGATTTGTAATACCTTATTGCTGATGTAGATGAGCACTGGAATGCAGTTTTTATGTCTTTGAACGAGCTTTCGCATGTTTTCAATGGATAGCGCTACACCCTATGCAATTTGATTAAATACCCTTCCACTGGTATCATCTAATGGTTAGATATTGTTGCTGATCTAAAATACCTCAATCACGAGACATTCCTTTCGTTCGTTGAAACTTGAAATCATCTTGTCCAACGTGTCCAGCAATAGATCGTTTTGAGCTTCATAGCCCGCTAAAATATTCAGTGGCTCTTGACTACTTCCCAGCGTTTCACCTGCATGGTAGGAGGATGCCCACAATAACTGTGAGGACTTTTCAGCGTCGAAACCTCGAAGCAAAGCACGCACATGATCCGTGGATAAAACCGTCGTAATGCCAATGCTAGAATAAATCCCGTCGTCAATACATCAGCATGACATATAGTATAAAAAAAAACCCTGTGGTGCAATGGATCTTACCGATGCGCCAAAAGACTAGCTAGTGTGGATTTACCGCAGCCAGACGTGCCACCCAGCAAAATGCAGATGGATTCTTCTCTGTTCATGATGCGCCACGCCATTTCTAGATCGGACATGGGAATGGCGTAGTGAAGGTCAACTAACAGCTGGCGAATTTTCGTCAAAAGAAAGGCCAAGTTCATTTGCTCATCGTCGGGTATCCAGTTTGTCTGCGTCATGAGCCGGTCTGAACAAAGGCCAAGTTAGTGGTGGAGAAAAACTAGGGAGGATGCCGTTGATGGATGGCCTACCGATAACTTGCTGGGTGTGGGCATGCTTGACGCCAATAAACGACAGCATCAGCTGAATATGATACGACGTACACCGCTTTTGTCTCCAATGCCCGGTGCCATCGTCGGTATGAATTACGAAATATTGCATGCGGGAATCCAGTTCAAGCAGGCCACGCAGAGACAGCCGTCGCGTTAGAGGATACCGGATAATCGGGCTTGCGTGGTGGCCAAGTCACACCAGATAAAAAAAAAACGAGTCCCTTGCATGACACCCTTTTTCTTTCTTTAATATCGGTGCAATGCTTGTCTTTGTGGATGCATTGAACAAAATCACCAGTTTGCCCATTTATGACGTTGAAGCATGGTTTTACTGGGCTATTCAACATGGAAATATATAAAAATCGGAAAGCTACTGACATGTAACTCATTGACAGCGATCAAAATGAAAACTGTGGCAATACTTTGACAACGCCAATGAGTTCTGGAAGCACTTTCTCGTGTTCTAGAGTACGTTTTCATTCAATATTTTACTGAATTTTAGCATGTCGCTGTTCGCATTCATGTTTTGTTTTGCTAAAGCCGCAAAAACGCTGCTGCGAGAAGGGTATATTGATCTAACCTTTTCTTGCCCGAAAAAAATTCAAGTTGAATTTCAGAACTATCGATTGCCTAGCAATATAAGAGATTCTCGTCTGAAAGAAAAATAAAAAGTTGCTACATCGTTACAAGGAAGACAAATCATGCCGGTAAACCTGCGAAAAACCCTGTGCGATTTTGATCTCTAGTATTGTATTGTCAATATATGCATGACTGTCTGACAAACGGACACAATATGATGATCCACTTTAGAAAGCCTAGTTGCTTTGGCTGTGATTCCATTAGAGAAAGAACCGAGATACTGTCGTACTCTTGTATAATCCCCTTCGTCCGATTATGCTATATCGCACCGACAAGTACGAGAACCCTTTCCATTTTGTTATTTCATGACCTGCGATTTTTTATAGGCCGTCCACCATGGCCCTATAAATGGGACTTTTTCAGAGGTTCAATAAGGGTATTCCAAAACGGACCAAGCTTATCGCGGGCGTGACAGCGTATGTGCAGCATTTGGTGGATGTTCGCTTTGTGCCCTAGGTGCGAATAACAGCGAAATTGAAAGCAGTCCCCATTATGACAGGAAAAATATGTATTTGACAAAAAGATCGACCAAGGCAAATAGGGAGGGATCACAAACAGCATGAAAGTTCGGGTCTGCTTTTTCTGGATGGATTGTGTTACGGGCTGAATGACTCTCTTCTGATTTTATTTGATGAAGCGAAAAGTGTGAACCAATCACAGGGCTCGATGGATTGAGATCCGACGCGGTGTGAATACCTTATGAGGATGGATTGCCTCTTGAGAAACGAACTTAATGACAAAGCGTTGACCTGAAACTGGGAGACGCATTCTCGTATAAGGCAAATGTAGGTGTCGAAAAGCGCGCTATTCCTTTTGATTTCCCACGCGACCTCCCCGGACGTATATAAACCGTCTTGACAACCTAAATATTACGGCTTATTCTTACTCAGACTCTCTATACCATGCTTTCTTCTCGTATGCATCTTTTGCGCTCGGCCAGACGGGCAACTGTTTTGGCCACGACTAGACAATTGGCTTCACTCCGTGAAGCCGCGCCTTTCTTTCCAGATGAACCTGCTCGTCCAGAAATGAAAACTGCCGTCCCTGGTCCCAATTCCAAGAAGATTATGGAGAAATTGAACAAATACCAGGACACTCGATCTGTATTTTTCGTAGCCGGTATGTCATTGAGCTAATGCGAACCCAAGGCCGTCGGGTTTTTTTCCTTGTTTCCAACTCAGCTTTGATACTCACGGTTATCTATCTTTTTTTTTTTTCGTTTGGATAGATTACGAAAAATCCAAGGGCAACTATATTGTTGATGCTGATGGCAACAAAATGCTCGACGTTTTTGCGCAGATCGCCTCCATTCCTGTAGGTTACAATAATCCTGCATTCCTTAACCTTATCAGCAAACCGGCCTTCCAGACGGCTCTAGCCAACAGGTAACACGAACATTGTGCACCGCGAGTTTCATGGTGATCCATACATTTTGACACACACAATTTTTTTTTGACCACAGAGCGGCGTTGGGTGTGAACCCTAACAAAGATTGGGTGGATTCGGTGGAAAAAGCATTCATGAGAGTGGCTCCCAAAGGCATGGATAATGTGTTTACGGTGATGTGCGGTTCATGTGCCAACGAGAACGCTTTCAAGACGGCGTTCATGTACAAGGCCGCCAAGGGACGTGGTGAGCGCGATTTCACGGTGGAAGAACTTAATTCCTGTATGAAGAATCAAGCCCCTGGTACTCCTGATATGGCAATCCTCAGTTTCTCTCAGGCGTTTCACGGACGTTTGTTTGGTTCTTTGACTGCTACAGCCAGCAAAGCCATTCACAAGGTGGATATTCCAGCCTTTGACTGGCCCAAAGCTCCTTTCCCGGCCCTCAAGTACCCATTGGACCAAAACGTCGAACATAACCAACGTGTGGAAAAGGAATCCTTGGAAGCCATTGAAAATATTATTCAGGAATCAAAGAAGCCCATTGCCGCGGTGATTGTTGAACCCGTGCAGTCCGAAGGAGGTGACAACCATGGTAAGTTGGTCGTGGTTCAAAAAACGGGGGAAATCCGGACTTTGTTTGCTCATGGTTTTTGATAAAATGCAGCTTCGCCGGCCTTTTTCCGTGGTTTGCAAGCCGTGTGTCAAAAGCATGACGTGCTATTTATTGTGGATGAGGTGCAAACCGGTGTGGGAGCCACCGGCACGTTCTGGGCTCATGAAGCATGGCAATTACCTAGCCCTCCCGACATGGTTACCTTTTCCAAGAAATTCCAAGCTGCTGGTTTCTACTTGAGCTCGCGCCTTCGGCCATCCCAGCCTTACCGTTTGTACAACACATGGATGGGCGATCCAGTGCGTGCCATGCAAGCGGCCGCCATTGTAGACGAAATTCAAGATAAGAATTTGCTGGAGAACGTGCAACAAGTGGGTTCCTACCTTCAGTCTCGATTGGGCGAATTTGCAAAGAAGAACTGGCTGGCCAACGTTCGCGGTCAAGGTGCCTTTATTGCGTTTGATATGGAGACCCCGGCCAAGCGCGATCAATTCTTGGCAGATATGCGTCAGCGTGGCGTGAATGTCGGCGGCTGTGGTGATCGCACCGTGCGTCTCCGACCCATGTTAACATTCCAAAAGAAACACGCCGATATCTTACTGGAAACCATGGAAGCAACCCTCTCCTAAGCGTACCAAAAACAAGCAAAAAGAAAACCATACACAAAATATCCGGCAATATCAAACATGACTAAAAAAAGGGCACGGCGACGAGTATGCTGTAATATAATTGGCCAATGTATTTAATCAGAAAATAAAAACTTTTATTTCACAAAGCAAAAGCCTATCATAACTAGGGTTCCCTTGTTTCGTATTTGTTCCCCGTACTGGAGACTTTGGCCTTGAACAATATAAAAAATATCGGATGGGAACGTGTATTTTTTATAGCAGCATGTAATTGATTACTTACGGATCCTCACCAACATATCACTATATGATGCCGATTCAGTCCGCGCAAGCCTTTACAGCATCCTATGGCCACAGAGAGCAATAGCATCACGTCAGAAGGTGGTCTACCAAGGAATGCTACACGTATACCGAGCCCGTCAGACATGGTAAATATGAAAGATGGATAAACCGAGCCGAAGAGACAACAGAAAGACGGAGAACACTGTTGTGACTCGAGACACATTCCGGCACGGATCTGACACTCCTATCAAGCTTAAAACATGATGACGAATGCTCTGATCGGTCTTTATGACACTCGCAGATAGAATGATGCAAAATACAGACATGAAACGCAGCAAAAGAACAGTTGCAATATTCTTTATAACGTTATAGATGGTCATGGAAGTCCTTCTGCCTTCCACTCGGAACCATTGATGTTTATCACCGTTTGAAAATGGTTAGCCTTGGTGAGAATAAAATTCAGATTATGCTGCGTCGGGCATTGGAATTCACGCATTTCGATGAGCCAAACAATCTGTGCGGGAAAAAAAGCAGGGCACATACCAGTCGTTTGGTCTTGTCCTTTGGTTTCCAATATATGAAAGAATCGAGTACACTCAAACAGAGGAAAAAGCCGCAAAAATCCGTCAGTGAAGACGACACCGTGTCGTCTTCGGCTGAGGTCAATCATGCTGGCAGCGTCAAACCTCAGTCGCGAATCTCATCCTCCACCATGAACAAGCTGGTAGCAGGACTGCTGTTCGCCATGGCACTGCCTATACGTCTCAATCGAATACAGGAGCCTTCACAAGTCGTGTAAGCATCATCTAACATGGGCTGAAAGTAGTCGCGGTACAGTAACGATTGGCTTTCAGGTTTGACGAAGTCCACTTTGGTGGATTCGCCAATCACTATATTCAACGCAAGTTCTTCTTTGACGTGCATCCACCTGTGAGTCATTGGCGGATCGAGGGTGGGGATGTTTATGCTGGAAACTGATGATATGTAATCTACCAAGCTTGCGAAGCTGTTGATTGCCGCTACCGGAAGCCTGGCAGGATATGATGGACAATTTGATTTCAGCCAGATCGGCAAGTAAGGCGAAATACAACACAAAAATCAGAACAAATTATATGAATGGCTCTTGGACTTAAGCTTTTCTTAGTAATTACCTGCAGCATGATATTCCCTACACCGCCATGCGTGCTGCCTGTGCCATACTGGGAGCTTTTACAGTCCCAATGGCGTTTCTTACTATACGCGACGGCGGTCACTCACTTCCTGCCGCTTTGATGGCCGCCGTGGCAGTTTGCTATGGTAACAAAAAATCGTCTGTTTCGCACCAGCTTGTAAACTAACTCGTCCTCGATCTACCAGAAAATAGTATGGTGACCAACAACCGATTGATCATGCTGGATTCCTACTTGCTATTCTTCACCGCTTTAACCATTCTGTGCTGGAATCGATTCTACTCGGCGAACCGCAACAGGTAGGGCTCACTGAGAAAGAGCGGAAATGTTGGGGTGTCTTTTGAGGAGTGAATTGACCTTTTAAATGAATCTACCAGGCCCTTCCAAGCATCGTGGTGGTTATGGTTAACGTTGACGGGTGCGGGTCTAGGAATGACGGTCAGTTGTAAATGGGTAGGCCTGTTCCTGATTGCGACAATTGGAAGCTCCACCGTCAAAGATCTGTGGCATTTGTGGGGAAACCTGTCCGTTTCCAAGGTGAGTATCTCCCGGAGAGCATCGAATAATTTGTAAAAATTGACGAATCAACTGATGGCCGTCTAGTCACATTTCATTCGGCATTTCATGGCAAGAGCTATGTGTCTGATTGTGTTACCGGTATTGATCTACGTCTTCACCTTTTACATCCACTTTATTGTTCTTCGTTACAGCGGTGAGGGCGACGTGCACATGTCGGCGGCGTTTCAGCATTCGTTAGTTGGCAATCGCGTACCTGATTCGCCTATTGGTAAATAGAACGAACCATCGCATATCTGTCTATGGCTCAGTTCGAACTTAAAGACATGTAATAGACATCGCGTACGGTTCGCGCGTAACGCTGCGTCATCTCGCCAGCAAAGGCGGTTACCTTCACTCCCATCCGTCCAATTACCCCGAGGGAAGCAAACGTAAGCACCCTCACTGTGTCGCATAAAATCCGGTGATAGGTCTTTATTGTTACCGACGTTCCATTTCTTTTAGAGCAGCAAATCACACTGTATCCCTATCGTGACGAGAATAATTGGTGGATTATCCGACAAATGAACAGTACATTGGATCTGCAGAACGAAGGGGATATGCTAGGCTCGGATAACAACACATGGGTCAAATGGGTCCGCCACGGCGATATTATTCGACTGGATCATGCATCTACGGCTCCAAGAAGGTTACACAGCCATGACATTGCAGCACCGGTATCTGACGTCGAATATCAGAAGGAAGTGAGGTTGGCATTATTGTTACAAAGCACATGCTTGTTGAATTGGATGAGAAAAGCTGATCAATTGGATGGCATTTAGTGCTTACGGATTCCCTGATTATGAAGGTGATGCGAACGATTATTGGCGAGTAGAAATTGAATCTGGAGCGCCGACAAAAGAGGCTGGCGAACGGCTGCAGACGTTGCGATCCCAGTTTCGGCTAGTGCATCTCATGCAAAACTGCGCTTTATTTTCAAGCGATGTGAAACTTCCAGAATGGGGTTTTGGACAGCAGCAGGTGACTTGTATGCAGAATAGCAAGAAACCAAAGGCACTTTGGATGATCGAAGAAACCTACAACTCTTTCTGTACGTCACACACTCTCTCTCCTATGAATAATAATAACTCATATCTTACACTTTATCTACGCAGTGCCACAGGACACCAAGTATGTGAATTATCTCGTTCCAAACTTCTGGGAAAAATTTGTCGAACTGCACAAGGTGATGTGGACCGCCAATTCAAAGTTGACAGAGCCACACCCTTACCAGTCACGGCCCTCCTCCTGGCCCGTGCTGCAAAGCGGCATTTCGTTTTGGGCCAGCGATCATAAACACGTTTACTTTTTGGGCAATCCGCTGATCTACTGGGGCTCGCTCGTGGGTGTCTTTACGTTCCTGATCCTGTCTCTCTTTTTCCAAATCCGCCATAAACGTGGCTTACCCGATCGATACCCAGGTAACACCATCTTTTATGTTTTACAGTGGAAATGAAGTGAACTAGAAAAGAAAATGCATTGCTGACTCAAACCCACGATGACAGGAAAACGAGAATTCTTTGAAAACGCCGCGGGATTCTATGCGGCAGGATGGGCATTTCATTATCTGCCGTTTTTCTTGATGGGACGACAATTGTTTTTGCATCATTATTTGCCGGCCTTGTACTTTGCTACGCTGGTGCTTGCAGTAGGCTTCGACTTGGCATTGACAAGACTACCGGAAGGTGGTCGCTTGCTGGTTACACTGGGTGTATGTGTTGCTATCATTGCCACATTTCATTCATTTGCGCCCATCACCTATGGTACAGATTGGACCAAAGAGGCGTGCGAAGCCGCGCATTGGTTGCCTACCTGGGACTTTGGTTGTGAAAGGTATGGGAACTGAAATTGTGCGATCCAGTTGTGACCATATCTATTCATATATTATGCGGTTGCAGATACCCAAGCGCCGACGGGCCTATGCCTCTGCTATTTGACACCCCAACAACGCAAGCGCATGGTCAACAAGAAACGCCATTTGCAAGTGGTGGATTTCTAAACCGACAAAATGCCATCACCGGTGATAATGCGGTTCCCGACTACACCGCTTATGCTTAAATGAGGAAGAGAGTCAGAAACCTTTTTATTGCAACAGATCCGCAAAGTAATCTTCAAACTCTTCTTCTTTTGATTTCTCTTCTTTGGCCGAGATCGGTTGGCTCCATATAGAAGAAGCTTCATCTGTAAATTTTTTGATGGATGAATGTCAATACAGCCCATAGATTGTCTCACACTTGCATTATACAAACCTTTTGCCTTTGTTTCTTGGTTTCGTGTATCTTGTTCCTCATTCGTCTCGTCTTCTGGATGATCCAGCGGTTGCTTATCTTTGGAAGTAGCACGTGAGCGCTTTGTATGACGATGGTCGCTTTCTCCTTCCTCAACGGAGGAAGACCGGGCTCGTTTTTTCGCTTGTTGTTTCTGTGCTTTGGCCAGCCGTTTCTGAGTCTTGTAATTGAGCTTGTCGGAACATTCAGGGCATAAGCGTACTTTGACAAGTTCATTCTTTTTGATCCCGTCTTCTACATAGCCAAAATTCACTTCCCAGCTGTTGAGCATGGAAGTGGCGTCACATCGTGTGGAAGCGCATACGAATTGTCCTGTGAAACGGCTTAGACGTTGTCGGATGCTGTAGGTAGACTTGGGCTGGAAGGTTACCTTTGCCTGAAACGACCTCTTTTTCGGTACGCCACCGTAGAGCGATTTTGCCTTCTTTGTAATACTTTAAGTCGCAAATGGCATATTCTTTGAATAGTTGATCATAATATTTTTTTGCTACTCGTTGCTCCCAAGACGGTTCTTCAGTAGTATCGTCATCGTCGGATCGAATGAATCTGTGCAACATCATGATTGGCATGTTGTACTGACGGACAGGAAAGGGCACGATCGAGTGAAAAGACTTACTTGTGATGCTCGCGTATGATATCGTGTTCTGACCGATAGTTGGCTGGTGTGGTGGAGGGTGCTTTTTGATTGTAAAACAGGACATAATCTTTGATAAGCTTTTTATGCCGTGTATACTATTCAGTAAGAGGTTTTGAAAGTAGGCAATGTAGGCGTGAGATCAGATCACTCCATTGGTAGAAACAAAGATCAATAACAGATCCACGTTCTTAAGCGTACCGCATCAACACCGTGGAGGTCATTTCGAAACATGGGTCTAGTTGTCATGATTCGGATATGAATGGGTATGATTATTCCTCTTGTCTGTTTGTTTTATAGGATGGAGGCCGAGAATATGCTCAAAGATGTTGCAAAACGAAGAGGTGAGCCCAATCATGGATGGGCCACACTGGGAATTATTGGAACTCCGCATGTGCCCTGCTCCATTCGTTACTCACTGGTGGAAACCACAAAAAAAAAAAGAACTCCATCATTACTAGAAAGGAGTACATAACATTTTATTGTTTTAAGCGCCAAAGACGCTTGGATATCGTTTCCAATCGTTGTACAGTAGGGCGAATATAGAACAACAGCATGGCAAGACCGAGCGCCACACTGACCGTGCCAACGATGTAATAGCCGTCTTGCTGAACCATACATGTACCGCCCAGTTCTTTGCACAAGCTCTTTCCCTCTTCGGATATGCAAGAAAAGGCTAATGAGATTTGAATTAGCTTGACTGTCCATCAAATCATCAATTTTTCAGATAAATCGACTTACCATTTTGTTGCTCATTGGGCATAGAACAAGTACCAACGGTGAAGTAATCGACCGCCTCCAAAACAAAGAATTTGGGCCAAGTACCACCAAAGTTACTGAATGTATTCAATAGCTGATACCGAAAAAAAAGTAATAAGTATCATTGCTGTGAACCTTTTTTTAACCATGCATTCAGTTCACTTACGGTCATGTAGGTGCCGCCGATATAAGGATCGGCGATACTGGTCATAAAGGCAGAGATGCTCACGAATTGAACCGTGGACATGAACGAGCTGAGAACGGTTGAAGCGAGAATAACACCAAAGTACATGAATCCAATGTCTTTGCCCTCTGGATATGCAGCAACGACCAGCATGCCCAATCCAGAAAAGAGCAAACGACCATAAAATGCATAAAGCCACTAAACCAATGGTTAGAACGTCGTTACCAGGACACATTGTACAATCTCATTTGAAACTTACGGGTTTCAACGGACGCGCTCCATTAGACCACTTTGCCGCATAATAGCCAAAGAAAACCTGCAACGGAAAATCGAGCAGGACCGCCAAAGCCAAATCTTCCTTTTGAAAGCCTTTTTCCAGCAGTTTCAAAGACGTCACTGCTTCATGGCAAATGAAGCCCAGCTTGGACACCAGCAGTACCATAATAAAGGAGCGCAAATCTAAACCATTATCCGCTGCATAAGTATATTGGTTACTCTAGTTACTTTCTTCACAGCAAAACTTACGAGGCAATTTGCAGATTTTCCAAATGGTCGTGTAGACTGTTTTCACGCCTAGATCGTCATCTTCTGAATGGGCTTCATCCTGTTGCGATGATAATGATGAATACACTGTTTTAAGATCATCGATGATGCCCATATTTTGTTCCTACCTCTTTCTTTACAATGACAAGCCAAGCAGTAATGACAAGATACATGAATGCCCAAAATTTCATGTAAGCGCCGAGAGACAAGACACCAGTGTCTTGAGGAACGATGCGCAGGTACTTGTTACTGAATTCGGAAGAGTTGAATGCAAGAAAGACCGTGAAAGAAAGGAAATAGCCCGTGTTCAAACCAATGGTCTGAGCCGTGGAAGCGTATGAGAGACTTTCTTTGGAAAGTAAGGTTAATGCCCATCCGTCGACGGCAATGTCCTGCGTGGCACAAAAGAAGATGGTAATCAAAAAGGAAACTGTCAGTTCATAGATGGGAATATGCTCGGCCGACATCATGGCATCGATATTTCCGCCCAGCCAAAAGAACAGAAACCCGGTCAGAATTTGAATAGGAACAATCCACGATTTTCGTCGTCCCAGCGAAGGAGTATAGATCGCATCGACAATAGGTGACCATAACAATTTGAGGGAGTATGGCCAGGAAGAGAGGGAAAAAACGGCAATTTGAGAGTAGGAGAGTTGTGACTTTAAAAGAAAAGGGATGGAACCAAACGACAAACCAACAGGGACACCTTGGAGTAAATCTACCGTCATCACGTCCATAAGTCTTCCATTGTTCATGACGAGCCATGCTGACGTGTCAGCCGCAGAAAAAAAAGAAACACTTACATAGAATGACAAGTAAAGTAAAGTTGCCGTAGTCTTTGGGACTAAGTGACTCTGCCGTCGTATGTTCCTGATCGGTAGGATGATCTTTATTCAAGGAATCGAGCTGAAATTCTTCTTTATCTTCATCTGTATGTAATTCTTTCCGTCGCTGCGTTGTGGTGGTCAACTGGGGATCCATGGCGGTTGTCCGAGCAGATGCTTTTAATAACTCGGTATCTCGTTCAAGGCTGGTTTTCTCGTCAGAGGCTGGGTTGGTCACAGGAGGCTGTCCGTTCACCTTTTGCTCCTCTTTCGAAAGCACATACGCTGCTGGCATCAGTAGTCTGCGCTGTCAAAAAAAAAGGAAGGCCTGAAAAAAACCTGGGGTTGCTGCAAAACTGCGTCGCAGCAACTGTCTTCCATTTGAGTTGCCGTGATTTGCGCCAAAGCACTGGCCAATCATTGAGCTCCAAATAAGTCCAGTCTGGCTTTCATTTTAAGTCTTTATTTTTGAAAATGGACCAAAGGGCAACGGCACAACGAAAGTCCAGTCAGAATTCAGGAGACCCAAAAACGCCTATTTGGTTTTCCGCATCAAATAAGGCATTGATCTGTGCCTTTTTTTTTTAATGAAAAAAGAGGAAATCTGCAAAATAAGTCTGCTCATAATTTTCATTCCTAAAATCGCATTGGGCTATTGGCAGGCGAGGCAAATGGACCAGACACTGGAAACTGTTTGTGTAGACATCTGTATATCGTCATGACAACTTCAAAGGTCATTACCACATTACCATAGTTATATAAAATTGTATCATGTTCACTCGATCATGTTTAATTGTGCGCGCTATTGCCATAGTGACCCGTACGGATCCCGTTTCTTTTTTAAATGAATCACGTTATTCAGGATCCCCTGCCTTTGCACGTTGCGAGTTTCAAAAAAATTGGCACAAAATGATTCATTACATACACAACTCCATCTAGCAAAGGCATAGCCCATCACCCTATATATTACATAATGACATCACTTGTGCAGTAGACATTGGGTGTTCAAGCAATAGACAGGTTTCGATGCCACACGAATTGGGGTTATCGTCGTTTACAACCTCACAGTGTCATGATTACATCTAAAATGCCAATTCTTTATACTATGCCTTTTGCGACTGACAGGAGAACAACCCAGAGATGAAATGCTGTTTGCAAGGGCTTAAATATTCTAATAGATCTTGGAAGCAAAATTTTTTTCTGGCATCGGTTGGCATGATTACGATGATGGAAAAAGTTTAAATTTGAGACAAAAATAAAAAAGTGGGAGTTATTTCGGAGGTTACACATGCAATTATTTATACGAACCATGTAAAACCGACACAGAAACAGATCTTCATTGGTGACACGATTCACGTCCCACTTGGAAAAACCCTTCAACCTTTAGGAAGCCATTTAACACGCGAATTGCTTGATGCAGGTAATCAGCAACGTGCATTGACGTGGTACGAGCGAAAGATGACCCGTCATTTCATTCAGTCTTTCCCATCATTCCATTCAACCGTCGAGAATCTCAATTAAACTTGTCTTTGCCGTCTCTCAAAATAAATAAAAAGTTCCCGTTGCTCGATCCAAACATGAAAAATAAACAGGAAAAAAAATTTTAACCTGTTGTTGTCAAGCCATATTTAAATCAACAACCTGCCCACATTGGTGCACTCACTTGGATGTCCGGCGTCCAGAAATAAAGAAAACAATCAAAAGCCCGCTCTTCATATGCACTCCCCAACCGAATCACTGCATTCTATTGGCGAAGCGTATTAAGAAAGTCCAAGAGAAAAAAACTTTTTTTTCCCTCTCCCCCTTGTGTCTCCAAAACGTCGCGTAACACAACAGATATAAGATGATTGCAAACAATAAATAGACACATCCTTGGATTTTCAGTCGCCCCTTATCACCCGTTTTCCATTCCTTTCTCTTTTACTTCATCGATCATGAAATTCTCTATCGCTGCTGCCCTTCTCTCGGTCATCTCGGCTGCTTGCGCTCAAGCTCCCGCCGCTCCCGCCGCACCTTCCGCTCCCGCTGCTCCTGCTGGTCCTGCTGTCGGTGTCGCCAGCGTTATCGCTCCCGGCTATGGTGTAAGTTTTTTTTTTTTTCTTAAATACTCTGCAGCGAAAAACATTCGACAAAAAAGTAGAGACTCAATTGCAGTTTCTCGATCATTTTACATAAACAATACTCAATTCGGGTTTCAACTTGATTACAGGCTGTGTGGAATGCCGGCAAGTCTTGGGCTATCACCTGGAACGTCAATGACGCTTCCGTCGCCAACTTTGACTCGATCGAATTGAGAAACGGTGCTTCCTCCAACCTCCAGCTCATCGCCAAGATTGCCGACGCCGTCCCTGTCGCTTCCGGCAAGTACGACTGGAACATCCCTACCGATATTGCTACTGATAGCTCCTGTAAGTTACCTTTTTGTCTTTGATTCTTCTTTTTCCCCAAGTTTTCGGTGGCTATGCTTTTTTGGAAACAGTAACGACTCATTTCTCGGTCTTTTTTTTCTTCAAATTTGAACAGACGCTGTCATCCTCCGCAGCGCCAAGGGCGACAGTTACTCACCTCAATTCACCATTTTGGGTGCTCCCCCTGGTACCAAGCCCAGCACCAACACCACCACTGGTTCGACCGGTAACTCCAACAACAACGCCACTGGTGCCCAACCTTCTGGTGGCAGCCCTGCTGCTTCCGGTTCCGGTTCTACTTCTTCGCCTTCCACTTCCTCTTCTGCCTCTGGTGATGCTGCCAAGGAAAGCAACAAGGACAGTGGTGCCGCTGGTATCAAGGCTGGCGTGATGGGTGTCGTTGGTGCCGTCGGTGTCGCTGCTTTGTTGTTGTAGACAGGTTTCATCAATGCAAAGCCAGAAAAAAAAATTCCACCCAAATACGAAATTCCATGCATTCCTTTCCCTCAGTAATTCCAGAAATATAATACTTGTTTAGAATACTAATCATCGGTCATGTTCCCACTTGTTTTTCCAAAAGAAAAGAAAATAATCGTTTATTTTCGGGATCATGCTTAATGTTTTTTCTGCTCACATTTCCAATCTGTAAAACTATTTTTCCCCATAAAAGTAATCAACACCATTGAAACATTTCAATTGCATTTGCAAAAAAAGCTTTTTGATTATCGCAATGGTTACGCCGAAGCACGGTTCTTTGCACGTGTTCGTTACCAAACTTGGCAATGGACCGATGCTTCTTTTTTTTCCATAAAATGACACGTTCAGCACCAATGATATCTTGAGCAAGGTTCATCCCCGGTGACAAAGCATGAATGAGCTAACCTTTCCGCATTTAAGCATCATTTTCCTTTTTTTTTTCTCTTTTGGTTGTGATACATTGGCATTCGAGAGTCTAGCTTGCGCTTTTTTCTTTTCAAAAAAATCGAATGGATGTACAGATCAAATATCGTTATTCCAATAGGTGAAAGGGTATGCAATGGATGATTGGAAACGAGGAAAAAATGACAGTCGAAAAAGAAAAAGAGGAATAATTGATCTTCAAGATGCAAGGTCCGGATTAAGGTCAAGGATCCAAAAGGGGTCGCCCGCTGCCTCTTCTGCAGGTTTGCCGGCAGTACCGTGTCCTTCTTTGGTGGCATCTTCTTCGGCCGAACTTTCATTGTCGGAGCTTTCCACTAATGCATCCAAGGATGAGCCATCTTTGCCAGTGCAATCAAGATGAGATTATTCGTGGTTTGGGGAGATGAAACTTACTTTTATCTTCCAGGTACGGTTGAGGATGATTTTGCCAGTACAAAAGACCACGTCGCATTCGCTCTTCGTCCGGATAAGGTTTTTCAAAATCGACTTTGATATCTCGGTTCATCGAGGCAAAGTTGGGCGGTGCCGACGTGTATTTTGATAGTTTGGATGCATACGATATGACGTCGGTAAACTGTACGTTGGCTGTGGAAAACAAGAAAAAGACGAAATGATCTCAGTATGACAATCATTGAAAACAAGAAATATTGGTTTACTGCACGTACACTTGTTTGCGTAATCAATGGCTTGAACTTCTTTCTTTGCTTCATTCAAGCTTTGATCCAGATCGCTTCGTGCACTGTCCAGTTTCTGTACCACTCGCAGTAAAGCTTCGTGATGTCGTTGAATGTCATCCTGAACCCGAATAATCCGTTGTTGTCGTGCCTGATGCTCCTCAACTTTTTTAATCCAATTAGTTAACCAATAATTCGACGTTAATTGCTCAACCATCTTCCAACTACTTACTTTGCTGAGCGGCGGTTTGCAATTGGTCGTCTAATTCTACCATGCGCTTCACGAGTTGTTCTGGCATTTCTCCCGCATCGGTTGTCACATTTTCTGCTGCCGAAGCGAGCAATGCAAAGAACCGCCGAACGGTATCTGCATACTCTGTAAGTAAGCCATCGACTTGGTCTCTCAGTGATAGCTCCATTTTAAGTGTCTATACACATGGAGCAATGTCACGCTTGTATTTCGCAAATTTGGCAAGCTCGTTTGTTACCAAAACAATTTTACAAGCGGAGTTTAGAAAATGATAGCGACTCTTTGCTGCACAAGATTGGCCCCTTCTTCATTTCGTTCTGCTTGTCTTTTCCCCGCGATAAAAAGGCATTTCCACGCAAAGTGACAGATACTGGTATATAAGCTAATAGTCAACAGGGATGACAAAAGATAGTCTACATGAATGAAAGCATCCGGCACAATATGCGTAGAAAGAGGTGGGTTGGGCGGGAAGGCCCTTGTAGACAAAAACCGAAAGGAAATGAAAAAATAAAGCCATTTCACTATATTTTTCTACAATCACTCGTAGCTCAATGATGGCATATCATCAGGCATGTTAAACTGAAAGCAAGAATGTATAATTCTTTGTTACCACAGGTATTTGTTACCGCCGGTGTCGCCCTCCTTTTGTATGAGGGACAGGAAAATACTGCCGCTCTTCGTCAACAGCTAAGTGAGCTGGCAACCACTTTTTATCTCTTGCTTATTCATCTCATTTATAGCTACAATGGCGCTTGAAAAACTTTTTGTTCGCATAGAAATCTTTTTAACCAAAGACTCCTTTTGGTTACACGATATTTTTCATTTTTTTCTTTGATAGGCAGCAAACTTTTTTCATCTGATGCAGCAGCTCGCCAGACTTTGCAGCTTATTCACATCACATGTGTATTTTCTTTCGGTCTCAGGAGGATCAATTGGAAAAAGATAGTTTTTTTAATGCGCATGGTTCATTCGCACTATTACCTTCCTCATCATCGAACCGACAATAAGGCTTTTTCATTACGGGAGGCTTACTGGATATGAAACCGGAGTTGTTTCCGGCCAAGTTGTGGGTTTTAAACCGCCGCGAAATAGATCGACAAAGTGGCATCAGCAAAGGGATCACAGCTCCTGCAGGACGGTTTCACCTCTCTGGGGTTGTTCTCCTGTCAATCGCCAAAGGCATGATGTAAACACTTGGCATATTATTTATGTGATATAATGCAGTTAAGAGACCATGTCTCAGTGAAGCCACTGGTCACTGCGTTTTTCACATGGGCAATAATAATCACATTCTCACGCCTCACAGATCATACAGCAAGGCGCAATATTGAGACGTAAAGTATGATGCATGAGTGATATCGCATTGATGAATGCTTAAAGTTGATCGCCTTTCTTGTGTGCCGTCACAGAATGTAGAAAATAAAGCACACATTTGGATACCAGAGCCTCAAAGATATAAGATCGTGACGTTGCTTCTTGCACCGTCGGGGATTCAGTGGGAGAGGAGCGTTCTTGAACATGCGAAGTGAGACCATGTACAGCTGATTGATTTTCTTAGTTATCACGCCTGGAGTCAGAATATGTATCGTAAGAAGTCGCTTTTCTTTTCTGTTTCAAACCCAATTCAGATTCGCTACATCTTACTCCTCTTTTCCTTTTCATGCGCGCGCTGGCGCAAACAAGTAAGAACTTGTAGTTTTGGGTCAACGACCTGCTGAATTGTAACCCTTCTGCGATAGAATCATGGCCGAATGTAATATCTACGATTTGAAGTACAAGTTGACTGACGCCGACACAGACTTCGCGTTACATTTTGACAATCCTTAAGTGCGCGCCTCAGAAGAGCTGTCCGAACATACAAGAAAAGTGATGGATCCCTTGCAAATGAGAATTTGCACAACTCAAGCGTTTCCTCAAGAGACATGGTCTGGCTGTCACAGAATACGATCGCGATAAAGACTCAAAAGACTTGCTAATGCTCTCGTGGGGCAACTCAAGGGTGTCGTCAAATCAAAAGACGTTATGCACTGATGACAATGCAGAGATTCAAGTCTCTGGTATCCAGCTGCTTTTCGCTTTGTAACATATCCTTGGTATCAAGATCTCTTATATCTCCACTCGTAAAAAGCCCATTGTCATCAAACCGACTTCGGACAGACCAGATACCCCGTGCTTTAGCGTACTCCACCATGTCGATTCGTACTTGGCCAGGCAGACTGGTTTGTCGTCAGCCCATGTCAAGATTTTACGCAAAATACCTCACAGCGGGGTCCGAAAAAGAAGAATCACAAGAAATCGTACCCAACCGCCCGTGCGTACCTGCGCTCAACAGACGAGCAAGCGAAGCAAAAGAAGCGGTTCTTATCGAACATCACAGAGACGAGCTCAAAGATGCTTGTATCAAAGAAATGAAAGCATACGTGGAGCAACTATATGAAAAACATGTAACCAAAGGCTCCAAGTCCCACGACAAGTTCTTTGCAGATGAATCGAAAAGAAAAAGTGTTCGTATATGGGACGGTAAGCTACTTTTTTGTTATTTCTCAAGATTATTCATTACAGAAGTCTAACATCGATTTCTTCATTCAGCTGTCCACGCCAGTCTGTTCCCTAATCCCACAAAAAGCACAGTTGCCATCGCATCGCTAACCAGGCGAGTTTCAAAAATGGAAGATTTCAATACAGCGCCAGCGTACCATGAAATCGTGGCCGAGTACCAGGAAGAGCTCGCCAACAATGAAGATTCCTCTGCCACTGACGACAATCCGAGCGGCAGCGATGAAGAAAGCTGCAGCGACAACGACGACACCCCGGGTTTCGAAAAGCGTTACGAAACCATCACGCGTTCTTTATCATTCATCACCAGGCATGATTTTGATGTTCAAGCGCTGGGTCAAATTTTTACCGACGAACAGGCGCGTATGGAAAAGTTCATATCCAAACTCACCCAGGCTGTCTCTGTTGCGATCGAATTGTTAGGGCAGGACAAACTTGGATATATTTGCGGCCTTGCTAAGCAAGCAGCGATCAAGGTGGATCTCAAGTCGCTGGCACCAACCTTTGATTTTGGCAAGGATGCTGAAACCGCAATCAAGCTCACCCCTTGTCCTGACGAAGCTGAGAAGTACTCGGAGCATAAGGTCTTCTCCTATGAACATTTCGCTAACATATTGTCTGGATGCGTCGGCAAGTCGGTGCGAGCTCGGGGTGAGCGAACAGTTTTCAATGATATCCGCCAACTTATCAATGCCAAGCTAAGCGACGACCCTGATGATAAGTTTTTCTTCAACCAGTCGATGATGGACGCACTCAAGCAATTACCATACGTCGTTTACCATGTGGCGTATGTTCGAGACCTCCGCGTGCTGATCCTCGCCTTGTTAAGGCTTAGACTTGCCCCCCAACTCCTCAAGCGCTAAGCAGAAAATCGTAAAGAACAGGCGAAAAAGAAGGAGAAGCACAGCAATCATTATCAGGATAAACACATCACCTCCCGCGACATCAGCAACAAATGAAAAAGATCGGTTACGCCTTTCTCGAAAACCGGAAGCAAGTTATATTGCCAAATGCAAGAACGTTGTTGCACTGCTAAATCAAAGGCGAAACAACAGATCGCTTCGCAAGCCAGTCGTGATGTAGGAGCAGATGACGACGATCTTTACCCAATGAACGAAGAAGATTTGGAGGATGAAGAATTGCGGGAAGAGGTGGAAGAGGAAGACAAAAAGGTGGGCAAACGGAGTAAAGGCAAAGAAAAAGCGGAAGTGAGGAAGGAAGAAGAAAAGGAGCCGACCGCCAGAGCTTTGCGTTCTCTTTTGGCTATTGTCAAGAAGTTGGTCCTCAGTGGCGACAAGTCACGCTACACGGCCGATGTTATACGTTCATCCATGCACCGAGGCACGCAGCTGACCGACCAGGAATGTCAGGTGCCGCTTCCGTAACCAATCTCATTTTGCCGTTCGTCTCGCACAACCCCAACAGCTTGCATAGAAAACTAGCCCCGATTTTACGAGCCAACAGGCCTTGTCGATGAGCGCAGGTGCGTTTTATCAGTTGATGCATCAAACTTACGAGCTCCCATCAGGCGGCGATACCTACTTTACCATCATACGAATGGCGACGGAGAAGAAGCGCGGTGTCTTTGCTACCATTTTCGATGTCAACCTCGTTGAAAGCTTGGCAACACAACGAGATTTGGAACCGTCGTGGCGATTCCTATTCATCAATCGTCATAATGTAAAGATCCTAGCAGAAAAGCAAGTTGCAGTTGCTGAAGAGAAAAAGAAGCGTAAGAAGAAGCAGAAGATCTCAAGTGGTACCCAAGGCAAAAACCCGTCAGTATCCATCCGAGACCCTAGCAATGCGGGTAAACTCAAGGAACAAGCGGATTCGACTGCGGGCGCGCTAAAGCTTCAAAGGAGCGAGCTGGCAAGGCTTCGGCATTCAAGAACACGACTTGAAACACAGCGTGCAGAGATCGCCCATTCTTACCGTAAAGCAGAGCAAGTCAGCTCGGAAGGGCGCAAGATTTACACGGAGCTTAAGAAGATCCGCTCTGAAATCAACGCAATGAATATCGAAATCAGAGAGAAGGAAGAAGCCGTCCAAGGCGCGAGTCAGCGACTATATGACATCAACAGCAAGCTGGCTGGAAAGAAGAAGGGAATGCCAGAACACAACGAAGAAGAGGTTAGTCTGTGAAGATCTGTATCAATTGTAGGCTCCAGCTCAAGTTCCATGGTAGATGATGCGTCGCACTGCAGACGTCGTAGAGAAACATTCCCAGGGGTTATCGATTTGGGGACTACGGGTAGCGATCCCGACCGTGCCGTCACAGCTACTATCCAGCCGATGGATGCTGCTGAAGCCTTGAATATCATTTACGCGCGTGCCAGCAGTGGAAAGTTTAGGAAAGAAGGGCTGTCAGAAGACTTCAGAAGCCTCTCAAGATGAGCGCGGCAACGACGGGTCATGCGACATTCCGTCATCTGCATCGCAAGCGTCGCGAACACGGAGTGGTCGATCCAGAAAAGCTCTCGAAGATGCGACGAACGCGAGAGATACGCACGAAGAAGTTTTATCAGGTACCAACGGATTATTTTCTTCTGCGCCCTACCATTAATGACCCTCTTTCTTTGATAGAAATTTGCAAGCCATGTGCGGAAGAATGCAGTTTCGAAGAAACCGGGGCGCGAAACGGCTTTCTTGCATTATTTCGGTTCGTACAACAGCAAGAGTAGTCGCACCAAAGAGTATGCATACGGCGGATCTAATGCAAAGCTTGGTCAGACGATGGATGCTCCGGAGCACGATCAATTTTTGATTTTCGATGAATACAACACGACGAACTGTGTCCGTACTGCTTGCACCGAATAGAATACCATCGCTATCGCCGCAACGACAAGCTTGTGCGCGTCAAAGGTGTGGTTCATTGCCGGAATCCTCACTGCTCGGCAAGAGCGTTGAATTATACGACGCGAGGTCGTGATGCCAGCGCTTGGCGCGAATATCCTGCAACGAGGTGTCTCCGCCACAGTCTCCACCAATGGACAACCGCTGCCAGAGTACCGACGGTTCAATGCAAACACGACCTACAAGCGCAACAAAAGTCTCAAAATACGCTTCGGACCGAGTACGGTCATCAGTGTAACCGCAGGCCGAAAGGCTGATGCTTTTTAATACCGTCGGTTTAGAATTCCTGATTTTTGAACACTACTCATCCTGTATTAAACTGTATGCCAAAGCAACAAACCCATAAACTATCCGTGCTTATACATCTTAGTATGTTAGCATGCCTGATATTATTCTATGATGGTCAACGTCACTGCAAAGGCGTCTATGCCAGTAATCACGGCAGCCATGAAATTTTCGTTTGCTGATTGGTCCAGTGGCTTGGTGGCATGGACAGGCGGTCACAGGTGTCAAAGAGGTCGTGCATATTCAGCGAGATCGATCCGATCAATTTGTCATCTTCAACCATGTTCAAGTTCAACTTTACCGTAAGTCAATGACAGTTTGCCCATTATTGAGATACTCTCGGCTAATTTGGCATTTATTTTTGCCCCTTGTTTTATTATTTGTCAGAGCCAAGAACTCGACATTGACGAGACGGAAAATCAAAATCTTGAGACGTCGTTGAATGATTTATCCTTGGAGGAATCCTCGACTGACAAGAAAATCCCTGCCCGGGAATATGATATTTCTGTAAGTCATCATATACTATGCCTAGCGTTTTTGCAAGATACCATGAAACCATATTAAAAGAGTGTATAAAATAGAGCACAGGATTGCCGAATGTCATTCAGGGCGATGTCATTCAGCTGCCATCGCTTTCCCGACCACTTTACAAACGGATGCTGGACGATGTCAAGTTTCAAATGGCACAGCAAGATACGTTTGATGAGGACAACGATAATGCATGCTCCAAAGTCGTCTCTATGCTTAATCTAAGCGGCAACAGTGATTTGGTGCGAGGTGTATACGAAGGTAACCGGATCATTCTGTTGCGGTGTATATGCATCGATGCATAGAGCTTTAACGATCGAGCGGTATATAGGTGGTTTCAAAACATGGGAATGCTCTCTTGACCTGGTGGAATTCTTGGCCCAGTTGCCAAGTCATGAAATTTGTGACAAGAAAATTTTGGAAGTAAGCTTTTAAGAGCCCACCATGACTTTTTCGCGGATCATTAAAACCTTTGCGTTATTTCCAGTTAGGCTGTGGATCGGCTCTTCCATCGTTGTATCTGTTATCAAGGGATGAAAAGAATAGAGTGGACGTTCAGGACTATAACGAGGAAGCGATACGCTACATCACGATACCCAACATTCTCCTGAACACCGTGCTTTCGGTACAAGATTCTACCTCGACCGATCTGGTGGAGGACACGGGTGATATGGAAGATTCGGAATCATCGTCCGAGGAAGAGGAAGATGAAGATGAAGCTCCTGAGGAAAAGGATCAAATTATTGGCGAATCCAGCGAATGTGACGTGGAAGCCGAAATCAATTCTGAAAAGGTGCCTGAAATGCTTGCACGCGTAAGCGAACGCACACGTGCATTTGTAGGCGACTGGAGCAATCTACCCGTAAGCTGGGATGACCACGTCCAAACATCACCATGGGTTTTACTGAACTCTCATTACACAGACTCAACTCAATGTTCCTGAAATGGCGGATAAATACGACACCATTGTTACCTCAGAAACCATATACAACGAACATGCTCTGCCCGATCTGGTGCGCGTCTTTCAATATGCTCTGAAGAAGCCATCCGGAGTCGCGTAAGTGTCTTCCTATTTCATTCATTGTTCCTATGCATATGAACGCATGAAAGTTTTTGAAAACTAGAATCAAACTGACACTTTGGATTGTTTAGTTACGTGGCTGCCAAAACAGTTTATTTTGGTGTCGGTGGTGGTATTTTACCTTTTTGCAATCTTCTGAAATCGATGAAGGACGCCGATGGTGATAGCCTCAAGGTGGAGAAGGCGTTTGAAAGTGACAGCACCGTCAAACGAGAGATCCTCAAAGTGACATGGGATATTTAAAAGTTTCTATCATGCGTTCTGCACTGTGATTCGCTCTCGAGCAGCGTATTGGGATTCGGAATTAGCGCGAACCAACCAGCATACAATCTACATTTTTCTCATTAAATTAATTTACCATCCTCTTTTTCTTCTTTTATTCTTTTACTGATTGACAATTGTGGAGTTCCAGCGGAATAGTAGTCTGAGAAGGTCTTACTAAGCTCGCTTCAGAAAGACGGGAGACGAACCTTCGATGCTACTGATGTATGTGCCGTTCTTTGCTGGTTCATTGATCGGTCGCACATTAGGTTTCTCTACGGTTTGCCGATGCAGGGAGTTATACGCAAGTATACGCAAGTATACGGAAGGGTACGCAAGTATACGGAAGGGTACGCAAGTATACGCAAGTATACGGAAGGGTACGCAAGTATACGCAAGTATACGGAAGGGTACGCAAGTATACGGAAGGGTACGCAAGTATACGCAAGTATACGGAAGGGTACGCAAGTATACGCAAGTATACGGAAGGGTACGCAAGTATACGGAAGGGTACGCAAGTATACGGAAGGGTACGCAAGTATACGGAAGGGTACGCAAGTATACGGAAGGGTACGCAAGTATACGGAAGGGTACGCAAGTCAACGCAAGTCTACGGAGTATACGCAAGTATACGCAAGTATACGGAAGGGTACGCAAGTATACGGAAGGGTACGCAAGTCAACGCAAGTATACGGAAGGGTACGCAAGTATACGCAAGTATACGCAAGTATACGGAAGGGTACGCAAGTATACGCAAGTATACGCAAGTATACGCAAGTATACGCAAGTATACGCAAGTATACGCAAGTATACGGAAGGGTACGCAAGTATACGGAAGGGTACGCAAGTATACGGAAGGGTACGCAAGTATACGCAAGTATACGCAAGTATACGGAAGGGTACGCAAGTCAACGCAAGTCTACGGAGTATACGCAAGTATACGCAAGTATACGCAAGTATACGGAAGGGTACGCAAGTATACGCAAGTATACGGAAGGGTACGCAAGTCAACGCAAGTCTACGGAGTATACGCAAGTATACGGAAGGGTACGCAAGTATACGGAAGGGTACGCAAGTATACGCAAGTATACGGAAGGGTACGCAAGTATACGGAAGGGTACGCAAGTCTACGGAGTATACGCAAGTATACGCAAGTATACGCAAGTATACGCAAGTATACGGAAGGGTACGCAAGTATACGCAAGTATACGCAAGTATACGGAAGGGTACGCAAGTATACGCAAGTATACGGAAGGGTACGCAAGTATACGGAAGGGTACGCAAGTATACGGAAGGGTACGCAAGTATACGGAAGGGTACGCAAGTATACGGAAGGGTACGCAAGTATACGGAAGGGTACGCAAGTATACGGAAGGGTACGCAAGTCAACGCAAGTCTACGGAGTATACGCAAGTATACGCAAGTATACGGAAGGGTACGCAAGTATACGCAAGTATACGGAAGGGTACGCAAGTATACGGAAGGGTACGCAAGTATACGGAAGGGTACGCAAGTATACGCAAGTATACGCAAGTATACGGAAGGGTACGCAAGTCAACGCAAGTCTACGGAGTATACGCAAGTATACGCAAGTATACGGAAGGGTACGCAAGTATACGCAAGTCTACGGAAGGGTACGCAAGTCAACGCAAGTCTACGGAGTATACGCAAGTATACGGAAGGGTACGCAAGTATACGGAAGGGTACGCAAGTATACGCAAGTATACGGAAGGGTACGCAAGTATACGGAAGGGTACGCAAGTATACGGAAGGGTACGCAAGTCAACGCAAGTCTACGGAGTATACGCAAGTATACGCAAGTATACGGAAGGGTACGCAAGTATACGGAAGGGTACGCAAGTCAACGCAAGTATACGGAAGGGTACGCAAGTATACGGAAGGGTACGCAAGTATACGCAAGTATACGCAAGTATACGGAAGGGTACGCAAGTATACGCAAGTATACGCAAGTATACGGAAGGGTACGCAAGTATACGGAAGGGTACGCAAGTATACGGAAGGGTACGCAAGTATACGGAAGGGTACGCAAGTCAACGCAAGTCTACGGAGTATACGCAAGTATACGCAAGTATACGCAAGTATACGCAAGTATACGCAAGTATACGCAAGTATACGCAAGTATACGCAAGTATACGCAAGTATACGCAAGTATACGGAAGGGTACGCAAGTATACGGAAGGGTACGCAAGTATACGGAAGGGTACGCAAGTATACGCAAGTATACGCAAGTATACGCAAGTATACGCAAGTATACGGAAGGGTACGCAAGTCAACGCAAGTCTACGGAGTATACGCAAGTATACGGAAGGGTACGCAAGTATACGGAAGGGTACGCAAGTATACGGAAGGGTACGCAAGTATACGGAAGGGTACGCAAGTATACGGAAGGGTACGCAAGTATACGCAAGTATACGCAAGTCTACGGAAGGGTACGCAAGTCAACGCAAGTCTACGGAGTATACGCAAGTATACGGAAGGGTACGCAAGTATACGGAAGGGTACGCAAGTATACGCAAGTATACGCAAGTATACGGAAGGGTACGCAAGTATACGCAAGTATACGCAAGTATACGGAAGGGTACGCAAGTATACGCAAGTATACGCAAGTATACGGAAGGGTACGCAAGTATACGCAAGTATACGCAAGTATACGGAAGGGTACGCAAGTATACGCAAGTATACGCAAGTATACGGAAGGGTACGCAAGTCAACGCAAGTCTACGGAGTATACGCAAGTATACGGAAGGGTACGCAAGTATACGGAAGGGTACGCAAGTATACGGAAGGGTACGCAAGTATACGGAAGGGTACGCAAGTATACGGAAGGGTACGCAAGTATACGCAAGTATACGCAAGTCTACGGAAGGGTACGCAAGTCAACGCAAGTCTACGGAGTATACGCAAGTATACGGAAGGGTACGCAAGTATACGGAAGTATACGCAAGTATACGGAAGGGTACGCAAGTCAACGCAAGTCTACGGAGTATACGCAAGTATACGGAAGGGTACGCAAGTATACGGAGGGCTATGGAAGTAGGACGAGGGTGTCACTGAATAGCTTGAGAATCGACATGGGGTGCAATCAAACATATTCCGTCACAAGTCCTGTTCTTTTTGCATTTCTTCCTCTGTTTCCTGTTGACAACTTTTGATCAAGAAAGAGATCAGTAACACGGAGGCTACTTCCTCAGAGTGCCACCATGCCGCTTTAATTATCAGCAGTTATACTGATCTTGATCTTTTAGCAATCAGCTGGCGCCACTTTCTTAAACCATTACTGCTCCGACGATGCGTTGCCTTTTAACTACAAATACATGCTTCATATCTGTGAGATTTTCTTCATGGACTACAGCCGTCGCCACGAGATTACGCTGTTGCAAACCGCAAAGACTCTGAATATGATTTGTTGACCCGAAAATTGGACGGGAACTTCAGGGTTTCGTCCGATACAATTCTGCGTGGCTTCTGTCCAAGACTCTCTTATATCAGGCATGTAGCTGGACAATTTTACCTGCTTGCTTCACGTCAAATTATATACCAAGTATAACACTATTTCACAGGATATGTTCCATTGAAGGGTTCAGCTTTCTATCACTTCCTTAAAGAAGCGTCCGAGAAAGCATATCCAGTACCATGCACATGTAAAGATAGCTGGCAACCATAAATCTTTATTGTCGTAATACTCATATCTACATCATTGAGGTACGAGATTGATCCGCAGAAGAGCGTTTTGTTGGGAATCCTCGATAAACTTCTTTTTCTCCGATCCACTATCAAGTATCAATACTAAGTCTCACTAACTTTTTGACACCAGATGATTCAAGCAACAGAAGCTTCCGATCTGCTTATAGTATTGAAGCGGCCGGAATTATGGCCAGCGTTAAGTTTTGCAAGCACTGGAACCATTGGGTAAAGTGTTCTTGATTTCCTTGTAAATAATCGATTTGAGTATTAACTTTCGTATGTTAAGCAAAAAAGAGTCTAACTTCCTGCCACGTCAACCCGACATGAAAAATTGGGACCCGCGGCATATATCAATTGAAAGTAAGACCCACCAGGCTCAGTTTCACAGCAAATATCATTGGTATTGATCATGATAAGCATCGGATATCTGTTGCATGAGTACTGCCCTAAAGTAAATATATCGGCATTGACAGGACTCTGATGAATTGTCAATGCTGCAGCAAGTAACGAGAATTTGCACGATGAAACACGACAGAGACAGCATGTGTTTTCGGTGTTCAACACTGCTTACAGTAAGTGTGGTGATTCTGCATGATAAAGAAAATCGAACTAACTGGCTCGCCTACTAGGATGAAAAGATTCTTGCATGGTCGCGGCAGATGGAGTTAAAAAACAGGAAGGCCTTCAACATGGCGGCGCCGTATAATGAACTTGGAGGTGCACCCCCTGTCAGTGCTTAGCTTGAAGGATTTTCAGCGTCATCTAAAAACGCTCTCAAAGATCCACATAAGGTACATTATTATTCTCTAGCAGCTATATGTTTCTGATTTCATTGATATTAGGTTACAAGCGTTCAACTGCGGGTATAGACACAGAGAAACGCGCGCTGTGCCCACACTGCCAGTCGGAAAATGGATCCTTCCAAACAATTGGTAATCAAGGAAATCCTTTTTACTGATTTATGTCAATGAGCTGATATGTATCCCAGAATGGAACAGGGATACCAATGAGAAGGATCTACCACCCTATATCCAATCAAGTAGCCAAATCAATTTCCAAAGACCAACAGGTACAAATATGCTTGATGATGGAAAGCACCACCGACAAGCCTCTTTGTTGGAGTGCGCAAAAATTACGTGCACACGACGTAATACTAATGGATTTTCACATGCTTCTAGTGTTGGCCTTATTCAAGGTTGTCGCTATCCAGCTTTGTGTCAAGTCATGATGTGACTGGCCGCATACTTGCGTGTTCTTGCGTAGACTGGCGCAGCGCTTTTAACACACACACATACCCCTTTGGCTTCACTATGCCAACAGATACAGACACAGCAACAACCTCCTCTCATACAAACCTCTCTGACCCGCAAGCGACTTCCTTTGACAGCGATGAGGACGATGATCTTGATATATTAACTGTAGCCCTACCACTTCGCCCAGGATCTGACTTATGTAGTAAAATTTTACTGCAAGAACCATACATCAAGAATATAATTATATCCTCAGTTGTCGGCTACGGAATCACAGGCGAAGCCTACCTATGCAGCTTCACGGAACAAGCCGATGGCCGCAAGGCCGATTTCATATACTTGCCATTAGCGCATGACCTCCCACCAGTGATCGTTGAAACTCAACAAAAAGTCGGCCAAAAGTTCATATCCAGGGCAATCCGCTATTGTTTGAACGTGCTAGACAGTACGAATTCATTTCCAATACTGGTCGTGTTCAACATCGCTGGTTTTTCAAGCCGAGCGTTTCGAGACTCGCTATTTACTCAACAAGACGATCAGCCGTTTTACAGCCTCCAGTCCAAAGCGTGGGCAAAGGAGGTGCGTGTCTACAACTCCAATTCAATCGAGCAACACCTGGAATCACCAATGCAGCCACTAGTGGCTCTGTCATACTTCTGCTCAAATCAAGGAAAAAGCATTATTGCTTTGGACAAGTACATGGATCCTGTCCTTCAATCGATATACGAGGTGGCTTTCCGGGCTTTGTCGGTTGGTAAAGACAAACAAATGGCCAAGGATACAGCCATAACGAATTTCTGTGATGCGATGATCCGTCAATTCAACAAAATCGCGAGGAGCAACCAAGATAGCTCAACGACTGTTAAACGCCAAATTGACGAATACGCAGAAGATGGTGCGCATTTCGCCGACATGTTTAAACGCCGACATGTCTCATCGGAACCACGGCCTGTCACCCCAATCACCATGGAAGCAAACGAAGCGCCAAGCGCTGATTTGAATTATGTCGACAATTATCGCCGCGAAGCGACTGGCAGGTTTACTTGGGTTGATTGCTACGATGAAGGTGTTGCCAATGGTCATTTTTCCAGATACAGCAGTCATTTGACGCTGAAGAAGGCTTTCCACCAACAAACCTTGTAAAAAGAATTCACGATATGCTGTACAAAATTTCTATTATGAAATATTATCGGGCGAAAGGAGGCAATGAAGAGCTTGTCATATGATGATCTGGCAAAAATACCTGCGCTGATGAAAATGGTGCCATGCAACTCTATAATACGATTTGTCGCGCAAACAGAAGCCAATCAAGACGTACAGTATGGTAGAATAGTTGTGAGAAAACCTATACGTTTATTTGTACTGTAAATGCAATCACTTAATAATTGAATTTCTGGAAGGGACTTGCACGCAGAATCAATCTGTGCGATGGTTGTCACGTCAAAGTCTTTTGACTGCGCCTCATTTTGTGACATGATACGAAGAATAACAAGTCATGTTATGTCGGAAGATATCGAAACGGCATACAGTACCCCAATCTTAGGCGATATATTCTATTCTTAGACACTTAGTAGTGTGTCCATGCGAACCGAATCTACAGCTTAAAGATTTATTGCGACGACAACTATCCTAATGCGCCACCCATGGTGCTATAGACGTTCGTATTTACCGTACATTCTGAGCTTATTAAGCCAATGGCTTGTAACTAGGAGCAGACGCTTTCTTTTTTCGAATTACACAGCTGCAGCTTATTCAGAAATACCAATGCTGATGGTCTGCTATCTGCAGTTTCACTCTGGGTCCGAGGATTGGAACTCTTCCTGCTATTCTTCCTTGTAAGTCTAACCATCGATTTGTAAACCATAATCACAAAATGCAGTCATGATGGCGGGTGGGGTTGTGGGAAGTTCGGATATTCATGCTATCTTGGTCCAAGTGGTGAATGACACTCGACGAGCTGAATGAAAGGCCCCTTACAAATTAAGTATTTGCTGCCGTGTTTAACGCTGAATACTCAATGAGCCCCGAAGTCATGCAGTCAGCCCCTGCTTTTTTCAACCTCGATTTTTTCCCTCTGGATCGAGGATGATCCGCTTCTAAGCACTGCAGAATTTTTGAAGAAATCATCATACTTTATTGTATTTTCTTATGTATGTCTAATCTAGCCTGGGTCTACATATTTTAAAGTAGCCTCCCAGAAATCTTCTTTGTGAAGGTTGTCCACCTCACCACAAAGTTGACTGTTTGGTCATTGAAAAGGTTTTGGAGCATTGGTCCAATCATATGTGTCCATTTATCTTCCCCGAAGTTCTCAAATGTTCATCATCAGCAAATCCGCCTTCGAAAAAATCGGGGGCTAACTGTATACAATCCGCTTTCGAAGAATCCTACGCGGCCTTGTGTTGGATTTAGGAGATAGATACCATGAAATCTTGATATCCATTCCACTCAATTGGGTATTGCAGGTGAATCGGCATATGGCAACTTTGTAACTGCTCTTTCTGTAAGCCTTCATACTCTTCTTTTTTTCCCTGCTCCGCCACAACGGCCGTCTCACATCAATTTTTTTAACACGCCCTTATATCACCCCGACTCTAAGACGAACTTCAAAAAACTTGGAATTTTTTTCCCTGATTGATGCTCTTCAAATTTCAGAATTTCTGCACTTGGGTAGAATCTTGCAATAATAACAAATAATAACAAGATATCGCGCACACATGCCGCCTAACTCAAACGTGCATAGACAACGTCGATAATGAACGTGGAGCAGTAAAAGAAAGATTAAGGTGCGAAAAAACCATATCAATTTCAGCCGTCTCATGAAGTGAAAGTTCGTCTTAGAGAGGGGTTGATGTGAGTAATCCGTCCAAGCCAGCCTAGGATGAAGAGTCTGAGTCTGCAATTAACATCGTACAACCTTCGAAAATATTTTCGCTCGAGTTACTAAGCTTCGTCACCTTATTCTTGTATGGTCTTTAAAAAATATTCTTAAAAAATGTACAACGAAAATTACAAACACAATGTGAAGCAAAACATGATACATTTGACATGTTTGTTATGAAACAGAGACAAGTCGTTGTTGTGTCATGAGAGATCATTCTGCCAACACAATGCAACCCCGATGATGCAATGTTGTCGTGAAGTAAACAACTGCAGACCAGTTGGATCCGCTCGCACGGATACCTATCTTAAAATCAAATAGTTTTACGGAAAAGAAAAAGAAAATACGCTTCCCAAACCTCTGGCGCCATAACTCCGATCGCTCAAACTTTTTGAAGGAAAACCCACCGTGGCTGCTGTGACTGCGTGTCACTAGATAATGTAGAGGAGATAATTTGAGTCGAGAACCGCAGAGTGAGTAACATAGTCTTTTTTTTGGTCAACCAGAATGGCAACATCCGCGAAATGGTAATTTTAAAACTCCGTATTTTTGAAATCTCGAAATAACTGGTTCGCGTACAAGAAGAAAAAAAAAATTGAATTTTTTATATATAAAAAAACAAAAGATGGAAGGTACTTGTGAACAATTTTTCTATAAAATAAAGAGATCGATAATTTTTAATTTTATGATAGAGAATGATATCAAATCTTTAAATGTTGATTATGAAAAAGAAGATAATAAATTCAATATTAGTTTTTGTAAAGACGGTCAGAAATTTGAAGATCAATATGTAATTCCAAGACGAAGAAATAAAAGAATAAAAGATCGATCAAATAATATACCTACACCTACAACGACAGACAATGAATAAGTGATAATGAAATAAACAATGTAAATGATAACAATATGAGGAACAATTTAAATATAAACGATGATACTAAAAATTCTATTGATCCTGGCACTGATAACGGACAAAATAATGAACAAAATGAACATTTTAGAAGTAAAAGAAACTTAACACAGCCTAATACACCTGATTTAAATAAAAAAAATATAAAGTTGATATATGTACTGCTACTATGGATAAAGATATAATTGATCACCTTAGAGGTTGGGAAAAATATGAGAATGATGATGATGATGATGATGATGATGATAGCAATAATGAATATAAAAAAGATGAATTTTGTTTGAAATTACTATATAATTTATTAATGTATGAAAAGAAACTTTTTACAGAAAACAACATAGCTAAACTTCAAAAAGTAGAAATAATATTTGATAGAATAAAAGCTATTTTTATTGATTCGGGGTTTTCGTTTGATATAAATTATGATGTACGATGACAGTTTTAACATCTCAAATAAATGATCACCATATCTTTTTCTAAAAGCTAATTCTAAAAAGTACAAGGCATACAATTCAGAGTTTTTTCTGATATTAGGTATATATTTCCTTAAATGCATCCAAAATCCTTCGATCGTATTTGTGTGTATTGTAGGGTTTTCTGCATCAACAAAATATTTTGAATGATCGACTGAGTGGTGGTGGTATCCCATCGTTTTTAAGTTGGTATAAGACTTCATTTTGTCAGTTATAATAGTTGTTTCTGGGTGAACGTATTGTTGAATTATTGGTAACAGCGTTTTTGCTCGTCGATCAGGAACAGGTATAAGGAAAAATAGATTTGATTTCCTTTGGTGACCACCAAGTATCCATATATGTTTCTTGTATCTTTTATGGCTTGCAGTACTGATCTTTGTTCTTCCCATACAGCATTCATCAATCTCGACAATTTCGTCTTTTCCACCGATTTTGTTTTTCCAGATATCTGTGTTGTCTATATCCATAGTCTTATCGTGTTTTTAATCTTCGTATATAATCTTGTAACTGTATCTTCATCGATCCCCATTTGTTTTGATACTTTTGTAGGAGATGGATCTAGAGAAGATAAATCAGATTTATGACATAATATGTATAATGGAATATACAAACCGATTATCCATTGTCGTAAAAGCTCCACAATTTGAATAGGCCTTAAATTTGATTTTTCAAATAATGTCTCAGAATAGATCCCTTTCCTGACATTATCTGTATAACAGAAGTATCTGTGTCGTTCATAATATTTTCCAATAGATAATTGTTTTTTACAAATTAGGCACATAAACTGCTTGATAATATAATGATTTTGTAGATAAATAATAGCTTGTTCATCGTTATATAATGTTCTATAGAGTGCCTCATTTGATTTGAACATTTTTTGAAAGAAACAGGATGAAAAAGGGTTACCGAAATTGCCTGTTTGTAAACATGCGGAGTTTAAACTATAGTTTTGCGTAACTTACCAATACACGGTTCTTGCCCTCGAAGCTGCAACGGCGGGTGAGGCATCCAAATGGTGCCAGATATTCGCAAACTGATGCGCAAGGGCCAGGGTCAACTTTCAATGCTGCCAGTGAGAGCGAGCTGTGGAGCAGCTATCACGACTCATTATTATCAAACCTGATTTCGGATCTGGACAGGCGGGTCCATTTACGTTGGACGAATTCTGTGCCCACTGGGCGGCAAGTCGCGTCCAGATGCCATCCTTCGGAAAAGCGACAGTTACACTTTGAGGCCAGTATTGATCATGGTGAAGCCAAGAAGTTTCTGGGAAGCACGAATAACTATCGTTTGTGCATGGACACATTGCGGCTAATAAGTGTTCAACAAGAATACTATTGACGTGAACTCGTTGGATGCTGCAATTGCTTTACAAATCCATGGTAAGGCTAAATCGTTTAGCAAAACAAGCAGTGTACATACAGTAACATGACATGTCTTCTATAGGCTCCTCACCCGACTTATAGCCAGCGGCACATAAGTACATTATGAGATTGCGCGTTTCCGCTTGCCACATCGTTAGAAGACCTTCACACGTTTGTGACACTCAAGAAATTGAAGCTGTTTCTAGCAGCGCTGTTAGGCGTATATGCAAGCGATCTGTGGACGGTCACAATCCAAGTTGGTACCCCGAGACATTGCCTGAGACTACAAGACCTCGTAGAAAAGACAAGGATCAGACAACGATTTGTGTCATGAATTTTGGGCAATGATTGCTACTAGTTTTTTCTTTTTTTTAAAAAAAAATAAAATAAATACATGTAAATATCCTTTGTGAGTCAGGAAAGGTGCAGTTGGTGTGAATGAATGATAAGAAAAGAAGGCGCTTTGTGGCCAAACTGCACAATAACTCGAGAGAAAATAGGAATACAGCTCCTGCAAAAAAATTGATTGAGCTTAATAACTTATGACAGATGCACCTGGATTCATTATTCCGTCGTACTTGGGAGGTTAGATAAAAATTTGTAGAATTGTCATAAATACCGGTCGCGTCCTTCTTGGGCTGGCGTCGGTAAATCATTGGGTGTATGGGTCTTGCGGTTCGCGACTCTTAAGGAACCAAAGAAAACTCTTTTTGCAGCCGGGTTTCAAAACATCGACATGCTATGTTTTTGCAGGAAAAATAAAAGTCGTCTAACTAATGGGAAAGAATAGCAATATTCTAGTGGCTGCTTATATCGCGAATGACCGGTCGTTGGGATATTACTGGCAATGCCGAAGCACTGTCAGTTCGCTATTTTGTTCCATTCATGCCGACTGTGTAAATTAAGTAATTGGTTGTTCTGGCGCTTTTCGTACACTACGCCAATGCTGAAAACGAAATATCATGACCAGTGAGAGGAATCTTCATGGAGGCAACATTTTTCGTGACTTGAAAAAAAAAGCGTATTTTTTCGAGCAAGCGCATTAATCATTCGCCCGGAAATGCATGTGGTTGATGGATTATTTGTGAGACATCATTCTGTTGTTTTGCTTGCCGGATATCGTCATAGCCGCGTTGGTAATATTTTACTACAAATCTCATGTCAGAACTCTTGAGATTTTGTCTTAGATAGAAAGGGGACATGAAAGATTATGTCATACAGAAGCCAGGCTTTTTTTTTTTCAAGTCTCTTGCGAGAGATGAGTTACTGATAACAGAAAGACGGCGACACTGTATCATCCGCTAAACTATATGATATGATATGATATGATATCATAATCTTATATTGTAGTCAGGGAGGTTTACGCTCATAATACGAGATGATGCGTGTAATCATACCAAGTTATCCTACCATGTTAATTTTGTAATCATGAATACAGTATACGGGTGGGAGCAATTTCTGTTCTACGCATAGTAGCTGATGATACAACTCCCCTCGAGAAGGGGAAGGTGTCCTTATTCACTAGCTTTTGGCGCCTCCTTCTTATTTCAATGCTGTTTCCCCCCTTTTTTTATCCGTCCGCTTGATGGATCAAGAGGAAACGCAGTAAAACCTTTCCATGGCATGTGGGAAAATCAACCTGATGCTCCCCATGTGTTATTTGACATTTCTTCCTCCTCTATCTGTTGTTGTGTTTCATCTTAATCTCATTTGACCAACAAACCGGAAGAAGAGATATAAAAAAAGCCAGACGTTATAAACGTGGGATGGTTCACGCTGCATCTTCAGAAGAAAACAACTGCACGAATTTTTTTTTTATTCGTCTTTATCATAGTGAACAAAAAGGTGTATGCAACAAACGCATTTTAGATTTGTCATGGAACAAATTTATAGTACAGATAGATGATGTAACAGGGATGCTATGACAAAAGATTAGAGATAAAAGAACAATGATTCTTTTTTAAGGACGTGGTGACGGTAACCAAGACTGGCGTGATGATGAATGGTGGTTGGACGGATAAGGCTCATAGGACATGCGTTCGGTATAAGTGGTGGAAGCAGCCAATGGAGTCACAAAGGGTGATGCAGGAGCCATGCACTCTAGCCATCCCTCGGCTCCTGGAGCAGGAGTGTATCCTTTGTCCAGCGGACTGTAATAGTTTGGAGACATGGGATAGTTATCATAGAGCTCGAGTTTCTCGGTTTGCGGCGACATGGGTGATTGTGGTTGATAACCACGGTATTTCTCGGCATGATCATATTGCGTATTGTTACTCTGGATCATGGTGCCGTGACTTTCAAGTGAAATTTTGGAGTGAAGATAATACTGATCGTACGGTTGCCGAAGCAGAGATGAACGGTAGGTAAGCGCGTAATCTTTGTGAGACGCAGGATAATTGGGCGCGGGAACCAAGGGCATGTCAGATGGCAACGAAGCAGGTGAGTAAATGAAGTCGGGGATATGTCTGCCCCACGTCGGTTCGACGGTTGGTAATTGTCCTTTGACGGGTTGCGGCGGTCGCTGACAAAAGGCCACCAATGCCAAAGCGGCCCATAATGCGCAAGCTAACGTGGCTGCAATCCATGTTGCGTCGCTTAATAAACATCTGATAGGAGATGGTATATAATGTTATTATCGTGGTTGCAAAGCGATCCTCCGAAGAGAAAAAAAAGTTTTTGCTTCTTAATTTTCTCCTCTTACCTGTTATAGAGAAGCGGATAGGAGACGTCCTTACGCGCATCTAACGTCAAGCAGTAGGTGATGATACTGGTAATGGGTCGTTTGATTTGTGCGTCTCCGTTGTTTGTCCATGGTTCGGTAGTATCTGCTAAAGATTCGGTCAACAAGGAGGTAAAGAGTGGCAGCGTATTGAGTATGCCCAAGAATCGGTCACATCGCGCTTTGGGATCATGAGTCCAGCAAGCCCCGACACATACAATGGCCGCGCACAGCGTCGACAATGCAAACGACATGTACCAAGCCAAGTACTAAAAATCATTAAATAGGGCGCGTTTAGTAAGTAAGATCGCCCTTTTCCAAAGCTGTCCATGCTTCAACGCATCTCGTTGAGGTTTAAGCAAAGATCGCGATATTTGCTTTTTTACGTTACCTGCCAGTGTCCCGCTTGCAACCAATCGGTCAAGTGAGCCTAATCATAACAGAATGCATTGAATACCCTATAGAAACATAAAAAAGATGAGAATAATTGATTTACCTCTTTCTGATAGTTTGACAACATGATGCATTGTATCATATGACAACATAACCCGATAATGCTGACCGTTAATACCAGGGTGCGAATAACATTAAGTAATAATAAACAGGCCATGATGGATTCAATGGCTATATGGATTAAAGGTAGCAGAATATATAAAGAAAAGGGTAAAAAGATGCTCAACACCTTATTAGTTGGATGAAAATAAAAAATTGGACAAAACCTAGAAAACCTCTTCAAACAGAAAAGGATGACAGATTCTATTTTATAGTCCAGATAAGATTATCCCTTTGGCTGCAGTGTTCACCATGGCACCCCAGGGGTTCTTGCTGATCTCTGTTTTTTTTCCTTCTCATATTTGTAACGCATCCCCCTTTTCTTTTTCCCAAAAAGCGGTCAAGTCTGATTTGATGACAAACAATGGCGCCATAAACATGCGATTTGACATATTGCATATTGTTCACAGTATCGTGTTGATGACGGGGATATTGCAGCATCGCATTCACATCCAAAATAATATGTTACGTAGAATCATAATGGAGGATAAAGGAAGTGATACTGTAGCTAAGCAGCCAATAAATTGACGAATGGCATCGGATGGGGTTGAGAGTTTACTAAACGTTAATTCTATCAGCTCCTTGAAGTTTGAACGTGGATACCGTACACTAAGCTGTATTCTGACGTTGTTCCATCCAAGAATTACCTTAATTTCTGTCATACAGCACAGTAACTGTGGCATTGAAGCATCCCTCAGTGTTCTACTGTATTCTGCAAGTGAATAAATTTCAGCGTTCAACTCCATACAGTATTTGCTCATACATGCGAACTTCTCCCTTTTCTCTTTTCCTTGTGGGCGACGAAATTAGTTTTTCCGATCCATCGTGCGCTCTACACATTGCAGACGCATGAATGGTTCAATTAATAATGTATTACTGACTATGGATAATCTAATAGAGCTGAAATAATGGGATATGCAGGCATTGAGGATGAGAAATAAGAGATAGAAAAAAAAATACGAAGACAAGAAAATCCAAGCGTATCATATACAGTACGGAAATTATAAGCATGGCCAATTGTGCTGTGGATGGTATAGATGTTTGATTCGGATCAACAGTTCAAAATTCACGCTCCTACAACTCTTCTGACTCGACCACAAGCCCACATTCAGTGCATGTTTGGGTGGTGATGCCATCTTCTGCTTCGACAGAAGGTCCAAAAGTGTGTTTGTGTGGACCCTCTTGCCGTTTGCGTTCCCACGTACTGGTCATTGTTCTTCGACGCAGATCTATTTTGATCGACAAGTCAGTTTTGCCTCGTTTCAAGTTTTGAAATAATGCCCATGGGACTGACCTGCCAATTTCTCTTTGAATTTCTTGTCCTTTTTCTCTTTCTTTTGAGCCATACGACGTTCATACTCGGCATCCAATCCTTCAGCACCGCCCCATTTCTTAAATGCATACTCTTCCACCTGAATGGATCATCAATATCATCATCATGCAAACTCTCCATGGAACCATTGATTTGATCGCTTACCATTTCACGCACATACAACATCATGTTGTTCCATGTCGATTTTCTGGGATTCGGTTTCAACCAGTACGGCAGCAGCTCTTTATCTCGCAATTCAGCTATACAAGAATGCGTCATTGAGCCATTGCCTTTCGCAGAAAGCAGACAATATATATGTATACTTACGATCCGTTAACAGATAATCCTACGGTCGGAAACAGGCGTGAGTTAGAAATACAAATCCACAGAGAAAGTGTTAGGTAGGCCATTGTGGTTACCTCTTTCGCTTCCGTCTTGGTGATTAAACTGTATCTTTCTGGAAACTTTTCCTTGCAGGTTGGACAAACAGAAATGTGAAAGATCTGGTAAAAGATGGGATCGACGTCCATGCTGCCGCAATCTCGACATTTCGGATTTTCCGATGGATCCATTGATCGTACTATCCAAAAAAGTATCAATAACCGTGCACCATTTATGCATGTCAGAAAACGAACACATACAGAGAAACGGCTCGTACTGCGTTAACTCTTGTCGCTTCTTCTCCTGTTCTTCCTCAGCAGCCTTGTCGAGAATGAATCCACCCTTGGTATCGACCATGGTACTCAGATCATATTCATAAAACGGGGTAGCCCAGCGTGATCGTTTGGACTTTGGCGACTCCTGCTTGTCAGCAGCGGCATCGCCCTCGGCTTTCCGTTTCTGCAGCTTTTCCAAGGCTTTCGCCTTATTTTCTTGGATGCGCTGACGTTGTTCTTCCGTTAATTGAGTTTGACTGGACGATGCCATGTTACCGCAGCAGACGGAGATCACAGAAAAGAAAAACGACAATAAAAAAAATGACATCGAAATTGGGCACAGGCTGAATTTATTGAAATCCCGATCATGGAACGAGAACAAAAAATAAGAAGAGAAGAGATGCTTAAACTCTGCTAGCTTCACGGAAGTAGTCGTTAAGCTTGCCCTTGTTGGGGACGAACTTGACGTAGCAACCATCGGGGCGGAGCTTGCCTTCGGAACGAGCAACGATGTAGTCTTCGCGAGAGAGAGGAGTGAAACCCCACTTCTTGGAGACAATGATCTTTTGCTGACCAGGGAACTTGTACTTGCAGCGTCTCAAGGCTTCAATGACAACGGCCTTGTTGGAATCCTTGGTACGGACGGAGAAAATGATCTGGCCAATGTTGACACGGGCAACGAGACCGTTGGGCTTGCCGAAAGCACCACGCATACCGGTTTGCAATCTATCGGCACCAGCGCACGACAACATCTTGTTGATACGGGTGACGTGGAAGGGATGGACACGGATACGCATGTGGAAAGAGTCCTTGCCGGAAGTCTTGGTGATGTACTTGTTACAACAGATACGACCAGCTTCAAGAGCTTCAGCCGACAATTGTTCGTACTCGTTGGACACCAAGTGGACGCAAAGAGGGAAGTCGTCGACGTGCGCCTTCTTGCGACCCAAATCGTAGATTCTGATCTTGGCATCGGGGACACCACGGCAGTATCTAGACTTGGGGTAAGGCTTGTTCTTACAGTAACGGTAGCAACGAGCAGGACGGCGACCCATTTTGAACTACAATATCAAATACAAGTTAAAACTCAACGTTCTATGACAAAGAAAAAAAAGCTCCATTGCTCCGTTGTTAGAAAAGCTTCCAAAATTCGTCAAGTAGAAACACAATGCTGCGAGTAAACAGTTGATGGAGTGACGAGAAAAACATTCGCTCATGGTGAAGTCTTTGGGAAATGGCCATTGAACCCACAAAAGGAGCATTTAAATAGCACGGTTAATGCCGACGATTTGGATGCTTTTCGTCCATCCATCCTAAACTTGCGTAATTCATCGAGCTAACATGCAAGAGCAACAAACATACAATGGAGCGATGGATGGGGGTGGAGTATATGATGCCTACCTTTCGTTAAAGGATGAGAGGAAGTGTCAGAGGTCCAGCAGATGGTTGGGAATGCCAACTGGATGTGACGGACCTGCCGCGGGTCAATTCGCACGTCACATTTCTGTCGGATTTATCGAACCATTCCGGCCAACCGAGTCCGGAGTGGTTCGGGATCATGGTTGAAGCGGGCAGAAACCCTCCAACAGCCAAATAAGCCTGTCTGGCAAAAACTTGATCACCCTCTTTCATCACCGCGTTGTAAGTACCAGAGAGGGCTAGCGATGGAAAAAGGTGGCGAGAAGGCACCCAAAGCGAAAGATAGATCAACCGATTATGGATGATGGGAGATCAACTTGAAACGACGGATGGATCCATAGGTGATTAGAGATGGATAATTCACTGGGATGCCATTCTTTCCACTTTTTGACCGATATCGCGTGAAGAAGAGAAGAAAAAAATGCCCTATTCATAATGATGCAGAACAACATTTGAACAGTCCAAAACTGAACGTCTATATTTTTTTTATCTTCACATTTACAGAAGGCACATCAACATGCTTGTTTCGAAGCAAAACAGAAAGGCTATCTACGAGGCTCTCTTCAAGGGTACGTCAACACACCGTGAATTTGCTTCATCGGAACATCGTCCATTAACTTACTTCAAATAGACGGTGCTTTGGTCGCTGCCAAGGATTTCAATGCTCCCAAGCACTCCGAAATCGATGTGCCCAACCTCGAAGTCATCAAGATTATGCAGTCTTTGACCTCCAAGGGCTACGTCAAGACCCAGTTCTCTTGGCAATACTACTACTATACTCTCACCAACGAGGGTATTGACTATCTCCGTGAATGTAAGTTGAGGTCTACATGTCATTCGTTGGCATACTTGGAAGGAAAAGAGAGAAGAAAAGAGTACGATGCTAATGGATGACCCATGGACGATAATTAGATCTTCACTTGCCCACCGAGATTGTTCCTGCTACCTTGAAGAAGGCTGCCCGCCCCGCTGCTCCTCGTCGTGCCTTCGGTGAAGGTCGTGAGGGTGGTCGTGGTCCTCGCGGTGACCGCGATGACTACAGACGCAAGGAGGGTGCCTCGGGCGACTTCAAGCCTGAGTTCCGTGGCGGTTTCGGTAAGTTTTATCATGGTCATTGGCCGAAGAAAAAATTAGGGTATTAATGTCGATTTTTTTTTTTTGTTTTTCATTATAGGTCGCAACCGTCAGTAGATTATTGAACTTGCTTTTGGAAATAAAGTAAAAAATATCGTACCCTATATGCTATAGAAGTTTGTGCTTTTTATGTTTTATGATGATGACATGGTCTTTAAACCAAGCAAAAAACTATTTTGTGTGGAGGCTACTATGACGTTGTCATTGATGGACGAGCACACTGCCCGAGCCATGAGAGTAGTTTATGCAATTAAGGATAGGGCGTGAAATGTAGGCCAAGGACGAGACTGGAGGCCAAGGAGCGACATAGAGAATTACGGTAGAAAATGTCTTTTTACTGTATGCCGTATTCTCAGAAACGGATTACTGGCAGACGTGCATTGGAAATAAGCACTTATTTACCATATGCTCTGTATTGTACCGCACTATGCACTGCGGTGCCTAGTTATCATGGAACTGATAATGATAAGCTGAAGCATGCGGATCGAACTCGCTGCTGTCTTTCGTGGTTAAAGGAGTATATGACATAATGACAGAACCTTTTATAGCTGCATCGTACGGGAAAGCTCTGCTCGTCTAGGGTATTTAATCCAACTTTGACAGCGTCTCCCACAATTCCAAACCTTGACATCGATTCAGTTGATTGGATGCATTCAAAGAAGCTTTGCAATTGGCGGTTGTGACTGGTCTTCAATAAGTTTGATTCGACTTTTTTTTTTTCTCTTGCCATTTTCGCCCTTCGAATAAGTTGCTTGCTCGAATCCAACAGCAGCACGCGTTTTGTCAATTACCGTCCATGAGCCTTCGAATTCCATTCACAAAAATCGTTCACAGTCCCGTCAAGCCCGAGTTGGTGCTGGCGAACGGCACGGATTTCCTTGTTATTAACAGCAGGTTGGTGGGACAGAACAACAATATCACCTGAATCTCCATAATCGACCTCGACGCTTATTCCTTGATAGTACCGGTGAAGCTGTCAAATCATACCCAAAGGACACTGATCGCAAGCAAACATACTCGGAATTGCACCGTAGTGTGGCCTTCTCCAACGATGGATCGCTGCTCGCAACCAGTGGTGAAGATAAGATCATCCGCGTCTTTGATACCAAGGACTGGTCGTCAAAGTTGACGAGGTATGCTGAACTCCACAAATACGCCAGCATCTATATTTGTGTTGCAAATACTGATTGCCTTTGTAGAAACGCTCACAAGCGTGCCAATGCAATTCGCTTTGATAAAGCCGCAAGTCAAATTTTGGTGGCTGACAAGTTCGGTGATGTCTACAGGTAGGTTAGCAGAGAGCAGTTTGTGAAATCATGGAGTCTGTGTTTCCCGGATCATTTTATTAAGTCCATTTAACATCATAGCCATCCCGTGGCGCCGAGTACCTCTGAAGAGGAGAAGCAAATGAAGCCGTTAGTCGGCCATGTATCGATGGTGACGGATATGGTAATTTGCGAGTAGAACGATGTGCTCAAATGGACAGCTTCATTCAAATTGTTGAATCTATAGATTCTCTGCAATAACGAAAAGTATATTGTGACTAGCGATCGTGATGAACACATCCGTGTCAGCCGATTCCCGAACGGTTACACAATTGAATCTTTCTGCCTTGGACACACAGAGTAAGTGGCGCACGTTCATACCATTGTTGCAGCAATGACTCATTTTTGTTCTTGTTACTGCGATTAGTGTAGTGACAGCGGTTCGCCAATTGCCATGGTCAGAAGAGATGCTGATATCCGCAGGTGGTGACTCGACAATCCGTTTGTGGGAATTCTTGAAAGGCACTGAAGTTCAATGTCTTGATATCAAGGAGATTATTCAAAAGTACACGCCTGCCGTAAGTGATCTGCATGTTACGCTTTTGGTATTCGCTTGTAGTAACCATGTCATGCTATTTCTTACTTAGGCTGCGGATGCCAACTCTGTGGAACCCATGGTCAGCGCAGTTGAATTAAATCCTGCATCCAAGGTTGTTGCTATTGCATTTGCAAAGTAAGTTGCTTAGAGAATTACGAATTCGGGTTGGCTAAATTCTTGTATGTGATCCACAGGACCCCTGCTGTACTGCTGTTGAAGTGGAATGATGACGAGAAAAAATTGGCGGTGGATACTGTGCTTGAGACTGAGAATCCCGTACTCGACATTTGCTTTGATAATGAAAGCAAAATGTGGGCTACTTTGGCTGCTGCACAAGAAAAGGACGATCTTCTTGCTGTATTTAGCCCGTCCGAGGGATCTGTAAGTACAATGTGGAATTAGGCCCTGAAAAAGAGTTCTTATCATGGAACTAACCATCGCATCTGTCAGTTTAAGCGCCTTGGTGCCGATGACGCTGTCGTGAAACAGTCGAATGCCATTGAGACCGGTTTGGTGGAGACCATGCCCGACTTGTACACCATCTTTGGTCTTCGAAAATTCCTTGATCTCGATCAACCTGACGATAATGATAGACCGGCGTCCAAGAACAAGAAGCGAAAAGTCCCCATCTGTTAAATTGCTTGCATGGTAGAAAATAAGTTGCATACGAAATGAAACAAGGGACTTTTTTACTGTCACGGTGCTTTCATGTATAAACTGTTACAACGGTAAACTTGCAATAATAGATAGATGTCTCGCATATCAAGCATAGAAGCGGCCACTCGATAAAAGCAAAACCCCGAATCATAAAATATACTGCCTAAACCGAATCAATTTGGTGGATTGTATTAAGGGATCGTCTTTGGTCCCTTGCAACATTCTGTTGTCTGTCGCCATTGCAACATGGCGCACTGAGACTGACACCCTCATCTCCTGGAGTAATATGCGAGCATTTATTGTGATAGCATTATTGGTCGATTGTCTCAGATGAAAGTGGCAAGACAAGGCACGGTTAACTCACTATCAAGAGAGGTGAAAGAAAATACGCCAATTTGCAAAGCACGTCAGCTATGCCTTACATGCAATCTCATATACCGTGTGTAAATCTTGAGCGTGAGACATGCACCTACCTAGACTGTATTATGCAGAGTAGAGTATACACGATTTGATGTCGGATGCTGTCTTTTTTATTATAGGCCAAGCAAAATCAGTCAAGTGAGCAGTAAGAAAGCAGGATGAAATTAGATTGCAGTGGGATAAAATAAAAAGAGATAAAAAGAGAATGACGGTGGTGGTTTTAGATGTGGGAATAAAAAGAAATGGGTCCTTTGCAGGAGGATCTATAGAAAGTTGGGGGGTGGGGAAGATTCTTGGGTGGTTATTGGTATTTATTTAGGACTCTCGGGGGAATGGTGAGAGCCATTGCTGAGTCGCATAAGGGTCAGCTCGCGTTGATGGGCAATGTCCACGGCGGTGGCAGTGGGTATCTCGATTTCTACCGCATCGGCATCAGTAGTACGTGGACGTGAATCAGGCGCGGTATCGGTGGAAAGACGGGCCAGGCCGTTGAGTAAACTGCCCATGGTCGTATCACTGCGACGGTTGCCAAAGAAGAAAGACTTGCGAACGGGCGAAGATGATAGCTGGACAGGAGATTTCGATGGCATTTCGGTGCTGATACGATCCATCAGTTGCGAAGTCAGCGAGATACCGCGGAATACCGAACTGCGTCGATGAGGATGATAACTACCACCGTCAGTAGCAAAGCCGTGCCAATGATCGGGGGAGCTGGACAGCTGGTTTAAAAAATTGGACCGCGCTCGATCACCTAAAGAAGACGCGTTTGGAGAAGATCGGAGAAACGGTTCTATATCACCATGACCAAAGGAAGATCGTGGTGGATTGTTTGTATCCAGTGGCATTAAACGCTGCAATGTCTGTGCATTATTGCCTATTTCCAGATCGGCATGCTCAGCTTCGTCATTGGTAAAACTAGTCACAGGGCGATCGGTGGGTTCCATGGCGAGCTCAAGGCGATTATTCCGTTTCGATGTAATCAAGTAAACACCGAGAAACTCGACAGCACAACCTGTCATGAATCTGTCATCCCCGCAAACATTATCACACGATGAGCACACACCTCGTCATTATCTGAGGGAAACAAGCTTCGAAAAAGTGACTTACCGCGACATTTGTTCCATACTCATATTATCGAAATCGTGATAGAGCGCAGCACTACCGACAATCGCGGAAATGGTGAAAAGGACAAACTGGGTAGGAATCACTTCGGTAGAGTCAAATCGTTGCAGTGCCTTGTTGAGGTACTTGATTTGCAAAATGGCGGTAGCGACGAGAACGATGATTAAGACGTAGGATACAGGATATCTGCCAGAGGGTGTGAGGGTCTTGCGCCTCTCATTATCAGCAATTATACGTACGCAAACATCTTGAATAAAGTCATGCTAAGCAACGAGGCCAAACTCTTGGTACAAATGACGGTGTATCCGCCTAAAAGAAAACAAGCAACATGATTCATATACCTCCTCTCTCGGATCCAAAAAAAAAACATCAGTCTTCATACCATAAATGGCTACCAGTCCCAGATCGATCATGATGCTGGATTTGCCGTACAATGGAGAAGCAATTGTTAACGTTACAATGGCCACGCCTGAAATAATAAAGTATATGATGGATCGTGTCTCTGTCAATGTTTCCATAATAAGCTCGGGAGAAAGCTGAAGAAAAAACAGAGAGAATTAAACGATTGTTCGGAAAGAGGGACGCGCCTCAGCAGGATACAAAGCATGATCAATGCCACTTACGGTAACTTGATCCTCATTGGAACTCAATACAACCATTCCCGCCCCGAGAACCGCAAGGCACACACCGAGAAGATCGCGTTTACGAAATACTTCTTTCAAAATGAGGGGCGCTAATATCACATTGGAGACCAAAGTGGTGGTTCCCAAAGGTGCAATAGTAGAGGCCGGTGCAAAACCATAGGCTAAAATCGGAGACCAAGTTCCCAACAATAACGGGAAAAAAAAGTGGTTTGGTTAGCTCTTTTGAAATTCGTGTCACCATGAAATGCATCGAGTTGCTTACCGACAAAATTGCCTACTTCGCCGAGGACCATGAGAGAGATACCAAGCCACCACAGCTTGGACTTGAGGTAATCGGATTCATTGTGCTGGGCTTGTTCCTGAGCCATGGCCATGATGAATTTACGATGCTCCATTTCTTCTTCTTGTGTTCGGTAATCCTCGGATGTTCTTGGTGACGAATAACCATCGTCCGGGAAAAAGTGGTTTCCGAAAACGTGGTGAGAAGTGGATATCCAGGGCGGTGAATCCTCGGTATTGGCAAAGTAATTGACCAGTTGTTGTTTTTGAATTTGATTATGCTGTGTGCAAAAAAAACGAAAAAGTAACTTGTGAGCAATCAACTAATGATGTTTGCATCGATCGTTTTCTTTTAAGCGGGTTATTTTCTCTTACAGCCAGTTTCTGTACGTTGAGTGCTACGGATATTAGGATCTAGAAAGCATGCCGCCGGCAAGGGGAGGGAGGGAGAAGAAGGAAGATGGTGAGATTAAGGTTATCAACTCTACAGTCATCAAAAAAAAGCCTACATTGCCGCATACTGAAACCAGTACGCCAATAAAGGTATTGAATGCCACATCGACATCCATAGCTATGGTGATGTGGGTTTCCTATGAATATAATTTTATCGCGAGACAACCAACAATGGCTTGAATAATTTTTTTTTTCCACACAGAAATTGAAAATAAGAATTCAAAAAAGAAACCCTTATTTTTTTCACCGAGAGGGTAAAAAAAAAAAAAAGACGGCCATGAAGCGCTCAATAACAGTAGAGGACCCATCCGGTGACGCCATATGGTTTTTCCGAAGGATTACCATACTTGTCATTGAATAACGATGGGGATCTCCTAGGTATGAAGACGGGTCTGGCTTTTAATACGGCAAACCGTGAATGTCACCATGGCACCTTAATTTGGAATGGCCGTCATCCTGTTCCTGAGCACAGCCATGTTCAACATTGCCATTTTTGGCCATCTCCATAAAAGCGCACGAGCTTATAATTAATGCACTGTTCCATCGATTGGCTGCTGTTCTTGATAGCAGTTCAGATGCAGCGAGTTCATACTCCCTCAAACAGGTTGCCTAAGGAAACCCTCATTCCTAATTCAAAAGCAACAAAGGAAAATGATACAGAATGAAAAAAAAAAAAAAAAAAAAAAAAATCGCGTTTCTTTTTTCTGTGCTGCTTTTTTTCCTCTTGTCCATTGAAGATCTCCCTTCCTTTTCGCCCTTCTTTTTCTTTACCTTTCAAACTGTGTTAGTCAGAGCTTTCTCTCCTTTTCTTTTTTTTTTTCCCTTTGCCCTCGCACTTGCCACTCGGGTGTTTATTTTTACTTTTTTTCATATTTTTGATAATTCCCAGCTTCATTTTGTCTATTTATTTATTTTTTGTTCTCTTCTCTCACTGTACTTTTTAACCGCACTTTTAGCGCCTTTGTGATTTGATCGAGCTCGTTCATTATGAGTGTTCAAGCCGCGGTGGCTTTTCTCAACAGTAACAATGTGGACAACAAGGCAGGCACCCCAGCGAGTTTGCCTAAACCACAATTAACGAATTCGAAAACGACTCTATCGGCTGCTCAGGAATTGAAAAAGATCAAAACAGCAGGAGGAGGGGTTGCGACTATGTTGAATAAATTTAACCAGCAACCAGCCCAAGCACCTATCCAATCTACGAATAAACGAGCTCTTCCTACTACTATCCCTACTACCACCACTACCACCGCTGCCAAAACAAAACCGTCTACTACAAATACCACTGCCACTACCACTGCCACTACCACTACTGCTAGCGCTAGCGCTAGCGTTAGCGCCAACTCTTCTTCTGCGTCCTCCTCGACATGTTCTTCCACACCGACGACTTGCGCTTCCTCCACGTCCTCCTCCCCAGACGGCCGTCGACGCTTGTCCGCTTCAACACCGAAGGAACGTTCGAACGAGTCTCCTATCGCCAAACCCAACGCGGCACCCTTCACTAAACCATCATCTCCTGAACGGACGCCGAAAAAAGTGAATCCCCAGAAAAAATCCGACCTCGATCTCATGGCCGAAGAACTTGTGTCCATCTACCAAAAATCGTTGGATCAAGCAGCAAATGCCGAAAATCGCATCAAAAAATTGGAAGCTGACGTTGAAAGATTATCTTCCGATGCCACTAAAGCGAGAGATTATGAAATTCGCGTGGAATATTTGGCCCAAAAATTGGAACAGGTATCCGAGCAACGAGATGATATGGAACAGAAACTGCAGTCGTATAGACAACGCATGGTTACCCCTGAATCTGTCAATTCGGCCAACTATCCTGTTTCCAGCCATTACCAAGCCTCGGTCGAGAATCGGTTTGACGCTGGCCCGCCGCCGGGATTGCTGCCTACTTCTGCTTCGGCCGCTGACAATGATGAATACCTAAGCGGAATTCTCGATGCGTACGATCACGATTCCGACTTGGACGAAGACCAAGCCAACTTGTCCCCGGCAGAAGATGCAGGCAACATCACACAAAGAGAACAGCAGTATCGCCAACAGATCGAATTTCTGACCCAGCAATTACGAGCTTGCGATCAAAGCGTGAAATTAACGGTGGAAAAGTACGTGGGCGAACTGGAAGTACAACGGTTACACACAAAGCGACTGATGGACGTGGTGCGCAAGCAGGACGAACTAATTGCCAAGTTGGAATCACAAATGGGTGCCGGTGGGAGTCAACTGACGATTTCCACGGCACCCGACCAAGGGTTTCGAGGCAACCACGACCTGTCAAAGGAGTCGTTTCAGGAACACGACAGCTTGTTAAAAGACGAGGTTGAGCTGCAACGCATCGAACTGGAAAATAAGCGAGAACTGCTCACGCAACTGTTGAACGAACGCGAAGATTTATTACGCAAAGTGGCTCAACACGAAGACGCCTCGTCCCTTTCCATTTCACGACAAGCACGTTCAGCTTCGATCCGTTCATCCATCGATGTACTGGCGGAATTCGCCAAGGGCCCCGTTGCAACCACCGACAAAACCGGTTCACCTGCATCGCCGCCTTACCATGCTCGACCTCGAAGTGGTCGAGGCACGCCTCCTCCCACCGCTCCTCCTCGAGATCCTTTACCACCCGTGCCAGCCAACGGCGCCTATTCCACCAAATCCTCGGTTCGCGGTTCCTATTCCAGCTCGCACACCTCGGTCGCGTCGTCAACCACATCGTGGTCATCCCATGATTATGAAAGCCACGTCCCATCACCGTTGAACGAAAAGTACACCGTGGCAACTGACTCGCGCCTTACTTCGCCAAGACATACCATGCTCAATGATCCTTCTTTGGTGGTTCCTTCCACGAGAACCAGCAGCACCATCCACACTATGGCGCCAACCACTTCAACGCCAGCGAAAAAGCATAGCTCTTTCTGGAAAAGCTGGAAAAAGAAAAGTTTAACCTCGTCCTGATCAAACATGCCAAAATATTTCCTACCTTCAATATTCCTTAATGTATCACCTGCTTTTCTAGCGCTTGTATTCTTTCCATCCTTTCTTTTAGTAATTCTACTACTTTTTTCTTTTATCCAAGTGTACAGTAATTGCTGTTTTTTTTCTCATTTTCTCTGTGTTTTTTTTTCTTTCTCTTGTTTTTTCGTCATATGTTTCTCCTTGTTCCCCCTTTTTCCCCATCGCCAATCCAAATGTACAACAAAGATTTTTTTACGGTATGTTATTGATGATGTTATCAAGGAAACTATATTACAAGAAGAAAGGGCAAGGTTCGGGATAACGGCCAAAGAAAGAAACAGGAATGGATTCGCGGGCAAGGCAACGTCAACCCCAGGCTGCAGTAACGGAGTAATTCACGATGAGATGACCATCGGTATTGAAACACTGTGGAGAAAAAAGACAACAAACAGGAAGGTTTAAACGGTTAAGGGGGTTGCATCAGGCGTTAACGTTTGATTCTCCTATTGTTTGCATTACGAGCTCGTTACAGTTACCTTGTAGAGACTGGCAACAGTTTCGTCAGGAGTGGGTGCAAACGCGCTGTTAATGTAGAGAAACTGCGGATAGTGGGATTGAAAGGGATTGAGTGGACGTCTCGCGGAACGGTGATGGGTGTTACTTACCAAAGGATCGGTCCCTTGATATTTGAGCTCCTTTCGTAGGAACTGAATGACAGTTTGGAATTTGTTGGATGCCGTGATTTTGTAAAAACTTTGTTTTAGAATAGGAGCATTGCCAATAGCTCGGAATCGCACTACCACTGTGAAATAAATGGAATCGGTCGTTAGCTTTTTTTTTTTGAACAAAGAGTTCGTAGCATCCCACTAGTTGGTTGACTTATACCTTTGGAGGTGTCTTTTTCTTGATGCTTTGCTAGCACTTCTTCATAGGTCAACTCGGTCGGCGTGTTATCGTTTTGCGAGCTTGAAGAATCAGCCTCCATTATTCTGCAAACTGGGAGCTGCTTAGCCAACCAACTCTTATAGCACCCTTTCGGTCTCGTGATCGCACACACATGATCAGCGCTTTTGCTGTCTCAAGTTTCAAACCCAGAATGATATGTTGAGAGCCACTTTTTTTTTTTTCATATGCACTGTTTGACGATGATCATTCCCCACAAGGTCGCAATATGAAATGCTCGAAACCCTCTTTACTGTTCAATCCTTTTTTGATCTTCTGAATTGGATAATTTTTCTATTCAAATTACTTTAATCTATTTTGTAAATGCACTTCATCAATCAAACGCATTTTAGTGTACTGATCTGCAGAAACGACTTTTTACGTACTGCATAAAGGAATAACCGGAGAATTGGTAGACTACATTAACGTGATGCAGCCTGTCAGAACTCTTTCATTTCAAAATAAGCAGAGCAATCAATGCCATATTTCTGATGCATTCTCCCATTTAAGAAAAATGACGGGTAAATGCAGTTACCTGCGACGTAATAACATCTGTCAAACGCTATCGAGAGAACCGCAATTCTGGATGCAGATGTATCAGTCATTGGATGGTAGCATACTAATAAGCTGTCGAAATTTACCATTGCATTGAACACTCCTAGCTGTAATACGATTGGACAAAAGGCGTCGGTTCGATAACGGAGGCAGCTGAAAGGAGGTTGTCAAAATAGTAACTTCTTATTGGTCCAGTTGAAAAAGTTGCCACTTGCCGATTCATGCATCATATAATTATTAATACATGCTGTACAGCAGCTTATTGACGGTATGTAGCGCAATTTGATAAGAAGATGAATGGCATTTTATTTAACTTTATTCTTCCACGAAAACATGGGGAATATTTTGCCAAGGAAATGGTGATACAAGGAGTGCGAGGATGGATAATATAACGTATTGTACAATAAAGAAAACGAAGGACTACAATTACAAATTCGAGAGCGGGTGTGATAGAAGAAAAATGAAGGTGATAAAGGAGAATCAAGGTTCTTTCAAGCTGGTATATGATACCGTTCAATGAATCATCGATGTCGGCTCCAAGAGCGTGGCAATGAACTCATGAAACTCCGGGTGGTGGATGTGTTTTGATGAGTAACTGGAGAGACCGCAATCGTCGATTGAGGATGACCCTCTTCGGAGGAGGGACCAGGAGATGGAGTCACGTCACCAAGCATACGAGCCGGTAACTCAATCACAGTATTATCTTCATGAGCAGCAGCGGCGGCGGCCGCTTCGTTTAATTGCCGTCGCATATTTCGAGGTAAACTTCGAGCCATCCATGAACGGCTGAATGCTTCGGCTTGATCCGCAGGAATACTCGGCCCAAACGAAGACGTCGTACTTAATGGCGTGTGAGATCGTCCCATGGTACGAAACAAGGATATATCGAAAAATGAACGCGGCACGTATGCAGCTTCCGGTGGCGACATGGGATAAGCGGCGGTCGCAGTCTCGGATGACGTTTGTTCCTTGGGAGCGTCAACGGAGCAATCGTATTTACACAGTGGACAGGAAGCCGACTTGAGGGTCAACCAAGGATCTATCCCACGCCAACAGGCGGTTACATACTGCCCATTTTGTTCATTTGCTTTCCCAATATAACTTACCAATGCATTCAACATGATACTCGTGTCCACATGGGAGTTTGCGTACTTTATCTCCGCAAGCAAATTCATCCAAGCAGAAAACGCAAGTGACCTCGTTACACGAAGCGTCGGTGATCAAGTCCCTGACAGCGGCCTCTGGATTTTCACTGCGTGTGCTGTCTTCATGACGGGTGGACGCTTCAGCAGGATTCGCATCCACCATTGTATTGTTATCTATGGCGGGAGCGATCTTCACCGCCGTGGGGTGGGAAGCCGGTGTAGAATGAGAGTCCAAGGATCGTCGTTCACTTCCCGCCGCAGCACCCACCGCTGCGGCATCCACGGCGGCGTCAATAGAGGGTTCGCCAATGGTGCGAATAGGAAAAATGGAAAGAGCGGAAGGATCAATGACTTTCTTTTCGGCTTGGGCAGGGTAGGGCGTCATGGGCGTGGCTAAAAGCCCGGCTTCGAAAAGCGCCCGTTGTCGGCGACGGACTCGCCAAAGGTGCCAATGCATTCCCACTTTGAAAAACATGGTGAGATGAATATGAACAATACAACAAGTAAACAAAAAGGAGGGATAAAAAAAAAGTGTATAGAAAAAAAGGTTATCCATCAGCCGTGGTGACAGATAAAGTGATAAATTAAAAACCGTGGCCAAAAAAAGCAAGATCCCCGCGTAACGGGCATTCCGCTTTTGGCTGCCTCGAAAACAAACATCTTACCTGAAATGAGGAAGCTTACACCCAGTAAGCCCACCACAATAATCAGTACAAACTCCCAAGTATTAGAAAGAGCGCCTATTTCAGGGTAAAGCGTGACCTGCACGACGGTTTGTTCCGATACATTATTTGAAGACACTTTGGGTGGCTCCACTTGTAATTTTCTCAGTAACTCTTCGCCTGTATCACGACCAACGTAATAAGCGGTAATATTCATATTTGATTTGGGGATGGCCTATTGATACAAAATGTGGCTATTACATCCCACTGATCACCAAATTTTTCAATCCGATGCGCTATGCATCATTTAGGCAACTTACCATCCGTCGAGAACTGGAATCCTCTTTAAATGTGACATTATTATAAATTATCACTCCAACTGCTCCGTCTTGATATGAATACAGCACTTTTTCCTCGAACGAGCATTGACCACGCTTTACAAGAGCGATCTTGGGTTGTAGTTTGAGTAATTCTGGTGGAGCCACTCGCGGGGCATCGAGTTGGCAAGAGTAACCTCGATCGTACAAAATGCCCTACATGAAGTAGATTCCCCAAGTCGGTCGATTTATAACCAGCATAAAACAAGCTGCGCAATTAACGAGTCAAAGGCTTACAGAAACACCGTGCGAGTCTGGTTGCGTCAAGTTTTCGGAAGGAATAATGTCTTTTTCGTATTTGTGTGCTGGAACCGAGTCATTGACTTTGATTGCGGGAGTATCAGAACTAAGGATAACAGAATCTAGTAAAGACAAATATGAGAACCAAATAACCTTATTACAGCCAAATCAAGGCAACGGCATTGGGTCGCCCTTAAGGTAAAAAAAGAAGGCTACCTGCTGAAATATACGGACTACTGCTGGAAAATAGACTAGCACTCACAGCAGTAATACAAAGCAGATACAATAATATGGGATAGTACATGCTGTATCAGACACACACTCACAGACACCCAAGAAAAAAAAAAAAAGAGGGCACGGCTGCAAAACCGGATCTCCCGTGCTTGAATTGTCGGAGTGTCAAAAATCCAGAAATCGCGGCAATGGTTTTGTTGGTTCTTTTTCACGACAGGCACCATCACGCTGTGAATTTCTTTGTTGAACAAATGATATCACTTCTTTTCCGGTCTTAGTTTGTAAGCTAATGGCGCTATTGTCCTGATGATGCTTTGCTGGTTTATTTTTATTACTTGAACAGCTAAACTGTCTCAGGTCATGCATAGCCGTCATTATCACTTTTTTTTTTCTCTTTTTTGACAATCATGCTTTTTTCCTGGTAATTTCGGTCTATTACAAATAAACTAGTCCAAAATAGAAAAATGGGTCTTGTTTAGCACTCTTTGTATTCTGACATGTTTCTATATTGTTTTTTCCATTCAAAAAATCGACCCAACCTTCATTTCTCACTTGTCTGATCAAAATGTCGCCAGTGGGACAATCTTGTGTCCAGGGCCGACAATGGTTCAATCTCCGCCCGTCCATATTTCAAGATTTTTTTGTTGGTGAACCAATTTGCACATTTCATTATAAAACTCCATGTCAGACAGTAATAATTTCCCTTTTGTTAATTCGAATAATGGCAGCATGGACGCGAGACGATTAGCTGCTGCGTTACCGGCTCTGACAGGTGGATCCATGCATTCACCCATGGGTGGGGCACCAATGATGAACCCGCCATTACCGTTCATGCCTCAAGTACCTAGAAACGTGCCAGCATTCACCGCTTCCAATCCGCAAGGTGTATACTCCACGTATGCGTCTCGTCTCAAAACCTCCGACGACAATGCACTATTACTGCCCATGAGCTACTTGACTGTCAAACGGCCACGTTTCCACAGCGAATCATCCGATGAATTTGACGATGGCGATGATTCAGACGACGAAGGCACGCCTTCATCTGGTATGCGAACACGGTCGGCGGCGGCGGCGGCGGCGGCATCAGCTGCAAGCACAGGATATGCCCCGCACGGCGCTGGGATGACCCATGTTCCTTCGTCAGCGACCGGAGCAGGGCGCTCCGATCTACGTAAAGTAGCGCGTAAAAGGAATCACGTTTACCCCAGCGAAGAAGAAATGGACAGAGTGGCCAGCGCAGAGGAAGTCTTGGTACCAATTAGACTCGATGTCGATTTAGACGATGTGAAACTGAGAGATGTGTTTTTGTGGAATATGAATGGTAAGAAAGAAACAAAAAAGGATGAAAGCCAACGTAGAAATGAAAAGTCTCATGCAGATCTGCCACTAGAACAATTTTTGACGCCCGAGAAATTTGCAGAAATGCTTTGCGAAGATTTGGACCTTCCACCGTATAAATTTGTACAGCCCATCGCCGATTCCATACGTTCTCAAGTACTAGATTTTGAAGCCATTCATGAAATAGAATTACCCAACGACAGCATACGCGTGGTGATTAATGTAAGTTTTTGGCATTGGCCTCACAGCAAGGAAATCACTGAAAATATTCATCTTTCATTTGCAGCTTGATTTGCAAATTGGCAAGGTTAACCTTCGTGATCGTTTTGAATGGGATCTCAGCAATACAACGTCCAATGCACCAGAAGTATTCAGTCGACAACTGGCATCGGAAGTAGGTCTGGGTGGTGAATACGTAGCCATTATTGCCCACGCGATCAGGGAACAACTGTATCAGCATAAACGGCAATTGGTGGATGAGGTAAACGCATTTTTTGATTGGCTATTTGCGCGTGTTTTTTTTTTTTTTGTACTTATGCTTTCTTCTTTGTTTCTAGTATGGATTCGAAGGCGAAGTAGCGAAACCGCTGGCTTCCGCTTTTCGATCGGTGGAAGAAGCTGGCAGCTGGACCCCGCAAATGGAAATGCTGTCGAATGAGGAATTGGAAAAATTACTTGTCGCTCAGGAACGAAATATTCGGTAAGTGATGAAGGGAAACTCTGGTTCTAATACAGCTAATGACTTATAAAACACCATATGTATAGTCGACTGAGAAGAGAGACACGGTTCAAACGATCACGGCGGTACGCTTCCATGACCCCTTCTCGTCGCATGGGTAGCAATGCCGGTACTCCTTCATAGGGACCACGTCCAATCCGTTTCCTACCGTCTTGTTGTATATAATGTTGCATTCCAATAAAACAAATTTCAAGTCAGAAAGCGCAAAAAGAGAACTCTGGCATCATGCGCTAATTATTTTATCAGCCCAGCCTTGACATATTCTAGCGGTCGAGCAGAGAGAAAGAAGTATTGGAAGATGCTTATGACGAACACATATGAGAATAATCAAGTGTGGAAGCTGGGCGTCGTTAAATGAGATAACGTATTGTAACAGGCCACTACATTAGTTTTATGAAAATGAGTATGATGAAATGGACAAACAGCCGCATATCAAAGTCATTGTATAGTTTTGGATAAAGCATCCATTCACAAGTATGATAAACTTCTTTATGTTTATTGAGGATCGAAGAGTGTCGAAAACAATCCCGGGTAGTGGGAAAGAGTAAGGTAAGCGTCATAAGTAGGCCATGAATGGCACATAACTTGAGATTGGGACAAGGTCATGGAGCCCATCGACCTTGTCTTGTCTTGGAAAGTGGTCACGGTAGCAGTATATTGTAGTTTCTGGGCACAGATAGACCATGAAACCTAAGTTGCTTGGATAGCCTCACCATAAGCTACCTGAGATTCGAGTGTCGTTACCATTGTTGAGTTATCGACTAGAGAAGAGCAGCCTTCACGCGATTGTTACAGCAGTTTCCGATCTAGCTCGTTCTTGCCAAAAAGCGACCAAGGCGATATTTGTCAATGTCTTGTCTTTGTCTGTCAAGCCAAAGTACAGAGACAAGAGGTTCAAGATCCAAGGTGGCGGGATTTTCCATACGCTATACATAACGCATCAGAAGTGGTTGGCGCTGGCGTTTTCTGATCGTCTCCTTTTGATTGTTGGTGAAACAAGTCAGTGACATTGGGCTTTGTTACGTAAAAACAACAGTTGATCAAGAAAATATAGAAAAATAGGGGATCGGGGGATGTGCGGAAGAGTAACTTGCACTCGCTGTATAGAGTAACAGTAAAACAGGACTAGATATCACCGTTGTGATATTTACGCCAAGATAAAAGAATAAGCATAAGCGTTAACAAACTTCAAGAGAAAAACAGCTTATTTAATCGAAGATTTTTGGGCTCCATGACTTTGTAGACTTCGGATTCGGATTTTACCAACTTTGATGGCGACTTTGGGCACCGGCATTCCTCCACTTTGTAAGCCTTTATATAAGCATTTTCGCAACAAGCCAATGAAATAATAAGGAGAGAAACCTTTAGAACAAAGCCAATTTTGGACAGGTTTTTATTTTGTGAAGCAGAGAGTATGCGAAAATCTGGGACCACACAATGCTCCAGTGAGCAGTGACCAACCCCGATTTGCCACAGTTTTTCATGCTTGTCTCTGTCCATGATTGAAACTCCGAGTGCCAAGCAATTGCCGTGTTTCGAATCACTTGAAATTGTATAGTCTCGGCACCGCTACTTATTCTCTTTACTTGATCGATACCCGTCATGATCACGCTTTATCAGTTATTCACCTACTTATTATTACCACGCATATTTACCACAGTCCTCGTCATTTTCCTTCTCTTGTGGATTGCCCGAGATTATCCCGCATGGCGGGAATCAAGGCTTCTGTCTACAACGCAAGATCGCAAGACGCACAACAGCCATGACGCAGTATCTTCATCACAGAGTGACAAGAAAGACATCAACCCCAAAGAACCATCGTCGTCGCACCACCGTGAGAACCTATCGATTGCACACTATATCCTCGCCGCCCCTGTGGCGACCTTTTATATTGCGGGACGCGCATTGTATGATCTGATCAAGTTTGGTCTGTTTCGATTACTCTGGTTGGGCGAGCAATTGGCGCCCAAACTGGATGCTTGGCTCTTTCATACAGTCACCGTATTGCTGCCAAACAAAGTAGAAGCCGCTGAAAGCTGGTGGGAACGTCGAGGGAAGCTGATCATGGCCGACGCCCAACGTACCATGCAAGAGCGGTTTCTTCCAACGACCGTGCGAATCATCGAACACACTTGCATCGCTCTTTACAAAGGATACCTCGTCTTGGAACAATGCATGGTACGAACCTACCGATGTTGGCGGCAATTCTATGAGAAACATGACTGGCGACAACTCGCTCTTGATTTAGCCGACGTATGGTACACGAATTTCTGGATTCCTGTGAGCCACGGTTTATCACGACTGTACAACTTATCCAGGGTGATCTATCGGGGATGTCTTGATATTGCCATCTCGTTATGGCAGGATATCCAATGGCTATTTACTGTCATTGTCCCTGCCATTGAATTGTTTATTCGCTCGACCACCGCTTGGACATGGGTCACTAGTACTGTTCAGCACATTTACACCCAGGCATTAAGCGCGATCCGTCGATTACATCCCATCTACGTTTTCCTGCATACGTTGTCGCTCCAATTGCTCGACACTATTGTCAAGGCACTACATTCGCACACTTTTCAAAGGCGTCTGTTATCGTTCAGACAATTCCTTGGGTCTCATACTGTTTGGTTGCTTTGCGAAGCATTAGCCATGATGGGCGATACGATGCATGGTGCTGAATGGATCACCGTTCACTTTATCACACCCACTGTGATGGTATTTATGGCACATGTTCTGCCACGATTATCAGTCGCTTACAAGCAGCTACGGGACACCACGGTAGCTCTGTATGAGAAATATCTGTGTTTAGCGTGGACAGCTGTCTACCCGTACTTGCAACAGCCATGGCAGTACATGATCCACTCTTTGTATGGCATACTGATGCCAGTCCTTGGTTTCCTGCAGTCCCTCTATACCTGCAGTATAAATACAATCAATCGTGCCGTGTATTCCATGATGCCCTTGGGAACAGCGGTGTTGTTTCAGGTCGCTTCGTGGTGTCAGCAATGGTCTGACCAGCTAAAGCAAACACTGGAGAAACAGTTACCAGTCGTCTATCGCGGGGTGCATGTCAGTTATGAGTGGGTGTACAGCCACGATTGGCAAGGTCTGGCGGACGATTTGATCGCTGTTCTGATGGCCATACGCTCGATTGCTTACGAACAATGTCAGTTGGTGTATTCTTCTCTGGAAAGAACAGTTCATCAATGGGCAAAAGAACAAGCAAGCTATCATGACAAGGCAGGCCCTTCCAAAATTGATTAAAACCTCACACACACACACTCCGAAGCCTGCATCACCTATTTTCCCAACTTGCAGTAGCAACCCTCACTGTATGATACTCTTTCTCGTTCTATCTATGTATATTTACCATTGTGAAAACAATTTTTTTCAGGAAAGCAAAAGGATAATGACAAGGAAATACCTTGACATAAAGTTCCCTTTGGCATGATTATTATTCAACGAGGATGAAATGGCTTAGGACACCGCAAATTTCTCAGAAAGCATTCATGCCAGAAGGGCAAGCGCGTATTGAAAGGGGGCCGAGTTGTAGGCAAAACAGGATGAGATGGGTAGGTGGCCCCCGCCTTGATAGATATACCAATGAGGAGGATGTACATGCGATGCACGCCTCGGTATACTTACGGATATTGGTGCGACATAGAAAAGATGCCCTAATAGTAGTGGCACCACGGATTTGAGAATTTGGATTTTTTCACCATTTTTGGTCATGATGTTTGATGTGAAAATTAAACTTGCTGGCTTACTTTAGCAGTCACGCATAAAAAGGTCTGGAAAAGTCTCGGACCTCGAAAAACATGCCCTCTTATTTGTTCAACAATGGGCAAGTTCGTCCACTAACGCAAAATAAGCATGGCTGGAAGTATTCTTCTTTTCTAGCCGCATCTTGGACAAACAGAAAACAAATCAGAGACTGATTGATGCGTAAAAGAAAAAAGTGATCAATTGAATGAGAATACCCAATCATGGTGTATTTTTGCTCTTTTTGCTTCGCTGAAGGTTACATGTCGGAGATTGAGGGTTTTTAAATCTATATTTCCGGGGAAAGGAAAAAAAAAACCGCTCTTGTATCAGGTGGATTGAAATGCTTCATTCTTTCAGGGTCCAATTTTTCACTGCAAAAAGGTAATGGATTGAAGGATGCCCAAAATGGTCCTACAATAAAGAAAAATAAATCACGTCCAGCATTCTCGATCAGCCGACTTTAACTAGTGTCGTCGTATATTAGGTGGAAAGAGAATGGGCACTAGTCCGATTAGGGAAATTTTTGAATTTTGAGATGGTGTGCAATTGAACCATTGATTGGAACGATGGTTGGAAAAAAAAAAAAAATAGGGGACAAACCGAAGTACGATCTTAGGCTCTGCAAGGGAAAAACCAATCCCAGCAGCGAATGGGCCATGCCATAAATGGGAAAAGAAGGATATTCTAGACCCGCCTGCCTTTCCAGGTCTTTCTTCTTCCGTTCTACAGTGCAATTTTTTTTTCTCTACTTCTTTCTCTGCTACTTTGTTGACTGATATTTTTCTTGTTGTTGTTCCCTTCTTTTTCCCTTTCAACGCCCACACGATGAGTTTGTCCGTAAGCCCTTCTTGGCTGGATCGCTCTTCTCCCCTGGACTCTTTTTCTTACACCCATTCGTCCATGCCGTCGTCGTCGTTGTTGTTGTCATTACCCAAGGAAATTCTAATCGAGATTATATCCAAAGTCGCCAGCATTCTTACCGATAACGGTGGTATTGCTCCCGTATCTCTTATCGAATTATCCAAAACTTGTCGATATCTCCACTCACTCATTCACACCGACAACGCCAGCAGTCCGACTATCTGGCAACGCGCATTCCGAGTACGATTCGATACTGCGGCCATTCGCCGTCGTCGCATTCATCGCCATTTTCAGTGGCAACTGGCTTTACAACAACGCTGTACCACTCTGAACGTCTGCCGTATGCTGTCCCTTGACCCGTCACCCACCATTACAGAAAATGTGATTTCCTGGAGCATTGTCTGGGATATGATCACAGAGCATGGTACGATCTATTTAGTCCGAATTTTTTTTAAAAAAAAATGGTTCCCTTTTTTCCGAGTCCAATTCTTTTCTCCCCCAAAAACGCTTTGACTCAAACGAATCCCTTATCCTTTGTGTAGATGAATTGAATGTAGATCAGCTTTTGAAATATCGAGTCGAACAAGCTGCAGGATTGACGTTTCAATGGGCGCGATACCGCGGACAACATCTTTGCTCGGTGGTTTTGCCTATTTTATCGGTGCTTGTGAATTATGGTAAGTTGCAAAACGATTTGATTATTTCTTTTTTCATGTGTTAATAAAAAATTGGACACCGCCATGGATTTCTATTCGTGCCACACTCCTCTTTTTTATTTTTTATTACTGGGCCTCCCTTTTTGACCTTTTTTTTTCTTCTTTTTTCACTGGTTTTAGATTTCAGTGTCACAAGATTTTTCAGATCTGAACATCCGGACCAACTTGTATCACCCCAGTTGAGTTACTTGGCCTACAATTTTGAAACGGATGCTCTCATTTCAAAGCACATGCCCCTTCTTCGACCTTACCATATATGGAATATACCTCACGATTTGATGGAAGGCGGCCTGATGGAACGTAGATCGTCCTCAGCCGCAGTCTTTACATCCACCTCCCTGTCATCACCAGCGTTACCATTGCCACCGTCAGCATCCTCTTCTTCCGCCCTCTCACCGTTTTCATCACGTGTTTCATCCTCTTCCGTTCCTTCACGGCGCTCTTCCGTCGCTTCCACTCATGACCTTCCTTTCTATCCAGCCCAAGATCCATTGGCCTCGGCTTTCCATCTGTTTTTTCTCACCATTTTTGCATTTCATCCTACTCCTTATCAAGCCATTCCTAATTGCATTCCGCTCCCGCTGTTTACGATCCATTCCGAGATGTTTGACGTCGAGTTTTTACGTCGATACGAACGCAATTTATTCTTTGCCAGTTTGAAAGAATCGCGTGAAGCTTGGGAAGAGAAACAGTACAACACGCAAATGCCAGTGCCTCAAGGATTGCCCAACATTTATGCCGATACCGGGTTTGCGTCTCCAAGCCACTTTGTGACGGAAGCTCACCTCATTGAAGGTGAATGGATGGGCTACTACTCATTTCTCGATCCCGATGACGTGGCGGATCCCGGTCGCGAGATTTTGGAAGATTGGTTCGATGGACCCATGCGACTCACCCTCCGCATCATTCCCCTGGATGATAATAGCAGTGATCTGAATTCCTTGTCCAATACGTCGTCGTGGGTGTCGCGGTGGCTGGATGATCTTGAACCCACTGATACTCAAGTACCTCGGAAACGACGAAAGCTTGTCGCAGCAGATCGACCCGACCATTTCCCTTCGATGCATTTGCGCGCTTGCCCGCTCACACGATTTGAAGGATGGGGAGTGGATAATCTCGGCATCTTTACGGTATCTGGACTGATTGACGATACCGAAGACGGACAAGTGACGTGGGAAAAGACGTACACGGAATCCGGCGAAACCTGGGAGTATTCTGGACGGTTCCTCCCCCCAATGGGGATGTGCGGTCGATGGGGTGACGATGAATACGGCGGTCCATGGTGGATGTGGAAAGTCGCCACGGAAGAAACTCTACCTCAACCCGCCACGAACACGACCCTGGCCTCCACCTCTTCCTCTTCATCCACTGTCGTCACAACCCTTGCCAAGTAAATAAGTGACGCACTATATCTTTTTCCATCATTCATACTTTCCCTTTTTTTTACCCCTACTGTATTCATGTTATGTATTATGTGCTTGCTCTTCTGGTAAGATATATTGGCGCATCCACTCATTTCTCCCTCCAATATCGCTTTAGTAATAGATCAGGTTTGGCATTTTTAATTTTCTCCCCATTTCCCTGCTTTTTCCACGCTCATTTCTAAAGCATATCATTGCATTTTTCATCGGACGAACCAAAAAAGTAGACTACTACAGTTATAGTTATTTGCATTCCTCAACCAAAATTGATACCTTGATAAACGAATGCATCAAAGATGGCGCCAAAATGTCAACTACAGTATTCGTATCCGTTATTCTTTTTTATTTCAAAATTGTGATTGGCATAGCTTGACAGTCGTAGTAAAATGTGATGCTTAACAAGCCGTGCACCCGCTGTGCAATGGATGCCGCCTGCCACCGGAGGCCGCCCCCTTACATTGAGCGACTTTCGTCAGACAAAAAGCCTAACGCATACACGGCATAACCTGGGCGAGAACTCTTGACGGAACTTCCGTATATTAATGACAACCTTATGGCATACGTTGCAACGTGATTTGTTTCTGAACACGCTCAGGGCAGCACTGGTTCCCCCCCTCAGTTCCATCCCGCCCAGGCTATGATAGATCTAGAAAGATGTGTGGGTATGTTGGGTATTTAAAAAAATGAGTTAGTAAGCTCTTTGATTGATTCAAATTTTCGTCAAGATATTTTACCTTTGTTATTTTGAGTTTTCGATAGCCATTGATCGCTTGACATGACTTGGATTATATGACATTGAAAAAATTTGAATTAGTATACGTTCATTACATCATAGCAAAGGAAAAGAAATTGGACTTGCCTTTGAACCAAATGGTAAACCGGACAAAAAAAAAGATGATACGGACCGCCAGGTAAGCTTCTTCTTCGATGCGGTAAATAAAATCGCTTCCAGGGACACTTAAGCGATGGATCGATGGTGTCAGCTTGAGCAGGCAAAAAATATTGACGTGGCCAGAAGTGACGGTAACTTCGAGTTGGATTCCAGATATCGAGAGTCCCAAGTCTGTTTTGCCGGAGCAAAATCGATGGTAGACCACTCTACGCTTACCTTTTTGAGGACGGTGGTCGATTAACCAAGTTAGATACACGGGATAAGAATGGTCTGGATGATGGATGCGGATGGGATCTTGATACAATGATACCTAGAGTTTTCCAGGTAAACAGAAAGAGAGAGAAGACCAAAATATATGATTTCCCATGGATGAAACAACAGTCACCCTTCTGATGCATGAATTCATAGATCGAAGCACGTCTGCTTATGTATTATTCGATTCATTGAAAATTGAAAGAGAATGAAAGGACATATACAGTATAACTGACAAAAAAAAAACCAGATTGAATGATGCTACAGAAGAACGCCAGTCGTATCATCAACCACTTTTCTTCAAAAAGAGCTCTATTCACATTTTTATTCGAAAGACGACGATACTCTGTTTAACCACAACGGCGCAAACGGCATCTTGCTGCTGATTGTTTCGCCTATTATCGTGAAAGTGGGCAGCGAGGCATGGTTGAAAGATGAAAAAAAGGTTTAACAGGTCTTGATAACTTAGTGTAGATCATGTGATTTAATATTTCAATGATGCTTAATTGTTTTACAGTGTCGTTGGTGTGGTTGCTGGAAAATAATGCATGATGAGCACGGTCATTGTGGGACAAGGCGGTGTTTGAAAATCTGCCTCTTGGATGTCCGGCCCGCCCCAATGCGACGCCCTCTCGAGAAGCTGTGGACTCTGCCTTGTGAGTATCGATCCATTGCCAGCCGTAGGCTAATCCTCCTCTTTATTCAAGTAAGCATCCATCCACAGCACTGCAGTGGGGAATCGATCCAGCCTTCGTTTATCTTTGTTCGACCGACCCTCCCGTTCGATTATTTCTCTTGGTCTTGTTGGAGGATTACTCTGACGGGTTACAAACGATTCGGTCCAAAGCATGCCCATCTTGACAATTCTCTGTTTTTACTGTGAATTGAAGAAAACGAAACATGCGAGGCTTTGGAAAGGATTTCTCGCTGCATGTTGATAAAACGTTTTGCGTCGATTTGATGTATAACTAATGAATGTATTAATTAGTACAAATGGTTACTCCTGCCGTGAAGCACACCATTGTGAAGAAGCGTCGCGCTCACTTCAAGCGCCACCAGTCCAACCGCTTCATGCGTGTGGGTGAGTCGTGGAGAAAGCCCAAGGGTATTGATTCTTGCGTCCGCAGACGTTTCAAGGGTCAGGCTCCCATGCCCAAGATCGGTTACGGTTCCGACAAGAAGACTCGCCACTTGTTGCCCAACGGTTTCCGCAAATTCTCCGTCTCCAACGTCCGTGAAGTCGAATTATTATTGATGCACAACCGCACCTACGCCGCCGAGATTGCCCACAACGTCTCTTCCAAGAAGCGTGTCGCCATCCTCGAACGTGCCGCTCAACTCAACGTCAAGGTCATCAACGCCGGTGCCCGTCTTAGATCGCAGGAGTAGATTCTTTTTTTTCCAACGCACTAGGAACTTAGGATAAAGCAAAACTATGTTCCTTTTTCAAAGACGAAAATATACACGACCCTCACTACTGGAGTATGTTTGTCTATTTTTTTTTTTTTCATTATTCATCAAGCCTTGCCGTAACATCGTGTACCAGCAGATCCAATCACCCCGCTCTACATAATGAGACTGAGCTGTGTATGAGGGACTGACAAATGATATGTATTCCGCAGTTTGGCCTTCCGAAAAAGAGATTGCAATGCAGTGAATCATTTTTTTCTGTAGACTACCTTATAGGTATCAAAACGGATCAATTTTTACAGGAGAAAGTTGTACAGAGAAGATAAATATTGTAACAAGCCATTCTCGGATGAAAAAAAAACCAATAATAGCAATAATAGGTTTAAAAAGAGGGAAGAGCCATAGGCATTGACTGGATAATTAAAAACACCAGGACGCGATGCCCTGGATCGTATTACACTTGGCCATCAGCGCCAAATTCGCTCTCCAAGCTGGGTTCCAGAATAGCCGCGTGACCAAGAATGATAATGGCTCCAGCACCTATTAGTGACAAAATTCCTCCAGGTTAATAACATTACCGAGTACCGGTTAAAAGAAAAAAAAAAGTCCAACTCACCAATGATCCAGAATACAACGCCAGTGGCACCTGAGAATAAGAGCAAGATCAAAGAAGCGCCCGCATAGCTAGCGTACAATGTGGAGGGGGATATAGAGTTGCCACCAATAGTCAAGGGACCATCCAATCGAGAAATCAAATAAAAGCCGCCCACAATAAATGCAATGGAGAACAAAAGCCACCAACTCGTCAGACTAATGACCAAAAATAAAAAGCATCAGTTCACCGGCTATCCTATAATACCGTCAAGCTAAGACCCACTTACATGGCATAGATAGAAAGACCAAGCACAATAAGCAAATAATTGGCTGAGAAATATTGAAGGTTATAGCTGCAAAGAGTTCGTGAGCAGAGTGAACAGAAGGTACTAGTTTTCCGTAGACGAAGAAGGACTTACTTCCAACGTTGGCTAATGGTGGAGAAGGAAGTGGTGAAGCTGATTCTGTTTTTATCAAAGAAATCGCCCAGACCGCGAAGATTGGAAAGGCGTTCCTCTCTAAATCTCTTTAAAAAAGACAAGCGAGGATCGTTGCCGATAGCGTTTGCGGCAGTACCAAGATGTTGGGCGGCAGTGCTGGAAAGAAGTGGTTCAGACATGATGGGAAGGAATAAAGTAAGATGCCCAGAAAAGATGGAGTCCCAAGTTGCGTTTTTACTTTCGCCCTCTGTGTGACACCTACTTTTTCAATGGCTGAGTTGAAGTTTTCTGGATCTGGGCGCCAAGCCCAAATACGCTTCTTCAATCAGTGACTGCCACATCTTCGCAGCAAGTGGTATTGCCAATGCATTGAATGCGTCCATTTCTGTACCCGTCTGCCCTCGTCAGAGAATCAAGGATCAGGATACGGTTCATGATATTCAACTTGATACATTTGCGCAATAGAGCAGTCGCAGTTTTCTTTGTTAAAACGCGTAAATGATAATTGCGCACCATGGTAACTGCTTTTATTGCCCTTCAAAGGCTTAGCGAATGCTTTGATACCTTGCCAAGGTACCCCGTGAACCCACGTTATATTATCCGTATTTCCGTCAATTGTCACCCACCAGCTGCTGTGTGCCCAATCTGCGCTCGCTTGGCAGCCAAGGCAAAAGTAGGACGTCATCAGTGGATTTTTCAGGGAATAGCGCGGTTTGAAACATGATTTTCACCGATCTGAAAGAGAAATTGGCGTTTTTTATTTTTATGCTCTTTGGTCTTGTTGCTATTTCTCGCCGGTGTGCTACTGCTGCTGCTTTATATCGTCTGCCTTGTCGAAATACACATACATTACCATCCAAAATGATCAATAACCCTCTTGTTTGGATTGATTGTGAGGTGACATTGCGCTTTTATCGTCTATCGACCATTTCCCATACTGACCCAGTTGGCTGTCCACCATATAGATGACAGGTCTCGATATCGAAAAAGACCATTTGATTGAAATTGCGGTTTTGATTACCGACGGCGACTTGAACATCCAGGCAGAGGTGAGGGAGAGGAGCGGGTTTTTGTTTGGTCAACGCGATAAAAAAAAAAAAAGTCAAATCGATGAGCAGTCACTTATCATCACCGAAATAGGGACCGGAGTTGATTATTCACCAATCGAAAGAGACCATGGACGCCATGAATGGTATGGATCCGACAATTTCCCTTTCGATATACCAACAAGTAGACAACTAATATCTGCATCAATATAGATTGGTGTAAAGAACATCACGGAGCGGTGAGTTACTTGGGTTTGCTTTGAATGTCTAAAACATGGGAATATTGACGGTCACTGTTAGTCGGGATTAACGGACGCAGTCCTCAAGTCGACGGTGACAGTGGAAGATGCCGAAAAACAGGTGCTGGCTTTTCTGAAAGAACATATTCCGGCAAGCCAGGCTCCCTTGGCCGGCAATTCAGTTCACGCTGACAAACGGTTCTTGGAAAAGGAGATGCCCGACCTCGTCCGATATCTCCACTATCGTATCGTTGGTAAGGTGATCCACTCCCAGATCAGGCGAGAAAACCATTACTAAATTCCCCGTTTACCTCATTTTCAGACGTGAGCACCATCAAGGAATTGACGAAACGATGGTAAATTTTTGGGATGTGTCATGATTCCATGGGCAGGAATTTAAAGAAATTGAACGTAGGTATCCTGACGTGGCTTCCGGCCTCGTGAAAAAGGGAGCTCATCGTGCTCTGGATGACATCAAAGAAAGTATCGACGAACTCAAGTATTATCGACAACACGTCTTTGTTACTCCGAAATAACTTGGGCCAACGAGATGCAAAACCGTTCACGAGTTGACATCAGAAACATAACCAAACATCTTGTATCGATCGTCCACTAAACTCTATCAAACTAAACTTTCCGAAAGGTCCCATTTTTCTGAAAATTAAAAAAAACACACAATAAATGGATACCGTTTTCGTAAGGTTACACAACGACGAAGGGTTGTCAAATTATCCAGCGACTTGCAGAAATTAGAAAACTGGGAAAAACAGAACTTTTTCGAAACATTTGATCTACCCTCAATAGAGTAGCTAGGAGAAAAACTTGAAAATTGATAGAAAATGATGTACACTACAGTAGGCACGGTGTTTCTGTGAGTACGATCTCTTTTACCTTGGATCACTTGACCAATCAAAGGCAGCCAAAAGTGTATCATAGAAAGCCTGAGAGCCCGCGCATTCCATCGTGGCATTTGGGTGACTACGGTAGAAACTCGTGTTACTCTACCTTCAATCCTATTGAACCACTCGCCGATAATTGGAACTTTTTAGTTTCATTAGGCCATCGAACCATATCTATTTTTGACAGTCAATTTTTTTTATTGATATTCTGAGAAACGTGAATGTATTATTATTTGTATTTAGCGGAAAAAGATCAACGTGTGTGTAGTGGTGAAAAAAAAAAATAGAAAAAATACGACATTATATACAGATGCCTTAAATAACGGAATAGGAGAACAAGGCACAGCCTTTGGATCCCACAGAAAACTAGTGAAGAATAATAATAATGATGGATGAAGGGTGGGTTCTTTTTTTTTTTCTTTACTTAAAGTTGGGACCTTGCTTTTCATCGTAGTCTTGCTTGACTTGACCAGCGGCAGAACCCGGGTTGGGAGAGTCGTCGACTTGAGCCTTGCCAGAAAAGTTGCTGGGCATGCGAGAAGAGCGAGGACGTTGTCTGACGGACTCGATGTCTTGCTTTTCGTCGTACATGGATGTGGATCCAATGTGAGACGCAATGGACTTGGCATCGGCTTGAATATCTTCGGTAGCGAACAAAACTTCGATTTCTTCCAACGACTTGCCCTTTGTTTCGGGGTACCACAGATAGATGGGCACCAAGAAGATGACGTTGAGGATACCGAACATAAGGAAAGTCCAATACTGGGCGTACTTGAAAAGCACAGGAGCAATTTCAGCTACGACAAAGTTACCAAGCCAGTTGGCGGCGGTCGACATGGAGTTGCCCTTGGCACGCAAACCGGTGGTGAAAATTTCCGAAGGATATAACCAAGCAAGACCAAGCCAGGCGGCACCAAACACAAAGTTGTACAACATGACAAAGGCCACCACGACGTTGGAAGCGGTCTGGTTGCCATTCTGCGCTTCATACTGAGCACCACCGACGATTAACAAGGTCACGGCTTGTCCAATGAGACCCCAGTACATGAGCTTGCGACGACCCAGGCGATCAATGGTGAAAATGGGAGTCACAGCACCGAGAAAGTAGATGATGGAATCGACACCAGCCATCAACATGGCTTTTTCCGTCGACATACCGGCTTGCTTGAACACGTCGGTCAAATAGTAGGAAATGACATTGATACCGCCAAACTGCTGGATGAATTGACCGCCCATGCCCAAAAGCACACGGTATCGGTTGTTCATCTTGCCCTTCTTGAACAATTCCTTGTAAGAAGCCACACCTTCGCGGCGTTCCAGTTCGATACCATCTCGGATTTCTTCCCACTCGGCGATACAGCGAGGATGGTTGACATCACAGTCGGACCATAAACGGGAAAGCACTTCTTTACATTCGTCTTCCATGCCGTGGGCTTGCAACCAACGGGGTGTCTCGGGCAAAATGAAACTGGCCAAGCCAAGAATGATGGCAAACACCATCTGGAAAGCCAAAGGGAAACGCCAGGCAAAGTCGCCATGGACAAAGTACAGACCGTATTCCAACCAATAGGCGATACCAACACCAACGGTAAGCAAAGAGGCTTCGAAAGCGACGTGAGAGCCACGGGATTTGGGAGGCGACAACTCGGCCTGGTACACGGGAATGGTGGCAGTGTTCATACCGTTGCCGACACCGGTAACAATACGAGCAATGATCATCATTTCCACATTGATAGCAGCGGTTTGCAAAATGGCGCCAATGACAAGAATAGTGCAGCCCAAACGAATGGTCTTACGACGACCGAGCCAATCACCGACTTTACCGGTGGACAAAGCACCAAACATACAACCGATTTCGTACAGTGCGACAATGGCGCCCATCAAAGCCGCATCGGGATAATTCATGGTTTCATTAAACAAATCATTGGCTACGACACCTGACATGACACCCTAAATTTTTTCAATCAGTTAAGACAAACCTCACGGATCATTGAGTTGTCGCTTTGTAAAAGATAAGTACCTGATCGTAACCGAACAGCAAGAAACCGATGGCCGCTAAAAGCGTCGACGCACCGAAAAGCGCTTTGCCTTTTAGGACGAAGCAACCCATCTCAAAAATGTAGTGGTGGTAGTGATCAGATCAGAAAAAAAATGAACAAATGGATAAACCTGAAAGAAACAAGAAGAAAAAAGGATCCAAGATCAGCAAAAAAGAAAGACCTTTGCGATCACAAAAAAGAAAAGGATTTAAAGAATAAAGAATAAAAAAAAAGCAGATGAGCCAGATGGTTAATCCCCACAATTTCAGTTGCCACGGGTGGCTCTATATATACTTTTTTTTCCTATTCATTTCTCTTTTTTGCCTTACTCTTTTTAAACCTGCAGGAGTCGTGTACCTGCCTGCAAATCGAGGGCGAGGTAACACAGACATCATGTTGGAAGCGGGACCATCTGGTATTTGCCGGGTTTCCCTACGTCATTTCCCCATTGAGTATTGCAAGCTCCGAATATGTCTTTGCTTCTGGTGCAACTTGAAACATCCCAATTGGCCACCCGTATTTTTGAGCGAAAAAGGCAATCACACAAAAAAAAGTCCACAGTATGTGTCCAAAAAGGAAAAATTAACGGCGTCAGACCGATGACTGCCGATCTTGGATGTTTATGGGATAGTAAAAAAAAAAAAAGAAATAGTTCTTATACATGCCAGATTTTGACTTGAACCTTTCTGCCACCTTCAAAGTGTCCTAGCGTGTTACCATATTGAAGTTACAAAAAAAAAAAAAAAAAGCTTAATTTTTTTGTTGCCAAAAAAAAAACCTTGGAAACAAGCGCTAGCGCAAGGGGCCCGCATTATCGGGAAAAGAAATGAGCATCAAGGGCCTATGCCTCAAGAGATCACCAGCTGAGGTTAGCAATCGGGTCTATCTGAAGAAAAAGGTTCTATACTAAAGCCAGTAAAAAATTTTGAGAATCAGTATAATACGGATATACAACCACAATTGGCGGAATTACGGATCGAATTTTTCTGGGTTCCTTTTCGACCCGTAACGGATCACACAATCAAAAACCCAAAAACCCTTTAGACTATATCAGGGAAGTCAACATCAACTTCGGAAAACAATAGCCAAATTGTCAACCCTCTTTGCAACCCACAAACACATGCCATCTTTTAAAAGAAGGCCTGTCTCTCCACGATGCTGGTTTAAACGGCATATAATATTGTAACGGTGTTGTTTTGATTTAGGCATCAGTTATTACAATGGTATAACAAGCACCATGAGCAAGGTGTGACTTGATTAAATCATTATCACGAGAGGGTGTGCGAATGAACATATTCGTGTCCATGTTCGGAGATACATTCTCTCCACGACAAAAAAAGAAATATTATAAGGATCACGGATTTTCTGTGATTCGGAGCTATGGCCTTTCTCAATTCGCTTATCATACCACTTAAGAGATTTCGTCGTCGGATACCAACTTTTATTCATTGGTGAGATTGCGGTGACAATTTTTTTCAATCAGTGAACGAATGAAAGGCAAAGATTCCACGTTCACGACCCTTTTTTCCTTGTCCACCGATCAGCGTCGGTCACCTGAACATTGATTGCTACAGAGCAAATCTATTGTACCTCTTTTCAGCACGCATGCTACAAAAGAATTGGTTCAATCCATAATCCCAGTTGTCCAGGATTGGCAGTGGACTGTGGTACATTGTGTGCTTGATGATGCATTCCAATATTTATCCGAAAACAGCTAGATGTGACCATTGGCCGTCATTTTTTCATTAGCAGATAGTTGGAAAAAAAAACCTGCCTCTTCTTGCATAAACTACACACCCCTTGGGTTCAAAAAGTAACAAGTCAATTCCGCGATCCGCTTAGCATCGACCGATTAACAGTGACGGGATTATGCAAATTCTGTGGAGAGATTGAATGAACCAGGGATATGCAAACTGAACTAAAGCGTTGGAGTGCGAACAACATCTTAGTGTCATCGTTAAAGGGTCTGAATAACAAATTTTTCGAGCACAGCAGGTGCAACCCAAACCATAACCTATCGTACAAGTGCACCATATTCCTTACAAATACAAAATACTTGAATAGCAAGAATGATGCCGCCTTTTTTTCCATTTTGGCTCCACTCATCCGCAGTCTATCTAATCCTATCGTTTCTCCATGTTGTGGGAGCTTATTCAAAACAGAATGACGTATATCATAATCTGCACGAATACGTTTTTTTTTTTTTTTTTTTTTTTTTTTTTTTTTTTTTTTTTTTTTTTTTTTGCCAATGGGAGCATAAGGGAAGAATGTAGCAAATAATGCCAAGGTATTGGAGAAGCTGGCTTTGATACAAGGTAAAGATACAACTCATGTTTCCCACGATCCACTTCAAACGAGCATGCGTGATTGTGGGCGTTTCAGAAATTTACAATAAGTATGCAAAACGTGTCATCAATTCATACGATTGCTGACAGCAGCAAGCGATTGTAATATGCCAAGATGGGAATAATTGTTATCATTCTCTCAGTCTAAAAAAGGCTCTTTTTCCTTTCAGGAAACAAGGGAAATGGAAATGATGAGCCAGAACACTCTAGGGTTTCCAACGCCACACTTGTCCAACTGCGGCAGGATTCCGCCATGGACACGTGAAAATTTTTTAGTTTGTACAGCCGAAGTTGCATAGAACCCAAGTCTGTGTGTCTGTGTGCGTGTGTGTGTGAATGCAGTACCATAAATAGCTCATTTTCCGTCCTATGCATGGCATCATGCTTACTCATTGCAATAAAGATAGCTGCAGGTGAGTGTCTGTAATTTCAACAAACAGTGGCACCCGCCTTTTTCATCACGGCACTGAATCCCCCTAATATCACCAAGAATAGCCACCTGCCTTTTTAAAGACTGCACCGCTTTACAAATTTGTTTTTGTAAGCAGTAGTCTCTTGAATTTTTGTTGATGGTAAAGGTTTTTTCTTTGCTCAGCCACACCATCCAGTGTTCATGACATGTTTCCTGAGATCTGTCTGACACCTTACGCTATTTATAACCATTTATTCCACGCTTTCTGCGGGCCAATGTCCATATTCTTCATTTTAGCATCATGTATTGACACTTTTATGAAATGGCCGTTTGGGATACCAAAACCTTGAAGATCTGGTCAATTTTAGACGATGTATGCGGTAATTCGCAAGTGTAGTGGATCCTCTTTTTTTATACAGCAACGTTAAATAAAGACATTAGCATACAAGTTGTGTTTTTGATCGAATTTTGATGTTTGTTATAAAGAAAGACTTGTCTAGTGATACGTGATATTTTGGTTCTAGGATTTTTAGGGTGGTAGGGTTCCTCTATCAGGTATTTGGTATAATAGAGAATAGCCCATGAAGGGGGGAAGAGGGAGGGGGAGATCATCCGTGTGTGATGGATAATGTTGTTAAGTAATGTATGTACAGATGCGTAACATGTTACTGTGTGGATGACGATGTGCTGATTCGTTCTAAAAATTTACACAGCGCACCGTTGATCATATCGCTATCCGACAACGATTGGCCGGAACCGACTTTGGTCTCCTCCACGTCTTTGTCGGTACATAGACGTTGTTCGACAAGTGCTTTTAACTCGTCAAATTGGTATTGCAAATGGTCGAGTCGAGTTTGTACTTGCTCTTTCTCCTCTTCTAGTTTTTCCAACTTTTCTTCCAACGCTGTCACTTGTCGCTTGCTCGCTTCCAGCGCTTCGCATTTTTCCTGCAATTGCACCTGCAAACTTGTATCGAGCGTCTAATTTATTCATCGTCATCCGTTAGATAGCTATCACTAACGAAAAATTACCTTCTATTCTCCCCTTTTCACTTACTGTTTCCTGCGAAAAATATTCAAATTCAAGGAGCTCAGCGGCGCTCGGTCGTTGATATGGATGCGGGTCCATCATCCACAAAATCAACGCAGACTATATAACACAGTCAGTAATTGTAAAACTAAAAAAAAAAAAAATCACCTCTGTGCTCACCTCTTTAGGGTACTTTTCGACAAATCCATTGGGAAATACACCGCGTTTAAGATTTTCCAGCGCATTGGCTCGTTCCATGGCGGTGGAAAATGGCTGATACAGTTCAAAAAAGATAATGCCCAGAGAATAAATATCCACTTTTTCATCGTAAGCCTCGGTTGCCAACTGTTCCGGAGAAGCATACTATCGACCATTCGAAAAAGATGAGCGCGCGTGGCCCAGCTACCCATTTGTTATTGATCTACTTACGGTTCGTGTGCCTACACCGACGGTACGTGAGCGTCTTGGGGTAGGACGTCGGCTCCTTTTCGTTAATGAAGTGGAGGTTTGCAACATGGTATCGGCAATTTCTTCATTGAACACTGCCGCGGCCAGGCCAAAGTCGCCAATCTTTGGCACCCACGCCTCGTCCGACAACAAGTCGTCAGGATTGGGGACCGACTCTGACAAGAAATGATTCGATGTGAAATAGCATGAATCCGATGATTCCTCCGAACTTTTCTGTTGTTGACGACGGTGATCCGATGAAGATGACGATGAAGGTCCCAAAAAAATATTGCTCGGTTTTAAATCACGGTGAATCAACCCTTGCTCATGAATATATGCTGCACCCTCGAGGATCTGCCGAAAAATTTCAGTGATTCGTTGAGCTTCGCATGCGTCCAGGCAGTTATCCCCACACCGTCGATTGCGGGATTTGATGTAATCGTACAAAGTCGCTGTGAAAATCCATCCAAGGTCAGAACAACATCCAAAAAAAAAAGCATCATCAACCAAATTACTTACTTGGACAGAGTTGCATCTGGATAAAGAGGGTCCAATCGCCTTCATCCATGAGATCGGCAGATGTGTTGCTTTCTGTGTGAGTGTATCCCGAGTGGGTAAAGGAAGACTGATCATCATCGCCAAAATAGATAAAATCGCCTTCTGAATCATTCCGTCCGAGCCCTGAGGGGAGCGTTTCGTTGGACAAGAGCGAGGTGGTAGAAGGCATGTAACTGTCTTCGAAAGAGTCATGCTTCGTTTCGGATTGGACGTCGTATTCGAGCCAGGAAGAATAGTATCGAATCACATTGTGGTGCTCCAAACGGGCCAGATGTTTGATTTCCCGAAAGATCTTTTCGTACGGATTGGAATGTTCGCCGTCCTCCAAATCTTTGCCTAGACGCACTTTTTTGATGGCGTATTCAATCCCATCCAGCTTGTTCCGGCATCGCCAAGCACTCGCAAACCCTCCTTTGCCAAGCAACCCAAGCTCAATAAAGTCGTTATCATAGCGAGAATTTTGCACACTCAGATTATGAAAAAAGTGGGGCTGTCCGCTTCGATTCGTGCCGTTAGAAGTAGAGTGGCTCAACGTGGCAGTGGGTGTCAAATTTTCCCGCTGCATGGAAAAATAATCTGGTTGTCTTTGCTGCTGTTCCTCTTCCTCTTCCTCCCTTGCGTTGGCCTGAGCGGACGTATCAAGTAACCGTCTCTGACTCTCCACTTGCTGAAGGGCTTCACTACGTACGGTTTCTACAACAGTGTTGAAGAGACTGTGAAAAGCTTGCTGATACGACGACCGGACACTGGTCATTTCTTCCACGAATTCGTCATCAATGAATCCAAATGAACGAAGGGTGCGACAGATCAAGCCAAACACTCGACTATTGGCTTCAGCGGAATCACCATAAATTTGACAAAACCACTCAATGAGCGAGACAAGCAGCATCTTTGTTTGCCGACGCTTGAATGCGACCTGGCTGGGATTGCTGTTCCTTGGAAGTAGATCGTAACGGTGGTGACTGGAACCAGTGTCGCTCATATCCGTAGGTGACGCAATGGTATAACTCGCTGCAGAAAATTATTAGTGAAGTGAGAGCTATAAGTGGTTGAGTTAAACTGGGTGGGTTAATAATATTTACCATTGCTCGACTCAAAGGCAATACTGATATCGTCGTCTTGGTCCATGCCGTGAGATTCATCGGTGGACTGATAGCTGTGGGAACTTTCAGAAAAGACAACAGAAACTTCCTGAAAGTCCTTGAACGAAACAGACTTCATGGACTTCATCGCAGTTGATGAGAAGTATCAACAGATACAGGCAACAAATATCGAATCCAAAACAAAAGAAATGGGGAGTCTTATTGAAAACTGACAAAACGGCGGGATGCGAATATTTGAATCATCCACCAGTCATTGACACTCTGTCCGTTTTCCCTGTTTTCTCTTGAGCCCTTCATGCAAGGTTATGTTGTCTTTCTTAGCGGGACTCCTTTTCCCCTGGCTTGGTTGGGATCCAAAAAGTGATAACCTTAAAAAAAAACATTTCTGTACTCCATCCATCCATGCTAAGCAGAAATAAACATCGTCCATGCTTAAAACTGCATTGATATTCGGACTAACTTTAAATCCCGTCAATGATGCCTCAATGACATCAATCAAAGATGATCAGAAAGGTGCCTGTAGTGAACAGTAGACAGTCGATACTACAGCGAGTGTGTCATGGTTAATATGAAATGCAAACGAAGAAAAGAATGCAATGTTATTTCTAAAAGCTCCCTGAATGTCGTACAGACAAAGCCCAATAATAAACACAGATTATCATGCTTGTAAAAACGAATCTATGCTGATACTTTTTTTTTTTTGTTTTTTTTTTGTTTTTTTTTGGCTGTGCATACTATGTATTTGAAAATGAACAAATCTACGCACGCATCACCTTGGTCTTTTTTTTTTTCAAGCATTCCAGGGCAAATAGTCAACGATTCTAGAAACCGTATTTCGCTGGAGCAGGAATGTCCAAAAACAGAAAAATTCGCAGATGGCAAATACATAAAACACCCGGCCAATGGCATGATCCCTTCAAAATGATAGGTTGAAAGAAAAGAAAAAAAAAAAAAAGGACACCCACACAAAATAGTTCTGGACATACCGCTTCCAGCATGAGCGGATGTCTGGGTCCTTCCTTAGACGGTGGAGCCATGTGGCAGCGATTGGGTCACCCAAGGCAGACAGAAATGGATATCCCATCTTTCCCAAAATGAACGGCACAATCTTGATGGTGCAGCGATGATTGCCAAAAAAGGCAGGTCTCGGAGATTAAATGTGTGGCTCCAGAGGGGAAATGGATGGCCTTTTCTTTCTGCGATCCCAGATGTGACTTGGATCTAGGCTGGATGGCCATTAAAGGCAATCGAGACGAGATCAAACAAAAGATGGATAAGCACTATCAAGAACTATATATATAAGGTCTTGACATTTTTCGGTAAAATCATAAAGAGCTCTTTCCTCCCTCAGTTTCATTCTCTCCGTTCGTCAAGTCCTTATTCTTTTCAAATCATTCATCATGGCACCACCCAGAGATACCGCTTCTGACTCCAACGATCGTCCTCGCGAACCTTTTGTGTCGCCTTACATGCCGAAATATCCTGACCCAATGTCCAATGTTTCCAACTTTAAAATCATTGAATCCACTCTCAGAGGTAATTTACTGTTCTTTTCCCACCATGATGTGCTTTCCGCCTTTTTTTTTTTCCTCCATGGCTCTTACGGATCCAAAATTCATGCAAAACATATTAATTCCACAATTTCACATTGATTAGAGGGCGAGCAGTTTGCCAACGCCTTTTTCGACACGGCCAAAAAGATTGAAATTGCCAAGGCATTGGATGAAGTGGGTGTGGATTACCTTGAATTGACTTCGCCCGCCGCTTCTGAGCAATCGTTCAATGACTGCAAAGCCATTGCCCAACTGGGATTGAAAGCCAAGATTCTGACTCACACTCGATGCCACATGGATGATGCTCGTTTGGCGGTGGAAACCGGTGTGGACGGTGTGGATGTGGTTATTGGAACCTCTAGCTACCTTCGTGAGTTCTCGCATGGAAAGAACATGGAATACATCATCAACAAAGCTGTCGAAGTCATCACCTACATCAAGAGCCAGGGTCGCGAAGTTCGATTCTCCACCGAAGATTCATTCCGCTCCGATCTTGTCGATCTCTTGAGTGTGTACAAGGCCGTGGACAAGATTGGTGTTGACCGTGTCGGTATCGCTGATACCGTCGGTTGCGCCAATCCTCGCCAAGTGTACGAACTCGTCAAAACCTTGCGCAGTGTCGTCAACTGTGACATTGAATGTCATTTCCACAATGATACTGGTTGCGCCATTGCTAACGCTTATGCTGGTAAGTGAACCTCGTTATAATTTCATTGACTCCAGTGTATATTTATACTTTTTCCTTTTTTTTTTCTGCAGCTTTGGAAGCCGGTGCTACTCACATTGATACATCGGTTCTCGGTATTGGTGAACGTAACGGTATTACTCCTTTGGGCGGTTTGTTTGCGAGAATGTATACTGCCGACAGAGACTATGTGATCAACAAATACAACCTCAAGAAATTGCGTGATGTGGAAAACATTGTGGCCGATTCCGTCGAGGTGAGCTCATATCCATCAACAACCCGTCAATTACCAAAGATTTGCATATTGATCACCTTTTTTTTCATTTGACTTAGGTTTCTGTTCCTTTCAACAACTACATCACTGGCTACTGTGCATTTACTCACAAGGCGGGCATTCACGCCAAGGCAATTCTGAATAATCCTTCTACTTATGAAATCTTGAAGCCGGAAGATTTCGGTATGTCTCGATACGTGTCCATTGGACATCGATTGACGGGATGGAATGCCGTCAAGAACCGAATCGAACAGCTTCAGCTTGACGATCTCAATGACGATGATGCCAAGGCTGTCACACAAAAGATCAAGACCTTGGCCGATATCCGACCTTTGAGTTTGGACAATGTCGATGTCCTGCTGCGACAATACCATGAAGCCAAGAAAACCTCCAGTCATCACGTTGTCCTTCAAAGCATTCAAAATCCCGATCAATTGGCTCAAGCCCCTCTCACCGCCCCTGCCACCGCATAGAAAAAAAAATTACGAATCTCTCTTTCTACCTATTTGTCTCTTTTCTTCTTTGCTTTCTTCCATCATTTCACGCTTACCCACATTTTTGATCTCTTGTACCTTTCATCATTCATCATTTGTCCTATAAATAATATCACTGTGGTCTCTTTTTCATCATCTCAAGATGACACATGAAATCCGTCTTTTTTTATTATTATTATCATTATTTATCTTTGGCTTATCAGCGAGAGAAGAGTGAGAGAGGAAAAGTATAATTTGACAAGATCAATGTTATTGTTGAATTGAAAATGTTAATTAAAAGAGTCCAGTGACCTGACCGGCTTCGTCCAAATCAACATCAAAGAAACAAGGTCGTGTAGGCAGACCGGGCATGGTTTGCATCGAACCAACCAAGGGATATAAGAAGCCTGCACCGACCGAGGCGCGAATATCACGGATGGGCACCGTGAAACCCGTGGGCACACCCTTCAATGCAGGATCGTGACTGAAGCTGTATTGCGTCTTGGCCATGCAAATCGGCAAGTGACCAAAGCCTTGCTTGGTATAAGTGGCGATCTTTTCTTTGGTCAAATCGCTCAATTCCACTCCATTCGCGCCGTAGATCTCTTTGCAAATAATCTCAATCTTGGCTTCAATCGACTGGTTCACATCGTACAGGAATTTGAACTCCTTTTCCTTGTTGCATGCCGCAATCACCGACTTGCCCAAATCAACTGCACCAAGACCACCCCGAGCCCAGTGATCGCACGCCACAGCATCATCCGCACCGGCTGCCAAAGATGCCTTGCGAACCACATCCATCTCAGCATCGGTATCCGATCTATCATATTCAAATGAATTAAGCTCAAGTCCATCACCTTGTTTTTTTTGAGATTTTTTTGGCTTACGTGAAACGGTTGACGGCCACGACGACGGGCATACCAAACTTCTTTGCGTTTTGGATGTGTTTGGCGAGGTTGGCACAACCCTTTTCGAGGAATTCGAGGTTCTCTTCGGTGTAGGCATCAGGCAAAGGTTTGCCAGCGACCACTTCAGGAGCACCACCGTGCATTTTGAGGGCACGTACCGTAGCGACAATGACCACGGCATCGGGAACAAGACCTGACACGCGACACTTGATGTCAAAGAATTTCTCCATGCCCATATCAGCGCCGAATCCGGCTTCGGTCACCACATAGCCCGGTTCCATTTCGTCACTGCTGGTACCGGCCAGTTTCAGTGCAATCTTGTCGGCCAAAACCGACGAGTTACCGTGAGCAATGTTGGCAAAAGGTCCCGCGTGAACAAGCACCGGTGTACCTTCCAAGGTCTGCATAATGTTGGGCTTGATGGCATCCTTCATGAGTACCGTCAGTGCACCACCAATACCGATATCATCAGCCGTAATCGGTTCGCCGGATTTCGAACTGGCCACCACCATGTTACCAAGACGCTGACGCATATCTTGAAGATCGGTTGCCAAAGCGAGGACGGCCATGATTTCACTGGCCACCGTGATATCAAATCCAGTTTCCCGGGCTTGACCCTTTTCTGTTGGGCTCTGACCCACTGTGATTTTGCGCAAGAAGCGATCATTGGTATCCATCACACGCTGCCAAGTAATCGTGGCAGGATCAATATCCAAACGAGCAAATCGTGCCTTTTCTTCATCCGTTAATTCGCTGGGTTCAGTCTTGTTGATGCCCAATTTCTAGAGGATGATCGAACATATCAAAGGAAAAAATGAGACCCGTGATGCAGGCAAAATATTTAGGAGATAAAGAAGAGAAGAGAAAAAGATTGTCCAGTTTACCTGAAGACGCTTGAGCATGACGGGAGCGAATTTCTGAGCTCCCTTTTGGGTGGGACACAAGCGGTTGAACAAGGCCTTGTCGGATTGGGTATTTTCGTGGAACATGCGGGCATCAATCGCCGCCGCTGCATAACCGCTCATTGAGTACAAAGTTCTCACACTCACTGGGTATTATTGGTGTCTCTAGCATCTACGATCAAGCAACTTACCTAACAAGTTGTTGGCGGCGGTCACAGCGTGCAAATCGCCGGTTAAATGCAGGTTGAATTCATCCATAGGAATGACTTGCGAATAGCCACCACCGGCGGCTCCGCCCTTGATACCAAAGGTAGGACCTTGCGATGGTTGACGTACACAGGCAAAAGCGACCTTGTTCAAATGGGCTCCCAGCGCCTGAACAAGACCAATGGTCGTGGTGGACTTGCCTTCACCAAGAGGAGTAGGCGTGATACTGCAAGAAAAAACAAAGAGCAATAAACTAAAGTCAGCATATCATTTGGCTGGAAAATAATTTTCAACGCATTGGTGTTACCCAGTGACCACGATGTAGCGACCATCCTTGCGATGTTCAAGGCGCTTCAACACATCCAAGCCGATCTTGGCCTTTGTATTGCCGTAGAGCTCGTACTACATAAGAAGGGGATTATAAGGACGCGCTGCGTTAAAGGTCTAGCGCTTTTCATGACTTACTTCGCTACCACCGAGGCCAAGTTCTTGGCAGAGTTCACCGATGGGTTTGGGGGTTTGCGACTTTGCGATTTCAATGTCTTTGGGAACGGGCGTCTGCAGAGTCAAAGGCAAAGGCTTGATTTGACGCTGTTCACTCTTGTACAGCCATCGCTCGGAACTGACGCGGGTATTTTCCATCAACATGGCCACAGTCATAGGACCGACACCACCGGGGACAGGAGTAATGGCACTGGCCACTTTGACCGCTTCACTGTACTCGACGTCACCGACCAAACGGGTGCCAGATTTACGCGTAGCATCTAAACCGCCGCAAATTTATTTAGACAATCCAAGGAAACACGAAAAACGGGATGTCTCGCATGACTTACCAGGAATGGCGTTGGTACCAACATCGATAACGATAGCGCCGGGCTTGATCCAGCTTCCCTTGACGAATTCGGGCTTACCAATGGCCACCACCAGGATATCGGCCGTACCAATAACAGCAGCAATATCCTTGGTGCGAGAGTGACATACGGTGACGGTTGCATTTTCAGCCGTCAACAATGTAGCCACAGGAGCACCCTAAGTCGACACGTGGGAATTAAGAGTGTGTTCATGGCGCAATGATGATATCTAAGGTGAGCTTACCACAATATCACTACGACCCACCACGACGGCGTTTTTGCCACTAATGTCGATACCTGGATAAGGAAAACAAAAGTTAGTTTGTGATGCCAAAAACATCCTTAAAGAAATCTGGATAATTACCGGTGGATTTCAAGAGAGCGATGGCGCCCTTGGGTGTGCAGGGAAGGAAGAGAGGCACGGCGGCCTTTTTAGCCATATTACCAATATTGACAGCGTGGAAACTAGCCAAAAAGTGCAGATTAGGAATTGAGCCACTTATCCTATATCAAAAACAACCGGCCAGGAACCAGGGAAAAGAAAAAAAAATAGCGTACCCATCGACGTCTTTTTGATAATCAATAGCTTCGACAACCTCAGCTTCATCGAGATGAGCGGGAAGGGGCATTTGAACGAGGATACCGTGGACTCGGTAGTCATCATTAAGTTCCTTAACTTTACGGAGCAATTCGGACTGAGTGATGGTTTCGGGGAGCTTCAGATGAGTGAATTGAATGCCAGCCTAAGCATCATGGAAACGCAGCGCAGAAAAATTTAGTATTTTTACCTGATCACACATAACAAGCAATTGCAAAAGAAAAAATAGACAAACCTCTTGAGCAGCTCGGTTCTTCATTCTCACGTAGACGGAAGAGTCTTCTCGTGCACCGACTTGCACAACGGCCAGGTGAGGAGCATAGTGAGGATATTTAATCTTGAGCGCCGCAATATCCGCTTTGACTTTTTCGCGCACGGATCTGTCAGGGGGAAGGGAGGAACGAAGAAGAAAAAGAGACAAAGAGATCATGAGCATGGAGAATCGGATCCAGCAAAGTCAAGCCCGAGAAAAACTGCTTACGCTGCATAGGCTTTGCCGTCAATTACTGCTGCATTCTGGGTAGTCATGGTGAAAAAAAGACAGTTTCAGTGAATGAAGCAATGTTTCGCTGTTCTGTGAGCCCGCCCTTTAATTTATACCCGATCGGGTGATTGCTCAAACCCCACCGGTGAGAGTTGACTAACGCTCCTTATTGGTTGAAATTTAAAAGCAGAGCAAACAAGCGAGTAGATCATCTCTTTTTTCGCTACTCTTAAGAATTTGGGGCAGTTTTTTTGTCTTGAATCGCATCACCATGCTTCTTTTGGAATCACAGTACTTCTTTTGGGATGACAATACTTCTTTTGGATCACAATACGTCTTTCTTTCTTTCGTTTTTGTAGGGGTACCTCTAGGTCGGAGTCTGGTTTCATTAAAGTGCACAGACAAACGAAGAGATGCCTATAACCTTATACATTGGGCTATCGTAGAGCATCAAGAGGAAGAGACGACGACATACCAACGTTGCGGGTTAGTTACTTTACCAGACAGAGCCACGCGTGCGTCGTTATCTCAACGTCCGCGAAATATGCGGTTCCCAACATTGCAGCAATCAAAGCGAGAGAACAACCAGCGGCGGGATTTGAATCCATCGTCACCTTTGAACGCGTCACAGAAGGTCACCTGCCTGGACCAGGACAAGCAGGGCTTGCGCGCCTCCGGATTATCAATGCTGAATGTAAGATAAATAATGCTTCTAACAAGCGGTGAGACAATCAATACCCATTGGTTTTGGTAGCCAACCAACGTTAATGCCGTTTGTGCATCAAAATAATTTCTTATTTTTCAGAATACGGAGGGCGTACATTTAGAAACGACACTGTATAACTTGAAAAATAATTGTCGTGCCACATATAATTTATTGGTATGTCTGGTAGATCTATAATATTGACACGCCTAATGGATTTACTGACACGCTGTTGGGCGTTTCAGATTGTGGATAGATTGGTAGAAAATGTGTAAGTAGTTCGATCAGTTCGTTGTCAGTGAGCACCGGAAATATGTATGCACGATATGTATCAGATTATAAAGTTCGTCAAATTTCGACGAAGATGGAATGAAAATAAAGAAAAAAAAAGTGCGCTTTACTTAAGCGTATTGATAAAGAAGATCAGAAGAAATGTGTTGATAAGAGAAAGCAATTTTAATAAAGCAATTTAAGCAAGTTAGCAGTTCTAATGATGTAAAGTAGCTCTAAATAGTTTCTAGCAATCTTACCTTTGTAGATAAAAGAAACATCAGTTAGATATACTCTCTCTTTGGCATTGCCTTTATATATAGATTCTTACATGGAAAACTGTTTCCTAGGGTGTACGATGAGCGGATCGTCGTTCGCCGCTCATCGTGAAGCTTCCTTCCGATAATTGCTCGTTGCAGATCGGCGATAACGGTACCCGTACCGACTCGGAATCGATATCAATGTTTTTTCTACCACTTTCGGAATCGTAATAAGTGAATATGGTACATGGCTGAAATGGGTGGTGAGAGGCGAGATAGCTGGATGCTCGGCAGAGGTAGTATGTTGATGGCTGGTGAAAATGGGATCGAAGTTGACGCCTGTCCCATCAAGTGGTATGGCTCGATCGATCGACTATCTTCCTTGGAGACGGGTCTTTGAGCCTTGATCCAGCTCTCCTTGTCAATGTAAACTGCGGTTGTCTTTGGTGACACGGCAAACGAAAAAGATAACGGGCCTACATCAGGGCTTGCTTAAAAATCCAACCGTATGCTTGAGGTGACAAGGGCTGTGCATGACAGCGTCCCGATAATGAGCTTTCGGCCGCCTCTGGTGCTGCGGGAACAATACCACAAGTTCGGGATCCGCGATGACGGTGGAAAAGCTGGTTCTCCTCAGAGATGTATACTTCGCGATGGATGTCTACTGTTTGGTACGCCCATAAATTTCGACTCAACATCACACCAGTTGCGAAAGATTTCCCAGAAACGTCGAAGGAATCTGCATTTTCTGCTTTCAATAACGCCACCATGCGATTCAAAGAGAATTTCCTTCTTGCTTCAACGATAGGCAGAGACTGGTTCCGATTCTTTTTTGCGTAATGGGTTAAACGAACGAACAAGCCTACGACATGTACGAAAATTAAAGCAGGAAGAAAAATGGGACGCGCGGGGAATGATGACGTGTGCTGGCAACATTATGTTTCTCGAAGAAATCTTGGAGGACTAAGTATTGGCCAAAAAATAAAATAAAAAGGAAGCGAGGAAGCGATAAGGCAATTTGTTTCAAGGCATGAAATTAAAATCACTTCTCAGTAATGTCAGAATTCGACCTGCGCTCAAGAACAAGCATGGTGTTTTCGTGTTTTCACGGACCAAATGGACGACGCATAGTAAACCAGTAAGACTCAAGTTGCATCTCACTAAATGGGATCAAAATCCGGAAAAGAAAAATAAGTCCTATAGTTGTCAATGCAAAATTAGCAGCAAATTTTAGAGAACCCCTTCAAATCCCAAGCGGGAATTCAAAAGATCGTGATTAAATGTTTTGTTATGACATTTCCAAAGCAGGTTTCCTCTGTATTTCTTTGTCGTCTATCATCCTGTCGCGTCAAGCTAAGTAGGCAATACATCTCACTGATCCATTCTCGAGTAACAGCACCAGGGCTTCACAGAGCAATGAATAATGCAAAAGATGATTCATGGATAGACTTGTAACTTGAACTATGTAATGATTATAGATCACATGAAAAGTATCTCAGAGATTTCCTGTCGGAAAGATAGACCAGGTTGTATATTCTTGTGATATCTTTTTATTGATGTCTGTTTTGATCTTGTAAAAAATTGCCTTTTATGGCTTATTCTAGTGACGGAGAGCGTTAATGCCTGGAAGCTTATGTCATGCACCTCCGTCCAGATATCCAGGTACTCCTGCCATGCTTCGTTTGCGAGGCGCCGCTCTTCATCAAGCTGCGTTGCGATATTTCTTAATCGTTGCACAGTTGGGTCCTCCGTGAAATCGCCGTACGCAGAGACTTCAAGTCTCTGCGTAAGAAAGACCAACAGTGTGACGTTTGGTTGGAGGCGGTTACCTGCCAAGGATAAGTAAATGGACAGCGAATCAACGAAGTGGCAGCGCCTCGCCCAGGATTTCTCGCGGTGCAGCCGCTGGCTCTCACCGAAGACACAGTTAACGCTCACGGTGCGTTCGATCGAGGACGTGGCGTATATAATGACTACTGGAGTCATGCCCAGCTCGGCAAAGATTTGCTGGCAACTGGACCCGACACGGAAGAGGAAACCCAGGTCGACAATTGCCTCGACTGCCACATGCAGCGGACGCAAAACTCTATGAGGATGCATCCTCGGAAGATAGACGACGCCTTTGAAGGCGTCGTCCTGCCACTGCATGGACCGTAGCTCGTAGCGGTTGGGGGCGCAATTATAAAAAAAAAAAAAAAAAAACAAAGGTATCAATTAGTTTGCGAAGATAATGACTGAACCGGAAAATATGGAACACTTGAACTTACCGACAAATGATCAAGCAAACGTCGTGGTGTTGGTTTTCTTGTACCCGGCAACAGTATAGAATTCGTCGGTTGAAAATTTTCGACTTTTTTTTTCTTCTTTTGGACGATGCATTGTGAGAAAAGTGAATGAAAGAAAAACATTGTCGGTGTAAGGTCAAGGCTTTTTATATGTTTCTTCTTGGAACATATAAAACATCCGACTATTCCAGACCTGTTGCGTAAAAACTCATTCATTCAAGCGAAGAGTCGAGTTATTTCCAGTTACTGAGGTAACTTTGGACTTTTGTCACGGCGACCGCGCTTGGGATACGACTTCTACATTAGAACGCGCTGCGATGATTAAGGTTCATTCTCCACGAAAAGGTCTTGATACCGTTCTCGAATCTGTTCTCAGTGCGAATGCTGTAAAATTTATTATGCAAATAGTGTGCTACTCATAAACGAACAACTTTATTGTGTAGCCTTACAGTAAACCTTACTAGCATATGAGGTATTGCCGAACATTTGCACTGTAGTTCTAATGAGCTTAAAGTTCCAAATTTTTATGGATTTGCCCCAATAAGTTTCTGCATGAAAAATTTTACCTTAGTTTTTGTTACAGGATATATATTTCTGTGATTAGCGACAGAAAAGGCGAGTGAGCGAATTTCTACAGTACATATTGTTGTTCGAAGATAACGGTCTTCATCGACAATTTTGTTTTTCATACGCTTTTTCAGAATGCATCAACACAAACGACGCCGCCTACAAAGACGCTAATAGCAGGAACAATAGCTTTCAGCTTCCAAACGCAACCCCTCCCACCGTTACCGTACAAAACATGGAAACAAGCGCGGAAATTGTTCTTTACGTAGTTCGTGGTCTGGAATATCAACCGTATACAAAAAACGAAAGATTAGATACAGAAAGAAAATACGTCTAGTTTTGGTAGAATAGAGGTTTTGTAAAGCTCTACAACGGACTGAAAGACTCAGAAGGAGCTACTCCGTGGTTCACTTCGTGCATCCGATTTGCGACAGGGGTTCAAGCGCGCAATCCACGAACAATCGTTTCCGCTCCAAAATCAACCTGAATTTATGGCGCTAGGGCGCCATGTTGACCGAGGATCGGTTAACTCCGCTCCGTTTCCATCCAAAATGGACAACAACAGCCTAGTATCGTATTAGGGGAGGAACGGCTTGAAATATTCCAACATGCGCCATAGTAAGACGGGTGCTCATGCCGATAGGCGATCTGGGAGGTGTTTTCTTTCTCCGCCATCGCTGTATTGCGCACAGATTTCGTCCTTTATCACCCATTATCCTCCGCCTTTCCCTTTGATTTTGAATTGATGCTAAAGTTTCTTGGCCCAATACGGTATTTCCTTGGGCCACCGTTCACTTGTGTGCGCACAGTCACGAAATGGTCGCGTGACACTTCAAAGATTAAGACCACGGGCGTCCACGCCAACAATTCACTCCATCGATGGACGGCCGATCAGGAAAAGCAATTGTACGAGATACTGCAACATCATCAGCTCCCTGTCACGGATCCATACACGCTTCCCGGCTCTTCAGCTGTGCCGGCGAAAAAAGGTCCGTTCCAGCATCACACATTCAAAAGGCGGGAACTCACCGCGACGCCTCCTCGCTGGACACAGCCAGAATGTGACGCACTAATGGAATCGGTGGACAAGTTTGGTACCAAATGGAGCGCCCTTGCCTATTATTTCGGTCGACCGGCCAGAAGCCTTACATCACGGTATTACTACGCGAAAGAAGGTAGTGCGAATAGAGCCAACATGAATCTGTTCTGACCGATTTGCTAACCCCGTGCACATGCCGCCTATAGGAAAGGCGCAAAAGCATTACTGGAAGTGGACTAAGGAGGCGGACAAGCGTCTCATGGCGCTGGTCGTTGAACATGGGACGGATGCTTGGGATCTGGTTGGAGCCGAATTGGGACGTTACAAGGCACATTGCAAAGCACGGTATGCAGCGCTGGAAAAAAAAGGTAAGCTTTATGCTGCCATTGGTTTCAAGAAAAAGAAATCACTGACCTACCGTGTTCTGTTCTTTTCAAAAGATCAATCCAGGTTATTCAGTCAAGCGGAAGAACAAGCCATTCTTGAAGCGGCCCAAATATATGGGAAAAAAAACTTTCAAGCTATCAAGAACATCACGGGCGTTTCCGCTTCGGCCAAGCAAATTAACGAGTACTACCGATGCCATCTCGATCCCGCATTCGATCGTTCCCCGTGGACGCTGGAAGAAAAGCTGAGACTCTACAAACTGTATCAGGAGCTTGGCAACATGAAGTCCGTCCGCAAATTAATGCCCAAGCGAAGTCCGTACGATTTGCACAAACAATACCGTCTTATTCGCCGTCTCGTTGAATTGGGACGGATCACCATAAACGATGACAAAGATAAACAACCATTTAACCAAAAGCATCAGCAACACAGTGACGACGACCATAATCATGAACAACTCGATGTAAATTCAATGACGAAAACAAGTATAATACGATTAAATAGATAAATAATAAAAAGATCACTATGTATATATATATTTATTACATCACAAACAAACAGAAAGAGTGACAAAGAGAGAGAGAGAGAGAGAACCTCAAGGCTTTATTTCGTTTTTTTTTTTTTACTCTTTGCCAGTGTAGCCGATGGGCATGCTGTCACAGTGCAAGAGAGCGGATGATCGATGATCGCCGTACGCAGGTGGAGCGGCGGGATGGGGCCTCCGACCAGTCAGGGCACCGTGGTCGTCGTTGACCACAACAATCATCGGTAAAGAAGAATGAGGGCCAGTGCCGGCTTGAGGCATGGGTCGAAAAGAAGGAGGACGAACCGAGCTTGGGCGAGTGACGGTATCGTAGGGAACCGACGAAGGTGGGGAGAAGGCGTTGGTATCGGTTTTCTGAGTACGGCCGGTCAGTTTTTGCAGCAAAGATTGACGTTTCTCGGTATCCTGTGCGTACAGTTGCTTGAGCAGCGAAGGTTTCATGGCTTCCAATTCGGACGCAGTAATGTATTGCACTTGCGGTGCCGTGCTCGATTGATAATACTGTTGCATCTGTTGCTCAAACTGCCGCACTTCTCGTTTCGTCGGGCTCGTGGCTTTGTGGAAAATGTACACGAGCAAGCCCATGATGATAAAGAAAGCAATCACGATAATGATAATGAAGAGAATATCGTTGGTCGAAGGATTGGCCATGGTTAATGAATGGAAAGAATGGGGCAAGAGTCACTCACAAAAAAGAAGAAAAAAAGAAAGAAAGAACAAAGCGAAACAGGTCGAAACAGAACGAGACAAATGAGGCTTCCTACCACGTTGGTCGTTTGGACAATTTTGAGAGAACAATAAGAACAGGATAATGAAAGGAAATCAAATGATCAATGCGCTGCTTCTTCTTGATTGTTTCTTTTTATGAATGGCCTCTATTTCTTTTTTTTTCTTTTGTATAAGAAGTCAAACGAAAGAAAGACAAGAAGCCCAACAAAAAGGAAAGGGGGGAGGAGGAGGGGAGGGGGAAGAGAAGAAGAAAAAGTGATAGCTGATGGCCGAGGATGAGCGTAGGTTAATAAAGTATCAAGTCAATCACTGTGCTCAAATTGAAAGGGAGAAATTTTTGCGTGACGGGAGGACCCAAATCGAGCGATGCACCATGTGTCTCCTTATTTACCATTTCATTTTTTTTATCATCAGCTCATACCCTAGAGCTCATCGTGAAATAGTAGATCCACTTCCAGATACTCGGCTGTAAAGATACGAAACAGGATCGCCAGGTTGCGCACCATTGATGGATCGATACAATCCGCATTATCCTATGAAGAAAGAAAGAGCATTTAGTCTTGAGTACAAAGTTCAGTTTTGATTGTTGTCAATTAATCATCGTGACGATGGGACCTTTGGAGACTTACACCGCTATTATGCCAAACGTCTGGAAAAGGAAAAGGGATGCAGTGAAGGATATCGACGCCTCGACGCAGAAACGGCACATGATCATCTTCAATAGCGTAGCTTTGGAAAGTCATGGGCGAGTGAGGATCGAAAATGGGTAACAGCGCTTCCCCTGTCTTGACTGAAACGGTTTCCAGCAACTTTAATTGATGCAATCGAGCTTCCAGCCGAAACAGTTTTTGGAAAAGCCCACTGGTGGCCGGGAAGTAATTAGGAATCGAGGGGTTCGTGGTACCCAGCAGATCCAAAAGCACCAGCACTTCAATCTCGGCTAGTTGATTGGTCGTCGTACTTGTTGGGCCGGTTATATCACTGTCGATCATCCTGGGCGCACTCCACCGTTCTGCCAAATGCCTATTATTCGTCATGTTAGCATCATCTATCATCTGCGAACGCTTCCAGTCTAGCTTGCCTCGCTCCGTAAATCGAGTCTTTCGGTCCCCATTTCTTGAACGCTTCTTCCCCATCGAAAAATATCATTTGCAACGTCGTTCCTTTCTTATGCGCAGCTGGGTCGTCCAATGCTCGGTTCAGACTGGTTGCTATATCCATCAGAATCGCGCACGGCACCGCCGAGTCGGTGGCGCCAATAAACGCATAGTCGGGTTTACGCAGAGAATCAAAGTGGGCGGCAAGCACCAATCGCTTTTCGGCGGTGGGATCTTTGGTCACAATGATATTGGTGAACTGCACCGGTCCATCCGGAGTGGTGTCGGTAAAATTGTCGAGTTCCACGTGCCATCCCAATGACACAAAGTGAGCTGCAATGAACTCTTGCACACGTCGATTGCTTTCGGTGCCTGACACGCGTTCCACTAGCAGTGGCTTCAATAGTGGACCGTCAATGTCCAGCCGACCAGATTCCGAAAGTTGCGCCAACTGGCGCATGGACTTGCTCGACTGTAACTTGTATCCATTCACAAACGAGACAAGTTCAACCGTGACACTCACCAGCAGCAGCCACCGACATGCGAGCCACCACTTCATTTTCTTGTTACAAATGCCAACCAAAGAAAGATGTCCGAAAAAGGAAAACGGGAGAGAAAAGCAAACTTTCTTTCAGTTCATACGTCTGAGCATTATTTTAAAGTTTTACTAGGGTGGTGGAGATAATAAAAAGTAAGTGCAATATAAAATAACTAAGCTGTAAGGGAAAAATAAGGTGAACAAAAAAAAAAAAAAAAAGGATGCTTTGATTTGAACGGAAGCATGTATGTTGTGGGAATCTTTTTTTTTTCTTTCTTCAATGACGTTGGCTTCTATTCGTCGGGCATGAATATCTTTTCCATGAATTGATCATAGTTCCTGGAACAAAAAGAAAGATTAAAAACGATGAATGAATACGGAGAATAACATTGCTGCATACCATGAAGATACTTTATGCCGTTGGGTAATCGTACGCACATCATTCGCTCGATGAGCGAAAACACTCTTATAAAATGAATATAAATTAGTATGAACGGAGGCGCGGAATGCATTGATGGCTGTCGCGCGCACAAGAGGACCAAGCGTGGCTTGAGATACAATGGTATGATTCATAAGAGGGCCGAAATTGGGTATCTACAGAAAGGTAGGGTATTAAGAAACGAGCGGGCGACCCGCAAATGCAATATTAGAGCTGACCTTGGGGTCTCGATAGACTTGAACAGAAAATAACTTGTTGGGGAGGGGCGTGACAATGATCTGAGCGTTACCAAAGTCACCACCAATGGTGCCGACACGATAGTCTCGTACATGTTCATTCCACACAATATGAACATGATCGTTGCCAATGTGTCGTTTCTAAATTTAAACAACTCATTAATCCTTGTTCAAAATGCAACATCGTCTCCGCATAAATGTGTTTGGTCCGGCAGTTACCTTTTTCAACTGTTTAGGATCATGGAGATCGGTCGGCATCTTTGTCACGTCGTGGAAAATCATTTCAAGCGTCGAAGTGCAGTAATAATTGGCACACGCACCATTCGTAAGATTGCGTTCCAATCCACCGAGGTAGCCTGTATGGGTAGCAATATCGATCTCCCAACCCAGACTTTTGACAAAATCGTTGTATATTTCACTGCCTTGATCGTTTTGCAAAATGCTGGTCTCATCTTCCTGACCCAAACCGACATAGATCAATCCAATCTTCATCGTTTCTCGTCTATTCGACCAATTGTCAGCAACCATTTTTACTTTTAAACACTTTTGGATCGATTTGCATGAAATTCAACCACTTACCCATGCTTGCGATCGAGCCCTCGGAGATCGCGATACAAGCTGGCAGATTTCTTCAGAATCTGGAATGAACCGTCCTTCAAGTGTTCATAGTTGATGAAGCCAAAGTGGCTCATTAACAGACGGCACTGCTGGAACGGTACATGCGACTTTTCGGTGCCGTGAGGGAAGACTGGCAAAAATTCCTTTTGTAGCGAAAAGTTGGCCATGAGATGGGTATGCATCGACTCGGGGGTCCTTTCCGCTCGTTCTCGCGCTTCCTTTCGACGCAGGATATTGAGTTTGGAATACCATAATCGACTAGTCGACCACCAGAGCCAATAAGTACATCCATCACTTTAATACTCATTTGGAAATACTCACACTCCGGATTCTTGCTGTGCATTACTTGCCGCTTCATCCCGCAAATAATCATCCAATTGCTCACCCAGACGGCCTACCATATCCATCTGCAATTGCGAAAGCTTGGCAGGGCCGTTCAGTGGCGCCGTGGAATCCAGTAAACAATCGGAATGTTGATCACCAATCCTACCATGGCATGTCAGTAGATGCCAAGCTAGAATAAAAACGGTACGAATGGGTCTCTTACTGTTTCAGCAAATCATTTAATGGATCATTTTCGGTGGCACACGGTTCATGGACGGGAGAACTAGGCAACCGAAAGAAGTTTAGGTAAGGACTATCAAATAAAAAAGCGCCCACAAAATTCCGAATATTTTACCTGTGGGCATTTCCAGGTTCATCATCATTGTCGATGGGTATATCCGAGCGGACCACAAACATTTGCTCATTGTCAATTGTATCTTCAGATACATTGACGCCCGCTTCCGGCGAAAGCGGTGAGTTTTCTGGATGCAGTCCGTGAGGCTGTAATTGAGCATCCCAAACATATTTTCCCGTCAAATCACGAAGAATCATTCGTGCCTGTGGACCTATCAAACGCAATAATGAACGTTACATTCACCACTAACGATGGACAAAAAAGAAGTGGAGAAAGACGTACCACTCGTGTCACTGGCAGGAAGTTCAACAAATGCAACAATAGTGGTATCGTTCAATGCGAAGTACTGATACTGCTCGTATTCGCCGTCGTGCTTGTCATCGTTGGCAAGGCCTGGGCCTACAATCGTACTACAAGCAGTGGATTCAACAATCTCTCCTAAGCTTCATCTTTACTTTTGGATGTTACCTGTGCAGCGTGGCCGGGCCGTAAGGCGAAGGAAAGTTGTTAAAGTGATGCAAAAGATGGAACAGCACAGCTTCCGCTGATTCCTGGAAAAAAGGAGCGCCAATGTGAGCTCAAAAGGTTGTAAAACTTGCCTATGAGTAATGAGTAAAGACAAACCTTGACGAAGCTTTGATCCATTTCCACCATTTCGACTGTGGCAGACGTATTGGCGCCTGCGGGAGGAACATGAACGACGGGTCTTTTGTCATTGGCTTTGAACTTGAAAGCCAATTCTTTTCTTTTGCCCGAGCTGGTGCGTGCGGGGGGAGGATGAGGTAACATCTTTTCAGAGTCGCCCTAGATCACAACAAAAAAGATGAATGATTCCGTCTCATTTTTGTTTCGTAGAGGATGGTATTTACCAAGGAAATATGGAATGCGTATTCTATGACATCAAATACCAACTGGCACAACTCGGTATCTGACAGAATAGCAGGTTCGATTACCATGAGCCACTCAAGCAAGCAACTGAACAATTTTGAGATAATCAACCCTAGAGTCGATGCTTTTGTCAGTGTTTTCGTTGCTCTTTGTATTCGTTTTTTCGGCAAAATGTTACCTCGATCGGCTTTGGACCGCCGCTCGTAATCCTTCAAATGGACATTGAGGGCATCGATAATCCTGGCCAACACCTCTTGCACGATCATCTACACAGTTGACATATTTATGAATAGGGTAATCAAAAGGTGAGGGTTTCTGCATCACTGGCACCTACTCTGTCAGGATCGATATCGTCTCGATAGATTTGCGCAAACATTGTCAAGCATTCCACCACCGTATTCACCGTAGTGAGATTGCACCAATACAGATGATTTAGTAAAGCCAACAGACAGTCGTCAATGATATCGCGCTGCGGTCTAACGACAACTAGGTATTAGTACAATTCCGAAATTTCATTTTTTAACAGTGCATCCTAAAATCTTACTCTGGGCAAGACAGCAACTCGTCCAGGGCTACGGAAGCGAGAGCTTTGAGAAGCATGGCATGGGCTCCGGTATCTTCCTCGGCTTGGGTGCCAAGGATATCCGCATTGACCAATCGCATCAATAAATCTTTCAACCACACTTTAATCTTCAATTCATTGGGAAAAAAAAAAGAATGAGTAAATATGGCTTTCATGCCCTACCATCAGTTACTCACATCTTTGAATCGAAATTCCGTTTCTTTTAGTTGCATCCAATGCTTGATGTCTTCATCAATCGGTATTTGTACATCCGGCAAATGATTCGAGATGGAGGCTAGGGAGGCCAAGATGATAATACAGCTTTTACGCACTTGATTCGGAATCTCCTTTGCATTAGGTCCATCCAATAACTGACATAAAAAGATCATTCTAGTCAGTAAGCGTTGTCTGGCTCGTTTGAATTTCTACGGTGTCGCGTACCTGCTTCTCAATGGCATGAAATAGAGGTGGAATAAGAATGTAGACTCCAGGTAGGCAGAACGTGAAGAGACGCTCCGAATTGCGGATAATGGCTTGGATAATGACATGATCATCGGAAGCAAGACCCTGTAACGCAAGTATTGTCAATCATTCCATTTCCTCATATTGCCTGCAGCTTTTACCTTTAAAATAGCTTTGTAGAAATGGGTATAGTAATCTGCAGACACATCCACCTCTGGTCGACGCGACATTAGACGGCACAGGCAGCCAAACGCAGCGGCCCGTCCAGCATCATAGGTTCTAATGATGGAAATAAAAGAAAACGAACATGAGTTATTACTATACCTTCAACAAACGGTACACGTTTGGGAGGCTTTCTCTTACGCTGGCATTTCGGTTGCCTCAAACAACCATGGCGACACCTCATATAGTGCTGGTATAGACACATCGCGGTAAGGTTGCTGAGCATGAATCTGAATTAAAAATAATTATCGTGTTAGGGTATTCTCTGCTGCCTCTATCGGGAAGGTGCGACGGTTGCGCTACTTACCCAAAGCAAAATGTCCCAGATATCGACCACACAATTCATGGCAGTAGCATAGTTTTGTGGTCCCTATATCCAATCATTCGTCATTGACAGATTCACAGATTCGCAAGGCGATATAATGAATCTGAGCCGAGCTTACCTCGATTTTGTTGATATTGCCCACGACGCACAGCATGTTTTTCCAAATAGCGAGCACGGCTTGCCCATCATAAGAGATATTGGATAGATAAAGAAACTCGATGCTTCGAAAGATGCCTAATCCAGGAGGCAGGCGTTCATTCACTATAAACAGATCAGTTATCAGCTTTTTTTTTCGTCTTATCGTCGACATGATAAACAATCAACATACAATTGGACTAGCAAAAAAGTATGGTCAGTATCAATGCAAGGTGCACGAAGCAATTGAACTTACTCTACTGGACATGGCGAGGTTATCTTCGACGAGCTGGCGATCCATGGAACTACTGGTACTGCGACGATCCCAGTCGGTTATTTTTCCATTTTTGCGATCGTCGTCCTCTTTTGCCGCGGCGGCGTTGAGGGCTTTGGAGGTCGAGGGCTGCGGTCCACCTTCCAAGATCTTATCATTGGTGCCTCCTGCCGAATGATGCACAAAATTGAGCAGTTTACTCCCTGAATCCTGCCACAAATTGTCGAGCTGATGAATACTCATGGTGCGACGACCACTGCCTCGTTTTGAAAGTCCCGACCCGGTGGTACCGGCGCCCGTCGTACCGTGGCTGGCGTGCGAAGGCGCATTGCTGGTAGAAAATGACGAAGTGGGAATAATGTTCTTGATACCAAATTTGATGTTGTTTCCCGTGCGGCCCGCACTGGTACTACCGCCACCGATGCCCGATCCATCCCGTTCATCTTCTACGAAACTCTCTTCAATGTGAGGCACATCCAACGACGTTAAATTGGCCGACCGACGATCCCCCGTCTTGACCGAGCTGGCCTTGTCATTGAGCGAAGCACTACTCTTGTTGCGTGGCAAACTAAAGGTGCTAATCTCAGTAGCCGGTGATCGTTCCTGCGACGTATCGGTGGCATAATCGCCATGGTCCAATCTTTCGTGCGACGGGATATCAATGAGTTGGCCATCGCTTCCTCCGGCTGACAAAGGTCGTGCAGTTCCTAGTTTGGTTTGCCCACGATGATCGCCCTGGATGCTGAGGTGTCGCGACCGTACTCTGCTGCGACCGCGCGTATTGGTGGAAGCGGGCGTACCGAAATAGACCGATCCTCGATTGGTTCCGCCATGCATGGATTGGATGCCGAGATTGTACCTATCTAACCCCGCTTCGGCATCGTAATCCACCTTGTATAATCGCTCCGACAATAATCGCGTCAGTTTATGCATGATAATCTGTTTTAAACATAAACCAATGATTGGTGCTCGATATCTTTTTTTTTCTCCATTTCTGGCTCCCTTTTTTTGTAACTTACTGTCCATTGTGAAAGTACTTGAGGCCATGAAATGGCCTCAAGCAAATGGTTTTTTAGAACAATCCATAAATCCATGTGAACAATGCGGGCCCGTGCAAACGCATGTAACAATGTCTAGACACAAAAAGCAGCGTCAGTGGTGTAATCCAGGCCATATCATCATTGGACAACAACGATTTTTTACCTCACAAAGATACTCTGCAAATTCATCTGCCAATGACTGCACAGCAATCCGGCTATACTTTTCAGGCAGATTCATGAATCCTTGCTGGATATCAAGCAAACAGCGCAGCAACAGTTCCCTGCATTGTGAGGATTAGCCTTTTTCAAAGCACAGGCATAGATAACAGGCACACACAGTGAGTTCTTACCAGCTTTCCCATTCCATGTCGATGCCACCTTGAGTGACGGTGATGGCTCGGTAGACATTGATGGCATCTTTGTACAACATCACGAGTCCTTCCCAATCGGATATCTGCTGCACTCCGGCTACGAGCGATTCTCGATCTTCAGTTATCGCCATGGATTTCCAATGTTGCTCAAAAATCAATTTGATCATCAAAAAGTAACGTCGCAAAAACACATTGGCTCCCGAGTAGTCATGATCCGTTTTTTCCGTTGTTCTTGTAGGGGAAGCGACGGAACTGGTGGGAGAGGTGGAAAAGGTGGTTGAATTTTCGGGCCTGTTGTCTGAGACGGATGCCTTGGACGTGGAAACCGATGCTAAACTGCTGGATCGCGTCATGCTGATTTGCCCCGGACCGTTCGTGCCGCTGCCTGTGCGTCGGAGGAAAGACGGTCGTTCGTCTTCGTTGCCAAGGATCCAAACACCGAGAATGTGAATAGCGCCTCGCGTGATGTCTCGGTAGTTGACATTGGTGCATGGCAGCACCAGTGACTGTCGTAAAATTTCATGCAACATTTCGCGTGTCTCGTGGGATGACAGAACAATCGATTTGAGGATTGGCGTGGCCGGCGAAGACATGACAGCAAACGACGGTCGCGGCCAATGCAGTTGCTGACTGTGATTGTTATCAAGACAGTATCCAATGAGAAAGCGGAGCAATGCACGGAGAATGCTCGGAGGACACGAAGGAAATCCGAACTCTACAGCAAAAAATTAAACATGTAGCCCATGGGCAGCTAGCCGCTGCCTGTGGAGGCGCAAAAATAATGAGCACTCACTTTGTTTGGCGTCTGGATCGGTGGGAACGCCTTCGACGTTAAGTTGTTTGGCAATCTCTGGAACGAATTTCGTCAAGTAGTAGGTGCGAAAGACGCGAAAGAGAAATTTGGCACTGGCGGTGGCGGCATCAATGCCGACGCCCGTAGCGATGCCGTCGTCGCGTTCGATGTGATCTCCTGGTGGATACTCGTAATCATCGGGGGGTGGTGGAGATCCAGCAGCGACGTAAGCGAGTCGGACGAGATTCGAGATGAAAATATGCAACATGACAATGGAATCGTGAAAGGTGGGAGGCGAAGGATTAGGGAATAAAGGCGCTTGTTCGTCGCCTAGAGAAAAATAAAAATAAAAACTTAATATGACAGATCAATAGGAATGAGATTAAATGATACTTGCCAGTGTGAATAAAAGATTGATGCAGTTTTAGAGGCGAGCTTTTGATGCGTTCATCGCGGGCTAGACCGTGACCAAAAGCGCGTTCCGCATGCCGTTCACTGAGTTTTTTGACGAATTGGAGCCCACCGCTGTGCAATTTTCCGGGGGTGGGTTCCTTTTCTTCCTGCGGGGCGGCGACATCGTGGGTGACGGTGGTGGAAACGTTGGTGGGTAAAGGATGGATTTCGTCAAGTACAAATAAATCGAGCGGAATGGCGTTGGCGAACAGTTCCATGCATTCCGGATACTCCACGACCTGATCATTGAGCCACAACAATAACAAATGAAATCCTAGCGCACGCAACCGTGGATGATTGCCGTGATCGAGAAGATGCGATAAAATACGAGCTGATTGATAATCCCGTCAGCGGATAATCCATTGCCCCCATATCATATCACACTACACCACACCACTTACCAATATTTTGACGTTGCCAGCCATTGCGCATTAATTCAGGCACATAGAGAAAGATTTTCCGGAGCAGCAGCAAAGTTTTTTGCAAACCGACCAGTTCTTTTGAAGACCAAGATTGTGGTCGCTCGCTTTTCGCTAGAATGGCAAAAGGAAAAAAAGAAACCAAGAGTTAAGGTTACAGTGGGACGTCAGGGCAATGGAGTGACTCGGTGGCAAATGACTACTCACACTTGATCTTGTCAATTTGATGAATGCATGTTTCGTAAACCACATGGAATACTTGTTCAGCATTCTCTTGGAAAAAACGCGCCTGATCGAAAGTGTTGGTGGCATCTGTTGAAAAGGATGGAGAGAAGGGAAGGAGGATTAGCTAGTGATGGGCATTGAGGTTGGAGAGTCAGGGAGGTACTTGCCAATATAACTCCATAAACTCTGTGCCCTTGTTTTAATCTTTTGGCGTTCGTCTAGAAAGTTTTTGGCCTTCTTTTTAAACTTTTCGGGCCTGTCATCTCTGGCGGTGAGGGTAAATGTGGACGAGGATGGTAGAATGGGCATATCGATACCGATATTGGGGTCCTGGATGACAGAGGAGGGAGTGCCGTGGGTAACATCGTTGGTCGGTTTTAGCGTATCAGGTTGGGTATCGGCAGTACTTGTAGTCGATGAAGAGGTGGATGGTTTGCCCACCGATGATCCGGGAATGAGGCTCTTCTTCATGCGTCGTTCAGTTTTGAGAGACATGCCAAGAGTGTATGTCGCTCACACATACACCGTACTCGATACGTTGCAGTGGGTCAATCGGTCCAACGTGTTGGTGTCCGTGCAAAGAAAAAAGGAAAAAAATTGGAAAATAAAAAAAGGGCAAAAAAAGTTAGGTTGAAAACACCAAGGAGAATCCAAGTGTTGAGGAAAGCAAGAAGAATCGCTTCCTCAATTGTAGCCCAGCCAGCTTCACCCGCAAAAATATCAACCCATCCACCCACCCACTATTTCCTCTTTCTCTTGCTGCCAAAAGATTATAAAAAAGAAGGGCAACTTCGAGATCCCATTGCTATTTCTATCTTCATCTATGAATTGTCATTGACTCGTCTTTTCGAGTACTCCAAGCGCAGGTACGTAAGAGCTTGAATATTCTTTTTTTTTTCAAATACACGTGATGGACGATGTGTCTTGCTTTTATCATTTGCACCTATTTTCTTAAGAGATCAATATGATACGGTATCTCATCAGTCATATAACAGGAATACGATGGCATCTCTCTGCATTATATGAATCCGTCTCATGGTTCTTATTCGCTTTCAGAGAGTGGATTTTAACCCTTCGATTCTCTCGCTATGCAGCCCTTGCCAACAATTCTTCCTTTCTCGGTATCAAACATCGTTCGTTCTAGTCACGTACATCAAATCTATCTTTTGATACTATTATATCAAGATCTATCCTTGTTTTTGTTTTGAGTTTGAGCTCAGTTTACCCTACTCAATGACCATGGCCCGCCCAATTTTTTCTGATCGCGTCCAAAAAACAGCGCAAAAACAGTGCGGGTTGTGAAGGTGGTTAGAATGGCATGAGGGTGTGCCAGTTCTAATGTCTAGGTTGGAGGGCACTGTTTCCGAAAAACCCTGGGATTTTCAAGCACAATGAGCCGTCTGTCAAATGTGCACCTGATGAATGCTGTATAATATACTTGGAACATTAAGACCCGCAGCTCTGATCACAGATACAGCCGCCAAGGGATTCATGACGTCTAATGATATAAGGATTTCATCAGCTACACTAAACCATAATAAATCCATTGCACAGCGGGTGTACGGCTTGTTATAGGTTCAAAATGACAAAAACAGAGAGAGAGATAAAAGAGAAAGAAAGAATACGGGAGCAAAGAGGAAAAGACAGTTTTTCCCCATTTCCCCCAATAAAATTGAAGCGGCTTGCTTTTTTGATGAACAATGGCATTTTTCCCTTCAGTCTGGACCGACCAGGCAGAAGACAGCAGTCACATTCACCCCATTAAAAATTTTTGATTTTTTTTTTTTCCACTCATTTTTTTTTCCCTCACACACACACCCTAACCCTTCTCTTCTTTTCTCGTTTGCTCGTTCCTTTTTCATATGGATCAACAAGCAGGTAAGTCACGTAACGTATGAAGACGTTATGGGGAAAGTGCGCGATACAGACCAGGTGGACCACTGTTGGTGGGAAAAAAAGTAGGATCAAGAAAGCTCAATGAACTTGCTTAATGTTTAGCTTCTGGCGTGGAAATCAAGAACAAGAAACTCGAACAATTCACAGCGCCCACTCCTCAAAACACACCCATCAACCCAGCCCCCATTACCTCCAGTTACCGTCCTACTGTCAACACTATCTCTGAAGATATGGAAACTATCACTACAAAAGGTATTGTTCGTGGGTCTATATCATCCTTGTCTGCCTGATGTTTCACATAGGGTTAAACCTAAAAAAAAAAAGAAAATTACGTACACTAAAATAAACATTTTTTTTTTCTTTTTCTTTCATTCACATTCAGGTGCTGCCTCTGGTCTTGCCGGTGCGTTCACTGGTAACCCCGCTCTTTTGAGCATGTTGCAAGGCAAACTCGGTACACTTGTCGGTCGCTCTTCCGGTTACATCGAATCGCTTCCTGCTCCCGTGAAGCGTCGTATCAACGGTTTGAAATATCTTCAGTCCAAGCACGCCGAGTTGGAGAGCCAGTTCCAGGAAGAAGTCTTGGCTTTGGAGAAGAAATATCTCGAATTATATCGTCCCTTGTACGAGAAGCGTACTGAAGTCGTCACTGGCAAGTACGAGCCTACCGATGAGGAAGTCGCTCTGGGTGAAAAGGTTGACGCCGAAGAGGAAGATGAACAAGAAGGAAAGAAGGATGAGAAGAAGGATGAAGAAGAAGAGGAAAAGGAACCCGTCAATGGTATTCCCGAGTTCTGGTTGACACTTCTCAAGAACCACCCCCAGATTGGTGAAACCATTACCGATGCTGATGAGGAAGCTTTGAAGCACTTGATCGATGTGCGCATGTCTTACATGGATCAGCCTGGTTTCCAGTTGGAATTCGTGTTTGAAGAAAACGATTTCTTCACCAACAAGTCGTTAACAAAGACCTACTATTACCAAGATCACGCTTACGGTGGTGACTTTGTCTACGACCATGCTGAAGGTTGCGAAATCCAATGGAAGGAGGGTAAGGATTTGACCGTCACTGTCGAGACCAAGAAGCAACGTCACAAGGGTACCAACAAGACCCGTGTGGTCAAGCGCACTGTGCCTGCCGATTCCTTCTTCACTTTCTTCAGCCCCCCTGCTTTCCCTGATGAAGATGAGGAAATCGATGAGGAAGAAGCCGAAGGTTTGGACGCCAAGTTGGAAGCCGATTACGAAATGGGTGAAGAATTCAAGGACAAGGTCATTCCCCACGCCATTGACTATTTCACTGGCAAGGCACTTGAATACGAAGATTTTGAAGGCGATGAAGACTTTGATGATGATTTCTATGATGAAGATGAGGATGAGGAAGAAGATGATGATGAAGAGGATGAGGACGACGATGATGATGACAATACTGTAAGTAATCCTGAAACCTTGAAAGCTCCAGTAATGGAAAGCTCATGTACTTTTTTTTTTCTTTAGCAACCTACCAAGGGTGAAAATGCACCTGAATGCAAGCAATCTTAGACGGCCAGCTTTCGTGATTCTCATTTCGTCTTTCTTTTTTTTATAATCTCTTTTTTTCTTTTTGCATTCCATGCTTCATGGTATCCTTTATCAATTGTTTCTTTTTTCTTTCTCTAGCCAAATGCAACGTATTTACACTTTTAGCTCTATTTCTTTGTGATCCCTTTTTCCCCAAATAAAAATATGTATCATTCATAGATTAAGGGAAGTATCCTATCTGAAAAAGAAGAAAAAGAGAAAGTACAATGTGGAACGTTTCTAGTTTTGTCAGCTTCGTTTACTGATGATTGGGTATGGCCAATACGCCACTGTGCCAGCCACCAAAGCCAATTGCGAACACGAACATGTCCTTCAATGCTTCAACTTGCTGTGGCGTATCTTGTTGTCGTTCTTCGTTGTCATGTCCATGACCAAGAGCACCGGCACTGTAAGCACCCCATGTCAGCAAAGCCCCGGTATTCGTCACTGCGCCCATATGATAACTAGAACAGAGGATTTAGTGAGTCATCATCAAATGGAAAATCAAGACGAGACAGCGACCACTTACTCGCCAAAGGCGACTTTGCAAATACCATGGGACAGCCCGGGTGGAATTTCGGGTTGTTGGTTTGGAGGCTTGTTTTGTGATCCAAGCATGACTTGGCCATCCGCGGTGTAGACGGCAAAATTGGTGAAAGCACCCGATACGAACCGTTGCATGCGTCCGCGGCGTGTGTTGTTTTCGGGAGTGCTGGCACTGAAATGGACGAGTTCGTCGGTGAGAGGCGACGATGTAAACATGTGTCTGTTTTCGGTGTGCAGCCTGAATACGCGGCCTAGGCGCGTTAAAGCCAAGGTATACTTTTCCAAGCCGGCCAATTGCACAAAGCTGTCGTCCGGTGCAACGGATGAAGCAGCCGTTTCGGTATTCAATGAAGAAGTTGCTATGACGGTAGAGAGGGTCACGCCTGGTAAATCCAGCACAAGTTCGGGCAAGATGGCATTTGTCTCATCAAAGGAAGCGATAAGCTCAGGTTGAGGCACGACGTGTATTTCACCGTCTTCTGTCAACACGCTGGAGTAGCCCCAATTCGCGGTCACCTGTACCGCTTTGGAGGACGATGGTAGCAGGACTTGCTGTGGCCGCCAGAGATTATTCCAATGCCACACCTCACCACGGTAATCCAATGCAATCGCATGTGACCGACCGCATGAAATGGCACGAATTTTGGTCTCTGGTGGCAACACCAATTGAACAGGTTCCCGAACAGGTCGCGCTCCCAGGGACCGAGTCACCGGCACGTCTTCCTGCATCTATTGGAAAAAAACCCAAGCATTAGAAAGGACGAAAGAAAAGCAAGCATGATAGTCTATCCAATGTGTTGGCCACTCGAAACGGCCCAAAAAAAAAAAAAAAAAAAGGACAATCATAAGTTACCGTTCCCCACATCCACACATGTCCGTAACGATCCAGTGCATGAAACGACCAACCGCCCGCCACTATATCGACAATGCCTTTGTTGCGCAGTGATACCAATTCGCGGGGTTCAGGAACACTTCTTGAATTACTAACAATACAACATGGATTAACACGACTCCTTTGTCTCCGGAGATAGCTCCACAAAAAGAAAAATGGATAGTGATAATTACTAGAAGCGCCGCATCCCAATTCGACCCACGCCATGACCGAGTCGACCGTCAAAGTTTTCACCCCAAGTGTACACAGTGGGATTGTTTAGCCGAGAATACAGTGATTTCCAACCGCTTTGTCTGAAACTTGCGTCGGGTGGCAGATTAAATTCAGATAATACAAGACGTTTCCATAACACCTCGTCATTAGCCAGCTGATGAAAGAAGCGACATGTTTTGGACATTTGAATCAAGGCCATGGCATCCAGCCATGATAGAATATTTTCAATAAGCACATCAATAGGCAGTTTTATCAACGTCATATGGAACTAGACCCCAAAGGCGGAAAAGAATAAAAAAAGGTTCAAGAGGAGCGCTTTTTTGGTTATTTTTTTGATGCTTCGGGTTTAGATTGGGGTGGCAAAGTCCAGGCGGAGTTGATATACATGATGCCAAGAACAGCGCCTCCATCGACCTTTTTTGCCACAATGGTAATGATGATAATGATAAGAATAACGATTATTTTCAAATAATAAGAACAAATGAGTGCTATACAAAATATGAGGAAGATATGCTATAATGAGACATGGAATAGTTTTGTTGTTTTCTTTGTTGAATCAATTTGCAGTGGGGTACTTCTTTTTTTTTTGCCCTTTTCTTTTTTGGCTGTGATTGGTTAGGAAGATGGGATTGGCATGCCAAGATTCACCAAACTAGTACAATGGTTCCACGTCCATGGGAAGTGCATTATATTTCTCTTGCAGCTGGATAAGTCGTGGCGTGATACTGGATTGAAGATGTGTCCGTAAATTGATGTCGGAGGTTTGCTGAAGGAGTTGCATGAACGCATCGGTACATCCGTCGATCGCTTCTTGGGCCGTGACTCGATCGCCAGAATAATACGGTGATCCATGTGAATCTTCTGCGTAATTTAGCTACGGAATCCAACCAGCGTGAGTTATTGACAACTTTGTAAGAGGAAAAGAATCATGCATTAAAGGATTACCTCATCGACGGCATATGCATACAGTTCATACAGCTTTTCAGTTTCCTTTTGGAAATCAATCACCGACATTTCAGAGGCGGAGGAGGCGCGTCGTCGAAACGGCAAAAATAAGCATTTTTCGGCCGCCAGGTCAGGGTCAGGGTGATCGTTGGTCTCTGTTGAGTAACAACTGCTGCTGTGCGAAGGTCGACGCTGACCTCCCGTCGCTGACGCGAATTCAGGCTTGAACCACGTCTTGAAGTATTGCCATTTGGATTTCTTGGCCATGTTTGAATGGATAGTCTGTGATGATTCCATATTGTATGTAAGACTGAGGAAATATAAATAGCTTGGTTACAGTGAATTGGTGGCGGAAAAAAAAAAGGTGGAATCAAGGGAAAAAAAATGGTTGGAGAGAATCAAAAAGGTATATTATATATACTAAATTAAGGAGACAACATCAAAAGGAGAAGAAGAAAAAAGAAAATAACGAAAAAACGGTGGTCCGATGGCGCTTGTAAAGAAAAAAAAAGTGCAATCTTTATGCGTGTAGGGGTGCGGAGGACGAATCGATTTTTTGGGGGTGGGGGTTTCCGGGGGGAGAGGGGAAGGAGTGCGCGGCGTGATGCCAACCCGGGGAAAAGAAGCTTGCAAGCTATCTAACAAGGCGCATGAAAAAACATAAAATCGCAAATAAGCAAAGATCATTTGCAGATCTCCCTTTTGTCCCTACTCCTGTCCCTTGTCTTTTTTTCTTTACACTGTAAAAAGAACTTACATGCCCCTTTCTGTTATACTTGATTTTTTTTCATCCTTTGTCTTTTTCACTCAAGAAACAAAAACCATGGCACAGTAAATGAGCTGGGAAGTGGTCAATTCAAATGTTCAGTGTGTCAACTCCTTGTTGCTAGGCGATGTGAGACAAGACCACTCTGTCCCTGCAGGACAAATACGGAGCATTGCAAACGATGAATCCACGAACAACTACAAAGAAAACATACATTTACAGCATTCATGCAAAACTAAAAAAAAAAAAAAAGACACTAAAAAAAAGAGACAGAACAGAGGATGCAGCCTCCGCCGTAATAACTCTCTTATTTTTCATGCAAAATCGACAATGCATATCTTTCTAGACGGAGTTCCAACTCAACGGCTTCTTTTCATTTTGAGGTTGTCAAAAAAAAAGACCGGGAAACCAATCGACAACTTTTCTTTTTCAAGGCAAATGGATGGATCGTTGAGCGTAGATGCGTTCTACGGATTGGTGTAATTAGAATTAATAGCAATGCTTTCCAAACCATGTTTATTTTATCCGAGAGTGAGAACTTGATTGAGTATCTAATATGGGTGAATGACAACTTCACGAAAATGGATCATAGGTCATACTAGGATAGATGAAAAAAAAATTCTACACAATATCGTCAATTTTTTTTCCTCACGAGCAAAAAGGGCAAAATGCATAGCAATCACCGGTTTGAGCAAAGTAGTAAAACCCTTAAAACGAACACTTGAAAGATCTATTTCCGTTGAACGGCCCAGCCTCATGGATCATTTCGTCAAAAGAATCTTTACCTCCAAAAAAACCATATTCTTAATCTTAAAATCGATCATCGAAAAGCTTATTTTCGCCTTGTTTTCGCTTTTGAATGTATAAATCCCATTGTGGGTACCTGGAAGAAATAAACGGGTGGTTCAATGCAATTGACATTATAAGGAGAAATCGATCTAGGAAAAAAAAAAAGAGATTCAATGCTTAGGGTTTTATGTTGTTGGCAACTTTGTTTACGCAGGAAACTATCTGCATTGCTTAGAATGAAGTGGTGCGAATAAAAAAAACCCACATTTCCTGCTGGTAATTTTTTTGGAATCAAAGGGCATTGCTTTCCCCGTGCAGATCATGTGAAATATTATATATTCAGTAATTCCACTGCAATCGGTCTAGTCGCCGTGCCGTGGCGCAGCGGTTAATGAAAAATCATACGTGACTCAAGACCCAAATGACCTGTCTCCTTGAACCAAATAAAAACAACACGCCAGGTTGGATCAATCAATTAAACACTGTTACATAACCAAAGGACCGCTTGCATTCTGGCCACCTATTCATGCGCATGTGCATAACCATCTTTGGAACATCGGGACAAAGTGTCAGGATAAATCTACAGAAGATAGTTTGCGCGAGGGAGAAATACAGGCCAACTACCATCAGGTTGGTACAGTTCAAATGCACATTTACCTGGCAAGAGCAAACAATCACTGACCATTAGGGGAAATATGCTTGGCGACAGCATATTACAGGCCTCCTCCTTCCATGTGCAGAATCCGCCGCAGCAGCTGGTTCCATAACCTGCTGACACTGGAAATAAGATCCTTGCAAACCTAAAACCAGATATACGGAACGTTCCATGAAAAAAAATAGGGCCTTTGGATAGAGCTAAAACATGTCTACTAAGTCAAAAATCGGCTTATCATGTACAGCCAGTGACGTTGGGTTCAGTCTCAGAACATTCCATTACTTTTGAGTTCTACTGTACGTCAAGGGTTACAAGAACAATGTGAGATTTATAATTTGTTTTATAGCGATGAAGTTAGCTTTCTATTATTGAACGATTCAATATTTATTGGCGTTTGGCGTGGTGTTGATTTAAAAATTGGACAATGTCTTTGTTGATCTGTTCGCCGTGACTCAAAATTATATCATGGGCTCCGCCTGCATAAACACGAATGTCAGCTTGAGGCACAAGATCCTTGAGTGTAGTATGAAGCTTGAAAGGAACCGTCTAATAGGTTGGAATATGAGATATTAAACTGAAAGCGTCCCGCGACAATAATAAAAGCTTGAACATTATCGACTTACAGTGTCTTGATTGCCCCATAATACAAGCACTGGAAGTTCTGGATGGTGGCCCACAGTGCGATAACGTTCATGCAAGGAATGCAGCGGGAAATCAATTACCGTGCCTAAAAAAGCGCGTAGAAATCCGGGATGGTGCGTGAATTGATGCAATGCCGCCACGGCAATCTTTTGTTGTTGATCATCCAGCTGGGTTTTCCGTGCCGAGTGGAAAAATTGTTCTACTGCTTTGATGATGACGGGTCGAACCAGCGGATCCAATACGATCTTTCCGACCAATGGCAGCTGCACCAGTTTTCCAGCTATCGGCAAATCTTTCTTGTCTAAAAGACCAGCCGGGCAGATTAAAACCAGGTTTTCCACCATTTCTCGATAGCAAGCAGAAAATGACGTAGCAATACCACCTACATGTAACGGAATAAAAAAAGTTTTGTCAGTCCTTACTAATGAGGTGTAGTTTTTCCTATTGTCCTTGATTTGGCCCAGGTTTAGGGGGGGGGGACACCGTACCTCCTAAGGAGAGTCCCACAACGGTGGTCTTTTGCCAGCCCACTTTCTGGAGCAGTAGTGCGACCTGGGTTGTATACATGGCTTCATCGTAGTATCCTGCAGGAGCTTCAGAAAAGCCTCGACCCCACAGATCAAAAACCAGGACATGATATCCACTATTGGCCTTGACAACGGTTAAACTCCTTATTCCTTTTTGGGTTCCCATATCATGGAGACACCGATACCATAAAACGCGCCAAGTTGCTGTACACGGCCGACCCCGTGGAAATGCCGTGAATTAAAACCACCCTTTGTCCCTTGGGATTGCCGAACATCCAGTAACGCATTGTGCCCATGGGTAAATGCAGATCGGTGCCATTCGGATAAAAGTCGGGCATGTAGTTCGGATGAGGATTCTCCTTGAGCGACGGCAACGTTTGCCGGGTTGTAGGATGGCCTCGCAGTAAAAACGCAAATATGACTGCCACACCACCTAGAAGAAGAGTCCAAACACTCATGGCCGACTTCATTGTAAGTTAAATTCTATTTCTCGAAACAAAACAAAAAAAAAATGATATCATCACCAAGGTGAATGCCGTTTCGGTCACCAGCATTGGCATTTAGCAACAACCTTTGGCACTCCGCCACGCTCGACAGAGTGAACGTATCCTTCTGAGCATCTGTGAAGGGGAAATTCAATGTTTTGAACCTATCCAAATCTGGTGAGGCCGATCATTTTAGAAACTGCATCGGCTGGCTGTGGGACAAACATTTTTTTGGAAACAATGAAGTGACCTGAAATATTGGACAGAGTCACCGCTTCTTTCCATCGATTGCAAACGTTTTTTTTTCCTCGTTCGGCATGCGATTATCGTCTCTTTTCCTGCTTGCTATTTACTTTCAAACCACTGTAACACAGAATGCGACGGACCCTTCGACTCTCCCTGGAGGCATAGCCAGAATTCGATTAGAGAACAGCATGACCATGAGTTTTATCTTTACGCAGTTCAACGATCACTTATCGTATACTATTTTTCTGGATCCGAATCTCACCGCTTACTGGATGAACGGTGTGTGCCTTTCATGGGTGGTTGGATTGCCGCCTTTGCTCAATAACACAACACAGCAATGCGCTTTTAAAAATAGCCAGCAATGTCTATCTTCCATCCCACTCAATCCGTGTCAAAACGGCGGATTCAAAACAGACCGTTGCAACACTGTGGAAACACTCTCTGGTAACCTATCAACTACTACGACACACATTGCATGTAAAAGTACCACGGTCTTTTTAAATAAGATGAGATGTTAGGTTCCATATCACTTTCGGACAGCCGGTTGACTGTGTTGACGCCTCTCGTTACGGTGAACAGTACGAACATGGCGCTTAATCCTGGCAATGTGAATACGATTGCCGGACGAACCGTCATGATTGCTTATACACAGTACGAAAATGACACCAATTCTCCTCTGCGGCAACAAACGTATTGCTCCATGGTCCAGCTAGGCAATGGCACCATTGCCAATTTTACCCTCTCAGAGACAAATGCGGCCACGTTATCGTCGTCTTTTACTGGTTCCTGGGGGATTCTTTTTAGCGGCTTTGTTTTCCTGCTTTTTCTTCTTTTACAGTGATAGTGCGAAAAGCATCCACTCTGAAGCCAGAGTCATCTACAGGCTTTCAAACGCTCTACCTAACATACCGTAATAAACAGGCTTTTCTTTTTTTTCTTACTGGTTGACAGCTCTAGTGTAAGAGTCATTAGGTTTTATAGGTAACCCCAGTCCTGCCTGCCCAAGTTTTCAAAGCTGTGAAGCCAAAACAAATGAGGAGCGCGATTTGTGTTGCTTGATCATGCTAACTGTCGCTCATTCATAAAAATTCCATCACCTACCATAAAATCGTCTGTTCAACTGTAACGATAGTATCGCTAATGACTGTAACTATTGAGGAGCCATCCTCCAAGTGATGCCTAAAAAGGAAATTCCACTGTTTGCTGACCTTGAAAGACTCGGATTATACATTGAATGCTTGCAATTCATATGGCACCTTTTTTAAGTCAATGTGAATGATGTAGGTTTTTTCATGCTCTTCAATGTGCCTGGCGATGCGTTTCCATCCCGTCTCGATTTGATGAAGACGTAAAGTCGTGTGATTCGAATTGAGCTAAACGGCTAAAAATTAAAAAGAGCTTAAATTGGGGTTTTTTTTTTTGGTTTTCCCTTGCTTCACGAACGTAAAATGTGAAACCAACACCCAAAATTTCGCTGGGATTACTGAAAATGTACCAAAGTTTCTGTTTGAAATCGCCTCTTCTATTTTTTTTTGGTTTGCCTCGTTCCCTTTGTGCAGAGTTCATCAGTAAAATTCTGCCTCCCATTGCTTCTTTTTTTTTCTCGCTTCCCTTTCCCTTGCCTCTCCTTTTAGATCGCGATTCTTTACAACCGATTGAGACGGTTTTGCCATCTGTCTAAATTTCGCTCACTTTCCATCTCCATTCCATCTGTGCCACCCGTTTCGTCATGTCCGAATGCTTCGGTTCCGTGTGGTGCATACGCTACGTTAAACATGCCAACCTAACCCTCAACTGTTACCCTACCAACGAGACCGAGAAAGGTCCTCGTTCCTCCGAATTGAGCTACCTTATGTTTTATGCCAGTGCCCGACCGGCCAAACTCACCAAAGTAGGCAGCTTTCTGGAAAAGAAAGTACGCAAAGATATCCGCAAGGGTCGAAAGCAGTAAGCTCGCTTTTTTTCTTTCCTTATTGACTCTTTTGGTCCCATTTGCCTATTCTCCCATAACTATTACCCTCCCTTGTTCTACCTACCCAGCCATCCAAATTCACGATTCAGAATCGTCATTCTGCCTTGGCTGCCTATTGTTTCACATTGGATTTTTTTTTGGAGTTATTCTGTTTTACGCCATGGCGTTTTTATTTTTTATTTTTGTTATATGTATTTTTATTCATAATGCCTCACCATTTTTCATTTGTTTTTATATATTTTTGTAGGAACAATCGGATATCGCTGCTTATTATCAAATCTCTTATTCAAACATGTCATCGTGACCTCAATTTATTTTCCAAATATGTCGTTCGCATCTTTAGCATGATTCTTAATACACGCGATATTGACTTGATTGATCTCACTTGCGAAACGGTTAGTCATTTCTTTCCTTGCTCATATTTGCTAATGGGTCACGCCAATCTAAAAAAAAAAATGCTCAATTCCTGTTTTAGTACATCGTGTTTTGTGATCATCATGAGGGCGCGACTCTGGGCGTCGACCCCGAGTTTACGGCGGACTATGAATCACTGCTGGACAAATTCGCAGGATTTTGCAATTATACCAATGCTGATCGCTCGGTGGCCTTGAAGTAGGTGGATTCCAGGATTTCCCCCTCCTATTGGGTTGCCTTGAACACCTCCCCACTCATACGAAATTTAATTTTCACTCATTAGAATGCGATACATTGGTCACCGCGCGATCCAAGCCGCCGTCATGTCTACAGCATTAAAGGCTTCGGATATCAAAACTCAACTCAATACCATCCTGCCACCTGTCGTGGCCACACTCGCTCAATCCAAAGAACCCATTCAACAGCTGTCAACCAAGTAGGTTTTTCTTCTAGGCGTCTCATTTTCGACTCTTTGATCCTGTATGCTCATCGACTCTTACTTAGCGACGGTTCCATGGATATTCGACGTTCTGCCGTAGCCGAAGGCGATGTACAGCAAATGTCCATTGATCTTTTGGCATCTCAAACCCTGTCTATCCTTTACAATAAAACCAATGGGGCCGCAGTGCGTATGTCGCTCACCACCATGTTCAAGTAAGGATACTTCGATTTCCATTCACCCACTTTAACCTGTTGCTTACCATGGTTGATAAAAAAAAAGATTCATTGATGACAACGATCTATGGTGGCCATCCGAGTTCGCTGCTTCCATTGCCCGGCTTATCTTGGATTCGTTGCAGGTAAATTCTTCCCGCTGCCATCGGATGATCGTTTCATTTGTTGCTCATTTTGTCATTTCGTGATCTCAGCCACAATATCGGTATTTATTGGTGTCGGAAATGCTTCAACAACTGGATCAACTCGATAAAACTCACGTCAATGCCAAATCTGCATCGCTGATCGCTATTCTTGATAACGTTTTGAATGCCAACCTTGCGTTGGTCGGTATCTCCGTCCTCGAAGTATTGAATACTCTGTTTTCATTGTTGATGTGGTGGTTGGGAGATCGGTCTCCACGCGAACAATTGCCGGAGGAAGCATCGGAACAGGATCAATACGAATATACGGTGCATACCGGTGTCATCAACTGCATTGGTGGTCTCGCGTCTCAAACCTATTATCAAAATCAGCTGAATGACATTGCCGGCTACCTTGTGGCCAAATTACGGACAAGCACCACCCTGGATGTGATTGATCAATTACCTATTGCGACCTACCGTTACATCGTACTTCGTTGCCTCGAAGCCGTCATCCGCACCACCAAACATACCGACCCCCTCAGTCATACCACGTCTTCTGAGGAAATGAGCATGCTACCACCAGCCGTCAACTTTATCGCTGCCAATGTATGGACGCCAGCCTTGAGTTTGTTGACGGACAGATATGCAGGTAAAAAAAAATCACTACGATGATACATTTCTCACACTGCTCGACTTATTCATCGGTTGGAATGATAGAAACCCGTCTCATGTTTGCACGTACATTGTCACTGTATCTATCGACCTCGTTAATGGAAAGAGTACCCGAAACGCCCCAGATTCGTACCGACTCTCCTGGCCCTTATCGACTGTCTCACGGATGCTCAATTTCTTCCATGGACAGCTCCTCCAAGGTATGCAAAACTTCACCTGTAACACTAACAGGGGCAATGTCAACTGACGTCCTACTCTTGGTTTACTCTTACAGCATTTGTTATACTGTCATGGGGATACCATGTTCCTGAATACACTGCAGCAGTTGATCGTGGAATGGGTGGAATTGCCGGATTGCGAATTTGAGGAAGTTTATGCAGCCTATGATTTGCTTTGTGCTATTGTTCATCGATTTAAGATTGACGGCATTATCCAATGCGTTCCCTTGATTTTCAAGCTTCAGGATTTGATTAAGGAACACAGCCTGGGCTCTCCGGCACAGGAAAGAGCCGTGGCCACCATCACACTTGAATGGCTCTCCATGGTTGGTCACTCGTATCACTTGGAAAGTCTCTGTGACTATACCGATAAACTGAAAGAAGAACGAGTCCAAGCGAATCAATATTTCGAGCTTGCAGCGAGCGAGCAATCGACGGATGCCAAGGAACTGGAAGCTCGCGAAAAGCAAAACGATACACCCGTGGACAAATTCATTGATCGACATGTGGTTGTGGATGCCCTATCGAAAGACAGTCAGTTCCGTGATCGTAGCGATCGTCACGGTTTGGATCTCGAAAGCAAACTGTACATAGAGTGGGGCGCCAAATTAGGAGGTAAAATTATCGATCTCAAATCATATATCGCAGCTGCTCATACCTTGATGTATTTTCTTCCTCAGCGAATGGCGATCACGCTTTCCGTATTTGTACGTCTCCGAGTGTAGAAGATCTGAAACCAAAATTGGCCACCACACCGTGGTTGAGCACGGATGTAAGGACTCGGGCATGGACGTGGTGTGTAATCTTCCATGGACAGACACTCATTTATTTTTCTTGATGATCATGTAGCGTGTGCCTCAAGAGAAGAAGCCGACTGTCAAAGTTGAAACGCTCAAAGAAGCACTTGGTAAGACGGAATGCATGGGCTACAAAAATATACAATGACTGACACGGCATGGTAGCCGCACAATTGTTAGCGAATGAAACCGCCGAAAGTGCTGCGGATTCCGATTCACTTCAAAGCATTGCGTTGACCAACAGCCTGGCGAAACGACCGAAAGACGCTCGACCCGATATTAACTCGCTGCTCAGTAAACTGAATCGTGATTCGGATAAAGAAAGGTAACCGTTGACTAGTAACAGATCATATCATGATAGAGTTCTCACAGTGACTGTAGAGGATTTGCCCTGGTCAATCCTCCGTACAAGGGCTAAACTCCTGTTCCACCATGTAATGAACCAAGCTGTGTCATCTTTTTTTACCTGTATTTTTACACATTTTACTTATTTATGTCTACATTAATTGCGCGTCCATTTTTTTTCACCATCACTATTATGCTTCCTTCATGGGGCGATGTCTTGCATTCGCTTAGTCGTAATATATCCAAAAAAAAAAAGATGTATTTTATGATACTGGATGATACATGCTGCGGCTCTCTGACGGGGAAAGATGACCGCAGTAATCCTCCACTGCAATGCGCAGCATATGACGTAAGAATCCCATTTCAGCCGGAGCTTCTTTGTATCCACCCACACTGTCAAGTTTCCCCATGGGTGCCAACTCCAATGTTCCGTAATTATCATGAATGATTCCTAGATTTCGATGTGAGCAAACCCTTTGGAGAAAAGAATTAGTCTGTACAAGTTTTGTTTTACCTATCACTTGTTCGGGGCTGGGATACTTCACGTTGTGGGTCGTTTGCCATTCATCCAGAGCTGGCTTGAAATGGTTGCAAATCATTCTCAAGTTGGAGAAATCGGTAAAAGACAGGACAGGCGAGCGATCTTCTCGTGTTTTGTTCATCATCGTTCGGCTCACTAACACGAGGTGCGTTAGCAAGAGCGAATGTCAGCCGTCACCTCAGCAAAGTGGGCTTACCGCCTTGGGACAATGCCATCATATCATCGGAAGCACGAATGAGTTCGTAAAAGAGAGCATCGTATGCCTTGGTATCGGGCAAAAATGTCTCTCCTTGAGCCACACTAATATTGAATATGCTGACAAACTAGAACGCGAATGATATGAGTGGGAAAAGGAATACATCATTTTTTTCCTCCGCAGACGAGGCCACTTACCGAATACAAGAACGTATCAAAACGCTCCAATAAGATGAGATCGTCCCATTGCATGACAATAAAATGCAGAATCGCCGTTAAGCTCGACCATAATTCCGACCAGTGATAAGCTACAGCCCACGAATGGGGTTTTCAGTGAGCTCATCCTTGATCAATGATTTGAAACAGTTGGATTTTACCAAGCCGGATTTGGCGTTTTGATAGGAAACAAAGAATGCGATGAATTACAAGGAATGCCAACCTAGAAGGAAAAAGCTGGCGGTTACCGCGTGAACCAAACCGCTTGGGCTATTGGCTCCATTACCTGTAAGTGGGCAAGTCGAGCTTTTTCCGAAGATTATGCTTCGTGTATAGCAACGCGTCATCCAAAATTACACACAACAGCGATCGAGGTTTTTTCATCCGCGGTAAGGGAGGTTGTCGCTTTGAAAAGCAGAAAGCGAAACATGTTTAAAATAAATGGGTACTCTTTACACCCAAGGTATCTATTTCCATACCTGCCGGCACAATCGTACGATTGCATGCGTGTCGTCGCGTGCCATGAACGACAGAAAGGTGTCATCTTCCGTTAACCGTAGGAGCACCAGAAACATGAGTTTGGTATAGGCGGCTGAATGCTCGCTCCGATTATATTGGACAAGGTAGGACACAAAAGATAAGAGCACGGCGATCGGCGTCTCGTCGTTTTCCTTTGTGTCTTTTGAAGTGCTGTAGCTTGTATAGACCATCATAAAGTGTGAATTCGTATTCATGAGATCATAAAACGGTAAAAGCAATGCGGACAGGGGAGGGCTAATCCTACAGAGTCAAAAAAAAAAAAAAAAAAATTTAAGAGCCATTGTCCAAACAGGGATTTAATACCATGACTTTTACATGGATCCAATTTCTTCGTTCAGAGCTTCGATATCGGTGAGATCAGGTGATGAAGTCGTAGAAAACCAACTGGTCATATAAGTAACGACAGATTTTGTCAACGTCGTATTATCGTCTCTAACAACAAGACAGAAGCGGCTACACAAGACTGTGTTAAGCTTTGTATCATCCATCCCCATTAGTTTTTTGCACAAACTGACCTAATCAACGTGGAGAACAAATTTTTAAATAAGGATACTAGTCTCTTAGAAATCATGTTCAGTCAGTGATGTTACAAAGGAATGGAAAGGTGAGTTGAGTGAGCCAATACCTTTAATACGTTTGCATCATTGATTCTTGACAGTGCAGTGAGATATGGATTGCGCGATTCGTATTTATTGTAATTTGAAAGCATTCCCAGTAGCATGACGGCGTGCCTTGTCTGGGTCTCGGTCATGTCTTGATCTGCAATAACCTAAACTTGCGCGCAAGTCAATGTCTTTTGGTGTTGGTGAACTCTTTTTTCTTCCCCTTTCAGGACACGGTTACCTCAAACAGGGTGCGGGAGAGATCGTGATTCATAAAGTAGCTGTTAAGGCTATTATTGTTTACGTTGTTGTTTCCGGCCGATAGCACCAAGGCCAAGACCAGCGCGTGAGCTCGCGTGGTCGGTTGCTTTATCAAACTGTCCAGCGTCTTCACGAGGGCATTCAGTTGTACGTCCGCCTTGTCGAGTCCCGTCAGTAGATTGATGATGTTAAAGTAGCTTAGACGTTTTTTCGCAAATAAACTTTTCAATAACGTGGAAAGTAACTGCAACGAGTGGATTTGACGTGTACGTTCGCTCGCATTCGATTCGTCTCGACAATTTAGACGTTCCACACAGGCGGAGAAAAGAAGATTGCTGTTGTGACGGACGTTTAACAAGGATTCTTCGGACATGCTGTGAATCAGTTGAGTGAGGTAGTCGGAATTGACGTCTAATATGAGATAGGCATCCCAAAACGTTGCACTGTCGGTTGCTTCATCATACGGTGTCGCTCTCTAGTGAAACTCATATTAGCGATTCAAAGAACCAGAAGCCCGCCGTGAGTACTCAATTTACTTTGAAGAGAGATTCAGTAATGACAATAAACTTTTCTTTAAATACTGGTTTTATCTTCACAGGACTATTCTGTCGCATAACTAACATGGCAGAAACGGGTCGATTTCATAGTTCCTGCGTTGCACCAGGAAATAAGCTTCCCTTTCGGATTCAAACCCCGGAAACCCTCCAATGCTGGTAGCTTTTATTTGCGAATCAGCAGGGACTGTCCACTCCAACCCTCCGTCCACTGCAGCACCGTCAAGCCAAATTGAACTAAATTCAATATATGTTATATATATTGCCGTTGCAGGTCCATTGCTGATATCATTATTGCGATGAAAGGCAAATACCGTTGAGGCTGGAACAAAGGGAAAAAAAAAAAAGCGTGAATGTGATTGGCCATAACTGCGGCAAGGAAAAAATCAATAAACAGTCCTTCACCCACTCACTGTGGCAAGCTCTCCTGTTTCTCTTCCATCAAGACCCACCAAAAGAACATGGACGTTGTGGTTAGCATTGCAGAAAAAAGCACCGAGCAATTTGTTCGTTTATTCTACGAGAATTATGACAAACAACGTAATGTAAGTCTACTTGCGACCAGAAAAAAAAGTACTGCGGCGAACAGCGTCTAAAAAGTGACGTCTATGCGTAGATGCTCGGTAATCTGTACCGAGACAACTCGGCCATCCTGTGGAATGGTAAATATCGAAAAAGAGATTCAATCGACGAAATGGCACATTGATGGACGCTTTATATTTTTTGATTTAGGCAATGCTTTTTCCGGAGCACATCAGTATTCAGAGTTCTTGGCGCGCCTGCCTGTATCGCATCACGAAATTGATGTGTATGACTGTCAGCCCATTGCAGGTAAAAACGTGGAAAAAAACTGACAGGGATGGTTATTTGGATATTGATTGCGGTAATTATTAGCTACGTTGAATGCGCAAGGTGCATGTGGCATTCTTATCAATGTAACCGGATCGGTGAAATACGGCGATCATCCCATCAAAAAGCCATTCTCACAGACATTCATCCTGATGCCCGATGAAAACCAAGCAAGTAACTATTACGTTCAGAGCGATAACTTCAGGCAAGTACAAAAATGAGATGGCAGGTCTAATGGCTCGAGAGATTAACATGTTTATTTCAAAATGATAGATTCGTATAAAAGAATACCTGCACTTTTTTTTCTTTCCAAAAAAGTGATCCCTTTAAAGAAAAAGAAAAAAAGATTGTACATACAGAATTCATCCTCCCGCTTTATTATTGAATTTTTCCCATGGATATTAGCATAAGAACACGGGACATGAAGTGGCCCTTTTCGTGCGCATAATACAGCATATCATTCACTGGTTTCTTGAGATGCCAGTCATTCATCGTAATACGTTCGATAGCATGTTTTTCCAATGCCGCCAGTTTACTTCCTTTGTTAGTAGTGAATGGCCAGCCTCGAAGAAGCACGCCTGCCGAGACGTAAGCTAACCCGTAATCGGGGCCCATGGAGGTGATCATGGCTTTGCGTGATCCCTTGTATTCGCGCAGCGGCTGTTTTTGTAAAAGACGTTGGAGGTTGTGAGCACAATGGATGGCTTGCATGTGGGCGGTGTAAAACATTTTGGGTTCGTCAAGCGCATTGGCATCGCCTATGGCAAAGAGATTGGCGGTGTGATTCACGCGAAGATAACTGTCGACTTGAATATGGCCCTTGTCATTTAACCAGTCTCCGTGTGACTCCTTCAAAAAGGCCGTATTGGGCTGGATCCCTGTGGCCATGTACACAAGATCCGCTTCGATCCGGGTGCCTGATTTTTTCGTCATGTAGCACTGCCGTGAACTATTGCCATTGTCCACCGGTTCCGCCATTTCCCCCGTGATGAGTTGGATCTGTTCATAATGATGTAATATTTTTTGCGCATAGTAGCTCATCTTTCCGGGACTGCCACTGAGCACTTGATCCGTGGCACTGACGAGACTCACTTGTTTCTCGGGAGATCGATTGGCGATTTCGGCCACCAATTCCACACCAACGGGTCCCCCACCAATGCACAGAATGCGTTCAGCGTCCTGGTAGCGCTGCCGTTGTTCTGTGAGGTAACGAAGTCGGTCTTCCAACTGCACGATTTCATGACCATTACTCTTGATTTTCCACGGTTCTTGATAGCTTGATCCAGTGCAAATGACAGCATAGTCATACGGTATACTCGACTGATCTTGCAATAATACTATGCAAGGTGATTTTTTCAATTAATGACTCTGACAATCAGCGGCTCTCTTTTTTTTATGCAAAATAACTGTGTGAAATGTACCTTCATCATGCTGTATATCGCGAACAATTCCCAGCTTAAACTCGATTCCTAGAGGCGGTAACAGGTTTTCATACGGCACAGTAACAGCGTCAAAGTGTTGTCGAAACATTTCATCCGTAGGTTCGTACAACACTGAGCATAGTGCAGGGGTATATTCGTAAAAGGTCTGGCCAAATCAGGGCCCATGATATGAAGGTATCTCTCTCTCCACAAATGTTCAAGACATTATGCTTACCTTGCCATCGATAAGGGTGATACTTAGTGACTTTTCCGAGACCAGTTTCATGGCGAGCAGAACGCCCGCCGCTCCTCCGCCAACAATGACGAGGCGTGTTTTATCCGTGTGGCTCATACTGCTTAAAAGAAACAATAAACCCAAAGCAGGTAAGAAAATGGGTATGGAAGGGGAAAGAGGAGAAAGAGTGAGCAAACTTCCAACACATGAAAAATCCCAAATTTATTGTAACTCCGTGCCGCTTTTGCCGAAACAAGGCATATTGATTGACCGCCAAAACCAACAATGGACAATGCGCGAAAAAATAAATATGTATAAAAAAATGCCTCAATAACACAAAACTGAAGCTAATCTTCAGTCACCCAAGTACATAAAATTCCTAAGGTAGCCGATGAATATAAAGGGGTGCCTTTTCTATTACCTGATAATATATGGATGACCTTTGAAATAAAGGACTAATGTGAGCCTGCATGGTTGTCATTTTTTATGGATGGCACTTTGCAGAAACCGAAAAAATTTACTCTACGCGACAAACTAAAATATTGAATTTTAGTTAAATATATCAAAATAAGCTAGCATAGTCTTCAAATAAACTTCAAACACAATTTGGGAAAGCCGATGAGAAGTGGGTGATAAGGTGAAGGATGCTGTTCGGTGTCAGATGACAACAATTGGCATAACTAGTTGCGTGTTCCTCTCCTTTGGATTGCTTCTCATGATATGGTATCGAGATGTCTTCCCGATTATTGTATTTTGTAATTCATAGTTTGTATTTTGTATTTTGTATTTTATATTTCATGTACATATTCTTTTCGCAGTTTTTTCTTCTTTTTTTCCCACAGGATTTTTTAGGAGGTTTTTACTGACGCGACCATTGTTTTTTTTTATCAATATGTACTTTATTTGTTTTTCTTTCTTTTTATTCGGGGGACTCTCGATATCTGGAATCCAAATCGAAGTTACCGTCACTTCTGGCCACGTCAATATTTTTTGCCTGCTCAAGCTGACACCACCGATCCATCGCTTAACTGTCCCTGGAAGCAATTTTATTTCCGCATCGAAGAAGCTTACTGTCATGACCATTCCCGAGTACACGTTGTCATGGCCATAATGCACGACCATGTGTATTATTGGCCCAAGCACGCTCTCCACTGTTGCCGTGCTGGTCCATGCGCATATCCCTTTCCTTGGTCTCCATATTCCTCTCTACCATTGTCCTCTCCTTTTGCTGAGCTATACTTTACCTCATGTTATGCTCTGCATTTCATTTAATTATTTTATTATCGTTGTCTGTTCTGTATCTGATCCTTTAGTATAAATATCCGATCTCTTCTCTTGAAATAAACCTCAGTCAAGAATTGTGTATTCTCTCATACTATCTTGTTCTCCATCTTGTCTTGTCCTTGTCTCAGTTCTTTTCCTGTTTCTATTCTTGTTCCAATTTCGTTCTTGTTTCTTGTTCCTGATTTATTCCTTTTCTTGTCTTGCCTTGTCCTTGTCTAGCTTGCACTGATCCTCCCGTAATCAGTGCATAACACTTACTTGGCGGTCTATATTCATCTTTTTTTTCTTCCGGTACACCATTTGGTTCAAGGCAAGTCCAATTTTCTTTTCCTTTGCTAAGATGTAATGAACGTATACTAATTCAAAAAAAAAATTTCAATGTCATATAATTCAAGTCATGTCAAGCGATCAATGACTATTGCAAACTCAAATAACAAAGGTAAAATACCGAGACGAAAATTTGAATTAATCAAAGAGCTTACTAACACTTTTTTTTTTAAAAAAATACCCAACATACCCACACATCTTTCTAGATCTATCATAGCCTGGGCGGGATGGAACTGAGGGGGTCAATCAGTGCTGCCCTGCGCGTGTTCAGAAACAAATCACGTTGCAACGTATGCCATAAGGTTGTCATTAATATACCAAAGTTCGTCAAGAGTTCTCGCCCAGGTTATGCCGTGTATGCGTTAGGCTTTTTGTCTGACGGAAGTCGCTCAATGTAAGAGGGCGGCCTCCGGTGGCAGACGGCATCCATTGCACAGCGGGTGTATGGCTTGTTAAGCATAAAGACCCCGAACACTAAATTCCGGCCCGAACTTTTAACCACCTGCTGCAACTAGAACATCCGCCCGACTACAAATACAAAAAAAGGTTGTAATGACTATTAACTCAACCCATCCATTCCTGAATTTAAGTATACCTATTATTCCCAGATGGATGCACAATATACAAAGGGATGGAATAGGGATTCCAACGGATCCATGGAGAAAATGCCCATGACATTTTTTATTAGCACAAAATAAACTTCCAACTTATGGAAATAAGCAGAAGGGGATGTAGCTCAGGTGAAAGATTTAATTTTATTAAAGGACTCAGCTTTGCGTTATGGGGCGTATGCGTCCTTGTGTGTATCATCGGGAGGAGGGCAAGTATACTGAAAAACCTCAGAGAGCCGAAAAGAGGAAAAAGGGAGGGGAAAAGGAATAGTAGCTAGCCTAGTAAGGGAAAAGAGGCCGATACAGTCCAATCTGCAGCTGTGTTAAATGTTGTGACAGTGGGAAGGGAGCAGTACAGTAACCAACTTAACCCGGTTCAGCAGGAAGGGAGGGAGCAGGTAACCAAAGTACACCTGGATCAGGTTCGGAACTATAGTCCCCATCAGGGTTACAAAGACACTCAATATGCCAGAGAAGAGTCAGGAGAGCAGGCCAGTATGGCGGGCAGGAAGCAGAGCGAGACAAAGGAAGCAGGGAGATGGCGTTATCAATTGGATGAGTTGCCGTAGCGGAAAGTGGGGCAGTGCATCCCAAAGCTGAGAAGGAATGGCAGGACAGAAAGGAAAGTGACGACGAGAAGTATGATCTTGGAGACATGAACATGGTTTCGGTTTCCCGGGCAACCAGCCCATGCGCCAGCGGATAAGGCGACTTCTTTCCATGCGGGTGGCAGGAACGTAGAGGATGGGATCAATACCGATCTGAGGACGGCAGGCACGAAGAAGGACTTGGGAGGTGATCGGTGCGTTGGAAAGGAATGTGGTAAGGGATTCTTGATGGGCAGTACGGAAATAGAGGCGGAGAGAAGGAAGGGGGTCTGGGAGAGCGGTATATAATGGTGTCCGTTTGAGTGTGGGGAAGCAGTTGCAAGAAAGGTGAGTCGAAATGAGTGTAAGGAGACAATCGTCAGGAAGAAAACGAGCACGTAGGCAAAAACGAGTGGTAAGGACTGTGGCACGATTTTCATGGATGGGAGACAGGTGATGTGTTTGAGGACATGGGTGGACGAAGTTGGATGACCGCCAAAATCATGTGTAAGCATCGATCTTGCAGTTTATCCAGAGCTTGGAGATCTTTGAGGCGAAAAGTTGAGATAGCTAACCCATATTCGAAAATAGGGCGGACGAATTGAGTATATAGGCGGGATGATAGGAGTAGGGAAAAGCCTGTGCATTTGGCGCCAATGGCATGGAGGATGGACATGGCTAGCATGGTACAGGAGGAATGGTGTTGGATGAGAGCGGCAGTAGAGAGACCAGAGCGGAGGAAAGGGAGACCAAGGTAAATAAATTCTTCAACCATAGGGATTTCGGTACCGTATAAATGAAAGCGTTGGGGGGAAGTGGGAGGCATAATTATAGCACATTTGCTGGGATTCCAGCGGTAGCCAAGCGTGAGAGAGTGTGTTTCAGCAATTTGCAGCATAGAGCGCACATCAGAAGGCGAACCAAAGATGGCAACATCGTCCGCATACAAAAGGCTGTTGATAGGAAGGAGAGGAGGAGTGAGGCTGGTTGAAGAAGGATCAGGGAGGGAAATGGAACGATCGGGAGAGGCAACAGTGCGCAAGACAGAAGGAAGGGAATTGATGTAAATAGAATAGAGGTGTGGGCTAAGCACCGACCCTTGGAGGACGCCAGTGGATGGAAAAAAGGAAGCGGAGGTGTGGTTTTGTATAAGGACAGAAATGGAGACATCATCGAAAAGATGGGCGAGTAACGAAAGGAGTGGTGTGGGCATGGAAGTGGAGGCGAGAGCTTGCCAGATGACCTGGCGATCGACAGTATCGTACGCAGCTTTGATATCGAGAAATGCAACGAAAGGGAAGTGGTGGTGGCGACGGAAATATTCGTGCATGAGTTCATGTAAGCATAGGGTTTGATCCAATGCACTGCGTTGGGGACGAAAACCACCTTGGGCGAGGTCAAGCGGTGGGGCATAAGTGTCAAGTGAGGGTGCGATGCATAGTTCGAGGAGTTTACGGAGAACAGAGGTGAGGGAAATCGGTCGATAATTGGAGGGAAGAAGTGGATCACCTTTTTTAAGGATAGGAAATACGGCTGCATGACGCCAGGCGGAGGGAACATAGGACCATTGCCAGCATATGGTGAACAAAAATGAGAGTACATAAGGAAGGGAGGAGTAAAGGAGTGGTTTCAGCATTTCGGATTTGAGATGGTCGGATCCAGGAGCTTTATGGGTAGGAAGTGAGCGGATATGGGAGATGATGGCTTTGGGTGCGAAAATAGTGGATCATAGGTGTGAGGAAGTGAGGATATCGGTGGTAGTGGCGGACGAGAAGAAGGAAGAAGGGAACCATTATAAATGGTGGCGAGATGGTTGGTCATAAGTTCAACAGCTGTGGCAGGGCCATCTGGATGGGTGAAGGTGGTGGTTGTGGTACGGCGTCTTTTCAGCTGACTAACCTTGGCCGTAGCTTTGGTATAGTTGCTTTCTAAAGAATCGCAAAAGTTGCGCCAGGTAACTCGTTTGGCAGCACGGACAGCTTGGCGAAATTCACGGTTGGCTTGACAATACTTTTGCCACCATTCTAATTTGTCAATACCAATGGCTCTACGCCATTTTTTGTGGAGGCGTTCCCTAAGGGCTGCAGCTGACTGGAGGGCGGGCGTCCAGAATGTTTTCCAATGGGGCGGTCGGGGCGGTCGTGTGCCAACGGTTGTAGTGAGAGTGTCTTCAAGGAGTGTATTTAGGCGGTCGGAGAGTTCGTCAATAGGTGGTCGGTAAGAAGGGGGGTTGTTGGCAATGTTGCGTAAATCGGAAAGGAGTGACTGGGAAGATGTAGTAAAGGAGCGGACATAAAGTTTGCGAGTATCTGTCTCTCTGAGACGAGATAAATGCCAAAGGTGACAAGGAGGAGGAGCAGAGGGAGTGGGAGATGACAATGTATAGGAAAATGATAGGGAGAGGAGCTTATGGTCAGATCCGAGCGATAAATCGAGATCGATGTCAATGGATGGGGAAGTGAGTGGAAGATCGGTAATAAAGAAATCGATAATACTGCTGACTGGGCGGCTATGTCGCATGGAAAGGAAAGTAGGGGTGCCATAGGAAAGCGTGGAATTAAGGAGAGTGAGGTTGCGGTCTGTGAGCCAGCGGCGGAGCATAGTGCCTCGGGTGTTGGATGCATAATCACCAGTGATATCGCCCATGTGAGCATTAAAATCACCGCATAAAATAGTATTGGAGGTAACGGGCATAGAGTTAAGTATATCATGGAATTCGTCCGTGCTTAAGGAGGGCGGCAGGTAAAGGCATATAATTTTGATGGGACCAAGGAGAATACCGAGAGCATAGGGTGAGGATAGTGAGACTTGGGAGACAGGATAAGGACAGTGAGGGGAAATGAGTGCAGTGATGCCCTGAGAGCCACGGTAGTGGCCTTCAACAGGGACGCCATAGGTGTGGAATTGGAGCCATTCGGTGGGTAATCGGGAAGGGGGGAGCATCCAAGTTTCGGTGATAAAGAGAGCTGTGAAGGAACGGCAGTGGGAGAGAACATCATGTATATACGTCGTTTGAAGGCCATTGGCATTCCATAGTCCTAGGGTAAAGGACTCACTCATTGATGATGTGTTGAGAAGACACCAGGCATAGGATCATCTTCCGATTGAAATGAGTGGTCGGGAGCATCACGATCCAGGTGTTTGGCAGGGACGGTAGGGATATCCTCGTCAAAGATCCATCCTTCTTCGAGGAACCCACGGGCAACAGAGGGCATAACGGCGGGACGCAAAAATTTGAGGCATTGGGTGCATCGTCGGCGGTGGTTTTCGATCGCTACAGCATGGCGTTCGGCCATAGAAACTGTTTCCAGTTTGGGATCTGCCAGGTGCTTGGGGTCAAGTGGATCAAAGTCCGTCAGGACCTTGACACTGGCATTGGTCATCGTTTCGGTCAGTAGGGGGTGGTATTGGGCGTGGATCAATAAGCCGACCACATTGCGGGCAGGGAACGTGATATCAAGGATGCGGGATGTATCGACATCCATTTTGCGGAGACGACGACGGACTTCGGAACGATCCATGCGGCGGGAACGGGGAATATAAAGGTACCCAAATCCATTGGGTCCTGTTTGTTCCTGGAAAGGGCGGACATTAGCTGCACGTTTGCGTGCAATGCGAACAGGGTCGTTGGTGCGGTTGGGGCGGTACTTTTTGGTGACGGCCGTCCATTTGGAGGCCATGGAACCTACAGGAGGTATGGGGGCAGCAGTGGCGGTAGTTGCGGTGGTGGCAGGAACGGCGGTGTCCGGACCGGACTTTGGCGGGGTAGTTGTTGCGGCCGCTTCATAGGCGGCAAGACGTTGTTGCAGCTGGGCATTCGTGGCTTTCAGCTGGTCGATTTCCCTCAAGAGGGCATCGACTTGCTCGCTGCGGGTTTGGTGATGTGCGACTGTCTGTTGCAGACCAGTCACAACCTGGATGATATCCATCTGAGTAGGAGCGGCGGGCATCGGAGTAAGATCGGATGTCATGGAAAACGAATTCGACATTTGCGGCTCTGGAAAAACAGCTACAAAAGCGCGGTTTGCGGATGTACGTTGGATGGGACGTTGGGATGACGGATGCAACGTATTTGCTAACGGATGGATGATATTGTTAGGTCTTGGATACACTTTTTTTACCGGGAAAACGTTTATCCGTTTCTGAAAGGCTAAAAGTGATGAGAAACCGAAAGAAAGGTGGGGATGTAGCTCAGGTTAAAGATTATTGTTTATTTGAAGGGGACGACGATGTCGGTATTTACCGTTATGGCGTACCCCCGAAGCAAGAGAAAGAGAAAACTAAAAAATCCCGGGAAACCATATGGGACAAAAAAGGAAGAAGGAGAAGGTGAGAGCCTTGTGCTAATAAATGGGTCACTGTCCGGAGGTTCCACTCAGCAGCTGCACTAGAAGGTTGTGGCAGTGTGAGGGAGCGAACCAGAAGCAGATCATCATCGTTCACGTTCGGAGGAAGTATGAGTTCGCCAATAGGCGACAGGATCGTCAGGTTCAGGGTAATCCCCATCGGGATTACTCAGGGTTTCGATATACCAAAGGAGCGAAAAAAGATCGGACCAAAAGGAAGGGCAGGGGGCATTCACCGAGGTGGGAAGCGAAGAGATAGCAGCATCGATGGGGTGGGAGGTTGGCGTGTATTGAGGAAGAGAATCCCACAGGTGATGGGGGATGGCGGAACAGAAGACAAGGTGGCGGCGAGAGGTATGGTCCTGCATACAATTGCAAGGACGGGGTTTACCGGGAAGCCACCCCATACGCCAGCGTATGAGGCGACTGCGGTTCATTCGGGACATGGGCAGATACAAGATCGGGTCGATACTCAGAGAGGGACGGCAAGCGCGAATCAACACCTGTTCGGTGGAGGCAAGGAAAGAGTCAAAGAGTTTTTGATGGTCGAGGCGGAAAAAGGAACGGAGCGGCGGAGTCGGTGATGGTAGGGAGCGGTATAAGCGGTTCTTTTGGAGAGAGGAAGATAAACGAGTGGTAGGGAAGTCGGCAGATATTAAGGATAGGAGACAATCGGAGGGAAGGCGGGAAGCACGAAGGCAGAAACGAGTGGTGAGGATGTCGATACGAAAAGCCATGGAGGGGAGGTTGCAGAGGTGTTTAAGGACAGTGGTGGAGGATGTGGTATGGCCGCCAACGATCATACGAAGGCATCGATCTTGGAGTTTTTCGACGGCTTTGAAATCTTTTTTAAGGAACGTAGAGATGGCGAGCCCATATTCAAACTTGGGGCGGATGAACTGGGCGTAGAGGCGGGAACTGAGGAGGAGGGAGAAACCAGAGCGGCTAGCACCAATGCTGTGGAGAACAGACATGGCGAGCATGGTAGGGGCAGTGCGGTATTTAATGAGGGACGAGGCACAGAGGCCAGAGCGACGAAAGGGAACACCAAGGTAAATAAATTCTTCTACTACAGGAAGTGGTTCACCATAGAGAGAGAGGGGAGTGACGGTACGGGTGGTAGGGTGGTTGATGATGGCGCATTTGGCAGGATTCCATCGGTAGCCAAGTTCAAAGGAGTGTTGGGAGGCGAGAGTAAGCATGGACTTGACTTCTTGGTAGGAACCTAGGATGGCAACATCGTCGGCGAAAAGGAGAGAATTGACAGGAGTGGGAGAGGGTGTATCGGAAACCGTTAATCGGGTGGTAGTGGAAGTGGCGGCGTTACGAAGAAGGGAAGGAAGGGAATTTATATAAACGGAATAAAGATGGGGACTTAAAACAGAGCCTTGGAGGACACCTGTGGCGGGGGAAAACGAAGTGGAGGAATGGTTAGAAAGAAGGACGGAAACAGAAACATCGTCAAAGAGGTGCATAAGGAGAGACAAAAGAGGTGGAGGCATATCAGCGTTGGAGAGGGCCTGCCATACAATACGTCTATCGACAGTATCATAGGCAGCCTTTATATCCAGGAACGCGATGACGGGAAAATGATGGTGGCGGCGGAAGTAGGAGTGCATAAGTTCATGGAGACATAAAGCTTGGTCGAGGGCACTGCGACGAGGACGGAAACCACCTTGGGCAATATCCAGTGCAGGCGAAAAGGCATGGAGAGAAGAGGCGAGGCATAATTCCATAAGTTTACGGAGAACGGAGGTGAGGGAAATCGGGCGATAATTGGAGGGAAGGGTGGGATCGCCTTTTTTGAAAATCGGAAACACTTGGGCATGGCGCCACAAGGTAGGAACATAGGACCACTGCCAGCAGAGGCGAAAGAGACAAAGGAGCGTATAGGATAAGGCGGAGGTGATGGGGCGGAGCATTTCGGCTTTGAGGTGGTCAACACCAGGAGCTTTGCGGTTGGGAAGTTGGCGGATGTGATACTGGATCGATGCTTGTGAAAAAGGACAGTCGGACAGTTCGTTTGGAGTGGGGAAGGCGGAAGAATTTGTGGGCGAGTCGAGGGAAGGGTATGGCCATTATACACAGACTGTAAATGGGAACACATTGCTTCCACTGCGGCTGCGGGACCATCAGGATGGGTAAAGGATTGGAGGGGGCGACGACGTCGTTTCAACTGGGCAACCTTGGAGGTTGCTTTGTTGTAATTGGTTTCTAATGAGTGACAAAAAGCACGCCAGGATGCCCGTTTGGCGGCTTGGACTTCGGAACGGAAAGTCTGGCAGGCGGTTTGGTGTTTGGTCCACCAGTAAACTTTGTCTATACCAGCGGCATGACGCCATCGTTGGTAGCAGCGGTTTCGATTGTCAGCGGCATTTTGGAGACTTTCGTTCCAAAAGCGCTTCCAATGGGATGGATGGGGGCGGCGGGGACCAATGGACTGGTCGAGGGAGGTGTAAATGGCATCATTGAGCTCACCAGTGAGGTGGTCAATGTCGGGGCGAGTGGGTGGGGGGTTGGTGGCGAGGTCGGAAAGAGTGTGGCGAAGGGTGTTGGTGGCGGAAATAAAGGAGCGGTTATATAAGGAGTGGACGTCAGGTTCATGAAGGCGAGAGAGATTCCATGTGCGGCGTTGTGGTGGAGGAGTTTCGGCAGGAAGGTGGTCGTAGGTAAAGGAGAGTGACATAAGTTTATGGTCAGAGCCAAGAGAGAGGTCGGAACGAATGGTGATGTTGGGTGACTGGAAAGAGGAAGGAGTGTTGGTGATGAACAAGTCAATGATACTACTGATTTCTTGTTCTCGTCGAAAGGAAAGGAAGGTGGGTTGGCCAAAGGCGAGAGAAACGTTTAGCACTTCGAGCTGATTATCGGACAGCCATTGCTTGAGTAGGGAGCCGCGTGGGTTGGAATCATGATCGCCAATATAATCACCCATCCGGGCATTTAGGTCGCCACAGATAATGGTATCGTCAAGGAGGGGGATGGATGATAGGACTTGCATAATTGTTTCGGGAGGGAGGGAGGGGGGAAGGTATAAACATATAACATGAAGCGGACCAAGCTTGAGAGAGAGGGCATAGTTGGAAAATGAGGGTAATTGAAAAACTGGATAAGGACAGGAGGGGGAAATAAGAGCGGAAATGCCCATGGAACCACGGTAGTTGCCAGCAACAGGTGTACCATATAAATGGATTTGATTCCATGAGGTGGGTAATCGGGCAGGGGGGAGAAGCCAAGTTTCGGTAATGAAGAGTAAGGAGAAGGAGTGACAGTGCGGCAAAACATCATGAATAGTGGAAGCTTGGAGACCATTAGCATTCCACAAACCAATTGATAATTCTGGCATTATTGATACGAGGTGGTGGCGGTAGCAGTGGTGGGAGTGGCAGTGGAGTGAATGGAAGCATCCTCATCATGTGCTTCATGATCAGAAACGTCCATAGCAGAGGCATCATCGTCAGCATCGGCGGTCTCGGATTCCGAAGGTGAAAAGGCATCGCGATCCTTATACTTCATGGCGTGGAGGCAACGACTGGTCATAGTCATGGCATCGTCCTCACTAATCCAACCAGCGTTGAAAAAGGTGCGGGCGACCGGGATGGCAACAGCGGGACGAAGGAAACGAAGCGTACGCATGCAGCGGTTACGGTGCAAGTCGAGAGCCATGCTGGTTTTGTGGGCAGCAGGAAGGTCTGAGTATTTAGGATCACCCAAGTGGGTAGGATCCTGAGGGTCAAAGGAATCGAGAGGCACCACTTTCGATTTGGCCAAAATTTCTTTGGCCACCGGGATATATTGGACATGCATAAGCAAGCCAATGGCGGAACGGGCAGGGAAAGAAATATCAAGGATACGGGCAGAGTCCAAGCCTAAACGGCGCAGACTGCGGCGGATTTCAGGCCGATCCATGCGGCGGGAGCGTGTTAAATAAAGGTATTCGAAACCTTTGGGGCCTTCGGCAGGCTGGAAGGAACGGGCAATGGCCGTTTGACGGCGGGTGGGAATAGCCAGTGGGGCTGGATGATGTTTGCGGACAACTTGGGCCCAGGAAGAAGCTAGAGCTCCCACGGGAGCAGGGTCAGTGGCGCGGGAGACGGTGGCGGTGGGCATATTGCCAGCAACGGAAGTGGATTTGGTGGGGGCGGCGGAATGTTTTTCTGACTCCGTCAGACGTGCTTCAAGAGCAGCGATTTTGGCTCGTAGTTGGGAGTTTTCCTCCACAACGGCTTCGAATCGGTCCACACGTTCCAGTGCAGACGAGAGGTCGGTTTGCATAGCTGCAACAGTATGCTGGAGAGCAGCGACGACTTGCATGAGGTCCACATGGGGCATGCTGGGGGGAACATTAGCGACATGTTGTAATGTCGCCTGGTGGCGGGATTCAGCTGGAACTGAATCGGAATGTTGCATGGCAAGGAAGCGGTCTACAGACGTCGGAGTAGTATCAATGGGTACGTACGGACTTACTGATGATGGATGCAACAGTTTTGTTGATGGATGGATGATCTTTAGTATGGATGTGTACTTCTTTTGACGGGAAAACCTTTTGCCGATTTCTGAAAGGCAAAAAGTGATTGAAAACCGAAAGAAAAGTGGGGATGTAGCTCAGTTCAAAGATTATATTTTTATTATGGAGACGACGATGTCGGTATTTACCATTATGGCGTACTCCGGAAACAGTGGACAGAGAAGACTAAAAAGCCCCAGGAGACCAAAAGGGACAAAAAGGAAAAGAAAGAAAGGGAAGCAAACGCTAATAAATAGTTAGCTGTCTGGAAGTTCCACTCAGCAGCTGCGCTCAAAGTCGTGGCAGTGTGAGGGAGCGAACCAGAAGCAGTGTCACTATCATTCACGAGGAGAAAGGGAATGTTCATGCCAGTAGGCAACAGGATCGTCAGGTTCAGTGTAATCCCCATCGGGATTACACAAGGTTTCAATATGCCAAAGCAGTGTGATGAGGTCTGACCAGAAAGAAGGACAAGGAGCGGTCACCGAAGTTGGTAGAGAGGAGAGAGCGGCATCAATAGGATGGGAGGTGGGTGAGTAAGAGGGAAGTGACTCCCATAGTTGAGGGGGGATCGCGTGACAGAAAACAAGGTGGCGACGAGAAGTATGGTCTTGCATACAATTGCAAGGGCGTGGTTTACCAGGTAGCCAGCCCATACGCCAGCGTATTAGGCGACTACGGTTCATTCGGGACATTGGAAGATAGAGGATAGGGTCGATACCGAGGGAAGGGCGACAAGCACGGATAAGAACTTGGTCGGTGTATGAAAGGAAGGAATCGAAAAGCTTTTGGTGATCGAGGCGGAAGAAGGAACGTAGCGACGGCAGCGGAGATGGTAGGGAGCGGTAGAGACGGTTTTTCTGTAGTGTCGAAGATAAACGAGTGGTGGGGAAGGATTCGGATATAAGGGATAAGAGGCAGTCGGAAGGGAGGCGGGAAGCCCGAAGGCAAAAGCGAGTGGTGAGGATGTCAATACGGAAAGCCATGGAAGGAAGGTTACATAGGTGTCTAAGGACTGTAGTGGAGGAAGTGGGGTGACCGCCGACGATCATGCGAAGGCATCTGTCTTGCAATTTTTCAATGGCTTTGAGGTCTTTCTTGAAATAGGTTAAGAGGGCAAGTCCATATTCAAATTTGGGGCGGATGAATTGGGCATAGAGTCGGGAACTGAGGAGAAGCGAAAAACCAGAGCGGCTGGCGCCGATGCTGTGTAGGATGGACATTGCGAGCATGGTGGGGGCAGTGCGATAGGAAATGAGGGACGGTGTACAAAGGCCAGTGCGGCGAAAAGGAATACCAAGATAAATAAATTCTTCTACTATGGGAATTGGTTCTCCATAGAGAGACAAGGGGGTGGCGGTACGGGCAGTAGAGGGATTCAAGATGGCACATTTTGATGGGTTCCAGCGGTAGCCAAGGTCAAAGGAATGTTGGGAGGCGAGCGCAAGCATGCGTTGGACTTCAGGAAAAGAACCAAAAATGGCCACATCATCGGCAAAGAGAAGAGAATTAACGGGAGTTGGAGAAGGGGAATTAGGTACGGTGAGGCGGGTAGTAGTGGGGATGGCGGCATCGCGAAGGAGTGAAGGAAGGGAATTAACGTAAACAGAGTAGAGATGGGGACTCAAAACAGAGCCTTGTAGAACGCCTGTGGCGGGAGTGAAGGAGGTAGAGGAGTGGTTTGAGAGTAAGACGGAAATAGAAACGTCGTCGAAGAGGTGCATAATAAGAGACAAGAAAGGGAAGGCATATTAGCGTTGGAGAGGGCTTGCCATACAATACGTCTGTCGACAGTATCATAGGCAGCCTTTATATCCAGGAACGCTACGGTAGGAAAATGATGGTGACGAGAAAAGTAGGATTGCATAAGTTCATGTAGGCATAGAGCTTGGTCAAGGGCACTGCGACGAGGACGGAAACCGCCTTGGGCAATATCCAGTGCAGGCGAAAATTGGTGGAGGGAGGAGGCGAGGCATAATTCCATAAGTTTGCGCAAGGCAGAGGTCAGGGAAATCGGACGGTAGTTGGAGGGGAGAGTTGGGTCACCTTTTTTGAAAATGGGGAAGACCTGGGCATGGCGCCACACCATAGGGACATAGGACCACTGCCAGCAGAGGCGAAAGAGACAAAGGAGTGTATAGGATAATGGGGATGCAATGGGTCGGAACATTTCAGCTTTAAGGTGGTCAATACCAGGAGCTTTACGGTTGGGAAGTTGGCGGATGTTGTATCGGATGGATTCGTGGGAAAAGGGACAGTTGGAGAGTTGATGGGGAGGGGGGAGGGGGGCCGTGATAAGTGGTGGTCGGGTTGAGGGGAGGGTATGGCCATTATACACGGTTTGTAAATGAGTGCACATTGTTTCTACTGCAGCTGCTGGACCATCTGGGTGGGTAAATGATTGGAAGGGGCGGCGACGGCGTTTCAGTTGGGCGACTTTGGAGGTGGTTTTATTGTAGTCGGTTTCTAAGGAATGGCAGAATGCTCGCCAAGAGGCACGTTTGGCGGCTTGAACTTCAGATCGGAAAGCTTGGCAGGCAGTTTGGTGTTTGTTCCACCAATAAACTTTGTCAATACCAGAGGCATGACGCCATCGTTGGTAGCATCGGTTGCGACTATCGGCAGCCTGTTGAAGGCTATCATTCCAGAAGCGTTTCCAATGAGAGGGTCTAGCGGGGCGTGAACCAATAGATTTATCTAATGAGTCATAGATAGCCTGGTTGAGGTCGTTGGTGAGATGGTCGATGTCAGGACGGGTGGTTGGTGGATTGGTGACGAGATTCGAGAGAGTATGACGGAGGGTATTGGTATTAGAAATAAAGGTGCGGTTGTAAAGATGGCTGGTGTCAGGTTCTTTGAGACGAGAAAGGTACCAGGTGCGGCGTTTTGGTGGTGGGGTAGCGGGGGGAAGATGGTCGTAATTAAAGGATAAGGACATGAGTTTATGGTCAGAGCCAAGGGAGAGGTCAGAACGAATGGTAATTGATGGGGATTGGAAAGATAAAGGAGCGTTGGTAATAAAAAGGTCGATGATGCTGCTGATTTCTTGTTGGCGGCGGAAGGAAAGGAAGGTAGGTTGGCCATAGGCAAGCGAAACATTGAGTACCTCGAGCTGATTGTCAGACAGCCATTGTTTTAGGAGGGAACCACGGGAATTTGTATCATGATCGCCTAGAAATTCACCCATACGGGCATTAAGATCGCCACAGATAATGGTATCGTCAAGGAGGGGAATGGATGATAGGACTTGCATAACGGTTTCGGGAGGAAGAGTGGGAGGGAGGTATAAGCATACAAGATGAAGCGGACCAAGCTTTAGTGAGAGAGCATAGTTAGAAAAGGAAGGTAGTTGGAATATTGGATAAGGACAGGAAGGGGAGATAAGGGCGGAAACACCCATGGAACCACGGTAGTTGCCAGCAACGGGCGCGCCATATAAATGGATTTGTTTCCATGAGGTTGGTAATCGGGCAGGAGGAAGTAGCCAAGTTTCTGTGATAAAGAGCAGTGAAAAGGAGTGGCAGTGGGGAAGAACATCATGTATGGTGGAAGCTTGGAGGCCGTTAGCATTCCACAAACCAATTGATAGTTCCGGCATTATTGATATGAGGTGGGTGAGGTAACAGGGGTTGTTGTGGCGTCATGGTGGGGAGTATCTGTATTGTTGGCCTCTTCGTCTTCAGATACATCCATTTCGGAGCCGGAATCATCGGAGGAGGAATCCTCATTACTGGATGAGAAATTGTCGCGATCTTTATATTTCAAAGATCGAAGGCAGCGGCGGGTCATCTTTGCGGCATCCTGTTCACTTATCCAGCCAGCTTCAAAAAAAGCTCTGGTGAGTGGAAGGGCAACAGTGGGACGAAGGAAACGAAGTGTGCGTTCACAGTGGGTACGGTGCAGGTTGGTTATCAGGGCGACTTTTTCGGTGTCGGAAAGGTCAGCATACTTGGGATCACCCAGGTGGGCAGGATCCTGTGGGTCAAAAGAGGCAATGGGGACGACTTTATGTTTTGCCAAAATTTCTTTGGCAACCGGAATATATTGGACATGCATGAGCAAGCCAACTACAGCGCGAGCGGGAAAGGAAACGTCGAGGATACGGGCAGAGTCCAAGCCTAAGCGACGAAGGCTACGACGGATTTCGGGACGGTCCATGCGTCTAGCACGGGTCAAGTAAAGGTACTCAAAGCCTTGAGGGCCAAGAACAGGTTGAAAGTTGCGGGCATTAGCAGCCTGGCGACGGGGGTTCGTTACAGTATTAATGGGACGAGGTTTTTGGACAGTGTTTGCCCATGAGGAGGCCATGGATCCAACAGGATTGGTGCCAGTAGCCGTGGTTGAGGAGGCTTGATTGGGCTTGAGGCCCTTGTCAGATTGGGGTGTCGTTGGTTTGGCCTTAGAGGGACGCTCGGACTCCGCTAGGCGCGCTTCAAGAGCGGCGATTTTTTCACGAAGTTGGGAGTTTTCCTCCACAACAGCTTCGAAACGGTCCAAACGAGCACGTGTGGACGCAAAGTCAGTTTGCATTGCTGCGACGGTTTGTTGGAGTGTCAACACGACTTGCATGAGGTCAACGTTCGCAGGCGATGGGGGGATTTGCTCGACATGTTGGAATGTCGCTGGGTGGCGGGATTCAGCTGGAACTGAATCGGTGCGTTGCATGGCGGGAAATTGGCCTAGAGGCTCGAAAATGGTATCAGCAGGTACGTGTGAACTTACTTGTGATGGATGCGACACTTTGGCTGATGGATGGATGATTTTTTCTGTATGGGTGTACTTCTTTATGGCGGGAAAACGTTTTGCCGTTTTTGGAAAGGCAAAAAGTTATGGAAACCAGAAAAAGAGGTGGGGATGTAGCTCAAATGGTAGAGCGCTCGCTTAGCATGCGAGAGGCACTGGGATCGACGCCCAGCTTCTCCACTTCTTTTTTTGTTTTTTTGGCCGGTTTTTATTCAGCCAATCAGAACCGGCCGAATAAAATAATTATTTTATTGTCGTACTTCACTCGGATCTGATATACCGGGAGATATTTATATGTGCTTATTCGGTCTATGTTCTTAAAGAGGATAATGGCTGAGCGGCTAAAACTTTGATAAAAGGATGGTTGTACTTAGCAAGATGCTAAGCTGATTACCATTTCCGGACACTATCCGCTTCAGCCACGACATTATTTTTTTTACGCCATAGCTTTTTGCAGGAAGACACACTATCAAGAGAATTACAGAAGCCTGCAACAGCTAACCAAAGATATTTTAAAGGTTTTGTGTCGCATTTCTGAGATAAGAATTAGGTAAGCATCTGTCAGATAAGTAACAATACGTCTTTTCTTTTACACATTAATACTTAGTTGACATATTACATAAAAAAATCCAATGGAAGGGCTGTCAAACAAAAAAAAAAAAAAAAAAAAAAAAAGGACTGGTCAGCTCCAACGATGCCTAAGTGTCAGATACTAAATAGGGACTTGGACCGGAGCGAACAAAGGTGTCAAGTGCTTTCAGAGACAGGTAGGGACAGAAGTAAACCAAGGAAACAGAAGGCAATAGTCCAGAAGGAGATAGATTCAAGGAAGGATCGGATTAAAACTGGGATGTATGGACAGAGACCAAGGATCGAAAGAAGAAACAAGGATAATTGACTAGTTTTTATCTAAGATATGAATGAAGCGCATTTGTGGTTTAAGAGAAGAGAAAACATAATTGATATGAATTTGGAATAAAGGAAATAATGGAAATAAATCAGTATCAATGAACGACAATTCAATTAATGTACAAGAAGAATAAAACCAAGACGAAGTACAGGGGATAGATATAATCATTACAGGTGCCCTATAGTTACTCAAGCCTACCCAAGGGCTGCGGATGCCCCAAGGAGGCCCAAAAAATTAGCGTTCATGTCACGGCTTAAATTTTGGGAGTGGAATTTTGGGTGTACCAAGTGTTTCCTCCTTTTGTTTCCACTTTAATTACCTGTTCCCATGGCAGCTCTTGTTTCTCTCAAAGCTAACTGTTATGTATGTGACCGACCATTCGTTCGGGCACGAAAATTAAGAAGCCATCTTTTTCACCAACACGGTATTGATGTTGAGCCGCGCCCTTCTGGAAAAAGACGATACGACACTCAGCAATTTATGTATATCAAAAAAGCTTCTGATGCGTCACATTCCCTGATCGCTGTACACTACGAATGCCCGTCATGTTTTGGTCATTATGCCGCGATCGATGAGCTTAAAGCTCATGTGACCGTGCATGTCAGAAATACACACCACGGCAGCAAAAAGAGGAACGCTCCAACAAGTGGCGAAGAACCAAACGATGACTTTGGTTTTGATGCAAGTGAACACATTCTGGAAGCCATTACTGTCCCTTATCCTGTCGTCTCACCTTTTTTTTTTTTTTGTAGTCAAGTAGCAGTGCACAAGAGAGGACTATTATCTGCAAGGTATTTTTGAATGAACCAAGTCTTTTTAATCAGCTAATTTAAAGTAATTCTTTTTCCATTTAGAAAACAAAAGTATCGTATCTCGGAAGCCATGATGACCCTCCTCCGGAGGTACAAGAACCACCGGATATCGAAAGTGACGAAGAAGGCACCGGTCTTGGATTGCGCTCTATGCTCTTTTTGTGGGCATATCGTCTGGTAAGTTATCTGTTATTTATCTTTTAGTATTTGAATTACCTTACTCATTGGCAAGTAAAGCGGGAATCAAAACCTATTGAGGGTATTGATGCGGTTATCAAGACGAGAAAAGTGGATTTGGCGTCATTTACAGGGCGTTTAATCGGGATATCAATTGATATTATGCAGAAATGGCAGTCTGAGAATTATTTGGATGAAAAATTGAAAGAAACACTCAGGTACGTTCAAAAATAAATTGTGCTGAAAATCCGTTGTTGTTCACTCCTTTTGCCGCAGAACAGCCTTTCTCTTTCATTTATCGTCAATACTTTGATTCCTGAAAACCCAATGAAGACCCTATTCGGTCAAAGAACATGGGAAAACTTCATCAAAGTTGGAGAAATTGACGAAGTTGATGTTTTACCAAAACCAGTGGAAAAGCTTGTGTTGGAGATTGAGAAGGTAAAATGCACGCGCTTACATACGAATATTATCAGCTAAAACATAGTTTATTTTACAACCTGTAGACGTTGGCACTGGAAGGTGAACTAGCTTGCATAAAGCAATTAGCAAAGTTGAAAGCTGAACTTGTTGATGATTCCATTGACTCCCTTGCGATTCAAGTCATTGATGTCTATGAATTCATGTAAGATTTCCAAAAAGAAGAAGCAAAAAAAGCTGAAGAACAAATGCATATTGGAAACTGAACTTATTTTGTCATCCAGTGTCCGCCACATCAAAAAATGGAAAATCGTGCAACGTAATCAAATCACTGAAATGTATTATTTGCAAGTATTTCATCAAGTCATCAGCATTTTACTACGAGACACGAATCTTGTGCCCGTAATGTGAGTTCCCCTAATAATTTACATCTGAAGCTGTATACTCCAACCAACGTACTGATTCATTGCTGGCTTATATATTGTAGTGGTGAGAAAGCAAGCAAAGTGACCAAGGCTGCTCGTGAATTACATGGCAAATTCTTGGATGATTGTCATAAGCTAAACATCTATGGACGAAAGGTTGATTTGCTTCTATCTGTTTGCGACATCGAACTAGGCGCGAACGAATGGAAAACATCATCTTCTGAGATCACCTTGATCCGACAACAATCTAAAAACGTTCGCGTAAACAAATGCATTCTTGAGGAGCTGACGAAAAATTTATCTGAAAACGGCGTTAATGTCGACGACTGTCATTTACTATGCATGGATTGGAATGGTAAGCTCAAGACATGATATGATTCCATGGAGATCTTAACGGACTATTTAACATAGAATTCAATGGATATATGTATATCATTAAGAACGTTGATGATATAACAGTGGCTTCTTTGGTCCGGCAACTTATGATACCTACCCATTTCAAAGAGGTGCCTTGGTTCAGAGAAACGCTGGCGTGTCTACTACACTATAAGGTATGTAGAGACAAGGGCGAATTTATAACAAAAAACAGAGGCATTAAAATCTTGTTCTTGCAAATGTCATCCATAGAAACACTATTCGAATTTGGCAAGCAAGTTGGAAGATGCCATGCTCATCCAAGATCGACGACTGGCATTTCACAATATTGTCGAGAGTTTGTCTATTCCTTCTGTTCGCACCCCATCTCCATCTGTATATCTTTCACCGAAGAGGGGCAAATAATCGGTCAATCCACCATCATCAACAAGCACTATGTCATGCTTCGTATTAAGGACAACGCTAAAAAAAATTATATGTACACTATGAGAGAGCTGAATTCGATAAAGTAAAGAACAGAAGAAGAATGAAATATAAATGGGAATACATCACAATGTCCTCCTCGTCAACATTATTCACCTCATCTATGCAAACCTAACCTGTAGGCATTCAACCGCCGTCCTAAAAGTTTCCCTATGACAATGGGAAGAAAAATGATTTCCAAAAATGTTGTTCGCTTGCATCAAAACCGAAGTCATCGTTTTGTTCTTCACCACTTGTTGAAGCGTTCCTCTTTTTGTTGTCATAGTGTGTGTCTTTCTAACACGCAAGGTCACATGAGCTTTAAGCTCATCCATCATAGCATAACGATCAAAACATGACGGGCATTCGTAGCGTACAGCGATGAGGGGAATGTGACGCATTAGAAGCGTTTCTGAACATGAATTGCTGAGTGTCGTATCGCCTTTTCCCAGAAGGACGTGGCTCAACGTCAATAGCGTGATGGCTAAAAAGACGGCCTTTTTAATTTTCGTGCCTCAACGAATGGACGGCAGCAGATGTAACAGCCTAAATTTGGAAAAGAGACAAGAACTGCCATGGAAACAGGTAATTCAAAGTGGAAATGCGAATGTGGGAGAGATGAAAAAAAACCTTGCTCCCGAAAGTTTGGGAGCCGACCTTAAGCCGCCTTGGGGCGCCTTGGGGCGCCTTGAGCCGTCGTGACGTGGTTTTTTCCGATTTGTGACGGCGATGACGTAAGCAATTCCTGGGGGCGCCTTGGGGCGCCTTGGGGCGCCGTGACGTGGTTTTTTCCGATTTGTGATGGCGATGACGTAAGCAATCCCTGGGGGCGCCTTGGGGCGCCTTGGGGCGCCGTGACGTGGTTTTTTCCGATTTGTGACGGCGATGACGTAAGCAATCCCTGGGGGCGCCTTGGGGCGCCTTGGGGCGCCGTGACGTGGTTTTTTCCCGATTTGTGACGCGGTTGACGTAAGCAATCCCTGGGGGCGCCTGGGGGCGCCTTGGGGCGCCTTGGGGCGCCTTGACGTGGTTTTTTCCGATTTGTGACGGCGATGACGTAAGCAATCCCTGGGGGCGCTTTGGGGCGCCTTGGGGCGCCTTGGACGGCCAGCCTTGGGACGCCTTTGGTAGCCGTGAGCAACCTTGAGCAGCCTTGAGCAGCCTTGAGCAGCCTTGAGCAGCCTTGAGTAGCCTTGAGTAGCCTTTGAGTAGCCTTGAGTAGCCTTGAGTAGCCTTTGAGTAGCCTTGAGTGACTTCTAATTTCCAACAACCCCCCCCTTCACATCAAGACGTAGATGTTAGGCGCGTCCCTTGGTAAATCGTTGGGTTGAATGCTTGCTCTTTTTCATTCCACGTAGACATCATGAAGAATATTTGGACCAAGGGTTTCAATTTGACGCAGGAAATGTGATAGGCCCACGCAACCATGCACAAATCAAGAAAATAATCCAAACCACAATAAAAACAATGGTGGAGGATCTTTTATTCCTTTTTTCACCTCTTTTATTATTGGTATTATTATTATTTGCTTTTTCCTTTAGCTTCGACTGAATAGCAACATCATGAAAGTCATTTTCCTTGCTATTCTTACCTTCTTCGTTGCGTTGATCGCGGCCCAAAAGGAAGCTTTCTATGTCACTTCTCCCTTGAAGGGCAGCAAATTCAAGCCTGGTGATGTGTATGTAAATAGTAAAAAATCGATGATATGGCATGTGCAGTCATTCGTCAGTTTGAAAGTGCATTTTCCACGTTTATGATCATCCATCATAGTTTATCAAGAAAGCGCATGTTTTCTTTATATGAACACAGTACGTGAATTACTTGGACATCATTGGCCACAATCAATTTCTTCTTTGATTTTCTTTAAATTTCAAATTTTTGCACTTGATAGAGTCTTGCAACGAGTAACAACATAGTAGCAAGACATCGCGCACATATTCTCCCTAACTCAAACGTGAATACATGAACGTGGAGCAGTAAAAGAAAGATTACGATGCGAAAAAGCCATATCAAATTTAGGCAATCTCATGAAGTGAAAGTCCGTCTTAGGAGCCCCAGGTGATAGAGTAATTCGAAATTCATCCCTTTCCTGACGTCGTGCAGTTTTTTTGGGCAGTGTACCAAGTGTTCCCGTTGAAATGGATTGTGACTGACTGTATCGGATGTTTCTTTTGACAGAACTATCACTGGTGGTGGATGTCCTTTGCCATTGGAAATGGATCATCCATCTACGTCTTTGGGTAAGCTCTCATCAAAATGAAATATATGGGGAGAGAGGTGACATTCATTGATGTCATCATTTTCATAGTTATGCGATCGTTTACTATTTATTGAACACCGAGATTCAAGGCGTATTTGGGGGCTCTGATATGTCTTGTATACATGTTGTTAGCGTGCGGAATATTAGGTCTATGAACGGGAACAGTGGGATTTTTCAGTGCTTATATGGTGGTAGAAAATCTATTCGCTGGGTCAAGCCAAGGACAACCAAAGGAGGTCCAAGTTGATGGCAAATGTAAATCAAGCATTGTTGTAATCCTATTTCATCAGGTTGATTAAAAACTCAGCACATTTTTCCTTCCTTCCGCGGAAGTCGGGAAAGACCCAAAAAATAAATCCTTTGCGTTGCCCAAAACCCGAACTTAATTTAATTCACTTTGTTTTTTAACCTTTGGTTTTATTGTAATCCTTTTTTTTTTCTTTTGTTTCCTTCCCATTTCTCCTTTATTACCTTGTATTCGCATCATTGGATACTCACCATGTCGAAAAACGATACCAGCTCCATCATCATGCTACCACTTTCTGTTTCTTGGTGTTTACAGTCTGTTTCCTGTTCGTCCGATCTCCTACCTGTCCCTGGGAAGCACTTGACGCTTTATCCGCTCCTGTCCAAGTCCCTCTTCAATATCTGACATCATAATTTATTCGCATGGTGTTACCTGCTTTCTTCTCCATCCCACTTTTTTTTTATTACTGCTTGTCAATTTCTTTTCGTTGATAATGGGTAACGAGTAGCAACGCAAACTGCGCCATTGATTTGGGACCTGCACCATCGTCTGCCATTGATGAGTCAATGATGCAAAAAAACTTTCAACAGGCATTGAAGGATTTTGATGCTTGTATTTGTCTATGAAAATCGGAGATGATGGTCTGAATCACTGCTGCATGCGATTTACACAGTTTGCAGGGCGGAGGTGTATGAGGAGGGGTCGTTTCAGCGGCCAATGTTATGAAGGACGGCACTTTATGGAGCACGATGGGCGCAGAAGGAGTCGGTGCAGATGCGGGAGTTGGAAGAGAGTGGATAGCATGGTGATGAAGCTGGTATCGTTTTTCGACATGGTGAGTATCCAATGATGCGAATACAAGGTAATAAAGGAGAAATGGGAAGGAAACAAAAGAAAAAAAAAAGGATTACAATAAAACCAAAGGTTAAAAAACAAAGTGAATTAAATTAAGTTCGGGTTTTGGGCAACGCAAAGGATTTATTTTTTGGGTCTTTCCCGACTTCCGCGGAAGGAAGGAAAAATGTGCTGAGTTTTTAATCAACCTGATGAAATAGGATTACAACAATGCTTGATTTACATTTGCCATCAACTTGGACCTCCTTTGGTTGTCCTTGGCTTGACCCAGCGAATAGATTTTCTACCACCATATAAGCACTGAAAAATCCCACTGTTCCCGTTCATAGACCTAATATTCCGCACGCTAACAACATGTATACAAGACATATCAGAGCCCCCAAATACGCCTTGAATCTCGGTGTTCAATAAATAGTAAACGATCGCATAACTATGAAAATGATGACATCAATGAATGTCACCTCTCTCCCCATATATTTCATTTTGATGAGAGCTTACCCAAAGACGTAGATGGATGATCCATTTCCAATGGCAAAGGACATCCACCACCAGTGATAGTTCTGTCAAAAGAAACATCCGATACAGTCAGTCACAATCCATTTCAACGGGAACACTTGGTACACTGCCCAAAAAAACTGCACGACGTCAGGAAAGGGATGAATTTCGAATTACTCTATCACCTGGGGCTCCTAAGACGGACTTTCACTTCATGAGATTGCCTAAATTTGATATGGCTTTTTCGCATCGTAATCTTTCTTTTACTGCTCCACGTTCATGTATTCACGTTTGAGTTAGGGAGAATATGTGCGCGATGTCTTGCTACTATGTTGTTACTCGTTGCAAGACTCTATCAAGTGCAAAAATTTGAAATTTAAAGAAAATCAAAGAAGAAATTGATTGTGGCCAATGATGTCCAAGTAATTCACGTACTGTGTTCATATAAAGAAAACATGCGCTTTCTTGATAAACTATGATGGATGATCATAAACGTGGAAAATGCACTTTCAAACTGACGAATGACTGCACATGCCATATCATCGATTTTTTACTATTTACATACACATCACCAGGCTTGAATTTGCTGCCCTTCAAGGGAGAAGTGACATAGAAAGCTTCCTTTTGGGCCGCGATCAACGCAACGAAGAAGGTAAGAATAGCAAGGAAAATGACTTTCATGATGTTGCTATTCAGTCGAAGCTAAAGGAAAAAGCAAATAATAATAATACCAATAATAAAAGAGGTGAAAAAAGGAATAAAAGATCCTCCACCATTGTTTTTATTGTGGTTTGGATTATTTTCTTGATTTGTGCATGGTTGCGTGGGCCTATCACATTTCCTGCGTCAAATTGAAACCCTTGGTCCAAATATTCTTCATGATGTCTACGTGGAATGAAAAAGAGCAAGCATTCAACCCAACGATTTACCAAGGGACGCGCCTAACATCTACGTCTTGATGTGAAGGGGGGGGTTGTTGGAAATTAGAAGTCACTCAAGGCTACTCAAAGGCTACTCAAGGCTACTCAAGGCTACTCAAAGGCTACTCAAGGCTACTCAAGGCTGCTCAAGGCTGCTCAAGGCTGCTCAAGGCTGCTCAAGGTTGCTCACGGCTACCAAAGGCGTCCCAAGGCTGGCCGTCCAAGGCGCCCCAAGGCGCCCCAAAGCGCCCCCAGGGATTGCTTACGTCATCGCCGTCACAAATCGGAAAAAACCACGTCAAGGCGCCCCAAGGCGCCCCAAGGCGCCCCCAGGCGCCCCCAGGGATTGCTTACGTCAACCGCGTCACAAATCGGGAAAAAACCACGTCACGGCGCCCCAAGGCGCCCCAAGGCGCCCCCAGGGATTGCTTACGTCATCGCCGTCACAAATCGGAAAAAACCACGTCACGGCGCCCCAAGGCGCCCCAAGGCGCCCCCAGGGATTGCTTACGTCATCGCCATCACAAATCGGAAAAAACCACGTCACGGCGCCCCAAGGCGCCCCAAGGCGCCCCCAGGAATTGCTTACGTCATCGCCGTCACAAATCGGAAAAAACCACGTCACGACGGCTCAAGGCGCCCCAAGGCGCCCCAAGGCGGCTTAAGGTCGGCTCCCAAACTTTCGGGAGCAAGGTTTTTTTTCATCTCTCCCACATTCGCATTTCCACTTTGAATTACCTGTTTCCATGGCAGTTCTTGTCTCTTTTCCAAATTTAGGCTGTTACATCTGCTGCCGTCCATTCGTTGAGGCACGAAAATTAAAAAGGCCGTCTTTTTAGCCATCACGCTATTGACGTTGAGCCACGTCCTTCTGGGAAAAGGCGATACGACACTCAGCAATTCATGTTCAGAAACGCTTCTAATGCGTCACATTCCCCTCATCGCTGTACGCTACGAATGCCCGTCATGTTTTGATCGTTATGCTATGATGGATGAGCTTAAAGCTCATGTGACCTTGCGTGTTAGAAAGACACACACTATGACAACAAAAAGAGGAACGCTTCAACAAGTGGTGAAGAACAAAACGATGACTTCGGTTTTGATGCAAGCGAACAACATTTTTGGAAATCATTTTTCTTCCCATTGTCATAGGGAAACTTTTAGGACGGCGGTTGAATGCCTACAGGTTAGGTTTGCATAGATGAGGTGAATAATGTTGACGAGGAGGACATTGTGATGTATTCCCATTTATATTTCATTCTTCTTCTGTTCTTTACTTTATCGAATTCAGCTCTCTCATAGTGTACATATAATTTTTTTTAGCGTTGTCCTTAATACGAAGCATGACATAGTGCTTGTTGATGATGGTGGATTGACCGATTATTTGCCCCTCTTCGGTGAAAGATATACAGATGGAGATGGGGTGCGAACAGAAGGAATAGACAAACTCTCGACAATATTGTGAAATGCCAGTCGTCGATCTTGGATGAGCATGGCATCTTCCAACTTGCTTGCCAAATTCGAATAGTGTTTCTATGGATGACATTTGCAAGAACAAGATTTTAATGCCTCTGTTTTTTGTTATAAATTCGCCCTTGTCTCTACATACCTTATAGTGTAGTAGACACGCCAGCGTTTCTCTGAACCAAGGCACCTCTTTGAAATGGGTAGGTATCATAAGTTGCCGGACCAAAGAAGCCACTGTTATATCATCAACGTTCTTAATGATATACATATATCCATTGAATTCTATGTTAAATAGTCCGTTAAGATCTCCATGGAATCATATCATGTCTTGAGCTTACCATTCCAATCCATGCATAGTAAATGACAGTCGTCGACATTAACGCCGTTTTCAGATAAATTTTTCGTCAGCTCCTCAAGAATGCATTTGTTTACGCGAACGTTTTTAGATTGTTGTCGGATCAAGGTGATCTCAGAAGATGATGTTTTCCATTCGTTCGCGCCTAGTTCGATGTCGCAAACAGATAGAAGCAAATCAACCTTTCGTCCATAGATGTTTAGCTTATGACAATCATCCAAGAATTTGCCATGTAATTCACGAGCAGCCTTGGTCACTTTGCTTGCTTTCTCACCACTACAATATATAAGCCAGCAATGAATCAGTACGTTGGTTGGAGTATACAGCTTCAGATGTAAATTATTAGGGGAACTCACATTACGGGCACAAGATTCGTGTCTCGTAGTAAAATGCTGATGACTTGATGAAATACTTGCAAATAATACATTTCAGTGATTTGATTACGTTGCACGATTTTCCATTTTTTGATGTGGCGGACACTGGATGACAAAATAAGTTCAGTTTCCAATATGCATTTGTTCTTCAGCTTTTTTTGCTTCTTCTTTTTGGAAATCTTACATGAATTCATAGACATCAATGACTTGAATCGCAAGGGAGTCAATGGAATCATCAACAAGTTCAGCTTTCAACTTTGCTAATTGCTTTATGCAAGCTAGTTCACCTTCCAGTGCCAACGTCTACAGGTTGTAAAATAAACTATGTTTTAGCTGATAATATTCGTATGTAAGCGCGTGCATTTTACCTTCTCAATCTCCAACACAAGCTTTTCCACTGGTTTTGGTAAAACATCAACTTCGTCAATTTCTCCAACTTTGATGAAGTTTTCCCATGTTCTTTGACCGAATAGGGTCTTCATTGGGTTTTCAGGAATCAAAGTATTGACGATAAATGAAAGAGAAAGGCTGTTCTGCGGCAAAAGGAGTGAACAACAACGGATTTTCAGCACAATTTATTTTTGAACGTACCTGAGTGTTTCTTTCAATTTTTCATCCAAATAATTCTCAGACTGCCATTTCTGCATAATATCAATTGATATCCCGATTAAACGCCCTGTAAATGACGCCAAATCCACTTTTCTCGTCTTGATAACCGCATCAATACCCTCAATAGGTTTTGATTCCCGCTTTACTTGCCAATGAGTAAGGTAATTCAAATACTAAAAGATAAATAACAGATAACTTACCAGACGATATGCCCACAAAAAGAGCATAGAGCGCAATCCAAGACCGGTGCCTTCTTCGTCACTTTCGATATCCGGTGGTTCTTGTACCTCCGGAGGAGGGTCATCATGGCTTCCGAGATACGATACTTTTGTTTTCTAAATGGAAAAAGAATTACTTTAAATTAGCTGATTAAAAAGACTTGGTTCATTCAAAAATACCTTGCAGATAATAGTCCTCTCTTGTGCACTGCTACTTGACTACAAAAAAAAAAAAAAGGTGAGACGACAGGATAAGGGACAGTAATGGCTTCCAGAATGTGTTCACTTGCATCAAAACCAAAGTCATCGTTTGGTTCTTCGCCACTTGTTGGAGCGTTCCTCTTTTTGCTGCCGTGGTGTGTATTTCTGACATGCACGGTCACATGAGCTTTAAGCTCATCGATCGCGGCATAATGACCAAAACATGACGGGCATTCGTAGTGTACAGCGATCAGGGAATGTGACGCATCAGAAGCTTTTTTGATATACATAAATTGCTGAGTGTCGTATCGTCTTTTTCCAGAAGGGCGCGGCTCAACATCAATACCGTGTCGGTCAAAAAGATGGCTTCTTAATTTTCGTGCCCGAGCGAATGGTCGGTAACATATATAACAGTTAGCTTTGCTTCGTTCCAAGAGCTGCCATGGGAACAGGTAATTAAAGTGGAAATGCGAATGTGGGAGACATGGGAACAAAAGGGGGAAGCACTTGGTACACCCAAAATTCCACTCCCAAAATTTAAGCCGTGACATGAACGCTAATTTTTTGGGCATCCTTGGGGCATCCGCAGCCCTTGAGTAGGCTTGAGTAACCATTGGGCACCTGTAATGATTATATCTATCCCTTGTACTTCGTCTTGGTTTTATTCTTCTTGTACATTAATTGAATTGTCGTTCATTGATACTGATTTTATTTCCGTTATTTCCTTTATTCCAAATTCATATCGATTATGTTTTCTTTTCTCTTAAACTACAAATGCGCTTCATTCATATCTCAGATAAAAACCAGTCAATTATCCTTGTTTCTTCTTTGGATCCTTGGTCTCTGTCCGTACATCCCGGTTTTAATCCGGTCCTTCCTTGAATCAGTCACCGCTCGATTAAAGAATATTTCGATTTGAAAATCACTTTTTGGATCTCCCGACAGTGTAAGCTGTAAAATATTCAAAATTTGATATAGGTATCAGTTATCATTGCGGAGCAGAAATATTATTAAATCGAAGGAGATTCCTAGCTATATTTTTGTTACTTCATGAGAAATACATTAGTAGGAGCTGGTTTAACACTTCTTGCTTCCATACTTTATATTGTCGTATGCTTTACTCATGGACTTTATTGGCTAGAAGGCAAGTTCATTCTCGATCCCATAATGGGCAAGAGATTGGCGACTATTTATCTCCGCTCTTATGATTGGCACAGGGTGTGATTCTCCATTGCTGATTCATCTTCTAAATCCAATATCGTATTGAATCATTGTGATTGTCGTAGTCTATCATAATCAGCTGCTCTTCGATCTTCTTGTATCTCATTATCTGAAAACGAACAGCAATAGAAATCTCACTGCAGGAAACATTCTTCCGCCCGAAGCATTTGGCAATCGTTGTTCCTTACACTTGTCTCCAGGCGATACAGGTTAGAACCATCGCCTGCTTCTGATCAAAATCGTTAATGTTGGTCAAGCTTCTTTGACGGTACTTGATCGCAGTCCAGGTATACTCAAGTTCTATTAACTCATGTTATGGTCTCGATTTGTCACAGCCTCGTAATTTACTATCCGTAAACCAATGCATAAAGTTATCAAATCGATTTAAGAATAATTCGATCCGGGAATCGCTTTCCGTGGCTCCCAGGGTGATTCTGAAATCGAGCGGTGACCGTATCTCTTTCTGTTCCTGTTCGTCCGATCTTCTGTTCCTACCTGTCCCTGGGAAGCACTTGACGCTTTATCCGCTCCTGTCCGAGTCCCTCTTCAATATCTGACATCATAATTTACCGCATGGTGTTACCAGCTTTCTTCGCCATCCCACTTTTTTGATTTTTATTTTTGATTACTACTTGTCAATTTATTTTCGTTGATAATGGGTAATGAGTGGCAACCCAAACTGCGCCATGGATTTGGGACCTGCACCATCGTTTGCCATTGATGAGTCAATGATGCAAAAAAACTTTCAACAGGTATTGAAGGATTTTGATGCTTGTATTTGTCTATGAAAATCGGAGATGATGGTCTGAATCACTGCTGCATGCGATTTACACAGTTTGCAGGGCGGAGGTGTATGAGGAGGGGTCGTTTCAGCGGCCAATGTTATGAAGGACGGCACTTCATGGAGCACGATGGGCGCAGAAGGAGTCGGTGCAGATGCGGGAGTTGGAAGAGAGTGGATAGCATGGTGATGAAGCTGATATCGTTTTTCGACATGGTGAGTATCCAATGATGCGAATACAAGGTAATAAAGGAGAAATGGAAAGGAAGCAAAAGAAAACAAAAAAAAGGGATTACAATAAAACCGAAGGTTAAAAAACAAAGTGAATTAAATTAAGTTCGGGTTTTGGGCAACGCAAAGGATTTATTTTTTGGGTCTTTCCCGCCTTCCGCGGAAGGAAGGATAAATGTGCTGTGCTTTTAATCAACCTGCTGAAATAGGATTACAATAATGCTTGATTTACATTTGCCATCAACTTGGACCTCCTTTGATTGTCCTTACCTTGACCCCCCCCGAATAGATTTTCTACCACCATATAAGCACTGAAAAATCCCATGACCTAATATTCCGCACGCTAACAACATGTATACAAAATATATCATAGCCCTACGCCTTGAACCTCGTGTTCAGTAAGTAGTAAACAATTGCATAACTATGAAAAATATGACATCAATGAATGTCACCTCTCTTTCATATGTTTTCATTTTGATGAGTGCTTACCCAAAGACATAGATGGATGATCCATTTCCAATGGCAAAGGACATCCGCCACCAGTGATAGTCCTGTCAAAAGAAACATCCAATACAGTCAGTCACAATTCATTTCAACCCTTCCAACCCAGACAAACATACCTCACTACACAACTGGAAAAATACCAGCACCACTGTCACCATCGAGGTGGACAAGGCCATTAAAAGACACGCCAATTAACGTATCGGGAACACCAATACAGTTCGTCTTGCCATGCAAATCGGAATATATCATAAAGATCGATAATGATACCACGAAAGGAACAAGTCCACCTAAAAGTATGCTGTCATTATGGGATTAACATCATATTCCGGTGTCTACATGCATGTGTTCCTTCTTTACCTCGCTGTATACGTTTGATACCATCTTTTTCCGGGAATGATACGCGGCATTTGGGTAGGTCTGACTGGATGTTCAATGGGGTCCCGCTGGTTGCCCGTGTGTGATCCCATAACAATCCCTGGAAGCAGTACCGCCATCCATAAAACCGCGACCATAATCCACCCGTTGAAGGAAATAGCTAAAGATGATTGCTGCGACCACGCCATAAAACTGAGGGCAGAGATCAAAACCATTATGCCGCCCGGCACCATCGTGGCAGTCTGTTTAAAGTAAGTAGTTTATCTCAGCTTGCAACCCAGGGAAACACAATAGCCTCCTCCTACTTACCAAAAACGCATTTAATAACCATGATTTGCCGCGGAATGTCTTGTATATTCTGGCACTCGAGAAACCACCGATGAAGCTAAAGAAATAATCTCACTAAGTTAGGTGATGCAAACCATCCACTGATATGACAAAAGATGCTAACCCTGTGAGCAGAAAAATGGTCACGCCACAAGTAAGCAACGAGGACGGCTTGGCAGGATGGACCTGATGGCATAATAATGCTCCTAAATATCATGTGGAGGTCGGCCACTGGTTTTTCTTTCTTTCCTAAGTCATTCTTACCGAGAAGAGTAAGCGCGACGACCAAGAATTGCGACCCAATGCCAAGAATAGGAGCCAGCAACCCACCGTAAGCGGTCTCCCGATGTATTAATCGCCAGCCAACGACATCCTCATATTCATCAAGTAGCTTAAAAAAAAAACCGCGCTTGTAAATGACGATAACTTCCATGATCCCTTTCAAAGCTTGGTTTCATCAGTGTTTTATCTTTCCGTTGACATCGGCGCTGCTGTTGGACGTTGAATCTCTGCGGCGTGCTTTTAATAAAACCACGACAAGGATGACCGACAAAACCAGACTGACAATAACTCCCAACTGATGGTAGAATAAACATGAGCGTCAGGATTTGGAAGAAGAAGATAGGCATTCGCAACGATTACTAAGAACGAGCTTTTTCATCTGAAAAAGAACCTACCCGCTTAAAAGCCGTCTAAGTCCCAACAATTACCTCTGTCCATTTGACAGAGTATGTAAAGGATACCATGGATCGTCTTTCGGTGATTTATTGCTTCATGTAATCCATGGAAGTTCTTTGACATTGACTCTCTGCGATACTGACAAAGTATGTCTAAATATATCATTTTGGGACCGTGGCTATTTGGTGAAATGACTTACGAATCGGGGTAAACTTCAAAGCCCTTGATTTCGATACGTGAGGGGTCGCTAGGCTCCGCGACATAAATGATATTGAATGTTACGTGGTTATTGATATAGATCTTGTCATTCTAACCAAGATGGTGAGTGAAAGGCTTGAAAAAAAAATTGGGCGGCATTACTTTGATTTGACCTAAAGGGAAGCCTGCGCGATAAACATGGGTTTTCACATTATTGGTATAGGACGCTGTGGCGCCGGGTAAGTCGTCGAACCAACTACACAATTTCCCCCATCACCAGCGAATATGAGTGGGATAGCAGATTGAATTTAATTTTCTTGGCGCGTTACCATTCCACCTGATAGTCTTTCTTGATCAAGTCCATGGCCTGCATGGAGTCACCTACAGTCCATGGCTTTGCACAAAGGATTTCGCGCCGCCTGTTTTCCAGTACATTAAACTGACATAAGGAAGCGTGAGCACAAATGGCCCACAAAGGAGAAATCTCGGGCACAGAAAAGAAGATGATTCCTGCGACATGTACCTTGTAATCACTTTCTATCAGACGATCGCCGTGCAGATCCTGGACAAAGATAAGCCAGCTTTTCTTCGTGGATAATTTTGCCATGAATTCTCGGTATAGGGCGGGCAGATGAACGAACGTCCGGCGAAAGCCCGGCGAAACTGTGAGGTCGCTGAATCGCTGTTCTTCTTTTCGGGAATCTAACATGAAATCATAGACACCAATGACTTGAGTCACAAGGGAGTCGATGGAAACATCAACAAGTTCAGCTTTCAATTTTGCTAATTGCTTTATGCAAGCTAGTTCACCTTCCAGTGCCAAACGTCTTCAGGCTGTTAGAAATAGGCTATGTTTTAGCTGATAATATCCGTGTGTGGGCGCGTGCATTTTACCTTCTCAATCTCCAACACAAGCTTTTCCACCGGTTTTGGTAAAACATGAACTCCGTCAATTTCGCCAATTCTGACGAAGTTTTCCCATTTGCTTTGACCGAATAGGGTGTTCATTGGGTTTTCAGGAATTAAAGTATTGACGACAAAAGAAAGAGAAAGGCTGTTCTGCGGCAAAAAGAGTAAGCAAACACGGATTTCAGCACAATTCATTATTGAACGTACCTGAGTGATTCTTTCAAGCTTCCATCCAGAATGATTTTCCAGATGCCATTGTTGCATAACGTCGATTGACATCCCGATTAAACGGCCTGAATATGACGCTAAATCCATTTTTCGTCTTGATGACTGCATCAATACCGTCAATAGGCTTCCGTTCGCGCTTTCCTTGCCATAGAGTCAAGGTAATTAGAATGCTAAAGAATAAATTAACATAGTAACTCAACATCAGTACCGTGTTTTGGTTAAAAAGATGGCTTCTTAAATTTTATACCCGGACGAATGGAGGGTAACAGATGTAACAGCTATTTGAAAGAGACAAAAGCTGCCATGGGAAAAGATAAACAAGAGATGGAAAGAAAAAGGCGGGATCACTTGGTGCACTCCTCAAAATTCTTTTTTGTGTGTGGGAAGCCTTGGCTTCAATTTCGTTCAATTTCGGGTTTCCTACGGACACGACAGTCGGGCACTAAATTTCAAAAAGGAAAAGGGAAATCTATGACAGCTGCCTGTTCAAGTCGAAAAAAAGCGGAGAGAGCGCCGTGCCGCTGAGAAAGTTCGCTTTGGGAAAATCTGGTTGTGGAAAATAAAGGCCCCTTAACTTTGCCAAGTGGCCAAGATCAGACTGCTTACTATTTGAGATTCATGGAGGGCAAAAGGGCCCGGCGGGAGAGGAACTGTTGTAAGGCGACTAACGTGGCTGAGGAAGTAAATGAGCATGGAAATGTTCGTTCCAGATAGTTGACCGTTACCACTCGTTTGAGCGGACAATCGAAAAGAAGTGGTTAGAGCTTTCTTCTTCGCAGAGGCAGTAACCCATGTAGTTTGGTCCGTGTTGAGAGCTTCTGGTGAAGAAAACGTAGCCGTATGTCCCGACTATGTTGATGGATTGGAAGTCGCCAGAAAAGAAACCATTGTATGTAGGAGATGGATGGATGAAATTGTGGTGCTGTTTGCCTTATGATCATACCTGATGTATGCTCGCCGGATTCTTACCTCTATATCGCCTATGGCTATTACATGGGGACTTTGTTTTAACATTTATCCTAGCAGTTGTCGGAATACCACAAGAAACCTTTGAATCACTTTGCTTCACACTGTTGCAGGCTTCCGTAATTCGTTTTGAAAGCATGTCTTCCTGCAAAAACCTATGGCAATTAACCTTTCTCTTTGCCTCTATTCAGAACTGTTCAACTGGGTTAAGCCCAGGAGAGAAAGTAGGAAGATACACTCATTTTATAACCTCGATACTAAATATACATGTGAGTGTTTATCCATTTCATCGAGAATCATTTTTAGGACTAATGTAGTGACCTGTTACAACTCCCAAAAATATTGTCAGGACACACATTATACTGGCTGACCCATCGATAAGCCTGAATGTCCAACTGCTTTGCTGCAGCTGATACAATCATACGTTTTTTAATTTTTAGATCGAAAAGCCTAGATTTATCGAATAACGGCAATACTCTCGTTTTGGATTTGCCTTTTTCATATGACTATCTTCATTTTTTGGCTTTTCTAACAACATTGGGCAAGTCAGAAAAGATTCATTGAAGATAACATTCCCCCAAGTACTCTGTATGAGTAGCAAAGCTCATGCTATTATTCTTTCTTTTGTAACTTGATGACGAACTACAAAGGTTTTTTTTTTTTTTTTTTTTTTTTTTTGTGGTTTTCTCGGTCATTTTACTTATTTAGCTGTTTTTCTTAAATTCGAGGTATGCTTAAAAACTTGAGAAAAAACTCGTGTTCTGCTGACGACGGTTGATGTGGACCATTGACGGCATCGGTGAATGTAGATTTCCCTGATTAGGCAATTTCATAACATTGGCCAGATATCATCATTCAATCAATCGACGGATGTTTGATTCCTATTTCTTGGCACTTTTTTTTCTCTTCCTTTTCACTGAATGTCATTATTTACTGCCCTTCAGTAATATAGACCTTTAACGAATGTTATCACGTACCAAGGTCGAGAATATCCTCAGTCTCATGCTGAATGGAATTAATATCGGCCTCTATCTACTCGTCATTGCTGCGGCCATCTTGAAAGCCATCGATGGAAATTTCTCGCAGATTGTGATGTGCATCTATGGAATGTAGGTAGACGGCTCTTCTTTTATGACAGTCCAGGATGATATTCATCGATCCATCGAAAACTAGTGTGATTGCCATACTGCTCATTATCAACGAAGTCAAATCGTCCGAAATAGCCCTTCAATATTTCCGCTTTCTCAGTATCTACAAAGGCCGAGGCATGATCCTCATCTTGTAAGTAACAGTAACATGAAACCTGCAGTGGGTTCACTCTTTATTAACAGGGCCATTTATACAGTTTCGGCTGTCTTGTTCTCGATTTCGGGGTGGCCAACATTATTGCCGGCACACTGAACCTCGGCTTCGGCTTTGCATACATGATCCTATCTTACGTTTCATCATTTCCCCCTCCCAACCCGATCATGATCAACTGGCAAAACTGGAAAGACTTTTCAGCCGAAGGCTTGGACCTCGCGCGGCCGAAACATTATACAGTAGAGGTAAGTTGACCGCAAAAAACGTAAATCGAAATGAACGCGTGATACTGAAAACTGGAAAAAAAAAATTGGTAGAGCAATGTGGCGGTAAGGTTGAAATCGCCACCTCCACCTACATCTTCCGTTTCCCCTGAATTCTCGAGCCGATATGCCAACCAAATAGACTTGGGTCAGGCTCAAACGCGATCACCCACACGGTATCATCCACCGGCATCGGCACCTCCTATGGCGCTTCACGATCCTGGCCATTATGGTCACCCATATCGTTCGCCATTTGCAATCTAGGCACCATGTTTGCGCCGGTCTCACGTCGAATCTGATGGTGAAATCATGTATTGTACATAACTATTCCTTCCTTTGATGTAAATAGAACCATTGTCAATGAAAAATGAAAGCAAGTGTGCGAGAATCGAGTATATTAATCTTTGTGTAAACGGGTAAAGCAGATGTATCCATTAGGAGGGGAAATGGCCTATGGATGTGGCGGGGTATATGAGATAAAAACAAGAAGCGATGGATATTGTCTAGGATGAGAAAACGAGAAAACGGAGTAAAATTTCGATGGGGATGGATCAATGGGTGTAAAAGGAGAATCTTGTTAGTCTGAAAACTTTTTCCAAATCTTGTAGCCTGACAAGAGACCGCTACAGAAACCTGCCCAGACCTGAAGGCTATCGGCATGCGGTGGTTGCCAAATGTCACAACCTAAAATGCATTCAACAAAAATTACATTTAGCGCTTGTGTTTCTTTTATTTTTCTTCTCTGTATCCTGATTCTTACCACAAAAGATGCCGTCCATCAGTAGTTTGGCGGTGGAAACTTGGGCAATGAGGATTTTTTCCTGGTGTTGTTGATTTTTTTCATCGTCGTCGTCGGGCACCGACTGCGCACGAAGACGGGCCACTTTGAGACCACTTTCACGTAGATCGGCGAGAATGCCAATAAACCAGCAGTACATAGATAGAATTTCCACCTTTTTGCCAATCTTGGAATTGACAAGACCCAATTTGTAACAACAGAAAATGTCATCCGAGATCTCATTGGTAATGGTAACGAGTAGCAACGCAAACTGCGCCATGGATTTGGGGCCTGCAGTTAGTTCACGCAGGGGGCCAATAACATGACCCAGTCGCAGGATTTTGCGTGTGGTAGAAAACTGACTGGCCGTAGGAGACCATCGTTTGGCATTGATGAGTCGGTGATGCAAAAGAACCTTCAGCAGATATTGAAGGATTTTGATGCTTTTATCGCGTCCATCAAAATCGGATATGATGGTCTGAATCACTGCTGCATGTGATTTACGCGGTTTGCATGGTGGAGGTGTGTGAGGCGGGGTCGTTTCAGCAGCCAGTGTCATGAAGGATGGCACTTTATGGAGCACGACAGGTGCGGAAGGAGGCGGTGAAGGTGCGGGGGTTGGAAGAGAGTGGATAGCATGATGGTGGAGGAGGCTGGTATCGTTTTTCGACATGGTGAGGTATGCAATGATGCGAATCCAAGGTAATAAAGGAGAAATGAAAAGGAAACAAAGAAAACAAAAGAAAAGATCACAATAAAACCAGATTAAAACAAAATGATAAAATAAGTCGTTTAGGCAAGGCAAGGATTTATTTTTGGATTTGCGTACCGCGGAATCACGCAGACAGGCTGAGTCCGACTTCCGCGGAAGGAAGGAAAAACGTGCTGAGTTTAATCAACCTAATGAAATGGATTACACAATATTTGATTTACATTTGCCATCAACTTGGACCTCCTTCGGTTGTCCTTACCTTGACCGCTGAATAGATTTTCCTCACCACCATATAAGCGCTAAAGAATCCAGCTGTTCCTGTGCATAGACCTAATATTCCGCACGCCAACAACATGTATACAAGATACATCAGAGCCCCAAATACGCCTTGAATCTCGGTATTCAATAAATAGTAAACGATCGCATAACTATGAAAATGATGACATCAATGAATGTCACCTCTCTTTCATATATTTTCATTTTGATGAGAGCTTACCCAAAGACGTAGATGGAGGATCCACTTCCAATGGCAAAGGACATCCACCACCAGTGATAGTCCTGTCGAAAGAAACATCCGATACAGTCAGTCACAATTCATTTCAACCCTTCCAACCCGAGACAATCATACCTCACTACACAACTGGAAAAATACCAGCACCACTGTCACCATCGAGGTGGACAAGGCCATTAAAAGACATGCCAATGCAACGTATCGGGAACTCCAATACAGTTCGCCTTGCCATGCAAATCGGAATATATCATAAAGATCGATAAATGATACCACGAAAGGAACAAGTCCACCTAAAAGTATGCTGCCATTGTGCTATTACTCTCATATTCCCGTATCCATACACGTGTTCCTTTTCTTTACCTTGCTGTATAAGTTTGATACCATCGTTTTCTGGGAATGATACGTGGCATCTGGGTAGGTCTCACTGGATGTTCAATGGGGTCCCGCTGGTTGCCCATGTACGATCCCAAAACGATCCCTGGAAGCAGTACTGCCATCCATAAAACCGCGACCATCATCCACCCGTTGAACGAAATAGCCAAAGATGATTGCTGCGACCACGCCATAAAACTGAGGGCAGAGATGAAAGCCATCGTGCCGCCTGGCACCACCGTGGCAGTCTGTTTAAGGCGAGTAGTTTGTTTCAGCTTGGAACCCAGGGAAACACAACAGGCATCTCCCCCCCCCCCCCCCCCTTACCAGAAATGCATTCAGTAACCATGATTTGCCCCGAAATGTCTTGTATATTCTGGCACTCGAGAAACCACCAATGAAGCTAAAGAAATAATCAGACGAAATTAAGTGATGCAAATCATTTACTGAAATGACGAGATACTAACCCTGTGAGAAGAAAAGTGGTCATGCCACAAGTAAGCAACGAGGATGGCTTGGCAGGATGAACCTGCTGGCATAATAATGCTCCTAAAAGTATCATGTTGAGATCGACCACTGGTTTATTCTTTCTATCCATAATTATTCTTACCGAGAAGAGTAAGCGCAACGACCAAGAACTGCGACCCAATGCCAAGGATAGGAGCCAGCAACCCACCGTAAAGCGGTCGGCGAAACACATCCCGATGAATTAATCGCCAACCAACGACATCCTCATATTCATCAACCAGCTGAAAAAACAAACAAACCGTCCTTTTAAATGATGATGACTCTCAAAACGACTTGCTTCATTGGGTGTTTACCTTTCCGTTAACATCGTCACTGTTGTTGGACGTTGAGTCTCTGCGGCGTGTTTTTAATAAAACCACGGCAAGAATGACCGACAAAACCAGGCTGACGATAACGCCATTGATGGTAGAATAAACATGAGGGTCAGGATTCGGAGGAAGAATATAGGTATCCCAACGGTTACTAGGAACGAGCTGTTTCATCTGAAAAAGAAAAAATCGAGAAATGGATGAATAACCGCCCACTTGAAAGCCGTCTAGGTCTCAACACTTACCTCTGTCCATTTGACAGAGTATGTAAAGGATACCATGGATCGCCTTTCGGTGATTTCTTGCTTCATGTAATCCATGGACGTTCTTTGGCATTGAGTCTCTGCAATACTGACAGAATATGTCTAAATATATCATTTTCGACCGTGGCTATTTGGCGAAATGACTTACGAATCGGGGTAAACTTCAAAGCCCTTGATTTCGATACGTGACGGGTCGCTAGGCTCCGCGACATAAATGATATTGAATGTTACGTGGTTATTGATATAGATCTTGTCATTCTAACCAAGACGGTGAGTGAAAGGCTTGAAAAAAAAATGGGCGGCATTACTTTGATTTGGCCCAAAGGGAAGCCTGCGCGATAAACACGGGTTTTCACATTATTGGTATAGGACGCTGTAGCGCCGGGTAAGTCGTCGAACCACCTACACAATTTCCCCCATCACCAGCGAATATGAGTGGGATAGCAGATTGAATTTAATTTTCTTGGCGCGTTACCATTCCACCTGATAGTCTTTCTTGATCAAGTCCATGGCCTGCATCGAGTCACCTACAGTCCATGGCTTTGCACAAAGAGTTTCGCACTGCTTGTTTTCCAGTACATTCAACTGTCACAAGGAAGCATGAGTACAATGGGCCCACAAAGTAAATCTCGGACACAGAAAAAAGACGATTCACGCGACATGTACCTTGTAATCACTTTCTATCAGACGATCGCCGCGCAGATCCTGGTCAATGACGAGCCAGCTCTTTCTTCGTGGGTGATTTTGCCATGAATGCTCGGTATAGGGCGGGCAGATGAACGAAAGCTCTGTGAAACTGTGAGGACGCTGAGTCTTTGTGGAGAATATCTTGTTGTAAAGGACGGGTATGAAGTCTCCTTTCGAATAACTCTTGGCCAGCGAAAGGTTTACACATAGGAATAAAAGGAGCGACACTAGATATTCTCGCAACATGGCATGGAGACGCCGAGGCGATGAAAGCTACAAAAACAGTTTGTTAACTATCCCTGCAAGATAAGACTGAGCAAAAAATAAAAAGGAAGCACAACACATGCATCGCTGAGTTCTGATTTTGTGAACGCCGCTTGGGAACAAAGCATCCTTGAAAACGGTTGACATGGACAACACCCATACGAACCAAAAAGGTAACAGAATCTTTTTGAGCTACTTTTTTCTACTACTTTATGCAATAATGGATATATATAGGTCGTGCCATGGCAAAGGCTGTCTTCTGTTTGTCGTTTGTTAATTCACACTCCATTCGTGCGTGTAACAACTTTATACAACAGCCTACTGACTTACTACAATAAGCATACAATCTTTGGAATATTGCTCAACTAAACATATAATGCTGCAGTCTGATAATGAGTTGTTTATTTTGGATCTCGGCACAAGATGGATTCCAAATGACTGGGTGTGCCTGAGGCAACGACTGCGAAAGCACAGGCACAAATCGGCCAATGACGGACATTTAATGTGACATGCGCAAGCTTTTTTATAACTTGTGCATTTTTTTTTTTTTTTCACAGGCACCCCCAAAGTCGACCATTACTGGCTACTGGCGATGCTGTTGTTGAAAGGATTAGGCCAAGCATGCTTGCGGCGGCAGTTCTTACGAGCCCATTCGGTAGCAGCATGGCGCCATTTTGTTTCGGTTTCTCCCAACGTCACCGTCAGTGGGACAAAGAAACCGAGTGACACTGACGATTATCTGCGCTTGATCTTTGACGACAAGACGGTTTGGAACCAGCATCGAATTTTATCGCAGAGCCGTCAAGCCCTTGAGGAACAAAACGATCAGCGATCCGTGGGCCTGTTTGAGAATCCCGACCTGATTAATGCAGAAGGATTCCATGCGGCAGCTCAGCGGGCAATTCAGCGTGCTCAATTTATGGTTGAACGAATTGCAAGAGCATCGGAAAACGGGCCTGACGAAATGCGAAAAGTGGTCAAGAATTTGGATCGCTTATCGGATACACTGTGCAGCGTGATTGATATGGCGGAATTTTTGCGAAATGCTCATCCGGACGGCGAGGTCATGGAAGCTGCTAATCAAGCTTATGCCGATCTGTGTTCGTACATGAATACGTTGAATACCGATACTCGGATCCATCGAGTGAGTACTGCGCCAGATGCTGAGGGTTTGTCCAGCGCAACCATGCTAACATAGTTGACCGGGTATGTAGGTACTTGCGCAAGTGCTTGCGGACAAGAGTATCGTGGCTCAGTTTACGGCCGACGAGCATGCCGCAGCGATCGTCTTTATGCGTGACTTTGAGAAATCAGGCATCCATTTGCCGGATGCTCGACGGGCTCAATTTGTGAAATTATCGGATCGAATTATCGAACTGGGACGAGAGTTCATCCAACGAAATCCTCGGGGTATCCATCAACTCAAATTGCAACCGTCGTCGGTGAAAGCACTCGGACCGTCCTTTGCCCGGTCTTTGACAGCGGAAGATGGCTTTGTCTATCTCTCGACCGATTCGGCCGAATGTCAAATGGTACTCAAATATACCGAGAATGACCAAATACGGAAGCAAGTCTATGAAGCCATGAACTCCGCAAACCGTGAAAGTGTCATAATCTTGGAGTTGCTGATGCAGACACGAGCCGAATTGGCTGCCTTGGTTGGACAAGACTCGTTTGCCGAATTGCAACTCCAAGACAAAATGGCGAAAAATCCCAGTAAGTGTTTCGGAGCTTCTGTGATGATGGCGCAGGACAAAGATTTTTTTCTGATGAGTGAATGGTTTAGACAATGTTAACGCTTTCCTAAGAACGCTACTTCAACACCAAGCACCGTCCGCTCAGCATGATATCCACTTGTTACAGCAAACCAAGCAGCAGGCACTTCATCTTTCATCTCCACCCACTGTCAATGCATGGGATCGCGACTACTATATGCATCTTTACAACGTGTCTCATCAATTACCACAACAAGCAAGGTCACTCACACCTTACTTTTCGGTGGGGTCCGTCATTCAGGGCCTGTCGCGTCTCTTTGATCATCTGTACGGTGTTCACTTTGAACCGGCTTACGTGCATCCCGGCGAAGCGTGGCATGAGGATGTACATAAGTTGGATGTCGTTTGCGAAAGAGAAGGCAAAATCGGCATCATCTACTGCGATTTATTCGGACGACCACGAAAGACCACCAATGCTGCTCATTACACGGTTCGCACGTCGCGACGCGTAGACGACGACGATGCTGCCAACGATATTCGGTATGCTTTTCCTGATCAGCCAGAAACCGCAATTGGTTGCCTGGCGCCCCCACCGGAAGCCACCGATACCATTCGAGGGCGCGAAGGCCGGTTTCAACTACCTATTATTGCCTTGACGTGCGATTTCTCCCATGGCACGAGTCACGGCGGGCCCCCTTTATTATCCATGTTTGAAGTAGAGACCTTGTTTCATGAAATGGGCCATGCCATGCATTCCATGCTGGGACGCACCGATTTTCACAATGTGGCAGGCACACGTTGTGCTACGGATTTTGTCGAGTTACCATCGATCTTGATGGAACACTTTGTGTGGCATCCCAAGGTTCTGCCTCTGTTTGCGCGGGATCACCGTACGGGCGAGCATCTGTCTCTGGAAGGCGTGAATGCGTTTTTGGCGCAACGAAAACGGTTCGGCGGTTTGGAAGTCAACAGTCAGATACTGATGGCACTCCTTGACCAAGCTTATCATTCGGCCGATGCCGGTCGCGAGCGATTTTCCAGTGTCAAGGTGTGGCATGACTTGCAAAACGAAGTTGGCATGTTCCCCAGTGTGCCCGGCACAATGTGGCCCGTGCAGTTTGGTCATCTGTTCGGCTACGGAGCAGGCTATTACTCGTACCTGTTTGACCGCACCCTCGCTCGTCGGGTATGGCAGACATGCTTTGAGCAGAATCCACTGGATCGCGAGAAAGGTCAGGCATTCCGAGATAATCTGTTAAAGTGGGGTGGTGCACGCGATCCCTGGCAATGTGTCGCTCACGTACTGGGCGGCGAGGACGGCGATCGAATTATTGCTGGCGACGAAGGGGCGATGCGGGCAGTAGGCGACTGGGGCATCGATGTATAATAACAAAAACGTGCGTGAGCAAGAAATATAGACAATGATGACCAAAAAAACCATCATTTGTATAATGTAACGGATGCTAATTGGTGGTCCGACGATTCGTGCAGATTTCAAAACCTTTTTCCTATGCTACCTCTTGTAATATGTCTTGCATAGTATAATAAACTCTTGGTAACTCTATTGAATAGGCTTAATCCATGGGCGGCAGTATTAATCTTGCGGGAGGAAAGGTTGTAGTTTCTGTAGTGAGGGTCTTTCGGAAGAGGCATTTTTGTCTCAAGGGCGGTGATTGGATTTCTTTGAATGTGCATTTGCTTGATTTCAATTTTTTTGGGTCTCGCTCACTCTGGCCCTTTTTCTTTTTTCTGTAGCATTTTCAAGAACCGTTTTTATCTCTGTTTTACAACCTTTCCTTTATATTGAATACATATCTCTGCCATGGCGAGCTTATTAGAGTCGAGAAGGTGACTGCTTAGGATAGCTAAAGGTCTCCTCTTGGGTTAACAGTGGTTAAAATATCACAATGTAGGCAAGCATGGGATGTCATATTCAATGACGCCAACTTGTCTGCGGCATCGTTGAGACAACGAGGGATAACCGGCAATGTGTGTCAGCAAGGGTTGCGTTCAGTGTGCTGGAAGGTAACGATACAAAAAGTGCAAGCGAAAGCTCATTAGCTTTCTCACGACTTTTTTTTTCCTGGTCGTGGGACGTCCAGATATTTCTCGACTATTTACCCACCTTGGAAGTATCGACGTGGCCAGCCCTGAAAAGCAAAGAGCGTCAACGCTACAGCGATTTGCGGCATCAATATATTGACGAACCGACCAAGAAAATGATGAACGCCGAAGCCGACGGCGATCTCACGGATAATAACCCACTGGCTTTAAACGAAAGTGTAAGTGCATCCATGTCAGTTTGACGATAAGTTTCTTGTCATTCACGACCATTTGATACCAGAACCCATGGCAACAGTACTTTGAAGATTCCGAGATTCGCAAAGTGATTCGACAGGATGTCGAACGAACGTAAGCCAGATTGCTTGTCCCCGAAAAAACCAAGAGTGATGTTATTGGTTGACTCACCGAGTTCCATCAAATGTCGACGATCACCACAGGTTTCCGGATGTTGAATTCTTTCGTGCCGACGATGTGCAGGAACAAATGACGGATATTCTCTTCGTTTATTGCAAAATGAATCAGGATGTGTCTTATCGCCAAGGCATGCATGAGTTATTGGCCCCGTTTTACTGGACCGTCGCCACCGACAGTTTGCGCGGTCTGTCAGAAGAGTCGCCAGTTGTGGGTCCGACAAGGTAAGCTTGCATGTCGCTGTGCATTTCGGCGGAATATGTGGCACCTAACGTGGATCACAGCCCAGCCACCAAACTCATGATGCAAGTTCTTGATGGATCTTATGTGGAACACGATGCCTTCATCCTCTTTGAAAAATTAATGACCTATGCAAAGCCATGGTACGAGTTCAACGACAGTGCCCCTGTATCGCGAAACCAAAACAAGGTGAAAAAAAACTCGTCTGGCTAAGATGGCATTGATACTGAAGCCAACTAAACTATTTCCTTGTCCAGAAAACAAGACCAGTGAGTCTTGGTGACCATATACCCAAGAAAAGTGAGGTAACAGCACGATAAACCCATCATCCGCATTGATGACACCCACTGAATCTTCATCACATTCTTTATATCTCAGACGACACGTATGAATCCCATGGTGTTAGCTTGCCATCGTATACATCACGAATACCTTCGCACCATTGACCCACCTTTGTATAAGCATCTCGAATCTCTAAACATTGAACCGCAGCTCTACGGCATGTAAGTATTTCCTGGGCTTGCAATCTCACTTTTTCCAAAATTGAGCTTATGGAACCTTTTTTATAGCCGATGGCTTCGTCTTTTATTCGGTCGGGAATTCGAATTTAAAAAGTTGCTGACGCTGTGGGATGCCATTTTTGCTCAAGATCCGACCCTTCAGAACGTGGAATACGTATGTTTAGCCATGCTTTTGCGTCTTCGAGATCAGTGTAAGGAAACGAACGATTATGTTTGGTGTAACATGTTACGAGGCACTTACAGGAGTGGTACTAGTGATCAACAAGGATTACTCGGAGTGTTTAACGACACTGATGCGATGTCCCGAGTTGAAAAATCCTCCAACTTTGGTGGAACAAGCCAAGTATTTGCAAGACAATCTTTCGGAAGAGGGCGCCTTGCAGATTCTACGTCAAAATGATATTCGTGCTGGCAAGGAGCCGCGGTCTTCGTTAATGGATGGTGTGGAAGTGGCGACCCCATCCCACTTGGAACCGCGTACAGCATCACCGGGACGACTGCTGCATCGACGCTCTTATAATGCAAACTTGGACGGGTTTGCTAATCTTACTCGAGGAGTCATGAAAAATCCTCAAGTAAGAGACTTGAACAAAGCCATTGCCGGGGTCATGGATACAGTGCAGGTAGCGTTATATTTTCTTGCTCGTTCTGTTTAGACACCAAAACTGAATTGCTTGGGGTTTCTATAGAAAAATGTGAATCTGCTGGGAGATAATGTCCTTGGGCGAGCTTATTCCGATTCTTCTGATACCTTGACGCGTCGTCGATCCACGGTAGGATCGGAATTCCCTTCGGGAGTGGATCGACTCGCTTATCGTCCACCGATCCACATTCGCCGTCCGGCCGATCAAGTCGTGGCGGCTTCCTCTTCTCGAACAGGAACAGAGGATGATGAGTTGGCAAAAGTCAAATCCGTCAACCGACAAATGGGACAAGTCGTAGCTCAATGTGTCGACCTTCTCGAAAAGGAACTGTTTCCTTCCCCCGCCACGTCTTCAAAGGCAAGCGATACTTCCGACCCAGAAGAACAACAAGGTCATTCTGTATCAGAGTCCTCACCGTCACCAGAGGAAACAGAGAAACACGAGGGTCAAGAGAATACAGAGAATGCGCAGACCAAGTCAATCGAAAAATCCGAGGATCATCCTGCTTCTGGGACGAAACCTAATGAAGCTTCTATTATTCTGGCGTTGGCGAATCTGAAGCATGTGCGCGATGTCCTTTTGGGAAAACAAGCCCACTTTGACGCGGACATCATGGGAGTGCCATTAAAGACCCAACCAGCTCAACCGTTGACGGAGTGGGACTTTGTGCATCATAATGAAGTGGAAGGAAAGGAGCCATCTCCACCCCCACCTCCACCAGCAGTTCAATATGAAAAATCGACACCAGTCTCACCCGTTGTTTCCGACAAACCTGAAGTCAAAGCGCCCGTTTCTGTAAAATATATACCCGCCAATCCTACGCCGCCCAAATCTCAAGTTCGTTACAGTATGGATGATTTGTTGTCTGATCCGAAGCTTCAAAGTTCCGGCACCAAGGCGTCACAAAGAGCCAAATTCCACTGGATGCTGGAAGACAACGACGAATCCACGTCGCCCGCATCAAAGGATCGACGTTCGTCATCGTCCACCAACCTGTTCAAGCTCGATACCGAGACGACTCGACCCATTGCTCGCAAACGCAGCAGTTTCATCCACCACCGACCCACAGAAGTCATTAGTCCGAGTGCGTCACCTAATCAGTCGACGATAGATCCCCTGGATGCCAAAAATGTTGATAAACGCAGAGTCTATGAGCATGACATCTTTTAATTATTTTCACAATAAATAATATCGACTTTCAATGTTGTTTCCAACTGCCTTTCAAATCACATTTGCTGCACGAATATCAGCTGCAGTAGTTTCATTCCCGGAGAAACAACAGGTGGGCAGCGCAGGTCAACTGCAATGCAAGAAGCATGCAAGATTCCACCTAAAAAAAAAACGACAGGCACAGACATGTTGACCGAAACATTTAAACTCAGCAGACCGCGGGCAAAAAAGCAACCTTTTTTTAATCCGCGCCTCTGGGGAGAGAATGGCAGGATGGCGAGGACTGCTGTTATTTCCACGGATCGGACGTCGGTTCATTGAATCGTTGTCTTCTGCATACAAACCATTTGATATGTTGCGACGAACTATTACGCAGCGTCTTTTTACTTCGGCCGCCTTTGTTCGACCTCGTGTATCAGTGTCTTTGCCTGCAGCTACACGTGTATCGGCTGTGCGATGTATGTCCAACCAAAACCTCAACAACCCACGTTAAAATGCCATCACGATCGTAACCTCTGTCTGTCTCTCATTTTACAGCGCTTTCCTTTACAACACCACGATGGGACCATGTGGCCGATGCCGAAGAACAGATCCGTATTGGCACAGATCATATGAACAACGGCGCCATTGATATGGTAAGCGTCACTGAACGGATTCAAAGCCCAGATCAGCATAGTAACAGCAGTTTACACAGGCTATGAACAGCTATCATCGCAGTGTGCAGTTGGCTCCAAGTGGTATGTAAGGTGATTTACCGGCGACTCGATTCCATTTACCGATCATATTTTTGAATAGCGGCTGGTTATTTCAATATTGGCGTTTGTTATTTCCAAATGGGAAAGCATCGCGATGCCATTCAAGCGTTTGAGCGATCACTGGAATACAGTCCGAATTCGGCGGATGCACATACCAACATTGCTTCCGCTTATTTGATGTTGAAGGATGTCAAGAGTGCTATGCGACATTTGGAACAGGCATCTAACTTTAATCCTCTGGATGGAGAAGTCCAATTTAATTTGGCCGTCGTCAAGGAAGCCACCGGCGATCTCGAAGGTGCCAAAGCCCGCTTTGAACGGGCCAAGGATCTCGGCATCGATAAAGCACAACAAGCCCTTGATAAACTAGCAAAGAAAATGCAGTAAAAAAATAGAGACATGCCCTGCTTCCTCCTCGATTACGCAAATTGCAGAAGAAAAAAAATGTCACGGACTGATCATTTATCGGAAGGGACGATCCTTCTTATCCATCAATGCCGTCTACGTTTAAAAAAGGAACCCATACCCTCTCACAGTCAAATCTTTTTCTTTTCGAGGACGCGTCGAATTGGACGTGGGTGGATTGGGGGGATGTGTGTAGGCACCATGTAACATGAGAAGTTTTTTAACTGTTTATGAATCGTAACCGGTTTTTGGTCGCCCACTTTGGATATGCACAGCACGAAGCACCCTATTGTCCACAAAACGGTCCTTAGCAACACATGGGAGGATACAGTTATCCAAAAAAATCGTTTTACCTTGCTACATTCTCTAGCGCCTTTCGCCATGTTCGGGTACCCGGACTGGTGACAGCAGAGGCTGGCATCGAACGAAGTAATCTTTGCATGGATACGGTGAGATGGGACGTTTACAGATGAATTAGATGCGCGTACCGAGCACTTACTTTTCAAAGAGAACAATGACATCTCGACTGGTTAATCGCGGGTATTTTCGGTTTCTCACTTGCGGGGTCAGGTAATCCTCCGGGTTATCCGACATGGCAAGGTCGAGTAACTAATTATGCATGATAAGAGTCAGACAGGTTTTCAGGTCCAGGATTGGGGCTTTTTTTTTTTTTTTTTTTTTTTTTTTTTTTTTTTTTGCTGTACCTGTCTCAGTTCGACAAAGGTTTCCATGACGGTAGGATCCCCAAGGTTATGGATAAAGTCTTCGATGAATCGAACATCGGTATCAAAGTTTTTCAGTGCATTCACCGTAACAATGAGATGGTCAGGATCCAACAGCAAATTCTGTATAAGGTTCCATATTGTTAGCCCATCAAAATATTCGCAATCTATTGCCATGTTTACCTTCATGCTCTGACTCAGATGCTCCAAGGCATCAAAGTAAAGGAGACTCTTGATCGATTCTGGCAAGTTTAAAAGAGCCGCATTCGTGACATTAGTCAAAAATGTAACGAGATCCTGCAAGCTTGGACTGGGATGTTTCTGCAACTCTTCCGTCTCCCTGTACATGATAAAAACAGTGAGCGGTTATTCAAAGGAGACGCTATGAGAAAGGCCAACAGATATATACCAATCAAAATCTGAAAGCTCCAAAAACTCATCCAGTTTGGAATTGACGAGCTCGAAAATGCGCTTTTCTGCCTTCTTTCGCGTGTCATTAAAGGTCGAGGTCGCCTTCAAATGGATCCTTCCTGAACGATGGAAGGAGCGGGTTTCCATAAGCAGCATTTCAAAATCAGGGCACGTGGACTCGAAATACTCGATATTGATAATGATTTGAACAATTTGAGACAAATTGGTGGATCGCAGTTTCTTGAGAAGAATGGCATCGACCTTGTTGATCAACAAGCTATCCACAGCCTAGAGCCAATGATTCAATTAAATGATGTACCCTTTTAAAAGTTAACAATCCAAATTCAGACTCACCCTCTTCAAGATATCATCCATCTCCCCATGTGTTTGCGAGAAACCTTCGGCAAACTGGTAGAACTGATGCACAAACGCACTGACGTCGCGACAACAGGTAGGAAAGACTTTGGAGAAAGGGAGTCGGAGAGGAAATCTTTTTGACAAATCATTATGTGTTTTGAATCAGCAACTAGTCAGTCGAGTCGATCCAAACACGCTACTTACCCGTGACGCTTCAAAAATTCACGATCAGGGCGGTACCGGGTATATTGCATGACTTCATTCAGTTCTTCCTCGCTCGATACAGTCATTGGCATACATTCATCATCTTCCACAATCTTATATAAAAACGTCAGCTTTTTCCCAGCGTTACCGTGGTTGGGCATGGAAACTCGAAACTCGAAGCTCACCTTTTCAAAGACTTGACTATATTGATTGATGAGAAGTTCAGAATAACGCTGAAACAAAGCGAGCAGCGTTTCCTGAAGCGGTTTAACAGAATAATCAAAACCCTAGCATGTCTTTTGTGAACGACTGTTTCCGATGGAACCTTCATTATATAGCCAACTTACTTCCAGTGTCTGAATGAACAGTAGCAAGGAAAATTTGATTTTCAGGAACAGTTCTGGATCACTGCATCCTTTCAAACTCTCGGAAACGACCAGGATTACTTTGGAAGTCACCATCTCCCAAAGTCCATCGACCTAATGCACGCGTCAATCTCGCGCGATTCGAACCAAAAATTCAGGACTTGCTTTACCTCGGATTGACTTCGAAAGTCGGACGTGCTGTGAAGAATGATGTGCTCCAATATAAAGAAACCGACAATATCTTGCAGTAACGTTTCAAATGTCGATAAATTACCATCACGCAAGTTGATGGGGGACGACAGTGCCAAGTTGGCTTGCGCCTAAATGGATATGGTTAGTCAAAGCCGGTCTGCGAGTTGATATGGAGAAATTCATGCTATACCCTGCGATCTTCTTCGTAAGAGGATTTGAATTCTTGTCGTTTTCCCAAGGTGTCATATACGTGGATACAACGGAAGAGAGGTTCAAAATCGATATTTACTTCGTCAATGACACTGGCTATTAGTGGAACCACTCGAATTTCAGTCATCCATATTCTGCAAAACCACATGATTCGTTGCATTCTTCCTACTTTCTAAGCCTTCGTTCACCACCATTTCGATGGCTGAATTGACATTATGATGCTGCAAATTCCACAGTTTTGGATTTTCCGCCGTTTTTGCTCGCCAGAGTTCTTGCCTTTCTTGCATACGTTGCATGGCCAAGGTGCCCACCTCTCGCGAAATTTCACGAACTCTGATACAAAACATAACCATCAGTGCCACAGCTCCACACGGGCGACAGATTGAATAAGGACTCACCTTGCAAGCCATTCTTTTAATGCCACTGTGACATTTTCCTTGATCATGTTTTGCATCATGGGCACGCCTTGGACTGGAGAAAACAGCGATGACATGGCGAATTTTAGTGGCATGAAAATCGGTTCAAAAGGGCCTTATGACATTACTTAGATGATTCACAAAGCTGTATTGAGAGATATCGCATAAATTGTTTTGTTCCAATCCTTCCAAAGTCTACAAAAGATCGGTCAGTCACTGCGACTTTGGGTTCCTGCTTTTCGATCGTTTTTTGTACCTTGAGTGCGGAATAGTATTTCTTCTGATCAAGTTGGTAATTCACTTTGTTGGCCAATTCTAATACGGATAAACTGCTTTGTAGCGCTTCGATCGCATCATCAATGTTCTGTTGAACCTTGCGCGCTTCTATCAATTCTTTTCGCTTAAAGAAGGAAGCAGAGCGTGAGTCTGATATGCTTGATTGTTCGCGACTTGTCGTCGTTGGCTTTTCTTTTTTACCTTGTCGACAAGTTTATTTCCTCTGGATTGCAGTGTAGCATTAACATCGGTAAGTTTGCGACGTAGATCCACCGACCCTTGCCGTACTTTGAGGAGTTGATCCACCGCATGCACGAATTCCTTTTTTTATTGCTCGGGTTCAATATTGGAGTTCGAAACACAAGGACGATCAGGGCCAGCGTACCTGATAGTGAGCATTGCACATGCGTTCAATCTCGCCGTCTTTCTTTCGAATAAGCGCATCCAACTGATTGAGAAAGGCACCTTGTTTTCCGGTTTCCGTAATCTGCTTAATGATGGGACCCAGTTGTTCCAGGTTTTCCGCATCATCTAGCGTGGCTGAAAATGTAAGTTCCAGACCACTGGCTAGAACATTGGTATCGCCCAAAGACGGTTTGAGCGAGGCGTCTTCCGGGCGACCGTAATCAGCTGCATTGAACGTCGCTGCCATGATGGTGCCTTTTTTGGCGGCTGTAGGGTGAAGGTAAAAATGCGGTTATTCAACAAAGCATTGACAAATTTCACCGCGTTTCCAGCCAATCACATTAACTCTTTTTTATCTTGCGCGCACGATTCCCCCGGTATGCCCAATTGCTTTTGGGTGAGAAATAATTGCAGACGTATACAATATGTGTCCATGTAATGAGCGTTTTTACTGTGTTCTGTTGGGAACTGACAAGATATCACTATATAGCATAGTTAGCTCCAAGAACCTTGGTACACGTCATTTTGTTATCACCAACATCTTTGAACAATCATATCCTCAGTCAAATATTCTCTTTTTCGAAGAGAGTACCAAACAGGAACAAATAATGACGGAAAAAAGAACATGTTTACCTGTAAAAGCGTCTTTAGAAGACTTATAAATGAATTTCATGCAATTGCTCTGCGAATAAAGAAGCATACAGCGGGGACGGGGATTGAAAAAAAGTCGTGTCCGTCTATTTTTCCCTCTTTTTTTTTTTTTGCACGATTTGTTGGACCAACAAACCAAGCTAAGTGACCATCATGAACACCATGTCATTTGGATCATTTCACGCAAAGCACTTCAATCCAGATGAAGTGCTGCGCTGGAAGAACTTTATTTTTGGAGGGCATGCAATGCCAGTGAATGCCTATCCAACCACAGACGCATACTACAGTTATCCCGCAACGGATGCACAAGGTTACTACGCCGACAGCGATCATGGAATACCGCAGACCCATGCGCCAAATTCAGAATACATAGAGACGTTTGACATACCAAAAGGAGAAGAAGATCAAGTGATTCAGGAAGGAGAGCAAGAGGAAGTTTACGAAGAAGGAGAAGAATACGGAGAAGACGACGAGGAAGAAATGGTCTACCACGGAACGCTGAGTAAAGAAGCAGTTGAGATCTTCCGATTTTCGGAAGCTTATCGCAAAGAACGTAAATTACGCTGTCCAAGAAATGAAAAAGAAAGTGAATCTAAAACATGTTGTCGTAGGCGAGGCTTTGGACAGGGAAAATGAAGTTCAAGAAGAATCTTGTGAAGAGTGGCTCTACAACGAATCCACGGTACCATATCGTAACGGCTTGGAAGCCCCGGCTGCGGCCCTGGTTCTGTCAAAACCCACCTCCTCCAGCTCGTCCGACATATTGATCCAGGAACATTTACTGAACTCGGCTTACTTTGAATCCTGCGTTTCCACGGATGAGGAGCCACCAGTGACCCTGTGGCCCGTTTTACCCCTTCGTCTGTAAAATAAGTTTTCCGTTCTCCGGAATCTTTTGGTAATTCACGATACCATTTTCAATTTGCATTCAAGATTTGTGCATCAAAATTTCACGCAAAAAAACTAAAAACGAAAAGCCAATCCGTACAATAGCTTACAAAGCAACTCGGCGGGTCAAAGCGGACACGCCAATGGCAAAACGAAACAAAAACGAGAAGCAACTCCGACTGCCTCATCTCCCCTTTTCTCTCTGCGCCGATGAACAAAGATCCAGGCGGCTGTATACCCATTGTCTCCCGTCATCCATCGACGCGTTATCACATGAATGAATCGCTTACCAACCCTCACCTCACGTTAGTATACCGGGTTGAAATATTGCAGACAAGACACATTTGGATAGCTATGTGACATCACTATGACGCATGAATAAATTGCATACCATCCAATCCATGGCTACAGTGAACGCACACCGTCGTCTTTGTGAGCCAAGTGATAGCGAAAAAAAGGAAGCAAAAAGAAGATACTACTACAGGTGCGCCAGAGGTAGCATACATAAATGATCCGAGAGAATCAGGCATGATAAAGCATCAGCAATAAAACAATAGTAGAGTATCAAGTTTCAGCTTGCTTGCTGTTGCTAATGCATACAAAAAAGAATTAGGGTTTGACGAGAAGATGTAGGGTGGTGGGACTCCGAAATCCCTGAATTTCGTTATTTTTACTGCTTCGTTGATTCTCGTGACCCGAAAAAAAATCAAGTCAGATTTTTTTCCTCGGTTCCTCTTTTGTCCTTTTTTTCTATCTCTTTACCTTCATTTCGGTGCCATGGCCATGATTGAACAAGGGAACGGTACATTCCCTCCGTGGGATCCGTCAGACGTTCTGGACTGGACGAGTCCAGTGTTTATCGCTCCCACCGTCCTGTTAGCGACCTCGGTTCTTCTTTGCTCAGCTTGCCTACTTCAGACTCGCGATAAACCATGGATGGATATCCATACCCTTCGTGCCAGTGGAAAACTATCCATCTTGTCTGCTTTTTTGATGCCGTTCAGCTTTGTTGTGACAGTCAGCTTCCTGGTAGATGCTGGTATTATCATCGCACGTGTATTCAAGGACGAACAATGGACCTCGACCCTCCTGTCATATTATATTGGCTTATCGTGGCTTGCATGGGCCATCAGTTTCATCTCTTTTACCGATGGTTTGCTCAAACTCGGACATTGGCACTGGGCGCAACCAGTGTTTTGGATGGCAGCGTTTGTGTGTGAGACCGTCGTCGGATTACCATGGCTGGAAAGTTACGTTGGAGACGATTCAGGTAAGCTCGGCATTTGGATGATATCATTGGCGGATCATCGTAGTCTGATAAAGCCGCATGGTTTGCGGTTTCATAACAGCAAAACATACATGGGATGCCATATTGATCAGCATTCTCGCCGGTCGTTACGCGCTGGAGTGTCTGCTTGTGGTCTCGTCCATCATTTACTTGCTCACCCGTTTATGCACCCGTCATTCTGCCACATCCGACGAAAGAACGCCGCTTTTAACCACGGCAACGACGACGACCAATGAAAACGACCTAGCCACAAGCTCCAATACGTCCTCAAAAAAATCCACGTTTGCCGACTATGCCAGCAAAATGAAAAAAATCTTTCCCTACTTGTGGCCACGACATCATCCGCGTCTTCAATTTTTCGTATGTTGCTGCTTTTCGCTCATGGTGTTGGGTCTCGCCATCAATGTGTGGACCCCACTCCAGATCGGTACTGTCGTGGATAAAATTGGCCAAGGTAAGACCCTCTCCGCTGTTGTAAGAAGTAAAATCAATGCATTAACGGCCGGGTTTGTGCGTGGCTAGGTAAATTTGCTTGGGCCGCCGTGTTGGGCTACGTAGGCTTCAAGTTTGTGCAAGGAAGTGTAAGTGATGTCATTGTCTGCGCATTCTTTGGGGTTCTATTGCGCTCTCCTTTCTGATGGTGATTGTTTCTTCTCTAGTCTGGCTTGGTTCAATCCGTACAGAATTGGTTATGGATTCCTATTTCGCAATATATTACCCGTCAAATTTCTCTGGAATTATTTACGCACCTGCACAACCTGTCTCTCGGGTTTCACATCAATCGAAAGACAGGTGAAGTGCTCCGAGTCATGGATCGTGGCACAAGCAGTGTCGTACAACTATTGCAACAGATTCTCTTCCAGATCTTCCCAGCATTGGCCAATGTCGTCCTCGCCGTCTTTGTTTTCGCGGTGCGATTTTCTCCACCCTTTGGCCTGATTGTCTTTGTAACCATGTCACTGTACTTGACTATCACAATCGTGTTGACAGAATGGCGAACAAAGTATAGACGGAAAATGATCGAATTGGACAATTCGACCCGGGCCAAGGCCGTCGACTCATTGTTGAACTTTGAAACCGTCAAATATTATGGAGCGGAAAACTTTGAAATCGATCGTTACAAAGCAGCTATTGCGCAATACCAGGAAGCCGATTGGAAGACATCCAGCTCCTTGAATATTCTTAATCTTGCGCAGAATGCGGTTATTACGGGCGGTTTACTAGCCGGCTGCTTGTTATTTGCTTGGGAAGTTTCGGAAAATCGCTTGACTGCAGGCGACTTTGTAGCATTCAACATGTACATGATGCTGCTCTACACTCCGGTAATTTGGAACGTCAGAATGGGATGATCGATGTTGCGACATCTATTTTAATCTCCATTTCTCTGTTTTTGGTGTGTTTTTATTTCTAGCTACACTGGTTTGGCACGTATTATCGCATGATCCAGTCCAATTTCATTGACATGGAAAAAATGTTTGCCCTCTTTGAAGAACACCAGGTCATCAAAGATGCGCCGGACGCCCAAGACTTGGTTGTAGAGGAAGGTCAAGTTGTCTTTGGTAAGTCGTTTTGATATATATCAGCATCATGATCATATTGGTAACAAAGTCGCTGTGTACGTAGAAAACGTCTGCTTTACCTATGATAAACGTCAAACGGCATTGAACAACATCTCTTTTTCTGTACCCAAAGGAGCTACAGTGGCCTTGGTCGGTCCATCGGGAGCAGGGTAAGTGGGGAATCCTGAACAGTGATAGCGAGCTTTCAAGGCTCACTAATGGTATGCAACTCATAGTAAATCGACCATCATGCGCTTACTGTTCCGATTTTATGATCCGGATTCGGGCCGCATTACGATCGATGGTCAAGATATTCGTCAAATTAAGCAAACGTCTTTGCGAAAGAACATTGGTGTCGTGCCTCAGGATACCGTTCTTTTCAACGATACCATTTATTACAATATCCGATACGGCGACGTGAACGCTTCCAAAGAGGCGGTTGAACACGCTGCTCAAGCGGCTCAGATTCACGACAAAATCTTGACATTCCCTGACGGCTATGATACCATGGTAGGCGAGCGAGGTTTGCGTCTCAGTGGGGGTGAAAAGCAGCGAGTGGCTATCGCTCGTACGATTTTGAAGAATCCGCCTATCATTCTCCTTGACGAAGCCACCAGTGCGCTGGACAGCACGACAGAACGACAGGTGCAACAAGCGTTTTCGGAAATGACAAAGAATCGAACGACTCTCGTGATTGCGCACCGTTTATCGACAATTGTCAATGCGGATCTCATTCTGGTGGTGAAGAATGGCGAGATTGTTGAATCCGGTAGTCACGAGGAACTTTTACGATACGGCGTCGATGGTGTCTACTATGAGATGTGGCAAAAGCAACTCCACAATGACAACGACAGCCAAAGCGATACCCAATACGAAATTGATACGGAAAGTTTCAAGGAAAGAAGCTTTGATAAGATGGTGAATGATATACCCTCTGCCGATAAACAGAGTATCCACATGGAACGCAGTGCTGACAAAACGCCGCATGTACCTGAACCATCAAATCAAACAACCGATGGTCAGACCAAGGCAGCTCATTCAGTACACGATGCGAAATCAGAAGTCGACTCTGTCAAACAAGGCAGCCGTTCTGTATCGGCGAGCACGACTCCCAATGGAGAAGCGACCCATGTGGCGTCCCCCTATACCAATGCAGTGGCTGACAGTGAGAATGAAAGCAGAAATGTCACCTCCGCATCTTGCGATGCCAAAGCGCCGAAAGAATTCTCGTACGCTGCTGTAGCGGACGAATCCAAGGTCATAAGTACAGGTGGCGCATCCGATGAACAAAGCAGCAAGCCAGCGGATATCATCAAATCATCGTTGGTCGCTGACCGAGGATTCTCTTACGCAGAGATAACCGACAGTACAAAGGAAACACATGGCACATCATCTGAGCAAAAGGATGATCTCGTCGACGACGCCACAGATTCTGGCAAGACTGATAAAGCCTTTTCCTATGCTGAGGTAGCCGACGATACCAAGGAGACGACCCAGGGCGTATCGGCAACATCTGGGCAAAATGATCGTGTTGTCAACGCCAAAGCAGCATCCAGAAAGGACGATAAAACCTTTTCTTATGCGGAAGTAGCCGACGATACCAAGGAGACGACCCAGGACTCATCGCCAGCGTCTAAGGAAAAAGATAGTATCGAACGCACAGCATCTAGCAAGACTGACAGGGCCTTTTCCTATGCTGAAGTAGCCAATGAAACCAAGAAGATTACAGGGGACGCATCGGCAGCGCCTGAGGAAAAGGAGAATAATCAATGCACAGCATCTGGCAAGGCTGACAAGGAAAGTTTCTCCTACGCCGACGTAACCAAGGAAACCAAACACACCACAACTACCACTACTACTACCACGACCACCACCACCTACTCATCCTCATCCTCAGCGTCCTCTAACAAAGAGGCTGCTCGGCGAGTCACTCTACCGGAAATGTCGACTCAAGGGCGTGAAAAGTTGACAGTGGACTGCCAGGCTCCAGCCAAGCAAGAGGAAAGCAGCCAGTTGGTGTCCTCACCGACGGAATTAAACCCTGATATCACTTCCATTCCTGCTCCAAGAGATATGGCGGCTCCACAGCCCACTCCTAGCAAAAGTACAAAAACTAAGAGGAAAAAGAAGAAGAGCAGAGGCAACAAAACGACCTTCTAAAACGAATCATGAACGGTTAAAAGAGTCACACTTAGGCGCATCTCAAAAAAAAAAGGTGTTCGAAACTCAGCACCACTTTGCTGTGATTCAAAAAAAGAGTACCATTTGCTTTTCCCAAAAACTGCATTTTTTCAATTCAATAAAGTAACAGAAGAACTCACATTCGCATATACCACTAAATGGCTCCTTATCCGACGGAATGCATTCAAGAACTTAAAGCACACAAAGGACCGGTCAATGAAGTGTGTTACAATAAATCGGGACAGTATTGCGTTTCGGCAGGCCGAGATCGAACCGTGCGATTATGGAATCCACTCAGTGCCATGCTTTTACACACCTACACGGGTCACAGCCGTGACGTGCTTGGGGTGTCTGTGTAAGATTTTACACCAAGAGCTCTATGATGAACAGCTGTCTAACGCTTTGGCATTCCATAAAACAGAGCATCGGATAATGCCAAAATTGCGAGTTGCGGTGCCGATAAAGCAGTGATCTTGTGGGACGTTGGTACAGGTGAAATCTTGAGACGGTACACAGCTCACTGGGAGGTAAGAAAAAACGATACAAAGCACCATGGAGAAACTGAGAGCTAAAACAAACTGGCTACAGCGTGTCAATTCAGTAGACTTTAACGATGATGCTACCGTTCTTGTCAGCGGTAAATTCGCTCGATCTATTTTATGCAATGCTTTCCCGAGACTGACTCTTTTTTTTCAATTTTGTTTTTAGGATCGTTTGATGCCACCATTCGAATATGGGATTGCAAGTAGATAGAGACTTGGTATGGGCGGTCAGCGTGTGTGCGGTACTGATCCATCTGCGTAGATCCAGTAATTTTTCACCGATTCAAGTGATTGAAGATTGTAAAGACAGTATCATGTCCATTCAAGTCAAAGGTCCTGAAATCGTAGCAGGGTAAAAATCAATGAAAAAAAAGAACTGGAAAAAAAATGGCACTTCTTTCCTCCTGACATCAATGTGACGTTTTAGATGTGCCGACGGTCGGTTGCGAGTGTTTGATCTACGTATGGGGCAGTTATCCGAAGACTATATTGGTCGTAAGTTATCTCCACATCAAACGCAATTGTAACAAAAATATGGACGAGGGTGGTTTGATATTCATACGCGTTTCACAGCGGCTATCACCTCTGCGCGATTATCAAATGACGGCAATTGTGTGCTCGTGAGTTCACTGGACAGCACCATACGACTGATGGACAAGGCCAACGGACGGTTACTGAATGAGTAAATTTATCACAAATCACAGCCATCAAGCGCGAACCCGTCTTGCCAACTAAACTGATCCTGATTTTTAGGTTCAAAGGGCATAAACACACGGAATATAAACTGCAGTCGACTATGACAAATACGGATGCTTATGCCATGAGCGGATCTGAAGACGGTAACATCATGGTGTGGGACGTACTAGAAGGTTCAGCAGTCAAGACGTTACAGTTGCACAAAGGCGTTGTATCATCTATTGATTATCATCCGTCCGATGTTGCCATGGTGTCGGCAGGTGCAGACAGTATCATCCGTGTTTGGAGCTAAGAACAACAACCGCTCAAGGCAGGATCTCCCTTTTATGTCAAAGAAAAAAAATATTCTCGGCATCAAAGCAAGTGGCGTGGCCTGTAGACACATCCTTTTTTGGCTTTCTGTCTGGAACAGTGTACAACACGTGGGATTGGGATTTTTTGGTGGAAGGCACGTCGATGCGAGGATAGGCGAAAAAAATAAAAGGTTTCAGGTTGTTGTCAAGGCGAGCTTCAAGTGTGTGTGTGTGTATCAGAAATAAAACATTGTCCTAAGCTCTGATTTTTTTAAAGTTTGAGGTGTTGTTTCCAATCATTGATTCGAAACAATCGCTTGGATCCGTTTATCGCTTCTTTTTATGGACATGGTGTTGCTTTTCAACATGGTTTCTGATACAGTTTTGTGGTCATCTTTTTCGCAACGCTTTTACTTTTTCTCTCTTTCCTCTTTTTTAACCGTTTGGATTGTCGTTTTCTTTTATATTACACTTGATTTAAATCGGTGTCGCATTGTGAGCTCTTTGACTTTTCTCCCAATGTATTCCTCCCCGTCCTTTCTGCACCATCCTTCTTCAATCAACTCGGCTTACGATTTGTGGCATGTTCCTCTGCAGAACGCCATGCAGATACAGCCTTATACCCACGTATCGTATTCGCGTGCCATGGTCAAGCATTGTTTGACGGACAGATATCCGGATCATTCCAATGGCGTCTGGCGTGCCAATACCGAGAATCCACGGTCAAAGTCGAAAGAAATCATCTTGTACAAGACGGAATACTGTCGTAATTGGAGCGAAATGGGATATTGCAGGTAATACACGTGTAACGCACACCACCTTGTCGAAACCGATTTCTTTTTACTCATGCACTGCGTTTGCGACGCCATGATTTAAAAGATACGGGAAAAAATGTCGTTACGCTCATGGTGAAAGCGAATTGAGATCCGTTCCTCGACATAGTCTTTACAAAACGCAAATCTGTCGTGCGTATCATTTGGATGGGGCGTGTCCCTATGGCATTCGATGCACGTTTATCCACGACCGCGAAATGGGACCTGAAACAAAACCAACCCATACTGCAAGAGAATCGGCCATTACCCCACCTCCACCTCCTCCTTCTCCTCACGGCAGCCATCACCAAGGCTTGATGCCTCTGTCACCCTCTCCTTTGCCAGTTTCGCCTATTTGGTCTTCCAAATTGGTCCTGGTGCGGCCGCAGTCTCACAGCCATCCGAATCCGCGGTCGCTTCCTGGAACCACCCTGTCATCCAGCGGCAGCACGGTTAGTAGCCTCAGCAGCCATGGCAGCCGACACAGTACGGCTCCATACGACGAACCAAGGATGGATTCTCTTATTCCCATATCGTATCTCTACTCCCAGCACCATCATGCACCCTTTTCACATGTGGTTCATCCGCTCCCCAACCCATTACCGTTCTCTGCAGCATTGTCCTCTTTCTCTTGATGATTTCAGCCTCCCCTCCACCCTCATACGTACAAATAATTTATTCCATACGACCATATGTTTTCCATTCTTAAATTAAAAAGATTTTCCAACTAGTTTTATCACCTATCAGAGAGTTCATTTTATTGGTATTTACAATTTTATTCTGTTGCTTTTTTCTTTTTTACTGGTGGGTAAAGTCGGGCTTTCTCTTTTCGACAAAAGCGGTCATGCCTTCCTTTTGGTCAGCCTAAAAAAAAAGAGATGATGTGGGGAATGAGGATTTCCTGTTTTGTACTTTGTTTTTCATAATCTCTCACTACGTACCGTGCCAAAGAGAGCCTGGAACAGAATACGTTCCCAACGCAAGCCGGAAGAAAGAGGAACCTCGAACGCTATTGCAACGAGTCAGCAAGAGACCCAAACATGATATTTTTCTTTTGAATAGGCTTACATTTGTTGATAAGTTCCTTGGCCATTTGAACCGAGGGCTGGCTCATCTTGGCAATGGTTTCGGCCGTCTTGACAGCTTCATCAACAAGTTGATCGGCAGGCAATACCTTGCTCACCAAACCTAGAGTTCCCCATATCAGCCGTCTGAGGCAAAACAACCATGATCATCGAATGATGTTGATAAAAATTAAAAATCGAGCTTACCCAATCCAAGAGCTTCATTGGCATTGAGGTTCACGGAACCAGTCAATACCATTTCCATGGCCTTGGACTTGCCAACGGCCTTGACAAGACGCTGAGTACCACCGGCACCAGGGATGACGCCCAATTTAATCTCAGGTTGACCAAACACGGCTTTTTCGCCAGCATAAATAATCTGAATTCCTCTAATCAGTACACATGCACCGAGTCAACCCTCCAAAAAAATGTCACTTACGTCGCACATCATGGCCAATTCACAACCACCTCCAAGCTACAAAAGAACACACTTGTTAGAGGGATACAGTACACACGGGATACACGTTCATTTCAACTTACAGCGTAGCCGTTGACGGCGGCGATAATGGGCTTCTTGATGTTGGTCATGTCAGCCCAGTGACCCAAAAAGTCAGTCTTGTAAGTTTCCATGAAAGCTTTATCCTTCATTTCCTTGATATCAGCACCAGCTATAAATAACAGTTGAACAAGGAGAAAGAATGAGCCAAACCGCCCAATGAATAGAATGCATCACGCGTCTTTTTCAACCATGATAATATTTTTATCTTTACCTGCAAAGGCTTTCTCGGAACCAGTAATGACAATGGCACCAATATCGGCGTTGGCATCATAGGAGCGGAGAGCATGGTTGACTTCGACAAACAAGTCATGGCACAATGCGTTCAATGCCTTGGGACGATTCAACGTAATGAGGCCGACCTTGCCACGAGTCTCGGCCATAATGTGGTCGTAAGACTTGTCACCGGCACCACCAGCCACGTCTATTATCGCAAAGAACAAAAGGGTTAACACGGTCAGTGTCTACACGCGACACGGGTTTCACGAGTCTTTACTTTTCAACACGAAGCCAGTGCTGAAGGAACGGACGACATTAGCCTTTTGAGCCGAAAGGGGCTTGACGATGGCAGGGCTGAAAAAGGTTCGGAGCATAATGGGTGATAGCGTGGGAGAAAAAGTTTCTGAAGAAAAAAAGAGAACTAGAGAATAAAAGCAAGACAAGAGATGGGGCGGCTGGATTGCAGCTTATATATTTTTTTATGACTCCTCCATGGAACCGGACTTATATTGCTTTTACTGCTTGATTATTCACATGCTTAAATTTTCGATCTTTTTTTATAAGCCTACTCTTTCCATGTCCCTACTCTCTGTGATAGAGAAGTCCCTTTCTAGGGGCTCGCTTATAAATACATAACAAGACACTCTATGGGAAAGCATGTCCATTAATACTTGATTATGCAAGTGGTTTGATGTTTGGCTCTTCTCACAGGCCATTGACACGCTGAAATTTCCCACGCTTTTCGATGACGGCAAACCGCCTGGAATTTTTTTATTGCCATCCCAACTCTAAATGGCAAGACTGCGTTACGAACGAAAAACCTTGTTGCAGAGTAACATGAACTACCCCTGTCTCTTTTTTCTATCTCAACCCCACTCATCGATAAAGCCAATCTTTTAACCTGATGGCTACACAAGCTCCGTATGTGCAAAGAGCTGGGTGGGCTCTTGCTTGCTGGAAGCATTCTTTCAGAATTCTGCTTATGGCAAAGTGCATGATTGTTGAGACACGGAGAAGATTTCACCTACAAATTGGGACAAACACCGCTGGCCCAGCTCAGATGAACTATATGCATCGAAAGGCCCGACCTAGTGCATTGTCGAGAAAAACAGCTTGTCATTTTGTAAAATAACCCCATTTATAATAACACCTTGATATCGTTTTTCAAGTTACGCATTGAGAATAGCCGAGCCGTTTCTTAAACAAACGCGTTGATATGCGCCCACTTTAACCTTTTCCTCAATTCACATTCTTTGACTGAGGTGATCTTTTGTTATTGATCAAGAGAAAGGCTTCGTATTTTTTGACTGTTGGTTTTATTTTGGCGCTCTTTGACAATGGGATGAATGCATTATTTTTGCTTTCTGGGCCGAATTTGGCACGTCTGTTGATGAAGCGTAGCTTTATAAACATGACAAAAAGGTATAGCTTTTAATGGTTCAATAAACCATTTTTGTGTTTTGTGATGAGACGCAAAAGACTTCCTGACGGATGGCTACTACCATACAAATTTTTAGTTTTCGTTCGAAAGGGCAGCTACCAAAAATATCGACGTAAAAGATTCACACAATATACATAGTCTATCGTCGTGCTTCTTTCAGGCAACGGAATTACTCTGTTGGGCCCATATAATAAGCATGTTTTTTTTAATAGTGGTTCACGAAACCAAAACCGGGATCGTTGAAAATAAAAATATCTTACTAGAGTTGAGTGTGATGTTTTTGTTCTAGCTGAAAAAATGGATATAGCCTTTGCAGACAAGATGGACGGATGAGTCATCATGTTACTTTTCTCTTTTGCAAGCAATGGTATGCATAACTTACCCAGCACCAAGGTACCTGCTCCGGTGATGGTTCCTAATGTGGCACAATGTAAGCATTGGTGCGCTCGCATATCACTTGTTCATGCGTGTTCGTTTTTCCAAAACTTACCGATCATGTATTTAAGAATGGAAAGCTTGATACCATCCATTTGAATCTTGAGCGCCTGAATTTCGCTTTCAATCTTTTCGTCGGTTTGTTTTAATCGTTCATGTTGTTCAATCGTTTCGTCACGTATACGCCCCTTCTCTAAATTCAGATCAAGTCTTACACCGGCATGACTTCTCACCAATTCTTCGTGCAAGGTTTTCTTTAACTTTTCAATATCGGATTTCAGTCGCTCATTGGCCGACTTGACTTCTTCCACATCGCGCTTCTCCATTTGCTGAATCTCGGATTTGAGTCGCTTAAAATCTTCCTTGTAGCGATTGATAGTCTGTTGCAATTCTCCCATCATTAGTTACCTAGCATATATATACAAATCATCTCATTTTATGTATCGAGCTTACTTTGTCCTGCTCAGCTTTGCTCACCAAGTCATTGGTGACATTCAGGGTACTATGGATACACGGTTAATACGTAGCGATCGTCCTGAGCCAACTGGCAGGTTACCTTTCATCCACCACGTCATTTAACGCATTAATGACGGCTCGTGCTTGGTTGGAAGAAAACCCTTCCTTCTCTAATAATCTGGCAAATTGTTCTGCGTCAAAAAACGGCATCGCGGCCTGTATCCGGTGCGTGGATGCACCCGAAGGCACCTTGGTACGTGCGCCACGAGTGAACGATCGCTGCCACGGCGATCGTCTCACTATATAATAAAGAAAGAAGGTGAGCGCGCAAGCCAAGATAACCATCAAGTTATCTTGATTACGTACCCGCAGGGTTCAAACGAGGTAGAGCATTATATACAAGGGACATGTCAAATCCGTGGGCCCGAACAAAATCCCCTTACGAAAACCACCACTTTCAAAAAGGCAACTTCTCTCAATTTGCCTCAGACTTGCATTTGTGCGGTCACATGGAGGAGTAATTTCCTCGAAAATTATATAATTGATGCAACAAAAAACGTATCGATATCACCATTTTCATTCATCGGATTCGTTTACAGTATTCTTATCTCTACGTGACATGGCTTGCAAGCGAAGCGAATCGCCCGCAGAATTTTCTGGTTCACTATTATCCTCCTCCAAGTCATCGCGGTCGGGTACTTGGGTGTATGGATTATCTGGGTAAGGTCGGAATTTGTATCTACATGATTTGGCAAATTAGGCTACTTTTTTTTTCAATGTCAATGGTGTGACCAGCCTGCATTGCTTACCCGATGAATGCATAAAACAGGAGCGTGGCTACTTCATTGACGGCTTCTCCGAGCCACGTTACGTATTGAAAAGGTAAAGACGCTTGTAAAAGCGTGACCAGAATACGCGTAATGTAAATGTAGACCAAGGTCACGATATAAAACGTGGACCAAAGCTTGTACTTGTTCAAGATATCCATTTCTATTCCGTTTCTTAGTAAGGTTGAACGCTGTAGATGAACCGAACCACATTTTATTTTATCGCTTACCTTTATCAGCACTGGTAGCAGCGCCCAAATGCTTGCGAGTTTGCAGAATTGTCCAAAGCACCACACCGCAGGCAGTCAAGTCAATTAAAGGCAGCAGCATGTTCTAGTCCATTTTTTTTCATATGCATTAATCTCTGTCAAACGGTGGATGTATATGACTGTCAATAGATCACCCTACCCAGAAAGACCAATCGGCTGATCCTACTGCTGCCTCGCTACCGATCGCTGACGCCACATTGGCAAGCACTTGCAACGGTACAATGGCCGAAATAACCTTTTTATCCTTGGACGACAGAAAAGGCTTGATAAACATCCAACCCGAGGCAAGCAACACTATGGAAATTATTGATACTCTGTTATTGCACGCTTAAAGATAATACGATGTTGTTTTGTTTACCAAGGATCAAAATGCTCAAAATGCCCTTGACGCTATCAGAATTTAAAATGAATATATTATTCTCTCCAAAATGCATATATCATACGTACCTTGCAAATAAATAAAATCCAATACGCCAGCCTTCCGATAACACGCCGATTTTCATGTAGTGGTATTTAGCCTAACAAAAATACAATGAGAAATCCCCTTTTTTTTCAACACCAGCAGAAACACAACTTACTGATTGAAGTGCTTTGTTGATGAAAATAAAAATAATGAGCAATAACCTAGATGACGATGATAATTCAGTCACATTGCCGATCACAATTGTCCTATGGAAAGTTTTATTACATGAGCCAATGTGCACGAAAGACCTTGGTATCTTGACGAAAGGTGAGAAGCGAGAACCAGTAACCGGCGACAAGGATATAGGCCACGCAAGCAACCGCATACACGGTTGGAAGAGGTGAGTCTCCCGCAGACAAGTGATTGTTGTTTGGGTTGATAAGCTCGGTGCTCAGCTACAAATGATTCGTCTTTTGTTACGTCTGCCACACTTCAACTCGCTATCCGTGCACTCACTCGTAACGAAGCAGTAGAACCCTCTTTGCAGTTGATAAACAAAACTTCCCACAGTCCTTCTTCGGACGAATCGACCGTCACTTGTGTCTGCCATCTAATCGTCTTTGAAATCAATCGATCTGGTTTTTAAGCTCATTTCCTCGGTTCTTCAACTCACGGCATGGTCCAAGGAGATGCCAACTCTTCGACAATAGCGGCGCCATCGTCGAGTTCGTCTTTAATAAACTTGTTATCCAAAAAGCAGTTGTGGAAAGCTGGGGTTTCTGTGCTCTCGTCGGCTGGCATGACATTGGCAGAGGCGAATCGATCTTTGACAACATTGCCTTTACGGATATAGAAAGCGACGATGCCGGGGGCTGTAGGGTGCGAAAGCTTTGGAACAACACAAAGTGTGAGCGTGCATGAGTTCGAACGAGCACAGGAGTCACTGGCTTACGCGAAAATCATCGAGCTTGAGGGTGAGTTGACCGCCTGCTAGAAAGCCAAACGAGGCTACTTCAATAGCTTTGCGGTCGTCGCCTTTAAGAACAAGCTCGGGACTAGCCCATGCCAACGAAATAAGGTATGTGAACAGGACCCAAAAAAGCCCTCTCATGATACTGCCGCAAACAAAGAAAGTACACAACAAGCCTTTTTTTTGCATGAGCGGCATTTTTCTTGCCAAAAAAAGGTGACCCAGAAGCCTCAAGGTTCGATGGTTCGGTTGGCGGCGTTTCAATTTCTCCACTCCCAAGTGTCTCTTTGTTCCCAGGAACAAAGCGAGCTTTATTTAAAGACGTAAAGACGCCTCTTGTGTGATCACCTCATACGGACATTTTCGATAACATGATTCCACATTAAGAACATGACCAGATTCGATACACGTAAAACATTGACCTCCTTACAACTCAAGTTGATTTGAGCTCACAACTCAAGCTGATAAAATGGAATAGATCGGACCTGGCGAAGTGAGAAAACGAGCGATTAAAGTCCGGTTGAACTAAAAACTTTATGAAATAAGCAATGGCGATAAAACAATTTTACAAGATGAAAACACAATAATAAGAAGGGAAAAAGAGGGGTATAGATACAAAACACACACAACAAAGGAAAATACGATCAGATAATGATATGTAAAGAAAAAAAATAAAAGGAAGCAGACACACATGACTTGGCGTGTCAGTTTTTTTTTTCTTTTCTAAAAAGGGCGATGCGCAGGCTGTGGACTGTAATGGGAAGGTTCCGGCATGGGCATGGGTGTATAGGTGTTTTCGTGTGGATTGCTTGTCACCATGGGCGGTTCCGGTGTATGCGCTTGATGACGGTACTCGTCATAAGCGTAATCGATTTGTTCCGGCATCGGGGTGACAGCGTGATGAGGTAAACCGGCGGGTTCTTGATAGTAGGCCGGCTGAACGGGTGGATCGTACGGTGACTCGAAAGGAGACGCTTCGTGCATAGGTGGAGGCGAGACATTGTTCAGTGGACGAGCCTGATCCAGCGATTGAGGGCGAACATTGACGTGGGCATCGTCTTCTTCGTAATAGCCCGGATGCGCGGTCTGGTACTGGCCATTTTCCACATCGTTGGCCATACCCAGCGCCGCTTGCTTGTTCATCTCGTGAGTGCGGAGATTCTTTTGGATCAGCTGCTTTTCATTCCAGAAAATAATCAACGTGCAAATAAGTGTTGCCACCCATAACAAACAAGTAATCCACGTAAATCCAGCCGCTGCTTTCGCCAAATTACACTATTCAAATCGTGAGTCACCCTTGCGCCTTCATAGAATCGACGTTTACAAAATCCCCTACCTGTGTTGTCCATGCACTGGTGTAGTCGTTGCCATAGTTCTCTTGCATTTCACCGTCAAAGTTACAATGGTCAGGATTGTTGGCATGCACTGTAATCGCGATACCGGCCGTTCCCCAGAGAACGGAATAGAAACTTGTGAAGATCATGTTGGTACGGGGCTTGAGACAAAACTTGCCAAGCTTCTTGAACTTGTTCTTGCGATCGTACATCCAAGGGAAGTAAATCAGAATAATGGGTATGGCAATACTGATAATAGCCACAAACAGAGTATAGTTTGGTCCCGGTTGACTTCCGCCCTAAAAAACACAGATACACACACGCACTTAGCCACCGTGTTCCCTTCCCAACTTATTTTCCCACTGTTCTGAATGACTTACATAAAATCTGGACTCTGTAGAGATGATAGGTGCCACCATACAAATGGTCATGAAAGTGGTAATCACTTGAGAGATATGAAGCCACACTTTGGCTGTGCCGAGGTGTGGCATGTTTTCAGGCACAGAAATAGGCAGTTCAAAGTTCAAAGAACGGCCCATCGTTGGTAAATAAGAGTAGGTATGAAAAAGAAAGACAAGTGGAACAGATAAGAGAAGACCTGAAAGAAATGAAGAAGAGAAAAGAAAAAGAGTCAAAACACAAAAGAATATAGACGCCAAAGAAAAAGGAAAAAAGAAAAAAAAAAAGCCAAGCTGACTGACAAGCCCCATTTGGATTTGGATATCAACACAATCGTCATTTCTCGGATCTTGTGCACCCTTTTTGCAAACTACTGCCAATGGTTTTTCACCAATGACGATGCATCTCGGCTTTCTGTTTGTTATGAAAGACGCCCATTCCAAAAATAGCCATCAAATAAAATGCGTTCCCGCCGCAAGTGCCGTTGCACAAAACCTTGGCATCATTCAAGGCATTCCGAAGTTATTGTCAAGAGCCGTTGCTGAACAATACCGCACCAGCGTTTCTACGTCGCTTGCCAACATCAGCATAGACAAATATCGCCCTTGGCAAGCTTTGATATGACTGCGAATACGGTTTACCAATGTCGGTTGAGTTCCCAACCTGTGTTATCCGATCCAATGAGACTTTTTTTTCTCCCTTTGGTACCATGTGCGGATAAGCCACAGTTACTCATAAAGATCGCCTCCATGTTAAAGAGATGTGGAGAAGGCAAGTGGACCCTCTGGGTGCCATTATCTGTTGGTGTTGTCGACAAATTGGTACGTTCGCGAGCATGGCGACACCTGTGACATGATCTATTTTTTCTTCCCTCATGAAATGGATGCAATATTTGAAAATGAATGGAGTATGGGAAACACATACGCTATCTCATGAGAGTGTGTGCCAGAAAGAGATTTCGGTAGAGGACGGATCGAAACGAAAAAAGTTTATTTGATCCTACGGAGAAGGGGACTGGCTTTCAGTGGGGGTTCTTTTCCGCGGTGTTCAAACTTACCATAGCAACCGACCGCTTGGCGGGGTTTTAAAAATCCTGCTGAAATAGTGGACTATCTATTTTGTTTTTTTCTTTCTCTTCTGAGCACTTCACCGCACAGCCGTTCGCTTCCTGTCAGGTTGCAGCAAGACCATTGCAGTTTTTTCGAAAGAACACCTTTTTTTTGAGCAACCTTTTCGTGGCATACCCTTTTTATTTTGCATACTATGGCTGACAATTCCATCAAGATCTTCACTGGCAATTCGCATCCTGAACTTGCCAAGTTGGTGGCCAACCGTATTGGTATTGACTTGGCCAAGGTCGTGGTGGCCAAGTACTCCAACCAGGAGACCTCTGTGACGATTGGCGAGTCGGTGCGTGATGAAGACGTATTCATTATTCAGTCGGGTTGCGGTGAAATCAATGATAATTTGATGGAACTCTTGATTATGATCAATGCCTGCAAAACCGCCTCGGCTCGTCGTATCACCGCCGTGATTCCTTGCTTCCCCTATGCTCGTCAGGATAAGAAGGATAAGAGCCGTGCTCCCATCACTGCCAAATTGACGGCCAATATGTTGACCGTGGCCGGAGCCGATCATGTTATCACCATGGATCTTCACGCTTCCCAAATTCAAGGTTTCTTCAACATTCCTGTCGATAACCTCTACTGCGAACCACCCATGATCAAGTATATTTGCACCAAGATCGATAACTGGAAGAATGCCATTATTGTTTCTCCCGATGCTGGTGGTGCCAAACGGTAATGGATACTTGGATAATGGGCGGGGAAAGCCATGAACTGACCGGGTTTCTTTTTATTACAGAGCTACTTCCATTGCTGATCGTTTAAACCTTGATTTTGCTTTGATTCACAAGGAGAGAAAGAAGGCCAACGAGGTGTCTCGTATGGTGTTGGTGGGTGATGTACGGGATAAGATTGCTATTTTGGTGGATGATATGGCCGATACCTGTGGTACTCTTGGACTGGCGGCCAAGACATTGGTTGAAAATGGCGCCGAGAAGGTCTATGCTATTGTGGCTCACGGTATCCTGTCCGGCAAGGCGATCAAGGTTATCAATGAATCGGTCATTGAAAAGCTGGTTGTTACCAACACCATTCCTCATGAAGATAAAATGGCGATATGTCCCAAGCTTGATATCATTGATATTTCTCCCACTTTGGCAGAAGCCATTCGAAGGTAAGTCTGAGATCCCATATTTGACTCTTTGTGAATCAGTTTTTTTGATTTTTATTCTTTTTTATTCAGAACTCACAATGGCGAATCTGTTTCCTATCTCTTTTCTCACGTTCCGGAGTAAAAGCATGACATTGTCATCATCTTGTTTTTTTCTTCATTTTTTTTTCATAGAGAATTTTTGCACTTTATAACTTTTTTCATTCAAACTCAAAGAAAATAAAAAAAAGCTAGTCATTCCCTGTTTCGAGAGTCTGAGGAATTTTCGATCTACCGCAGCTAAGCCAGCAAAGGATTCACCGTCCAATGCAAGTCACACGGAATCTCCCCTCTTTTTTTTTGTGCAGCAAGCATTTTTTTTCGACAAAGCATAATCCCGTTATTGCAGCTTAAAGCCTATTTATCGAATTACTTGCCATGGCGAAAGCACAAAAATCAAACAAGACGGCGTTGAAGAAAAAGACGGACCAAAAGCCCAAGAATGATAAACCTGCCAAGGTGATCAAAGGAACAGAAAAGCCTGGCAAAAAGGGCAAAGCAGGTGCGTTATATATAAAGCGATCCGGCTGAGTTTGGTACCCGCCCATCGATGAGTGTACTCACCATGCCTCATTCTTATATTAGCTGCAAAGAAGGATGCTTCCAAGGATAAAGCGTAAGTGTGAACCCTCAATTGATCCATCTACTCTCCGAGATTAACCCATTATTCCTTGGTCATTTTACAGTGTAGCTTCCATGTCCGTTGAAGATTTCTTTAGTGGCGGTTTCGAGAATCTCTCTTCGGACGAGGAGACCCAAGACATTGTCATGGAGGAATCGGCCGGTTCAGACGATGACATGAAGAAAAAGACCGTGAACAAAAAGGAGAAAAAAAAGACGGCCAAATCAAAGAAATCAAAAAAGCTCACGCAACCCGAGAAAATGGAAACCGACAGTGACGAAGAATTGGATGATGTCGAGGTGCCTCTGAACGAGGAGGAAGAGGACGATATGCTTGCTGGTCTGGATGTGGAGGAAACCAAGGACTCTGACGTTGAATTGGAAGACAGTGATAACGATGAGGAGGAAAAGGAGGAAGAGGAAGACCAAGACAGCAGCGAGGACGACGACGCTGAGGCTGGTGATGACAAGCAAAAGTTGAAAAAAGATGCCGCCAGACATAAAAAGGAATTGGAGATGCTCAAGGAACGCGATCCCGAGTTTTTCAAATTTCTCGAAAAGGAGGATGGCGATTTGCTGGATTTTGATCTTTCGGAAGACGAAGACGTGGAAGGCAATGAGGACGAAGCACTGGAGGGAGATGAAAATCAAGAAGGCTTGGAAGCATTTGATAGTGACGAGGAAAGTGACGTGTCCGAGGCGGAAGAAGAGCGAACGTCTGGCGAACTGCCTGTGGTCACGATGGCCATGGTCAACGAATGGATCAAGGAAGTGGAGCAAAGCAACAATTTGCGCGTCATGAAGAAGCTGTTTGCTGCCTTCAAGTCGGCAGCGAGAATGTCGGATGAGGAACAGGAAGAAACCGCCAACTATGCATGCAAGATTGTTGACCCAAATGGTACCTATTTCTTTGATCTGTCTCAGGTCGTCTAAATGAAAGGATAAATGGAAGCTAATTTTCTTGGTTTTTGATTTTTTCCAGTCTTTAGCCGAGTCATTACGGCGACACTCCGTTTAGCCCCTGTGGTGTTTGAGCACAATTTAAAGGGAAAGAAGGAGAATACGGTGCCGATGCAGTCGTCTCGATGGATCTATATAAAGTCGACGGTCAAATCATATCTGAACAACGTGCTTCACCTGTTGAAGAATTTGACCGACAGCAACATGTTATGTTTGGCGATTCGAGAAGCCGAAAAATGCACACAGTATTGGGCGTGTTTCCCTCGGTCCGCCAAGGAGTACATCAAGGTGATGCTCAATTTATGGTCCAGCTTCACTTCCTCGGATACCGTGCGTATTCAGAGTTTCCTTGCCATTCGATCTTTGGCACTCGTGCCCGTTCGCGTGCAGAAAAATTCATCGGAAACCTATTTGGATATCTGTCTCAAGAATACTTATCTGACGTTTGTACGAAACTGCAAAACCACCAATGCCCACACCCTGCCGGCAATCAACTTGATGCGAAATTTGGCCGTGGAATTATTTGGCATCAACCAGCAACTCAGTTACCAGCAAGCTTTTGTATATATCCGACAATTGGCTATCCATTTACGTGGAGCCATGCAGCTCAAAACATCGGTAAGTGGATCTGAAATGGCATCGACTGCATCAATAGAAAATATCCCATGCTGATCCATGCTGTGTGTATGATTTAGGCGAGTTATCAATCTGTTTACAATTGGCAGTATATTCACTGCATCGATTTTTGGGCCAATGTATTGGCCAGACACTGCCAAGTCATTGATGGACAAGAAGAGTCTGCTTTACAGCCGCTTATCTACCCTTTGGTTCAAGTCGCCTTGGGTACTGTAAGGTAAAAGAAACGAATTCAGAGTCGCAAGCAGTTGGGCGTAAACTTTTTTTAACTGACAAAAACATTGATGCATCACACATAGACTTATTCCTACTGCCCAATACTATCCTGTTCGATTCCATATTCTGCGCTCCCTGATTCCGTTGGCTTCATCCGCGGGTGCGTTTATTCCGTTGGCACCTTACATTCTTGAAGTATTTGAGAGTGCCGAAGTAAAGAACAAGGCGAAACCATCGACGCAGAAGCCTTTGGAGTGGAACGTTTACATCAAAGCACCGAAACAGTACTTGCATGGTTTGGTTTATCAGGTACCTCATCAATCATCCTCATCGAAAAAAAAATGACTGTTATTGAAACATGGAACCCCTTTTTACATAGACGGGTATTTTGGAACAAGTGGACGAATGTCTCAATGCTTATTTCAAAGCATGTCAACATCACATTGCATTCCCTGAAACTGTTATTCCTGCTATTGTCACGGTATGAAAAGAGAAAGAGAGAGGTTTTTGACGGGATCATCGATTGATGTGTTTTCTTTTTGAATAGATCAAGCGATTTGTGAAACGAACAAAGAACATCAAGGCGGCAAAGAAGTTGCATCATACCGCCCAAAAGGTAAAACTATCAAAGATAGAAAAATCAAGAGGATAAAGTTGTACTCAACCTGGACCAATTTTTCTAGCTGGAAGCCAAATCCAAATTCATCTTACTGCAGCGATCCAAGATCGATTTTGCCCCAGTAGACGACGCCAAAGTGACGCATTTCATGGCCGATATGAAACAGAAACTGCAATAAATAGATCCTACATCATGTGAATATCATCCATCATCATGGTTTACCACAATCATAGAGCTATAATACTACATGTAAAAAAATTATAAATATAGCGCAATGCATTTCATTGAACTTCTTCAATGTGGGGAAGAAAAGTGAATATTCAGGATGCAAAAAGGGAAGAATAGTGAATAGAGGGGCGAATGGATGGAAAAAAGAAAGTCATCAGTGAAAATATGTAGTTACAAAAGAGGTTGTCATGTTCGAGTCTATAATCGAGTCAATAAACTCAATGCGTCTTCCATATCGTTTTGAGTTTTCTCATATTCTCGCTGGGCCGCTTCCAACTGTAAAGACTGTCTGGCCGCATCAGTCACTGGTCTTTTTTTTTTTAGCCATTGCAACAAGATTGTACACAACTCACCTTGGATGATGCTCGGTCTTTGGTCAGTTTTACTTTGGCTTTGGGTTGAAGATCTTGGATCAGATCATCCAAATGTTCGGTCAACTCGGCATCCTTGATCTTTTTGGACTTGACAGCGTTTTTGGACTTTTTCGTCGAGGTTGTCGGATTACTGGGTTTTCTCTTTTTATCGTTGGCTCTGGTGCGGGTATAAGGAGTGGTAGATTTGGACGATTGGTCCCGTCTGGCTTTTGGCATGGTGTAGAGATCGAAACAAACTTTGTTGGTTCTGGCATGATTTTAGGGGAAATCGAAAAAAAAGCCCATGGACGGCATAATTAGCACGTCACAACGATCAGCATAAAAATGGCAATTCGACCGCCAAGTCAGACAGACCGTGTTGCCCTTTTCAGTATGAGTTCAGACGGATTACTTTGGAACGACACGCATACTGTCAATTCACGACACGAGTACTGCTACTGCGGTCACGATAGAAATCTCCTAGAGGTTTCGTTGCAATGTCGATGTAAGCATCAAAAAAAGTTCCACTTGGACTTTTCAAGACCGTTCAAGCGCCTGACATGCATCAGTTTGTAGAAACTGGTTCCATGCGGAATGCACATCGGTAGCCAATCCACCGGATCTGCTGTTTGTGACCAACTATGTCTTTGTGTGTCATAACTGCAGTGATACACATATGGAAACTTTTGAACGCACCACTGCCGGATGGAAAGATATATGCTCTACCACCATTGCCAACCTAATTTTGGAAGAATTGCTGTGCCGAGTCAAGAATGAACGTGAATTATTTGATACAAAAAACGCCGATTTGATGGAAAAATGGCATCCAGAACAGTACTACTTTAACAAGAAAGAAATTATTCCCTATGTCGATAAACACTGGAAAAGTATCTGTACAGAACGCGCACGCACCACTACTTGGTAAAAGTTGCTGCATGATCCACTGGAACTGATTCGTGCGGGTTTTGTCCGATTTGCTGATGGATTTTTATATTTGTATAGGTGGGCCACCCTGGGAAGCTGTCTGTACTCTTCCAAGGATACCTTTATTGCGCGTGATGAACGTCAGCGATCGGCCGCTTCCGATTTCTGTCTGGTGGACGCGAACCTTTGGCATATCCGACCGAGCGTGGCCCAGGTAAGGTTCTCAATGCCCGCCGCGCGAGCAGACCTTCCAAAATGAATGGCAAAATGAATGGACGTTAATTGGAAAGAGGGGCGTTACAATAGACAGGAAAGGCGCCCACGGCGGTTCCTCGAGCGCCACGCGAAAAACGAAAATCCGACATGGATGTCCCCCCTTCATCTGCGAGTAGTTCACGACCCCCGTCCCGTTCAGATGTCAAATGGCGTGCCATCACGCCCACCACACCCTCCCCACGATCTTCTTCTCCCATCCTGAACCCTCACACCATTCCTGCCGTATTCCCAAGTTCAGGCGGTACCGCCGATCACCCATTCAACCGCTTTGGATTCAAATACAAGCCATGTGAACCTTCTATATTGCCGCTGGTGGCGTACCAGCAGGCGGAAAATATCTTGGGAGGATGCACACTGAGTCCTACGGATAAAAGTTCGTATGTCTCGGTCACTCAGGACGGACTGACCGTTACCACCGAAAAGGGATTTCGCATGTGTCGCGCCAACGTCGGTGTCAAGGAAGGTAATTGGTATTGGGAAGCCATTGTACAGAATGCCAAAGGAAAAGCAGGCTCCGATGGTCCTCACGTCCGGATAGGATGGGCACGCCGCGAAGGTAAGCCTTTTTTTTTTTTTTAGCATGGAAATGAAGTCGAATTGTTCATATAGTAATGATCCTTTCAGCCTGTCTAAATGCACCGGTGGGTTATGATGCCTACGGCTATGGTTATCGGGACATGACAGGAGACAAACTGTTTTGCTCTCGACCGGAACCATTTGGTGAACCTTTTGAAACAGGCGATGTGATTGGATTATACATCTCGCTCCCTCGGAAATCACAGAAACCTTTTAAGAGTCCCACCCGTCGACGCATTCCCATCGCTTACAAAGACAACCTGTGGTTCGAAGAAAAAGACTTTCGTCAAAGTAAAGAACTGGAAGCTTTGGCAGATCCGTACCAGAAAAAAGAGGACGTGGATGCTTATGAACCACAAACGCTCCCTGGATCTTACATTGCCGTCTACAAGAATGGGGTCTACCTCGGTGTCATGTTTAAGGATTTAATTGATTACGAAGATTTCGGTCGGTTACCGGAAATGGTGATGGCAAGGCGAAACAAGAAACGGAGAAAACATAAACGAGATAATAATGGAACCCAACGCATGCGGATGGAAGAAGACGAGTTTGACGGCGTACGGCATCAGCAGTGGACTGAGGATCCTCCCCTAGAGGACGACGGCACGCTCGGTTACTATCCTGCTGTGAGTGTATTTAAAGGCGGCATGGTCACGTGCAATTTTGGTCCTGATTTCCAGTACCCACCGACCCAGTCGGAACCTTGGAAACCCATGAGCCAACGATACAGCGAATACATGGCTGAGGAGTGTGTCTGGGACCTGGTAGATGAAGTGTCAAAATCTTTCCGCCGATCTGAACGAATATAAATCAGAGCTTATTCGATTGACCAATCAAATCTCTTGTCAGAAATTTTTTTTTGATCTTTGTTCCTTGTTTTTTGAAACTTCTATTTTTCTTTTTTTTTTTTTTAACTGTCTTCCAAAAAAAAAAGATACACTTCTTTTTTACCCGCATTTCGACATGTCTGAACAGGAAGCCGCCGCTAAGCTTTATGAAGATCCCGTTACCAAGGAGATGATCTCCAAGTCGTAAGTATCGCTCATGTGAAAAATGGGGCAGTGAAGGGTAGTGTTCCTGTGTGTTGTGTGTTTTTATTTTGGTCGGTCTTTTTTTTTTTTTTTTATATGGATGATGACTCAATTTTTTGTTCTTTTATAGGGAGCTCAAGCGCCGTGCCAAGCTTCGTGAAAAGGAAGCTGCCAAGGCTGCCAAGGCCGCTGCTGAACCTGCCAAGCCCAAGGCCGCCGCCAAGAATGAAGAAGAGGGTGAAGAAGAATTGAACCCCAACGTAAGTCGGGAATCGTTAAATGTGTCAAATGGGAGGAAAACATTAGCTGACCAAAATGAGGATACCCTTAGCAATACTTTGAATTGCGCAGCAAGGCCATTCGTCAACTTCGTGAGACCGAATCGCCCAATCCTTACCCTCACAAGTTCCAAGTCAGCATGAGCCTTCCCGAGTTCATTGAAAAGTTCTCCAAGTTGGAGGTCGGTGAGCGTTTGGACGATCAAGAAATCACGGTGGCCGGTCGTGTGCACAACAAGCGTGCTTCCGGTGCCAAGCTCCGTTTCTACGATTTGCACGGTGATGGTGTGAAGATTCAAATCATGGCTTCCGCTCAGGACCATGAAGGCGATTACGCTCAAATCCACAACTTGTTGCGTCGTGGTGATATTGTGGGTGTGCGTGGTGTGCCCGGTAAGACCAAGCGTGGTGAATTGTCCATTTTCCCCAAGGACATCCAGTTGTTGTCGCCTTGTTTGCGCATGTTGCCCAAGGCCAACTATGGTTTCAAGGATCAGGAACTCCGTTACCGTCAACGTTACCTCGATTTGATCATGAACAACTTTGTTCGTGACAAGTTCATTACCCGTTCCAAGATCATCACTTATTTGCGCAAGTTCTTGGACGACCAAGGTTTCTTGGAAGTCGAAACTCCCATGATGAACCAGATTGCCGGTGGTGCGACGGCCAAGCCTTTCATTACCCATCACAACGATTTGAAGTTGGACATGTTCATGCGTATCGCTCCTGAATTATACCTCAAGATGTTGACCGTCGGTGGTCTTGATCGTGTGTATGAAATCGGTCGTCAGTTCCGTAACGAAGGCATCGATTTGACTCACAACCCTGAATTCACCACCTGTGAGTTCTACATGGCCTATGCTGATATGCACGATTTGATGGAAATGACCGAAGAGTTGCTCTCTGGTATGGTCAAGTCTTTGTTCGGCACTTACAAGATCCAATACCATCCTCAAGGTCCCGATGCTCCCGCTTTGGACATCGATTTCACTCCCCCCTTCAAGCGTCTCGACATGATCGGTACCTTGGAAGAGAAGCTCAACGTCAAGTTCCCTCCGGGTGATCAATTGCACACCGAGGAAACCAACAAGTTCTTGTCGGATCTCTGCATCAAGAACAACGTCGAATGTTCCGCACCCAGAACCAATGCCCGTATGTTGGACAAGGTAAGTTTCCCCCTCCCCTGAAGCTCGGGAATCCCAGAACTCCCAATGTATAACTGCGTTACTTACTGATTTTGTTATCTTTTTTCTTTGACAGCTTGTGGGTGAATACATTGAAGTCAGCTGCATTTCGCCTACTTTCATTACGGGCCATCCCATGATGATGTCTCCTTTGGCCAAGAAGCACCGTGAGAGAGCTGGTCTCTGCGAGCGCTTTGAATTGTTCGTGGCTACCAAAGAAGTGTGCAATGCCTACACCGAATTGAACGATCCTTTCGATCAGCGTGAACGTTTCGCACAGCAGGCCAAGGATAAGGATGCTGGTGATGATGAAGCCCAAGTGATTGACGAGAACTTCTGTCAAGCCCTCGAATATGGTCTTCCTCCCACTGGTGGCTGGGGTATGGGTATCGATCGTCTTACCATGTTCCTCACCAACAGCAACAACATCAAGGTAAGCTTTCAAAAATTGTGATTTTGATTTTTTGCTTTAGCATCTCTTAACGTTCTTTTTTTTTTTCAAATTTTCAGGAGGTGTTGCTGTTCCCTGCTATGAAGCCCGAAGAGAACAATTAAATCCATAATTTTCTTTTTTTTTTTCATTCATCATCAAAGAAAAAAAGAGTTACTTTTTAACTAATACAAGAAAAAAAAAGGTTCAACTCTACAACAAAGAAATGATAGATTCCAAGCAATCGCTTTATTCATTTGTCAAATCATAAAAAGAAAAATCTTTTTTAATCTTACTTTTTTATGTGCTTTTTGTACATCATACATCGAATTTATTAATGGAATCAATGGATGTGTGAGCGCTTGCGTGGCGTGGCGTGGCGCGGCGCGGCGTAGTGCAGATAAATACGTGTATGTGTGCAAAATAACTGTTTTTAGCAATTGTTGATGCATTAGAAAGTCCGTCCAAAGCTTGATGGGAGGTTATTATTTTCGCTTGGCCATAACAATTAACCAAAATCGGGCAAAAGAATCCTTTTGTTGCCCTCATTCACTCAAAAGTCTGAAATCTGCCTTGTTGATGAAATACGGTGGATGATAGTACGGAATTGAATAGAACCGTTGGTGAAGGTCCAACTGGAGTGGCTGTTGGGGAAGCGATGGCCGAAAAGGAGGGCAAAAACTTCACTATATCCAGTCCATAAAGTAACAGTTTTCTTCACTTGCTCTTTTTTTTTTATGTATCGCGTGAAGCACGCGATGGACATGTCAATCGACAGCCGTTGAAAACACCACGCGATGTTTGTCCCACCTCCAATAATAGCATCCTAAAATCACCTTTTAAATTGATTTCCTGCATTGTCATGACCTGCCATGGCTTTAAAGTTTCCTATAGAAGTAGTTCAAGGAATGATGAGAGAGACGACCGGTAATTTGGTGGACCCAGTTTTAAACATCCTGTGAGGAATGACTGGAAGTGACGCGGGCTTGGAAAGAAATGAAATTTTTGTAAAATCAAACTCAAGTGGGACAAAGTGGGTTGTGTCACCCACGTTTAGCACCATACGCTTAGCAGCATGAATACGAATTGTCAAGGTTATATAGACGACAGAAAAGTGACAGGTTCCTGGTCAGTCCAGTTTATATTTTTTTTGATCAGTGAATAGCCAGCCATGTACGAAAACGCTTTACTTTCTTGGAGAGATGACGACACCTTTATCAACAACCTCAATGCGACATCGCCCTTGCCGCTACAAGAGCCCTCTTCGATTCCCTCTTCTTCTTCTTCTTCTTCTTCAAAACCGCCACCACCACCACCATCAGGCACAACATCTCAAACCAACAGTGACAGCTTGATGTTGCATCGACCGTCCAAAAGGCACGCGAATGCCGTAGAGGACCATGCTCCTTCCGGTTCCGTCGTAACAAGGCCAAAAAAAGCCCGCAAGCTGACCACGACCGAAAAATTAACATCGACAAGCAAAACCACCAACCAAGAAAACGAAGAGGAACAAAAAAGACGAAAAGATGCCCTGGCAAGAAACCGCATAGCAGGTATTACAATGACTTGGGTACCTTATTGTGTAGAAACGGCTCACTAAAGTTCGCCTTGCTTTGAATCAAGCTTCCAAATGTCGGCAACGAAACAAAGAATGGCAGGCTGAACTTGTCAAGCGTGTAGAGACCGCTCAGCAACGCAACAACGAATTGCGCCAGTTAGTGAATGTACTACGTAATGAACTCTATTCTCTCCGGTACCAACTACTGGCACATCACGGGTAGGATACATAGACTTCGTACCGATTTACAGGAGCACTCATTCTTTTCTATCATTGGATTTATTGCGGTAGATGTCAATGCCGACCGATCAAACTATACATGCTTGAGAATATTGAGACCATAACCGGGAGTCCTTTGCAAAGCGTAAACTTTAGGCATTGAATACGGATATATACTGTAGTCTTTTTAACTTTGGCTCGAATAACCTGTTGGTTTCGCAATGATGACAGTGCACTGCGAATGACGAACGACATAATCGCTCACGCTTCCCAACAGAGCTCTGTGTAAATGCATTGCACAGCGTCAAACCCTCCGATTGTACAATTCAACCAAATGAATGAATAACGTTTACCTCTTCAACGCACCAAGGTTACGGGATCCCATGATAACGACGTCGGTTTTAGTTTCAGCGACTTTGCGAATAATTTCAGTTTTTGGATCCCCCGTCATGGAAATGGCCTTGCACGCAATCTACCAATACGATATATCTGATTAATACATCCAAGGTCCGCCGCCTTGCTTGCAAGGACAAAGCATTACATGTCGTTGAACGAGGATATCTGCAAATTCGCGCAAGAGATGATGGCTTTCCTCTCGACGTTGTTCGCTCACATCGTCCAAGTAACCGGTGGCATTGATGTAGGGTGCCATGGGGATATCGATTAGGCGAACATGCACCAAAATCACCTTTTTTTTGTTACAAGAAGAAAAAAAAAGACAAGGCAATGATCAATAAAAAAAACATTGGCTGGTCCTTTTGTTTTTGTGCATACTAAATCACGTTCTGGTTGAACAAAGTTGCTGAGGGCCCAGTGAAACGCTTGTTTCCCTGAGGATTCGTCCAAACAGATCAAGACCACTCTTTTTAAACGATGATGATGTTCAGTCATCGAGTCGTTGACGAGTGTTTCTCGGCGTTGCATGTTTTCCGTCATGAAAAAAAAGTACGTTCACAATGTCGAAAGAAAGGGAATAAAAAAAAAGGCAATTTCTGCATAAATTTTCTTTTTTTTTCTGTGGGACCCAAAAACCCCGGGAAACCGTAGGCCCATGAGATCATTCTTACAAACGCCTTTTTCTCACTCTGGCCAAGCTAAAAAGGGAGTTTTATGCACCTGTCAAAATATAGGTGAACCGTCTAGTCAACGGACGAACTTGATCAGCCGATCGTCATTGGCATTCTTACTGTCTTCTATCGTCAATCCTGCGGAGCCACCCATATAATATAAAATTATGCAGCTTATGGTTTACTATTCGTTATCATATCATTGACTCGAGCAGACAACGTGGATCTGTGGGTCAAACCTGAGTGGTGTTACAGCCCGCAAGAAATAAGGTGGGCTGGAAATAAAAATCCCCATTATGGCACCCAAAAGTCCAAAGGGAACACAAACGTCACCTTGTGTACCACCTTGAGCTTTTTTTATTTATCAACCTATACAAGTCTGGTCTCCTGAAGTCGTTTCACGCCAAAAAAGGGCCCAAAAAACGTCGACAACGATGCAGTTCAACAAGTGTTGTATTTATTTTCCAGTCCGTCAGGGTGTCCTGGCCATATTGGCCCTTGACGCTTTGTATGCATTTATATTTGCCGTGGTCTCCATGGCGAGGCAGAAAGGTCAGTGCATCTCAAGCAACCTACCGCCATGTCACCAACATTTCTTTCTCAATTGACAGCATTCTCGGCCGCGTTTGGATCCGCGGGCATGCTGTGGTTCGAGGTCATTCTCCACATCGCCTACCTTATCCTCAGCGTTTTGTTTATCGTCGTCGTGATCAAGGTAAAGCGACCGTACGCTGGCCCTTGCCTTGTTTTTGAACCAAGCTAAAGGCAATTTTTTGTTTTTTTTTTGTTAGGGATTGGCACGGTACACGCCGAAACTACCACTCGCTTACTGGATTGCGGCCGGGGTCATGGGGTTAATCCAGCTTATTTTATTGATATTATCTGGTGTGCATCGATCAGCCGCAGTAACTCAGTGCCAAGAAGACACGGCCTGGTCACTCGATGCCTGCAGCTCCGCTATGACCACCTGTTACGCCTTTCTCGGTTTGACATTTGCGGTGTGGACAGCTGCGCATGTCTATTTTTGTCTGGTGGTGCACGCCTTTGCCCTCAAAATGGAAGGTCGCATGCGATACTCGGCCCTGAAAGATCAGTATATGCGTGAGTGGGATGAACGCATCGAGATGAATGGAGGCATACCCCGGGTAGGTTCCGTACGCAGTGCTTACAGTGTTATTTAAACCTCTGCTTTTTTCGACACAAAATCCCTATCCCATTTGCCTATACCAAGATAGATTTCACTATTTCCTTGTATTATATTCTTTTAAGCCCGGCATCAGCGTTCAAAATGGGACGCTCAGTAAAAAAACTAAGCAACCACTGGAACAGTCAATCGAAAAACTTGACAACTGCAACGAGGGGCAAACATTTATCACTTGGATTGGCTCACAATTTATTATTTGTCTTGCACATGGGAATCATTATTTCTGTATAGGTTTATCTGAAAACAAATATGCCATGAAGAGGGGAGCCTATCACTGTTCATTTTGCATGGCGCATACCTTGTGGTTTTTTCTTCTTCTTGTTACTCTCAATTCAAAGTTGTTCATCGTGATCAAACTACAATCCTCCAGAGCAGAGAGGACAACGAGGTGCTTGCCTCATCTTGCTGCACTCTCCTTCCACATCGTGACCACAGTTAAGACGCATGCGGACGGTCTGCTTGCAGGGTCCACAGGGTTGGATGCACAGATTAGGACATGGGTGTCCGCAGCCGGGTAACGGACGCCGACACACTTCTTGACAACGAACATCTTCATGACTGTACGGGTGACACCGTTTCGGGCACTGCAGCAAAATATTGTAAGCAGAGGTTTGTTACAGAGTAGAATTGGGTCATTGAATTACCTTGTGTCCACATGCCAGTAGCTCCGAGCAAGGTAAACTGCATCCTCCTTCTTCCACTGCGGTGAAATCCACAGGCCATTGCACTTCGGTCTTGCGGCCGTGTTTTTGGCAAGATAATTCCAATTTGGTACCAATCTTGGGCAGTGGCTGGTCTTCCAGATTGGCAATAATTTCATTCCACAAATCACTCTTTTCACAAAGCAAGTGGGCATTTCCCAGGATATACATTCCCTACAAAAGGATGAGCACATGTCAATGACTACACATTACCGGAAAAAAAGAAGAGAGACAAATACTTACGTGCTTAGCTCGGGATAAACTGACGCAAACACGATTGGAGACTTTCAAGAAACCAATTTGACCGGCGCTGTTGCTTCGAACCAAAGACAAGATGATGATCTTGTTTTCTTCACCCTGGTATCCATCGACACTGCTCACATGCACCAAGCTGGTATCAAGATCGCTACGGCGCTCGTCGCGTAAACATTTTCGAATCTTGGATCGCTGACCGGCATACATGGTGATGATCGTGATCATCTCTGGCTCATAGCCTTGCAGCATAAAGTAAGTTGCCAATTTGGCCGCCATTTCCGCTTCATGTTCGTTGGATTTGGACGCGGTATCATCCATGTGACTTTCTGCTTCGTTATGACTGAGGAAAAATATACGCTCACTTACACCGCGCACAGGAGGCAGACCGAATACCGCCTTGTGATCCTGCAGTCGTGGATTACTGTAGATGGGATCAATTAGCGTGCGAATTTCAGGATGCATACGACGTTGATGAGAAAGACGAGTAAAGGGGATATCGTTGAGCACCAGTCGTTCGAAGAGCGACACGCTCAAATGATGATACTCTGACAATTCATGCACCGCAGTGGAAGGTCGCAGCTGTTGATGATCACTAACATAATGGAAGAAAAACGTCAACCAAGTCCAAATGCAACAGGTGGACATATCTAAGCTGCCTTACCCAATGAGGATCAAATGTTGTAAAGATGGAGTGAGAGCTGCCACAATGTGAGATTCCAACATTTCCGCTGCTTCTTCAACGACCAGGACACGTGGCTTGATCTCTTGCAATAGATCGTGGTATTTAGACTATATCCGATTCCCAGACAATGATGAGTAAAATAAGCAATTCATGGCGAACTTTTTTGTTCGTAACTTACAGCACCCGTCGTAGTAAGACCAATGACGCGATGTTTGCGACAAATGGCAGCATGGTGTTGTGCGTTGATCTTTCGGATCTGTTTGGTGTAATTTTCATATTGTTGCATCAAGGCTTGGAGCTGACGGTTCAGCTCATTATGACGTTGCGTGGCCCATTTCTTGTGCGCTTTTAACCGTACGGCCAGTGGCCACATGGTCACGTCATCATCCTTCAACCAGCGTTCCAACACATGGTGTTGAGGTTCTTCGTCGAAAAATTCGTTTTCAGCATCATCATCATCGTCAAAGAAACTCAGTTTCTTGGGCTGGCGTAGATTGTCTTGTTTCTCGTAATTGAGGACCTTTCGGTCCGCTCGAGTGGTGGACATCAGTGAAGGATTATCGTTTCGTAGCTCATTATTGGGATTGCGGTAAGCTCGGCCGATATTAATGTAAGGATTCTTGTTGAGTGGATTACTGAGATAAGCGTCATCTCGGTAATCTTGGATAATGTCTCTTTGTTCGTCCTCGTCCATCAATTCCTTTTCATCCTCGTCGTCATCAAAGATCTGTCCCTTTTGCGTTTCCAACAATTGTTCCTTCATGTCTTCCGTGTAAGACGACAGAATGCCTGAGGGATCGACGTATTCAATGGCGTCTCTAAGCCACACTTCCACGGCGTTCACGGGAGGAGCTTCGGCGGCCACAGCGTGATTCGGATTACCAGCATCCCAGGTATCATTGCGCGCTCTGGAAGGCGCTTTTGGCACTTCCGAGGTAATGACCCATTCGTCGTCTGAATCTTCCGCAGCCGCTGCGGCGGAGTTCGGGGCCTGCTGCTGTTTTCGGGCTTTTTCCCTTTCACCTAGTCGCTTGAGGGAATCCAGCTGCCTCGGCCGAAGTGCTTTGATTTTGTAGAGGTAGTCCAGTGGAACACAGGGTTCTTCGTATATATCGATGATCATTTGTTTGATCGCTTTCATGACGGCATCTCGCTGTCTGTATAAACGACCGATGCCTCGCGGGCCTCTTGGATAATTTTTGCAAATTTCGTACAAAATATGTTCCTTCAAAAGATCCGATTTTGATCGACCACCGATACGCACAATCCGCGAATCGTGTTGAAGAATATGCTCCAAAAACTGATCCAGGGCTAACAAAAGAGAGAGAGGAAAAAAAAAACCCCATTCAATAACCCTAAAAACTGTTTTCGTCACATTATTTCGTACCGTGATTCGTTTGACAAATGCAGACAATCGGACCAAAGCTTTCATCAAAGTTTCTCAGTAGCACTCCCATTGCGTAGGTTCCCACAAACGTTTTACCGGTACCGGGAGGACCTATCGAATTGATATTTTTAGACTATCCGCAGCCTCCTTCCATTTTATGCTTATTCTTATACCTTGAACGATGGCTACGTCGTGTGAAAGAATGGTACGCAGGGCGTCCATTTGGGTGGCGTCCATACTGGTTTGATATTCAGGCCAGATTCCATTGGCAATATCGACCGGTTTCGGTGTGCGGACCTTACGGCTGCCTGGGGTGAGATCAATGTCGTAAAAACGCTTCACCGCCGCATAATGAGGGATTCGCACTTCCTGTGACACGTCGACAAAATTCTGCGTAAAAGGTAATGTTTCCGGATCGATGTTTTGAAGACACGTCAGCACGTGACGGTAGGCTAGATAGTAAAAGGATCAATAAGAATTAACCCCGATCCGATCGAATTGAAACTGGCGCTCCTTCCATGATTTTCTCTTTCTTTTACCTTCGAAATAACCGTCTACCGCTTCAATCTATTTGTCCAAGAGTGCAAGCAAGTTGTTTTGAAAATTAACAGGCACTCTTTCCTTTTTTTTTTTTTTTTTTTTTTTTTGACCGATCCTTCACCCACCATGACATAAGTATCTTGTTGCATAGAAGAGGGATCACCAAATCCGAGTGGCATGTCATCATTATCCTTTTCCAGGAAGATGTCGATGAAATATTCGAAGCGATTCGCTTTCATGGGCACTTCGCCTCTTTGCACCACCGTGGCCACCTTGATATCGGTTTCAAAGTCATCTTTGGAAAGCAGCACGAGCGAACCTTCCAGCAAACGCTTGGATTGGGCCCAGCTGACTTTTCGAACGTAATGAGGCACGCGGAAAGAGATCCGATGAAGCACTTGTCGCGAACCAAAGACGAGTGCGTTCAGATGCACCTTTTTTAAAAAGCAGTTTCCGTAAGGCCACCTCCTCTCATACGACCAAGTTTGAGAGACTCACCTTTTCGTACAATCTGAAATCGCGTGGCAGGTTAGAAGCTGTTCCGTTGAAATCTTCAAACGGGGTGTAATTCCTGCGATCGACGAATTCTCGGTATGACTTGACGGCGCGTTGCAGAGGGATCAGAATATCGTGACGCATTAGTTCAAAGTGCGTGTACAGATATTCATCCACGCTACTGTAAGATCCTCGGACCTGGTTGATAGGCAAGTGAGGTATGACGCCGAATCGTTTCCGCTGAGGTGGCGCTGCCCAAATATCGTCTGGATCGTTGGCGGGTTCGGGCTCCTCCGGCTTGAGAATGTCCTCGCGATCAGGTACGATGGATTCGTTACGAAAATCTTCATAGTTGACGACTTTGGTGAAAACGGAAGAGTCATCGTCCACGATGTCAGGATTGAGACGAAAGGTGACGATATCCTTGTCTTTGTTGCTGAATCGATGACCGATCTCCTGATAAGCGGACGGTTGAACCCATGGTTGATTGGTAGTGGCAGGGGCCGCATTCCAACCACTGGAAGCGTTCAATGCCCACTCATTCACGTCGTGGTTATTACTGGAAAAATCAAACTTGGATCGACTGGGTAGCACGGGCGGTTGAGGCACGCTGGGAGACACTTGGAACTCGTTCGTTGTCAGATCCCAAGTGGCATTCACAACGGCAGGACCGGGACTTCCCCTTGCAGCACTATCAAGACACCATGGGTTAAATCCTGAAAGTGACGACACTCTGTCATTGCCCTTACCCTCGTCCTCGTGTTCCTCTATTATTTTTTGACATGCCTTTGAGGGAGAGATACGGAGCCTCAAACGGGATAGGGCCAGAAAGTGATAAAGCTCAGTCCCAGCCCTTTGACATCAGCCAATGAAAATCAAGTTATTATGCGAGGCGAAGGTTGACAACGTGCACTCGATGTCCAAGATATCCTCCCATACAACATCATTTTGCTGCCTAATTGAATCGAAATAACAGATCAAGTTTATTCAGTGATTGAACCGGCATCGTTTTTTCTCCTAATTTGGTAAAGAGAAAAAAAAAACCATCAACAAGATATGGGGCCCAGTGGATTCGAAAAAGAGCCATGGCAGTAAAAAAGCATGTACAAAGAAACACAGAGAAAAAAAAAAAGAGGATTTATACAGAAGCATTGTGGTCGGAGAAAAGGTCATCGAATTGACCAGCAATCACATCCTCACCGACGCGTTCCATTGCGGAGCGGATTTGAGTAATTTCTTGTTCACCGTATTGCCGGACTCGGCCGATTTCCTCATCTATCAGGTGGCGCATGTACTGCTCGACTGTCATTTCTCGTTCGGCCCCCGAAAGGGACGCGATATTCAGATCTTTTGGCAATAAATCAAGCTCGGGTACCTGGATGGCTGGCATGTCACCCGTGTCGTGTCCTTCTTGAGGTTTCTCCTGGACTGGATGTTCATCATCATCACGATCATCCGGCAGGCACACAGTGTCCCGCGCCCGTTCATTATCGAGACGTAGGATGTGATCAAAGACATACTGTTCGTTGGACGGTTTTGCGGTCGTGGTGACGGGCAACTTGAGAATCTCTTGGAGATAACTCGCCTGAAGACGGTCGGAGGATTTCAGAGAAGTAGAGTATCGGCCTGGTCGTCCTCCACCATTGTCTTTGCCACTTTGTGAATGGTGAGGATGATTCACTGTAGATCCCGATGGAGTGGTTGCGCTGCTTGGAGCAACGGCGTGAGAAGGAGCAGGATAGGCGGAAGAGGATGCATTATTGTGCATCAGGGACGACGAGGAAGACGAGGCTATCGCTGTCGAATCTACAGCTGAAGCGACTGTTGTCGGCGAGTCGGAATCACAAGTGGTGGTTTCTTTTGCTTTTACTCTCGATTTTGAAAGACTGAGTGATTTCTTTGGAGTCAGTGGCGTCGGCGATGGTATAACAACAGAAGGGAGGCAATCTGCGGCCCTTCCTTTTCCTTTATCCTTCTTCTTCGGTACCTCCTCCTCCTAGTTATTTCCAAAGCCTTAGTTTACCTTGTTTTCACCGGTCCTCGACAAGTTTTTTCTTTGTTTACCTTCTCTGGGATCCTTTCTAGGCTCTGTAGGGGAGCTTCCCATTCAAAACCGAGTTCGGGTGAAGCCACTCGATTCATGGCTTCACATTCTAGTCGGTACGCCATCAGCTCATCGTTTGATTGTTGGCGAGTCCGCTTTCGATGCTTCTTCGAGTAGGTTAACAGCGTGGTCTTTGGTACGAGATGAACATGTGGCTGCGGCTCATACGCTTTTTCGATATCCCAAACACTGTCTTGCTGAGATGTCACCTTGTCCTTTACTGACGTGGATTGCGACGCGTCACCACCCAAGGCGATGTCCACGTCCATTGCATTATGGGTATCTGCTTTTTTTGCGGGACGTTTTCGCTTGGCCGGCAGTTCTTGTTCCATGCTTAATTCATCTTGGGTATCGGTGTTACTCGGTCTGGCTTGCTTGCGCCGACCGATCGTTGGCTCGGAATAAGTTGCTGACATGCGCTTTGTCTAAAAACAAAAAAAACAAAAAAAAAAAAAATGTGGGTGAGGATGGGACCTTTTTCTCTGGTCTATTTCCAAGGGCGACTTGCATTATGTAATTCATCAGTGGCGGTCACGTAACCATCCTCTTCTTCGGGTACAGAGGTATTGGCAGTGTCGGGAGAGCTCTGTTTTGTCATTTCTTCCGTGTTTTGTAAAAATGAACAATTCGATGCCATTTCCTTGTGACGTGATCTAAGAAATTTGGACTTGAATATATGCAACTTTATGCAATTGGGTTGGATTCTGTAACTTACAGTACACGGGAGGATCGCTCAAGTTCTGTGAGAGAACAACGACAATAGGGACACATGATGCGATCGACTTGATCTGTGGTGGGAAAAAAAAAGAATCCTGCATCGGCAAGCTGGATGGGGGGGGGGGAAGATGGTCGACGGTGAGAATAATATAAAAAAGCTTCCACCGACTTGACACTTACTGTTTTTGGGAGCGGCCACTGTTTGCGATATTTCTTGGTTAATTTTGGAGGCCAGTACTTGTGAACTGTAAACGTGTGCAATCGAGCTTTGTGCATGGTGCGACTTTTGGGAAATGTATCGGGATTGTCAGGATGGATGGGTAACACGTCAAAGTCGTCGGGAAAGTTTAACAACACCCAGGCACACGTCGGCGAAGCGTGGGCATGGCGAGCAGTGGGAGTGTCACCGCGTTTCCAATCATCAAGTTCAATGTCGCAAAGAAAACAACGCACGGTATCCTTGGTTATCTCTGGCACAAAGTAGAACCCTGCTTTCGCCAACTAGGTGATGAAGGCAACGTGAAAAATATAAAGTGTCAGCAGTGAATCAAACGGGCAAGCCAGTTCCAAAACGTAAACGGAAAGCCCACGCTCAACTTACAGCTTCGGGACTTTGTTGTTTCCTCCGTTTGTGAGGCCACGTTACTGATGAACGACTGAAGGAGTCAAGACGATGCTGATAAATATTCATAGAAGGAAGCCGTCAATTCGTGCATTGCCCAGAACGGCCCCTCAAAAAAAAAAAAAAAAAAAAAAGGTGGACCGTCGTCTGTCATGCTGGAAGAGAAATTTACAAAGTCACACACATACACACACATCATATTCATGCGTTCCAGCTGTCAAAGTCAGAAAAAAGTGACAGGAAGCGATGTCCATACACAATTTTGTTTTTGCAGATACACCCGTTCCGGTATCACAATTTCCCATAGACTAAAGTCAAAGACAAGGCCATACACTTAAAAGGTCAAGGACAAAGGTGCCTATAGAGAAAACCATTGGATGTCGTGCGATAGTGACGAAGTGAAGCCATTGTGTCGATTGTTAGTTTGGGCAATCAGCCCCACATATTGCTCGGAACGATTTGAATTCCCAATTGATTGGGCAGATGACCTAAAGCAACAACTCCATTAAACAGGTGTCTTTGCAACGATTGGCTCATTTCCTGTATAGAGATATCAAGGCTTCCGATGCACCTGTTATCATTGTTCAGTGTGAATTGCATTTCGCCAGAATCAATGACAGAAAGAAAGAAAAAATCCTCTTTTCAGTAATATTAGGTTGGAAAATGGGAAAAGAAAGAGTGTGTCCAAAAAAAAAAATTCTTGTATTCTGACTTGCACCCCTCTTTTTTTTACTTTTCAGACAATGAAATTTCGTCTGATCAACGGAACCTCCCCCCCCCGAAAATGAGCCAATCTGATGGCTGGGATGAACGAATCCAAAATTCTTGTAAAGAACAGGTCAAGGAACGATGGCTTCTTCTCACACTTTTTTATTATTTAAGATCCCCCTCCCCCTCCTCCAACCATGGTGAAACAACATAAAACGCGTGTACTTTATCATCGACCAATCCAACCGCGTCTTAACCATCCGAAAGCGTTAACGATCCATCATCTCTCCATCACATATACGGGTGGAAAGACTCTAGTGAAAATCCATCCAAGCCAAATTTGTATCGGTGCCAAAGAGTTAATAACCATGGTGGAAGAGAAACACGATTACATGACCACCAGCAACGGGAGTTGTATTCGAAGAGAAGACCTACTCTTGGCTGCCGAAGCGCTTTTGCAAAATCAAACCACCGATCTTGACAAGCAACGGACGGGCCACAGTTACAGCAAGTCTTCCAAACCAGGCCCAAAACGACCTTCCAACGCCTTTATGCTTTACAGCAGTTCCCTCCGGAAACGCATCAAGACCCTGTTTCCCGAGTTCAACAATAGCGATGTGTCCAAATTATTGGGCGCCATGTGGCGGTCCGCCAGCAACGAGGTCAAAGAGAAATACACGAAAAAAGCGAACGAACAACGTATGTGGCATAAAGAGCAATTCCCGGATTTCGAATACAATGCTCGCAAAATGCCATCCAGCACCCCACCACCATCATCGACACTCGACCATTCCAACGCGGATCATTTACTATCACACGACTATGGCTGGATTCCTTCGATCGACAGTATCGAATGTCCACCACTTCCTGTACCAAGTGCCCTGCCACCTTCGCATCCCTCGACAACTCAAAGTGCCTACGTATCGCGTGATCCCACAGAAACAAACGGTCTTTCTGAAGGCTACGGTCCGTCCTATCTCGATTTCAATTTCAACGAATTTTATCCGTCGTTCAACTTGTGTGATGACGGCATGCGGTCGCCGCTACCGCCCCCAGGGTCTCAGCCACTGTACTCTTCAACGGATGGATGGCAAGAAATGTGTAACAGCGTAGCCTCCATGTTTCCTGAATGTTCAGATACCAATTTATTGCTCGACGAAGACCTGTGGTCCAGCTTGCAAGATCTAGGGGTGATGGACGATGCGTGGGAGATGGGCGCCATGGTTACAAATCACCCATAACCCCTCTCCTTTCTTGTTGTCGCAATGTTCCCTGGATGTTCCCCAGAAAGAAAAAATGATCATGTAATTACGTTTAAATGAAAAAAAAAATAGCCCCGCCATGTATGATAACAAACAGCTTCTTCTAATGCAAATATTCAATTGTACATCATCCTCACTCCACGTTTTTTTTTTTCTTTTTTTTTTTTTTTTTACAAGTAATTGTCTGGGCACTTCATAACACTCTTTCTTTTTTTCTTTTTTTTTTTTTTTTTTTTGCAAAATACAGCGATACGCCAGCAATTCATTATCCTCACGTTGAATTATTCGTGTGTAATTTAGCAAATAACGGAGATAACCATAATGAGGGTACTTTAACGTAAATGTATCGTATGGTCAACATCTAGGAACAAAACGATGAGATAAAAAAGTTGCGTCAGTCAATGACAACTTTTCATGTGTATGCCTACATATTTCGCATTTTGGTATGGGATAAATAAAAATTTACCGTGCAGACGTGAAAGTGGTGTAACAACCAATGTTGATGGGAAGAGCATTTTTTTTTCGGATCACAGCTGCAAATGATCCATGGAATGCTTCAAAGCATGCAGCTTTATGCGAATGCAGCCTTCTCGAGCGGAAATAATACAAATAAGGTTGGATAGATCCTGACGAATGCAACCTGCAATTGCTCGTCCGTAACCGAGTTTCTCAACGTTTTTTTTTCTGCAGTTACCCACATATGAGAATTGATATCGTAACGAATGCTTGACAAAAATCGGCTTTGGAGCTTGTGCACAAGTTTCGAAAGTTAAACAACTATTTTTATCTGAGAAGTCTATATTGCCGCTCGGTATTTAACCATTTTAGCTTATTGCTTATCAATGAATGTGGGATTCGGTCACTGTCATGACGAGAGTCATTAAAAAAATTTGCAGCATTGTCTGTGTGACTGAAGCAGTAAGGGGGTGCTGTCATAAGCGCCATGAAGAGTTGGGAGACGAGGAGTTGTAAATATATCTTTTTCGAAAATAAATAAAAAAAAAAGCGCAAAAAAAAGCGAGCATGGTGCTTCGCAAGTCGGGAGAATCTTACAAACCAACCACTACCGGTGTCCAGGATCATGGTCGGTTGATGGAAAAAGTGGTCGAGAAAAGGGATGTCTTGAAAGCGGGTGCGTTGTCTATGAATGACAAAAAAGCAGTGTGACCATGTTTCCCTTTTTGAAAGTTGATCCAGTATATAATGAATTGACGAAATTCTACTCGGTGGATGAGTGTACAGATGATAATCAAAGTTATTTGATCCGCGAAAAAAAAAAAACCATGAATGATTGCGTAGTATCGGGGATGGCAGTACAACATTGACCCTTTTTGCCCCTATTCCACAGGAATGCCAGCAAATGTAGATCGTCGATTGTTCCACAGTTCAGACAACGTTGCCAATAATGAAGCCAACGCGATCACCTCCAATCGTGATTGTTATTTCCAAGGCAGTTGGTTATACTTTAGTTCTGTTGCCAATTCACAGAGTAAACAATGGATGCCGCCTGAGCCATCATGTTTTTTTCCAAACTGTCGATTACAGTATTATTATTATTTCCTTGTTACTCAAATCAGGCTGTTCCTTTGGTACAGTTTCCGGCGATGGGTTTTTTTTTTTCTCCTTCAAAGAAAGTGAACCTTCGTTGTAGGAAATCATGCCAAAGGGGTGTTTCCTTTTTGAGGCCAACTCCTGAGTCCCATGCACATTTCATTGTTCTCTCATATATAAAAAGAGCTTCCCTTGTCGCCACTTGTCTCTTCTGACCAGTTTCCATCTCACCAGTCATTTTCACTCAATAAAAAGGATCTGGCTTCACTCTTTCTTTTTTTCCCCATTATGCTTCCCCTAATATTTGTCAACAAATTCAAAAGCACGTACTCGGCTTCCGATCAACATTGGAATTCGGTCGCTAACGAAAGCTTATCCACCACGCTTATCCAACCACTCGTTGCGCACCCGTTCAATTCACGCATGAGTCCCCCTTCCGCTTTCAACCACGAATCTAACCAAAGCGAAGCCATCTACGATCCTCACTCACCATCCTTTAACCTCGCTATCGACCCGGTCACTTTGACCTCACCTTCTCCCCTTGTCTTTGACAATCAGATTAACCTCGCGAACCCTCCCGTTACTAAACCTGGTGCCTCGGCCGCGCCAACTAGCCTTGTCTTCGACAATCACATTAACCTCGCGGACTCTCCCGTTACTAAACCCGTCGTCTCGACCCCACAATCTAGCCTTGTCTTCGACAATCACATTAACCTTGCGGACTCTCCCGTTACTAAACCCGTCGTCTCGACCCCACAATCTAACCTTGTCTTCGACAATCACATTAACCTTGCGGACTCTCCCGTTACTAAACCCGTCGTCTCGACCCCACAATCTAACCTTGTCTTCGACAATCACATTAACCTTGCGGACTCTCCCGTTACTAAACCCGTCGTCTCGACCCCACAATCTAACCTTGTCTTCGACAATCACATTAACCTCGCGAACTCTCCCGTTACTAAACCTGGACTTGTCTTCGACAATCACATTAATCTTGCGGACTCTCCCGTTACTAAACCCGTCGTCTCGACCCCACAATCTAGCCTCGTCTTCGACAATCACATTAACCTCGCGGACTCTCCCGTTACTAAACCCGTCGTCTCGACCCCACAATCTAGCCTTGTCTTCGACAATCACATTACCCTTGCGAACTCTCCCGTTACTAAACCCGTTGTCTCGACACCACAATCTAGCCTTGTCTTCGACAACCACATTAACCTTGCGGACTCTCCCGTTACTAAACCTGTCGTCTCGACCCCACAATCTAGCCTCGTCTTCGACAATCACATTAACCTTGCGGACTCTCCCGTTACTAAACCCGTCGTCTCGACCCCACAATCTAACGGCGTCCTGGAAGAGACGCTCAACTTTTCGAGTCCCAACATGACCAACGATATCATTTTTGCCGAGACCATGTCATTTGACTTTGTTCTTCAGGATTATTTCAATATTGCGAGTCCTCCCGTCATGACGTCGGATGTCGCCACCAAAGATACGACTGCCGGTCGCAAAGGACGAAAGGCGCGGGACAGCAAGAGAATCCCCCGGCCTCGAAATGCTTTCATGCTGTACCGTCAGGCAGTGCATGCGAAAATCGTTTCCAACCATGCCGGTCTGCACAACAAGGATATCTGCAAGATCGCGGGTGAGATGTGGAGGACTGAGACGGAAGAGTTTCGACGCGCATTTCGTCGCGCCGCGGATGAGGAGCGACTTTTGCATTCGTCGAAATATCCGGGTTACAAGTATCAGCCTCAGACAAAGAAGCGCGATTCACCGTTGTCGCGACGTCAACGTGCTTTTTCCAAGCCCAAGCATACGAACAAACCCATTCCCATTCCTAAAGATTCTTTCCCAGTCCAAGCCGTCGAGCCCCATTCCTACCTCAGTACTTTATCCCCACCCACTCGTTGCCTGGATGACGATGTCCTTAAATCGTTTATGGATGAACTGAGTTTTGACGCTCTATGCCCCGTCGACGATTATATTTTTAGCTTGTTCATGTAGAATCACTCTTTTTTTTGACCATGTTTTTCTTTTTGCTGGTTTTATTTACCGAAAATACTAAGTTCCTTTTGTTTTTTTTTGTCTTTCATTTTCTTCAAGTCTTGTGTCTCATTGTTTCCTTTTTTTTTCTCCGCTTCCAAATTTATGCCTTCATATGCCAGTTACCATAGAAACAAAAGCAGTATAGACAATTTGTTATCATAAGCAGACCAAGCCATCATTCACCCTCCATGTCCAACCGTCATCCAAATCATGTAAACTTTTAGGCTCATAATGATCATGTATATACAGATAATGAGTCTGGGAAAAAGAATTGACAGAGAATATCATCACCCAGATACCCAACCTTTTGCTAATTCAATAAAGATTGCTTTGATAATAGTCAAACCACAAAGGACATCGCTATGCCAACACAAAAGACATGCCTTTGGGCAGTTGCCGAGCGGTTCCACGTGTGACGGTGCATCAATGGTGGAAAAAGCAAAAAATAGAAACAAAAAAAACAACATCCACATGTGCAAGAAACAGCCCATTGGACCTTTTTTAGATATCCGCCCATGCCATGCATTATTTGAGGTCACAAAGAATTTTTTTTCTGTGGTAATCAAAAAAAAAAATATAAAAAGGGGTTCATTCATGAGAAAACCATACACTCTTTATTACTTCAATAAACTTTTTGGTAAGTGCTGATCCTGTATCCATAGTTTTGCGGAATTTTTCTTTCGCACTATTCCTCTTTTGGATGACGTGATGTTATTATATGTCTTCATTTTCTTATCGATCTTGCTGAAAAGAACCTGCAGTGCTTCGCTGAGTGCTGTAAATACTTGCCAGTATACTCTTCTGATCCTTCCGATTTTTCTCATTTGATGTTTTTTTATATCATGGATTTTGGCAGAAACATTGTGGCTAACATTTGTTTCAGTTATGTTTTCTTAGTACACGTTTACCTTGTTTATTTTCCAAGTGTGTGTCTTTTTTCTTTGTTGAACCATATGATGATGAATTCCCGCGTTCGCAGTTTCCACTAGAATAATGTTGCCTCGCAAGGGCAATGTTGATGTTGGTAAGAACTTCCTTGGATGTCTGATGGTTCATCGAGTTTCCTGTTTTCTATTATTGGTTCACCAAATGGTAAGTTGACTTTTACTGTTCTTGGGAGGGAATGCGAATAGCAAAATGACGGCAAGGTGAAAAGGATGAGAAAAAAATGCATCAAAATATAGGAAGAGCCAACTTAGAGTGCCTTGATACAGAAAAAAAAAATATTTCTGGTCGGGTGGCTTATGCTGAGCGATGTTTATAAGACCTGAAAAAAAAAGCCTTGCATGATCATTTAAAGTGAAGGGACGAGAAACGGGGGTTTTCAACTTTGATGATGATGATTGCTGACTTGCGCGCTTTTTGTTTCTAGGATCTCAGTAAGTTCTCTATTGCCTCTGAAGAGTAGCGTAAACAAATATGTCATCAATAAACTATTATACCATTTATATTTGAATCGTGCGTTTGATGGATGTGCTGTGGAAAACCTTTTTACACACTTGTGCTCTTGACATTGTATGCAACTGTTTTCCCTTTCTTTTTCTCTCTTATCGTTCTTTTTCCCTTTTTTAAAATCACACAGCCAGATGATTTGAGGGGGAAAATGAAAGCCAAAAAAAAAAAAAAAAAAAAAAAAACCATTATTAAAAATTGTGGTGGTGTTTTATTGGGTACGAGCAAAGATTAAGGAAAAAAATTAAAAAACTTTTTTTAATATTCGACGTCTTCTTCCATTTCCGAGTCGTTGAGAGAATCGCTGCCAACTTCTTCGTAATCCTTTTCAAGGGCAGCCAAGTCTTCACGGGCTTCAGAGAATTCACCTTCTTCCATACCTTCACCAACGTACCAGTGGACAAAGGCACGCTTGGCATACATCAAATCGAACTTGTGATCTAAACGAGCCCACGCTTCGGCAATGGCGGTGGTGTTGCTCAACATACACAGAGCACGTTGGACTCTGGCCAAATCACCGTCGGGCACCACGGTAGGAGGCTGGTTGTTAATGCCGACCTTGAAACCGGTAGGACACCAATCAACGAATTGGATGGTACGCTTGGTGCGGATGGAAGCGATGGCATTGTTGGTATCTTTGGGGACCACATCACCGCGATACAACAGACAGCAAGCCATGTATTTACCGTGACGAGGATCACACTTGACCATCTGGTTGTTGGGTTCGAAGCACGAACTGGTGATTTCAGGCACCGACATTTGTTCGTGGAAAGCCTTGGCGTTGGAAATGATGGGAGCATAGCTGACCAAGGGGAAGTGAATACGAGGGAAAGGCACCAAGTTGGTCTGGAATTCACTGAGATCGACATTGAGCGAACCGGCGAAACGGAGCGAGGCCGTGATGGACGACACCACTTGAGCGATCAAACGATTCAAGTTGGAGTAAGTGGGACGTTCAATGTCGAGGTTGCGACGGCAAATATCATAGATGGCTTCGTTGTCGACCATGAACGAGACGTCCGAGTGTTCCAAGGTAGTGTGGGTGGTCAAGATGGAGTTGTAAGGTTCCACCACGGACGTCGACACCTGAGGAGCAGGGTAAACCGAGAATTCGAGTTTCGATTTCTTGCCATAATCCACCGACAAACGTTCCATCAAAAGCGACCCGAAACCCGAACCGGTACCTCCACCAAACGAGTGGAAGATAAGGAAGCCTTGAAGCCCGCCGCAGTTATCGGCTAATCGTCGTACACGATCCAACACATTGTCGACCATTTCCTTTCCGACCGTGTAATGACCACGAGCATAATTATTGGCCGCATCTTCTTTACCGCTGATCAATTGTTCTAAGCAGAAAAAGAACAAAGACAAAGGATTTTTCGTCAGTGCGAAAAAAGAAAAATCACCATCAGATGAATTGGCTACACAAAGGTGTCACATACCAGGGTGGAACAAACGGCTGTAAGTGCCTGTGCGCACTTCGTCAATCACGCTAGGCTCCAAATCCACAAATACGGTACGAGGAACATGCTTGCCAGCGCTGGTTTCAGAGAAGAACGTTTCAAACCTACATGAATGTCAAAAAGTTAAGCTCAAATCATGTACAAGAAGCAACCCATTGAGAATGGCCATCAAAAAAGAAATATGGCTTGAAACCCAGTAGCCAGAAAATAGAACGTGAAAAAAAAGAGCACGACATACGAGCGATCATTGATGGTGGATTCGTTGGGGAAGAATCCGTCGGGCTGAAGACCGTGTTCATGACAATACTACCATCATCAATGTTGGGATAAGTAGACTGGAAACAAAGAAAAAAATTTGCAGACTTCTTCATCATGAGAAAAAAGTTTACTTACCAGTTCCCAGCATGCGTTACCAATCTGTACACCAGCTTGACCTGTAACGATGCAATGAGGAAGGATGAGTGATGAGGTGACTCGTACCTTTGAATACAACCCATGTACTTACCGACGTGAAGGGAAATAACTTCTCTCATTGTATCGTTTAAAAAAAAGGGGGGTTTGGAAGAGTTGAGTGGTAGAAAGTTAGGGCACCAGAAAACCTAAAGAAAAAAAGGGCCACCTCCGGAAATGAGCGATTTTTTTAAGGCAATCCCAAAGCCTGCGTCACGCTTATTGAAACACGCGCGTCGCGACAAGAAAAAAAATTTATGATATATACACAGCTTGATCTTTTTTGCCTCACACTCAATGTTTATCAATTAAGCCTATTTTCCTGGTAGTTCACTCGCTCAAAAGCAATGAAAAGCATACATCCTTTTTTTTTCTATACTCGAACTGAATGCTTTAAAAGTTTATTTCAAGAAGCATTGGTTCGTCCACGGCAAGTCGGATTGCCACATTGAGCATATTGAATTTTTTTCGTCTCGCTTCCTTTTGGAACTCCGTCAAATCAAGCACAGGATGTACAGACTCGAGGTGGGAAACCTCCAAGCCAGCCAAAGAAAGCGATTTTCATTGCTTGCTTTGCTTCTTAACGTCATGTAAAGTTATCTTTGTTTTCGTAAACTAGCATGGGCAGTCGTTTGAAATCCAACTTTGGGTTGTTCCCTTTGGCCGTCGGGTTTGTTCACGCCCAAATTTTTTGGGCATTTGCGTATATATCTTGTACATCATTCCATTATTGCGCTAATGGCTTATGATTACTCGTCGGTAGATTGCTGATTGAAAAGCGTAAGAGGTGGCATGATGGTGGCTCCAAGATGGGACGACGCTCCTTGCCAAATGATTAAGTGCGGGGTTTCAAAGGGTCCATCCAGAATATTGGGAATAGTCTGCGAATCCCCGCTGTTTGTTTACAATGTTATTTCATTTTTTTTCTTCCATTGTCAGTCTTTTTCGACCAAGAAACCAATTTTTTTGGCCTTTTGTTTTTAACTGCCCATTGTTCATCGACAAAAAATGCTCAAAGTGCACCCATTGTGAAAGTCCTGGGCTAAAAGAAGCGAAACGAAACTCTAGCCATATATATGATACGATACAAGGTTTGGATAAACTCAGGTGCCCCTGAGGGAGGTGGTGAAAACAACTAGCATTTTGCGTAGCTTACAGCGTGCAATGTTTTGATGCTGGTCGCTAAACAATTGGGAGCCAACTTCAAACATTTCTGTCGGCTCAAAATTTACACGTTAGAATTACAATTACTTATGAAAGAGTGTGTGTAGAGCCCACGGAAACGGAAGAAAGTAAGCACAACCGTATCGAACGATTGTCATAAAGTGTTCAATTGACTCAGTAAAGATACAGCTTCAACCAAATGTTGGCCCAAATTTGTCATCAAAGATGAGTTGCAAGTGACAGATGGCAGTTGATATGCCGAATTTGTTGCAAGGCTTACCTATTTTACTGCCAGGCAACGACAAGTACGGTTGTCAGTGTGGGTTGAATCGCATAACCACCGCTTTGCTTTTTCTCAAAGTGCCAGTCTCTCGAACGACATGTTGAATTGAGGACCAAAAAATAAGCTCCTCATTGGATGGTGGGAATTCATTGTGTAAAAAACCTTAGGAAGCACCCCACTTGCAGTATTTTAAAAGCTTCGTTTGGTCACGAATATTGTGTCATGAAAATCCCGTCCAGCCGATTTCTGTTTTGTCTCCAGTTTTGGTTTTGGTAACAGATTGATTCTTAAAGTCCCTGCAAGGGGCGCATGCAGGGTACCAATAAAGAAGGATAAGGATCAAAAAAAGAGAAGCTGGATGCAAAAATGGGAGACCAAGTGATCCACGTGACAGAATGGGGTGGAGATATAGGAGCTTCCATGTTGAAAAAAATTAAAGATACAACCCACACAAGGGTATCACGGTCACTGGACGATCGCAATGCAGAAAGGTCAAGTCGGAGAATAAGCGCCAATGGATCAGAAAACGTGACAACCAAGGGTCCAATCACAGACGCACGTGTAGGTAGTCGGTTCGATCCATTGGTATACAACTTGCGTTCGTGCCTGTGCCTCCACACCCAATTCCATTTTGATTTTCCTTATCCCCACCCCACCCCCACGCACAATCACCGCATCATGTCATTGGACTATCTTTTGTATTATTAAGTTGTTTGTATCCTCTGCTCGTATCGTACTGGCCTTCCTGTATTTCTTTTTTTCTTCTTCTATTTTCTTGCTCATCTTTCTTTCTTTTTCCTCTCTCTTCTTCTGTAATTATTCTTTCTGTAGTCATCTTTTTCTCATTTTTCTTGGAAAACAACCTACGCAATAAAAGATGACAACATCACCTGTAACATCGACTCATGCTTCGCCAGCTCCGTTGAAGAAACGACGACGTCTTCCCGTGTCTTTGAGTCCTTCAATAGCAGAAGATAAACCGCATACGAGGGAACCATCGACCGACCAACCGCCTTCCATGTTTGTGACGAATGCTTCTACCTTGGCCCATTCACAGCCGCCCATGGTACCGTTGCCTTCACCCATGATGCCCTATCCACCGCACCTTGTTCCCGTCATGCCTTCTTCTTACTATCATTTATATCATCAGTCTCCGTTTTACCTACCTGTCACTCCACCCCCAGCGCCGCCGCCATTATCTCCTTCATCCGATAAATCGTACCATCCACGATCGTCGCCTTCATCGGGAAACCCACGCATTCTGCCAAAAACCGACCCTGCACAAGTCACACTTGGCCAATCCATGCATCCCATTCAGTCGAGATATTCTGCTGCTCACCATTACTATCATCCGTACACGCTGCAGCTGTCGCCGCAGTTGCATCCCACAGCAATGATGCCAGTCAGCCCGGGCACGTACGTACGTCATAACTCACTGTCAGGAACATCCGGCCTCGAACTCGGTCTGTCTCTTGTTGAACAGCGCGAAAAAGCACGCAAAGTATCTCATAGTGCGATTGAGCGCAGGCGACGCGAACGAATCAATGACAAAATTTTGCAGCTTAAACAGCTGATTCCTTCGTGTGCCGACCAGGGCAACCTGCACAAAATGTCCATCCTGCAGAATGCCATTGATTACATTACCTACTTGAAACAAACCGTTGAAAAACTCGACGGCAACCAACACCGGCTTCAAGGTGATCATTTACTCATCAAAACCAATAAATCGATGCTGCCCAAAGAAGTGGAACCATTTACGACTCAGTTCTCCATTGCCAAAGATAACTGGTCCATGTCTTCCGGTGACTCTCCACCTCCATCCATGGATGAAAAGTCCACGGGCGCCATCGACGATTTACATGCACCTGAGGAGGATGAGGAGGAGGCCCAACCCAGCTCGTCTTTGAACTATACAGAAGAAACACGTTCGGCTTCTTTGCATGGGGTATTGAGTCAATCATTGGATGAAAGTGTCCGTAGCAAAGCGCTCAAACCAAGCGATCTGATGAACTTCACTTTATGTGATTCTCTACTGCCAGCTCATCATCAACCCTCGGCTCATCATAAATCGGTAGATCGCATTTCGGACTCTTTCACTGAAGTGACAGGATACGAAGAGCAAAATATTCGACATGAAGCAAGACATGAACGGCTCGCCAGCGATGATAAAGAACTCAGTCCTTCCCATTCCATTTCACCTTTACCTACACCTCGAATGACGCCCAAACCTTCATTAACCACTGATTCGGATTATCCAAAGCATATGAGTGTCGAGAATCTTTTATGTTAAAAATACCCCTCCCCCTTTGTATTCCCAAAGAAATCCTCTATTCCACGTTTGTATGCCCAAAATGTACATAAAAAAAACTCCTCCATGCAATCATGCAATTCACCCAAATCAACGTATGAATATATGGCACCTTTACTTGCATCTTCGTTTTCTGTCTGAATATATCATTGATATAAATTCGACACTAGCATGTCAACACACAGAGAATGACTTTGAATGAATAAACAGTGTGTAAGTTCATTGGAAGTGTCGATCCCAGCAAAGCGGGTTTTGAAAATATAAGTTGAAGAAACGCTGGGTAAGCGAAAAGGACGGAAATGACTGAAAAATGAAATCATTTCCATATTGAGGTGGTGTCAGAAAACGGGCGAACCGGTCAGATCAACGAATCGTGGCACACCTTATGACTTATTCGGTGGTAATCCCTTTGGCTTCCCCCTTCCTGCAAATTTTTGTACCATAGCACTCCATCTCGACGAATAACCTAATCGCTGCTGCTTGCATCGGGCCCTTGTCGAGACTCTTTTTCTTTTTTTCTTCTTCTTCTCTCTCTTTCTTTTTCTTCTTAGTTGAATTTCTTCCTACGTCTTTACCCAGTTGTCTTTTTATTTCTCATTGGTGACCTAAAGTCGTCAATTTTTTCTTCGTCTCCTCCTTCCCCGCTTTTTGGCTCCCATGAAAACCGAAGCAGCTTCATCCGACGCGTCGCCTTCGTCACCAGAAACAAGACATGTGCATCCGCTGCCTTACAAGACCATTGTGGAAGAACTATTATGGGGTAAAATAAAAAAAAAATAAGATAACAATGTCGCATGTCACATGGGGCCGAGTCATTTTTCGCTGACCAAAAAACATCTCTTTCACAAGTCAACAGAACCATTCTTGCCGCATCGTCCGCCGCCGTAGTAGGCGTCATTGCAGGATACCCGGTAAGCATTGACAAACTCCCCAAAAAAACATTTTCCGGGAGCCTTCGTTGTAGTCTAATGACCAATGGATCTATTTCGTGATCAGTTCGATTCGGTCAAAACGAGAATGCAGACCCAACCGTACGCATCGATTACCGCATGCGTGAAACAGACATACAAGGAAGAAGGCATTCGTGGGTTCTTCAGAGGTACATTTATACAACCTTGGCGATAACGGCGACTCAACCCATCTCCCATTGTTATATTTATTATCATTCAATTTGTTAGGTGTAATTCCTCCTCTGATCACAGTCAGTATCATCAAATCGGTGTCATTCTCGGTGTATGAACAGACCAAGGCATGGGGCAAAAAGATGTACCCCGAGACGTTGAATCAGAACACGTTACAGTCGACCATGGCCATTGCCACGTTGGGCGGTTGCATTAGTGGCGCGTTCATTGCGACGTTCAGCTGTCCTTTTGAATTGGTCAAGATCCAGAAACAGTTGGAATTTCTGCTGCAGGCCAGCAGTATTTCCACAGGAGTCACCGTGGTTCGTTCAGCACCCGATCACGATGTCAAGTCATGGCCCAAATCCACCGTTAATAATACCGTAGGCGCAGGCTTGCCTATCGCTCCCACCGCCAAACCACCACCGGCTTCGCCTTCCTCCACCTCCACCTCCTCATGCTCCACCATCACATCCACCTCCATCTCCTCCTCTAAAGCCTTGTTTAGTGATACTCCCGTCATGAACTCTATACCACGAGCACAGCCTCATACCACCACCATCACCAAAAGAAAATCGTCCACGTCCAGTTGGCATTCCGCACGAGAAATTGTGCGTAAAAAGGGCTTCTTTGGCTTATATCACGGTTTTGGCTTGCATTTTGGTAACTATCAATCAAAAAACTGTGGTCGTCATGATTCTACTCGTATTGATAAAAAAAAAAGTACGTGATACGTTAGGGACCGGCGTTTACTTTGGAGGTTATGAGACGACCAAATATCTGTTGACACGACAAAACCAGGCCGCCGGTCCGTTGACTCAATTTGTGGCCGGTGGGGTGTGTGGGATTCTGTGCTGGTTGGTGGTGTTTCCCATGGATTTGGTGAAATCCATCATCCAAAAGGAAACGCTTTCACCGCATCCATCGTATAAAAGCGTGTCGGATTGCGTCAAAGACATCTACAAGTTCAAGGGAGCCTCCGGATTCTATCGTGGCATCACCGTCACCTTGATCCGCGCCTTTCCCATCCATTCTCTCAACTTTCTAGTGTACGAGCAGACGCTCGTCTTGGTGAGGCATCTGTCCAATCACTCGGAACCCGTCTCATTGTGAGTGTCGACACTCCAATGCGCATGTATATTTTGATCTTTCATGTACCACTTTTATTAAAACATCCATATAACGGTAAATTAACAAATCAAGTAAAACCATTATATCAACTTGAAACAAGTCCTAAGTCATCTGGGAAGTGCCCAAGTGGGGAGAGGGAGAGGAGAGAGCGGGATCCCACAAAAATCGCACTGCTTGTCGACAATAACTCACCAAGATCTTTCTTTTTGCCCTTCTCCTCATTCCCTCCTGTCATCGTATTTACTCGTTTCTCATTTTACCGTATAATTATATTCAACATGATCACCACAGCACCCATTGTTTTCGTTCGTTTCATCTGCCATCAAAAGGGGAGAGCCAAGAATCCATTCCAGCTCCTTTTATTTCCCTTTTTCCTTTATTAACAGTCATTATACATCTATAAAGTTTTGTTTCTTTTTTTTTGTTCATGTCAGGTAATTGATTTAGTGGTTGAGTTCCACACGCTTGCCCGGTGACCAGTCGACAATGGCCTGTCGGATATTCTCCCAGTACTGAAGCTGGATCATATAATCCTTGGCCACGTCGTAATCATTATTGTTGAATGCTTGGCTCAAATGTTGAGCCGTTTCCTGCAATTTCACTAGAAATAAAAAAAAAAGTCGTCATGAATGTCCAGCCCCTCATCCATTTTCTCGATATGACTTACCATCATTTTCTTGTTTGATCTGTTCGACTTCTTCATCGTTGGCGGCTTCTTCAAGGGCTTCCCGCACTTCCATGACTTCCATCAGCAATTCAGGATTATGCAGGGACTCGGATTCCTCGACTTCCACGCCTCGCATGGCAAGCAGGTATTGGGCTCTTGCCAGAGGATTCTTCAGTGTATTGTAAGCCTTGTTAATGATGGAAGACTGGATCTCGGCGTATTTATGTTCACGCTAATCAAGAAAATCAAACAAGGATGAGTGTCTTTACTCCCGAGAATGCCATGAAGACCGAGATATATAATTACCTGCGATGCTTGGGAGAAACTGTCTGGATGCGCAGTTTGCTGTAGTTTGAGGAAATTCCGCCGTAACGATTTCACATCCACGTCGAACGAAGGTTGGTCTCTGCAAAATGCATGATTTTAGTTTTTTGATGACTTGATTTTCCCCTAATGGATTAGCCCATTGAATCATATGCCTTACTTGTGTGGACCTGCTCCTGCGCCCAGCAGTTCGAAAAAGTTGACATCCGGTGACACCGCCTGAATGACGCCGCAATCTTGGTTTTCGCAATGAACGGCGGCCTTGGAAGCCATATGATTGCAGTTCCAACAAACTTTATGTACAGAAGCTTCCTTTTGAACATTGTCGGCGGCCTGTCTTTTTGGAAGAACGGTGGAAAACGATCGCACGGCGGTGGTTGGCAAAGCCATTGGTTTCCGGCACATCACGGCGGATCGAGTCAAAGGGTATACAGCTCGTCTAGCGGAGCAGTGGCTAACCGTCTTTGAAAATGCAGCAATGGCAATTCTCGTATTCATTCTAAATAATGAGCAAAGAAAAGATTCAAAGAGAACGTAATATAAAAAGTCTAAATTTTGTAAGTGCAGGCTGCGGCTGAATTCGTCCGGGGACTTAGTGAATCTAAATTCAAACCCAGCACACCGATCAAGCGCGCATCTTTGGAGCTTTTGATTCGGTCACCAAAGTCATCAATTTGGCTTTCCCAGTTTTGGTTCCCTTTGAAGGGGTACATCTTGGGTTCACTGTGCAACTGAAGCTCGCTCCTCCTTCATCCATTATTTTTTTTTGAGCAGAGTTAGGTTTTGGATAATGTAGAATTGGGTTATCCAAAAATGGACGAATCACGTATAATGAGAAGATATTGTGTGGTTGATAATCCAGAGATTGATGGTTATAAAGTGTCATGATCAGAATATCTTGTGTCAATTCATCTACCCTTGTACCTTGTACTGTATATTTTTATCCTTCTTGCACTTTAATTGAATTATCGTTATTATACTTTTTTTTTTTGTTTTTTGGTATTTCATCGTTATCATTTATTCCATATCCATATCGATTTATATATATTATCCATTCATTTATAACTCAAAATCAGTCAGTTGTCTTTTTCCCTATCCTCATCCTTGTTGTCTGTTTCATAATTCTCGCTTTGCTCCGATCCATCCTTGTTCCTATCATTTCTTCTTCTACTTCTTGGCTATTGCTGCTTAGTTTTTACCTTCTGTTCCTGAACATCCGATCTTCTGTTCCTAGCTGAAGGCACTTGACACCATTGTCCGATCTTGTTCAGTTCTTTCATTACTGACGGATAGAGAGTCTTGTGATGACCATATGAGCAGAGACTGTATGATAAACTGAGTGATAATGAAAAGTGAAATATATTTATCCAGGAACAGCTGAGTTTGCATTAAGTAGGGTAATGTATATGCATGCCCTTAAGAGCCATCATTTTTGCGCAATGGAGAGTGTGACGCTCCAGTGCCAACGGTAATAATACACTGCCTTGAATATCTTGTAATGGATGAGCAATCCAACTTTGGCTGTGGTCGGACTGACTGTGACATGAAATTTGCCACTTCCATATCAAAATTACGCATGGACGAATCAAGGTGGCCTAGCGACATATGACCGACATGAGTTTTCATTGTAATGTTCTATTGAACACTTTGGTGATAAGATAGCTTGTTCTCCTGTTATCAGACCAGCAATTATTCCATTACAAAGGTCAAGCGGTTTTGCCAACTATCATCCAACGTCCCATCTTGAGAAAATCATTTCAATTTTACTGTGACGGTGCGGCAATGAAACGACCGTTTTCTAAAAAACGAGCCAAGTATTTTCTGACTTGCTTTTTTTTTCTTTGTTCTTTCCACTTTTATCTGACAACAAGGTCACGATGGAGATCTCAAGACAGCAGTTTCGTGACGAGTTGCCGGCGATCAAGGCAGCTATCGACGAGTGTGACTTTATTGCGCTTGATACCGAACTTTCTGGTACCGTCTAGCGTCCTTTAAGTCACTTGCTGAGATGATCGTTTTTGTTTATGCGCTGTTAGGCCTTCACCGACCGGGAACCAGCAAACGCATCGACTCGCTCGCCAATCGCTACGCTGAATATCGCGAAGCCACCGAACGCTTCATCATTACCCAGTTTGGCATGTGCACATTCAAATGGGATCAACCTTCGGGACGCTACATCGCCAAAGCATTCAACTTCTACATATTTCCAACTTCCATGACCGGCCGCATTCAACCGAACCGCGTCTTCATGTGTCAGGCTCAAGCACTCGACTTTTTATCGAAACAAGCCTTTGATTTTAACAAGGTAAAAACCCTTCTTTTTTCAGACCCCTAAATTTTCTTATGACAGTGGTTGAACTTCTTGATTGGTTGGATGGATTTGTCTAGTGGGTGTATCAAGGTGTCCCGTATTTGACCGTTGCCGAAGAGAAAGCGTACATGGAAGAAGCAAGAAAGAAGCTCAACGATGAATTGCCCGATATCCCTATCGATGACAAGGAGCGACCTTTCCTGCAAGCTGCCAAGTACGAAACCACAAACGCAGGCTATAACCTTTGATCGTTTTCCTTGCTCACGCTTTCCATTACAGAGATAAAATTGATGCCTGGATCGCCGATCCAAAGGACGACGTCTGTGTTAATATCACCACCAAAAATGCTTATCAGCGTCGATTGATTTATCAGGAAGTTCGAAAGAGGTACGTTGACTCTATCCAAGCGCGCCAAAGTGACGGATTCTCATGGTACATTCAAACAGTTACTCAGGCCTCACCGCCGAAGGACGCGGAGGCTTCATCCTTATCCAGCGTTTAACAGAAAAGCAATTGAAGCAACGTGAAAAAGAGCGCAAGAAGCGTTTGGAGGTAAGGTCTCACTGGTGAAAGAGTAGCCATCCATTTATCCGGTGCCCTGTACTAATATATCAATGGCGTGTTAGGAAGATTGCGAACAAGCCATAGGTTTCCGTAAAGTCATTGATTGGATTTCTGCATCGAAAAAGATCGTCGTCGGTCACAACATGCTGTTGGATATTTGCCATGTGATTGCTCAATTCATTCAACCTTTACCCCCCAAAGTCCAAGATTTCAAAAAGTTGGCCCACGATATATTTCCACAGTAGGTTTATCTATTCAAATTGTAAAAAGACCTACAATATTGATCAACAACTCTCTGGGCAGCATGATAGATACAAAATATGTGAGTTCGGCGGCGGCGGAATTGCAGGTAAAACCTTGAATGGGTAACGTGAAACTCGGTTGTCAAAAACAGAGAGTAACTCAAAACCGGTTTGAAGCAATTGCTTGGCACAGCTACCTCATTGGACGTACTGACCTTTGAAACACGACGTGAAGCATTCAAGAACCCGCGTATTGGTAAGTATACGTGTCATTCTGCTAAACTTTCTTCACTAATAAACCTGCGGATGTTTTTCACAGATATGGATTGGCTGTTTTCTCGTTATATTTCTGACAAGGCCCATGAAGCAGGATACGATGCTTACATTACAGGCTCTGTCTTGTTGAAACTGTTTTCGTTCTTGGGTACGAGCTAAAAGAGTTATTGAGCTGATGACTGTGAATAACGGATCTTGGACATAGATGCGCAGCAACATCCCGAAAAGTACAAGGAACCAGAAGAACCGGCTCCGACAGAGGACGATGACCAAGAAACCGGCCAACAAAATAAGGAATGGGACATTAGTGATACGGAAGAGGAGCCCGATCCAAACTGGACGAACGACGATGATGAAGAAGAGGTACACAACTATGGCTCGATCAAAGTCCCATTAATGACAGAACAAGGCACGCCTACCGAGATGCTCGCTCCTTATGTCAATAAAGTGACCATGGTACGCACCGGTTGGGAATACTTTGATTTCGTAGACACCGAAGGTAACTTTTGTTTTTTGACGATGATGGATTTCCTCGGGAAACTTGACAATGGGCTCATCGAGGTCAATATTTTTTTCACAATAGCCATTATCGAGCAGCACAACACTTTCATTGTTCACTGCAAAGACAAGACGGTGCCACGGGATACGGTATTCAATATTTTTTCGGCACATGGCAAACCCGTGCTGGATGCTCTTGACGAGCAGACGGTCATGGTGATTTATGAAAAGCTGCAGGAAGACCAGCAACATATCATGGATAAAATCAAAACCCAGGTATCGGAAGATCCCGAATGTCAGAATTTTGATCTTCTCATAGAAACCGTAGCGCAATACCATCGCAGAATTAGAGATCTCTAAGTTTAAGTTGGCATAATCTCATGTGTTTCAAGTTTGTTCCATTTTCTTTAAAATTGTATTCCATTCATCCTAATGATGACTATCGCAATTGGGTGGTGGCAGAAAATTAGGGTTGTAAATTAAACTCCATGACATGCTCGTTAATAAGAATGCGGACGGGACCATGATCCAACGTGCCTCTGGCCACTCCATCCATGCCTGTATATCTGAACATGTCTGCGTCGACGGTAAAGACCACCGTGGCCGATTTTCCTTTCTCCAAATCGATCTTTTGGAACGCCTTCAATACTTTGACGGGTGGGGTGATGCGTCGCACCGGTTGTTGCACGTACATCAGTACGGTTTGCTTGCCGTCAAAAGGGCCCTTGTTGGTGACCTTGACCGCCACTTTGACAGGCTCACCAGGCTTCAGCACCGGCGGCGAATCGGCGAGCTGACGGTTCTCTTGAAGCACGGATGCACCATCGTACAGCGTGAGATTGCTGTATTCAAACGTGGAATAGCTTAATCCGTGACCAAACTCGTAAAGAGGATCCCAGACGTCGTTCACTTGTCGCCAGTAATTGAGGTTCACATCGCCCACATATTTCGGGTAAGTGTATGGCAACAGGCCGGAAGGATTGAGTTTACCAAAGAGCGCTTCAGCAATGGCAAGGCCACCCCAAGGGCCAGGCAAATACGCTTGAAGCAGAGCATTGGATTGTTCAGGAATCGATCCCAACACACGTGGACGGCCTTCAATGAGCACGGTGATCATAGGTTTGCCCACTTTGGCAATCATCTCCACTGCGTTCACCTGACCGCTTGGCAAAGCCATGTCATGAATGTTGCCAGGCACTAAGTCTTTGTATTAAGCTAATGCATCATGCCATCCACATTTTAAAGGGGGGAAGACTTACGTTCGGAATACACATGTTCTCCCAAGCACACCACAATGGCATCGTAGGAAGAGGCAACGGCAAGCACTTGATCCATATCGATGGAGGTGCCATCAATGTCAAAACCGGCCATATAATCGACGTCGACATTGGCGGGTGCGACAAGTTTCATTCCATCGTGAATCGATATGCCGTTGGAATAAAATTGCTCATCATCAATGGGCCCTTGCCATGCATCTTTGGTGGCCCTGAAGAAAAAAATCAGACGGATTAGAACTTTTTTTTTCCTTTACGCTGTCATGCTTATTCCGAGAATGAGAGTCACTCCTACCCTTGCCAGTTGATGGTCCATCCTCCACTGAGGTGGCCTAAATCGTTGGCACTAGGTCCTACGACAAGAATTCGCTCGTATCTATCTTGCAACGGCAATGTGGCATTCGCATTCTTGAGCAAGGTCAACGATTCTCTGGCAGCATCCAATGAGACGCGAGCATCACTCGGTTGGCCCACCATGCTTTGCAGCTCCCTTCTTGCTTTCCATCCATCCCGTTCCAGCAGGCCAAGATCCTTTTTCAGTTGCAGCAACCTTTCGACAGACTCGTCGATGCGTTCCATGGGGATCTGACCGTCATTCACAAGGTCCTGCAAGGTTTCGAAAAAGATGACATCCTTGGGCACCATGGACATATCGATACTGGTGCTTTTGATCGACATGTGAACTGCATCTTTATGACTTGCAGCGACGCGATGCGTGGTGTACAGATTTTCAATTTCGGCCCAGTCCGTGACCAGCATGCCTTTGAACCCCATCTGTTCTCGCAGTAACTGACGCAGATACTTTTCCGAAGCTACCACGGGCTCGCCATTAATGTCAATGTAACTCTCCATGGCCGTGGCAACCCCGGCATCAATTGCCATCTGGAACGGAGGTACAAAATAGTCATTAATCGTGCGATCCGAGACCACCGTGGAATCGCGATCTTGCCCACTAGCGACATTGAACGGATGTTGAACGGGTTAAAAAGAAACAACGGGTTTCCATCTTTTTTCGATTCCATTGTCTATGTATTTTACCTCCATGGAGCTCCATAGGCAATGAAATGTTTCATGCATGCCGCTACTTTGGATCGGTCAGACTTGTACTGGCCTTGGTAACCACGGATAGCGGCGACGCCCATGACACCCGACAAGTGCGGATCTTCGCCAAAATTTTCATACACTCTCGGCCACTGTTTGTTTACCGGAATATCCAGAACTGGCGCAAAGGTCCTAAAAATCATGGGCCAGTCGCCGTTAGTAACTTGCGTCGGCAGCCCAGGAATTTTGAGTCATTATAGCCTTACCAATGGACACCAGCAGATCGCGTATCGCGGGCGGTGATGGCCGCGGCATCATAAGCTAGTTGCGGATTAAATGAAGCGGCCAAGTTGATCCCATGCGGAAAAATTGTAGCTAATAAATAAAGGGTCAGCACAGGTATAGTTTGTGTGTCCGTATTAGTTGACAATACCATTGGCCACAAAGTGCGCACCGTGAATGTGATCCAGACTGTGCAATACCAAAATTTAGTACCGTCAGGGCATTTGACATTTACTACAGTTTTTTCTTTACCCATAAATGATAGGAATTGGATATGTCGAGTTAACGGCAAGAGTAATTTGTTGTATTTCCTCAATGGTTCTTGCATAATTGACATGATCATAATTTTTGCCATGGCTGCCAAAAGTAAAAGAGTCGGAGAAATAAATGATAGGCCTATCCATCGTTGGTATAATTACTGTTGAAAACATACCGAGAGAGCTGATTCAGGTACGATCCCACGAAATAATTGTTCGCATAGTACTCGACTGCGGTACGGTTCAACGTTCCATCCGGCAAAAGTACCAAGTCTTGATTGATTTGGGTCATTTGGCCAATCTTTTCAGGGAGTGTCATACGCGAGACCATCGATTTGATGGCAGGCTCAATCTCGCCTGGTCGATCATACTGACTGTCTTGCAACGATCCGTAATGGTTGGTGTGAATCACATTTCCTAAAACGGACGTAATCATGGTCGCCAGCACCAGCAACATACTGTGATGGATAACTGCCATAAGGCCAAAAATGAATACAAAAAAAAGAAGGAATAACTTGCTCAGGCGAGGCCAATATATAAACTATCCATGATTATTTCGTCTACACAGAATATTTGGAATGAATCGATAGTTAAGGGTGCAGTTGTATACATCATTGAACCAGTCTCTCCACCAAGTCTTAAAAAAAATCCCCTTTCCGTTGCCGTCGACTATCATATTCTGATTCAACGGGGTGGTCTACCCCGTTTTTGGCAATGACTTTTCAAGGCCATATCTGGGAAGGCTTTTCTGACAAAAACTGCGTTGCACATTCCCACCAAATTCGGATGGCCGCCCTTTTTTTTTTAATTGTATCACCGCAATCCCTTCATACTCTGTACACACGATTGTCAACGAGATTCTAATAAAGTGACCTTCCATCAAGTTTTAATTCTTTGCAAATAACTGATTCTTTGATGCACCTATGCGATTGCTGCAATCATGTAGCTATTCGATAACCGTTCTACCTGCGGTCGAATGCTTCCTTGTTTCATAGATTGATAAAGTGGTCGCCATTGGAGAGAGTTTTTCTCCAAGGTGCGATTGTCGTCAGTGAGAGGGTAGATTGAAAATGAGTGGCACGAGCTGTGTTTTCGTGGTATTTCATTTTTATTGCTATGTGTCATAGCCACTGCGCCATCACAAACTATTAGGGCTCACGGTTGCCATGGCAACCAAGAAACCTCATTCTGATTGGCGGATGGCTATAGAGCATTATTGTTTCGTACGACGGTTCCCAAATGATATATAAAGGTGGGCGCTGCTCTAGTGACAAACCCCCCGATCAATTGCTTTACTTTCTATTTCCAACATGGTTCAATCCACTTATTCCAAGAAACAATCGGCCTCCACTCCCAAGCTCAAAGTACACCCCTTTTTCATCTATTTTGCGTTTGTCACACGTCTCTCACAGAGTAACATCTTTCGTATTTTTCATAGAAAACGCATGCACCTGTGATAACAAAGTCGCGTCCGAGAGACTCGATTCAAGAACGTCGATCCAGTCGACAATTGTTGCGTGACAGTGTATCTGATCTTGCTGTTCGCGAAAAGAGCGGATCCATGATGGAGGTGGACGGTGTTGTTTCGGTTTCACCGAGAGCGGCCATTCGTGACGTTAGACAAGTCTATGCAAGTCAAATTAAACCGTGCAAGATGGTTAGAATCTTTCGAGCTAACCGATTGTTTGATTTTAGGGCACCACTTTGTATCGTGTCGGGTATCCAGGACAGGAGTCGACGCACGATGAATGGCAGTTGGAGGAAACGATCGCTGACACGGATATGATGCGAGAATTCAGGGAAGAACATGGTATTGAGACCGATCCAGCTTCCGATGGCGCTGGTCAACAACGTGCTGTCAAGCATCCGCGCCCATCCAAACTCCGCGCTTTGATCCGTTTGCAGGAATCCAAGAACGACATTGACACCGTCGACAGCGACGATGAAGACAAACCGGCACGCGGTCAACAACGATCCAGACGTTCTACGAAAATCAAGGGTGAAAAAGTGGCCAGAGCCAAGCGGGTCGATAAAGCCGCGGTCAAGGCTGCACGACGTCAAGAGCGCAAGGAGCAGCGCGCTCAAGTCACCGATGCCCATTTGCAATCGGTGATGGTTCCGTCGGATCCCAAAGACTGTTGTATTCAGTGCACTGTGCGTGCCTATCGCAATGCTGTAGCCGACGACGATGTGACCGCACTTACCACTCTGCTTCAAGCCAAGACGACCATTCCACATTGGGACTCGGAAGATCGCAGTTTCAAGGACGACAATGTGATGCTGCTCGCCTTGCTCAAAGGCAGAGACAATATCGTGACCATGCTCTCCGAGGATGACAGCGATAAACGAATCAAGGTGCCTGAACGTTACCAAACATACGGCAGCCATACCGGGTACCTGAACAGCAGCACCTTTGGTCATAGTGTTCGGTAATTTGCGTCGTCTTCTTTGGTTCACATTCCATGGCTCTTTTGTTATTCTAAAGTGTGTATTTTTTTTTCTATCTTTACAGTCAAGTCAATGAATCACGAGGCAATCGCCAAGGCAATGCTGCGTTTTATCGAAGCCCGCAGATGGACGACATGGAGGTGGATTTGCAACGGGTGCTCGGCCACACTCGGCACAGTACACTTATTCAAGCCGCCACGATTTGTAAAGACGATGCAACACGTTCGCTTATCGCCAGCTCGTTGACATCGAAAATCAACAGCACCAGAACCCTATTGCGTGCTCTATATGTGTGCGTTGCGGCCGGAAACCGTGACCTGGTGGCCGATGTCTTCCGCAATGGAGCCGGTGACATGAGTTGTTTCAACCACCTTCACCGAGAAATCATAAGTGTAAGTACCCACCGAGTGAAAATGCTCATGATCAGAATCCTTTGCTGACGCCTTTAAATTCATCGCTAGTTCACGGGAAATGAGGATCTCACGGCGTATCGACGCAACCAGATTACGAAAAAGGCCGCGAATGCAGGCAATTTAACCCCGTTGGCTTGTGCCGCCATCCATCCGTCGTCCAAGTACTTGCAAGAATTGTATGAAAAGCTGGACGGAGCCGAACGTACCGAAGCTGACGAGTTTGGACGAACCATTGCCCATTTTGCAGCAGCCAGCACGACCCCAGCTTGTCTCAACTACTTGATATCACAAGGATACAATTTCAATCTAGGCGACAAGTATCGAATGACGCCTCTTTTGCTGGCCGCCCGCTACGGACGACACGAAAACATTGAACCGTTACTAAAATACCTTGGCAACGAAGCGCCTTCAACTGCGGAATTTGCCGATCAGACCATACTTCCCGGCAAGCGACGCGCGCTCCATTTCGCCGCTCATTACGGTCATCCAAAGGTGTGCTCCGTTCTGATCGATTGCGGAGCGACTGTGGATGTGTGCGAGAGTAAAGAGAAATCCACCCCGTTGATGCTGGCGGTGATGCGAGGCCATCTTGAATGCGTGCGAGTGCTCGTGGAACACGGTCATGCTGACGTGGAGTACACCGACAAGTATATGCGCACCGCCCTCCATCTTGCGGCGAAACATGGACATTACGCCATTGCAAAGTATCTACTGTCGCTGGGTGTCGATGCCGATGCACCCGATACATCTGAAAATCGACCGATTCATTATGCGGCTGCGTTTGGATGGCTTGAAGTGGTTCAGCTATTGATTGAATACGGAAACTGCGATCCCGGGGCAATGAACATGTGGCGCGGCACCGCGTGTTCCGTGGCTAGTATGAAGGGCCACATCTCAATTGTTCAGTACCTCCTTTCCTGGAAGAACGGATCCATCGATGTCAACTTTCGCGATGAAACCGGTCAGACCATGCTTCATCAGTGTGTATGTGAACGAGCCGAGAACAATGTCGAAGCGATGCAAATCTTGCGCAATGCTCGCATCCTTCTTTCGCACAACGCCGACCTGGATCGACAAACAATTGATGGTTTGTGTTTTTCAATTTCTCATCCCATTGTTAAAAAATGTGGCAATCTAATCAAACAGAATATATTGCTAGGTGACACGGCGCTCCATTCGCTCGTCAAGGCGGCCCACTTTCGAGAACTGCGACCGGTCGGATGGCAATTTTACAATGCTTTCGGATACCCTTCACACAAGTTGGAGTATGGCGACATGGAAGGTCTGGCTTACCAGCATCCTTTGGCCGAAGCCATCCTAGCCAAAGGCGCCAATGTGTCCATCAAAAATCTCAACGGAGAAACGCCTCTGCTGGCCGCTGCCAAGGCTCAGAACTACGGTCTCGTCGAATTACTGATCCGTCATGGAGCCACCTACTGGCAAGACACTGACCAGGACGGCAATAACTTCTTCCACTACCTCTTTGAAGCAGCAGCGTATCCAGATTCCATCGAAACTGAAGAAGAAGTGCAACTGCAGCGACAGAACGCTTATGTCAAGGTCATTAGCGATATCCTTGCCGCGATGCAAGACAATCCGGCCCCCGAATCGATTGCCAATATCACTGTAAGTATTTCCTTTTACAATGAACTCTGACTAGAGCCAAAACCTTAATGCGACATTTTTCGAAATAGGTCAACGCAATCAATGCCAAAGGATATTCACCCCTATTGCACGGTTTAAGCCAAGCTGCCAAGTTGCAAAAGAAACGTGTGGTGCAAGTCAAGGAAATGATCAAACGAAAATTATCGGAACGATCTCAACTTTCAGAAGAAGGCGAACCGATTGCTGCATCCACTTGTTTTACTTTTTATTTCTTGGTAAGTTGGCCACCGCCTTCTAGCATTAGTGTGCGTTCTCATGTACCCATTTGGGAACAAAAATAGATTCAATACGTCAATACCATTTTTCAAATGGTCAAGATGGATATGACCAGCCATGTTCGGTTGCCAAAAGATTTTCTCAAGGAAAATCCAAAAGCCACACGCAAGGATTATCCGCCAGAGACCGGATACAGTGCTCTCCATATAGGTAAAGATGAGGCACATGGGCCAACCTCATGAAAGTCAACGTTAACGCAAAATTTTTGCTTTATGTTAGTGTCATTGTCGCAAAATGCCGACTTGCTTCATTGTATATTGTCGCAAGGATGTGATGTCAATCAGCGACTCTCGATTGATGGCAAGCCAGCGGGACCCACGGCCATGCTCATGGGCTATGTCGAGCTCGTTGATCGTCCAGACACCTATCTTCCAGAGAATACGGCCTACTATGCCGATCAACTCAAGAAGCACTTTGACCTGGAAAAACCGGATTTCAAGCTGTTGTTGTCCACGTCACTGCAACAGTACCTGTCTTTTGGTGCCGATCCCTGTGTGAGTAATGATGATGGTTACAACCCCTTGATAAGGGCTTCACAACGAATGGAAAAGGAGATGGTCGCCAGCATGTGTTGCAACATTTCCAACAAAGCCGATATCAACAAAGCTGACAAGGAAAAAGAGACGCCATTGTCGTACGCCGTTACGAGTCTCAA